TTGGGACCCACAGTAGCTCTGATAGATCATAGGCTGGTCTACTTCGAGTTCCTTCCTAGCATGTAGGACTGCAAGACGTGCGCAAGTACCAGTACCGCATGGACTCCTGTCGAGACGACCTGGAAGAACAACAGTTGCATTCCTCCCTGTGAGTCCTTGTCCCTGATCTGATAGTGATTCGGTGAAGACAACGTTTGTGACTCCCATGATTGACGGGTTCTCTGGATGCACAGGCGTGAACGTACTTCTTACAGCCTTTTTGATCCTCTCGCCGACCTCGACCAAGGTTGCTCCATTTCTGCCGAACTCGTCCAGGGATTGCCCAACCGATTCAGCATCTACCAGAGCAAACATCATACCACCGTATGCAACGTCCACAGTGATTGTTCCTAGTCCAGGGACCTCTACTTCAAGATCGAGAGCCAGGGCGAACGATGGGACGTTTTCGAACTCCACGGTCTGGCATTTACCATCCTTGCATTCGGCGGTGGCCACTACCAGCCCTGCTGCGGTGTCTAGTCTGACCTGAGTGATAGGTTCTTTCATGGGGATCATTCCAGTTTCCAGCAAGACAGTGGTAACACAGATAGTGTTGGATCCCGACATGGGAACGTATTCTTCGCTTTCCATAATCAGAAAGCCCACATCCGCGGTGGGGTCGCAAGGCGCTACGATCAAGTTGGCACACTTGGCTGATCTCCCTCTCGGCTCGTTCAGTAGAAGCTGTCTCATCTGATCACGTTCTGTCCAGAATGCAAGCATCTTGTCGTACATGGTCTTTGCTGGGATGTCGAGGAAACCACCGGTGACCACATCGCCGACTTCGCCCTCTGCATGCACACCGACGACGTTAAAGACTCTCGAGAACGGCATTCTGGCAGTGAGTGGGCGTAGTATCGAGGACAGACCGTCGTGAGAGTCTTTCGCCAGGGCTACGTTCGGGTACCACTTATAGGTCAGCGGTCACTCCATGCGGAGATCACACAAGCGATTGCGTGATAAGTTGATCCGATATCGGACCTCTCGATGTAGGGGTGATCGCCCGATCTGCGGAGGACTCTCAGGACGCACAGGCATGCCTCTAAAGTGTTCGTAGGCACGTGGATACTTACTATCTCCGTCAGTTCCCCTTTTAGAGCTCGACCTTTCCACGGCATTGTGACAGCACCAGCACGACTCGACCACTTGGAGCAATGGTTGTATAGAACACGCGATACAAACCACTCTGACACAGTCACACAGTCTGTCGCAAGACCATGACGGCGCCCCGTGTGCTGGGCTACCTTCACTCACTCCCAATGTGTATTCTGCGGTTCTGTGTTCATCGTTGCCAATGCAAAAGAATCTGTTGATGGCGAAACATACTCAGAAGCGGACCTTGGTTCCAGCGGGTATACAGACACTATATACAGTGACTCCAGCTTGAGGAATTTAGTGAAACAACAATTTGTACAACGCAGCGATTGTCGACTCTCTTGATTGCAATTCCATGACATCCGGCAGATGATACCATTAAATATCTCTCGCTCGGCGATACTCTTTTGATCACTGGCTCATCTTCATCTCCGTTCTCGAGCTCACAATTGTACTCTATCTCTATCTTGTGGATTTCCATGTCCTCTACCACATCGAGCACCACTACAAATCCTACCCACACCTCTATCTCCAGCTCAATCACTATTTTCAGTCCACGCCCGAGGTCCAGCTCGAGTTCGACCATCACATTGACTTTCTCGGAAATAGTTTCAGGTCCAAGCCTACATCCGTGTCCCTTGCTATGTACGGTCTGACCTCAACGACTCCTGCGACCGCCAGATAGCGTGAGGGTTTTGATGGGACGTTGTGTGGCAGTGCGATTCATGAACACGTCGGTTTGAGGATACTTAGTGCTGTTTGAAACAGTCTATCCTCTGCCAACGTCGCAGACGCATACAACGAACAGATGCATGACGCCCCAAAATCTCTACACCCCGCGCCGTTCTGTCTTGCCACCCGTATCATCTCTCGAGAGTGCTGGCAATTCTTGCTTTAGAGTTCAACCTGAGCGAACATACATCAGTGCATCTTAACGCTTTCCGGGATTACTTCCATCACTCTCAGCCAAACAACTGACCTTCAGGAAATGAGGACTAGCACTGACTCATGAATGAGCGACCAGCGTTGCGACATCGTCAGTCTTTTGAGCTTAGATTCCCATGTATGACACAGTCTCCGGTCATGTTGAATGACACATGGGGATGAGAGAGCTATTCCTCAACGCAGGCCTTGCGAGAGCAAGAAGCATACTGGTGATCAGCGTCGCAGTAGAACGAACGGAACCAGGAGAAACAAGTTAAAATTCTTCAGGCTGTCGGTCCAGTCGTCCAGTGGTCAGTAAATGCCTTGCGTACTGTCGGTATACTCTCAAGTCTATAACTTGTCATCATAGCCACATTCCAAGACCTCAAATTCGACTGGAGGGCCCAAATCAAGAACAATTTCTTGCATCCCCCATAGATCGGCGCGTCCTCTCCAGGGGGTGACATGACTTCTTCACGTGTGCCCTCCATCCAGCATGCTATCGACAACCCTTGCAGAAACCAAAACGGTAGCGATGCCCTCCCTTCAAGGGCATGTCCACTCGAGTTGTGAGGATGAATGGAGCAGTAAACTCGACAGGCTTTCCGGGTCCTGAAGTCCGAAAATATTGGTCATGTATGCCACCAAGCTCACGACTAATGTGACCTGGTTCTTACCGCCCTTGGTTGACTCTAGCTTTACAGGATCGTCGTTATCAGAGAGATCGATGCACAAGAAGTTCTTTCGTCTTTGAGAAAGGACGAGGTTGAACACTGACGGCCATGTATAGATTATGATTGCATTCGGATACGAAAGCGTGGCAGACAACATGATTGAAGAAGGCGCGCCGGGTGTAACGTTAGCAGGAATTATTGTGACGTTGACACTGATGGTGGGATGCGACATCTCGAGCACAGATGGTAAGTGTAGTCAAGGAACAAGACGTTGTTTACGTATACGGGGATGTATATGTCTTACGTAATCAGCTGTCCTGCTTCTTCCCTTCTTCTTGCTGGCCTCATTTGTCACACGACTATTTCCGAACATCAAGCTTTTATAGGACTCTAATTTGTGATATTTGGCTGCTTCTGTATGTCGTATGTAGGCGTTCCACTGTTGTTTCTTGCAGTCAGCTCGTCTTGCAGTCTCACTCCTATGCCATCATGAAAGATACTGCACTAGCGCTGTCTCGATGTTCCGCCGGCTGTCAAAGTTACACAACAAAGCATCTGTAACAGAGTTGTCTGACCGGCGGTGTTCCTAGGGATACGTTTGCATGCAGGCCACTATGATGAAACCTGAAGGCATAGTCCTACGAGCGACAAAATCAGACACGCAAAGGTCCTTCACACCGAAAGCCACATAAAAGAAGGGTGACGATCCGGTAGCCGCGTACAAGGCCTTCAGACCAAGCAACTTCAGAAAAGCTTACAGCGATAAAGTCGTTGGCAATCCTGTATCATCGAGATGTCGTCTTTGGCTACGCAGCGGTCTTGAAAGGGGTTTGAGAGGCAGACAAAGATGATATCTGCGTGAGATCGACAATTGTCAAGACATCATAACATACACATGGGGATGGGAAAACTTTGGCAAGCGAATAAATAGCGAAACGACTAGGCGATTGACAATTGCAAACATAACAATGCCTCTGGAATTGATCTGTCCTGACAAGCAAAGGTTCAAAGCGCTTATTGTGGGAAGCACTGTGATTACCTTCCAAGGCCATGTGTTCATTGTAGATGTAGGTGGTGAATGAACGAGTGAACGATACTACGCATGTGTGTGTCACTTGATCTTATCTTTCAGCCTTGGCCTGCAATTTTGCGAGCCATGTGTCGTTACTTCCTGGCTCCGAGATCATTAGATGCATGCCCTTATGACCAGTGTCAAAGAAGGGTCGAAAATCTTCTTCTCTGAACGACCTGAAGCCATTACGTTCGTAGAAAACACTCCAACCGCACTGGACTTGGTTACGATTGGGACTTTTTCAAGTTGTGCTTGGGAGATGCCCCAGTCCAATAGCTGTTGGCCCAGGCCCTGCCCTTGACATGCCGGATCGACATAGATTCCATCGAGCTCCCAGAATTCGGTCAATCCAGAATCTGGAGGGACAGTCGGTTTGTGAGTAAGATGTTTGATTTGAGCGGTATGCGACTCATCAAAGATCTTCGGGGCTGCGGATCTTTGGCTCTGCGACTGCAGCTCTGCTCAGAGAATCAGTGGTTTGGTTCAGCAGTAAGAAGTATGCATAGCCTACGACCTTTGGCAAGATCAGGCCGCTGTATCTGCCTGGCACCGTTTGGGAGGCGATTACCATGTCGAGTCCAGATTGCCCACGCTTTTATCTCGTGTTGACCGTCATTCGGGTCAATGGAGTCAGCGGTGACGACCAAACAGACACAAGATGGCTCCGAGATCTTTTTCGCCAGAAACTGTGCCGAAGTATCAATATGGGCTGCCCAATTTCCAGAGATATCGATCGCCATGTATCGTGCAAGTGGATCTGTTAGATTACAGAGACATTCGATCTCAGCCAGTCTCGCCAGGTTATCAAGACTGAAAGGTCGTAGAACCATGGTCTGATGGAGCAAAGTTGTCTGAAATGCTGGATACAAGGGGGTACCAGGCACGCTGATCCTTGGCCTAGGCTCGCTGTTCCACCACATCAGACTCTCGACCGCAAAGAAATTTGTGCTGATGCAGAAAGCAGGACTTGATTGGGTTGTGAAGTTGTGAGTCAGTTGGCTCGAAAGCGTGGGGAATTTGTCAGCAATGCACATGCAGAAGATGAGGGGTATGATCGATACATAACTCTACCATTCCTATAAATATCCGTTCGTTTCTTCAATCCGCCAAGTCGTGTTGGAAAAAAGGCTTGAGATGTTTACATCTCTTCTTATAGTTCAACTTAAGCGAATACCACGGTCTCCAGTTCTAGCATCATGAGCACCTCGAACGACCAGGACTTTCCAGTGATCCACCTTTCTGACGACGGTTGGTCAACAGAAGAGGAAGCCACAGCGACCTGCTTTTGTGGAGGAGTGCAACTCGTTTTGGTGAGTTCATCAATGACGAATCTGCCGTGGACATCGGCACTTTCGTTCTTCCTTGTGTTCTTCTCTTCAAGAAGTCTCCACGCTGGTAGAATTTGAAAGCCACTACAAAAGCCTGGACTGATTAATCGTCATGCCTGCCACTGCACTGACTGCCGCAAAATTGGCTCCGCTTTTTACCAGTCCAACATCACCGTGACAGACTCTTACCTCAGACATGTGCGCGGTGCAGACAGTCTCACAACCTTCAGTGAACTCAAAACCATTCGCGCAGGAGAATCGATGACGAACTATTTCTGCATTACATGTGGGACTTTGATGTACCGGCGTGGCGCCCGCTTCCCTGGACTGACGATCCTGCGGACTGGCACCGTGAATGGCATTTCATTAGCGGAGACCAAGTTACGACCTCAGGTAGAACAATTCATCGAGAGGAGGGTCGCCTGGTCGGTGCCGATAGAAGGTACTGCACAGGTGGTAGCGATGCACCGGCCGTTGGATATCGAGGGATTCCGTGAAACAGTTCACTTGGACGGCTGGTTCCTTCTAATGATGCTATCAGACCAAGAGCCTACAAAGTGATACCTGAGTTCGGAGTTCTGATGGCTGGTTATCATCAACAAAGGTGTCTTGTGGAGAATTTGCGACAATGCATTCGGAACGAAGTAGGGTAACAGCAGGAGGTCGCGCACCAGCAAGGACCACTTTGGAATATGAACGACTTCGCATTGTTATGCCGGAGCGTGCGCATCGTTAACACGTCTGAGAAAAAGCCCTCCAACTGCAATACCACGTCGAATATCCATTCTTTGTATGTCTCGAAAGAGCGCCAACACCAGCAGTATCGCGGCGATGATTCACAGATTAGTTGCAAGTCGGGACTAGCCACTATCGGCAAAGTGCAAACAAGGAGGCGCTGTAGGAAGAGAAGCACCAAAGAGGTGAACAGACAAACAAGTTTGCATGATTTTGAGGATGTGATACACTGTTTCGTCCAGAAGCCATGACACGTGCCGCCTTACGCGATGACCCTCGGAAAGAACCTACCAGGCAAAAGATTTATCGCCTTCGGGGACTGAGAGAAAGACTCGAGAGGCGGGCGAATCAAATCGATGTCGCATGGGTGATTCGCAAAACAACCTGACATGAATGCTCGAAGATACCGTCGAAAACCGACACGCGTGGGAAGTGAGACCTTGACCAAGAAGGCCGGAGATGATTTGCTCAGGATGACGTTGATCAAGAGTTTGGGAAAGACTTTTGGCGTCGACAAGTGAAGACTGTGCAAGATGAGAGGCGAGGAATTGGAGTCTGTTCAATGCTGCTTATAAGATGCAATGGTTGAGTTCTGTCGAGCGGCGAAAATATCGAGCCCGCGACACACTTGATGACAGGATTGGAACATAGTCTTTGTGGACCTGGAAAGCGACAAGGAGTAGATCCGACACACCACTGCTGCATGATCGGTTCCCGCAGGAGCTCCTCGAGACAGTCGCCAGGCCGATGTGAGATGCTGTTGAAGTATGACACTCAAATTACTTGGACTGTGCTGTCTTGATGAGATCGTTCTCGAACAATGTAGAGATACTTTGCTTCCCCTGGCATCGTCGTAAGCAATTTCATGCCCGTTGTGGACATTTTTTGCTTGCTAGTGAGATGAATAGCAGCGCTCAACCAATTCGGGCGCTCCGGGCAGCCAAGAGATAACGCGCCTACGAGAGCGTTGCAGATAAGATGTGTAGATAAGGACGAACATGGATTGTAGGGGCCAGCTTATCTTTCTTTCCACACACTCGATGTGACAACGAATGGTCGGATTCAGATGTAAGATGATGGCCAGGCATATTATATAGCAATAGAATGGGTCGTCAAGGTACTTTCGGGTGGAACCGCATCTTTGTGTTGTCCAAACAGCATATCGCTCTGAGGCAATTGCGCGAAGAAAAAGGACTGTCACACATCAGCGTGCACGGAGTCAGAGAAACACTGGGGACCCCAAGACCCGGGCTCTTGTAAACGAGCAAACAGCGAGAGAGATGGCAACCGAAGTCATGGCAAGTAAAGCCGGTCGAGTCACGAGACCTACAAGTCCGAGGAAGAAGACACAGAGGGAAGTTTTTCTGCAAGAGAAGTTCTAGATGTCTTGGGGGCCTATGTGGAAAAGGTACCTGTCAAGATATAGACGGCCAAAATGTGTCAGGCATGAGTCTTATCGCAGGAGAAGCGGAGATCGACATGATTGCCTTGGCCAAGAAAGACTGCGAACGCCACTCGGCGCCACGTGCTGGACCTGTTGTCTCAATGCGGGGTCGGGCGACAGACCGAAAGCTCTCCAAACTTTCTGTTATCGCATTTCAGCTTCACGACCGTATCAACTTGCTTCACTCCAAGACTGGTGGCGCTACTAGACCCGACTTCTTTCCAAAAGACGTTGGTTGCACAATCTGCCATGGCATTGACATATAATGCGACGCGGCGGCGCACTTGCTGCCTCGTCCACCACACCCCTCCCTCCATCCTCATCCACCAGCCTCAACCATGACATCGCTCAGACATGGCGGGAAGGTCGGCGAGTATGTCTCGTCGGAACCGATCGCTCGCACCGACAGCCGCGAAGAAGGCGAGGTCCTCGAGAACACTGATCACCTTCACCGCCGTCTTGGAAACCGACAAATCCAGCTCATGGCCATTGGCGGCACCATTGGCACTGCCCTCTTCGTCAGCATCGGCGGCGGCCTCTACAAAGGTGGACCAGGCAGCCTGTTCCTCGCCTATACCATCTACGCTTGCGCATTGGGTCTCGTAAACAACAGCATAGCAGAGCTTACGACGGCATATCCTGTCTCTGGTGGCTTCATTCGTCTCGCCGGCCACTTTGTTGACGATGCCTTTGGCGTCATGTCTGGCTACAACTTTTCATCTACGAAGCTCTCCTGATCCCCTTCGAAATCACTGCTCTATCCACGGTGCTTGACTTCTGGTCCTCGGAAATACCCCTTGGGCAATTCCCCTGAGTTGTATAATCTTGTACGGGTAAGCATCCCAGTGCGACCACTTCCAAGTTCCAGCGCGACAGATTCCCAAGCGATATCACATTTTCCCTCGTCCCAAGCGACGCAACCTCTGTTCCCAAGCGACTCATATCATAGCTCCCTTCCCGAGCGACTGGCATTGCCGCCCGATATACCTCCTTGCCCCCTGCGCTGCCGTCGCACACACTGTCACGATGCGCGATACCTCCTACGAGCAAGACGACGCCGCTGAGAGTCACGTTCCACGCTATTCCGTGCTTGCTATGCTCTTGCTGCTTCATCACTGCTTTTTTGTTGTTCTTTTGCTGATCCGTGTAACAGTCTCCTCAATGTTCTGGCCATCAGGGTCTTCGGAGAAGCCGAGTTCTGGCTGTCCGGCGGCAAAGTCCTCTTGATCTTCATTGTCTTCTCCTTTACCTTCATTACAATGGTCGGCGGCAACCCCAGCACGACGCATATGGGTTCCGCAACTTCAAGCACAACGCCTTCAAAGAGTACAGAAGCACCGGAAGCCTCGGCCAGTTTGAAGGCTTCTGCGCTGCTCTATGGTCGGCCTCGTTCTGTGTGACTGGCCCCGAGTACCTCTCCATGGTGGCTGGTGAAGCTAGACGTCCTCGCATCTACATTAAGAACGCCTTCAAGACTGTCTACTGGAGATTTGCCCTCTTCTTCATGGGTGGCGCATTGGCTGTCGGCATCGTCCTCAGCTCTACCGACCCTACCTTGACCGCCATCATTTCCGGCGAGAAAAGTGGTTCTGGCACTGCTGCCGCTTCTCCTTACGTCATCGCCATGGCAAACATGGGCATTACTGGTCTGCCTCATCTGGTCAGCGCTCTCTTGGTCACATCGATCTTCAGTGCCGGCAACACCTATACTTTCTGCGCCACTCGTAGTTTGTACGGTCTTGCTATTGAAGGCAGAGCACCAAAAGCTCTTCGTTACTGCACCAAGAGTGGTGTTCCTCTTGTCTGCTTCGGTATAGTCATGGTGTTCCCTTGCCTCGCTTTCTTGCAGGTCAGCAACGGATCGAACGTCGTCCTAGGCTGGCTCATCAACCTGGTCACGGCCGGAGGCGTCATCAACTACTGGGTCATGTGCATCACCTACATCTTCTTCTACCGTGCCTGCAAAGCACAGGGCTTGGACAGGAACACTTTGCCATACAAGGGCTGGTTCCAACCGTACTCTGTAAGTCTCCAAGAACGTCCAAGGAACGAACAAAAACGCTAACCCACTGGTAAGGCATATCTCGGTGCAGCCTGGATGACCATGATTGTCTTCTGCTACGGTTACACAAGTTTTGCGCCATGGTCCGTCAGCAACTTCTTCATCTACTACACCCTCTTGCTCGTTGGTAAGTCAATAATCTCTGTCTCGTTTTTTCCAAATGCATAATAACACGTCACAGCACCCGTGACCTACTTCGGCTGGAAGTTGATCAAGCGCACGCGCCTTCTCAGCCCTCTTGAAGTTGATCTCGTTTGGGAACGTCCTGTCATCGACAACTATGAGATGACCTTCATCGACCCTCCACAAAGCTTCTGGTCAGAAATGCTTGGACCATTGATGTTCTGGAGGCATTCGAAGGGCAGTGACAGGCAGATGAGTGTCTCCGCTTAGGCAAGAGCAAGGACTGGCTGTTGAGCAAGTGCTGTCAACCCCTTTACAAATCTCGATTCCATATCATAAATGCACGCATATGTCTTGATGTAACGTGCAACCTCTCGGATGGCTCTCGAGGACATCCGCGGCCGAGCAAACTTCAATATTCAAAGTATACATGCCAGGTTAAACCCCTTGTATTGGTAACGAACAATGCAGAATCTCATGTTGAGATTGCCCCGAAAGTTTTCGGCAAGTGCAAGCTTTTTCGCAAGTACGAGTGGTTTGTCGCTGGAAGGCTCACGACAGTGACGACAGGTTGCGCCAAACGACCTGCGAGCGTCAAGGAGAATGTTTAAGGCACATGGAGGTGTTGGAGATGCGCTATGGCGGGGTGTTGTTATCTTTGCGCGAATCATCACGCTATCTCACGACAAGCGATATTGAACAATCTTTTTGACTCTTGTGCCCACGTCCATACGCGGCCAAGCCTGACGACAATCGCTTTCGGAGACTTCAGTATGCCACAGCGTACCATCCAGCCCGCGGAAACAACACAATCTCTCGGTATGGTTCAGCCTCGGCAACTAGACACGTGCAATTCATCAACGTGGGGTCTCGTTTGACACAAGCTTTGTCGCGAACTGGAAAGAAAGCTTGAGCAAGACTTGGTTTGCTGCAGGTAAAGCTTGTTCAGCTACAACGAATCGCAGATCTCGGAGCAGTCCCGTGTGATCTACTAGATCCTTCGCCAGAGGCTTCCCACGCCTTGTTGCGGAGCGATCGATACTCCCTTACGCGTCCACGGAAACGGGTCAGCGTGGCGCAAGATGAGTCGATTATGTATATATTTGACCTGGTGACCCCTGTTGCTAAGCACTCTTACTCGAATCTCTTGCGTCAATCCCTCGGCTTTTGGTTGTTCAACAAACATTGTCATGGCGATCAAGGAATTCCTCCGCCCCGGTGCTTTGCAACCTTCCTTCGAGAAGTCCGACGATGTTGCAGACCGTATCCAGGAAACACCTATCGAGCTTTCCACTAAGACCTGGTGGCAGCGACGCGCTCCTGTCATTGCTTGCGGTTCTGGACTCTTCTCCGATGGCTATCTAAATGGAGTGTGTATATTCTTATCTGTCGCAAGTATTTCTCTGATGTGCGTTAGGNTCATCGGTTCCGTGAATACCATCCTCAAGAGACTGTACAAGTACGAGTACGCCCACAGCAATGCTCAGAGCAACATCACCTCGCTTGTCTTTGTTGGTGAAGTTGTCGGTATCATCATCTTTGGCTATACCTCGGATCGCTTCTCCCGAAAGTGGTCTATCTTTGCATCTACCGTCATCTTAGTACGCATCTGTGACTCCTGGGTTGATTTGTCTGCTGATGTCAGCTAGTTCATCTTCGCTGCTCTTGCTGCCGGCTCTTACGGTGCGCATGGCAGCATCTATGGCATGTTTTCTGCACTTGCTGCTTATCGTTTCCTTCTTGGTATCGGTATTGGTGGTGAATATCCCGCTGGATCTGTCGGTTGTTCTGAGAGTACTGGAGAACTAGAGTCTGGTACTCGTAATCGATGGTTCATCTGGTTCACCAACTTGGCGATTGACCTGGGTTTCGTCATTGCCGCGTTTGTTCCCATGATTGTGGTAAGTGCTCTAGGTCATCGATCGATTTGATCTTACTTAAACGTCAATGACAGGNTTCTTGCTACCGGCGAAGACCATCTCCGTGCCGCTTGGCGCATTATGCTCGGTATCGGCGTCATTCCACCACTTTCATTGTTTTATATGCGATGGAAGCTGGAAGAGCCCGAGGCTTTCAAGAGAAACACAATGGCCAAGTGCAAGACGCCCTGGAAGCTCATCTTGAAAAAGTATTGGTTCCGCCTGCTTGTCGTCTCGACCATCTGGTTCATCTACGACTACTCATCATATGCTTTTGGCACATACTCTGCTCCAAGTGTCGACAATGTACTCGGTCCAGATGCACCAATGTGGAAGACATTTGGTTGGAACACTGTCATCAACCTTTTCTATATCCCTGGCGCATTCGCAGGATCGTACGTTTCTGATTGGATCGGACCTAGGAAGGCTCTTGCGTATGGAGTCACTGCACAAGCCGTGGTCGGTTTCATCATGGCCGGGTGCTACGAGAAGCTTGCCATCCCAAAGAACATTGGTGGGTTCGTTGTCGTCTACGGTATCTTCTTGTCGCTCGGCGAGCTGGGTCCAGGTGAGTCTCGACCAGACTTTGACAATTTCATACACTGACCACAATACANNGGCGATAACATTGGCCTCATCGCATCGAAGACCTCTGCTACAGCCGTTCGAGGTCGTTACTATGCCGTGGCTGCAGCATTCGGCAAGATCGGAGCCTTCATCGGCAACTACCTCTACCCCATCCTTGTCGCTGATGCCGGAAGCAATACTATCAAGGGTAACCAGTACCCCTTCTGGGTTGCGTCATCTCTCTGCATCCTCAGTGCTTTTCTTGCATTCTTCTGCTTACCTGAAATTGGTCAAGATACCATTGACCACGAGGATGCCGCTTTCAAGAGTTACCTTGTTGAGAATGGCTGGGATATCTCTCGTATGGGTTTTGCTGGATCTGGAGCTCATATGGGATCTGATGAGGAAGGTCCAAGTTGCAATGCTGAGAAGCTTGAGCTTTGATGAGATCACGGTAGCGCAGAGTGCAAATACCACTGAGTTCAGTAGCAACGTATCGATATCCGTAAAACCGAACCCCAGGAGAGACTGTTTCGATTGTTGTATTCACAAGTCTCTTCTACTATCACCGCCGAATATGATCTGCACGCAAAAGTCATATGTATCCCCGGCTCGGATGACCTCCAGCCAGAGGTGAGATTACACAACAAAGACACTCGACGTGGGAAGATGCGAAAGGCCAACACGGGTTTTCGAGAGTCACAGTCAAGGTAACAGGGCCCATCGGATGCAAAAGCTCGTACCTTCAAGATTTTTCTATCACGAGTGACCCGTGTCGCAGATCCCGAAAGCGGCAGTCTCAGAACAGAGATCATGCACATGGTGCTCGTTGTACGAAAACTGTGTGCCGAAGTTCCGGTGCAGAGATAGCAAAGCCAAACAGCAATGCGACGATCACGCACGTGTCCCACCTTTCAACTTCAAGATTCTCATACTTTTGCAAAGTGGATGTCCTGTTTCTCAACGCCCGTGGCAAGGAGATGTACAGTGCTTTTAATCGCTGGTGTATGGCGCCGTGAGCTTCACGTGTAGTGCAATCAAGATCCTAATGGCCATGACTACCGTAGGACGCGTGCCTCGTGGCGAGGGACATCAGGTACACGGTACCGAAGGCCCAGCATATATGGAAATAGTCATCCGCAGCGATCACATCTTCCGTTCATCCAAGCAGTTCAAGCATTCCAAGCATTAACGCCTCAAATCTTGACTCATCATGGCAGAAACAGCAGTACCTGAGATCGCCCACCAAGACGGCGGCCCGAAACGACAGCCACCTCATACGTCAACAGAATTGAGCTCAGAGTCTGGAAGTACAGTCCATACCAGGACTCGTCGGCAGAAACTCAGCGATGTCTTCACCATCTTTGCGAGCGGTGCCGCTCTTATTAGCGATGGATACCAGAACAATCTCATGACGATGACCAACGTCGCATTGCGAAAGGAATATCCGAAACAATACACATCCTACTTCAGCACTGGCGTGTCCAATGCACTGCTCGTCGGTGAGGTCATTGGCCAAGTTGTCGTTGGTCTCACCTGCGATTACCTCGGTCGCAAGTTCGCGATTATTCTCACCACAGTCATGATTGTCGTCGGAGGCATCCTTGCGACTGCTGCGTCCGGTACCACCATCCATGGGACGTTCTGGATGCTGATCGTAGCAAGAGGCATCGTCGGCTTCGGAACTGGCGGTGAACATCCTGCAAGCTCAACTTCTGCAAGCGAAGCCGCGAATGAACAAACCCTCAAGCAGCGGGGTCCGTTGTTCATCCTGGTTACCAATCTGCCGCTTTCGTTTGGTGGACCACTCGCCGTTTCAATCTTCCTTATCGTGTTATCTGCCGCTGGTCAAGATCATCTCGGAACTGTGTGGCGCGTGTGCATGGGTATCGGGTGCCTCTTGCCACTGTCCGTCTTCTACTTCCGCATGAAAATGCTCAACTCGAAGCTGTACCGCCGTGGTGCGATCAAGAAGCGTGTTCCATACACTCTTGTGTTGCGCTATTACTGGAATCGACTCTTGGGCACATGCGGCGCATGGTTTCTGTACGACTTCATCACGTTCCCCAATGGGGTCTTCTCTGCGACAATTCTCAGCGGAGTAGTCAAGAAGGGCAACAACAATGTTCGCTCAACTGCTGAATGGCAACTGTTGCTTGGTGCTATCGCGTTGCCTGGTGTCATTGTTGGTGCCTATCTCTGCGATCGCATCGGACGCAAGAACACGATGATGCTCGGGTTCGGCGGCTACCTCGTCTTCGGATTGATCATCGGCTGCGCGTATGAGCAAATCACCAAGATCTTGCCTCTCTTTGTCGTCTTCTATGGCATGATGCAGAGCTGTGGTAACATGGGACCTGGCGATATGCTCGGCCTACTTTCAAGCGAGAGCTATGCTACAGCCGTGCGTGGTACCTGCTATGGTATCTCGGCTGCGCTCGGCAAGACTGGTGCTGCGATCGGTACGCAAGCTTTCACTCCCATCCAGGTACACCTGGGAAAGAGGTGGACATTCATTATTGCGGCCATCTGTGGAGTCGCTGGTATCCTGGTGACTTATTTCTTTGTGCCCGATCTGAAAGGAGAGGATCTCGCTCAGGAGGACGAGAAGTTCCGAGCGTATCTTGTGTCGAAGGGGTGGCATGGAGAGATGGGTGAGGATGATCTGAAAGCTTTGGCTAATGAAGGCGTACCGGAGGCAACGGTCGAGGACTTCAAGAGAGCCTGAGTCACTGAGGGTGCCAGATCGGTAACAAGGTTGCCCTGTTGGTATTCTTGGGGCAAGTTGGAGGTTGGCTGTATGATGTTCGATGCATCAGGACGCTCAAAAGTTTGTTTTGCAGCATGTAGCAAGCCTCAGCGACACCTGCCACCAGCCGCACAATCAGATCGGTTCGAGCGTCGCGCACGTATCAAGCGTAGGCAGTATCTTCTCCAGGAGCATTCACCGTTGTCCTTGTTAGTGTACAGTGACCGATACTGCCCTGACCTAAGCGATTCTTCACAACGCCCCATTGCAACGCCTTTCTGTAAGGCTGACTGTCATTGGGAGGAGGATGACAAGCAGCACTCAACACCAGACTGGAGTTTGCGCCAAAGGGTATGTTCTCAGGCGTCGATTTGAAGATGATGAACCCAAGACTGGCGATACCGAGGATGAGCGCCAACGCGGTTGTGAAGAGACTGGCTATCGAATAACCACATGCACAATTGGAAGTCATCAGGGAGCATGAATCTCATCGTATACTGTTGCCCTACAGTAAGTTGGGAAACCACCGAGTGGTACCTATTCACGGTAAGTATCTGTTGTAGTCATTGTGGATCAAGTCTTTGTCTTACATCATATGCAGGGAAAACGAACCCATTGCCAGTGCACACCAAAGCAACTTGTTCTTCAGCGTAGCATCCCGCTACTGAATCAATTTGTTCAACAACATGATCGGTAGTCATATAGTCGGCTTGCAATGTGCATCGCGACGACATGATTGTCGGAGAGCTCGAGTTCGAAGAGGAAACTCAGAAAGCGGAGCTATTAGTTTTGTATAGAAGAATCCCGGTTGTAGATTCTTACTGGAAATCGTCACAAGACCTCATTGGTCATAGGAGGTAGTCGTGACGAGCTCTTCTTCGTTGGAGTTGTTGTTAGATTAGAAACGGGAAAGACCGAAAGAGAGACGCCTCTACTAGGCTTGAACAATAAGACTGATCGGCGTGGAATCAACATCACCCACATAGCCCGACTCAGTGTCATCTGTCAAGGACAAAGGATTATGATCCGAGCTATCCACAACTGTTCTGAAGTCATCAGACCAAGTCAAGTGAAGCGCAACAGTACAATCCGCATTGAACATCGTAGCGCCAAACAAGGGGATACCCGCATCGCTAAACGTAATGGGGCTCGCGATGCTCGATTTTAGAGCAGGAAACTCGGGGCCATTCTCGTTGAGCCAGACGAGGGTGTTGTCGCTATCGAGGCAGAATCTTGCCGCTGATGCGTAGTCCGCGTTCATGTACATAGCGTAATTTTGAGATGCGGCGTAAAGTCCGTCGATGAGCGAGTCGCTGCTTGACGCCATGATGACGAAGCCAGAAGTGCCGTCGCAGGCTGTTGAGACAGGTGTGCAGACTGATGCCGTTGGGCTGTTGGTACTGGTGACACTGGCGGCAGTAGCTGAGCTAATCTCGGTTGCCGAAGCTGTGTCTGTGGCCGTAGGCAGATCGGAGTCATCGGTCGGGGCAATGCCGAATGTGGTGGTTGTGGAAGCACCAACTCCTACCGCGATACAAAGGAGACCATCACAACTCACAATGGTGGTTGTAATCTCGGGAACAAACGTGGAAGTACTGGTAGATGTGATTGCAGGTGGTGTCACGGGAGCTGGGCCGCCGCCATCGACGTTAGTACTGGTAGCGATGGTAGAAACAGAGGACGAAGAAGTTTGACTCGTCGACGAGACGACTAGAGTTGGAATTTCACTAATTGGCAAGCTGGCTTGAGTGGTCGGGACAACTCCGATGGTGGGTATAGAGATCGGTCTGCTTGAACTCGAGATTCTCGATGATGATGATGACGATGATGACGATGACAACAGAATCGTTGAGATTGAGCTGGACGTCTTTCTGCTCGAATCAGACAGAGAAGTGCCGCTGGAGGGAACTTGAGCGTGGAAGATGTCGCTACTCTCGAGTCTGTCAGAGTGATCTTGCTGGCACTTGGTGGAGGCCTCAAGCTAGCGGAAGCCAGTCGAGTGCTCGATGCCGCGTTTGCGGAGCTCGACGACTTGACACTAGAAGACTGAATCTTCGAGCTTGTTGAGACTGCCTTGGAGATCCCAGAAGATGAGGTTCTGACTGTTGACGATGATGTTTTGATGCTTGATGACGACTTTCTGATGCTCGACGAAGACTTCTTGGTGCTTGGTGACGACTTCTTGGTGCTCGAAGATGACTTTCTGGTGCTTGAAGATGATCGTGTGCTAGTCAGAGTGGACTCCTTGCTTGTCGATGGAACAGCCTTCCCCAAAGCGCAGTCGCAAAGAGTCCTCAATTCTTTAGCATTGTATGCTTTAAAGGGAGATGTTGTCCTAGGGCTGCGGTTTTGGTTAATACAACATTATCACAAGCGACAGAATAACATACTAAGCATTGAAAAATGTGCAAAATGCCACGGTTCAGTGAACCGGCGGCTGACTTCGGCTTCGCATGCAGCGGACGATTTACTTCTCGCATAGACATGACTTGCGGTTGACGCAGCTCTCTTATGCTTACTCGAGGCAGCTTTGGCGACTGGTGCAATGCACTTGCAGAGTGTATCGACTGCGTGGACGGTAAACTCTAGAAAGGGAGTCCTCGTTCGGGTGCTGCTTATAATTAGATTCGACCTTCGACGGATTAAGGACTGGAAGGATTCATGTCTATCTGGAAGATGGATAATCGATAAAGGCGAACGGTCTGAAGCTCTTTATCCAAAGGGTACACACAATGCATCGTTGATGAAAGGAACGAAAAGGTGAGGATCTGAAGTGCTCCAGAGCCTCAAATTTAGCCGGCATGGGGCTCTCCGGGAGTGTGCCGCTGCAACGGTTGAACTTCTAGACATCTCGGTCATCCCGACAGTTTCATCCATGTGACTCCTCCCTTCTATTCATTAGTAGTCCTATTCTTCCATAGTCGTTAGGGTTTCGTAACAGATCTCACAATTGCCGGCCAACAGAGTCAACAATATTAAACCAGAGAAGCAAGAACGAACAGTCAAGACTCGCAAAATCTTGTCCCGACAGACATCATGATAGCGGAGTCGCGTTCTGGAGACGGGGTGTGACTTCCGAAACCGGCGGTGCATCGTCCGAAGTCTCGTTGAGAGTAGCACCCTGTTCGACAAAGTCAGGTTATATCATGACCTTGATGGAATCGATAGCACATCTCCGAGTACACGCGCTGCTCCATCAGTGGTCGGTCTCATACTTGTCGTGTTCGTAAAGGCCACAGTGTGGATCGCTGTGGCTGAAGTTGATCAATCAACTGAGTTGTCGAGTTTGGTAAGTCGCACACCACGATCCCGGGGAACAACGGTGGTCTTTGACTGCAATGACAAATCAAGCATATAGAAAGTACATACGTATATATACCTCGAACAGCAAAGAATCACGCTCGTATCATAAGACAGTACAACCGAGATGGAAAGAAGGAAAAAAGAGTATAGTAGTAGTAAGACGACAGACAATATAGGTTAACCAAAGATTGCTCTGGTGGTGAGAAAGAAAGAAAAAGAAGAAAAATTTCAAGACACCCGCCGCGTTTCTTACCCAGAACACTCGCTGCTGTTTGCAACAACTGCCCTGCTCCATATGTTCCTCCTCTCTCTTGCAGTTCCATCTTCCTCTCTCTTTCCAAGCACGCCAGACTCCTCCAAATGGCCGTTGTCTGTTTTATCGTTTCGCATGTACGCTGGGATTGTGCTGTTGTTGTTTTGTGACTTGGGCCGTTTTCCATCTTCGAAAGGGTATTTTGAACAATAAAAGATTTTAAACAAGAAAGCCTGTGGCTGAAGGAAAATCAAGCCGCATCATCTGAATCTGGCCGAGCAACGCCCCATGACCTCGCCTTGACACACGAGTTCGGCATTGAATTCTGTGCCGTCGAGTGTGAGGTAAATGTCGAAGTAGACGCGGTAGAAGGTGCCTTGAGGTGTGTCCATGCGTTCGAAATCCTTCTCGAGGTTCTTGCGGCTCAGGTCGGAGGTGAGAGTGACGACTTCCTTGATGNNCCTGTTCCGGATAATCAGCTTGTGTCTTCCTGCGATATACTATAACAGCAACTTACGAGGATCCTTGGTATATTCCGGGCATACGTCCTCGTCGCAGGCGTACAAAACATCCTCGTACATGAGGGTAGCGCCAGGAGCGACTTGACGGAAGAATGAAACCTTGACCGGCTCGCCTGTCTTGACGCGCTGGCCCTTCTGCACGAAAATCTGGCGCGTGTACTTGCAACGGTCTTTGCCGTCCAAACTGGGCACACGGTATTGCTCGGGGTGGTGGCCTTCTTTGAAGGGTTGGAGTGTGGCCATGAGGTAATGTCTACGAGCGACACGAGATGTGACGACACGCTCGGTGATACCAGCAGTGACAGCACCCTTGACGATGGCGGCGACCGAGTCCATAGGTCGCACAACCTTGGACTGGAATTGCGGAGGTACGTGGAGCTTGATCTGCTGGAACAGGTATTCTGACGAACCGAAGCCACCGACGACGAGGACGTTCTGCNNGACGAGTTAGCTTGAGTTGGGATCAAAGTTTGGCGCATTGCTGACCTGTAGATGGCGGTTCTGAGCCTGGATAGCAATGATCTGGTTGCGGACAAGCTCGAGAATGCGATTCACGACAGGCTCGAAGCACTGCAAGATCTCCTCGTTGGTGAAAGTCATGTATCCTTCTTCGATGCCGGCCTCAGGGAATTCGGCCTCGATACCGACGTCGACAGCCCATTTCTGACCATTGTTGCGGAAATCGGCCTTGATTCTGTTTTCAAAGTCCATGATGCACTTTGCGTAGACACGGCCGGCGGTCTTTGAACCGTCGGGAAGCTTCATCTTACGAATCTTCGCCCTCAAAATGTTGGAGAAGTTGCGGTTCAATGCTGTTGAACCACAAGAGTCACCAGATCCAGCAGTACACTCGGCGACGGTAAAGGGATGCTCTTCTTCGACTTCGTATCTAGAGATTAATTACGGTTAGCATCCAGATGTAGTGCTTGTACTTGCAGGACTACCTAGATTCTAGAGTCAGAAAGGCAAGACTTACGCGATCAAATCTACGGTACCACCACCGCAATCCACGATCAGAACAGCGTCTTGAATCTTCAGGTTGAGCAGACCAGTCTTGGAACAGAACATGGCGGCGGCTTCGGGCTCGGTGACAAGAGTCAAGCGGTTGTCGTTCTCGTCGCGGAGGAAACCAGCTTGGATGGCGGCAGCACGGGTGGCTGCTTTACCGGCATCGTTCCAGATGGCCGGCACGGTCAAGAAGTAGCGAATGTTGCGCTCCTCACGGGTAAAGACTTCACCAAGCGTCTTCTGGAGGTAATTGCGCATGGCCTGACGTAGTTTGAAGAGGTAATCGGCGGCGACATCGATCTCGCTCTTGCCTGGGGGGNNAAGTGGAGGCAAGTTGATGGGATCAATGTATGTGTTTCCGCTCATCATCAGCTGGAGCTTGAACCACTCGACCTTTTGCACACCGGGCTTGGGGTAGCCAGTAGGTGCGAGTGCATCGGCAATGTCAGCGCCCCATCCTACCACTTGCTGGTGTTGGTCGTAGTAGAGCACTGTCGGAATCTGCACGCGAAACGGTTCAGCACTTCGTCCTTGTCTCGCCAATGCTGTTCAATGACCCACCTTTTGCTTTGTCTGAGTACCAGCACCGGGCCATTCGACGATAATGTCTTCTTTTGCTTCCGTGTTTGTCGCAAAGGCGAAGGCGACACCCGAGAATGTCGTACCCNNTGGAGCACAGTGTTAGAGTACAGTTGTGTTCGAAGAGCACGGGGCACTTACAAAATCAATACCGACAATGAGCTGGGCTTTGCTCCGCTGGTTACTGGCTTCAGATGCATATCCTCTGTTATAGGAATATTGACCGCCTACCATGGACTGCTGAGGCACATAACCTCCATACTGTTGCTGCGGCGGCGGTGCCTGCATGGGGTAGCCCGGGGGCCCCGAGACGGGTTGCTGGCCGTACATGTGTTGCGGCGCGTGGGGAGGGAGGTGGCCGTACGGGTTTTGGGTGTTGATCGGTGGGGGCGGCATTGGGCTCGTCGCGCGGCCGGCCATTTGCTGTTGCTGTTGCAATTGTTGCTGCTGCTGACCGGCCTGGTTGACATACTGGTACGACGGCGGGCGGCCCAGGGGCTGCGGGCCTGGCTGGGGAGAGCCGTGCTGCTGCGAGGGGTGCTGATGCGGGTTCATGGCGAGCGAGGTGGTCGAGGCGCTGGCCTGCTGCTGCTGAACGAGCGTGTTGGGGTTGGAGGCGGTCGAGTTGCGCTCGCTGGCGGGCTGCGGCGGCGATTGGGTCAAGTTGGGCACGGGCGACGCGGGACCCAGCGACGACGAATGGTTGTTGTTGTTGTTACTGGCGCTATTGTTGTGTGTCGAGAGCGAGTTGATGCTCGGGCTCTGGGTCAGGCTGTTTCCAGACGCTTTCCGTTTCGAGCCCACGAGGTTGCGGAAGCGCGAAGGCATCTGTCCTTGCACGCCGCTCACTTCATAAGCCCCGCGAGTAGAGGCAGACGGACACGCGCAAAAAGCAAGCAGAGGGCAGGGGCGAGGCGACGCGGTGGCAGGAGTTCGAATCGGCAAGGGCAGCAGGAAGGGGGGGAAGGAACGTGTGGTTGGTTCAGGATGCGACCAGAGTAGAGCAGACCAAAGCAGGTGCAGGCGCTTCGTAACTTTGGGGGACAAGTCGGTCGGGCCAAGGCACTTGACAACAGGTCCAGCAACGTCCGCCAATCTAACCGACTGAGTCTTAACAAGCCTTGCAGCTCTGCCTGTTTACTCTAGTACTTTGCAACAACTGCAAGCGCTGACTTGCTGCCTTACGACCTGCTTGCTGGAACATGCAGCCCCGAGCCTGCCAGAGAGGGGGTCCAAAACTCAGTCACCTTTTTCCTCCCCCCTGATCTCGAGACTGTTCCTATTCTGTGCGACAACCAAAAGAGAGAGGCCGAACATGGACATTGCGATGGTCCAACTCTATTGAACTCTTTCTCTGCCTACCTATCTCCTTTGCCTTGACGACTCATGTCCACAGATATCAGATCATTTGTGTGTGCTTTGCTCAGTTTGTCGAATTTGGTCAGTTGAACGGGGATGCCGCCCTCCCACAAGTGCGGGTCACCGCTTCTGGCGATGCTACGCGAACCACACCTAAACTCTGTTTTCTTTTCTGTCGCATCTCTTCCATTTGCTGCAGTACAAGCAGAAAATGTGATTGATTGCTCATTTACAAAGACTCAGAATCATCAGATGAGAGACTCTATATATCTCCTTTGGCCCTATCTCTGCTTGTTGTACCATCTCAACTGTCTCGATTGCGCGTGACCTGGTGTTCATTTCGATATTGTCCCATTCGAGTCAAAGGGCTGACTATAGTATCGCTGGCGCATGTCTAGAGCAAGTGAGGCGTAAGAAGCTCCGAGGCTGGATTGAAAAGCCAAAAACAATGTTTGTCCTTCTGTATTCTTGCTACTATCCAGAGAGATCAGCAACAGGGTTGTCCGTTTCGTCTTGTTTTCCATTCGGCTTCCCACAGATCTCAAGAAAGTGTATCTGAAACCGGCTCTTGCTTTGCCGCCTATAGCGACCCACAGATTCTGACATCTATCTCCTATCTCCATGACATCCTTGCAAACAAATCGAGCCTGCATCCTTGTGTTGTTCGGAGCGAGCTGTCAACTGTGGACCCCGATGGTGACCTGGTGCACCTTTGACTCCTTCTGGAAGTGCTCGCTCCTCCGCACTCCCGAAAAATATCCGTAGATCCAGACCCTGTGTCTTGCGAAGCTGCTCACTTCAGCTGGAGCAGAGCACAGCACCGGTGACAGTGTCACATGCGACAAGATCCAGCTTATCGTGCCGAAATATGGGTGTCGTCTTGTGAGGAGGTCCCGGAGGTCCTCAAAAATGTTTTCATTTTGATAGAGAGGGAAATCAGAAAACACAAAAGCTATCTCGCCCACTTCCTCTACTTGACCTTATTCCCATTGGCGCACCTTCTGCTTTGAAAAAACACCTGCCGTCCATAAACCCCATCGAGATCCTTGAACCCTAAGAACGCCGTGCAGAAAATGCGAATGAAAAGCTTGTCGCTGGAAGCTTGGAGGAAAGCGATAATTCTCATCTCGTTTTGGTGCACTGACTCTGGGCAGATATTGCTTAAGACATGCCAGTCGATCCTGTTTTTGTGTTTGTTAAGTACTTGCGATTTGCGCATCACACGCTGCTTTGCACAATTGAATTCCCTGGATGGCATCGCAATTGATGCGGTCGAGGAAGAGCAAAGGCAGCAAATCGCAACACAAACCTTGACCCCGAGGGCTCTTTTGTTTTTTTGTCCTTTTCTGTTTTGTCCTATCGTTGGAAGCCCAAACGAGCCATATGCAAGGCGAGAATCTGGGATCAACACCCTGTCAAGCGAAGCAGTCAGACTGTTCACCGAGCTCATCGACACTCAGTGTATGGCATATTGGCATCACCGTGGCGAGAGCAACCTGAATTAGAATAATGCTGTACCGTAGAAGGTGTTCAAGGCTTGCCACCATTGGGAGCATCCTGACTGTTCGTAGATCTGCGCTTAGATGCGTTTTGTGCATTGCCGTTTTCCTGCTAGTTAAATCTGCGTCAGTAGCCAAACACAAATAGAGATGAATTGACGAAGGAGAATGGAAAAGCTGCTCATGACATCCCGGCCGGCATGTTGTTCTGTCGACATCGTGGTTGCATACGTACGTCCAGGTTGGCTTCGCCGGCGTTTCGCTTCTTGGTGCCATTCGCGGCTTTGGCGGCCTTGGTCTTCTTTGCCTTGACAGGACGTTGCTCGCCTTCCTTGAAGACATCGTCGGGCAGATCGTAGCTTGGAATGAGTCAACTATTTGGGATGGAGGTATGGAAGCATAAAAGACCCACCTCTTTNACAACAATGACGCGGATCGAGTTGACATCTTCGTTGTACTGGGTCGCCTGAGTACATTGGTGCCTAAAGTCCTGTACTGGATGAGAAATGTCGAGAGATGTTGCTCCTNNATCTTATGTCAGCTTCATTGCAACGACAGGCCAAAGCCAAAAAAATATACCTGGAACCAGTTCAATTCCGACATAGTAGGTCGTGGTCCAGATGTTGGTCATGCCGTTTTCCTGCTCATCAGGCTTTTCGACCTTGGTGGCAGGCTCGTCGAGGTTGTCCAGAGAGGTTTGCTCAGCAGACAGCTGCTTGACATTCTGTGCCTCATCAACGGTCTCGGTCTTTGAGACTTGAAACTTGATACTGCCTTGCATGACCTGGTCCTTTTCTTCGTCATTCTTGACACGGTGGACGCGTTCGTAGCCTTTGGTGAAAGGGCGGGCGTAGGCGACATTGGGCTGAGACTGCTCGATACTGCCGATGAGTCTTCTGACCTTTGATTGGACCAAGCCTTTCCAATCGCCTTGAGCTTCTTCATTCAGACTGCCGGAAACAACACTGAGATAGTACTTGAAGTCCTTTGTGAAGAAGGTGTGACCTTCGAAGAGGTGCTTCCATTGCACGTTTGACTTGTCATCGATGATGTTGCAGCAGATTTCGTGGCCGCGTTCGAGTTCGCGGGTGATGACAGCCAGAGTGGACTTTGTGATGTTATGAGTGGCGCACATGGAAGGATAGGCTGGAGTGATGAGAGGCATGAGATGTCGCTGATCGCCAGGGTAAATCTTGGGGTTCCAGATCTTGGCGGTATGGTCGAGAGGACCGGACTCGATGGCCTTGAGCATGACGGGCATGGGCCACTGCCAGTTTCTCATGAGCTGGAAGAAGCGAGCAACAATCAACGAGCCGGAAGCGTGAGGGTAGAGCTGGGCGATGCGAGCAACCATGATGGCCCAAGCGATTCCTCCGGGGAAGCCGATGATGTTGCCGTAGATGGCGCGACGACTGGCCCAGAGCTTGATGCAGCGCAGGGCATGGCGGAAGGTCTTTTCCTGGGGCACCAGACGTAAGACGTCATCGGTGACTCTGGTTCCGTTGACAGAGCGCAAGTCTGCTTCGTCCAGGCCGCGCAGTAGACTGTTGTCTTCCAGGTCGAGGTTCGGTGGGATCGAGTTGAGCTGCAGACGAGCAAAGATCAGATCGATCTCAATGGCTTGGTAGACGAGTTTCATGATGGGGACGTGGGCTTCGGGCACGGCGGTACACTTTTCGATGGAGCCGGGCGGCGACATGGACTCGAGAATGGCGCGGAAGTGCTCGAAGAAGTCCTCGCGGGAAACATGCTTGGGCGCAACGACGAGCGTGTCGATATCAGAGCCTGGTNNGGTGGATGTGTCAGCGAGGAAGGACAGAGAGGGGGTGACAGGCAGGATACCTGGACTGTAGACACCAAGGCGATAACTGCCAAAGGTAAAGACCTTGCCGCCAGCATTCTGCAAGACGCTGTCGGAGAGACCCTTTGTCCGGCCGACATGCTTGACAAACTCGGTCGTGACCTTTTGGAAGGTGGCCAGGACAGCGACGCGCTTGTTGGTGTCTTCGGTGGCCTCAAAGCTTTTTTGTTCCTTGAGCTCGGCGAGAAGAGCTTCGCTCTGGGCGAGCTCCTTGTCGGTAGGGAAGGCGGTCGAGACGGGNGGAGTGACGCCCCATTGGCGAGGAGCGGCCATGTTTTTCTCAAGAGCGCAGAGCTCAGGCGCAGCGTGTTGGTGATGATAGAAGTCAGACTGCCCTCTCGAACATGCTGTGGCAGAGGAATCCTTGAGGGAAGCTGGTCGTCTGCTTGCTTCTCAGGGATGCGCGAGATTGGGCAAAAGAGCGGAGTCCAGGCTGTCGGTCCTTGTAGTCGGTTTGCACAAAACAGCGACACGAACCGGCACGCGATGGGAAGATGGCCGGATGCCGTGTTTGTTCACTTGAAACGCTTCACTGGACAGCGCCTCGTCATGGAGCACTTGCCCGCGCTTCGTCCGGCAAGCCCCGGCTCCTGCCGAAGACAGCCAGCAGCTTGCCCTCTCTTCTCGCAGCCAACACTCAACACTCAGTATTCGGTCATCTGCATACTTGAGGGTGCTTCCAAGTTGTTGACGCTTGGGACTTGGATTCTCAACAAGCCATCCACCTTTCTTGAAGAAGAACAACAAACAAGAACTCATCAGGTCTCAAGAGACTCGACATGCCCAACACATCTTCAAACAGGCTGCAGCCATGTCGTAGCCACGATAAACATCTCCTCGCATTGCTTCAATCTAACTTGCAGGGTATCTCCAAAGGCGCGCTCCGCCTCAAAACCAAATTGACCAAAACAGAGAGCTCTAATAAGCTCGACATCACATATTCGTGAAGACGGGAGCCTTGACAAGAATCCCGCGCTCTCGAACGTGAGCTGCAATACCGACTGCCAGCCGCACACGATCCTCTTTGCCAGCCAGACTGGTGCTGCTGCCGCCGTTCAATTTTCCCTGTGCCGGATGGCCCTTCTTATGCCCTGTCAGAGCACTAAGCATGTTGCGTCTGCGCGAGTTCAGCTCACTCGATGCTCGGTCGTTGGTTTCGGCCAATTCGCTGTGCACGCTGCCTCGCTCGGCCTTCTCGTCCGCGATCGAAGTCGTCAAGGCTGGAATACCCGACTCGATCTTCATCATGTCAATGTTCAAGGCAGTTCCCGGAGGGAAATACTCGATCGTGACATCGCGACTCTCCTGTGGTAGATGGCCCAGCATTGCAACTGCGAGTTCACAGATCATGTTTGCTCCGCCCTCAAGGTCAGACATGGGAGGGTTGTCGAGGTGCGCCTCCAAAGCGGTACGAAGCTGCGTCTTGAGCAAGTCGGTCATGTGGGCGCGGTGATTTTGAGCCTCGGGAAGTCGCAAGATGTCCTGCATAGCCTCGAGCGTGGTTAGTCGCCAGTTGACAACCTTGGACGTAAGGTACTCTTCATCTTCGTGGACAGAAGCGGGTGGGGCGAAGAGACGGATGTTGTTCTGCATTTGTTTCAATTGCGTCGAGAGGGCTAGGTCGAGGTCCGGGTGGAAGTAGCGGTCAAAGACGTCTTCAACCAGCCATTTCGAAATAAAAGCGCGTCCCACTGCCGTCATCTCTTGCTTGCCAATGGTTATAGCATCCTTGTTGACAGCAGGAGTAAGCCAGTTCGGCACCGACTTCCAGCTCTTCCTAATGCTGAAGGACAATTGTGCGATCAGGCCATCCAGGCGGTTGAAGCGGGTCGCGTACTCGCCGTCGTCGAGAGAAGTGCGTGATTGGGCGATTCTTTGGTGAGCGAGACTGTTTTGCAGCTGCTTGACTTGGTCCTCTTTTTCGAAATAGTACTTTTTGACCTTTTGGTATTTCTCNGCCTAGAGTGGCCTGTGGTTAGCATGAATGCAGAGGTATAGAGGGATGTAGCGTGCAGAAGGATGCAGCGCTCGAGGCATGTTGGGCGGCTTACGGAGTTCCTTGTGGTCGTTGAGCAATTGTCGAATCTGGTCCTCGGTCAAGTCCTCGGCCTGGGGCTGGGGCGTCGAGCGACCGACGTCCTTGGATTGCTGTGGTTGTTGCTGCGACAGAATGGAGGGTTCTCTTTGGGTGGGAGCGGTGCTCTGAGACGAGGCCATTGAGGGCTGGCGCGGGGGCTGCTTGTTTAGCGAGGTCGTGGTCGCGAGGTGGATTGGCCCGTCGTCGTGCAGTTTTGCGAGATTGCGCAGTGGTTGGTATTGCGGCTGCTGCGGAGTGTCGTGACGGAATTGCGAGTGCGAGTGGGCGTGCGGCGAGGCCGAGGACGACGAGGGCGTTGTAGCAGTCGAATTCGGGACGCTGGGGATGACCTGGGCAGGAATGCGGGTGGGCAGCGGCTGGTCAGAGATGGAGTGGTCCGGGAGGGATTGCTGGCGTTGTGGCGGATGCTGCTGTTGCTGCGGCGGGACTTGTTGGGCCTGTTGGTGGTGAAATTCGGCGTGCTGCAAAGACGACGATTTCGAGTGTTGGGCGTGGGCGTGTTGCGACGACAGCGAAGCTTGACGCTGCTCGCGGAAACCCTGTTCGGTGTTTAGCCGCTGCAACCTTCGTTGCATGAAGCGGTCCAGCGGCGCCCCCGAGTCCGACGATACCGACTCTGCTCCGTTGATGCTCATGGCGCTCGATCCTAGATCAGACTGTTGCTGCTGCTGCTGCTGCTGCGATTGCGAGTCTGGTACCAAGTGCCCCGGACTCCAGATGGCTGACAGGCTGTTTCGACCAACTACACCGTCACCCTCTGTATACTCGTAGATACTCGATGACCGCGAAGCCGAGTCAAAAGTCTCGCCTTGCGGTGAATAAGTAGCAGGACGTGGTGCAAAGTGCTCCGGAGTGGATGATCTCTGTTCGTAAAGTGTCAGTCGTCACAACATGTTCTGCGGCCTGCTTTCATACTGGATGCTGTGCCTCTGTCGTGTCGTACAACGGCTGGGCGGGCTGGTAGTATGAGTGTCGCTTGGGCACTGGGTCGCTTGTCGCTTCNTGATGTCGTGTCAGCCATGAACTCTCAACCAAATCTGATAGGAATTCACCCTGATGAGATGTGCCCGACACGGTAGAGAAGCGTTGGCTGCGGACTCTGGACAAAAACCCAGGTCGACGAGAGGGTGGGTTCGCAGGCACCTTCTCAGGTTGTAGTTCTGTAGACATGGCTAGTCATTAGCTCAAGTCATTTCTCCTCGTCCAATCCTGCTGTTATATCCCCATGCTCGTCATCCTTTTATAGCATCAAACAGCACGACACGCAGCCAGGATACGTACCGGGNNCGAAGCCTGCGGCGACAGGCTGTGACCTTCAAAGGACTGCTGGGACTTGCGGTTCGACCTTTTCTGCCAATGCAGTTTGGATAGCATTTGAATAGTCTGCTCCACCCTCGAGAGGGCTGCTGGTTGCTGAATGAGCCGATGGTCTGGAGCGCACGCGCCGAGATGAGCAGATCGAGGGGTTACTGGCACGCTGCAGCTCCACGGGCCCAGGAAAAGCTAGCCTATCTGTGTGGACACCAACAAAGACAGAGCCTTCTCCTGTTACAGAAAACCCGCTGATTCGACTACAGGTCGATCTCCCTTTCGACTCGAAAATGGAAATTCTCGGCACGCCCTCTAATCTTGATCCAAAAGCACTCATCAAGTACACTCTACCGTCAGGCCGGACGCGTCTTACAGCATCCTTGAAGATAAAGTGCCTGATGACTTCTACAAGCTGACATTTACCTTTTGCGGCTGCGAATTGCTCCGCTTGGCACGACAAAGACTAGCCATTTCGTCTCTCTCCGAGCACGTAATCTTCCTTACTGGCTCACACAACCGGTCTGGCCTCTGCGCTTGACTTGTATCCATGCACTCCTGCTGCAGGGCGTTCCTCCGTCGTCATGGTCAATCCCGTTTCTCTGCTTTTCATGCCTCTTATTCGCTTGCTCGAGCATCCTCAGATGCCCATCTTCGGCAGAGATATAACTCGTCCGACGCCCGTGTTCCGCTGGAATGAAGATGTACATTATTTGCGGCCTGTAGACAGCTTCACACAGAGTCAGATCCACATCTCGCTCACTCTCGCTCACCACCTATTCAGCCCGTTCGACCCAGAATGGTAAAGTCTTGCTCGTCCCAATCTGCGACTACCATCTTGTGCAAAAACCTTGTCCCTAATTATAGACCAAGCAATTTACCGTTAAAAATAAGTTTGGAGTTTGTCCCGCTCGTGGGGGAAACTGCCTACCTGGTACTCGTCAAAATTCTCCGGCTTTGACGACCCTCCTTGCAACGGTATTCTCAGGTTCAGTGCCTTTCATATGCTAATGCGAGAAGCTGCTTTTGTCTGCCTTCGATGCTGTGATGGCGGCCGTTTTTTCTGACACTCGTCTTTTTAACTGTTATCGGATCTTGTTCCCCAAAGATCCACATGATCCGACGGAAGAAGATCGACATAGCCATGGATGCCGGAGTCCAGCTAAAGGGTCATCATCCGCCTGCAACTTATTCTTGTCCGACCACTGTTTGATCTCTGACGTCCATGCCAGTCCTATTGATATATCCACGTGCAGCAATATAGTGGAAACGCAGACACCTTTAATAGTCCAGGCCGAGTATGAGCATCAGGGCAGAACTGTCGCTTAACATGTTGGACTCAGTTATGCTGCACTATTCTCACAAAGCACTCACAGGCACAAGCTTTAATCAGTCTTCGGCTCGGACCATACCACATTTCCGAAACACTAGCCCATATCCACCGACGAAACCTGTAACACCCCGCAAACTCCCAGACAGCATCTGAGCAACGGCCGTCGAACAGTCGCGCAAGTTCAGACCGATACCCACCTCCTGGAACACAAGTCTTCTGTCGACCTGGACACAAGCTGGAAGACCATCGCAATACACTCGAATCTGCGCAACAATGTGCTCACCGACATCACTTTCCTCAGGCTCGGCATGAACTCGCCCGCCAAGAAAAAGTTGAAACCACATAGCTCGTCTATGATAGCATCGACAAAAGGGAAAGACCCATGCAAACAACAGCGGCAGGATCTACAACTGTGACCCCTGAGCTACTAACCAAAGAGGTAATCGTGCCTGAGGATGCTCGCTTTTGTCTTCCCCAACGGCATGCCCTTACAGCGTATACCCGACAATGGGATAACGTGGCAACTAAACAAGGCAGCGAAACCCTCTCGCCTGATGGATCGTGCGCAGTTGGCGTGCTTCATGCTTCGGGTTTCCTTATGGTTCGTCGCCTGGGCAAGGCATCGGCATCCTGGGGTTTCACTTGGCTCGTTTTGTAACAGCATCTATAAGTTTGTCAATCCACACCCTTACTTACTGTGCTTCATTCCTCTTGCTTGATCATCTTCTGCGACATCTCAATACTAATTCCTTTGCGACCTCTCTTCCTGCAACGCGATCATAGCAAATCAGAAAATCATAATGTTCACTCTTGGTCAGTTACTGGGCGCTCTTGCAGCTGTTGCTGTTGCTCCTTTTGCTTCTGCCGCTCCCATCACCACAGTCTCGCGTATTGGTGCTTCATCCAATGGCATGGATATCTTGGACTTGCAAGTCCATGCAGCAATGTCGCAACAGAACTTGTCGGACAACACAACCATGATCTTTGTGGTGGACACGCACACTTCGAAAATCACCTGTAGCGGTTCATGGGCACCTGAAGGACCATTCCCTGAAGGCGAATACGTAAGTCTCCTCGCCAGAACTACACTGCAGAAACAACATGCTGACCTTGACACTCTAGATGCCGNNTGTGGAAACAGCACTCTGGGCTGGAACTTCAAGCAAGACACTTACAAGGGCATGAACGACTTTGTCCTGCAGATGGAATACACCTACACCGATGACTCGTAAGCCCTCCATCCCTCTCCAAAGTTATTTTCAGCTGACTTTACCTCAAGTGTCGGTCCCTACCCCTACAACAGAGTCACCGAGTTCAGCCACGCAAACATTACATCAGACATCCTCGACTGCGCAGTGAAAACACAGACCTGCAAACAGTGCGACCATAACATCACCGCCATCGTTTATGCTGAAATTGCCTAAATGTCCTTGTCCTCACAAACTCCATTTGAGATGGGTCAAGCCGCGGCCCGGATGCTGCAAAACCAAAACACTCTTCTTCTCAAAAGCGCAGGTCTTTTTTTCGCTTTGGCTGGCCATAACATTATTTTTTACATGTATATAGAGGTCCTTGTCACGATACCAAGAACAACTTTTTCCTAGTCCACTGGCTCAGGACACTTTCTCCAACATTTGTTTATCGTGTGTTTGTACACCGTCTGACGGGGTTGGAGTTACACCAGAGACCGAGTGACGCATGGTGCGACGTTTGGGTCTCGTATCTGAAACTTGACGATATCCCGATGCAGATGGCGAGTTACTATTTGGCATGAGATAGAAAGCAGCCTTAGAGGTCTATTGACCACATCAGAGGAACGTTCTGCTGTTCACTACGCAAGCGAAGCAGTTGTGGTAATACATAAGGGTGATCTTTGAAAAGATGGTCCTGCCATATTTAGAAATTGTAAAAGTGACAAACTCAAGGAAGAAGGAAGAAAGATGTGCAACTCCTTTCGCCGATCCATCACTCACCACCTCTTACCGAGTATCACTCATCTCACAGCCGTTAGCTTGACCATCAACGGTCTCTTGTCCCAGAGGATAAGAACCTTCTGCTTTGCCCAGCCTTTGCTCGCCTCCTCCAAACTCAAGTCGAAATTGAACAGCACCATTGTCAACAGCAGACGCATCTCAAAATAAGCCAGATTCTTGCCAAGACAATTCCTAGGTCCAAGGCTGAATGGTTGTAGTGCAGCGATATTGTCGGTCGCGTACTCTGGATCCCCTAAGAAGCGTTCAGGGACAAAGTTGGTAGGATTGCGAAAGTTGGTGGTGCTTTGATAGGTGGCCCAAGAGTTGACCGAAACGGTGACATTGCCTGGTACAAACTTGCCAGCGATCATGGCGCCCTCTTCGGGCACTTTGCGTGGCAATCCGGCAGGTACGGGTGGGTACATGCGTAGACCTTCTTCAACACACGCTCTGAGATATGGTAATCTCGCCAGCTCATCGACAGTGATGTCAGTTTCCAAAGTGAAGGCACCACGTATCTCTGCCACCAGCTTCGCCAGCTTGTCTGGATTGATCAAGAGATAATACGTCAGACCCGAGAGCAGCGTCGCAGTCGTTTCCGTGCCCGCAATCATGAAGACGGTGGCGTTGGTATGCATCTCGCGAAGCGACATGCCAGCTGTAGCGTCCCCCAGCCCATCGTCCGATCGTCTCAAGACCTCTGTCCAGATATCCGGTTGGCCAGGGTCACGAGCTAATCGGCGGTCTACTCGATCAGCGGACCACTTTTCGTTCTGTCTCTGTTTGCGGCGCACGGATTCTGGTGTTAGTTTTGGGAGAAGCCATGGCATGAAAGGGAGCTGTCTTATCGCTATCAGTTTGGAAATGACCTTCATGCTGCCGAAGATTAGTTTGACCCAAGGCGCGTACCTGAAGAGATTGTCAGTCTTCTTTAGAGCGCGATGAAGGATGCTAGCTTACTCGGATTTCTCCAGCATATATAGTGGTTCACCAAAGCTATGTTTGTCAACCCCTGGCCATCAATTGCTTCAATATACGGTAACGTACGTGAGATCTGACATGACATCGAACCTGCAGCCATCAGTCGGTGATCGTCGCTGAATCGTGTCGACTTACGTGGTAAAACTGTAATAGGAGACCATGTCGACTGCCTTGTTAGCAGCAGCGACTTCTTTCAACTTCGTTACCATCACACCAGCCCATCGCTTGAGCAAAGGCTCTTGGTCGTGTAATGCCTGAAACCCACTCAGTATGGGGCCTCCTTGAGAGCTAGAAGTATCTGCCAGGAGAAGCACATCGCCATCACGAACCTTGTCAGAAGAGCTGTTTGCCAGGATTTGGCGCTGTCGAGTGTGGTTGGGGTCGTCAGCAATACCGATGTGCCTGGCTGCTTTGGGATCTGTAATGTAGAAATTGTCGTCTTTCTCAAAAGTTTTGGTTTTGCCACCAGTCCTGCGACCATAAATGACCTTCCAGGCAGCAGCATCATTGAAACTGAGTTCGCGGGAAGCAGTCCTCACAGCGGGACCATACTGTTCGTGCAGCTTTTGTATGGTTTGGGCCTCGGAGCCTGTCCAAATCATGATTGCCTTGGGTACATTCGACGCTGCCCACAACTTTGGACCTGGGATGTGAGACAGTGGGCCGAAGAAGACATCCCATGCTACAAATGCGACATAGAGAGCAAGACACTGAGGCTATCAGATTGCAGCGGCAGAGAATGCCTCGGGGTCGCGTACCGTGAAGAGTAAGCTTGTAAATGTAAGGTCGGAGGCATGAGGTATGCGGAGCCATGAGCTGTCTCCCATGGTAAGCAGAACTGAACCTTGTTTGACAGACATGTTGCGACAGCGACATATGTCGATGATATGGATGAGCAGCCTTGTCCTTTATAGTCAAATGTTGTTATGTGGATGCCTTGGATTGTCACTGCATGCAGGGCCGTGGAAAGGTGGACAGACACCAGAGTTGTGTACAACTCCAAGGACCAGGATGCAGCGGAATTCCTGCGTCTGTCGTTGGTTGGCTCGGATCCCGTATGCTGATGCATGACCTTGAGCGGGATAATCATGCAGCCTCGAGGACGTTCGGGTTTGCAGTCCGGAATCCTACATAGTCTACGTATCGCTATCACACTGGATGATAAAGACTGGGTACTCATAGTTCATACCAAGTCTTGCGACCAGCCTCTCCTGCATCTTGGTCTGGTTGTTGATGCTGACTGGCTTGATGAAAGGAAGGTCGTTGGTCGGGTAGTGACAGCCCAGAATTTTGTGCCGTGTGCGCGGTTTCTCGCCCATCCTTCTCTGCCCAAAGCTGTCATCGGCGAAACCGGTCAACCCCTCTCACGCTGCATGGTCGCCATGTAACTTGCTCAACGACTGGAGGTCACCTGCATCTTTAACTAGAGACTTGCGAATGCTTCGAGTTTTACTCCAGTTCATGGATCTTGCCCGGCCCAACTGCCGTGTTCTGCTTCTCCTGTTGATCACCCCGCGTACGAAGCTCCAAGCTCTCCCCAGATCAGGACTGCCGCCTCCATGATCTGCACTTCATCGTGAGCTGTTCAACACGAAACGTATTTGGCGAGCACTCTGAACAGGCGCAGCTAACTCTAGCGAAGGCGGTATGCGGTTGACAGTCAACCATTTGCCGACGGCGACATCATGCAGTCTAGCTCGCGTTGTTTCGTCTCTAAGTCTACGTGTCCACCCTGATCCTCCAACTTGACCTCCAGCACACGTTTCGAGTTCCAACCGAGTGACAATGCTATCGCAAACCCTCGGACTAGTTGTCCTCGCTCTCCCTCTGCTGGCCGAAGCGAGGGACTGCTCAAAAGCAGCCTTCCAAAAGCTCATTCCGTCCAACTCAACCTTCAACTATGTCACAAAAGTCGCAGAAGGCGGAACGTTCACGGATGTTTATGCCAACGCCAATGCTACTGGTCTGCCCGAAGGATGTGCTGTGAGCGTCAAGGTCCCTACGCCCGGCAACTCATCTTACAACATGGCCATTTACTTGCCCAACAAATGGAACTCTCGCATCATCACGACTGGAAACGGTGGTTACGGCGGATTCACCAACTGGCAAGATCTCGGTGTCTATTCGCACTACGGCTTCTCCGCCATCACTACTGTGGGTTTATACACGGTGTTTTATCTGTAGTGTGTGACTAACATCCAGTCAGNNGACACGGGTCACGACAATCCCAACCCTTTGGACTCGACCTTTGCTCTCAATAAGGGTTCGCTCGAGAACTGGGGTTGGCGTGCCATGCATGGTTCAGTATTGATCGGAAAGGCCTTGTCTGCTGCGTACTATGGTGAAAGTCACAAGTACTCCTACTACTCTGGATGCTCGACAGGAGGTCGTCAGGGTCTGAAGGAGATGCAGGTGTCGCCAGAAGCATTCGACGGTCTCTTTGTAGGAGCACCAGCTTGGTGGATTCCGCACTTGGGCATCTACACCAGTCAGGCAACTCTGGGCAACCTTCCTCAGAACTCCTCACACCACATTTCTGCTGCATTGGCCAACATCATCAATGACGAAATTCTCAAGCAGTGCGATTCTCAAGACGGAGTGACTGACAATGTTATTATGAACTCCGAAGGCTGTGTCTTCAACCCTCTGACTCTGCTCTGTCAGGGATCATCAAACACCTCTGCTTGCATTACTTGTCCCCAACTTGACACTTTGTACAAGGCCCTGCACGACTGGACATACTTCGACGGCACCTTGATCTTCCCTGCACCTAGCTTGGGTACCCCCATTTCGGCCTATATTGGAGACTCACCCATTCCAAACCCCATGGGAACTGGAATGATCGACCACACGTTGCTGAACACCACCGAGCCCTACGATTGGAGCACTTTCAACGAGAGCGTAGTTCGTCTCGCCGAAGCCATCGACCCCGGTAATGCCACTCCAGACGACTACGACTTGTCGGCCTTCCAGAAGAGAGGCGGCAAAGTTATCCATTGGCATGGTGAAGCCGATCCTGTAATACCTTTCAGATCAAGCACATACTTTTACAGCCAAGTGGCCTCTTCCGTTGCCCCTCACGGCATCGAGATGGACGACTTCTACAAGTTCTTCCCAATCGCCGGCATGAGCCATTGTTCCGGCAGCCAGTATTCGCCCTGGTATATCGCTGGTGCTAGCCAAGGTTTGACCAATGTCAGCCACGGCGTTCCTGGCTTTGAGGACTCGCAGCACAATGGTTTGCTTGCGTTGATGCGCTGGGTTGAGAACGGCACTACTCCGGAGAAGTTGGTCGCAACCAAGTTCAACGACGACAACCCTGCAAAAGGTGTTTACCGTCAAAGACCGCTCTGTCCCTTCCCCAGTCAGCCAGTTTACACTCATGGAAGAGTGGACTCCGCAAGCAGCTGGAGATGCTCGTGAACAGCGTCGTGATTCCAAAGCTTACTTATCAGAATCCAGGCTGTACAATATAGATACACAAGTGTTGAGATAAGTTCGTAAATGTTGAAACTCTGTTCGACCATAAACGCCCGTACAATATGCGCTTTCGTCCAGTCCAAGATACTTGGGTAGTCCTCAGTGGCTCCTCGGGTATATTCCGGGACTCAAATCGATGGCGAGCTCTCGCATCATACGGGATTCAAGGACCCCAAGACTATATTGACGAACCAGAGGAACAAACGCAATCGATCTTTATCGTTGAGAGAATTGCGAGCTTTTGCATCATGACAATGTTGCCGGCTCCCAACGTAGTGAAAGGTTTGGTGGTGTCTCCTTACAAATCGTTTCGTATATGACCATGGTTGTGGAACGTCCTTGTGTAGATGCATTACTTTGATTGCTTACTTACTGAGATATGTCTACAAACGAAAAAGGCTCTGGTGTCTTGGCAGCTCAACTTCCAGATAGCCCAAGTGATGATGGCTCCTCGAGGGCTGTCCGCAAGCGTAAGTGATCATCTTTCCTCGAAACAGATATGACCGCGAGCATGACTGTCTCGTCCACCATATCGGGTGCGGGACACGTCCTAGAATATCTCTGCTTGCTTGGGTCCCTTCTGTGTAGCGCATGTAGATGCTCATGACCCCTCAGAGCGAAGCCCTATCTTGCGTGTCGCCTTTGCTGACCAGATTTTGTATAGCAACATGGTACCGTTCCACCTTCTGGAATGCATTTATCCTAGGTATTTGCAACTTCCTGGCTCCCGGTATTTGGGGTGCCATGAATTCACTCGGTGGTGGCGGGCAACAATCACCAACACTTGTAAACACAGCCAACGCCTTGACCTTCTGCCTCATGGTATTGACTTGCTTCTTCTCATCTGTCATTGTCCGCTGGGTGGGCATCAAATGGGCTCTCATCATCGGCACATTGGGGTACTGTCCTTATGCAGCTGGCCTATACGTCAACAACCGCTACGGTGACGGCTGGTTCGTTCTGTTCGGTGCAGCACTCTGCGGTCTATCGGCTGGCATTTTCTGGTCTGTCGAAGCTGCCATTGCACTGGCCTATCCCGAACCTCACAACCAAGGCCGGTTTTTGGGATTCTGGCTGAGTTTTCGTCTTGGTGGGCAGATCCTTGGTGGAGCCATCAACCTCGGGGTTAATGTTCATAACAACAAGGCTGGCTCTGTGTCGTACCATGTCTTTGAGGCGTTCATCGCACTCCAAGCTTTAGCGCCTTTTGCTGGCTTGTTGCTGAGTCCGCCCGAGAAGGTTCAAAGGACCGACGGCCTGCCCGTTCGTTTGAGCATTGGCAACAGCATTACTCACGAGCTCAAGGAAATGACCAAGTTGTTCTTCAGCAAACGTTTCCTTCTCGTCGTACCACTGATCGCGCAAGCCGTCTATGCGGAAGCCGTCTTCTTCACCTTCCAGGGCTTGTGGTTTAGTGTCCGCGCTCGCGCGCTGGGCTCTTTTCTCTCTGGCATTGTTGCCGTCACCATGGGCAATTTCCTCGGCAAGTTTCTCGATTCCACTAAGTCCAGTCTCAAGGCTCGCTCTCGTGGTGCCTTTGCAACAATCTTAGGTCTTCAAGGTGCTTGGTGGATCTGGGCGACGGTCCTGGTCACTGAATTCGACAAGACCAATCCTACTTACGACTGGGTTGATTCAGGGTTTGGAAAAGGCTTCGCGTTGTTCTTGTTCTGGGTCGCTGGATTTCAACTCAACTACCTGTTCCTGTAAGTCTTGCTGCCATGTTGGTGCGGTGTCTGTGTCTGTCTGTACAAAGCACGCACCATCAGCGAGATGAGCTCTCGACATGTAAGTCTCAAAGCTAACTTATCGCGCAGCTACTTTGTCGTCGGCAACCTCGCCGAGTCCCAAGAAGAGTTGATCCGCATCTGCAGTCTGCTCCGTGGCACAGAATCCGCTGTCCAAGCCGTCAGTGTAAGTCCTCAGAGCTCTCGTCTATACTGGCCTAAGCAAAACTCGATCCTGACTGCGTGAACAGNNTATGGTCTAGGTAGTGTCTCCGTCATGGCGCGAACCGGAAACATCTACCTCAACTTTGGCCTCTGGGGTCTATCGTTGCTGCCGGCTTGGCTCGTGGTTTCGGAAGTTGGGGTCTCATTGGGGGACAACAAGGTTGCCAGGGAAGAAAAGTTGCAGGAAGGCGGCCTCTGAGGGTCTTCGACCAGGAATCCAGAGATTCAACGAGCGGGCCAATGTGTATTCATTGAAAGTCGGATTACATCCATTGCACAGAGTCAGGAAGTGGAAGTGATTGGACTGTATGCGTTCGTAGATATATACGTTGATATGCATCTGACAATCATAAGACCCCTTCAATGATTATCCAGCGATCAGACGTCGGCAATGGGTAATGGTGGAGGCCGCGCCAGAGGTCTGTTCAACCTCCCGATCTGCTATGCACCTGATGGCGAAGCCATCACTTCGATCAACAGCAAAGAAGAGCTCAACTACACCCGCATGTGTTCTAACTTCGATCCGGCATCTGAGCTGGTTGACAATGGCGATGGGGACAATGACAAGCAAGAGTCCCAGGACAAAAACCTGTTAAAGAGAAACAGCGATAGCGGCGGTAGCAACTTTTGGACTGGTGACGTTGACACTACGCGGGACTTCCTGCTAAGCTCTGGCATGTACCAATCCGGAGACTTTTGGCAAGTCTGCAAGCGCAACAAGAGCAAGTGGAGATTCTGGCAGTGTCATGGCAACAGATGCGATGTCGACAAGGGTCAAACATGGTCGTGGCCTAAGGGCGGCGCCAATGGCAAAGACGAATCTGCTGATACAAAAGACGAAGACGAAGAAGAGAGCAGCAATGCCCAAGACGTCCAGGAGAAGATCGATGATGCCACGACCACCATTCAAGACGATCAAGCCAGCCAATCCTACTAAGCTTTCCAACTCAACCACGCCAACCAAGCTGGCATTCTCGATAAAATAAAGGGAGTCGTCCAAAAAATCTGGAGGATCGTAACAGATCCAATCAAAGAAGGCATCAGAAGGATCAAGGGTGAGCCGGACAAGCATGCCGAAGACGGTGTTGGCGACGTCGCCATGCATCCATTCCAAGGTTGTGTCAGCAATCCTCACACTGTCCTCGGTTGGGAGAAAGCCAATAACGATGGACACCATCAAAACAAAGGCTGCGGTGGCGGTGGCGGCGGCAGGACCAGATTCAACCAAGGCTTGGATGCCAGTGCCATCGAGTTGATCAATGGCTGGACGGCAGCAGCGGCCAATGGATCTGACTCAGATGAATCGGCTCATATGATGGAGACTGATGTTGGAGGGTTCATCGAGACGTCAGATGACTAGGTTGATGGCGAAGACTGAGCACTGAAAGCTTGACCCAAGGCATTGAACCGTTTAGAGTCGACAGTAGGTGGTGATGCAGATTGATTAAGCTGACGTGGGCCGAGATTTGGTGGGAGCAATTAACTGGAGAGGATGGCGGTCTGGCAGTCTGGTATTCTGTTCATCTTCTTGCCTTTGCAACGTCTGATATCTCGTTTGCTGCGGATGAGGAAATACAAAAAAGAAAGGAAAAAGAAAAAGAAAAAGAAAAAGAAAAACAGGCGAAAGCAAAAGGCTCCATCTCTTTCTCTCTTTCTCCCTTTCAGAGCATATGGAAGTTCAATCAAGTCAACAATGAAACACTCATTTACACCATGGTGAAGTGAACTGGGTCATCCGAGAGTACGACGCTCACAGCGATGATGAACTGCTCTGACCTTTTAGGAACAGCCCGGTTGCCTGTTTCGAGCATTGAGTGTCGGTGGTAAGCCTTTACCAAGGGTGAGTAGTTTAGCGTTCGAATTCTTTGTGCATTCTGCAATGTCAAAGGGGTCGCTCAACTGAAGCTAATTGAACAATTGGCTTGATCACCAACCCAGACTCGTCTGAAAGCGTGTAAAAGCTTGAGAGATGACAAAGTACACGAAACCTGCTTTGGGTTCAGCCAATGCCATGAGTATCGAACCACAGGGTTAATGTACAAGTAGAAACAACAAGAAAAGTCTAGTGGTTGATATAGCCGGCCAGCAGCTCGAAACAAGTCTTCTACATACCATGACCCTCCCTCGTGTTCTTCCAATCCCTGTTGAAGTTGTCCCAGCCACCGGGCGGGNNGGCATCCCACATGGCCAGCTCCCTAACGACAAACTCATATGTGCCGTCCTTGGGCATGACGCCCTGACACACGTTGCCGCCCACAGCGATGTTGATGAGGATTCTGAAGTCTTTCATCGGTCTGGTTCCTTGGGGTTTGTTGGCCTTCATGACAGGACGTCCATCAATATACCACACCATTCTGCCGTTGCCGGTGTTCTCATCTTCATCCCAGGCAAAGTCAAACCTCACACCTTGAGGAGAATCGATGGAAGGGATTGGTGTTTCCACAACGCGGTGTTTATCGTGGTCGGGTCCGTTGAAGTGGCCCCAGTGCATACAAGTGTGGTTTGTCTTGTCTCCATTCCACGCTTCTGCAATATCTATTTCTCCATCGGTGGGCCAGGTGAATGGGTCCTTGGGCAGCAACCAAAACGCAGGCCAGATGCCGGGTGCCATGGGAGCAGTGATGCGCGCAGACAAGCTTCCCCTACAGCGGTCCAACGTCTGATGTGACGACAACCTTGCAGAAGTAAACTTTCTGTCGTCTTGGGGGTGTGCGTGGTTGATGATTGCGTGAACGACTATGGCGCCATCGGGGGTGTGGAAGGAGTTTGCGTTGTCGTCGACGTAGTTTTGAGATTCGTTGTTGCCCCAGCCCCAGTTTCCTTGCTCGTGGTGGAAGTGCGCTGACACGGGGACGTGAGGTTGGCATTGGGGCTGCCAGTATGGTGAAGCTGCGGGTGCTGGTGCTGCGTTGTGAGATGGCTTGCTGGCCCAGGGTATCGGAGGAGCATTGCCGTTCATGGCCTGCTGTGCCTTGTTCTGAAGGTCTTTGAACGAGTCGCGGAAGCCCATTGCGTTTGGTGTTCTGCTCCTGCTCTTGTCTTTCGAATGTTGAGTCTCTGGCGGTTGCGAGAGCGGTGGCCTTGACGGTAATGGACAATAGCTGAGGAGTTGATCGTCTTCTAGGAATGAGGAAGAGGTTGAGGTAACAGCTGTCGACCTACCTGAGCTGTCAAGGGCTTCTTATTATATCCTCGAGCCCGGTTGTTCTTGCTCCGGGTCTGCCTTGGCCTTGGAAGTTGGCGGTCTGCCCTGCCCGCAAGCCGCGTCATGCCGCGCTTGAAGCGTGTGACGTTGGTTTCCACACATGCTTTATATACGGTTTTGATTGACCCTCATCCATCAATCTCTTCTTAGCTCAGTTGGTTTAGAGCGTCTGACTGTAATTGTTGAATTGTCATCAGAAGGTCCTTTGTTCGACTCAGAGAGAGGAGATTTCATTTTTGCCCATGTTGCACCCCCACGTTCTTTTTTGCACTCCCTCCTATCTCGACCGCAAGCACACAACCTTGTCACCACCGCCAATTCTTTTGCCCCTCTCATTCAAATCGCTAGGAACATCTCACTGATCTTGCAGTATCCAAGACTTATCACAAAGATGCATGTATTCGGGCTTCCCCCAAAAAGCAATGACGTCTCCCAAAACTCAAAAGACGGACCGATAGCTTTGCAGCTTCAAACAACATCCCACCTTGACCCCTCCTCTCTTTCACAAAACACCTACACAACCATCACTTCCATCAACCCCCTCACCACATCGCAAAAATGGTCTACACACTCGTCGTCCATCTCTACGCAAAAGAGGACCAAGAGTCCATCAACAAATTGATCGCAAAGCTTCAAGAAGCTTCCCAAGTCTACACTAATGACAAGGAGTGTTTGGGTTGGTATGTTACCCTTCCTCTACGTACCACCTTTTTTCCCCCCTACACGTCTGTAAAGAGAAGAAAACAGAGAAACGGAAAGGGAGGAATTGAGTGCTGATGTTTGTGATTTGATCTAGGTNTCGTCATGCAAGACACCAAGGACCCCCGCGCCTTTACCATCGTCGAGCGCTATGCTCATGAAAGCGTAAGCCTTTATCCCATCATCTCCTCTGCCCTTCCCTCTTATCTCCTCTAACACCACCCACCACAGTCCCAAAAATACCACCTTGAGAACCCTTACTGGCAGACTTTTGACAAGTATGTCATTCCTTTGCTCGCCAAGGACATGGATCTCCGCAGACTCAACGAGCTGGTCGACGACAAGTCAGAGCAGGTTCGTGTGGAGCAAGACCCTAAGCTGTGGGAGGAGGTCAAGAAGCATCAGACCTACTAGACTCAAGTCTAGTCATCGCGCCATGCTGTCGGATTTGTTCATGAGCGAAACATGTTGATATCATTTTGAGAAATACGGCTCAATGAAAAATATCAGTATGGCGTGAAACTAGTGTCTGACTTCTTTTTTGTTTCCTGCTTCTCCTTTTGAGACTGTTTCTCTTTTCTTTGTCTACACCGCTTGAGACGGTGAGCAGGTCGACGTTCAGCTGCTGAGTTTCAGCGCATTACATAACGAAGACAGGTACAACTATTTGTGACAAGCCTCTTTGGGTAGACAGGTAGTTCAGGGGCTATCAACTTTAGCATCTATTTCAGGAAGAGAATATCCGCCTCTCAATCACCACATCAACCCACGTATCGCTTCTTGTCGATGACTAGGTTGTTCAGCTTGCGAATCTCGGTCCATCTGCTCCAGGATCCCGTCTCAAGCAGGTTCATGCGTCTCATCTTCCCAGAAGGATTGCCAATGACCACAGGCTTCCATTCCTGATCTGCCTTTGCGTCCATACTGCCTCCTCCGCGAGACCCAAAGGCTCCATTCGGAATGACTTGAACAGATCTGAAGCGCCACATTACGAGCGAGAGCAACATGGTCAGTCCCAGCAGAATGCCAACGGTGACTCCAGTTGCCGCTTGTGCTCCGAGAGCTCGCGTAACAGTGCCGCTCACAGCAGTCGCGGCCGCTGCAATGAAGAATCCCAATCCTTGGGCGGCGAAGATGCCTGCGCACACACGTGGATAGGACGAGTAGTTTGTGCGTCTTCTGCGTGTGGCGCTCTCCATACTCGACAGGCGGTGCTTACTGTTGACTCCGGGCTGAAGATCGCTGGTGTCGAATGCTTCCATTGCCAAACCAATGCACTCTGCAACGGCGAGACATGCGAGAAACCCGATGATGGCGGCCAGGATGGTGGGCCCAGCCGGTCTGACGCTGCGTCCAGGAGATGCCAGAACATATGCGAGGCCAGCGATAGGTAAAGCAAAAGTGAACAAACATCGTCTGAGCAGATGCGACGACCAAGTAACACGTGGCTCAAATGTACCACTGTCAGTACGCATAGGTTGAACCCTGTCGCGAGAGAAGACGTTGGCTTTGGTCAACGGAACAGCCAGTGCTGCGCCCACTGCAACGGCAAACACAGCTAGCCCGATATACTGAGGTTGCCATCCGTAGTTACGAGAGAGCAGTGCACCGAGAAGCNNTGCACTTTGTCAGAAGACCTTTTGCACTAGCGGGATACGATGGTGGCTTACCAATGTGACAAGCACGACCAATGCGTAGATCCAGGCCAGATAGACGGCGAGCACAAAAAAACCGAATTGGCAAAACATATGGCCCATGAGTCTCATGCCAGCCCACACCTCTTGATACCAGTACTTTGGACCATCTTGATCAAGATGCAATTTGACCTCGCCGCGTGCTACACGTTTCTTGAGCCTGTCCTCCTCATCCAGGTATTTCAGAACGGATCGTCGATATGGAGCACGGCGTGTTTCTGGTGCGATGATATTCATCAGAATGAAGAATGAAAGCAGAATCACAACGACGTAAAATCCCCAGGCGGGAGCGAGGCTTTGCGTGATCGAGGCGCCTATGAGAAAACCAAGGGCCAAAGATCCGACGAAGCACCACGACCAAAGGCCCAGCCAGATGCCCATACCTCCTCCTTGTCGTCGAACGTCATCGTAAACGACAATCTCTTGGTGCGGGTTTCGTGATTGGAGGGAGGCACCAAACAGATCCAGCAAGGTCGACAAGAAGTTGATGTGTGCAAAGCCGAGAACAAACCCGAGGAAGAACCTTGGAACGAGTAGGCCGACCAGAGCTCTGGTCAGATGTGGACCAGTGTTGAAAGCTGTTGCAATTGATTGAGGGAATTGGAGTGGTATGGCGATGGTGAGGGCTGTCAACGTATAAGGTCTTCTGCCATGAAGAAGTGGGAGTGGCCAGAAGAGCAGGGTAGTAATCCCCATTCCGATGTATAGNGCTGTCAAGTTTGTCAGCATCCGATTCATGACTTGCTCCAAGATGATCGAGCAATCTTTGGCGAGTAACTAGATGCTGGAGGGTTGGACTTACAGCACATTTCCAAGAATCACATGATGATGCTCGTCTCCTAGCTTGTACTGAATCTTTGGCACCTCACCAGCCNNTGTATGTGTGAGTCAGTATCTTTTGAAATGCTATGAAAAGCAACATACATAAATGCCAGCGATCAATCCTACGAGCATGGTGTTGAGACAAGCGATAATGGCAGTGATGCGCTTGCGGCCAATCTTCCACTCTCTGGCGATGGGGGATCGGCGATATCTGTGGAAGCGGAATCCTTGTTCATCCTTCAGACTGATATGGTTTTTGCGTGGATGCTTCAAGCTCAGATCTGGAGACGGAACGTTTGCTGGTGGTGCTTGATCAGGTATAGGGAGTAATGCAGATTGAGCAGGAAGAACTGATTGGCCAGATACGACAGGCAAAGCAGGGTGTGTGGAGGCCGGAAGAGCCACAGGTACCTCTCTGCGCTCTGGAACATGGTAGTATGACGACTCGAAGATACGGCTTGCACCAGCCTTCGGCTTCCATCGCTTGCCAGGCGCTGGAGGGCTGGTAACTGTATATTGAGCTGGTGGGTAGTCTGCAGTGACATAATGTCTTGGATCGTAGACGGCGTATGGTATCGCTGGTTGAGGCGGCGGCGAAGGTGTGCTTGACAGCTGAGGGTCGGAACGAACAGGTCGAAGCGATCTCCTCTTCGGCACATCCGGAATCGAGAGACGGACAGGTTCATGTGGGATCTGCTCTGGTGTCCTCACAGATGCGTCTTGAGGAATGACTGGAGGCAGGACGACACCAGTACTTTCTCCTGTAGGCGGTGGCAAGACAGTTTCATCTTGACTGACTGGTCCAGGCTCCGAACCGCCTCGGAGGTCACGGCGGGTCGAAGGTCGTCTGACATAAGCCCAGTCATGGGCGGCAGAGCCTGTTGACAACTTGGAGTACACCTGAGGTGGAGTCTGAGTCATGGAAAAGTCCTCTGAGCACGATGGGCCGACAGCTGCTTCCTGGGATGTAGGACGTTTGCCCTCATTCTCGAAAGGTGGATTGACAATGGGGTGCACAACGGATTGTTTTCTGATCGAGTAACGAGGGGCAGCAGGGACAGCTGAAGAGGCTGGCGCGGGTTCCAGAGAAAGTCCACTCTTGCTTTTGATGTAAGCCACTGGGATGCTGACATTGGAAGCCATTGGCTTCGGCTGCATGGATGAGGTGTTGGACTCGATGTCTGCATCAGAGTCGGAAGCCTGATCATACTCATCGGAGGAGAAGTACTCGTCGCTCTCGGTATCGTCGATGCGGAGTGGAGGAGCCATGTGCACAGTGCTTGACTTGCGAAGAGCGATCTTGGCTTCATCCAGAATGTGGGCGACGTCTTGGGACCTGTTGTTCTGAGCGGCGTCTTGGGCGACGGTCAAGGCTTCTTCCATGAGGTCGTGAAGCCCAGTGACCGCACGCTCGAGGTTCTTCCTGTCTTTTTCAGTTGATGTCAACGAAGACGAGGGCGGCGATTGAGTCTTGGGAGAGACGTCAGGAGAGCGGAAAGTCACAGTATTACGAGCTGTGGGTGTCGCGATACCACGAACTGTCGGCTTCCGAGAAATAGTGCCATCGTTGTAGCGTCCTAGATTAGACGGATCTGGCGATGGGGTAGAGATGAGCGGCTCAGGTGGAAGCAACGGGCCTAGACTCGATGTCCGAACAGGAATCTTGACTTCGAGTTCAGACAGGGGGACCATTGGCCAGGTAGGCGGTTTGCCTGATTGCGAGGAGGAATAAGACGAAGGAGTATACATAGCGATACTGTATATGATGATGTGTTGTGTGTGGAAGAGAAGAAGGGGCGTGTCGAGGATCAAAGTGAGGCAGTGCCAAGTTCGACGTTCCTGCCATTCTAGTAGCGTCGGTTTTGATGGCCGTGATTGCCTCAGCTGCAAGCTTAAGAATTGGCACGATTCTCCTTCCAAGTATCGAAACATGGCAGTCACACGACCGTCGGGCTTAGCTGTTGGCATGTGAAACATTGGGAAAACACAGGTGGGCGAGGATTGAGCACAAAGACAACTGCATATATGAGCATTACTCTTCGTACTTGACATCGCCCTTGCTGACATCCGGATATACGTCGAATCTTCTCTGGGTATATATGGGAATGCCTTTTCTCGTTTGCTCGATAGTCTCTCCGTCCAGATCAGCATAAACAATGTCTTCCTTTTCGTCTAGTTCACCAAGAACCTCGGCATTCGGGTTGACGATCATGCTGTGACCCCAGGCATTGTAGTCGGCTGTCATATCTCTGGCGGGCGAGCAGAGACCGACGTAGACTTGGTTATCCATAGCTCTGGCACGCGCTTGAAGCTTCCAATGCAGTTCGCCAGTGGTGAGGTTGAAGGCGCCAGGGTAGACTAGCAGGAAAGCGTCCTGTCTTGCGGCAACCATGGCCAGCTCGGGGAAGCGAATGTCGTAGCAGATGGCAACAGCAATCTTTCCGTACTCTGGCAAATCGACCAGAGTGACCTTGTTTCCAGGACTCAGAATCTCGCTCTCTTGGAACCTGATCTTGCCGGGAATGTCAATGTCGAACAGGTGGACCTTTCTGTGGGTGGCCAGCAAAGAACCGTCGGGGCCGAAGACAAGACTTGTGTTGTAGTGTTTGTCTGTTTCTTTGAGGTACTCGGGAATGCTGCCGCCGATCAGGTAGGACTTGGATTCCTTGGCCAGAGCGGAGAGGGCGTGGAAGGTCGGCGATTGTGCCTCTGTGGGTGGTGAGGGCTGCAGGGTCTCGGCGTATTTGGGAAAGTATTTGGTGCCGTAGGGCGAGTTGAAGCACTCGGGCAGGACGACAACGTTGGCGCCCTTGGATGTTGCTTCGAGGACCTTTGATCTTGCGCGGGCGAGGTTCGCGGCCTTGTCAGCGCCNTGGTCTCTGTCAGTCATGCATACCTAAGGAATGAGAATTGTTGGCATACCAGTCGACAGCTGGACACAGGCGAGCTTCAGCGGCTTCTTCAGTAGTTTGGCCATGTTTGACGTGCAAGAAGAGAGTAGGGGAAGTGGATGAGTGTTAAATGGTCGCCGGCGGTTACCCCAAGACGTATATGACGTGCCCCACTTGGTCTTATCGATAGACGGCGAGTTGGAGAAGCTCTCCAACGCCAAGCCCGCAACTCTTTGGCCGCAGCCCTCACGGAAATGTTACGAGCTGAACAATTCCAGCACGATCAACACACACCCAAACATGCCGCTCGCCGCTCTTCGCGCCCCTGCGAGGGATCTCACCCGTTGCATGCCATCGCGATTGGCATCAACCAGTACCAAACCTCCACTCAGATACACTGGTCGCATCCCGAAGCCTGCTCCACCACCGCCGGGTCCCGGCGAGACAAAAACTCCCGCCAGTCAGGAAGAGACGGACCAGGCCCGCAAAGCCATCATGGACTCTATTCAGCACGATCGGAAAAGGGACTACAAGAAGCGATACCGATCTACCCTCTGGAAATGGACTGGCATCATCTGCGCCACTCCCATCGCCCTTGTCACCACCCCATACTTGTACAAGAGAGGTGCGCAATCATCAATATCTCAAGACACTATCANNAACAACGCTGACATTACTATGCAGTCTTCATGGGCGAAGAACGAAAGAGGCTTATCATAGACGACGACGATGACGAAGACCTCGACTAGACAGAATCACCAAGCACAGTGTCCTCCATCAATGCGCATGTCGCTGCCCGTCATGAAAGAGCTGGCGTCGCTGATCAGGAACACGGCTGCTCCACGGTACTCCTCTGGCTTGCTCAGCTTGCCCAGCATGTTCTGTGTAGGCCACTCGCGACGTCTTTCGGGGTACTTGACGAAGAGTGCCTCGACCATGGCTGTTACAATGTATCCAGGCGAGATGGTGTTGACTCGGATTCCGTGCTGGCCCCACTCGCTCGCCAGGTTGCGTGACAGCTGGATAACTGCAGCCTTGCTCGAGTTGTATGCCGCGCAAATCAGTCCCNNTGTCGAATCTTGTTAGCCATCTTCTTCAAGGACAGAGATACCGAGCATACTTACCCTGTTGGCGACGGTACCGCTCATTGACGCAATGAAAGCCATGGATCCGCCGTTTCCATGTTTGATCATCTGCTTGGCCACTGCCTGTGCTGTCATGAACACGCCAGTCACATTGACCTCGAACATGGTGTTTGCGTCCTTGGCTGTGTACTCAAGCGCCGTTGTCTCTTGCTGGATACCTGCGGCTGCCACGAGTCCATCCATACGGCCCTCTTTGTTTGAGATGTCTTCGATGATTTCGTTCAATTGCGGCACATCGCGAACATCAATCTGGCGGTAGTGGAATGTCGTGCCGAGCTCCTCAGCTGCGCGTCTCTGGATGCGGTAAAAGTCCTCGCTGGGCTCAGGAAGGCGGTCCAGAGCATATACTGTCNNTGCGCGTCAGCTTCCAAATTCTTGTTTCGTCTGCCGAACAAACTCACCGGTTGCACCAGCCTCGAGCAAGGCCTCAGCCTGTACCAGTCCCAGTCCACGTGCTGCACCAGTCACCAACACCACCTTGTCGTTGAGCGCGAATTCTGGCAAGCGCTTGGTCGTTCCCAGGTACGAGGCAGGGCTGTAGTTGTCCTTCAATGCAGCTGACTCATCTGAAGGTGGTTCCGGTGCACCGCGACCAGAGACGATGGGGTTTCCNTTGGGAGGATTCTTCAATTGGTCAAGATCGGACTTTGAGGCATTCTGTTGACAGGCAGAAACTGCAAAACTGCGAATGGAGTTCGACTTTGCTGCACCAAATGTGGCACGGGCGATGCGCGAGGATATTCTGAGCGAAGCCATTTAGAAGTTCAAGAGAGGGAATGGAAACTTTTCGAGGAGGATGTGATTGAGGAAGAGGGAAACAGAATGCAGAGTACTGGCAGCAACGCAACGACCCCGCTGCTCTTTTTATTGCAGCCCCTCTGTTGGTCATTACTGCGCTTGGCTTCCCTTCTTGGTTGTCCGAGACGCTGCTCCTCGTTCCGGGACTTGCTGCAATGGACCATGGGCACGCGCCATAAGCAACGGTAGCTGCATCCACCATACTTCATCTCTTCTGCAACAGACCTTAGTACAGAGTGAGTCTTCTGCTCATGCTAAGCTTGAATCTTGCTACCAACCTCGCTCATGCGTGACTCCCATGCCCTTTCTCAAATTCAGCAAACAGATCGGCACAATGACTTTTGAGTATGCTCGACCAGGCCGTTGGCGGGATGGGTGCGGAGGAGATGCGGGGAAGATGGCAGCTCTCGGATTACCTCTTTGGGACACTGAATCTTCTAGGGCTGGCGGTTGGCGGGCGCCGAAGTTTACCTGTATGGGAGAGTCTTGCTGTCTACATCATATCATCTCTTTCCTGCTCATGTTTGTGGATCGAGTCAAGCATGCTGTCGCGGTGAGCAATAGCGATGACATGGCTGTATGCATGAACCAATGTGTTTGCACGACAATGGACGTATAACAATTTATGTGTCGGCTGCATGCTGGACAAGGCATCTTGTTGTCCTCGCGCCGTGATACGCATGTCGGTAGTTGTCGAGTTGCATGAGAAACTTACAAACAGGTCTCGTTCTGAACCCACCTGTGTGTACGATATGCTCCCTTAAGGCTTGCCGATTACAAGAGGGCTGTCAACGAGGTAGAGCTCCCAGGCAGCAAGGCACGTGAAGACGCGGAGTGGGCCGTGCCAGGGTCGCCCGAGGCCGGGCGTTTCGAACTCTCGGCAGCGACTTGCATCATGCGACGAGAATTAACTTGAGGAAAGAGCGACCTTCGTCCCAACTGCGTCGCCCGCCGGCGATTGTGCATCGCATCGCACCATGTCGACCCTCCCGCCCGCCGCCGACATGGAGGAGGTCGAGGATGAGCTGATCTTCCAGCAAACACTTCTGGACACACTGGATCCCAACGACAGCAGCAGCAACGAGCGCAGACAAGAGGTGGAACTTTCTATCATGGACCTCGAGAGGCGCATGACTGCCTTCAACGATGCCGCTCCCGCGTCGTCACAACCAGAGAGCCATCCTNCGTACAATGCGCCCGGCGCATACCCTCAGTCCGACGCCAGCGACATGGACCAAGACTTTCCGACATTCGATGCCTCGCTCGCTCAGCCTAGTCCGAGCAGGAACGCTCGGCTCAAGAGAAGTCGCGATCAAATATCGCCACCGGCCAGCTTCGACAGGAACAAGAGACCTGCGCCTACTCCCATGGGTCCGCCAAGTCAGCGACCACTCAGCCAGGATCGCCGCACTGCCTACTTGGAGAGACAGCGCCAGATCGAAGCCGCCGCCCGCCAAAGAAGAGAGTCTGTGGCTGCTGACGCCAACTTTGCCTCGAGACTGAGCCAGCAACCCTCTTCCTCGCCCATCGCCGGCCCATCGCGCAACAACCTGCACTCGCAGCCCGACATGTCGCCCAGTAAGATGGCCCCAGTCTTTAGGCCACCAGGCTACAGGCACAATCCTCCTTCGCAAACGCAAGCTGCTGCGCCGTATCCCGACGCAGGCACACCACGTGTCAAGCCTGAAGTTCACTCAAGTCCTGGATATGGCTACTCTGCTAGACCCGTCAAGCCCGAACCATCTCAACAAGCTACTTCCTCGACCAGCCGCTATGGTGGTCTCCGTCCCCAGGTCATAGACTTGACCGGAGATGATGAACCCGAGGCTCAACAAACTCAGATCCAACGACTCAATTCAAATCCAGCCGAGGAACTGCGCCGTCGCCATCTGTGGGAACAGAACAACGCTGTCAGCGCACAACACAAGCACGAGATCATGATGCGTCAGCAACACGAAATTGCTTTCCATCGACAGCAAGAGACCACCCGCCAGGCACAGATGGCTATGCAAGGTTCTCGAGATCCGACTCGTGACATGCTCGACCAGGCTAACCGCCGCCGTCTCGAGCAATGGCAACAGCACGTCGCTGCAATTCAAAAGTTCAATGCTCAGAACCCACACCAGCCCCGCTCCCTGCCAAACCACGTACCTTACGCTCAGCCATTTCCATCGATCATGCGCTCGTCCCAGCAGCCTGTACCACGTGCCGCTCATGACGACCTCGCTCAGCTGGGCGGCCTCATCAACGGACGCGGCAGACATACGAACTTCGGATCGGATGATGATGACCTGCAGTTTCTACGTTCTACGACAATCCAGCCTCCAAGCTGGGATATCTACGATCCCGACAGCGCAGATACCAAGGAGGAGCTCCGTAAGTTGATGGAGAACATCATGCCCGACGACGCTTCCAAGATTGCCAACGAAGAGGACGTACCGGTCGACGGACTCACCATTAAGCTTAAGCCCTATCAATTCGCTGGTCTTGAGTGGCTCCAGAAGATGGAGAATGGCTCCAACAAAGGTGGTATTCTGGCCGACGATATGGGATTGGGTAAAACTGTCCAGGCAATCTCACTAATGGTCACAAACCGCTCTGAGGACCCCTTGAACAAGACGACTCTCATCCTTGCACCTGTTGCTCTCTTACGTCAGTGGGAACAGGAAATCATGACGAAAGTGAAGCCTGGTAGACACAAGCTCCACACGTTCATCCACCATGCAAGTGCCAAANAGAAGAGTCACAGAGACTTGCGCGACTTTGATGTTGTTCTGACTACTTTCGGTACTATTGCTGCCGAACTGAAGAAGATCGAAAAGTATGAGATGCGTAAGAAAGCAGACCCAATGGCTCAGCCCAGAGACGATGAANAATGTATGTTTATTGGACCGGACTGTAAGTGGTACAGAGTCATTGTCGACGAAGCACAGTGCATCAAGAACAAGACCACCAAGACCGCTAGAGCTGCCTTTTATCTTCAAGCTCGCTCTCGATTCTGCATGACAGGAACCCCTATGATGAACAGTGTTGAGGAACTCTACTCTCTGATTCACTTCCTACGCATCAGACCATACAACAACTGGAACACTTTCAGGACTGATTTCAACCAGCCATTGAAGGGCACCAACGAAATTGCCCGTCAGATGGCTATGCACAAGCTGCAAGCATTGCTCAAGGCCATCCTCCTTCGTCGCAACAAAAAGACAGAAATCAACGGTCGTCCTATCCTCAACTTGCCAGAAAGACGTGTCGAAGAGACCAATCCCGACTTCAGTGAGGATGAGCGCAACATCTATGTCGCCCTCGAGACTAGTTCCGCAGTCAAATTCAACAAGTACCTCAAGGCCGGCACAGTCAGCAACTCATACATGCAGATCTTGGTCCTTTTGCTTCGTCTCCGTCAAGCTTGTTGCCATCCCAATCTCATCAAGGATCTTGGTATTGTTGCTGCGACTGCCGAGATCACGCAAGAGACCATGGATGAAATCTGCAGGAACCTTGATCCGAATGTCATCACTCGCATCAAGGAAGCAAATGGCATATTCGAGTGTCCTGTATGCTATGATGCCGTGGAAAATCCTGCTATCTTCACTCCTTGCGGCCACGATACTTGTCCAGACTGCTTCTCAAGAATTGCCGATCCTTCCAATGCGCTTGCTGAGGGAGACGAAGGACGGATCGCCAAGTGCCCTGAATGTCGCGGCCCTATCAACACGAAGAAGGTCATTGATTATGAGTGCTTTAAGCGCATTCACATGCCTGAAGAAGTCGCTCCTGATGAGACGGTCGATATCAAGACTGATGCAGATGGTGATGACATGGCCGCTGTTGACACTGATGACGACTCTGAGGATGAAGAAGAGGATGACGACGATGATGAGACTGGTTCCCTCGATGGCTTCATCGTCAAAGATGGTGCTGAGGAAGAGGATGATGAGGATGCAGCAGAGCGTAGGCAGAAGGTTGCCTTGAAGAAGCCCAAAAAGAAAGCCAAGTCAAAGATGAGCAACAAAGCCAAGGGAAAGATGAAGGAGTCGAGCAGTTCCGAAAAGAAGAAGAAGGCGGCCACAATGACGATTCCTGAACTAAAGAAAATGGCAATCAGGAAGCCGGCATGGCGAAAGATCTACCTTCGCATGCTGAAGAAAGACTTTAAGCCTTCCTCAAAGATCGAACGTACCATGGAGATCTTGGGTGGCATCATGACAGCACCCGAGGGTGAAAAGATCATCATTTTCTCCCAGTGGACTTCTCTGCTCGACTTGCTCGAAGTACCCGTGTCTGAGAAGGGCTGGGGCTATCGCCGCTACGATGGAAGCATGAACGCCAAACTCCGTGCCGATGCTGTGGACGACTTCAAAAACAAGCCCAATGTCCGCATGATGCTGGTCTCACTCAAAGCCGGCAATGCAGGTTTGAACCTCAACATTGCTTCTCAGGTTGTCATTATGGATCCGTTCTGGAACCCGTACATTGAGGAACAGGCCATCGACCGTGCTCACCGTCTAGGTCAAACCAGACCTGTTATGGTGCACCGTGTACTGATCAAGGAAACTGTCGAAGACCGCATCATCGCGCTGCAAGAAAAGAAGCGCGCCCTCATCTCGGAAGCGCTCGACGAAAAGGCTTCTCAGAGTCTGGGCAGACTGAGTGTACAGGAGTTGGCGTATCTCTTCGGTATTAGCAGGAACGTGAATGATGCGCTGCCCGCCGCCGGCCCGAGGGCCAGAGTTCGTCAGGGCGGTGCTGGTGGTATGGGTGCTTGAAACCAATACATGTGCTTTATAGGAGTTCACAAAGAGTAAGATATGGGGTTCAGGGGATCATGAAGACCGCACGGGATAATTGTTGATGAATGGCGTACGGGTTCTGCTTTTTCACCGACATGATTCAATGATGATTATGGCTTTTCGTTTGTCCTTTTTCTGTTCATTGTTCATGGACTTCTTTTTCTTTACATTACATGGCTAATGAACTATACATGATACGCTACAATGCAGAACATACGCTGTTTTCAACACATACTTTGTTGTAGATCAATTCCTCTATGCTTTCTAACACGCTTACTGACAAATTGAATCACACATCCGAGTATTCAACCAGTGGCATCGAAATGCATAGTTCTGTGTCGGGTTTGTAGTGGGAGAGGATAAGACTGGTAGGAAGCACACGAAGCGAGGGCGGAATCTGAAAGGTTAAGCTGGGAATGCGATCATACAGCTTAACTTGAGCCAAACACATCGTACAGAGACAAACCAACTCTTGAATTTCTCCATCATCGACACTGACTTGGTTTCATTGGTTTGTCGAAATTTCGATCGCGAAAACGTATCGACTGGTGTAGAAGGAGAACAGCGACAGGGTTGGACGGTCATCGAGAAGGAGGAACTGGTGACGTCAACGCGTTTTGCTCCCTTTCCTTTCTTTCCTCACGCGTCTTGTTTGTCAATTCATCTCTCGAACCTCGTTCACATTGGAATCATCAATGAGTGCCATCAGACGGACGTGTACACTGGAATTTCACAGAATGACCATGTCCGCTCAATACTCCAGGCTTCAATACACGCTTGATCAACCTCAATGTCAACCTTCATCTTCCGAGTGAGTGGGCGGACATCCATCAGACCGGACGTTCTTCGATGATCTTTGCGCCAGCCACTGCTTGCATCTCTTCGTCCATTGCACTCTGATACCACGATTTCTCCACGAGCTCTTCGATGCCGAAGCCCTCATCATGTTCAACCGCTCCAAAGTCCTTGAGCAACTGCACTATCTCTTCATCTCTCTTTGCCGATGCGATTTCGAGCGCCTCGTCTAGATGCATCTTTGCTCCGGCACTCAACAACATCCTGACAATATCCTGGTTGCTCTTCTGGACTGCCATGATCAGTGGTAATCTTCCTCGATCATCTGGTGTGTCGACGTCGACATTATGCGCCAAGAGTGTCATGACCGACTTTGCGTTTTCGTCCCTTACGGAAAACCACAATGGAGTATAGCCCCGATCTGAACAGGCATTCTTATCGACTCCAGGTTGTGCCAGGAGGAGCTCGATCACTCCTGCCTTGTTAGATTCTGTGGCATAGTGCAACGGAGTGCGACCGTCGCTGGTGACGGGCCGCGTGCCATCACTAATCCCTCTCGCGATCAGGTTGCGGCACAAATCTTCAAGGCCGACTGAAGCTGCTATGTTGAAGAGCGACCTGCCCCCGTGGACAATTGACCCAGATCCGTGTCCTCAACAGCCATAAGCATCTCGATCAGGTCCTGATTTCCCGTGTAGGCTGCCGCCAACAATGGGGTATAGTTGCGTTTGGATACGCGAAGGGGATTGACATCATCCCGCTTGAGCATGAAAGCGACAATGTCAGTGTGTCCGCATTCTGCTGCCACCTCGAAAGCAGTGTGGTTCTTATTGTTCACTGCCTCAATGTTGGAAGCATCTGTCTCAAGCAACAACTTCACTATCCCCAGATGACCGCCGCGACAGGCTTCATGTAGCGCTGTGTCTTTGTGCTTGTCCGTTCTCAGCACTACGCTCGCATCGTGTTCGATCAACAACTTCACTATTTCGATACTGCCCACTCGAGCCGCCATCATACACGCGTTCGTCTTGGCACGCATATCGTCATGATGGACATCAACTCTCCCCGTCTTCAAGAGACTTGATGCGGCGCCCGGGTGTGCATTGAAGGCGCAATACATCAGAGGCGTATGTCCGTTCTTGTTCTTGATGTTAAGATCATCACACTTAACGCTGTGAATCACGATAGGAGCATACTCGTCTGAGTAACAACTGTAATGGAGGCCGGTGGATCCGTAAGTGTTATCCTTGATCATCGGATCAGCACCTGCTTCGATCAGAAGCTCCACAACTCGAGCACTATTCATGTTCTCGCAAGCGAGTATCAAGGAGTCTTGCCATCCGAATCCCGAGGATCGACTGTTGCCCCTTCACTCAGGAGCAAGTGCACGACTGCGGCACTACTGACGGCATTGTGTAAGGGTGTTGTCTTGGATATTTTGGTGACAGCATTCACATCAGCTCCATGCACGATGAGTAACTCTGCAAATGCCGGATCTGGATCACTTCGCTTGCATGCAGCATGGAGAGCGGTCCAACCAGGATTCTCTGGATCCTCACTTTTTGCGTCTGCTCCACCATCGAGCAGGAGTTTCAAAACTTGCAGATTTGCCTCAGAGGACGCGTACACAATCGGGCTTGACCAGTCTGATCCCGTCACGTTTACTTCTGCCTTATACTCAAGCAGGGCACGCACTGTAGCCTCGTTGGTTTTCGCCACTCTTGCCGCATATTGTATAGGTTGCCGATTGTTCTTGTCCTTGGCAGAAGGATCCGCGCCTGCCTTGAGAAGTATGCGTAGATGTGCTGCGAGGCCGCTTCTTGCCAACTTATGCAGCGGGGTCATGCCTTCAAGATTAGCAAGACTCGCATTCGCTTTGTTCTCGAGAAGCAATTCCAACATCGTCTCGGACGCTCCTGGGCATCCTGCGAGGCAGTTCAGAACGGTATCTCCGTCGTCGTCCTGTATGTCAAGTTTGGCTCCACGAGACAGAAACAGCCGTACCACATTCTCCTTGCCTGCTTTGACTGATAAATAGGAATGGAGGGGAGTGCAACCGTTGTCATTCATCGCGTTGACATCACATCCTTCCTCTAACAATCGTTCAACGATCGCATACAGGTTGTCATCTTTTTCTGCGCGGACTGCCCAATGCAGGACTGAGTCACTGCCGGGGACCGCCTGGCAGGTCGCTCCTCGCTGGAGGAGGCAGTTCACGAGCTCATAATCGCCCTCGGAAGCGGCATTCTCGAGCACACTGAACCCGCCTTTCGTGCGTAGAGAGAGATCGGCTTTGCCTGTCTCCAGGATCATCATGGCGGCTTTCGTTCTTGACTTGTCCGCGAGCTCATGCAAGGGTGTGTAGCCCCATCGGTCGACCACCGAGATGTCAGCTCCAGCGTCCAATAGCACTCGGACCACATCGTCAGAGCCGTCTCGTTCGGCGCACGCTGCAGCCAGAGGTGTCATGTTGTCATTGTCTCTTGCATCGATGTCCACACCGTATCCCAGCATACGCTGTACAACGTCGACAGAACCTCCTCGGGCCGCTTCATGGAGAAGAGTCTGACCGGCAGCACTTTTGATATTGATCGCAGCTCCGGCGTCTATCAGCGTCTGCACAATGATGTGATCACCCCGTTTGGCGGCAAGGTGAAGAGCACCTATTCACCGTATCAGCAATATTTACAGAAGAAGCAACGAAGCAGACACTTACTGATTCCATCGTTGTCAGTGGCATTCACGTTGACACCTTTAGACACAAAAAGCTTTATAGTGTCAGCATCACACTTTCCGTCTCCATCAATGATCTCATGAAGTTCTGTCCTGCCAGAAGCGTCTGGTTCGCATATCGCTCCGCTTTTGAGAAGATACTCAATGACCTTCAGCTGGTTCCCTGCACAAGCGAAATCCAAGGCTGATCTGCCTTGATTGTTCTTGATATTGAGCTTTGCCTTCTTTGCGAGAAAAAGCCGCACCAAGTCAAGATCGCCGGCTTGTGCTGCCATGTGGAGAACTGTATCTCCATCAATATCCTGAGCATCGATATTGGCTCCTGCCCGGACGAGAAGCTTTATAACGTCCTGAAACTGCTCTTCTCGGCATAGACCGGCTGCGAACAAAGCAGTACGTTTGAAACGACCAACAATGTTCGTATTAGCACCNCTTTTTAGAAGCGCCTGCACGGTTGACAGTTTGCCATACTCTGCTGCAACTATCAACGCAGTGTCGTCATCCAGTGCTTGGAAGTTCACAAGAGCACCCTTGTCTAGCAGAACTTTGCATAGATCATGATTACCAACTTTGGCCGCTGCGATCAAAGGTGTCTTGCCGAAATCACTTCGTCGATTCACTTCCACGCCGTCCAACGAGAGTAGGTAATCCACGATGTCTCTCTGTCCGTTCACGCACGCAGCCAAGAGCGGGCCAAAATTGGTATCGCCTTGATGGTTGACATCCATGTCTTTCTCGTCGATAAGTCTCTTGATAATCTCGAGGTTACCCGCAAAAGCAGCTATGTGGATTGGTGCCTCGCCCTTGATATTGTTATATTTCCAGTCAAGGTCAGAATGCTCTTCAAAAGCATCGACCAGGCCGAGCTTTGCTATGACAAAGGTTTGTGTCGGTTTGTGCCCGTTGAGACATGGATTCTCGAAGTCAGTCGTTGCCAGGAAGTACTCTTCTCGCTCGGTACTCTCCAAGGCGTCATGATTCCAGGCGGCGAATGCATCTTCGTCTCTTAAGAAGGACTCCAACTTCTTGGTGAGTTCCTCGTTTCGTTTCTTCGCCATGAGGAAATGGTACACCCAGTTGACCACCGCATAGGCATAGAAGCACTTCGAGTTCGGATCAGGACGAGCATCGTCGTCGTACATGTTCCGTCGAGATGACTCGAATTCTTCTAAACATCTCGACGCTGCAAAAGTGTGAAGATTGTCGTTATCATAGCCTTCCCTTTTCTGAAGAAACTCCTGGACTGACAGGTGTGCAAATCTGAACGTGTCAGTCTCGTCGTCCACAATTACCAAGTTTCGACAAACGTCCAGCACTTCGTCTTTGTTCAAGTTGTCGTCTGTAGCATCCGAGACAGCCTGCAGAAAGGTCTGAGTGTTGAGCGGACGCCTGGATACCAGGAGCCATCGGAGAACAGATCCTGCAATCTCTCTGCTACTCGGTCCAGACTGTATGATGCGGTCAAAAATGCTTTCGTACAGCTGTCCAATCTCTGTGGGGTTCTTATCAAGTTCAAGCAAGACGTCTTTCTCGCGCTTGATCCCCTCGTCGCACAGGGTCTGTAGCTGAAGCTTTACCCAGAGGAACCTACTTTCGTCAGCCACGATCCTGAGAATTGTTTGACAAGTGTGGATGGAGCTGGGTAAAACACTCTGGTCCAGCCCTGGTGTATATCAATCAGAAACAAGATGCTTCCCGGATTTGAGCGTCTAAGAAGATCTCATACTGGGATGGACTCCCTCGATGAATTTGTTCGAACCCGAGAGACATCGTGCTTCAGAATATACACCAGGCCTGCTCCGACCTGCTGGTGTTCGTTCCGGCTTCACCCTCTTCTGTATGCACATACATTCCTTGAGCAGAGTCATTCAACTTTCGGACTATGGTTTCCTTTAGTTGGTCGCTGACCTTGCCTCTGAGCAATCGTCTCTCGGATAAAGCTCGATCGACCTCAGTAGTGACATACTTCCGAATATCGTCTTTGTTGTCGCTCTGTCCGATCAAAACCTGCACAGGAAACTCATCTTTTGGCATATCCTGACAAACTTCGTTTCGGCCAGAGATGATGACCTTTACGGATGCCTTCTCCATGATAATCTTGATGGACTTTAGAAGTTCTAACCTTTCTGCGCACTCATCCAGGGCATCAATCAGAATCATTGCTGTGCGGTCGCTAATAACCTTGGGAATTAGTTCGGTCAGGCCCTTGACGCCGAGGCGCTCGATCTGGTCGGCATTATTCTCATCGGCATCCTTTTTTGTTTCTTGTATGCCTCAAGGAATGCTTCTTCTGGTGGCTTATCCAGGCCGGTGAATGATAGCTGTCTTGCTATTGCCCCGAGAATCGCCTGCGTCTTGGTACGCTGCTGTTCCGAGCCGTTGCAATAGAAGTAAGCTATTTTCGATGCTTCCGGGTTTACTCTCTGCTCATCTAGGAGCTGTTGAACGACGACCGACCTGTCTTACGTCAGCCGAAGCACCATTTGTCTTGAGACATGCCAACATCAGCTTTGTTTTGCCGCAACCAAGTGAGCCATGGATTAAGATGGCACACGATCTTGAAGACTGCTTCCAGTCAATGTAATGATGGCGTTCCATCAGCCACAAACCTGTGTCTGCTACTAAGTCCTCGTGTGCTTTGGCATGATGGCTCTGTACGGGGACTTTCGACAGCCACTGAAACTTCTGCTTCATTTCTTCACCTGCAAAAATAAGTGCCTGTGCACAAGTGGCAGCTCACTGACTCACGTATCCTCTCGGTACGCATCTCGTTGATCTCCGCAGTCAATTCGTCTATTGGTTCAAGTTTCTTCATCATGTCGCGAGAAAGTTGACGTAGTCTTTCGAGCTCTTTGCGTTTCATCAGCTAATATGCTGGGTGTTGTCATAGGGCAACGTACCATCTCGTGTGGATTCTGTACTACCTTGGATGTCGCTCAGCTTTTTGTCAGAGTCTTTCCTCTCTGTAATCAAATCAGTGACTTTTCAGTGTTGCAGTTTCGAGGCCATCATACTTTCAGCATCAATTACTTTGAGGATTTCGTCGACCTCGCCATGGCCAGATCTGACGTCCGCTATAGGCTCTTCTACAAGCGTGCGCGACGACTTGAAAGCGCTCTCACCAACTCGTCCTGTGGGAGTAATCAGCATATTTGCATCAAGCATGGTCTACGCAGTCATCACTCACTCGCAGTGCTTTTGTTGTAGTAGGCATTTGCGATGCCTAGATACTTCAGAATCGCCACGTAGAGCTTGGTTATACTATCGGTGAGTTGTCCTCTCAGCGAAGAGTCTTCAAGCAAGTACAAGCTCTCCACCACCGCGTATCTGGTGATCATGGCCGAGACCAAGTCGATGCCTTCAGCCATGTCTTGAAGCTCGTGCTGTCGTTGACGGCAATCTGTTGCTCGTTGCGTCAAAAACAAAAGTACAACATTCAAGCAGGTAAGCGGCGTGACTCACATTCAACAACAGTCTCACGCCAGCCCACGGCAACGCAGCATGTCCGGGATCATATTGCACCAGCGTGTCGCCAATTTCTCTGAACTGAATCAAGACCTTTGTCACCTTGTCCACATAGTGTCTCAACGGCACCTCGCCCTTCTTGGTCTTTACCCTGATCTGATGTCTGTTCACTCTTTCTTCGCTACTCTTGACTTCGGCCAGTGCTTCTTTGATAATGGTGTTGGAGGATGTGCCCGTCTTTGGTATCTCGAGCGACTTTTTTCTTTTTCTGCGAGTTTCTCAACTGCTTCCTGCCACAGGTTTTGGGTGAGGTGGTGGTGAGGAGACGTCTGTCTGCTCGTGGAGAGCGAGGGGTCGCGGGGCGAGAGGGCGCTTTGTTGTGTACATCGTTCGCTCGCTGTGGGTCGGGCACGTGAAGGTTGTCTCGGTTTGCAGATGCGACGGCTTGATAAGGTGGTGGAGGATCCATTTTCCGTCGCCAACTTTTCTATGTTTTTGTACGACGCAGAGGTAGAATTTCACGGCAAGACGGGGATGGGAGAAGAAAGGTGAGCGAGATGAGATTGTTGCCCCTCCATCACCCCCTCATCGAATATGCTTCTTTACGAGTGATTGCCAGCCTCGTTCTTACGCGCCTGGCTTGCAGGATGGGGAGGCTTGACCGGTCGGAAGCCTGATGGAGCTATTCTTCCGCCCGATACCCCTCAGGCAACTGTACAAAAGCTCCGAGTCTTCACGTCAACTTCACTGGTATTCATACACTTTGTGACGTCGGGACAAGTTGAACCTTCGTTACAATTGTCGTCTCCTTTGTTGTGGAAACTCGGCACTGGAAGCCGTATCTCGTGTTTGAGTATGCGTGCCTACGAATGTGGCTGAGAGCTGTTTGTAAGTCATCGATGATCCGTGGGAGCCGCATGCATGCAATATATATTGTGGCTTGTTAGGCCGTCGCTTCCGAATGACCAACACTTCTCCACGCCTCAGTGTCGTCGCCCTATCCTAAAGACCATCTCAATACATCTATAAAAATGCACAATGCTTTCCAAGCGCAGAAGCATAACCATAGAAACCCATCGTCACCCCACATCTATATTCAGATGACATCGACAGTCTTCTCAACGAGATGGTTAACTTTCAAATTATCGCCCAGAAATATTCTTATCATAGCAATACACAGAGTCCTAAGCTCGAAAGTTGTCACCGGAGATCTAAGCAACAAGGTAGCCTACCTCTCACTGGAAATCGTTTACCCGCAAAACCTCATTATGTATTTCCATAGGTATATCTGCTCGGAGTTGTCGAAACAGGAAGTGCGGAGAACGTTTGAAGTAGAGCCTTGATCTCCAAACCTAGCTCTCAACATTGTTTACTGACCAGAAAAATGCACAAATGTTGTCGTAAACCTGTAGAGCTTCCAATGAGCGCTCAAGAATAAACGCTATCTCTGGGGAGATTGTACAGTTACAGAAACTTATCGTGTATTTCTACAGGTATCTCTGATCGGAGTCGTCAACCAGGAGATAAGATGATGAAGTTGGAGCACGTTCTCAGTTCTCCGCCGCAGCACGTTTTCTAGCTATAGAAATGCAGAGATACATTCGAAATCCGAGAGTGTCCATTGAGAGTTCAATATCGAAAGGGGTTTCAGTGGATATCTATTTCTTTCCATAGTTTATTGTGCATTTTTATAGCATCCAGATTGGCGACTTTCGGACTGGGAGATGGACGAAGAATGCTACGATTGCTTCATGGATCACATCGCAAAGAGCAATTGCGAAAGTGATCAGGAGCTAAGCCAATTCCGATTCATATGATTGTTCCAGCAACCTTGCTATCCACGTTCCTTCATTTCCATAATTTCGTAAGCAGCAATAGCAATAAAAAGCCTCTCTTGTGCGTCGTCATCATATACCAGCGATCCTCATAACCATTTGTGTCTTTGCACTCATCCAGCGAAAAGCAATGCAACCCACCCATCATTCTTGTAAGAGCCTATAAATCTGACCTTTCCTCATCATCTCCACCACAAAACCAAATAACCGTATGCATCCAGATCTCTCTCCATAGTATGCTTCAAAGAGTCGTCGTGGCAGATTGAGCATGCTCAATGTCCATAGTTGTAAGCGCGGGCGACCAACTAAGCCGCCAGGCTGGGCCAAGCCACGACCTCAACAATGCAAAGATATTTTGCAAGCGATTTCTGATAGAGTGTGGGGCGAGCGTGTGTACCGGCCATCTGCACCATGACTTTGTCGAAGGTGCCGAAAGCGAAGAGAAATAGGATGAATGGGAAGATTGCACAGACGGCGAAGAGAGCCCACGATCTGCGCTTTCCTTGTTTGCTTCTCTGTAACCAGACGGTGTCGTTGGCGAGGCTGTGCGTGCGGGCAGATTCGATCAGGCGTGGTGTGGGCTTGTCTTGTCTCTCTAGGATCAGGTCTTGGTCGTCATCGTAGCCGGAAATGTCGAGGGGAATGGTGGGNGCTAGTGACGGGGCACTCGGTTGAGCGCGGATGCTCGGTGGAGGTAGAGGAGGAGGAGGAGTCGTGCTGTGTTGCGGGTCTTTTGTTTTTGGTGCCCACTCTGAATCGGGAAAGAGCTTGTACCTTCCGAATGACGTTTCGTAAGGCTGTGAAGCCTTCGCCTTACCCAAATCGAGGGCGTCTTCTTGCTGTCCCATCTCAGAGACAGAGTCGTGGTCTGACTCTTGGGCGTCGAAGACACCCGAGCCCAAGCCTGACAGGAAGCGGGAGACAGGGGGTGGAGGCGCCCGGTCAAGGATCCTGGTGGGAGGGGTGGGGACTGCCTCGTCGCTCTCGTCCTCGCCACGGTACCAGACCGGGTGGTGGGCGGGCGTGGGAGGGGCNAGGAGTGAGGGAGCTGGGCCAGGCGAGGAGAGGGGAGGNAGCTTGCGGCGGGCGTCGATGTACGACTGGCGGTCGAGGTCTCCCGCGTGGATGAATGCGGGAGACCTCGAGCGGTCCGACGCAGCATATGCCTCTACGAGGCCTTCGAGTGTGGAGAGAGTGGTCGAGCCACTCAAGGGCATGACACCCTTGTCGTTGCCGTCCATGGCGGCCGAGGATAGGAGAGTCNNTATAGGTGCTTAGCAAGGTTGTGGGCATGCAAAGTGGAAACAACTTACGGTGTTGTTGCCTGCGTTGATGCAGGAAGAGCTTTGGAGGAGATAGAGGTCGAGGAGGGAGGTCGAAGCTATCGCACTGTCAGTTGAGCCTATGTTTCGGTAATGCGGGAACATAGGAAAGCCTCAAGGAGCCTTGACTCCCGATCGGAGAGGTGCGTAGGAACGTAGCTATCAAAATGCAGGATGTAGTTCGGAAAGAAAGTATTGACCATTGAGAGAGGAAAAACAAGACTTACAATGATTTGATGTTGCTGTCAAAGAGTAAGAAGATGCGCGGTTGTTCAGACTGAGTACTCGAGATGCAGAGGTCTGTGCGCTCGCTTGCATCTTTGGGTATGTAATATTACCATCAGCGGCAGTTTCCTCCTTGACCAAGCGCATGAGAGAGACGGTAGTCAGTGACAGATGTCTACCAGTATCGTCGGACTGGCTACATATATCAGTTCCACGCTCTAGACGACCCAANAAGCTGGTCTCCCCATGCTCATCGAAACTCCATCCATAACCAAGACTTTGCTGAAACTGGTCATGTTCCGGGACCAGGTCAGAACGAAACGACAAATCACAGCATTCTTTTCGAGTCTCCCGAACGACTCGAGGTCTCGACATAAACGAAAAGCCTTTCCAGAACGACATTGCAGATCGTCGAGCTCGAACTGTCTCTTTCGCCAACTCGATTCAGCTTGATGGCTTCATCAAACATATGCCTGAATGTCTTCCGGCTGGCAACAGACGCTGGTAATCTTCCTCGATTGCTTCCGCAAGACCACGTGCTGACTCAAGAGTTCTGCAGACCCCGAGTAACCATCAGCCGAATGAGACGAGTGACTTCGATAGCCCTGTGTCGACCAAGATGGTCGCTGCAACGGAACACGGCGCCACCAGCACTCGAAGATGCTTGAAAGGATTTCGATTTGGATTCAGGTGGATCTTCAGAGGTTCGCCCAGGCTGATCTAGAGGATGTGTTGCTTGTCAAGCATGCGAAGCCACCACAGAGCCTGTTGTCCCGACTGGGTTTCTTGTTGCGTGACCAGCAAGCTTCTTCAGCAGATACAAGGTCGACGGTCAACTCCTCGGTGCTGGCTTTCTGGTCCAGACTGTGTATCTCAGCTTGATTGTCGTCTTTTGGACAGAATGAACGAGGCAGGCTCGGATCGTATCGGCACTCGAGGGAAACCAGGGATATGAGCGATAAGGCGACAATTTTTATGCTCGTCCGAGAACAGCTTCTGAGCTCGATGAACGTCCTCGAGTGACGTTTAAAGGTGCTCTGGTAGATCTCTGGAGCGAGTCCACCAATGCCTTCCTGGTGCTCCCACAGGCGTTATCCAAGTTGGCTGTAGCCAAAAACCGTATCTCGATTGGAACCGCCACAGGTGCAGAATGTGATGTCGTTGATCTAAGATCCGGGAGGTTGCCTGAGCTGTTGTCCGGCGAGGCTAGCGCTTTGCAGTGTATGGAGCAGTGGCGACGACGATGCAGTACAATTCGAAATCTGGAGATCTCTCCAAGGCATACCAGGCGGCAAATTCACGCGATGAGAGGCAAAGTCGAACAGCAGCGAAAGTATTCGAGATCGATGAAGCTTGAATATCATTTGGCTTCTGACCTCCTCAGCTGGCGTTGAGTTGGGAAGGCAGCTGCCTGTCGCTCTTGCCTTTCGAGTACCACCCTCAGCTCGCCGATTGAGAGAACACACCGATACCTTCGAGTATGGAAACAACACACTGGCCAATCCGAGCCAGACATCACTTTCACTTACTGCTGCAATTTCGCAAGACGTTGTTGTTGCCGTTACGCTCCTTCTCACAATGTGCTGGACCTCGAAGGCTCAACTGAAGCCTTCATCGCAAACCCCACTTCATCTCCATCGATTCATCCCATTTGGATGGCCTGTAGCTTCATAAAGGCAACATCAAGTGCTGGTCGAAAAAAAGGGAAAAAACGAGTTCAGGCAATGGAGTTTCCCGGCAATACTCCGGCGCATCTATAAACAGTTCATCCCTTTCCTTTCCCATCGTTGTCGTCGTCGCCCTCGACATCAACGCTATCGCTCGAGCTAGATCTAATACAGAGCGCTATGGGCAATCTGACACGTACCCCTGAGGCCGAGCGACGTATGAGCGCTCTCACTTCCAAGAGTTGCTGTTATTGCGCTAACTACACCAAGCACAAAATTCGAACAAAGTCGTATAACGAATTGTCGCACAATTCGTTCATAGTGTAGTTCATATACGTTAGAATATGACATTGCTCGAAACTGTCACCGTATCCATTATCCTCAGACAAACGTCCTCTCCTATACACTATACAATATCGTTTGGAAAGCTTCGGTCAACATGTCACTCATCGGCAACACACGTAACAGGGATTACCAAACACATAAACCTCCAACACCCCATCCCACCAGTACATCGTCTTTTCGACTCAAACTCCGACTCCGCAAATAGATTTTCACTTTGCAACGTTCGCAGTCAAGAATAGATGCAAATACGATACTCGTTGGTATAAAAGATTAGGTCTCGTAGATTCTATCCATAGCAAAAGGGAGTGTCTGATACACATAACAGGGGCCACATCAACCAAGCCACATGGCCGAGGAGCTTAGTATAGGTGAGGAGGCCGCGGACCCCGAGAGTAGGCAGCAAGCATTTGCATTTGTGGCAGCCAGGCGGCATCAAGATACAAATACGGAGTGTATGCATATTGAAGATAAGGGAGAGGCGGTAGTAAAATGAGAAAACAAATAGTGCAGAAGTCCATGTTGACATTGCTCGAGGGCTATCAGGATGTATATGCAAAAACAAGAGTATGGCTGTCGGAATCTGTCCCAAGACGGAGACAACACTAGGAATCCTCGTGACAAGAACAGCCCGGTGATGTGCGCTACACCAGGGGCATCCTCCAGGCACATTCCACCATGCTGTCTCATCTCCCCGACGTATGCGGCTTGTCTCAAATCCACAGGCAGGCCCAGCACATGCCACAGACTGCCAGCTCAGCATGATGTTGTAGCAGTCGTCACAAGGATAGCAACCACAATACAGCACGAAACCAATCACCAGCACAAAAAGCCAAACACAGCAAATTTACAAAATGGTCGTAATACATGATATATATACAATTTCCGCTCCCAAACAAACACCTTTTAAACATATCTATAACAAAGATCATACCCTTCACTCGAAGCAACACTCTTAACAGCAACCGAAGTGCCAAACCCACTCATCCTCACACGTTCATCCTCAACCAACATCTCCGCCTTGGGATGCTGCTGTTGCCAAACCCACCACAAACGATCCACCTGCATCTGATGCAAGAACAGAGGATCNTACAAAACCATTCGTCAGTTTCAATGATCTGCGAGATACGAGTGGGAAAACAGTGACATACCTTGAGGTAGCTCGGGGCTGGAAAAGTCAAAGGGCGCCAAGGAGGTAATACGAGCTTCGAGGACGTGTGCAAAGTCGTCGTAAGTGTCGGCAGTCATGATCTCTGATACGAGCGCGGCATCGAGATGTTGCTTTGCGGCTTCGTCGCGGAAAGCGGCTTGTGATGAGGATAACTCGGCTGGTGTGGCTTCTCCCAAAGACTCGGTGTAGGCAGCAGCAACAGTCCAGTCGAGATATGGCATATCTCCNCTGTAGGCGCACTCGTTGCGCAAAGCGGACTCGAGTGTGTGCATGAAGAAGCGGTTCCAAGGAAGATAGTCTGTAGTCTGTGTTGCGTGCCAGCCAGAGACACTGTAGGCGGACAAGAAGTCACCGAGTCTGCTGCCGGTCTTTTCGTTTTTGGAGGGCAGGTCGAGGAGACAGCGTACAGCGCTTCTGTAACGTGCTTGCTCGACGGGCTTCATGCTTCGCCATTCACGGCGGAGCGTGAGGTTGTCGCATGTGCTCGTCGGTGCCGAGGTTGGTAGTGATGTGCTTGTTGCCACGGGGCTTGTCGACTTGTGTAGTGTGTGTTGGGCTTTGATCAAAGATTCTGGCCTGCACCAGTTTGAAGAGACTATTGTCGCCACTGTGCCCAGGACAAACAGCAACCACAACAGCAGAAACACTGGTCGTGCTGGAGGTGGTGATGTGGGTTCCTGACTCTCCAAGTCATCGTTGTGAGGTTGAGTCCTCTCCAGCTCCAGTGCTAATTGCTGCTTCTCGGAAAGAATAGTTTGATCCGACATTTTGGGCTTGACGCTCGAGGTTGCTATGGATGATTGTGAAATACGAGAAGAGCACGACAGTAGTACCGCGCAGAGTATATATCACAGCAAGCACGTTGTGGCGCCGTTAGCAAGATTTTACGAGGTGCATATATATAGGAAGTGTGGCTTGGGTGTTTGGATAGACTACAAGTTAGCGTTCGAGACATGTGCTGAGATGTCCAACGGTCGAGATGGTGGTCATCAAATGAGAACGAGACGTTATTGCACGCTACCGGGCGGTCGGGTTCAGCTTCCACTTCTTCGCTGCAACGACTTTTCNNCAAGACCCGAGGCTGACTCTGAGGAGTGGAAGTTTCTTTTGATCAGAGTCCAGCTGAGAAGGTTCAGCTGGTGGGAGGCTCTTCCAGCGATGATCATGAGCCACCGGCAACGATCATGATACCTATATAGATCTGTTATATCCGACGCTTCTCCAACATCAACCCCCGCAGAATCTCCTGAGATTAGGCGCGACAAGCATTCTTCGAGTAGGTGTTTAATTTTGGTAGCAGAGGAAGGTGGCATCTAACAAAAGCCCCTCGTAAAGAGAGAGGTCTGGCCTTTTGCGCCAAGGATTTCGGCTGACCAAAGGGGGCGCGTTCAGTTGGAGGAGAAGCCTGCCATGGCGGCGGAGCGCTGGAGAAACAGACTTTCAACACGAACTTTGCTGAGATGGCGTATTTGACGGCTGAAGATAGCCAATCCTCAGGTGTCTAGGGACGCCATTGGTGAACACGTGCAAACGGCACAAGGAAAGACAGTCTTATCCGAACAAAACCAACTGAGACCCAAACAGGTTCTTCTCGTCGACGTGCCATTGCGACATTGTCGCGGACCGCGGACAACGGCGGCAGAAGAGCAGGCTGGTTCAGAGCTGATTCGACCAGCCAGGCACATTTTTCAATGTCGTTGTTCACTCTGCAGTTTCTCACCACGGCTATCAGAGAGACACGTTGCAATTTCTCATTATTGCCAGACATGGCTGGCCTACGTCTGCCATGTGCAAAGTCGCCGATGCACACACAATCGTTATGAACGCTGCATGATTCCAGATTCACTCAAACTAGTAGAGATAACGCGCCGTCTGAGAATGGTAACATTCGTATCCCAGACTCACAGTATTCGTCGAGCATTATCGAAAAAGGGAGATGGCAACACCGCGGGCTATGGGTAGCATACTTCGCTTGCCTCGTGTGCGGAAGCTATGCTGTGTCGCGTCGCCAGCTGCATGTCGGTGCACATCCAAGGCAGCAACGTGGTTGGAAGAGAGACGTCCGACAGGACAAATCAGAGAGATTTGGAGGATGCGGACGGGTCCTTGAGGATCAGCATTCAAATCCATCAATATCGACTATTAACGCAGTTGGATTGATGCAGGGCGTATCCCGCGCGGTAGAGCATCAGATGAAAAAGAAGCAGTGAACAAGGTGTGGTATCGACGGATTGAGCCCAAGCATCTGTCAAGAAGGCTTGGGACGTGGGTCGGTTGCTTGTTGAGAAAGCTCGGTCGCATCCTTCAAAACACGAGTTGTGCGTTTGAGACTTGGCCGTACACCCATCATTGACTCGGCCAGCGGGATGCTGTTCCTGTGTGTTCGACTGAATCTCCCTGGGAAACCCAGAGAGAGGAGAGAAAGAGTGTTGGCGCAAGATGAGATGAAGTAGAAGTCGGGATGTGAAGGCCGACAAGAAGTGGGGAGGGTCCACGAAAGGAAAGTACAGACGACAGCTTTTTACACATTGAAGCCCGTCACCGAAGCTGGCCTATCGATAGACCCGATGCGATGTGGGTGGTTTCTTTGAGTCACGATTATTCATAGGGGCTCGAGAGACAGCTCTTTGTAAGAAACATCTCACACTCAGTCAAAGACGACAAAGTGCTCGAAGGAGAGAAAAATACAAGTTCGAAAAGACGACCTCGGCGAGCTTTCCCCGCATCTGACCTCGCACCTCGTCATCGTCAACAGCGTAGGCCTATCGAAAGCCGAGGACTTTTGTGTTGCAGCAGTTGAGCCACCTTCTGCCCGAACTTGCCATGACTTTCATCTCTCGAATCGTCGCAAAGCCTGCATTCAGGTCATCGTTCCAGCCAGTCACCCGTATCAGCATCGCCTCGAGATCATACGCCATGGGACACAGTGTACCTCCGGTGAGTCCCTGAAGACTCGGCCACTGTTCGAGCGCCAATGCTAACACAATCCCTACAGNNCTCAACGACCCGTCGCTGTTCAAGCAGCAGGCCTTTATCAATGGCAAGTGGGTCGACGCAAAGTCGGGCCAGACCTTTGACGTCCATGGTAAGACGCACCAAGGAGAGAGACGAAGGCCTCATGCTGACCCAATCCAGNACCCGGCAACACACAAGGTGATTGGCAAGATGCCTGAGATGAACAAGGAAGACGCCCAACTCGCCATTGACGCTGCCGCCGCCGCTTTCCCCAAGTTCCGCAAGACGACCGCAAGAGAAAGAGCAAAGATGCTACGCAAGTGGTACGACTTGATGGTGGAGAACGCCGAAGACATCGCAAGACTCATCACATGGGAGAACGGAAAGCCTATGGCGGATGCAAAGGGCGAGGCTGCATATGCCGCCAACTTCTTCGAGTGGTTCAGCGAGGAGGCCCCTAGAGCCTACGGCGACACCATCTCTGCAACCGTCGCTGGCAACAGAGTCTTCACCCTCAAGGAACCCGTCGGTGTTTGCGGTCTCATCACTCCTTGGAACTTCCCTGCCGCCATGATCACCAGAAAGATCGGTCCTGCCCTGGCAGCCGGATGCACTGTTGTTGCAAAGTCTCCTGGCGAAACTCCTTTCACCGCTGCCGCTTTGGCCGAGCTTTCCGTCCGCGCTGGTATCCCTCCTGGTGTCGTCAACATTATCACTGCCATGAAGAACACCCCTGAAGTCGGAGAGGCCATTACCTCGTCTGACATTGTCAAGAAGGTCTCCTTCACTGGCAGCACTGGAGTCGGCAAGCTGCTCATGAAGCAATCCGCAGACACCATCAAGAAGCTATCTTTTGAGCTCGGTGGAAACGCTCCTNTCATCGTCTTCGACGACGCCGATCTTGACACTGCCGTCAACGGTGCCATCGCTTCGAAGTTCCGTTCTTCTGGTCAGACCTGTGTTTGCGCAAACCGCCTTTACATCCAGAGAGGTATCTACGACAAGTTCGCCGAAGCCTTCGTCGAGAAGGTCAAGAACTTCAAGGTCGGCCACGGCTATGATGAGGGTGTGACCCACGGCCCCTTGATCCACGACCGCGCTGTCAGCAAGGTCGAAGCTCATGTCAAGGATGCCGTCAAGCAGGGTGGCAAGGTTCTTGTTGGTGGTCAGAAGCTCCCCGACCTCGGTGACAACTTCTTCCAACCCACTGTCATTCGCGACATGACTTCTGATATGGCGCTCGCCCACGAGGAGACTTTCGGACCTGTTGCTGGTCTGTTCCCCTTCGACACCGAGGCTGAGGTCGTCAAGCTTGCCAATGATTCCGAGGTCGGTCTTGCTGGCTACTTCTTCTCGCGCGATGTCCACCGCATCTACCGTGTAGCAGAGGCTCTTGAAGTCGGTATGGTCGGTGTCAACACTGGTCTCATCAGTGACCCTGCTGCGCCATTCGGAGGTGTCAAGCAATCAGGTCAGTGACTACTCGCCCCAGCTAGTGTACGCAAGCTAACTATCTTCCAGNGTTTCGGACGTGAGGGCTCGAAGATCGGCATCGATGAGTACATGGTTACCAAGATGGTTACTCTGGGTGGTATGGGACAGCCCNTGCAGGGCGAGTAGGATATGTTACGATAGATTCGCATTAACGACCATTTGTATATCACAGTTCAATCCTCAGGTTTTGCTCTCGTCATATGATAAGCAGATCCGATCACTTGATAAAACTTCCAGGGATTCACTCTCACTATTCGGTCCCTTCCAGTTGTTTTGGCGAGCCGTCAGCTTCCTCGGACTTTGACACTAACAATATCCAACACTTGACAATCACACCATCTTGCTTACCCCTCCGTTTGCCTTCAACTGGCGCCCACAATCATCAGAACCTTTCACTTCGTGCTTACTCAGAGTTCCTCGTGAAGTGACAACACTTGATCACTGAGGCTTACGCCGTCCTGGATTGGCATTCTATTCCTTCAATCAGACTTCGGAAACGCGACACCGGTCAGTCACCCTGCAAGCTCGGCTCAAAATGTCACCTCGATACCCACGCAGGAGCAAGGTGCAGAAGTGGACTCGCTATACTCGCAAAGGCAACCCGTTGGGCCAACAGAGGATGAAGCTGGTCTTCAAGTTCGCCAAACACATCATCCAATCCTTCCAAAATGCAGAGCATGCCTACGTTCAGCCCTTTCTCGAGCCGGTCGGTCCAGAAACAGACGACGCCCCGGACTACTACACAATTATCAAGTACCCGATGGATTTGTCTACGATGTTGGAGAAGCTCGAAGATGGAGATTATCGCGACATTGGTGATGTCAAAACGTCCTTTGGTCGAATGTTTGCCAACTGCTTCAGGTACAACCAACCGGGCAGTGAGGTCTATCAAAGGGGCAAGAGCTTTAGACGGGCGTTCCGCAAGGCTTGGGTCGAGAAAGATGACTGGATCGAGGCACAAGCTGCTGCCTCATACGCAATTGGAAGTGACGACGAGAGTGAGGATGAGGACAACAGCAGTGAAGAAGTTGTGCACGAGACATCAGACGATGATCGAGTAGAAGACACGGGCGAGATCGATGAGGACACCACAGAGGACGACGAGAGATCTAACACCAGTCTTCTCAGAAGACGTCGAAGATATGTCCTGGAAAGCGATGAATCTGAACAGGACGGCGCGCCCAAGAAACCCGAGCATAAGAGCAGAGCTCGGAAGAAGGATGGTTCGAAACAGCATTTTAACACCACTAACACTTCAAACAATCTCAACATCAACAACAAAAGACCCTTGGACACCACTTCACCGACCGAAGAGCAAATCACGACTTCTCCTCAACATCAAGCATTCTCGCCTGAACACCCGACCAAAACACAACTACCCTCCTCTCCTGAGAACCAAGCAGTGTCGCCTGAACACCAAGCCAAAAGACCTCGTCTACAATCCAACCCCGAAACCCCTCCCCGTACTCCGACTCAACGACCATCAACTCGACTACCACCATCCCCACTACCACCAACCCAACAACAGCCAACTCAACAACCACTTACTCACCAATCACCTACAACTCGGCCATCGCCTCTAACTCAACAACTAACCCAAGAGTCCCCACAACAGCCCATCCCAGAAGAAAAGTACACCTCCCTCCTCCCCGTGTTGCCATCCCTTGGACTAACAAGTCGACCTCTCAACATAGCTCTCCTCACCTCATTGCTTTCCAAACCACGCTCTCCGGACTGGTCACGACACGAATCACCGCCCTCGCCACTAGCGTCACCGCAAACACCTCCGGAGAACTCACCCAGCATCAAGGATTTTGGAATCTGCTCTACAGCCAAGAAAGACGCGCAATATTCGAGCAGGTCTGCAAGGCCAAAGTCATGCCAAAGGTCCACCGAATGCAGATTCAGGAGATATATGGCGGAGCAATCGGGAAGGAGGTCAAGTCGGCTTTCGAAGAGACGGTTACAGAGCGAACTCAGGTGTTGTGCGAGGAAAACACTCGGGAGTGGACTTTGCGTGGTGCTGGCCTTTCGAGGGTTTTTGGTAGACAGGGTGGAGGCATGGAGAATGCGTAGAAGGATTCAATCTGGGAGCATGAAAGATAACTGCCCAATCAACTCAGGACTAAGACAAACAGCTAAATCTGCATCAAATGCTCGTATACAACTACCACCACAAACAAAACACCTCAAAGCTTAACACCACCACCTACAACATTATCCCAATCCTTCTTGCCAAACTCCTCATATGCCTCAGCCCCCACAGGCAACCAAAACAACCCATCCTCCCCAACTTTACCAGGATCCACTCCTTGTTCTCTCAACCCATGTTTAGTATACTTTGCCGTGCCCGTAACCTCAAACGCCGTCACCACCCTCAAGAACAGCGGAATCGCAAATTTGGGCATCTTTTCTCGCGCATGTGCTGCAATCTCCTTGAGCACTTGAGTAGAAGGTGGAGACTTTAGCATTACAGCCGCGCAGCCGGTACGGCCATCGTGGTTGGGCAAGGCAACGCCATACACATTGATTTCGTCAATGTGAGGGGATGTAGATAGAGCTTCGGCGACTTCGTTTGTGCTGACGTTTTCTGATTTCCAGCGGTATGTGTCGCCGATTCTGTCGACGAAGAAGAGGCGGCCTTCGGGGTCTTTGCGTAAAAGGTCGCCGGACCGATACCATGCATCCCCCTTCTTGAACACATCGCGCAGGATCTTGGAGTCGGAGGCTTTNTGATTGCCATAGTAGCCCACGTATTTGTCGCGGATATTGGTGGGGTCTAGTGCGTTGATGTATTCGCCTGGTTCTCCTGAAGCGACCCTCTCGCAAAAGTTTGAGGTGTTGCGATACGGCTCGCCGGTCTCGACATCGTGTTTGACGATTGCGGTTTGGCTGCCCATGAGGGCTTGTATGGCTGTTCCTGCTCTGCCCACAGCTCCCAGACCGAAACTGTTCTTGCTCTTGATGAAACTGCCGCCTACGGCTTCAGTGGCAGAGTAGAATTCGGCAATCTCGAGGATGTTGAAGCGTTCCTTGAACTTTTGCCATACGTCTGGACGCAAGCCGTTGCCAAAGGCCATGCGGATGGTGTGGGATTGGTCGAAGGGCGAAGGGGTNGTGCTGAGCAGGTATCGGCACATTTCGCCAATGTACTGCATCATTGTTGCTTTGGAAGCTGTGGCCGAGGCGAAGAAGGTCTTGGGCGAGAAGTGGTAGGAGAGGATGGTTGTGGCGCCTGCGTGCAGGGCGACCGAGACGTTGAGGATGCTTGCCGAACTGTGGTAGAGAGGCATTGCCNNTGAATGGTTGTCAGTCTTCTTTGCTTCAAGAGTAGAGGCAGAAGCACTTACGGTGTAGTATCGATCTGTGGACTTGATGCCGAGCCAGTTGCTGACGGTCCTGCCAGACAGCAGGAACTTCTTCCACGGGACGACAGCAGGTTTGGGCAAGCCGGTGGTTCCAGAGGTAAAGATGAGCACAGCCGTGTCTGTCATCTGGGCTCCTCCTCGCTCTGCATCAGGCACTCTCAAGCCCGTCGCCGCAAGAATCCTGCTCTCGATGATCTCATCCAGCACGACTGGCGATACCGAGTTTCCCAGCTCTTGTTGGACGTCGTCGGTCAATGCCTCTTGGATGGCGGGATCCACAATGAACAGCCTAGCCTCGCAAGCCTTGACGCAATGCAGCATGGCCTTTCCGCGCAGATTTGTGTTGATGAATGCCGCCTTTGCACCCAGCGAGAAGAGAGCAAACCACAGGTAGACGAATTGAGGCTTGTTGGTAAAGTTGATGGCGACCATATCCCCCTTCTTGACACCATGCTCTTGCTTCAGCCATGCGGCAAACTTCAGCACCGTCTCGTAGACATGTTTGTAGCTCAGCTCTGTTGCCTGCAAGCCCTTCAAATCTGCTGGAGCCGAGACGTCTTTGGGGATGTGCGGCGGAACGGCGAGGAAAGAGCGGTCGCGTGTCTTGTGATCGAGGGCGTGTCTTTCGAGTTCGTAGAAAAGGTTGACGCGGTCGTTCTTGACGCAGTTCCTGACGTACAGCGCGCCGACTATGGTGGCCTTGAGCAAGTCGTAGTCATTGGGCCAGCTGGTTTTGGCTCGGAGGTAGGCAATCGATGCTGCTGCCGCTGGGACTGCGAGGGTCAAGGGTAGTGCTGGGAGCCGAGTCAGCAGGACTCGGTAGCCAATGGCCTCGAGGACTCGACATACCAGCCATGTCTGTCTATATCCACCTTTGTCTATGAAGACGTCTAGTATCTACGCTTGTCACAAAGAAGTATGATGTGGTAGAGGGAAATTGGGATGAGCAGGCAGAGAGCGACAAGTCAACCACAACCGCCTACCTCGAAAGCTACCTACCCCGACCATTACGCTCATCCTTTGGCAAGTGCCTCTTCCGTAACGGCAGTCAACTGGTCCGAGGGATGGTCTTGCTGGTACCCATCGCATTTCCCGTCTAAGAAGTGGCGCCCGTGACGGAAGAGAGGGGCGCGACAAACAACAAGCCGAGGCTCGGCTGCAATGCCCGCCTGAATTGCTGGGCATTCAAGACAACTACCTCTTTGCCTGGACAGATTCCTCAAGCCTAGCATACGCCTCGAGCACGGTATCAGGCACATCGACGTGCCCGATGAATCCCTTTCCTCTTGGTCCATAGCCCGACTCGTCATCTCTCAATCTAACAATCTCCCCAAGNATCAATCCCAAAAATCTGTCCATATCCCACAACTCGTCCTCTGTGACATCTCCACCACCCCTGAACCTCAATCTGCCCTCCACCTCTGTAACCATAGGCACAAAAGTAGGACAAGCCTCAAACACCACTCCATCACCTTCAAAAGCTTTCTCAAATGACATCTTTGTCCGCAAACTCATCGTCGGATCCTGGATAATCAGGACCTTGCCTCCAGACACCAGTAACCCATTGTTCTGCAACAACTTTCTCGTTTCTGTAGCATTGGCACCGCAGTTGGTACTTTTGTCTTCCACCAGCACCTTCACACCAGAGTTTCGGGTATTGCTTCCAGAAAAGCAGGCATCGAGGATCTTTTCCATAACTTGAGCTTCTGGCAGTCCATTGATCTGTTCAGCGAGATGGGTATAGCGAGGGTTCTTCGCCACTGCGGCGTAGAGGTGAGGTGTCGAGTGGCCGATGCCACCGCAAAGAACGAGTGTGGACGTGAGATCTGGACCTTGTCGTCGAAGGGCTTCGAAGAGTGTTTCGGCACAGTGAAAGATGGCGCTGACGCAAAGCACAATGGTGTCGTAGCGTTGAGAGTTGTCTGTGACTGGATCCAGTCGTACTTGCTCGTGGGAGAGAAACGTCGAAACGATGTTTGTGTCTTCCGCAAGAGTCATCTTGACGAGTATTTGTAAGTTACGGGGTAATAATGCAGAAGTGTTCAATGTCAAGGAGAGAATGATGCAGGTGTCCTGAAGATGACGCTGGAATTTAGACGAAAACAAAAGACGATTCCGTCGTCCCAAAAGCACATCTTGCCGGTATCTGGAGACATGGCAGAAAACACCTTACTAAGTTGGTCCAGACTGATGTCTATAGGAAGGACATGCGAGTGCTTATGTGCAAGAGCATGATGGTAGAATAATACAGCCAGGGTGACATATATAACCAGAAGACTTGAGCCTCGGCATCCCCATTGCTCCCCACATCTCTCCATTCAAGGACTCATCTCAAGAGACCGCGAAACTCATCAATCAATCTTATAAATTTGAAAGCTCGAGAAAAACAATGTCAGAAACAGAGGCCNCCTGGCAGTCGATCGCCCGTCGCAAGCAGCAAGAGCAATCGGATGCAATTCCCAAAGACTGGATCCTCAAAACTCGTCCAGCAGCCAACCGCAGCAATGTCTTGGCCATACCTCGAGAATGTAATGTCCTGAGCGCTCGAGAGATTGAAGTTACGGAGAGATATGATGCTACCGCGTTGGTGCAAGAGCTAGCAGCGAAGAGGCTGAAGAGCGTGGATGTTGTTACTGCGTTCTGCAAACGAGCAGCTATTGCTCAGCAACTGGTAGGTCGCTTCTGTCTTAGTTCACAAATAAACACACACTGATGAGATTGCAGANCGAGCTGTCTGACTGAAATCATGTTCGAGGAAGCAATCGCCAGGGCAAAACAGCTCGACGAACACCTCGACAGGACCGGCAAGCCCATTGGCCCTCTACACGGCTTACCCATCTCAGTCAAGGACTCTTTCAAAATCATTGGACGAGACGCTTCCATTGGATATGCATCTTTGTGCTTCAAACCTGCAGAAACTAACTCGGCATTGGTTGAAATGCTTCTCAAGGCAGGAGCCGTTATTCATTGCAAGACGAACATTCCTCTTACTCTGCAAGCGCTCGATTCTCACAACAATGTCTTTGGCCGTGTACTCAATCCTGCAAACCTGAATCTCACTGCTGGCGGTAGTTCAGGTGGAGAAGGAGCATTGATCGCAATGCGCGGCAGTGTCTTGGGCGTTGGCACAGATGTGGGAGGCAGCATCCGCATACCAGCAATGTGCAACGGACTAGTAGGACTGAAGCCTAGTCATGGCCGCATACCATACGCCGGACAGGAGAACGGCAGTGTTGCTGGCACCGAAACTCTGGGAATCAGATCTGTCGCTGGTCCCATTGCCCACAGCGTCAGAGACTGCGAGCTGTTCTTCAGAGCCATCGGAGATCTGGAGCCGTGGGCATTCGATCCCGAGTGCGTTGCTCAGACTTGGGAACAGCAAGTTGTGCGCAGTGCTCTCAGGACGCCATCACTGTCTGACCATATGAGAAGGCTGAGAGTAGGCATTGTGAAGACTGATGGCATCACCACCCCTCTTCCACCTATTCAAACAGTAATGGAAGAAATTCGCAACGCTCTGAAGAGTAATGCCGCCATTGAAGTCGTGGAGTTGGACATAACCTCTCTGCTTTCACAATGCCAGACAATTGCCAACGGCTTGTTCGGAGTCGATGGCGCAAACACACCGTTCGATCTCATGGAAGCCACCTCGGAGCCGATATCCCCGTGGCTCAAGTCACGCCTGCGCCGCAAGAAGAGTCTCACAGCGGAGAAGATACGTGATCTTCAAGCAAGAAGGAACGAACTGCAGACGCGCTTCCTCGATATCTGGAAATCAGACGGCGGTCACTGGAAGGATGCAACAGGAAGCGCCGGCAGCCTGGATGTCTTCATTTGTCCTTTAGCGCCTCATCCTACACCAGCGATCGATACTTGGAATACCGTCTCGTATACTTCATCGTTCAATTTACTCGACTATCCAGCGGCAACGCTGCCTGTCCGACCCATCCGAAGTTCGGATCTCAATAGTAAGATATCCGATCAAGACTCGGCACCAAATGGTTGGGAGAAGTATAATCGCAAGCTCTGGGATGGCGATCGTAACGTATTTCTCGGCGGCACATTGTGTGTGCAGGTGGTATCTCAGCGCAAGCAGGAGCGGGTGTTGTTGCAAGCGTTGACGAAATTGCAAGATTCGCTTGCAGTGCTAAAGGAAGATAAGGCGGTGAAGTCGAAATTGTAGATGTGACTGGTAGATATCGGGTAGCAGCAGCAGCAGCAGCAGCAACCAGAGACCAAGATGTGTTCGACGACTCATTGTAGTGGAGGAGCGGCATATTACAGCAACCATACACGCATATCTGTAGCAGCTGCATATCGGTCAATGGATCTCATGCAGTCGCGGCTTCACGTAAAATGCAGTGTGGTGTAACGTGGAAGTCTCGATCTCCTCTGCGTGCTTCAAATCTCTTGCCGACGGTGCAGCCGAGGACAACAAAATTGACTCTTCCCATGCCTGCAGAACGTGACATGTCTCTTGAAAGTTGGAAGAAAGCTCTGTTTGATTAAAAGAAATGGAAACATCGACGGACCCTGCTTAGTTTAGGGCCGTGTCGTTCTCCCGGGTCGTCGAGATCCACTTTTGATTTGACAGCGCCGAGACCTTNTGACACTTCTGCTGCACGTCACCTGTTTGAGAAGGAAATGACTCGTCTTTGTTGATGCGACTTTCCGTTCAATGAAGCGGTCACTTGCATGAAGTTGATATGTTTTGGACGCTCGAGTCTCTCAACAATGCCTTGTCGTCGAAGGACAGCGTGTTTGAATCCAACCATGCCGTGAAGCAAGCCCTCGATAGCTGTTGCCTCCACCTCATCGATACCTGACTTCATGGCCCAATCAGTCTTTTGCCGNNACCGGCACGTCCGCATACGAAACCGCGACTCCAATCGAGTCGNTCGTTCCACAGGCGGGGTTCACGCCACGGGCGGAGGTCGGAAAGAAACAGACGGTGNCCATGTGGCCGTATGCACATCATGCACGTAACAGGTGAACAAGGGCACTCAACGGTCGTGCCTGCTTGCGGTCCTCGAGAACAGTTCGCACGTTTGTTTGCGCAACCAAAAGCCGAGTCTCGAACGTTGCAATCGCTCGAGCTCGTGATGAACATCCATCCATTCAACGGCTATACCAGCCAAGTATTCACGGAAGAAAGAAACAACGTGGCATTCTTGAGGAATGTCAGCTTGGGCGCCGACGAGCTGGACAACCCAATAGCTGCTCAGCCTACCACGTCGCGCCAGAAGAGATGCTACGCCACTAGATCAGGGGTCAACCAGATCGTATCGTTTCCATCCCGGTTCCCGACTCAGTCTTCGTCGCCCCAGAGTACTTCCAGAGTGCTTGAACTTTGGAGGCATGCACTACGCAAGCTTCAATCACACCTCCACAAGAGACAAGTCGTCAACCATCTAATACGCACCGGCCCGCGACGGCGCTAAACAGAACTTGGCTACTCGACTATCTATGATCACCAACGGGGACGCAGCCGAGTGGAGAGATGGTGCAATTTTTCAATAGCAGAGATCGACACCCGCACACCTTCGGCCACATGCCAACAGTGGCCATGCAAAGACTGCATGCATTGGCTCGCCTTACCAAACGAGTAGTATGTATTAACAAAGAAGATTAAGCTAGGTCGCTCGGCATCAAAGAAGAACTAATGACGCGTGGTGTGGAATGTTGAGGGGGCTGTCTAAGGGCAGAAGATGGGACTCTTGCCCTCCAGTCTCTTTGTTCATAATCTCGACCCTCTTTCTGTCCCACTCATGGAGTGATGTCCCTCGTTTGAAATCTTGTCCTTCCAAAGAGAAGCCCGAGTCAACCTCACCTTGTTGCCACTCAACCACACGATGGCTTCGCGCCTTACACCAGCGACACAGGCCCCGGATGGCCACATTAGCAACCTCATCAATCCTGCTGGTGTCGGGTTTCGCATCACCATCACCAACATTGTCTGCATAGTTCTCTTCATCATTGTAGTAGTTGTTCGTTTGATTACGCGAGTATTTCTTAATAGATCATTTGGTCACGATGACTGTGAGTACACTCACTTACTTCCTGCTAAGAAGTGTAACGGAATACTGATATCAAACTAGNCACTCATCCTATTTGCCACTGCCTCATTCTTGGCCATCATGGGCATCTTTCAATGGATGGTATCACTAGGTCTAGGGAGACATCTCTGGGACGTACCTCTGGAGAACTACTCGCCACACTTTCTTCGCGCCTGGCTTACAGTCGCCGTACTGTACTCGGTGTGTATGCTCACCATGAAGCTGTCCGTGCTCATGCTGTATCGTCGACTCTTTCCTATCCAGAACTTTCGTCTTCAATGGTGGTGCGCCTTCTGCTTCGTCAATGCTTACAGTGTGATGTTCATCTTTGCATCACTATTCTCTTGCTCGCCGATCTCAGCAGCATGGTACGTCCCCAATCTTACACACTTTGCGACTTGAACTTACAAGACTCAGGNNGACATCTCTGTATCAGAGCACAAATGCATCAACCGAACAGCATTATATATCGCCTACACTGTCATGAACAGCATCAGCACATGGTGGATATTACTCATGCCCATGCCAATCGTCTGGAGTCTCGCCCTGAAGAACGACCAAAAATACCTTCTCACCTCTCTCTTCGCCCTCGGCTCATTACCTTGCGTGACCAGCATCGCCAGACTAAAAGTCTTGGTCGACTGGCTTCACCACGGGGCAAACAACAACGACATAACATACACATTATGGAATATCGTCATCTGGACGTGAGTACTGCCATGCCTCTCACCACAGCGAAGTACATCTGCTAATGTCAACCTACAGCNNCAACTCGAACTCACCGTCTGCATGATATGCGCCTGCGGCCCCACCCTCCGCACCTTCGTCGACCGTCAAATAAAAATCGTAAAAACCCTTACCAGCGAGCGCAGCTGGAGCAAATCCTGGGTGTCTCGCAGCTGGAGCAAGAGCTGGGGAAGCAATTCTTCCTCACACTCACACTCACACTCACACTCACACTCACACTCTGCCTCACACCACCACTCCTATGCCACCGATACCAGTATCGCAAAATCTACTCGANGGGGTAGTGATGCAAGTCACCTGCCCAATTTTATCGAGTTAATACAGGGTAGAGGAACAAAGAATAAAGCGCTGATTACGAGTCGTGATGTTGGTGCTGATTCGGCGAGTATGGAGCATATTGTTGATGAAGAGGAGTATCATGTTAGACCTGATCAAGAGGGGATCATGGTGCATACGTCCTATCAGGTTAGGACGGTGAGGGAGGATGTGTAGAAGACGATGCTTCATTCTCCCTTTTCTCTTTTGATCGCTTGGTTTTGGTCTGGCTTGTTTAATTTGTTTCTTGTGATACCTTGTTCTGTCCCTGCATCTTTCAGAACTCACTGTTGCCTTGTTGTATGTGGTGTATATATATCAGATAGATTGACTCTTATCGTCTCCTAGAATGCAACATCTGGGTTGTCTTTTCTTTGAACTCGGTCCCCGTTGCTCGAACAATATTGCACAAGATTGGCAGACTATAGGTTGGCTGTGAATCGTAAGATTTTCGAGAAGGGGATTACGGGAGCTCATCAAATCTTAACACAAATACCGTCACAAACGGTTATGTAGTAGGTTGTCTGTTGCTTGAATGACACGAGGAGAGAAAGAGGAGAATGTAAAGATAGAGATCAAAGAAGATAACCCGTCTTTGGCTGTCGTACAAAAGGGTGGTAATCTAAGAAAGAGACGAAAAAGAAGAACTAGAGAAAATGCATCTCTCGGGAATCTGTCGTCCGTCAAACTCATCAAAAAGACAATCTAAGCAAACAGCCTTATCCTGCCCTACACTTGCTGCTGTCGACCTCTTTTCTTTGAAGAAAAGACCAGAAAAGGAAACGCCTGCCAACACCATGCTCAATGCTACATGAAAGGGGATGGGTAGAAAAGAAAATAAAAGCAAACATCGTCTAGTTCTCGCCAGACATGCGTGGCCCGGGAAGATCAAGCGAGTTAGGTCTGGAATTCTGGTTCACGATTGTGGTCCTGTTCCTTGATTTGCCAATGGAATGCACCGAGATCGCCGGAGACATTGGACGCGGCGGAGGTGATTGATTTTGTGTTGGCGATTCTTGCATTTGTGGTGGAGGTTGCGACATAGGCTTGGGCTGAGGCTTCTCTGCCATGGGGCTGACATCTTCGTCAACCTCGATAATAGGAGGGCAGTACTCCTTCAGGACCTTCTTGAGTGCCGGTCGTCGAATAGGCTTGCTGAGGAAGTAGTTCATGCCTGATTCGAGACAATCCTTGACATTGCTCTCCTCAGCAAATGCAGTAAGGGCAACAATGGGAGCATCATAACCCAGGTCACGGATGAGTCGTGTTGATTGAAGTCCATCGAGATTGGGCATCTGAACATCCATGAAAATGAGGTTGTAGGGGTGTCGGCCAGGAATAGTCATGCTTTCCTTGACAAAGTCTAGGGCTTCCTGGCCATCCTTTGCGACGGTCACGTCGTAGATATCCTCAAGCTTCAGCATACGCAGAACGACCTCTTGATTCACCTTGTTATCCTCAGCAACAAGCACGCGAATCTTGCCAGTCTCTTTGACGTCCTTGGTGATTTTTTCCATTGCTGCTGCTTGAGAGCCAGGCGACTCCATAGCTTGGTTGGATGAGAAGAAGGGCTGACTGAGGCCGACCAGGCGAGGCTGTGCATCCATGGAGTAGTTTTGTACATTGGGAGCCTGGGCCTGAGCGATCGTTGGCGACTGACCAGTACTAGTGTGTGAATGACCTGATCGGTGTGATTGCGCGTCGTCGGTGATGAGTTGACTGACGCGCTGTGGCGAACGGGATCCTTCCAGTCCTAGCCCGACATCGTTACTGTTACCAACGACCGAACTCGCGGTACTGTCAGATCTGGTTACAATGTGTCGAAGAGGTATACGCATGGTGAATGTACTGCCGCGCCCCAATTCACTGTCCAATTCGATGGTGCCTTGCATAAGTGTGGCCAGTTGAGAGCAGATACTTAGACCCAGGCCGGTACCGCCGAACTTTTTGCTGAGGCCAAGATCGCCTTGGACAAACGGCTCGAATATGCGTTGCTGAAGATGTTCTGCAATACCCGGTCCGGTGTCCGTGACCTCAAACTCGAACAGGAAAGTTCTTCCGGGTGGTGGAGATGCTGGTCTTTCCGAGGCAAGAATGTGTGCATAGGCGTCGGATCTTTCGCGGTAAGGATTGATCTCGTTGGCAGTGGCGGAGTTTTTAACTCCGAAAGGTCCGGCAAGCGAAGCATCAGAGTTCTTGTGTCTGCTAGAGAGGGGCTTTGAGCTCTTAGATTGCATGGATGTCTTGCGGCTGTTGGCTTCAGCTTCGCCGGTACAGCGAACAGTCAGTACGACTGAGCCACCAGCGGGGGTAAATTTCAAACTGTTCGAAACCAGGTTGATCACCACCTGCAAGATACGATGGACATCTCCCCAGAGAATCATGTCTTTCACGCGTCCCGTACCAGCTGGACCGTACTGAGTACGCTCCTCGTCCGAGGGGAAGACTATGCCGTTCATTGCTTCGGCACCTTGGAATTCAACACGAAGACTGATCTGTCCTTCCTTGGCCTGTTTGTCGAAAATAGCCAGGACCTGTGAGCTGATTTCGCGCAGTCGGAACTCTTTAGAATCAAGACTCAGTTGCTGACCGACCTGGTTCTTGCTGAAAGTGAGAAGATCTGTCAGAAGGTTGAGAAGGAGGTCACCGCTCTTGTAGATGATGCCCAGAGATCTCTTCAACTTCATCGGGTCCTCTTCTTGCATGCAGACGGCACACATGCCCAAGATACCATTCAAGGGAGTCTTGAGTTCGTGCGAAATATTGGCAATGAAGAGCGTTTTGCTCTCGTTGGCCGCTTCAGCAGCCTTCTTGCTGAGCTCCAGTTCTGCCGTGCGTTGCTTCACTCTTTCTTCTAGACGTTCGTACTGCATCATAAGCTCGTCCGACATCTCGTTGAAAGTCCGCGTAAGATCAGTCAACTCGTCCTGAATACAGGTTTTGCGTTCCTTGACCTTTCCAGGGATATGGAACTGGCGCCTTCGGTGTTCCTCTTTTCGTTCTTTCCGCGACTGCTTGTTTCTCGTGTTCCAGCTACTGACAGTAGCGAAGAAACCTTCTTTGCGAGCAATGACCGCATCTGCTTGCTCATCATTGCTTCCATCGCCGTCATTGTTGTTGAACATGTCGTGGGAATCCCGGCTGTAGTTGCTCTCCGAGTATCCCATAGGCAATACAGATCTGCGTGTAGCCTCCCGAAGCCTTCTGATAGGAGCGCTTGCAAAGTGGGCAAGCGGCCAAGCGAAAAGCATCACGCCGCCTAAGACCGAGAAGATGCATGTTAAGAGAACTTTGCGCAAATGGCGAATTGGCTGCCAGACTTCGTACTTGTCTTGTTCGACTATCACAACCCAATCGACGAGTGAGGTGTCCGGGATGGCGAACCCAACAGAAACCCCTTTGCCAGCTTCATCGTGGGTGCTGATATCACCNCCAGCATTACTGATCGCATGTTGGTCCTCGGTAAGAGCGGTGACAACAGCCGGATAGCTTGTAATGTTGAAATCTGGAGGATTGACGTTGCCGGAAGATCCGGGATGACGATACGCAAAGTCATCGGGTAGAGGCCAGATGTAGTGTCCTTGAACGTCAGCTGGGTCGACTGTCCCAGGGTCGGCAGAGTTATAAATTAAGCCCTTGGGAAAGTGGTTGGTAGTATTAGCAGGGCCGACAACAAGAGTCAGTCCGGTAGAGCCTAGACCCTCGGCGGAAGCGAGGACACTACCAATCAAACGTGCGTCGCAGACAATGGTCAACCATCCCAGGACATCTATAGCTGAGGTGTTGTTGATGACAGGCATGGTAAGAGACAACAGACTGAAGGTGGAGTTGACGGAGTAAGGACCCAAGAGCAAGGTGGAATTGGGGGCACGCAATACCTCACCGTTATAGAAGGCCCGGGACTCGCTGTACGAGCTGTTGATTGGGACAGAGAAGTAAGTCAGGTTGGGATAGAGCTCAGGGGGNTAGCCGTAGTCGGTGTCGCTCAAATAGACGTCGCTTCCATTGGGTGCCTTGTAGGGAAGAAGAATGGTTTCGAGATTCTCCGAGGTAGAGTTCATGACCGAGTAGCGGCCATTGGGACCATTCGCATCGCGAGGGAAGATTTTGCCCTGCAGCATGAGGGCCTGGCCGACAGCGCCAGAAACGGGACCGGCGATGGCAGCGCTAAAGTCTGATTGAGCAGAAGCCCAGTTTGCCGCGGTGTTGTTGCCTTGCTCGTTGTACCTCTTAAGGGCGTTTTGCATGACAATTCGACTCGAGACAAGTTGGACACTGTTCTGAATGAGGGCCAGGTTGGAAGCGATCTGGGCTGCTTTGAGCGATGCGGTCAGGGAAAGTCTGGTGGTGCGGATCTCGAGGATGAAGTTATGGCTGGTGTANCTGTTCGACGAGTCAGTGCATGGTCGTGTGTACAAGAGCGTCTGACGGGGACAAACCCATGTTGCTATGGATATGACAGCGAGGCCTATGGCAGCGGCCAGCAGGATCAGACCAGCGAGCTGCTCTCTGATGGGGATGCGCATCTTGACAGACTCGACGAGGGCGCAGCCTCTGGTGCGGGAAAAGAGGGACGACGCAAAGGCCGTGAGCGTCAGCCGAGGACGAGGACAAGGTCGGGGTAGAGTCGAGTCGCGGCAAAATACGAACGCTGTCAGCGTGCGACGTGATGGCCAAAGAAGTCGCCGGCGCAGGGCGTGAACATGAAGGAGCGTTAGGCGACGGGCAGTCAGCGGGAAACGAGAGGAATGCGGACAGCGACGACGAGCGTAAGCGAAAAGACGCCCGTACGAGGAGGATGTGCAAAGCACGAGTGAAGCGGCTCAGCACAGCGACCAGCCTAGACAGCAGCGATCTGCCGATCAGAAAAGCAACTGGTGGGGGATGCCTGATCCGACGAAAGTCAAAAGCTCCTTTCCTACAGTTGCAAGCGAGGGCCAAGCGTGTTGTTTTTGGTGTCGCTGGAGATGCGAATGAGACAATGAACAATGGACGTGTTGGACGTGGACGAAGACAGCGACCGAGAAACACAGGACGGAACAGGCGGTTCTCAGGGACGGGATAGAGAGACTAATAGGACGAAGGATACCTAACCGATGGGTACCAACTGTGTCGCTTCCTTGCCCTCGGTTTGGACACCAAGAAAACACGACCGACAACCTTCGACTTGCTGTCCAAACGCGCTGCGGCTCCCGCAACCTAATTTGGATGTGCTCTCAAGGAATGCAACTGCCAGTTGCACGCCCTTGGCACGTGTACAGCGCATGAATCCGCGTTACCCTCACAGGGCTCTACAGATCACATCCATCAACTCTCTATTTCTTCTGCCTTCTGGCTCTTCCATTGCTTGACATGTATCTGTCATGTCGTTTTGCTCGCACCACAGGCTGCGCCTCTTATCTCCCTGCTTGAACCTGCCGTTGAACGTCTACCGGGCGTCGTCTCACATCTGCAGGGTTCCACCAAGATCGATTTGTTGCGATGCACCGCGCTCGACGAGTCTCGATGAAACTTGCTTGATGCATGCATCTCACAGCAACACTCGACAGCGAACGTTCTGTCAAAGATGCTAGCCATTTACACCGACCTCCAGTGCTCTCTACTCGAACACTGCCAATGCACAGTACGCCTGAGGAAAATCAAACGCCCGCATCCCGCCTGTCAAAGCCCCATGTGTCCGCAATCATCACTTTGACGAAGGTGGAGATTGAGTGCTTACCTGCAATATAGCGACAAGAAACTGACCAGTGCAATACACGACCTCAACGATTAGATGGGATAACCCTTTTGACGATTCCTCGCGCTTGTATACGAGTCATCATGACTTGTCGATGCGCCGATGAATCGACAATGAGGAGCTTCACAAGAACAAGCAAAGAACATGTTGTTTGAACTTTGCCCTGACGGACCGGCGCTGTCACCAAAAGTCCGCCCGCCACTAACGAAATTTGTCTGGCGCTAATTTGCACTGAACGCATGCCGCTAGCCGCTTGCATTCTACCTATGTATTCTTCGGCTACTGCAGTCACCGGTAATGGATAAGGGAATTGTAACGATCTCCCCTATGAAATTTGATGCCTTCGCTCATGTCCGGCCGTCGGCTTCTCGAACCATCTGGCAGCGACTTGACAACAAAACTTCGCAACGTCGATCTCGAGGCTCGATCTCCATCATTGCTCGATCACTATTGCTACTCAAAAACACGACATTGTTGCAAGTTTCTCGCGTTCGGCAACACCTTCATGGCATGTCACTGTTGGCGCAGAGATCTGAAGAAGAGCACCAAAGCATCTCCAGGGAACATTCAACCATCTCGAATTCCGTCGTTAAGTTGATATGTTGATCGCTCGGCTCTTATATGGAGTTCTCAGTTCTGCAAGCGTATACAGCCAGTACCACCCGAGGTTGCAGATCCAAGGCATTATCTTGTAGGTACCTCAAAGTGCCGGCTCCCTTCCGGAAGGCATCACACGAGCTGGAACGTTTGCTATACCACACATAACCTTGTTTTGCCAAGAACAATCTCGTAACCCTAACTAATATTGGTCACAACACTTCTGTGTACTCCAACGACTAGGGAGGCGAGGCTGAACGTCTGGAGACACTTTCCGAATGCAACTGCGATACAGGAAAGATAGGACCTTAACCCTTGACATGTTTCGCTCTCAGAGGTTTTCAACAAGCCATAACAGAACGCCCAAGAGCCCAGAATTGACAATGCTTGGCCACTGGTGAAGTTTGACTCAGCGACCTCAAAGCCACCGTCTTGTCGTCTTCTACGAAACCACTGCCACGAGCGGAGGTCTAGGCGCCAACGCCTTGGAGGCACCACCAACCTGCACCTCTCACGCGTAAGCTGCATGTCTTTGATCCCGACCCTGGTTGTTCACGAGTGTTCGCACGTAGACGACGGTGTGGCACAAGCAGACAGTGCTCAGCCACAGGCCTTTGTCACTTAAGCGATGTCCTTCATTCACTACTAAGTAAAAAACCAGCTTGCAGCCCTCGATGCATCACTCTGGCAATACAAAAGTCCAAGACCGGAGGCTCAGAACATCTGATGTAAGCGAACTGACTGATGATGCATACTGTCCGTTACTCCAACGCCGACTACAGCTTGGGAGTTGACGTATCCGAGATACGTTGTCCAGCCTCGTTGAGACGAATCTGGGTACCTTTGACCAGNCCGATTTCGACCGCCTTTACAGCGTTGCGTAGGTTCAATGAAAGCCTCATGTCGTCTAGACAAGCGGCAGCAAATTCATTGGCTTCTCCCACAAATGCCTGTTCGAAGCGGCCATAGTAGTGAGCTGGAACTTCTCGAGTCACTCCTTGTGGCCCATAGTAGTTGACCAAGTTCTTCTGAGGGTTTCCGTTGACAGCCAATTTTCCTGTGGTACCGATAATCTCCGTCACATCTTCTTGGCCGTATGCCATCATTCTCGAGCAGTAGAAGTTGGCAACTCTGTCATCCCAGAACTCGACGATGCCTAAGGCGTTGCCAAAGTCGTTGTATTTGGCCAGCTCGGACTTGATTGCTCGTACACCGTATGCAGAGACACTCTTCTCACGGATGTCATCGCCGAAGAACCACAGGGCAAGGTCAATGTCGTGAACCGACATGTCGACAAACACACCTCCAGACCATGCTGCATATTCAACGAAGAAACCGCCGGGGTCATGCTTATCGCAGGTTTGACTGCGGAAGACTGTCGGTCGGCCGATTAATCCCCTATCCATCTTTTCTCATGCATCGCGGTAGGACTCGTCGAAACGGTGGGAGAAACCACACATGACCTTTAGGTAGGGGTGCTTGAGTGCCTCATCCAAGACTTGTTTNGCACTCCGAAAGCTCAGCAACGAACATTGAGTAACAGCTTGCTTAGAACTTACGACTGCAATGCTTGTGGATAGAGGCTTCTCACAGAAAACATGCAAGCCCTTGTGCATAGCCTTGATAGCCTCCTCTGCGTGGACCTAAGTAGAGGTACTGATGATAACAGTCTGTAAGCCCTCCTGCTTGATCGTCTCGTCGTAGTCTTTGTAGAGCTTGACTCCATGAGGCTCCAAGTTGACCTTAGCCCAGGCAAGCTCTTTTGGATCTGGAGTAAAAGCTGCTACAAGCTCTGCACGAGGGGCACGGTGAAGGAAGTTGATGGCGTGACGAGCGCCCATACGACCGAGCCCAGCAGCTCCAATCCTGAGCCTTTGGGCCATATTGATGTTGACGTTGGCGTGTATGATATAGAAACGATAGAGATATGGGAAAGTCTGAGATGAATCGTTCAGCTTGTCAGGACCGGGCGAGGTCCATCCTTTATACACTACGTGATTGAAACTGTCCCTTTAGCTAACTCCATCATCTTGCTTTGTGCATCATCACGCATCGTTACTATGTATGACTGTAGAGGTGTATAAAGGGGACAAATGAACGGTGGAGGAACGAACGGCTGGGTTGCACCTTCATGAAAAGAAGTTTTCGGCCAAATCAAGCATTTCTTCCCCCCGAAGCTAGGGCAATATCATGTCCGAGGGCATTCGACCTGCAATTTTCTTCTCTCAGAACGCGTAACAATAATCCCGCGAGCTCCTTCCGGTGTCACTCCTGCGAACGTTGTCTTCGTGCAGCATATCGCTTAACTGGAGTACTCCGAGGGATGCAATGAATGCCGGAGAAAGACTTGCGTGGTAAGGGTACCTTTCCACATATTGGTAACCTTATACTGCGTGACCGTGCTGACTGCTTCGTGGACCATAGCCAGCAGTGCCGGGTGCGGCATTTGAAGTGTGACCGCAAGAAGCCAAAATGCTCGCGGTGTCTCAAGGACGATGTCGAGTGCATGAGCCGGGTCGAGCTGCCCAAGCCGCCCAAGAAGAAGGCAAGGTAGGTATGACGCGAAAGATTGATTCAACCTATTGCCATCGAGAGAGAGTTTTACGGATTGTCATGGGTATGGTGAGTAAAATGATACTGACTGCCCTCCCNNAGGCTCGCCAACTCTTCAAAACATCAACCAGAGTTCCCCACCGACCAGCCATGGTTCAGGGTTGAGAAGGAGTTGGTGTTCATTGAAGGCAACAAATTGACCATCTTTGAGAACGTGCAAGAAGTAAACTTCAACCACGGCCCGGTAGACCCGACAACAGAAGCTCCCGACTTCGATCCCACATAACATCCTGGAGACACTTCCACTGAAATTCCCAACCGAGTCTCAGGCCACACCTCGAATCCAGGAGAGCACTTGAAGTCTGCTAGAAACCTTGGTCAATCTCAAGCATCAATCCGGTTCGAGACGCTCGTAGAGGCAGCTGCTGAGTGCAGAGCTGAGCGTCCTCATAGTACTCCAATAGAACTCACAACGGAAGCTATAACAGACACAAACTTTACGGCATCAAGGACTGGTACTTCACCGGTGTTTGAGTTCACACCGAGTGGCAGAGGGTCACCGGCCCGCACTTTATTGCATCAAAGTCGGTTGTCCAACCGTAACGATGCTTTGTCGCCACACAACTTCCGAGCCTTTGGTTCGTCCAGAGATTCATCAACAGGTCGCATTACTACGATTTCTCCCGAAGCGGCATGCTCTCTAACTACAACGCCTATACTGTCTACACACGAAGCCCGATTGATGCAGCACTTTATCGAGCATCTAGCTCCAAGTATAGATGTAGTTTGTTCATCACAAATCTTTGGACGACTATTTCCTCGCATGGCCTTTCTGTCGCCGATCTTGCTAACATCGATCTTTGCGGTCGCCTCAAAGCATATATCCAAGACGATTGAGATGACCGATCCGACGGCAGAGACCTACTTCCAAGAGACGTTGGATCACCTTATACCAGTGTTGAATGAGCCTGACGCGCTAGTTGAGGACTACATCCTGGCTGCTGTAGTGATTCTGAGAGTTATGGAAGAGATGGACAGTAAGTGAAAGCTTCCACTGTGATTATATCGATGCTGACGAGATATAGTCTCGCTCTCTGGATATGATCAGCAGAGCCATCTGCCGGCCATCCATGCCCTTATCAGCGCGCAAGAAAGGATTGCTACACGAGGTGGCCTACGACACGCAGCTTGGTGGGTTGGGTTTCGTCAAGAAATGGTTGTGGCTTTCATCAACCAGAGACCGATAGTGCCTGTGTTGGAACACTGCAACCTGGATCGTTCCTTCTCAACAGCCGATGATTGTACTTGGGCCAACAGGATTATTGTCCATTGTGCGGATGTCATCAACTATTGTTTCCAAAACGGATCACTCGATCAAACAACGTATCAAGCCCTCCGCGGTTATGGAGAAGCATGGATGGCTCACAAGCCTCGGACTTTTAACCCTATCTTCCAGTCTCGGCCATCCGGTACGAAAGGGAATTTATTCGCAAAGATCTGGTACACTGGCGACACCATCGCAAAGGGTATACAGCATTATCATCTATCGAAAATCCTGCTTATCGCTCACGACCCAAATATACCAAGGCTCGGTTTGCAAAGAAAGGCATTCGAGCAGACTGTCGATGTGCGTTGTTTCCGGTGTCTGCAGGCTTTCAATATCGCTTACCTTGATTTAGNNGACCAACTCAGAACTCATGCAAGGATCCTTTGCGGCATCGCTCAAGGTGGTAGCAAAACCGCAGCGATCTGGGTCACGACATGCATGGGTATATCATGGTGTGGAGATCGATTTACTGATCGTGCAGAGCAAGAAGAACTGCTTGAGATACTCAGGTATACCGACAAGGTACATGCCCGCCATACTCTGTCTACGCAGGAGCATCTCACACAAGCATGGAATTGGCCAACAGACACCTGACGATCGGTCGCAAGAACAGTTTCTGCGTGCAATCAAGCACAATCCCACAAGCGCTTTGCGTTGTCACAAAACACCAAATCCTTTGCATCGTGCTCTTCCGTCCAATCAAGGCACCTGGAAACAAAGGGCTTCACGTCTAAACCCTCGAAGCGTGTGTGTGGCCAGTCCGATGCAAAAACCAGCTTGTCTTTTGCAGTGTTCAACAACGTTTTGGTTATCGCTTCAGTTCCAGCCATGCCGTCAACGGAAAGATCATAGCGATAATGACCAGAGAGCTTGACCCAGAGGTTGTCGGCTTGTGACAAGAGCGCCATCAAATGCTGCATGCCTGGCACGTTGGATGCATCTGAAGGATACGACTCCCAGCGTTTCATATCGGGAGCACCGAAATGAGCAATACAGAACTTGACGCCAAGGTCAGGTATAATGTCGGTTAGGAAGCGAAGTTGCTCGAGGTCGATGAACAGCTCAATGACCCAGTCGAGCGGTTTTACGATGCTCGCATACTTGCGCAAGGTCTCCTTGACAGCGTCCGGGTCGAATGGTTCGTTTGTGGATTTGAAGTTCAATCTCACTCCTCGGACACCCGATTTATGCCATTGTTGTAATGTATCGCTGGCAATGTCGTCGGGATCGAACGCCACCACGCCCCGACCATTGGTTGGTCCAATTTCCTTTAGGGCATCTAGGAGGCAGGAGTTGTCATTGCCGTAGATAGACGGTTGGACGAGTACGATTTTGCTTATACCAATCGTCTTCTCGAAGGTCATAGCGTGGTCTAGACTATGTAGAGACGGCTTGTATGCAGCGGACTTTGCTAGAGGGTATTCCGGAGAGGTCACATGCATATGGCTGTCCCATGCCCCTGCTGGCATTCTGTCGATGATAGAGCTCGATTGAACGTTTTGACTGAGGCGTCTTTGGAAAGAATATGCGTGCTTTGGCCGAAGACGACATAGTCGACGAATGGTTGAGCTACAGCTGGCGTGAGACGTGAGAATCAATATTTACCTCGAGCGGATACAACATTTACCTGTTCATCTTGACTGGGGTCATACTCGGGTAGCAGGTGTCAATAGCAGTGCATATGTTCTTGTCGTAAGACACGATGTCATTGTCGAGTCGACACGTCGGTTAAGAAACGGCAGAGGTTGGCGTGGAAGCGGGGGTCATGAGACCAGCAATAGACAGACTACGACACGGACAACACTTGTATCGTTTTCATACATCTTTTGTTGACTTGACGGACAGTCGACGCTGACTCTCAGGCGTCTACCAGCAGACGACTACAAAGAGGCGTTGCTGTAGGAGCAAAATTGGAGAATCGCAGAATCAGGCCATCAGGTTGGAGCAGACGTCATCATCTCAAGCTTCGGAGTTGCAAAAACATTGGCGACAAGATCGATCAGAGAAGGCAGACAACCCATACACCGGACTGAACATTTGATGCAACAGTCCGAGTTCAAGTCAGCGCCAGATACAACCAATGCTGTAGCAATGCCTGGTCTGGTGCGCAAACTCCTCATGTAAGTGCCTTCCCAGACTGAAGAAGATATGTTTCGGTGATGCTAACTCTTGCACAGCTGCGCGACGGCAGATGGTCTGTTGTTGCAACCTCTCTCCCAGCGGAATCAACAATCCGCATCTCCTCCTGTACAGATCGACTACAAGACACAAGATATCAAACCCTCGTTCCAGCAGCACTCGGACGACTCGAGTAGCGAAGGACTCGAAGCTCATGGTCTTCTCGGTAAGCACGCCATGGACTCGACACTTTCTTTCGCTGACCATTATCAGNGTCTCCTGAACCTCGCATCTTCCTCGTACCTCGTCGCCATCTCGAAGCGCGAACAAGTCGCCCAAGTTCGCGGCAAACCCATCTACGTCATCACCAATGTCGCTCTCATTCCTCTAACCTCCCAATCCGAAGCACAGCATGCTATCCAGCACGCAAAGTCGACTTTGAAGAGCAACAAACCCGAGTCTCTGGACACAAGCGACGACGAAGACGACTCGAGCAGTTCGGCGGCAGACGACGAACACGATGACAATGCGTCAGTCGGTCTGCCAGACGAGCCCCTGCAGGTACCCAAGGGTTCGGTGAACAAGGCTACCACTGTAGTCGCCGACGTAATAAAGAACAAGGGTCAATACGGTCGCTTCGCCCAGCGTTGGTTCTCCAAGGGCGGCTGGAAGTCTGACGGCATTCGCAAGCAAGGCATGAGCGCCAATGAGGACGACCTATCTCTTACCGCAGAGCAGAAGAAGCAAGCCGAAGATTCTTTGACAGACAACAAAAAGGACGAGGTTGAAAGCGTGCCTGTGAATAACGAGTCTCAGTCCACTTCTACAGACGAGCAACAATCTACCGACGAGCCGGCGTCTATCGTGCCTGGCGACACTACCCTTACTAATCATATCCCAAGAATCCTCAAGACGACGAACCTGTACTTTACCTCACGAAGCTTTTACTTCTCTTACGATTACGACCTTTCACGCAGTCTTTCACGACAAGAGTCAACCTCTGCCTCGGTACCTCTTTACAAGCGTTTTGATCCTCTGGTGAGTATCCTCGGTTGAATCTCGCCATGACCATAAGACTGACAATCATAGTATTTCTGGAACCACAACTTGACTGAGCCGCTTGTCGAAGCCGGTCAGCACAACCTCGTTCTACCCGTTATCCAAGGCTTTATTGGCCAACGTGCTTTTACCGTTGATGCAACCGAAAATGCGGAGAATAAAATAGTTGATGCAAAGCAGGAGACATCGGAAGTGATCAAGGTGCAGGAAGATGCCCAGAGAGAGGAGGCGACCACATCCGACGACAAGTCGCAAGCAAAGGAACTGCTGCTGACTCTAATTTCGAGACGTTCTGTCAAGCGTGCAGGTCTACGCTACCTGCGTCGTGGCATTGACGATGACGGCAATGTCGCCAACAATGTCGAGACTGAGCAGATTCTTGCCACGCCATCGTGGGACACCAAGGACAAAGTCTTTTCGTTCCTTCAAGTCAGAGGCTCCATCCCTCTGTTCTTCTCGCAAAGCCCCTACAGCTTCAAGCCAATTCCTATCCAATATGGCTCGGAAGCAACTAATCAGGCTGCGTTTGAGAAACACTTCTCTAATATGCTCGAGCGCTATGGAGAGGTTCAGTGTGCGTCCTTGGTCGACAAGCACGGCACAGAAGCGAAGATTGGAGAGTCATATGAGAAGCACGCAAACAGTCTGAACGGTTCTGGGGGTGTATCTGGCAAGCAGGTTGGATTCTATTGGTTCGACTTCCACACTGTCTGCAAAGGTATGAAGTTTGAGAATGTCTCAATTCTCATGGATACATTGAGGCCGGCCATGAAGTCTTTCGGATGGACTGTGCAGCAGAATGGCAAGTTCATCAGCACTCAGACCGGTGTTCTGCGAACAAATTGTATGGACTGCCTGGACCGAACCAATGTTGTGCAATCTGGTGCAGCTGGTCACGCTCTGCAAGACCAGCTTGCAGAGATGGGTCTTTCCATCAATCTTCAGACCGACCCAAAGACATCATGGTACAACAATTTGTGGGCCGATAATGGCGATGCCATTTCTCGTCAGTACGCAGGTACCGCCGCCCTCAAGGGAGACTTCACTCGCACCCGTAAACGAAACTGGCAAGGTGCGTTGACCGACTTCAGTCTGACACTAAACCGCTATTACAACAACATCTTCGGCGACTATTTCCTTCAAACCTGCATAGATTTCTGGCTCGGTAACGCTGGATCCAATGTGTTCGAAGAATTCGAAACCGACATGATGAATCAGGACTACGCTCTAGACATGGGACGCATCCGCCAAAGCGCGATCGAAACCTGTGTACGCATTGTCCTCGAAGACTCCGCAGACATGATCTCAGGCTGGACGCTCTCCTGCCCTGCATCAGCGAACACACTCCGCGCCTTGCCGTTCGAAGAGTGCATAGTCCTTCTCACAGACACCGCACTCTACTTCTGCCGTTTCGACTGGGACACAGAAAAAGTCGGCTCTTTCGAGCGTGTAGAACTCGTGGATATCGAAAGTGTCAACTACGGCACCTACATCACCAGCACACTCGGTCCCACCCACATGGACGAAAAGAAAAACGTCGGCTTTGTCGTCAAGTATTCGAGCCAAACACCTGCCATGGTACGCACCAACACGCGCAGTCTGGCAAACGAAAAGGAAGCGAGTGCTGCAGACAAGGATGCCAAGAAGACTGATGTCAAGCCTGCGGAAAGCAGATTGCTTGCCTTCAAAGCCCTGCCGCCGCGAAACTCTGCTTCCAAAGGCAAGAACACTGATGGCGAGTTGAGCGAAGTGGAAATGGTAAAGCATATTTGCGAGGAGATTGAGCGGTTGAGCAACAAAGCTCTTGATAGACAGACTCATGTTGCTGCTGGAGAGGAAGAGCAGCAAGGGAGGAAGTTGCAGGTCGAGCAGAAGGATGTCATTTCTGTTGCTGAGGCGAGGAAGAGTACGGGATATCTTGAGTCGCTAGGGTACTCGTTGAAGAAGCTGGTATGGTCGTAGAGACAAAGAAGCTTACAAGTACATGAATATGGGTTGGGGATCAAAGGTAATACATTACGAAAGGGAGTCTGTACAGTTCTTGCAACAAAGATGAATCGATGATTACATTGAGTATGGTTTTGTATCCTTGTACCGTGATGATTTTCTAATATGTCAAAGGAACAACCACCACCACCCCTATGACGATCAAGACCGCCTTCACCCTGGTGAAGCGAATTACAGCTTTCAGCACCAAAGTGTATACCATCACGGAGATCATTGTGCCGAAGAATGTGAGACCCTGTAGTGCGCGTACTTAGCCTACCACTTCGGACGTCAGTTCGCTGCGCATAACGTTCAAGGCAGTGAAGTTGGCTTAGCAGGCCGCATGTGCTCGCTCCTCACACTCTGAAGTGCTACGGCTATGACAAATTGCTTTCTGAAACATGTGGTTTTTCTTCTTGGTATTGGCTCCGGGCACATTAGTAGCAGGAGTAGGATTTGGCATTGGAACATGGAACTCCTACTAGACATATCAAGAGTGTAAATCTCTAGACACGCTGTGCTCGTCAAGCCTGCCGCATTCCTTCATTGCGAAACCTCCGGTCAATCTCTTTGTTCATGTTGGTGCGTTTCTTCTAATTGTATAAGAGAAAGCTGAATGTTTCATCAAGTAGGGAATCCACCACACTGTAGTATGTACGACTTTGTGGCAGAATTGACTCGGTAGGAATATAGGGCATCCCTATTCACATTTCGTTAAATGTGTGTTCATTCGACGATCTGCTCTCTTCTTTAGGCCTCCTGCCGCCTTAGATGTGTTTTGTTTCGAACAGATAATGTCTCCGAAATACGTGGTGGATCACGAAAATTTTCAAAGTTCACTTTTGAGATGTCGTTCATAGATTTCATCCTAGATGTTGTTACCACAATACTACGGGTCGAATGGTGCTGTACAGTACAACATTGGATAGAACATAGTCCGAGGTGTACACCAATATCCTCGAGATTTGGAAATACGTTGTTATCGTGGTACAATATCATAATAAGTGTTTTCCACTGTGGTCGTGGGCCTCACCCTGATCTTGCGGAATGCAACGAGAAGCCCTCGTGTTGCGAACACCCCAATCAAGGTCGAAGGCAACGTTGAAGAAGTATTGCGGAATACCTTGCTCTGTTCTTGAGGCCGATGATCCCTGCCTCCGATATTCTATGTGCTATCCACTCACTCGGCCATGGAAGTCTTAGCATCCGGCTATATCGGCAAAGATGAGATCCATCTTGTTGATGTAAAGAGATCATTGCACGAATTATCGCGAGAATTATAGCGAAAAGAGGGCCGTGGTGACTGAGCTTTCCAGAAGGCGGGTAAGAGTGTCCGAGAAACGGGCCGCGGGTTGCTTGAACTTGGGGCTCGGCGGGGTATGTCTGTAACCTTGTTCTTCGCTCTTGTTGAACGTTTTTCGACAGCAAGTGGTCTTCCACCTGCGTCATGAGGCTGGTGCATGGCTCGAAGGAGTCCTGCATACGAGTAGCTGCTCGTTGTCTTTGCATATCTATCCAGGATCTCGAGCGCGAGATGTGGCCGCAATCGAGGAGATTAAGGCTCGAGGTCTTGAAGTAGAGGCTGCAAGGAGATGTTCGTTTCATGAAGACTTCTTCTCGGACCGGCAGAGCATCGAATCGGTGCCTGGAGACTCCGGGATCAGCAGCATCTCAAGCACTTGGAAGGTAAGTCGGATGTTGATCAAGAGGTTGTTGAAGGCGACAAGCCCGTGGGGCAAAAGCTTGGAGAGAGGATGATCCCCATGGTCACTCCATACCAACCCACATGGCGGGGCGCCAGTCTAAGCATTGACAACAATGTCACTGTTGAGCTCAGTCGTTCCTGCCTCTTTCCGTGACTTGGCAGAAGTCTTGCTGACGATCGAGTGAAAGTGGCTTGCTTCTCGCAAGGAAAGATCGTATACAATGGTGAATGTCTTCGCGGGGAACACAACAAGCAAAACCTTGTTTAGTGGAGGATCAACTACAGGTATGTATAAATACCCATCATGTTCCTGTCACCCTCGTCTTCTCACAGACAAATGGTCTTTGTTATTCTGTTACTTTGTCTCCTTGTGGTCATTGACAGTATGTTCTTTCCTTCGTTCAGGAGGGTAGCCCTCTTCGCTCTGCCTGTGGCAGTAGCCAACTCTCAGGCGACCACCGCCGCCTCTTCGGCGGTTGCCAGTCCCTTGTCATCTACATCGTCTGGCACCATCGCATCAGTTCTGTTGAACGGAACATACACCACGTGAGTTCTACCCTGCCACACTGTGGATTTCTACAGCTACACGCCTTCAAGAAGATCCGAGCAGAGCAAACACTAAACATCCTATCTAGATNTCACTCCCCAGTACACTCTCCCGGCTTCCATCGATTACGGCGCAAATCTGATACCCAATGTCGAGGATCCGGAGGCCAAGGACGCGCAAGTCATGTGCCCCGGTTACAAGGCCTCGAATGTCGAGCACAACAAGTATGGCTTCACAGCCACTCTGAACCTCGCCGGACAAGCTTGCAACGTCTACGGCACCGATGTTGACGTCCTCAATCTCACGGTTGCCTACCAGTCTGCCCATCGCCTGGCAGTCGAGATCTCACCTGCCCACATCACTGCAGAGAACGCTAGCTGGTACATCTTGCCTTCCGAGCAAGTGTACAAGCCCGAGCAGTCGGACGAGGACACTGAGGACATTGACCTTCAATTTGTCTGGTCCAACGACCCTACTTTCAGTTTTGCAGTTCTGAGAAAGTCGACTGGCGATGTCCTCTACTCTACCGAGGGCACTGTTCTTGTCTACGAGGACCAATTCATTGAGTTTGTTTCTACTCTGCCTGAGAACTACAACCTCGAAGGTCTGGGAGAGCGCCTTCACGGCCTCAGACTTGGCGACAACTTGACTGCTACCATGTACGCGGCCGACAATGGTAACCCCGTTGACCGTAACCTTTACGGAACCCACCCCTTCTACCTGGATACCCGTTACTACGAGAAGGATCCTGAGACAAGTGCCTTGACTCTGTTGACTGGCAATGCGAGCACCAACGCCAGCTACATCTCGTACAGCCACGGTGTTTACCTCAGAAACGCCCATGGCCAAGAACCAATTCTCAACGCCGGAAACATCACCTACAGAACTCTCGGTGGAAGCATCGATCTTTACTTCTTTGACGGTCCTACTCCGGCTGAGGTTACCAAGCAATACCAGGCCGAAGCCATTGGTCTCCCTGCTATGCAGCAGTACTGGGCTTTCGGTTACCACCAATGCCGATGGGGCTACAAGAACTGGACCATGATGCAAGACGTTGTCAACAACTTTGCCAAGTTCAGCATTCCTTTGGAGACCATCTGGAACGTAAGTTGAGCAAGGCCGTGGTGCTTCCAAAATTCGATTTCATAGAAACATGCTAACTGAACCTTCGCTGTAGNNGACATCGATTACATGTTCCAATACCGTGACTTCGAGAATGACCCCAACACCTTCCCTTACGACCAGGGCAAGCAGTTTATCGACGGTCTTCACAACAACAACCAGCACTACGTTACTATCGTCGACTCAGCTATCTACATTCCCAACCCTGACAACGCCACGGATGCTTATTCTGTCTATTCAATGGGTCACGACATGGACGTGTTCATGAAGAACCCTGATGGATCCGAATACATCGGTGCTGTCTGGCCTAGTTTCACCGTCTTCCCTGATTGGCAAGCCGTGAACTCTACTCAATGGTGGACCGAGTCTCTTATGAAGTGGTACCAGAATGTCCAGGTTGATGGTATCTGGATCGATATGTCCGAGGTCAGCTCCTTCTGTGTTGGCAGTTGTGGATCAGATTCTCTGCACTTGAACCCTGTCCACCCTCCTTTCGCTCTTCCCGGCGAGCCTGGGTCGGTTGATTATGGCTACCCCGAGGGTTTCAATGTCACCAACTCTACCGAGGCCGCTGCTGCTTCCTCAGCTTCAGCTGCCCAGGCATCCTCAAACTCGGCAACACAGGTCTCCTCGAGCACCTCAACCCAGCCTTACCTCAGAACTACACCCACCGCTGGAGTCCGTAACGTCAACCACCCTCCCTATGTCATCAACAACCAGCTTGGTGACTTGGGTGTTCATGCCGTTGTGCCCAATGCCACTCATTCCACCGGTGTTGAGGAGTACGACGTACACAACCTCTTGTAAGCTTTACCCATCCGTCTGCCACGCAAACCACGAACTAATTGAAACAGTGGTTACGAGATCTTGAACGCAACGTACATCGCTCTCACCCAGACTATCAAGGCCAAGCGCCCCTTCATCATCGGTCGTAGCACTTTCGCTGGAGCCGGTCAATTTGCTGGACACTGGGGTGGTGACAACTATGCCACCTGGGAGTCTATGTACTTCAGTATCCCTCAGGCCCTCGATTTTTCTCTCTTCGGTATGCCGATGTTCGGTGCTGATACTTGCGGTTTCTCTGGAAACTCTGATGAGGAACTTTGCAACCGCTGGATGCAGATGAGCGCCTTCTTCTCTTTCTACCGCAATCACAACACTCTTGGCGACAACTCGCAGGAACCTTACATCTGGGGATCGGTCATCGACGCCAGTAAGAAGGCAATGCAGATCAGATACTCACTGCTGCCTTACATCTACACCCTGTTCCACTCCGCACACACCACCGGTAGCACCTTCTTGCGCGCTATGGCTTGGGAATTCCCCAACGACCCTAGCCTTGCCAGTGCCGACCGTCAGTTCATGCTCGGACCCAGCTTGCTCATTACGCCTGTTCTCCTGCCTGGTGTCACTACTGTTAATGGTGTCTTCCCTGGTAGCAAGGACGGCGTTGTCTGGTACGACTGGTACAACCAGACTGCTGTTCCTGCCACTCCTGGCGCAAACGTCACCATGGATGCACCTCTTGGTCACATCAACGTCCACATTCGCGGTGGCAGCGTCTTGCCCCAGCAAGAGGCCGGTCTCACCACTACTGTCTCCAGAAACACTCCTTGGAGTGTCATTGCTGCTCTTTCAGCTGAGGGCACTGCTACTGGCAGCTTGTACGTTGATGATGGCGAGAACATTATCCAGAACTCGACTTTGTACGTTGACTTTACTGCCGAGAACCAGCGTCTGTACGCCTCTGCTCGTGGTCTCTGGCAGGAGAAGAACGCTCTTGCCAACATCACTGTTCTTGGTGTTCAGAACGCACCCAAGAACGTGTCGCTTGACGGCATGGCTCTGATGTCTGGTGTCAACTACAACGCCACGAGCAAGGTTCTCAAGGTCACTGGTCTGCAGAACGCCACTTCTTCTGGTGCCTGGGCCAAGGACTGGGTTCTTGAGTGGTAAAAGGAGATGAGATGAATGACTTCATGATCAAAAGAAGCTAGAATGGTGGCATCAAAATGTCGATAGGGAGGGAAAGCCTCCACAGAAATGTATAATATAGATTTGCTCATACAAACAAGAGTTACACAAACTTACGCACATTGTCGAGGGAACCTGTGATATGTGTGCTTGCTTGTAGCTCGAGAGGGAGAGCTGTCTTCCGGTCTCCACGTGTACTCAAGACAGTCACAACCTCTTGGTCGACCTCTCCCCCACTAAATATACTGTTGTTCTATGCTATAGCATTGCACAGTAGCTTTCGAGATAAGGGCACGGGCATAGAGATGTCCCAGGATACCTTTGTCTCTGTAGGCCGTGTTCTACCTCCAAAATCACGACAATGTCCAAGGAGATCATCATGTCAGGGCTATTTCCATAGCCACAGTCTATTTTAGTAAGCAACTGCGTGTTTCTGTGGTATGCTATGGCCCTATAGATCGTCGTAAGGCATAGAGAGAGGGTCCATCGTAAGGATCTGAGGATACCACTTGATAGCCTCTCCATATACCAAACACAATTAGTATAGCTGTAGAATTGCACAGTAGTTTACAAAAAGGAGTAGCATCCACCGAGAGTTGTGACCTTGTCTGCTCTCTATGGAGTCGTATGTTGCTCAACAACATTGATGCATGGTGAAAAGTGTTGTGCGTTCCTAGCTACATTGTACTGTCCTTAGCACATGCGGAGTGTTGACGATACCTTCTGTAGAGAAACAAGGTTCACGATCTACAACGTGTTGCACGTATTCGGAGATATACCGAGGTCATGTAACGGTACAGCTCCGAGACCATCGTCATTAATATTCCTCTGCGAGCCTGTTCCCCTCCAAGCATCTGATCACTTTCATTGTTGTCGCATATCAACACCAGCATAACAATTCTTCTCAATCGCAAATCGCAGGAACAATGGCTTCGCAAGTCTTTCAAGCCAATCGCACGGCTCTCATCACTGGCGGCGCGTCCGGTGTGGGCTTTGCTTTCGCTCAGCTATGTCAAAAGTTTGGCATGAATGTTGCTCTGGTAGACAAGTCCACCGAAGGACTCGAGAAGGCAAAGGACATTTTGTCAGGAACCGCCGAGAATGGACAGAAAACTGAGGTCTACGATATGGTACGCGCAAGCAAAAAGTATTGGACAGCGCAAAAGCACAGTTGCTAATTGAAGAACAGGNATGTATCCGAACTCGCACAATGGCGATCTCTCAAGTCTGAAGTCGAGGCCAAGTTCGGCAATATCGATCTATTGATGCTGAATGCCGGTGCTTCATTCAAGCCTACTCAAGGCTTTGGCGCATTGTCGACTTGGCTCGATCCCGCATACCACCACAAAACCTACGACACGAATGTGTTCGGCGTGATCAACGGCATCGCGGCCTTCCTACCTCAACTCCAGAACAAAGACACGCCGTCCTCGATCGTCATCACCGGCAGCAAGCAAGGTATCACCAACCCACCCGGCGGCGCCAACCCGGCCTACAATGCCAGTAAAGCAACCCTCAAACACCTTGCCGAACACCTCTGCCACGATCTCCGCAGCTCCAGCTCGTTGATAAGCACGCATTTGCTTATCCCCGGATGGACGTACACAGGCTTTAGCGGCAACAAAGGTCCCATCCCTGACGAGGAGGCCAAAGCAAAGAAGCCTGAAGGCGCATGGTTGGGCTCACAAGTGGCCGAGTATGGAGTCAGAAAGATGATGGAGGGACAATTCTATATTGTGTGTCCTGACGACGATGTTTCGGAGGAGTTGGACAAGGCGAGGATGGCTTATGCGATGGGTGATGTGTGTGAGGGCAGACCTGCGTTGTCGAGATGGCATGACGAGTACAAGGACAGTGCTGCTGAGTGGATACAAAAGGAGGCAGAGAAGAGAAAGGCTTGACAGTAGAACGTGCGTTTTAGCATTGAATGGTAGAAGCTAGATATCCCCAGAGTATATATTCCCATCTCTTTTCACTTCCATACTCGAATTGGGGGCTGTATTCGGCGTCTGTCTTGAGGTATGTCAGCCAGGTTCGATGCAAGAACATCATGACATCGAGAGGATGGTTGAGAGTGTCAGAAGGAACAATTGTAAACTTTGTGTCCGCAGTTGGCTCTTCTCTTGGAAGGCCATGTCGGATCCCTTGCAATCATCATAGAAGTGGGGAGAAGGTTGGTGTTGAGAGTTTGCTTACCGATGGCATCGTTTCTCGCCGTTCACCCTACAGCATTGGTATATGTCTGCGATCCTTGGTGGACGACGAGGTTGTTGTAAAAGGAAGAAGCAGCTTCAGCGCAAAGAAAAGAATACGCTGGATTTATATCGCCGAAGTTTAGCCATTCAAGAGCACTTTTTGGTAAACTCGACTCTTTCTGTCTCCCGCTCTCGTTGATAGATCATATGCTTACTTCTGTGCTGCTCTACAGACTCAAAGACTCGAAGGTGACAAACATAGAAGGCAAGAAGTTTGTAGTGAGGTTGTCACCGGCGCCGAAGAGTACCGATTCAGTAGCCGATACGGGAGAGCTGTTGCCGACTACCTGCCGTATCGCATGGCCGAAGCTATAGACTCCACCAACCCCTCTGAGGCTCCGAGATGATCCATAACAATTAAGTGCAATAAACAGCAATATCTAGTCACTTTCAAAGCCACCGTGGTTCCTTGACACAAGTCACCAATCAAGTCCACCTCATGTTTTCACAAGCCAGATAGAAGAATACCTTGACTACCGTCAAAGTCGCATAACAATGTCTATCCTCATCATCAACGGACCAAACCTCAATCTCCTCGGCACCCGCGAGCCCGCCATCTACGGCCACGAAACCCTATCAGATGTCGAAGCCACCGCAAAATCTCTCGCCTCCACCCACGGCTTATCCTTAGAAACCTTCCAGTCCAACCACGAAGGCGCCATCATCGACCGCATCCACGCAGCCGCTGGTTTCGGACCCCAAGGCGATGGCCAAAAACACGTAGACTGGATCATCATCAATCCTGGCGGTCTGACACATACCTCTGTGGCATTGAGAGATGCATTGGGCGGCGTGAATATTCCGTTCGTCGAGTGCCATATCAGTAATGTGCATGCGAGGGAGGAGTTTCGCCATAAAAGCTTCTTGAGCGATAAGGCGGTTGCTGTTATTGCTGGATTGGGGACGTTTGGGTATGAGGCTGCGATTGGTTTTGTTGCGAGGAAAATTAAAGCTGCGAAGTAGGATCGCGTGGGAGTCGGTGAGTGTGGCAGCTTGTTGAGTAATCGCGAATGAGGGAGCTGATGATGTCGCAGTAGCTCTCACTTCTGAGATTTTCCAACGCCTGGTCATCCGGCCAGACCTCTCATTCATCATCAAAATATTCTCATGTCCACCATCGCATTCCGAATTTCTCTTGCTCCCATCGTCCGTGTATTGCAATCTCAAGAATCTGGTAATCGTGAAAATCTTGTTGACACATGGTTGATCTAACTTGCTCAATCGTATCCAGAATAGGTCAGTCATCAATCTTGGTTTGAGATGACTGAAATTACCAAAGTATTGTTCGGCCTGTTGCTGCCCACATCTCAAATTTTTCCTCACGCCTCATCTTGCACAAAGAACATATATCTTGAAGTCTCTTCAGATCTGTCTGCAACAGCAATACCCTTCGTCTCGAACCATAGGAGTCACAGAAAGTGATCCATCCACCTCTGAATATCACCCCACACAAAGATCTCTATCTCTGTGGGCACCAGTGCCTTATACAAGGTATTTGTGCAATTCTATGGGCGGCAAATCTCACTCGAAGGTGGGGGATAAAACAGCAAGGGGTCAGAGTATACTTTTGTAGATATACAAACGATATTATAGAGTCGGATATCTATATCAAGACATGAAGCCTAGCTAAAGCCCGGATGAAGCCTAGCTGAAGCCTCCCGTATGGTTCCAAAATCCGTGGGCGCCGAGCAAATGTATGATGTCTCTGAACTTGGGAGTACCTATAACGAAGACTCATCAGTATAATGTCATGGAAAAGAAGTGGTAGAAAGAAGACTTACCGAATCCAGTGACGGGGTCCCAGCCCTCGGCGGCAGGGAATCCNTTGCCATCGCCAATCTCCGAACATCCCACAGCAGAGCCACTGGTGATATCGGTGAAGGCGCGGTAACCCTTCTTGTAGAGCCAGGGGTTCAGGAAGCCAAGAGTGGGCTTGCCGTTGGCAATCAGTGCATCGTTGACGAGGGCGACAATGGCAGCAAACAGAGGTGTCGAAGCCGAAGTACCAGACACAAGGGTTTCAGTACCGTTCCAGACGGTAGCAAAGTAGCTTCCCTGAGCAGAAATATCGGGGTATGCTCTTCCACTAGCGTTGAAATAGGCGGCATCTCTGTCACCAAGGGTCTTGAGGTAAGCCTTGACAGCCTTGTCTTGGTACGCAGGACGAGGGAAAAGGTCAGAGAAGCCACCGCCAGATGCATAGCCAGAGGAGTGGTAGGCAACAACTTCAGGGTTGAAGTCCATGGTTGCACCGACGGAAGTGACGTAGGGGCATGTGGAAGGGAACTCTGGAGTGAAACGTTTGGCGCCGCTGCCGTTGTTGGTGATACAGCTGCCGGCACCACCGACACCACTGTCGCCCGAAGCGTAGAAGACGGAAACACCACGGGCACCTAGTTGAGCAAGGTCTTCGCAGACACGCTTGGCGTAGGATGGGGGAACGGTCTGCTCTTCGTCGTCGTACGAAGTAGAAACAACTTGAGGCAGAACGTCGTCTGACTGTGCAAGAATGTGTTGGAGCCAGTCGAGGTAAGGCTCATTGGTGTTGGAGGTGGTGCCATTTGAAGGAGTCCAGGGAGGAGAGCCACCGACAGCATAGGCGGTCAGAGGAGTGGGCCATCCAACTCCAAGCATTGTCTCAACATCGAGATCACCTTCGATGTCGATCCTGCTTTGTACGACCTCTTGCGATGTGCTGCCATTGTTAATGACATCGAATTGGAAGGTGTAGGCTGCTTCCTTGGCCTCGGGACGGAACTTGTCAAGGAAGAGGTAGGTGTCGGAACGGTTGTTGGTCTCACCGAGGTAGTTGGCAAGAGCCATCTTGTTCTTGCCAGCAACCTGGGGAATGTAATCGATGGTCTCGTACAGAGTTCTCATGCACAGAGGCGTTACTCCGCGAGGGGTGCAAATCGAAGTAACGTTGGGGTCTTGGTGATACGTAACGTCCTTGGAGTAGTCACCGCCAACCTTGTTAACTTCAAGCGAGACAGCCTTGGGAGTGCTGCGGAAGAACGAGTTTGTGGGTTGGATGGTGTCAATGTGCTCGTGCAGATGAACGGGAAGAGACCACTCGGGTGCGCGAACAGTTTCTGAGCCATCCTCGTGGCGATAGACGCTGTACTTTGTGTCGAGAAGGCTCTCGATCTTGTTGACGGGAAGAGAAACCTTGATCCAGTCCTTTGCAGCGCTGTAAGAGAGGTCACCAGTCTCGATACCGTTATCGGCTAACCACTCGTGGACCAGGGCCAATGAATCATCGGCAGGTTGCACGAGCTTCTTGACGTCGAGCTCGCTCAGGTGTTGGCCGTAGCGGGAGTGGTCGGGGTCAGAAACTGGGATATTTGGTCAGACATGAGAACAGCAGGTAGCCGGGTGTTACAGCCTCTTCGTGTAGGAAAGCGTGCAACGCGTATAGCTATAGAAATAGACAGTCATCTTCGAAATCAGAGTCGCGGCCAGAGAGAGTCGAGGACGCGTCGCCTTTCAGTGATCCTGTCTTATTTCTTGATACTATTGTGCATTTCTATAGCTGCCCGCGTTGCACACTTCAGCAGTCGGAGAGGCCGTTCCCTAAATCGGTGCCACATACCCTCGTACAAGTGTCTCTCCAAGTCACCGAACTGGTTCTGCTTGATCGCAATGCGGAGATCGATGTTGTGAGTCGCAGGCGCAGCAGCAACCTGTCTCCACTTTGAAGGCACAAAGTGCGAGTCCTTGACAGCATAAGGAGTTCTTGCCTGGATGGGCGAGGCATAAGAGCCACTTGCAAGCAAGCCAGCGACCAGGAACAGCTTTGCAGCACTCATAATTTGGAGAAATAGAAGGGGACGATCTGAGACAAGACACAATGCTACGGGAGCAATGCTCTACTTATACGCATAACAAGGTAGCATGATAAATTTCCTCATGGTGAAATGATCGTCCTGTTGAGCAGGCGAACAAACTGCAAGGGACACAGCATGGTGGAGACGCTTGAGGGGTACAATAGATGAACATCAATCAAGAGCTAGAATGTCTTGGGAAGGTGAGGGCACTTGAGGCGATAAGGGTGGTTTAGAGTACGAGAGAAATGCTTGAAGAGTGGATGCACGCGAGCTTGTCCGTCTTGACTTGATTGGCGGCGTCTTGGGAAAATGCCTCGGCCTGGAGCGATGCCGCCGAGTTTCCGATTCCCTTGACATCACCTTCCTGTTACGACCTTTTACGTGCGTACTTGCCGCAATAGCAATTGCATAATTGAAGATCGCGTGCTGCGAAGCTGCCAAACGCAATCATGTCGGATCTGGCAGGAGGCTTTGTGCCTCTGTCACCACCGCCATCCTCGGTCGCTTCCTCGACTACGCCAAACTCGCTGCCGCAACCAAGGAGAACGCCCCTCAAGCCTGGCGGCACCAAGGAATCGAGATTGATTCGCCATGTCGACCAGCAAATTCTTCACATCCAGAGGCGCTTTGCAAAGAGAGATCCCTCCTTGGGTCATGGTGGTGTGCGAGAGATGGACGAGGAGGGCAGGATGATTGAACAACTCAACGATCCTGCCACCGAAAAGAGACTGCAACAATCAGACGAGTGGAATGATGTACAAGGTTACTCTGGCTTTGGCGAAGCTGCGAAAGATGTGGACGAGCTTGTAGCTGTCATCTGGATCAGTGGCACTCCAGCTCTGCAGGTGCCGTACTTGATCAGTTTGGCTCTTCTCGTCAACAATATGATTCCTGCGTTTCCGCTTGCTCCTCGTCCGCTGTTCAGGTTGCTGGGCAAGCTAGACCATGCTTTTGCTTCGTTGATCGTAGGCAGAGATGTCGCGACCGATGAAATACTTCCTGGCTTCAACACGGGTCGTGGTGTCAGCGGCACAGAAAAGGTTCGCATAAAGAGCTTGGTTGAGAGGACAAGAGTATGCGTTGTCGAGGTACTGAACAAAGGAGAGTTTGACGAGGACGATGAAGGCACTCGTGAGCCTTCACCTGAAGACACTGATATGGACGGTGATTTGATCCTGGATGACGATGACGGACCTGAGGACATCAACGTCGACGACATTGACGATGACGATGATTGGCACACGCAAACAAGTAGAGTCTATGACAAGACCATGGTTGAGTTGGGCGACTCGATGGACGGTGCTCCAATTGGTATCATAACAGAAACCAGAATCGGAACTTGAAAAAATAATGCCTGAATTCCTTCATACCTTCATAGATTGTATCGTGATCAATCATAAAACATGAGCTCTATTATCTACTCAGTTTGTCACATCCACCATCGTTTTCACCAACAGATCAATCAGAATCCCTCACAGCAGCCTCAGCATCCCTGTCCTTCTCCTTCCCCTCCATCTTCTCCTCCGCCACCGCCGTCTCAGCAACAGTAGCCCTGCCATGAGTGACCGGGTGCTGCTTACCCGTGACATCCAAGTACATACTCTTAAACGTCCTAATAATCGTCTTCCTCCCCTCAAACACCGGGTATATACCCACACAACACGCCGTAACAAACAACCAAATAATACCCACCACAACCCATCCCGTGAAAAACTTTTTGCTAAAGATATAGCCAGATCCATACATGGGCATCGGCCACAAGATCAAGAAACAGAGGATCAAACATACAGTAAGCGTACGTGCAATCTTAGACGCACGCAACAGATGTTTCTGCTCTGCGGCTTCTGCAGCAAGTGATTGTGCTGTTTCTCCATGCGCGCCGCCGGGAAGTAAGTCGGGGTCGACGTGAGCGGCGGCAGTGAGATCTGAGTCATCGGGACGACGGATTTGTTTCATGGATTGCCAGTCGTACTTTTCGGTGCGGAAGACGAGGGAGAGGATGGGGACTGTGACGACGGGGGTGAGGAGAGCGACGACATTACCGACCAGCATGGGGTAGTTCGAGCCTGTGGATTCGACGGAGAGGTTTCCGTATTGAGTTTTTGCTTGGACAAGCCAGCCGATGAGCGCGCAGGCAAGAGCAATGATGGGGGAGAAAGTTGCTGCTGCCCAACTCTGACGATCGTACAAGAGAGTCAAGGAAGCAGGCAGAACGCCACCGCCAATGATACAGCCCATCATCAAGTAGATGTACCCCATACCAATGCCGGCATAGTAAAGTCCTGTTGAGAACGCGGCCATGATCAGGGCAAATACCACGCAGCTGACGTGACTCATGTAGATCAGATTCTTGCCGTGAGCCTTGGGGTTAATATAAGTGTTGTAGATGTCGTATGTCCAGATACTTGAGACTGCAATCAGCTCAGCAGACATTGCCGATGTAACAGCCATGAAGATCAGCACCAAAGTAGCGGCAGCACCTCCTTTTCCAAGGAGAGCGACTGCAGCATTAGGGAGTACCAGACCAGCTGTTACATCCTCCGCTGCCATGCGGAGAGGGTAGGTGGGGAACACGGGGTTGTTCTCCAGCGCCAGAGCTGCAAGACCCATAGTCGTAGCACAGAGCCATNNCTATAGAAATTTTAGTATATGATCTTGAGGAGAGCCTCGAGGATCTTACGGTATAGCGAACCAGCTAAGGCCGCCCATAATGTATCCAGGGAGAGCGTGGACTGGCGAAGCAGCAATGGCTTTGTTCCAGTATCCGTTGTCAAGGTAGACAGTACCGAAGTTGCCAACAAGGTTGATAACGAAAAAGATACCTCCCTCACGAGATTGCATGGTAAGATAGCTTCCTTGCGCATTACCCTCGACAGGGTGGCGAGCAGAAGCCGCTTTAAGTGCATCGTAAACAGCACTTGGACTTCCGAGGATCTCGTTGGTCGAATATGCGGTAAAGGCAAACAAGAAGATAATGATCAGAATTACCACGGTATGTACCCAGTCGGTGATAAATGTAGCCTTGATACCACCAAACATCGTGTATGCCACAACACCAACTGGGAGCAGGAAACAGGCGGCCACAGGGTTCATTCCAGTAAGGTCCCGAATAACGGCACTACCGCCGGTCAGCAGCATGGCTGTAACGAGGACGTTCGTCATGAGGCCGAAGACGATGTACACGCCATGGGTGATTCCACCATAGCGAGCACGGATGGCTTCCAAGAAGGTATGAGCATTGGGTGCTCGACGCTTAAGTTCGATGGCCAAGGTTGCGAAGAGGATGACTTGTACCGTTGCACCTGAGGCGTACCAGAAAGGTCCAGAGACACCGTAGTTGTAAGCTACGGCAGAGGATTGTAGGAGTGTTGCAGCCCAAGTCCAACTCGACACCACAGCAGCAGCCACAAGACCAGACTTGACACTTCTACCAGCCGTAGAGAAGACCTCACTAGTCTGTAACTCGTTGTTGTATCGCCTGAGCACCCACGTCGTAAACATCATACCCAGAGCAAANAGAAAGCCAACACCCAGCACGACTCCATAGCCCACGCCCTGGGAGAGGATGGCAATACCTGCCATGATGAAATATGCAAGTAAGTAGTATCGATAGCGACTTGGTCGCAGCAAACAGATGAGAGATTGGGAAGACCTTATAGCAAAGAGTGAAAGCAGCCGGCGTCGGGCTATATCTCAACGTGATTATATGAGTAGAGCCAATTTGAAGAGGAACCTCCGCGGCGAAAGAGTGCTGTCAGCCATCTCTTATGTGAGTCACGCACTATATGGTCTCTGTGGTCTCTATCGCATATCGCAAAACTCGGGAGCACGACTGGGGTTTGGGGAAAAGTGATACATAGAATGATCGGCATGGATAACGTTGTGTTAAGGTGGTTGATAAGGAAGCAATCTGGGGTATGCTTGTCGCTCATTGGCTCTGACAAACGCACACCACTCGTTCCTTATCAGTGTGCGAGTTCGCGCTTTCTTTATCAACCACAGAACTGCTTGTCCTCCGGTAGAATCTTGCTCGATCGTTTCGTGTAATCCTATCTCTGCATTTTCGTCTTGGCAGGGAAGGTAACGTCGGATAGCGCGTTCTTTGACAGATTGTGGGGTGCTTACTCGATGCGATTGTTTTTTCGGCGCGCCGCGCTGTATCTGATATTGTCTCTTTGTAGGAGGTTGAACCGATGAGCTGTATAACCGTCGAAACTGACCAGTGCGACCCCGAAATTGAAGCATACTTCTAAGCATCCTTCCATTTCCACATGCCCAACCAGCACTCGACTTCACTTAGTTCTTCACCCTGGCCATCACTCCAATCATCATATCCTGTTTCTGTTTGCTCATGGCATAGTTCCAAGCCAATTTTGATCATTCGGTCCTTGAGGTCTGCGCGCTCTTCTGCATAAGCATCACGGATTGGTATCTGGATCAGAACGCGAGCATCAGGGCCTTGGTCAAGGTGACAGTTGATTGTCTGGACCAGCCAGGCAGGATGTTCTTTGGAGTAGATAGGGTCGGCAGCAACAACCAGAGAATATCTTGAACTTTTTCCCTCGGCGACAAGCGGACGTCTTGGTTCCTCCGCATCCTCAGGGCAGATTATTTTCTCCGGCACAGTCCAGTCAAGCATAGCGGCGCGAGCAGATCCATTCCTCGACTCGATCATGTCTCTATTCGAGGCAATGTTCCTTTCGAGATTTGGCACAATTTCAGGCAAGTCTGTCAAGAGCACATTTGCACCAAGTACAGCTGCTGCGGCGATACCAACAAGACCTGTGCCTGCGCCTAACTCCAAAATTGTTGCAGTCTCATCCTTGTCAAAGATCAAAGGAATGCGATCGCGTAGGGTATGCCAGTTCCGGGCAAAGACAAATGAAGAGGCCCACGTCTTTAGACCAAGATTGTCTTCAGTAAGCGCAGGTTCATGAATGCTGACTTGGACGGTCGTATCTTGTTCGTGCGATGTAGTGATGACTGGCTTCATTGTGCTTGAGCTATTGGTAGTGTCGGCAGCGAGTGGTATCCGAAAGGAACGACTAATGGCACCCATACCGGTACGACCAGAACGTTCACTCAAGCGCAATGAAGCAGAATCCCAAATCTTCTCTTTCTCTACGTCATCTTCAATCCAGTCCAGCGGGCTCGAGACGATTCGTGTGAGGTATTGAGGAACGCCGTTAGAGCGCACTTTAGGCTTAGACTGGGCGGCGGTCTTGTCCCATGACTGAGGTTCTAGGCTGAGTAGGGATAATGTGTCTAGTAGCTGCTGTGACGAAGGCTTGGTGTAAATCTGTGGAAGGTCAAGCACNTGGAGGAGTGTTAGGAATGGTCAATTGATAGTACTAGGACAAGTATCACCATCTAGAACCTCCCCATCTTGGTCTGACTGCTGCGATGCATGGTTGTTGGTAGAGTCAGACATTCTGGTTGATAATGAGAGTGACGCTCGTTGATGGATAATTCTGGAGAAGGCGCGGAGACGCACAGACCACGACCATCCGAAGAAGAGCCATCGTCATCACTCAAGAGTCGCTTTGAAGCCATCATATGCCAGATTCATGTCGAATTGAAGGTCGCGAGCTTGATCGTCGGAGAGTTCTTGAGCAGCGCGCATCTGATTGAGAGTGATGAGCCACTGTACTATTTTGGCCTTGTTCTCAAAGTCTTGGTCCGTGACCTTGTTGACGGCTTGGATAGTCTCAACAAGGATGGGATGAAGTGTGTCCTTGGAAAGCATGTTCATCTTGATAGCATCAAAGAGAGTGATAAAGTTCTCCGAAGCTGATACGATGTGGGTAGCATTCGCACCAGCTCCACCGCCGGATTGAGCACCAGGTGCACGTGAAGGAGCCTCTACAGTAGCTGGCAAACCAATCTTCAGACGATCAGTGGCACGAGGAACTTCAAGGTTCCATTCCAGCTTGAAAGAATCCAGGCTTCCAAAGGCTCTGGCGACCGAGTCATCTGCTAGGTTGGACTTGTATTGCTTCAGCAATCGACTGCATGTGTCGGTGTAGTCAGTCTCAGAAATCGAGTCTTTGAGAAAAGCCCTCTCGAGTGCTTCCAGAGTAACAATGATGCTGTATATCTCAGCCAGCGATTCATAGAGGTCACGTTCGGCGCTGTTGTTTGCGAGTTTGAGCTCCTCATCAACATTGATAGTGGCCGAGAGTGTTGAGGTGGGAGTGTAGCTGTACGGAGTCGGCGCGTATGCCAGCTGCCGTTCGGCGTACATGTTGGTGATGTGTATTTGAAGGAAGTGCTATGTTCTTGGTAGAGGAGACGATGCGGGAAAGAGCGATGGAGTTAAGGTCAGTGGTCTGTGCTCAGCGCGCGGCTTCTCCGCAGAATCAGTGGAAATCTGATTTTCCTTTGCCGTATCCTGAACTTTTTGCATCACCACAAAACACCGCATATCATGGCGCAAACAAAGGCCACCAAGAAGTTCGAGAAGAACCATCTTAAGGACACAATCAAGCGCCGCAAGGACTTTGCCAAAATCAAGCAGCGCCACCAGATCAACGAGAAGAAAAAGGCAAAGAGAGCCCAGGACAATGAAGTTTCCACACCACCGCCCGAGACGAGGGCGCCGGCCAAGGACGGAAAGCAGGACTTTGAGAGCATGAACGTCGACGACTTCTTCCAAGGAGGCTTCGATGTGCCCGAGCTACCAGCCAAGATGGACAAGTCACTCAAGAGGAAACGCAACAAGACCGACGACAAGGAAGCCCAAGCAAAGCCCGCCGCCGAAGACGATGCATCAGACTCCGACTCCGAAGTCGACGACCCGGAAGCCTTCCAAGCGCAGCTTGATGCCCTCGCCGCAAAGGACCCTGAGTTCCACAAGTACATGCAAGAGAACGAGCCCGACGCTCTGAACTTCGAGGACGCAGACCTAGGAGAGATTGACGAACTGAGCGGTGATGAGGAGGATGAGAGACCGTCAAAGAAGCAAAAGGGAGAGGGCAACGAGGTCACCAAGCAAATGATCGCAAAGTGGCAGAAGGCCATGACAACACAACACTCGCTGCGCGCTTCCAAGGAGGTCGTTCTTGCCTTCCGCGCTGCTGCCCACGTTTCCGACGAGGAGGACAAGGTCTTCAAATATTCCATCTCAGACCCGCAAGCCTACCACGAGTTGTTGGTTGTTGCGCTCAAACACTTGCCCGAGGTGCTCGCACACCATCTGCCTGTCAAGGAGAAGGCTGGCGGCAAAGTCACCTTCTCGACCGACTCCAAGAAGTTCCGCAACCTCAGCCCTCTGCTCAAGTCGCATCTTACCTCGGTCCTGCATTTGCTCGCTCATCTGTCCGACCCCAACACCATCCGCATGACCCTCACCAACGTCCTCCCCCTCCTCCCCTACGTTCTCTCGTTCAAGAAGATCATCCGTGATCTGACAAAGGCTGTCACTGGAGTCTGGTCCGAGTCATCGAGCACCGAAGCCACCCGTATCGCAGCTTTCCTTGTCCTCAGACGACTGGTCGTCATTGGTGATGCTGGTATTAGAGAGGCCGTTTACAAGACCTCGTACCAGGGTCTGATCAAGGGCAGCCGCAACACCACCGTGCACACCATCCAAGGTATCAACCTCATGAAGAACTCGGCTGCCGAGCTATGGGGTATCGATCCCACCATTGGCTACACGACCGGTTTCACCTTCATCCGTCAATTGGCCATCCATCTCCGCAGCAGCATCACCAACAAGTCAAAAGATTCATACAAGACTGTCTACAACTGGCAATTTGTTCACTCCCTGGACTTCTGGTCGCGTGTCGTCGCATCACACTGTCAGTCACTTGCTGAGGCTGAGAAGGGTGCCGCTTCTCCCTTGCGTCCCTTGATCTACCCCATAGTTCAAGTCACTCTCGGTGCCATGCGCCTCATCCCCACAAGCACATATTTCCCTCTCCGCTTCCACCTCATCCGCAGTCTCCTCCGTATCTCCCTATCCACCGCAACCTACATTCCCCTTGGTTCCGCCCTTTACGAAGTCCTCAACGCCGCCGAGATGCGCAAGCCCCCGAAGGCCTCGACCCTCAAGCCTCTCGACTTCTCCGTTGCAGTCAGAGCACCAAAGACCTACCTTCGCACACGTGTATACCAAGACGGTGTCGGTGAGCAAGTCATCGAGCTTCTCTCGGAATTCTTTGTTCTCTGGGCCAAATCGGTCGCTTTCCCCGAGCTCGCACTACCCCTTGTTGTGCTGCTGAAGCGCTGGTTGAAGGAGACAGGCAAGAACTCAAAGACACCAAACAACAACGCAAAACTCACATCGCAAATGATCCTGCTGGTCCAGAAGGTCGACGCCAACATTCGCTTTGTTGAGGAGAAGAGAGTCAAGGTTGACTTTGCACCCAACAACCGCGGTGAGGTCGAGAACTTCCTCAAGGAGACTGAGTGGCAAAAGACACCGCTGGGCGCATTCGTTGTCGGTCAGAGGAAGATTAGAGAGGACAAGCAAAAGTTGATGGAAGAGGCAAGGAAGGAGGATGAGAAGAAGAGGGAAGAGGAGAAGGCCGAGAAAATGGCCAAGGACGGTGAAGAATTCGACGATGAGGGCGAGGCCAGCGGAGACGAAGACGAGTCCGAGGATGAAGAGATGGAAGTCGACGGTGTCAGTGATGAGGAGGATAGCGAGTAGAGGAAGTGCGAAAAGTTGAATTGCATCACGTCCGGCGTCTTCTTTTGGTTTGGTCTTGCAGAGATATCAAATATTCATCTTGAACTTTTTTTTTCGTTAATCAGCCACTGTCTCGCACCATCTGTACTCAAGAGGGCCTACTCGATGGCTCCTGCCTTATGCCCGGCAACTCGTTCCTTCCCTCCATAACATCGCGCGTGAGAGTTCCTTCCGCGGAGCACTTGCGTACGTAGAGACCTACCTTTTACATTGCATTTTCGACCTCAACTTCATCGCTCTTCACAATAAATTTCAGCGACTCGCTCTCACAATCCGCAACCACACTTCTTCAAGACCAAGTTCAAGATGTCCAAGTCTCATCTCGTACAAGAGACTAAACTACAGCAATACCCTCCTTCAATACCCTCACCCAAACGTTCAATCACTAGTTGTCTGCTTATCTGCTATGACATCTGGCTACCCTCTTATTCTGATGACTGGAACATCTTCGACTATATAGGGCTACTGAGCTTGAATTTTGGGTTTGGGCTTGCTATCTATGGCACCTATATATCTTGGGACTTTGGCGAGCGAAGCAATGGTGGTGGGGACGAGGCAAAGCCATCGATGAGTTGAGTGTTTTGGTGTGTGGTGTGCTGTGTCGTTTGCTTTCTCTCTTTTTTTCTGGATGTATGGATCTTTGTGCAGGATGTGGAGTGAAGATGTTGAATGATGGCTTCAGTTGTGTTGTGTTAGTGCTTCGTGTGGGATGCTCGTCTGTGTGATGTAGGGTTCGAGGGAAGCAAGAAAAGGGTAAACAAATCGATACAGCAGAGATAACTGGTAAAGAATAGTCATGAGCCATAACTACTTGTAGTCGTTTTGATCCCTTCTCAGCTTCAATGGTATAGCGAAACAGCTCCTTCCTCTTCTGTCCTAGCGTCATCATAACCTCGCAACGCTCCTAAACACCCTCAACTCCATCTCCATCTCCCTCCCACGCCATCACAACCATCTATCCGACTCACAACAACCAGCTCCCACAATCTTTCCACCACAATAGACCCCGAAAGCACAATGTCCACGACCACGCAACCCCACTTACCCTCCACCAAACCCTCGCCAGCAACGATTTTGTCCTCCCTGCTTTTCTTATCGTGTTGCTACTTGCCTTTGACGGTTGGGTGTCATCTTACGAGCTCGCTTTCCCCATGAAGATATGGTTGTGGACGACTAATTTGGGTGCGGTGATGGTTATTGTGGGTATGTGGGGTGCGAGGATGAGGAAAGTGAAGGAGGGGTGAGATGAGTGGAGTGAACAAAGGGACCTGTGATCAGAGAGATGAGCTTGATATGGAAGCTTAGGAGGGGACATGGTCAAAGGATGGATTTTGGGCTTCGAGAAGAAGGGATAATAGGACGGAGGGAAGAGGACGATGGGCTAGCATCTGGTACTACTCCCTATCAGAACAAGGAACAAACTTGTTGATAAAGAGAAGGTCGAACAAAAGTGAGCATTGAATAAGACCCTCTCATCGGAAGCTAAGAGTGCTGACACAGACTCAAAAGTCAAGTTCTCAGATACAGAAAGAGAGAAAGATTCTCAGGATACAGTTTGGGATGCAAAGAAGAAAACCAACTCTCACCTTGCCTGTACACGTAATGCGCATTTCCTCAAGCTCAGCAACCCACAAAGAGAAGCAATGACAAGAAGGTCAGCTCTAGACGGAATGAAGATATACTCTAGTCGAAAGAATCAACAAAGGAGAAAGCCCACGTGTCGTTTCCGCTTGTAAACGATTCCGTCTGACTTTTTCTCCTTGTGTATCACTTCCCGTTCTACAGACGAGAAAGGATCATGTATTCTTCTTGGCTACAGTCTTGAGCAAAGTTGAAACAAACTATCAGAGCGACGGAACAGCGCAAGAGAGGACCAAGTCAGACAACGACCTGTCTCAACACTTATGCTCGAATAGCAGCACAGCTGTATCATGAGGAGCGACATCCACGGTGACCTTCTTCTCCTTGCATCCAAGGTCTGTGCTGTTCCAGATATCCAAAACCTGGTAGCAGCCCCCTGAATCAAGCTCCGGAATCTCACCGTAGTCAGCAGTCATCTCGACCGTCTCATTCAGCGGGTTGAACAGAGCCACCATAGTCCCATTAGAGCTCGCTCCAGACCAATACTGAGCTGGGAAAGTCGTGTTATAAGTCCAATCCGGGTTGATACCCCACTTGTACGGCGCAGCAGGCTTTCCGTAGACTGGGTCTTGATTGAAGGCCAACAGTGCCTTGTTCTGCAAAACACCGATATTGTGCTCGCTGAGTTTTATTATATCGGTGCCAATGAGGAGAGGCGATTTCATCATTGCCCAGAGCGAAAAGTGCGAGCGCACTTCTGCGTCTGTGAGATTGCCGTTGCCGACTTCGAGCATGTCTGCATCGTTGTGGCCGTAGAAGTCTGCGTAGTCGGAGAGGAAAGAGTTTTGGTTGAGGATTTGGAGGATGCGGCTCCATGAGGCTNNAATACCATATCATATCAGCCAGACTTTCTGTAGACGTAGAGGGAAGAATGTTCACTTACGGTTGATGTCGTTGGACATACGCCATGATTGACTTGTACTGTTGCCCCAAGTCCAAGGTAGATCAACTCCCCACTCGCACAGACTGTACAGGATGGTTCTGTTCTGTGCGAGTAAAGCATTGCCCATGATACGGAACTTGAGCGCGGTGTACTTGGCAGTGTAATTGATACCATCGACAGGCCATCCATCAGCACAGATGGGAATCGGGCGAGTAAACGAATAGTGGTTGACAGGTGGTGTGCTGTTTGAGCAAGTACCATTGACAATACCAGTAGGAGAAAAGCTTGGATCCGGCTCGCAAGACAAGCAATCGTCATACCACTCTTCTGGTGGGAAACAATTGTCGTACTTGAGATAGTCAACCCCNCAGGAAGCGAATGTCTCTGCATCAATGGCTTCATAGCCAATTGAGCCTGGGTAGCGACCACATGTCATGGTGCCTGCGCTCGAGTAGATGCCAAACTTGAAGCCCAAGTCATGCACCTTGTCTGCTGTACCCTTGATGCCCTGAGGGAATTTGGTCATGTTGGGCAACAGTTGATGCGTTACAGCATCTCGGCCTTGTTTCTCGGACCAACAGTCATCCGAATTGACATACTCGTAGCCGGCGGCTTGGAAACCCAAGTCTTTCATGGCATTGGCCGCTTGCAGGATGCGTGCCTCGTCGATGTCGCAACCATAGGCATTNCTGACGACGATATCAGCACGTAATCAAAAGCACACTGTTGGTGTCAAGCGTACCCATGAGTTCCATCCTAATGCTGGTAGTTTGCCGACACTACCAGGCAGCTGAAGTCCCAGAACTGTCGGCACCGCAGCTAGGGTAAGTATCTTTGCCAAAGACATCGTGTACGTAGAGATGTGGTTTACGAGAACAGTTGATGCTTGAGCCAAGGAGAGTGGAGGGATAGAGCCAGACTTAACTTATACTTTGTGATGCCCATGGAAGTCACACTAGTGAGGCAAGTCGATCGTCTATTTTCCGTGTATACCCCTCATGATCTCTTCGAGAATCCAAGGCAACCCCGCTGTATACGAGAGTTCTTGCCGGCTAAAGTGGCAGCATGCATCTTCCGTGGGATAGTATTCTCGGCCGAGTATGACGTGTTTGCATGAAGACGAGCTGCAAGGTTAAGGTGTGCATGAACAGGGGAGGTGGAGATGGAGGATGCGGAGCCGTGCACGTGATAGTAAGTCCGTGAGTCACTATGGGGAGATCTCGATCATGTCAATGTGAAGTCCTGACAAGTTCAAGCGTAATCACAAGAACTGATAGACTGATATTAAAGACATGTCAAGAAGAGCATTGTCATAGGGAAGGAAAAGAGAGAGTGAATTTAAGTCTGAGGGTGATGAATCAAGAGTGGGAATACTGCAGAAGAATCATGTTATTCTTCTCTACCTAATGTATGAGATAAACTATTTACTCGCTCATGAATTACCAAAGACGGAACAAAAGGGCATGCAAGTATGAGAAACCCCAATCAACAAGGATTGTATCATTCAATCCATCGTTCCTTCCAAAAGAAGGCAAAAACCAATTGACAAAACGCAGTGTTAACCAAAAAAAAAAGAAAGAAAGAAAAACAATCTCATCGGAGTGTGTGTGCAATCATTATTCAGGGCCATTTCTTCCTTTCTCTCCTCTTTTTCATTTCCTAAGGTCGTTCCAGTAGTACTACTCGAGGATAGAGTCCTCATCAACGCCAATGCCAGAGTCGTATTGGCGACGACGACGGCTCTGCTTGATGTGCTGGACGCGAGGGTTGCCAGCAGATGACGAGGTGGCAAAGGTAACCATCTCAGGGACGGCATCCATGGCCTCAACCTCCTCAAGCACACGACGGCCAACTTCGCGCAATTCACCGCTCTTAGCTGAGGCAGAGAGGACAGCTGCTTCCATATCCTCGTGCATGGACTGGACAGTGGCAGTGGAGTCGCGAACATAGAGTCTGAACTTTTCCTTGAGTGCTGCGTTGAGCTTTGTCAGGCGGGCGATGGTAATTGTGTTTTCTGAGCCGGTCTCGCGGAGCTCTTCGATCTCGGTGTCACGCTCGTTCATCACGCGCTCCCAGCTGCGGTCCACCTCCTGTGCCTTACGGCCGAGGTTCTCGATCTCGGCTTGCTTGTTGCGGATGTTGGTCTTGAGGTCGACGATCTGGTCGTCGCGGTCGGCTTGCAACTCAAGCATTGCCTCGGCTTCAGCCTCGACACGACGTTCAAGCGACTCCTTCTCGGCCTCGAGGTTTCTGATCTCGTGTTGGGCATTGTAAATGTCGTGGTTAAGGTCGGCGATCTTTTCGTCTCTCTCGGTAATGGCGACAGCGTGAGTCTGAGCGGTTGTCTGGGCCTCGGCGTTGAGGATCTTGATAGTAGCCTCGTGTTGAGCAATAATGGCTTGGAGATCAGCGACATCACCAAGAAGCTCAGCAATGCGAGTCTCGGATGACTGTTGCAGCTGATCAAGCGACACCAATGCGTTGTTCAATTCCGTCTTTGTTGCCTTGAGCTCTGCAGTCAGTTCATCAAGCTTGGTTGCCCATTCNCTAATCTTAGCACCACGCTCTTCAAGCTGCTGACCCATGTCTGCTGTGATGACTCTCAGTTGTTCTTCGTACGTCTGAGCCTCGGCTTTGTGGAAGACTGCCAAATCGTTGGCCTTTCTGGCCTTCTCGTCCCAGGCAGCAAGCTCGGTGGCATGCTTGGTTTCGCGCTCCTCTGCGATAGTCTGAAGCTCTGTAACGACTTCCTTGGAACGCTGCTGAACCTCGAACAGCTTTTGACGCAGCTCATTGGCTTGTTTGCCAGATGCCAGCAGCTTCTGCTCCAACTCGGTGATCTTGTTGTTGCGATCGTCCAGATCGGCCTCAGCTGCCTCGCGTTGGCGACGTTCTGCCTCTTCGAGTGCGCGAAGGTTGTCTAGGTCAGCTCTGAGCTGATTCAATTCAGTCTCAGCCTCCTCGATCTTAACCTCAAGCTCAGCGATTGATGTTGTGTTTTCATCGTTCACCGCCTCGGCGACCTCTCTGGCTTGCTGTTCGGCGAAGTGCAGTCCTTGAAGAGTGACAAGTTGTTGTTTAAGAGTGTCAATGTTAGCTTCGTCTTCCTCGGCGCGACGCTCCAAGGTGGTGATGATGTTTTGCTTGTCGTCAGCGTCGGCCTCGGCAGTGTGGCGCTTGGTACCCTCAACACGAAGCTGCTCCTCGAGCTCAGACACGACAATTTGGTTAGCCTTGGTGAGGTCAGAGATCTTGACGTTGGTCTCCTGTTCCATGCGAGTGATGAGCGCGTGAAGGTTGGCCTCGTTAGCTCTGTAGCCTTCGAGGGCCTCACCGAGCTTTCTGATGGTTGTATCCTGATCCTTGTTCTCGCGGTCAAGCTCGGCAAGCTGGGCTTTCTTCTCGCTGATAAGAGTCTGAGCCATATCGTGGTTCTTTTCGATCTTGTTCAACTCCTTGCTGAGCGAATCGATCAACTGCTCATCTCTTTGACTTTGGGCATCCAGGTCGTTGAAACCAATCTCGAGAGTACGCTTGCGAATCTCGGCCTGACTCAATCTTTCAAGAAGACCATCAATCTCGTTGGCAAGCTCCTGGCGCAGTTGGTCGTTGTCGGTGATGAAGATCTCCTGCTCGGTAACTTTGCTTGCAAGGACCTCGAGGTGCTGGATGACGAGCTCAACAAGGTCGGCGTCAGAGATGCTGCCAGGGACAGCTCCAGGTACGGCAGATTCGAGGCGTTCGCGGACAGAGGCGAATGTTTCGCGGATGGATCCAAGGATGGCGTCAGAGTTCTCACCTGGGAAGCCAAGAGACTGCAACTCGATGGTCAGGATTTGAAGAGCAGACTTTGCGTTGGATGCTTCGTCGGTCCAGTACTGGATGGCCTCCTTGAAGGCGCGGCGCTCCTCCTCCTGGGTAGAGTCGGGCAGGGCAACCTGGGTTTGAGCATCGGAGATGTCAACAGCGTCGATGACCCTTTGGACAGTGCGGACTTCAGTACTGGAAGAAGGAAGGTTGGGGTATGAAATGCCTTGGCTGCTATCAAAGACCATCATGTCCTCGTTGATGACATCAGTGGCCTCGATGGCGTCCACGTCAGGGATGGCAGCCTCTTGAGCCTTCTTCTCCTCGAGGTCTTCAGTGAGTTGAGCGAGCTCGGCTTCAATGTCCTCCATCTTTTGGTCGTCAGCATCTTCTCCCAACTGCTTCTCGACATCGAGCTGGTGAAGACGGGTGCGAATGATATCCTCAATCTCTCCAATCTCTTGACGCAGTTGGACTAGTTCTTGGTGGGCCTCGGAGCCATCTCTTTGCTCCTTGATCTCCTCGCTCAGACGGCTGCGGCGAAGGCGGCTCTTAACACGCTCGGACAGGACCTGACTCAAGGGGCGGAAGAGCTTGGAAACGGTAGGCGAAGGGGAGAAGGTCGAAGGCAGAGACAAGCGAGACTTGGCGGGCGGTGTTGATAGGCTCTCGAATTTTGAAGGAGAGATGGTCTGACGTCTTTCGGTGGTGATGGTCTTGCGGATGTGAGGAGTTAGGTGTGTCGAGGTGGTCTTCTGACCTTGAGAGGTAGACTCGGTGAAGTGAACATGGCGGGCTGCGGGAGCAGGGGTACTGGTGGTGACAATATCTTCCTCGTCGAGGATGGTGAGGTCTTCGGGGTGGTCGTAAGACGCGTCTTGTCTCTTTCTGCGCTTGACTTGTGATGACGACGAGACAGTCGTCTGTGAGCTCTGAGGAATCGGCGCGTCGGAGGAGCTGCTTGCTCTTCTCTTGCGGCTTGTGCGTTTCTCAGCGCCAGCAGTCTGCTGCGATGACGACTGGCTCGAAGGCACCTTTTCTTGGTTACGGGTGCGCATCGTGTGAGTGGTGTATCCAAATAACAGAGCGGAAAGATGCAACAGGACAGGAACAACAGGATAATCGAACAGACGACGAGATTGAGCAAAGAAGAGATCGGCTGCTTTTCAAATTGATGTGGAGGTAAGAATTGGTTTGGTGGATGGCGCTCGAAATGAATCGCGCCGCTTGCTTTTGACACGCGCCGGATGGATGACGTGCGAGTGATCCAAGCTTTTGTGCAAATCGTCACGATAGCAACTGAAAGTCTATTTCACTATTCACTGCCACGAGCTGGCCCTATTCTTATAGGCATTGAGATAGGTAGCTCTTTGCGGCCAACACACTGCTACCACTCCTACAAGACGGTCAGTCACGTAGCCTCCGAGACCACATCGCCTCTCAGGTCCTGTCCAATTAAATAGCAATATAAGACCTGCATAAAAATCCCCAGCCACCCTAGGCAGCACTTGCAGGTGGCTGAAAGTAACACACGATCACCATGTCTCGAAAACTTGGAAACCTGGAATATGAACACATGTGTCACTCACAACCCCTTCATGCACGAGATAACTATACACGTGAGAACAGTGTGTGCGTTATGTATTATTCGGGGTATCGTGTGTTCATCTAATTGATCCTGATCGTGCTCAGTCCAGATCTTCGTCCTTCTGCTCAGATTTGTCTTCCTTTGTTGACTCGTCCTTGGGTCCTTCGCTGTGGCGGGGTAGCAAGGTGAAGATAATGACAAAGAGGACTTCGTTTGTGCTTCTGTCTTTGAGGACATATCTAAGTGCATGAGACCTTGTGTTAGTCAGATTCTGCTCGAAACGCACTTGTAGGACAATCTAGATGGAAGAACGGGTTGTTCACAGATGGGCTGCTTACCTCAGAGGTTGGCCATCCCAGTAGCTGATAATAGGGATGGTGATACCGGGGATATAGCTGAAGCCGGGAAGCTTGAGCGCAAAGTCTNNGTTTGTCTGTCAGTATGTCTATCCCTACCTCTATCATCTTTTCAGCATACCATTGAAGTCCAGGTAAGGGTTAAAGAAGTCGCAACTGTAGTTTCTACCCTCCTCGAAGGTAAAGTCCTTCAAGTGCTGCTCCTTGAGGAAGTGCTTCTTGCGAGCGTTGGCCTCGTCGGGCAAGCCGGCCTTCTTTCTAGCCTCGACACCATCACCGTCGGCACCTTCAGACACTACGACGGGCTTGTCCTCGCTTCCCTTCATCTCAGCAGGCTCTTTCTTTTCGCCGACTCTCAATGTGTTGATGGAACTGAGGAAGGGTCCGTATAGATATGGCTCGTCGGCATAGGCATCACCATAGAGTCCAGGGTCGATAAACCACTGAGCAATCTTCATTGCCTGTCCGAATCCTGGTGGCAGCTTGTCCTTGATCGGGTGGTCAAAGTCGTTTCCGAAGACCAAATCATGACCGTTGATGTTCTTCTTGGGTGTGAAGGAGAAGGAAATGCTGTAGAGGTCGGACTTGTGCGGATCGACTTCGAAGTAGGCGCATGATGAAGGAGAGTTGACGGGTTCGCCGCGGTAGTTTTGGACACGGACGGTCAGGGAGGCATCGAGCTTCGGGTTGGAGATGCTGAGCGGTTGTTCGGTGTTGACATGGACCAGCTTTTGGTTGGCCTCGTCATAGTCGGACCCAGCGGTCACTCTGAGCATGTACTTGTCGGCCATATTGAAGGTATCTAGTCGTATAGGACGTGCTTAGGAGAGGAGAACGAGGGCGGAAGAGGGGTGTATCTTTGTCGAGCGAAATATTGAGAATGACGTCGAGAATTTTCCCCAGATCGTGAATGTGACGTTTCTGAGCATGGGAAGAATGCTCATTGAGCGAAGTACAGCAGCTGTATCACTCCTTATGGCATTCTGACGGTAGTTTCGATATGTAGTTGTGTTCATGTCGTTCCGTAATCCATTGCTTTTGGTATCTTAAAAATCTATACAAACATGACTGTTTTTACATTCTTCTGAGGATGTCCTCGACAACCTCGGTCGTCTTGGCCTGACCACCCATGTCAGGGCTCAGGTANTTACCCTCCTCAAGGTTGGCATCAACAGCCTTGTAGATGAGAGCAGCAGCCTTCTCCTCGTTGAGGAACTCAAGCATAAGGGCGACACTGCGGAGAGTAGCGATAGGGTTGGCGATGTTCTGGCCCTGGATGTCGGGAGCAGAACCGTGGCAAGGCTCACCAATGGCGAAGCCCTCACCGACGTTGGCAGAGGGTACAAGACCCAGACTGCCGACAAGAGCGGCAGCACCGTCGGAAAGAATGTCACCGTAGAGGTTAGGAGCGACAATGACATCGTAGGTCTGAGGCTGGCGGAACAGCTTGTAGACCATGCTGTCGACGATCTGCTCATCGACAGTAACGCCCTTGAACTGGGACTGAGCAAGAGCCTCACGGGCAGTCAGACGGAAGAGACCGTCGGTTTGCGAAAGAACGTTGCTCTTGTGGGTGATCGTGACGTTGGCAGACTTGCCGGTCTGGCCGGTCGAGTCGCGCACACGCTGGCGACGGAGAGCAATGTCACCGGCCATGGTAGCGATACGGCTCGAGGCACGCTCCGAGATGCGCTTGATGGCCTCGGCGACCTTGCCGTTCTCGGTGTCGTATGTCTTCTCTTCCTTGACGTACAGGTCCTCGGTGTTCTCGCGGACAATGACGAGGTCAATGGGGTCGGGGAACATGGTGGTGTTCTTGACACTCTTGACGGGACGGACGTTGGCATACAGGTCGAGACGCTTGCGGAGAGCGACAATGGGAGATGAGTAGCCCTTGGTGGGAGTGGTGGGCGAGCTCACGGCACCGAAGAGGGCACCATCGCACTCCTGCTTCAGGGTGTCGACAGTCTTCTCAGGCAGAGCAGCGCCAGTCTTTTGGAAGGTCTCGAAACCAGCTTCCAGGTCGACGAAGGAGAAGCTGAGACCCAGCGACTTGGGCAGGGCCTCGAGGATGCGACGACCGGCGGGGATGACCTCGCGGCCAATGCCATCACCAGGGATCAGACCTGTGTATATGTTAGAGGGCAGTACTGGATTAGGAATGTGAAAGCCGACCAATTCTTAGTGTACGGGATGCCATTGTTGCTGAGGAGTGTGGAGAAGAGAGTCATCGCGAACTCCAACAAGACCAGGTGAAATTTCGGCCGATGTCGGGTTGCCTGTTCAGCTGGTGGGTCATGGCATGGCATGGTTCGGAGACATAGCATCTGGTCCGAATGAGTCTCTCTATACACGCAGTTTGGTCACACAAGTAACAAAAAGAGCAAGAGGCCAAAACTGGACACTTCTGGCAGCTGCTCCATGATGGACAATTCAAGGCAAGAAGCACCGGGTCGCTCTTTCCCTTGACACATCGCGTTTGCGGCCAAAGCTTCACCTCCGAGCGTTGATGAGCACGCGGGGCAGTCGCAAAACATCAACCAAGCTTCGTTAAACTTCCTGGTCAATCAACAACAAAATGTCGTCTTCACCAACCCCCTCAGAGCGCGAGGCTACCGACAAGGCCACTGCTGCCCGTGAGGCTGAAGAGCAGGCCAAACTTCCCTACAAGTGGATGCAAACCATCCAGGATGTCGACTTGACTGCTCAGGTTCCTGGAAACCTCAAGGCTCGCGACTTTGACATCAAGATCACAAAGGACCACTTGCGCGTTGCTATCAAGGGCCAGGATCCTATCATCAATGTACGCCCTGTTCAGTCTCATCTACTCAGCCTATGCTCACAAGGACAAACAGNNGGCGACCTCCCTCATCCCATCTACGTCGACGAATCTACCTGGACCCTCGAAACCACTCCCTCAGGCAAGGAACTCGCCGTCCACCTCGACAAGGTCAACAAGATGGAGTGGTGGGCCCACGTCGTCAAGAACGCTCCCAAGATCGACACCTCCAAAATTGCCCCTGAGAACAGCAAGCTCAGCGATCTCGACGGCAACACCAGATCTATGGTCGAGAAGATGATGTACGACCAGAAGCAGAAGGAGATGGGTCTCCCCAGCTCCGACGAGCAGAAGAAGCAGGAGATGCTTGGTGTGTGCAATCTACGTGATGTGTCTAAGACCAGTCTTGTGCTAACCTGCCACCAGNAAAAATTCATGGCCCAGCATCCCGAGATGGACTTCTCCCAGGCCAAGATGTCCCCATGATACCCTCAGTTGTGTCAAACGACCCAAGACACAACGGCTTTATGTGCATAGCGTAGAGCAGAAAAAGTGAACATCAAATGAGAAACGATCAACGTCAACCACGAGAATAGATCTTAGCCCTCACAGCATGTCTTGTCAGAGTTCCGGGGATTGCGGACAAGGTCTTAAACTCACTCAGCTTGGCTCCCTGTTGCGTCTCGCGACCCTACGGCATAATCTATTAGCCATAGAACTACGCTCTTCCTCCCTCCGATTATCTTGTTCATCTACACGCGCTTGCCGTCGGGACCAGATCCGTCATGGCACATCCGAGGCATGCTTACATATACTTCCACGCTCTCTATCCAGAATCAGCAGATGTCCACTACTCCGATGTCATTGTCAAGTCTTGACGAAGGAACGTTGCTCAACGCAAGATATGCTGGACGCTTTGCTATAGACGTCTGGCTCACGATGAAACAAGCAGCAAAGTGGTGATGGGAGTCTGGGGGCGTCACTATCTCCAGTCTTTGAGCCCACCTCTCGCGACGACTTATAGCAGGGCCAGTTTTATCGCGGCATAGTACGGTCATCCTTTCTGTCTACTAAAGACTGTCACAATCCTACGAAGGGTCCTTCTTCTCACACCGACAAATACTCGTGTTTCCATGTACAAAATGCACAATTCTTTGTAGAAAATGGTGATGTCCACTTAGAGAACGTTCTCATGGGATGTCTCCATGATCATGCTTCTGATCTGGAAAATACTGTGCATTTCTATGGGTACGGAGTGAGAGTGTTTATCACCTGTGGAGAGTCAACAAGTGAAATTCATACACAAACATCGACACTCACAAAGCCAGTCGCGCTTTCTCACTCTCACCAACACTCACTCCTGACTTTATAAAATCTGCGCAACCTCACAACACTCCATCCTTCCTTTCTTTCCACTCACACACTCTGTTCTGACATTCGCGTCATGGCGTCGTCTGCAGATGGCCTCACGGCTGCCTTCTCCAATAACGAGCAGTACTCGGACATCGTCATCAAGTTCGGCGAACATCAGATTCGCGCACACAAGGTCGTCCTTGCCCAGCAATCTGGATACTTCGCGACTGCCTTCTTCAGTCACTTCCAAGTAGGCTACTGTCTGAATGCACAGTGTCGTTATTCTTAGAACTTCGACTACGGAGAGCCCTTTGAACTGTATTGACTGACACAATCAGGTTGCATCAAACCCTGTCATCGACCTAGGAGACGAGGACGATCCCGAGCTGCTCACATCCGTGATCAGATACCTGTACTGCTGCGGACCTATCCATGACAACGTTCCAAACTTCTCCCTGGATCGTCTTAGCGAATTTTACCTGATAGCTGACAAGTACGATATTTCAAAGCTGCGTTGCGAAGTCGCAGAGTTCTTTCACATGGAGGCAATCACCGGAGTCGAAGCCTATCAGGGCACTGATTTTATGAAGACCTTTGTAGGCTGCGTCGTCAAGTTTTGCGGTTCATTTTCCTTCCAGCTTGCTGATACCACACTACAACACGTGATCATAGATGTTTGCATGCAGCAATACATGGAGGTCTTCAGGGACAAGGTGTTTCTCAAGCTCTATAAGAATGGAGAATTGTTCGACCTCAAGAACGCAGCTGCTTTCGGCCTGTTTCTCGGGAAACGTCTGCTCAACATTCAGGAAATGGCGCGCGAAGGAGTCAATGACATGCCGGAGTCTGATGACGGACTTGTAGATCATGGTCCATTGAAGCGGTACGTTGAAATACTCACTATGCTATCAAGTTGGCGAGCCTAACATCCGCGAAGAATAATGAACAATTTCTTCAACGAGAGAATGTCTGACATAACTCTCATCTGGGGCGATGGCCAAAAGATCTTTGCTCACAAGGTTGTCCTGGCGGCTCATTCATCCTACTTGCAGAATATGCTGAAGGCTTCACCTACGGTCAGTCATGGTATCGTGTATTGAGTTAGATTAACAAACTCATATGATAGCAGATCACAGNAGATTGATCTTGGGGACAAGTACGACTCTGCAGCGACAGCAGCCTTCATCGAAGACATGTACACATGCCACAACACCGCTTGCCTTGACTTATCGTCCAAGCGCTCGATCTCATCTCTTGCCGACATGTACCTGCTGGCAAAGAAACTCAGGCGCGACGATGCAGCTGAAGAATACAAAGGCCAATGCGCAGATGTGTTAAGCAAGCAAAAATTCTCAGATGAGCTGCTGTCACAAGTAGCGACTCTTTGCGGACCAGATTCCAAATCCGCCGACACATCGTTTGCGGAGATGGTCTTCGCTAACATTCTATACCGCGTCCGGTGCGCATAGAGAGGCGGAAAGGTTCCTGAGACGTTCGCGGAGAAGCTTGCTGATGGATCCTTGTTCAATGCCACGTTCACCAGACGGTTCGCCAACGAGATACTCGGTAGCTTTCTGGGACCGAAGCAGCCACGAGCCTGGTAGTCGTCTCACTGAGCGCTTTTCCAACCAGATGCTTGTCAACAATTGTCCAAAGCGCTGATAACTCATATTTACCTGTATTCTCAGTAGTACTCAACCACTCTGAATCTACTTCATTTTATTGTAATCCGCGAAGTGGGTCTGATATGCCAAAGTATTTGATCCGAGCATCTGTAGAAATGCACGATACTCTCAGGGTTTCGAGTAACATCCATTGAGACACGAGCTTTCGTCGACTCTCTTTGGTGCCGTCAATCGTGAGGAAAGGTAAGTTTCCATGACCAGCAGCATCATATTCGCATAAATTCTAGTTATATTTGGAGTCTTGTTACTGGTATCTGGACGAGTAGATTCTTGCTTGTCAGACCTCGCTTTGCATTCGGATGAGCTGTAGTGTGTATTCAAGACGGAGTTCGGGATGTGAAAGGAAACGATAACGAGATGTCATCAGAACAGCAAACTGATTATGTTGATTATGATGTCGTTGATGGAGTGGCTGGGAGTTCTGGCTCGGGATTTCGGTTCTTCGTGATCCGAACATTTTGGGAAGTCAGGGTCGTAGGCTTAGCTAGCAAAATTGAGGTCGTCGACGATGTTTTGAGAGCAGCAACAATCGTTGGGACTCGAGAGTGCTTGATTGATGTTCCCTATATTTCCCTTGATTGTCATCCAGGAAGACATCCGATACTATGCTCGATTCTTCTGGACAAGGTCATGAAAGCTTTGCGGTCATGCACAGCAGTGGACATTAATACAACCATCGCTACCATTATTCCTGTTAATAGCTTCAGTCGTCTGAAGCAGTCGCAAAGTGTGAGTACAACAGATCGGTGCAGGCACGCTGTTCAGACTATAATAGAGCACGCTTCTTGAGACCCGACTCATCACATTCGCCTGAAGTTTGTTTCATAAGGAGCTGCAGACCCAGGCCAAGCGCGTGTCTTGGGACCAAGCCTCGATCACAGCCACCATGAAACACGCATCTTTGTGTGTTTGAGGAGGTTGCTGTGTTTGCCAGTGCTGAGCACATACAGGAGCTCCCATTTCTCCTTCTCTATCTTCTTTTGACAACCGCAAAGCACGCGACACAGCATAGCTCCTTCCTGTACTCATCAACATCAGCATTCTTCGCGCGACTCGGTGTGGGGTCACGGACGCCCTTGTCATCTTGCTCACTCACCTCCATCGCCTTTTGTTGATTGCCTTCATTTGTCACATATCATTCTTATGGTATTGTTGCTTACATGGAGGCTCTACGAAATTTGAAACTGCCCTTCTCGAGCAAGCCGTTGCCGCCGAAAGTAGTGATATCGTCAGTCGTACATGGTCGCGTGCCTCTTTGGAGTAATGCTGACTTGCGCCAGANNTATATCCTGGACTATGTGATTATCGTGTAAGAACAACACGAGAAGGATATCTTGGACTTTCTAACATCTTGTGTTAAATAGTNNATTCTCGCAATTCTATTCCTTGCTATTGACAAGATCGAGTAAGGCCATCCCTGCGAAGCCAACGGTTGAATATGGATACTAACATCACATCTAACANGCGGCTTCCGACAACACTTTGCACTTCAGAACTACACGTTACAGTACTGAATCCTCGACTTTCCAAGACGACTCGGACTAACACTGAAGAAGANNTATCCATATGCAGTGCACGAACGAGTGCCAGCAGGCATATGCTATGTCATTGTGGTTATGTGCCCTGCTGCCATCATCTGTTTCTGGACACTAGTCATCGACGGTCTCTTTGCGCACTCGCAACCCACGGAAACCGAAGGCACGGGCAGAAGACTGGGACGCTACAAACTTGTAGACAGGCTATGGGAACTCAATTGTGGTATCTTGGGCTTGGCCTTGTCAGAAGGCACTGCTTTCGTCATCACAGGTAGGAAATCGATGAGACGACCTTCAGAATCGATCAGCTCATGTATGGCATAGNGCGCACTCAAAAATACGGTCGGCAAGCCGCGCCCTGATCTTATCGATAGGTGTCAGCCGAAGATCGGATCATTCGATCCATCTCCATATGGTCTGTCGAACTCGTCGATATGCACACAGACCGATATGAGCATTCTCAGAGATGGCTTCAGAAGCTTTCCTTCAGGACACTCGAGCAGTAAGTGGTATTAATATGTACGATGAGAAGACAGTGATGAGCTGACGTGTCTTTTACAGGCTNCATTTGCTGGACTCTTCTATCTGTCATTATACCTCGCAGCCAAGCTCCATATCTGGGATTCAAGAGGTGAAGTATGGAAGATTTTTGTTGTCATCATCCCATCACTCGGCGCTTCCTTGATCGCAGCAAGCAGAATCATGGACGCGAGGCATCACCCGTAAGTGAGACAGTGCCCAACTTGGCGACCAGATATTGACACGTACTACAGCTTCGACGTGATCACTGGCAGTCTGCTCGGTATAGCATGTGCTTGGCTATCCTATCGTCAGTATTTCCCTCCGGTCAGTGAGACCTGGCGCAAAGGCCGTGCATACCCCATCAGAACCTGGGGACAGGAAACGGCACCACCGCCAGCAGCAGTGTCAACGGCATATGAACCGTACGGCATGCAAGGACCAGACCCGCAGAGAGCACCGTCACAAAGACACATGCAGCACTCGAGAAACACAGGCTCGGACAGCCAAGCAATGCTGGCGACGCATGCAGCACCGTTTCCGACTGGGGGATTGGCTGGCACGGAATCTAATAGACGGCGTGACGAGTGGGACGCGTCTTCGACCGAAGAAGACGAATTTGAGTTGCAGCAGCAGCCTAGGTGTCCACCGGGTGCGATGATGGGGTCGACGGCGTACCTGCCTCGCACGCACATGAGCGCGACATCAGATCAGGTTTGAAAGCTTGGTATATGTCTGGCAACGCGGCCGGCGGCATGCCATACGCATCACGAGTAAAGGGTTTGGTCAGGTCAGGTCAGGATAAGGCGTAAGGCTGAGGTTCAAAAATCGGTAGAAAGCGAGACGAATACAACGCGCATGCATCGTTCGACTTTGCCTAGTGATGTGTATCTGCGTATCAGCATGCGCAATGCAAAAATTCATAGTCCGTACATTAAAGATGCAGCGAGTCATATGAGCGTCTGGATGGGATTAGCACAAAGCTCCCTTCTGTCATGTCTACTTCAGGACAAGTTCTCCTGCGCGTGGTCTGCGTTACGAGTCACTTGATGGGCTAGCACACGTCAGCAGGGGAGTTGCTGTCAGAAGTGTGGTGCAGTGAACGCAGCATCATGCAAAGAAGCAAGCAGAATCAATATACTGCATGTCATTGCCAAAGCATATCGCTGTACCATGCGATGTGGATAGATAGGTCGACAAAGGATGAAGCAGAAGTCAGGATTGACCATCAACTGCGATCAAGCATCTCGCCGGTTCACAATCGCTTGCAGAACATCAGTGATGTAGGTGCACGCGTCCTCACGTCTGATGAGCGACGACAAGGTGTGTGTGTGTGTGGACCGATCAACGAAATAACACTTGCACAGCAAAAAGAAACAGTTGAGCTGTCCCCAGGGAAAGAGCTTGGGGAGGAGGGTTACGAGTCATGAAGGGCAAAAAGGGGCCTAGAGCCGCAATAGGCAAAAAGCGGGCGGACGGGCAAAAGTGTTCACACGTCAGCCTCCTTCTGGGCAGGACCCTTTGAGCAACAGAGCAAACGGCTGTGCAAGGCTAGACTTGCAATTGGTTGCTGCAGGACGTGAAGATGGAGAAGAACACGGTGGATAGACTAGAAAGAGAAGAATGACAAGCAGCAAGAGCATCGCAAGACACGAGGCGATGGACGTAGATTGCGCGGGCGAGTGTGGATGTGTTTGAACATTTATAAAAAATAGACAGCAAGTGTTTCTAGAGAGCGTCAGGTCCACGGCAAAAGAGTGGTGGGCGGGCTTTGCTTTCAGAGCTTGGCAGCGGTCTATCGACGCCACGCAACGTGGAGGACATGTAAGCGCAGATTGAGAGCCGGCAGCATCTGGAACAGTGAAAACGACCATCAGCATGCGCATCTCTGCCTGAGGTGGTGATGGAACACGAAGCACAGATTCAACACGTTGATAGACAGTTTGTACAATGGGTCTGATTGCTGGAGAAAGGACCGCTCGAGGATGAGGTGGACGGGGATTGGATGGAAAGGCATCGCAAATGCTGAAGGCGTCGTCAGCCTTCTTCGGCGGCCCGAGCGTCGTGGTGCGCGTCGTGTTCGCCGGTGCATTGCGTGGCCGCGAAGGCAGAGGCTGACCATAATCTGCCCGTCTCTCTCGCACCTTGACTCTGTGCAAAACATCGTCGCTCCTTCTGAACACCGTCCCCTTTGAAGCGCTACAGTCTGCGCCTTCCAACGACACAAACAGCGACCGAGTCGACCGTTAATAGTTCGCCTTCTACGCTGCAAAAAGTGACGATCCAGGTGCCAAGGGGCTGTGCAATCCATCCCACCAAACTACCACACTCGACCATCCGCACGCCTCGCTCTTTCAATCTTCGCTCTCAGTGATACCCACGACTCTCCGGACTCTCGCATCTCTACATCGAGACGGCTCTGTCTGTCTCTTCGAACCATGGCCAGCCGCACACCGACCAGCCGAGGAAGACGCCCAGCAGTACCCGAAGGCCTCAATGAGACATGGGCCAAGGACCTGACGGACCAGTTCCGTCGTACTCTCAGCACAAAGCGTATGAATACTCTCACCAGAAACACGACACAACAGCACCAACAATCGCCAAATGCCCCGCCATCCTACTCGTCTCTCCGCAACATCCCGCTGGTAGCGACCGCACCGTCGGATAGAAACTCGTTGCGCTTCCGCTCCATGCTCCTCTCCCTATCTAACACTCCCTGTAGATGGGAGAACCCCGGTTTACTGGACGAGGCCCTTCGCTCCATTCCCCTAGAACGCATCTACGACCAAGCACAAGAAGAGAGTGACCTTTTCCTAGCCGAGGCTGCGTCATTAGGACCTAACACCAAGCCTGCTTGGGGTTACCAGGACTGTGTCGTCAGAGCTCTCATGAAGTGGTTCAAGCGCCACTTCTTTCAATGGATCAACAATCCCAAGTGCGGTGCCTGCCACGCACCCACTATTGCCGTCGGCATGGCGGCCCCTCTCCCTGACGAACAAGCCCGCGGTGCCAACCGTGTCGAGATCTACCAATGCTCCAACGCTCAATGCCAGGCACACGAACGCTTCCCTCGCTACAGTGATGCTTTCGTCCTCCTCCAAACACGAAGAGGACGTGTTGGTGAGTGGGCCAACTGCTTCAGCATGTTGTGTCGTGCAGTTGGCAGCAGAGTGCGTTGGGTGTGGAACAGCGAAGACCACGTATGGACCGAGGTATACAGTGAGCACCGCAAGCGCTGGGTCCACGTCGACGCCGTTGAAGAGGTCTGGGACCAACCTCTTCTGTACACACATGGTATGTCATGCTTTCAACAACATTCAAGGCTTTCTGTATACTAACATACTCTCTCAGGCTGGAAGAAGAAGCTTGCTTACTGCATTGCCTTCTCTGCCGACGGCTGTCAAGACGTCACTCGTCGGTACGTGCGCAACTTTGGAAAGTACGGTCTACCACGAACAAAGGCTCAGGAGAGTGCCGTCCTCCACATCATTGCCGAGATCAAGAACATGCGCCGTCGCGACATGAACAAGACCGACAAGTTCCGTCTCGAGGGCGAGGACATCCGCGAGGACAAGGAGTTCCGTCAGAACGTCATTGAGAGTCTGTCAAGAGAGATCTGCCGCATGCTCCCTGGTCGTCCTGACGCGGATATGCTCAAGGCCCAAGAGCGTGCCAGAGAGGCTCAACTCGCTCGCGCTCGCAACCAGCAAAACGCCCAATTCTTCAACCCTCGCGATCAACAGCAGCACTAACATGTGCCACCCTGCTTCGACCTACCTAACTTTATAATCATCACCAAAACATTTCGGCACCTTCTCCTCTCTGTGGCACAACATCCTTCGAGCTTCGACATTCTTCCTACCTATACTTTACATCATACATACCGGAGCCATTTACGACCGCGCCGACAGATTCGACCTCGATTTCCTTTTTTATGCATTTCCTATCATCTCATCTCGGAGCTTTTGGAGTTTCGGGACTCGATCTCATGGGGAGACGAGACTTGTTTCATGGGCTATACCACGTTCAAACCTTTCCAGGCTCTTGGGGGTATACGATATTCCTTCTGTGTTTGCTTTGCTCGGCGTTACAGGCGCGTTGAGTCTATCCTCTTTTGTACGAGAGTGACGACCTTGGGGTTTTACAATGTCTAGTGTTTTTCTTTCCTGTTGCTTGATGATCTTGCACAGCTTCTTCGCTTCTTCTGTCATCACCTTCTTCTTCACTGTTACCTTTTTGGCACGACGCTTGGATGTGGAAGGAACACAAACTTTTTATCTTTTCTCTTGTTGATGTGTTTACGCGATCAAAGAGGTGGAGAGTGGAAAAGGAAAGGATGATGTCGCTCTTCTTTTCCTGGCTACAGCTCGGACATGCAGTTACTTGGATCATGATATAGAGACAAGAACGAAAATGTTGCTGGCCAGCACAATTTATCAATGACTTCAAATCCAGCATCACCATTGTTTCTCCTCTGTGACCTGATAGAATGGTGAAATGTAAGGGTTTCGAACACGAGTCAAGAATCGACCATTTGGCATACGACTCATACGCAGCTCACGAGAGAGATGACAGGATGCGTGTATAAGACGATGAAGAGCTTTCGTTATCATGAGATCATCCATCCCAGCCACTGCACTTACTCATACTTGTAGACCAAGCAGTTGGCTCGAGATGGTGAGAGAAAAGGTGTTTGCTTTCCTTGGCCGCGCTGCCCTGCCACAATCTTCTAAAAATAGCACGGGTTCGCGGAGAAAAGCTCACAATGGCCGCGTTGCCTTTGTCTGGGCATGGCAGAACAGAGTTCTTGGTTAGAGTGTTTCATGCTTGAACATGAATGATCAAGAGGATCCTTGGTATAGGATGATTTGTGTGATGGAGGAGCGCAGCAGCAAGAAACTGAAAGGAAGTTGGAGGTGTGTTTGATTGACTCTAGGATGCTGATCTTGAGTAAGCCAAGGATTGCATGGTGCGATTCACCCAGTGAACGGACAGTGCACTGCAGATGTTGGAAGAGGGCAGCAGGGAAAAACGTACGTCAGCAGTGTTTGCGCAGCCACCCCTGCGGACAAAGGCTGCGGCGGCCTGACTACGAGTCGAGGATGCGTGCGCAGAAAAAGGATCAGCTCGTGCCGGTGAGTGCTTGGGTGTTTTCTTTGATACAAAACCCTTGCAGCTCGCCTGACAGAAGTGATTTCTTCCTCCATCCATCGCGACTAGCTGTTCTACTCTTTCCATCGTCGCCACAACAACAGCATTTTGGGGTTTCCGACAACGCTTCTTACAACTTCAAGGACCCTTTATTAGCCACCTCCGCAGTTTCACAGTCGCCGTATACTTTCTCGACATCTGGGTTTTGGAACAAACATTAGTGAAGCATACCTAGGAGGGACCAACATCAACACCAAACAACCTTTATCATCTTCCAGCAAGCATGGGCAAGGCAGGGCGCGCAGTGTGCATCTTCACGCCGATGGCGCTGACCATTGCATCCTTTGTCTGTGTTCTTCTCATCAACCTGGGCGGCATCAGCAAATCCTCAACGACACTGAACAATCTTCACTTCTTCAGCGCCGACTTTTCAAACTTCACAACCGACAGTAGTACACTGGGTACGGTGATCAACCTGGCCAAGGAGGAGGGCTTCATCTCCAACAAGTACGAGATCTTCCTCTGGAACTACTGCGACAGCGGCAATGGCACTAGCAGTCAGAACATCACTCATTGCTCGTCTCGCCAAACTGGTTTCTGGTTTAACCCCTACCAGGTGTGGAGTTTGGAGAAGGCTCTCAATGCTACTGAAGACGCTGCCTCGGATCTTGCAGGATCTAGTGTTGACAGCAGCATCATCTCAAAGCTCGAAAGCTATGTCTCGAGCAATGCCGACGCTCTCTACGACGAGGTCCTCGACAGCAGTACCCGCAAGTCAATCGCTCTGTACAAGAAGTTGAGCAAGTGGATGTTCGCCGCCTACTTTGCAGGTCTATGGGCCTTGGTCGTGACCATTGTATTCGGCATATTAGCCGTGTGCTCGCGCTTCGGCAGCTTCCTTACCTGGATCTGCGCCATCATCTCTACGATCCTCATCTTTGGCGGCTCTATTACCTCGACAGTTATGTTCAGCATTCTGGTCTCTACCCTGCATGAAAAACTCAAGGACTACAATGTCAAGGTTAGCTTGTCTACGCATATGCTGGGTGTTACATGGCTCGCCACCGCCTTCATCCTCCTCGCCACCCTCTTCTGGCTGTTCAGCTGCTGCTGCTGCTCCGGCAAGTCCAACCCGCACCACAGAAGCAACAAGGAAGCTCCCGCCGCCGAGCTCGGTCTCCCTACCTCTGGCTTCCTCAACAGAGGCCGCAGCACCAAATCCGAGAAGAGCGGTACGGGTTATCAGCGCGTTGAGTCTCCTTATGCACACCAGCGTGGCGACTCTGACGCTGTGCCGCTTGCTCATGTCAATGGCGGTGCGGCGGACTCGTACTATAAGCAGGAAACTGGGTATGTGCATGCGCCGCAGAGTCCTGTGTGGGATGCGCGTGCTGCGCCTCGCTCAAACGGGGGTGCGTATGAGCCTTATCGCCACAACAACTAAGGGGTTGCTGTGATGTGAGGGTTATTCTCGTCCTCGCTTCGCAACCTTGCATTTTCTTGTTCCTCTTTTTCCTTTACGCTTTGCATCCATGTGCCAGTGATTGGCACATGATTCACGAACGACGGGTCTGTACATAGATATAACATTGACGAAAGCACTCCAATGAAACACTTTTTCCACAACACAGCATGATCCTAATTCTTTCTTTATACCTCAAGAATGTCCTCTTTGCATCTAGAACACTTTTGAGATGACACTACAGTCACTGCATAGCCCAAGTGCTCTAGCTTGCTTCGCCATCATGGATCAGTGTTTTCAGTATGGGTGATAAAGACCGTGTTTCGCTTTCCTCTTTTATTGTATTTGATCCAGTGCGTAGGGGGAAGCAAGGCATACTCATAGCGAACCATACCCAAAGTCATGAGCTAGAGAAAGCATAGTTGCTTACAAAGTGAAAGCATACCTGCAGGGAGAGCCCACAAACCATCAACTCTAAATGTACCATCACTGTCTAGAAACCAGGTGTATGATCTCGATAGCTCATAATACTCACATACAGTCTACTATAAGAGTGAAACCTGAGTCGACAACTGCAAAGATTGGTACACAAAGCCTCTAGACTAAAAACATTCTACTTTACAAAATCAGCCAACTCAATGTTAGGCACAATATACGGCTGCACATCATCTCTATGCATGGTTCTCTGCTCATACGCATACGCCAACCCAATCAACTCGGCCTCACTAAACTTATCTCCCATGAACGAAAGCCCAAAAGGCACTTTAGGGCCAGTCTCAACCAACGTCTTTCTGGCGTTGTACGTGACATTCCAGTCTGCGGGATAGAAACCCATGGGGACCGTAACCACGGGAGATCCCACTAAAGCAGGGATACCGGGGGAGAGTTGGGTAGGCAACAGCACAGCAGAAACATTGTTGCGCGACAATGCGCCTAGGATACCGCCTTCGCCTCCGTAGTAAAGGTTTGCTTGATAGGCAGCCCAAAAGCGAGGGTCGCTGTTGTTCCAGCCTTGGTTGAACAGCGCATCGTCCCAGACTGCTGTATCGCGGTCTGGCCAATCTTCTTGCGCAAACGCATGAGTAAAGTTTCTGACCTCTGCCAGATCAGTGACGTTTATGGGGTTGTAACTCAGTTCCCCGAGATAGGTGTGTAGATTTGTCAAGAAGTCGGCGTTGAGGACTAGAGTCTCGTTGTTGTCTTTAACGTATTCAGGGAAAGCGGTAAAGTTTGCGTCGACGATGGTGGCACCTGCTCGCTTGATGAGGGCGATGGACTCCTGGAAAGCGGTCATGACTGGGGCATCGATGGGGCCGTAGATGTCGATGACATTCCATGCTACGCCAATGCGTTTGCCTGCTAGAGCGGAGTAATCGCAGGCGCCCACGTAGTCGGGGATGCTGCCGTTATTGGGGATGGCCGAGGTGTAGTTGTCGTTGGGGTCGACGCCGGCGATTGCTTGGAGGAGGTAGGCTGCGTCTTTGACTGATCTTGCCATGGGTCCAACAGTATCTTGATGTTCGGAGATTGGGATGACGAGGTATCTGCTGGTGAGGCCAACCGTAGGCTTGATTCCAACAAGGTTGTTGACGTCAGAAGGAGAGAGGATAGAACCAGATGTCTAACACGAGTCAGAGCCATCTATATGAATGCCGTCTTATGTTCAACTTACCTCAGAGCCCAGAGCAGAAAGCGCCAAACCAAGCGAGGAAGAAACACCCGAACCGCTAGACGAACCACTGGGATCTTGGTGGGGATAGTAAGCAGCCTCAGTCTGTCCACCATACGCCGACCAGCCATTTGTGCTGTTGTTCGAGCGGTAGTTGGCCCATTGCGAGAGATTGGTCTTTCCGAGAATGATCGCACCAGCCTTTCTCAGCTTTGCAGCCAGCGTAGAATCATGAGGAACCTTTGCTCCAAGCAGAGCGAAAGATCCAGCTATGAAAAGTCAGTCTTGATTCTGTGTGTACTTCCTGTGTACTAAAGACTGTCATAGTGTAGCCATAGAAATGCACAGTTGTTTGAGGAAAGAGATGCAAAGAGAGCCGAGGGAAGCATGACTCTCTGCGGATGCTACTCCTTCTTGTAAACTGTTGTGTATTTTTATAGCATATAGTACCACTACATGTCAGTGTGGGAGAGGGTTAAGCGTGAAGTTGGGACAGTCTTTTGCACACGGGGACTCCTTGGCCGAGTTCAGCACTCACCAGTATTGTTCATCTGATCAGCAGTAGCAATATTGTTCTTGATAAGAATGGGCAAGCCATGCAGAGGTCCAAGAATAGTACCGTTTGCCCGCATAGCATCCAATTCGGCAGCGATGGCCAGAGCATCAGGGTTGATCTCGGTAACCATGCGCAGAGTGCTGTTGACCTCCATGATTCTGGCAGAATACACCTTGACCAGATCCACGCTGGTAAAACGGCCAGCCTCCAAGCCAGTAGCCAAGTCTTCGGTGGTAACATTGATGAGGGATGGGAAGTCTCCAAGTCCTGTAGAAGTATTGTTGTATGGTGTCACCAAGCCAGCAACAGCGCCGACCAGGGCAACACCCACGGACAGCGAGGTCAAGAAACGCATGATTCGTGGTATGCGTAGTCCAACCAGATAAGTTAACGACAGACAAACAGCGAAAGACAGAATCAGAAGCGAAAGAAGATATACTCCTAACCCACGTGTGAATTCGTGATAGCAGAGTGACTCAAAAATCAGCAGCAGTCCCTCATATTTGTACCTCGCCGGCCCAGATATACTCAACACTGCCCACTCAGATAGTGTTGATAACGTAGATATCCATTCTTCTTCCGTGCCGCTGCAAGATTGAAGGGCTCCGATATCCTGCATGAATGTTTCTGCCCAATATCAGTCGCATTTGCCGGGACTTGGGCAGGTGCTGACATGAAATACAGGGCTTTGTTGCTTGGAAGCTTGATAAAGTCGAAGAAGCTGGAGCGGACCACTAGGGTATTTTCCCACCTTCCCGAATTGTATGATTATCTGCAGATCGCGGGTCTTGATTGAACGTCGAGGGGTGACATGCCGTCTGGCGTTTGTGAGAATCTGGAGATGGAAGAGCCGCGCCAATCTGTTCTAGGAAGGCACTGAGTATACCAATGCAACAGACCTGTTCCAGCGCCGAGATCGGAAGCTGCTCTACCTACAATGCTTTGGTGCAGCCTTATTCCCTCGAATCACACCATGTCTTCCATGCGATGCTAACAAAGGAAGGTGGAAGAGACAACCATAGATTAAATCGCAAGGATCAGGTTCAAATCTGATGCGACGGATTATTCAATGGATTAAAGATGCTTCGTTGGATACAAGATGTCCAATGCTCGCCATATCAATGCTTCTCGAGTTGTTCCTCCATGACGACCTTTGACCAGTGCTCAATAAACGCCACGCTAAAGCAAAAGAAAGGCCTGTAAATCAGTGTGCAATATAAAAGGTAGATTTGGAGCGGTGCAAAACTTGATGCTGCATATCCGTCTATTGTCCGGGACGAGGAAAGATAGGGACAGTCTCCAGCTGCTCCCATCCTCCCATGCTTGCTTGAGGTGTGTTTTGCCAACCTTGACCAGTCTGTTGATTGACAAACATGGACTGCCTGAATGGATTTGTACTGCCAGTAGCTGCGGGAGTCAGAAATGATGCTGACTGTCCAGTTGGCTGAGAGATTTGAGGAGATTGCTTCGCGAAGGGATTCGTTCCTGTGGGCTGGGCTTGTAATGGCTGCTGCTGTTGGAAGCCGGTTTGCATAGAGTCTTGTTGAGGTGGCTGCCTCGCGAAGGGGTTACTGGTCTGACGCTGCTGAGGCTGAGCCGTCTGCTGTGGTTGTATGAAACCGTTCATCTGACCAGTAGGCATCATTGATTGGCGGAAAGGATTGGTTGCTTGTGGCTGAACTTGTTGTGGTGGTGGCTGCATTTGTGGAGGTTGTTGTTGCATAGCGAAGGGGTCTTGTTGTTGTTGTTGTTGCTGCTGCATGAAAAGGGATCTTGCTGCATGAACGACGACTGTTGCTGCTGCTGAGGGGGCGGGNCTCTGGAAGGGTTGCTGCACAGCCGACTGGAAGGGATTTGAACCAAAGCCTGTCTGTTGTGGTTGCACCTGTTGTTGGGGTTGAGGACCATAACCACCAAATCCGGCACCCGTGAATTGTGGTTGGAGCTGAGCAGTAGGAGGCGCCATGAATTGCGATTGCTGAGGAGCACCAAATGGATTCGTCGACTGAGCTGTCTGGAAGGCGGGGTCTGCTGTGGGCTGACCGTACATCTGACCAAAGGGCTGGCCGGTTGGTTGAGCATATTGCTGAGTAGAAGCCTGAGCCATGGGTTGTTGCTGGTCCTCGATGGAGCCAAAGAAGTCGATGAGATCAGGAGCTGGGCCTTTTGCAGGTGGTGGCTGAGAGGCAGCAGGCTGAGGCGCACCGGCCTTTTCTTGTTTTGGTTCGGCTTCGGCAAAGGTGACTGATCTCGAGGGTTTGACCGGTTTGCCAGACTTTGCTTGCTGTTCAGCCAGGTATTGTCGTCTGTTGGTTTCAAAGTCATGGTCGTCAATGTACTCTTGCAGCGACTGAGCTAGGCTCGTAGGGGCGTGCTTGATCTTCGGGATCTCCAACTTGGTGATGTGTTCATATTGTCTGGCGATGCTGAGGTACTGGACGACTTGGTCTGTCTGCTTCGCAAAGGTCTTATAGATGCCAATGGCATGTTCGGCGTCGGGTTTCGAGAGTTCGAAGTAATGGNNCCTGTGAAGTTTCATGTCAGAAGGCTGAAGCAGAGTTGAAACACCAAAGTACTGACTCAGTATGTTCATGACGGCCTCGTTCATGGCAGTGAACAGATCGAGCAGGTCTTTGGTGAGCAAGCGGAATGCCATCAACGAAATGTCGTTCTCGGGCTCGTTCTCGAGAGGNCTGTACTGTGTCAGATTTTGATATTCAGTGCTGTGCGTGGTACGAACGTCGCATTTGATCAAGACTCTAATCTGGTCCTGGATTGCTTCCGTCTCTCGTAGCAGACCCTTTGCGATGGGAATGGTCTTCAAGCGACCGGGATTGCGGATGTGGTCGATGTGCGTGTCGGCGAACGACTCTGCGCGCTGGATGAGGTAGTTAGAGTATCGACGGATGTTCTGGCCCTGTGTCTGGACTNNGTTTGACGGCGTCAGAAGAGCCTAGGAGAAGGAGCAAGGAGCCCTACCATCGGTATAGCTGTTGATGGCCAGGCGGTTCTTGGGCGCGGCGGCCAGGTACTTGAGGGTGGCATCGCGCTCTCCNTCCTTGATCATCAGGTGTACAATGATCAGAGCCTTGAAGCAGATGGTCCAGGTGGTGTCGCGTAGACGCTCTTTCAGGGTGCGGAAGATCTCGGCGACGCCGGCCTCGCCGCCAGACGTGGCCAGGAGGATGTGTTCGACATATTTGGACTTGGGCGGCGCAAGCTACGAGGAAGAGTACCATCAGCGAACGTGTTCGAACGGTGGGTAGGTGCAGTAGCGTTGGTGTCGCTGTACCTTGACCTTGGTGCCGCCTTTGACCGACTTCTCGACCGAGCTCGACATTGGGCGCGCGTGATTGACGGGTGTAGGGACGTGACGACGAACAGTCTGCGCTTCTAGTTCATGCTGTTTCCAAACGGCAGGCGCGCTCCTCTAAGAATGGTGCAACAAGGACAGCTCTCTGGCAATGGCCAACTATGGGCGCGACTCGGTCATCTCGGAATGCCAAACGCGCTAGCCGGCCCGGATGACGATGGTCAACGTGTGCCTTCAATCTTGTTTGTGCATGAACATCTTCACTGAATAATTATCTGTCACAATCATGTTACGGTCACACCCCACTGCTCAAGGATGTGCAACCTGTTGATGATGTTGCTTGTTCTTCGCTTGGTCGTTGAAGGTAGTGGAATAGAAATGTAGTTCCAGCAACTCCATGAGGTTGACGCTAGCGTGCCATTTCACTGTGCAACGAAGAAAAGACAAATGAAGAGAAAACGATACAGGACTATCTAATCGTATACTGCACCTACCAAGATCGGTTGGAGGCGCAGGAAGCCTTCCAAGTTGCGATTGAATCAGAGATGCCATCTTCGCGTCCGTTTGGTAACAAGGGTGTGTGCCGAACGCAGATCTCATGCCGCCGCAACAAAGCCATAGAGCCACTTGAGCCTCCAGAGAGGAGGGCTCTATAGCGAGGCTGCGGACGACTCGACTGATACACACTAGGCTTTCATCATCTACGCAGTTTGTTAGTTTGAGCTTTCTACGCGGCCAGCAAATGTGCACTCACTTTTTTGAACTTGGAAGGTCATGAAAAGTTTCAAATCCATCGCGATGCGCGAAGAAGAAAACTATGCCCCTGGCAGAACCCCGGCTGTTTTCCCGGCCTGGCCCGTCGCTTCTTCATAGAATCATCAGCCATCTTGACCAGTCGACATTCAAGTTGTGACTCTTACATTCTTTGCTCATTTGATCAGCTGAAGTTGTCGTTACGTGCCCTGATGCTGCATAGCAAACTTTCGCTTGCCGTGTCTTGCGGGCGTACATTTCGAAATGCATCGTTGAATCCCATTCGCCGATCATGGGCAACTCGACCATTAGTATCAACATATAATGCAAGAAACTTCTCTTGCAATCAGACCCTCCACACTGCAGAAACAGACAAGCTATTAGCCGAGTTCAAGGAAAACTGTAAGGTAGAGCAGATCAAGATCTTGACCATATGCTGACAATCTTCTGCAGTCCACTTTCCTTCCGCAACTTGCAAACTTGAGGATGTAGCCGCTAGAGAAGTCGGAGAAGATATTGTACTTCACGGCTATCTGGGCACACAAAGGCAAGCTGGCAAAAACCTGCTCTTCGCTGAACTCCGGAATACGACTTTGTCACATTCCATCCAACTGGTTGCCTCAAACAAGACCAGCATAGAGGGAGAGAGCGTCTTTGAGAAACTTAGCGAACTGAACATTGAAACGCCCGTGGCCATTGAGGGAAGAATCAAGAGTCGCAAAGCCAAGCCGTCTAGCTCTAAAGCAGAGGAAGGTGCTGTGCAGCAAGTGACAGATGTCGAGATTGAACTGACGAAGATATCTCCACTGAACTACTTCCCTAAGGATATCATGGTCACTCAGGATTCCGTCTTTTCTGCAGAGCAAAGACATCTGCAACTAAGAATGGAGAAGCCGCTACGAGATGCACTAGCCTTCAGGAGCAAAGCAGCCAGCATTCTACGGACAGAACTCTGCGAAGGCAAAGACTTTGTCGAGATCGAAACACCTCTGTTATTCAAATCGACTCCTGAGGGCGCTCGTGAGTTCTTGGTACCCACACGCACACCCGGCCTTGCATACGCTCTTCCGCAAAGCCCTCAGCAGTACAAGCAGATCCTCATGGCAAGCGGCATACCACGCTACGTGCAGTTTGCAAAGTGCTTCCGCGACGAAGACCTTCGTGCGGACAGACAACCGGAGTTCACGCAAGTAGATCTGGAAATGTCCTTTGCGACTGGAGAGGATGTGATGAACACAGTGGAGTATGTCGTCAAGACGCTATGGCAAAAGCTACTTGGAATCTCGCACGATGAACCATTCCCTCGACTATCGTACGAGGATGCAATGTCAAGGTACGGCTCTGATAAGCCGGATGTTCGTCTTGGATCCAAGATTTCACGCGTTGAGTATATGCTACCTGTGGATCTTATCCGCAAGATCGGCCCTCTGCATGATCCGATAGTCGAGGTCCTCAAAATCTCCATCTCAGATGATGCGAAGGAAACCCGTGGATTCGTGAGTCGCTTCATGGACTCGCCAGAAGCCAAACCCTTCAACGAGAACTCCGAGGGTCAGCCCGGCATCTTCATCTACGACCCTCGCAAACCACTTTCAGGTCTTTCGGTGTTCGGCTTCGAAGCTGCAGAAACGATAGAGGAGACACTGGATCTTGAGGAAGGAGACTTGGTGGTCCTCCAAGCTCGTAAGAATGCACCTCATGCAGGTGGTTCGACGCCACTAGGAAACCTGCGTCTGGCTCTACACAAGTTTGCTGTGCAGCACAACTACATGCCCGCCCCTCAAGGATTCGAATTCCTCTGGATCACCGACTTCCCGTTGTTCTCGCCTTCTGTAGCGAATGAGCCTGGTCAAGGTGGTGCTGCAGGATTAAGCTCTACACACCACCCTTTCACTGCGCCCAAGACGGCTCAAGACGTGGATCTGCTGCTTACAGACCCAGCCGCCGTTAAGGCCGAGCACTACGACTTGGTGGTCAACGGCGTCGAGCTCGGTGGTGGTAGTCGCAGAATTCATTCGGCAGCCATGCAGCAGTTTGTCCTGCGTGAAGTCTTAAAGATGAGCGAAGAAAGACTCAAGGACTTTGACCATCTGATTGAGGTATTGCGAGCAGGATGTCCGCCACATGCGGGTATGGCATTAGGTTTCGACAGACTCATTGCCGTTATGCTCGGCAAAGAGAGCGTCAGAGATGTAATTGCTTTCCCAAAGAGTGGAAGGGGAGAAGATTTACTAGTCAAGAGCCCGACACGCATGACTGAAGACCAACTCAAGACGTACCACCTCAAACTCAGAGAATAAGCATACAACTCAATTTATAACACACTCAATACTGTATGATACCTGTACAAATAGCCACAAAAGCAGTCTACTCTAACTCTTTCCCCAACCCTCGAGATTCACAACCTCGGGCTCACCACCGCTCCTCACAATCACCCACTCAACTTCCTCGTCGCCATCGTTGACCTCTTGATGCTCTTGATACGCGGGTATCAGAGCAAAATCTCCTTGTTCCAAGACCTGCCGCTTCTTGCCGCCTTCGCTGACGACAGCACCTTGGCCTCGAACGGCATAGACGATGGTGTCTTGGGCGCCGTGGTGATGGACTGCAGAAGCAGAATGAGGAGAGGCTAGCATGATGGAACTGCAGATTGAGGCGAGGTTTGTGATCGCTGGCATGCGTGTCATGCCTTGTGGTCTTAGCTGTGTGCAAGATGGAAGTTAGGATATAGTAGACTTACCATCTGTTTGGCCGGAAGAAGAGGAGTGGATGTCAGTAGACTTGACGACGTGGACTGGTTTCGAAGACATGGTTGCTGATCTGGTATGTTTAGATATAGAGTGTTCCAGAATTACAAGAGAATGAATGTCAAGAAGTAGAACATGGATCTCGGTTCAGCACATTTCCCTCTTGACGTAATCGCTTGCCTGTGGCGGATGCTACGGATGCTTCTCGCTGAGCTTCCTCTTCATGGTCGTGTCTCCCGATGTGCTAGAGTCTGTAACTCCACTCTACTCCTACAAGAGCCGTAGAGCGAAGTATACGCTGTAGAAACGCACAATCTATTCTTGAAGTAAAAGAGCAGCCAAAGGTAGCCGCTAACATGCTGGCTTTCAGAGGCAACTGCCCTGTTTCTTGATAGCACTGTGCATTTCCATAGCTACACGCGTTATGTACTGTAGCACACCGGGAGGTGGTTTAATGACAATCGTGAGCAGTACCTGACTCTCGCTTTATGCTGAGCCAAGCCAATATCATTCATACAGTAATCTCACATGCCTGAAAACCACACGTCGAAGGTCCGCGACCTTCCCTCGTGACGAATGCGGACTTCGGGGGTGAAAAAGCTGGGGAAGCGCATGTGAAAGTTACCTCGGCACCTCGGCAGGGGCAGACAATCACAGCCTTTTGATTCGCTCTTCCGTTGTCCGTTTTGACTGACCTTGCCCAAGAACGCTCTGTCTTGCGCCTCGTGACTTGTGGTATGTTGCTGACGGGTGGCCGGAAACTTCAAAGGGCTGACATGTGAAGACAAGAGAACGGATATTACCCTTTGAACTCCCTCTACCCCTTGCTTCTGGTCTCGACTCTTTTTCTGAAGCCTGATATTCGTTTATATTTGCATATTCATTATGTCAGGCACATACTCCAAAGCCGACGTGCAGTCGCACAACAAGGCCGACAACCTCTGGATCATTGTCGACGACGATGTCTACGACTTGACCAAGTTCCAAGTAAGCAGATGCCGCAACCGACGAGCTCGCCGGCTGGCTAACACTTTCGAACAGGAAGAGCACCCCGGCGGCAAGAAGATCCTCCAACGAGTGGCTGGAAAAGATGCCAGCAAGCAGTTCTGGAAGTACCACAATGAGGGCATCCTAAAGAAGTACCAGAAGCAACTTCAGGTCGGCTCTCTGGACTCAAAGGCCCAGGCCGCTCCTCCCACACCTCCCGCTACGCCTCCTCCGGCAGCAAAGAAGGAGAAGGAGATTGTCAAGCCCGAGGCCGAGTCTGGCACCGTGGCTCCCCAGCCCGGTGCTGATGCCAAAGAGATGGCCGAAGCTCTCGATCAGTTCGGTGATATGGTCCCCGGCGGTGACCCGAATTGGTACCAATCTGTAAGCACTCCACGCCATACACTGCAGAGGCCTGCTAATGTGTATGCCAGTNACCACTCGCCCTACTTCAACCAATCCCACGCCGACCTCCGCGCCGAAGTCCGAGAATGGATGGAAAACGAAATCATACCAAACGTCACCGAATGGGACGAGGCCAGAAAAGTGCCAGACTCAGTATACAAGGCCATGGGCGAGCGCGGATACCTCGCAGGTCTGATGGGTGTCCATTATCCCAAGGACCTCACCGACAAGCGTGTCAAGTCTGTCGCGCCAGAGAAGTGGGATCTGTTCCATGAAATGCTGATCACCGACGAGATCTCGAGATCTGGCAGTGGTGGTTTTGTCTGGAACCTGATCGGTGGCTTTGGCATCGGTGCCCCTCCAGTCCTCAAGTACGGAAAGAAAGAGCTGGTACAGAGAATCATGCCTGGTATCCTGAGCGGAGACAAGAGAATTTGCTTGGCCATCACCGAGCCCGATGCTGGTTCCGACGTCGCCAATCTGACCTGCGAGGCCAAATTGAGCGAAGATGGCAAGCACTACATCGTCAATGGCGAGAAGAAGTGGATTACCAACGGTATCTGGTCCGACTACTTCACCACTGCTGTCCGTACAGGAGGCGAGGGCATGAACGGTGTCAGTGTGCTTCTCATTGAGCGCAGCTTCGGTGGCGTTTCGACCAGAAAGATGGACTGCCAAGGTGTCTGGTCGAGTGGCACGACATATGTCACCTTTGAAGATGTCAAAGTACCAGTAGAGAACCTAATTGGCAAGGAGAATCAAGGTTTCAAGGTCCTCATGACAAACTTCAAGTAAGTTTCACAAATCTGTCGAACACTCACAAAACGGATACTGACAGCAGCCACCAGCCACGAACGCATCGGTATCATCATCCAATGTCTGCGCTTCTCGCGCGTCTGCTACGAGGAATCGATGAAGTACGCCCACAAGCGACGAACCTTCGGCAAANAACTCATCGAACACCCCGTCATCCGCCTCAAGCTAGCCCACATGTTCCGCCAGATCGAAGCCTCGTACTCGTGGATGGAAAACCTTATCTACCAGTGCCAGCAGATGAACGAAGTAGAGGCCATGCTGAAACTCGGGNGTGCCATTGCCGGTCTCAAAGCCCAAGCAACCACCACCTTTGAGTTTTGCGCCCGCGAGGCCAGTCAGATCTTTGGTGGTCTCAGCTATAGCCGCGGTGGCCAGGGCGCCAAGGTCGAACGGCTGTACAGAGATGTCAGGGCGTACGCCATCCCCGGTGGCAGTGAGGAGATCATGCTGGATTTGAGCATTCGCCAGTCCCTGAGGGTGCACAAGGCTTTGGGCATGAAGTTGTAAGAGTCACGGTGATGAACTGCGAACCTGGACTCACATGTCTCTCGCCGCCGGCTACGTGCCTTAGGGTTTGTTTCAGTAGCAAGCAAAGTAGCCGACACACCCTCTGTATGAATTGAAATGAAAGCATCAGCTACTATCTTGCAAACTGCGGCAGCCCGCCTATTCTGAATTGTCGGGTTTCTTGTGAATCAGTGATCTGTGTGGGTGGGTTCTTTTGACTCCTTTCTATCCGAAACAAGCGAGCTCTTTCTGTCCATGAAAGTGCTTTTGCATGCATTTTCAGCTACGCGCCAAAACGAAACCTCGTCCGAACATGGTCGACTTGGTTGGGGTCTGCCATTTATGCAAAAGGCGCGCCTGTGCTTTCTGCAATTGAGAAGCAAGATCGAAAGTGCTGAATGCAGACATGCGGAGTCTCTTCTCGATGCAAACATTTGGAATAGATCCATCTCTCATGCGTAAGTAGTCAAAGCACCTGCATGGACAAGTGCGTCACTGGATTTCACTCTTCCTCTTCGAGCTGTGGATCCCTTTCTTTTCGCCCTTTTGGTGGGAACTTTTAGATGACATGCATGAAAGGATTTTGTTTGCGAAGAAGAGGCGGGAGATTTGCCTGTGCTAGATTCCCAGGCTTAGGGCAATTTATCGTCGGATGCGTTGCTCGTGTTTTCGACTCCGCTAGATGCTTTGACTGAGTCGTGTCATGCATGTTATCCGTCTGTTGGAGACGTGATGTGTTGAATGTTGTTTGGTAGTGGGGGCCAGATCTCGGAGGTTGATCTGTCAAAAAGCGGGAAGGAAGGAGCGGTCCGTTGCCTTCTTCCTTTTCCACACCACCAAAACTCTCTTGCCGTGACGTGAACGGTAGAACTCGACTCGTCCAGCAACACAAACCAAGGAGCGTGCGACCAAACATGCAATGATCCTTCTCAGGGGTCATATGCACCGAGACCCAAATCGCCGGCGTGACACGGCGCGGCGAAGCTGCATGATTGTGCAACAACCTTACCCAACGCGGCAAAGGCTAGACAGCCATCTCCACATCGTGTCCTCTCCTCCCATCTAGCTGACCTTCTACCCACTGACAAGACAGCAAAGCCATGTTTCGAAGTCGAGACGCCATAATTCACTTCTTCATCATTATAGGGCTGTCAAGAACAGCGGGAGATCCACATCCCTACGATTGGGGGATCTCTGAGTAGTATAACGCAATATCGGTGGGCTTTCCTGACGTGTGCGCGTTTTGGACAGGGAGTATGACATGCACTGCCCGGACCATCTTTACCTTTTTCTCTACAAGTTGACCAGCACGTTGGAATTAGGATGCGGCGGCTCCGGGGGGCTAGGGTATGCAGATGCAGCAACCCAGGCACAAGGTACAGCACCAGGCCTCCTTGGAAGACGATCGTCTGTTCTTTTCTGCTTTGACTCTCCTCTTCATGCAACGCGTTTGGCCGCCTTTCGTTTCGTTTTGGTTGTTTGGCGAATTGACGCCGTTCGTTCTTGTACCGAGCTTTCGTTCATCATTCTTGTTTTGCCTATCTGTCTCTCTCTTGTCCCTCGTGGGAACCGTTCACTCCTTCGTTCTTCTTTTATCATCCAACCATCTGACCCGTTACGCGTTTCTTGTCAACTCACCGTCTCTTCGTATCCAGACTGTACCGGAGTAATCTGATTGATAAGGACATCTTGGCTCTCTCATACCGAATATGGCATCAACAGAAGTGAGTGCATACTTGGTCGTTTCTCTACATTACTGCTTCCTCGAATCTTTGCGTCATCATATTGCTGTATCTTTCTTCGAGCCGAACACGTTTACTAGAGAAAGAGACGATATCTCATCGCCAACCCAATGCTGACCATTCAGAAGTTACATCCGAACCCCTTCTCGAACCAGCAACCGCAACATCAGGAACCTCAAAGGCTATCTGGCATATATCAATACCACAATGCTCCCGAAGTACTACCCGAACATGGACTCGAGTACGATGATAATACATATCCCGTCTCGGACAAGTACCCGGTGACCAGCATGGACGACTATCCCGCCAGTTTTAACGCACAACAATATCGCAACAACAACAACAAGCCGCCGCGCATCATTTTTGGAATGAAAGTGCGGTCTTTTCTGCTCGTGGCCCTAGTGTTTGTCTTGATAGTAGTCGGTGCGGTGGTGGGAGGCACAGTCGGCCGAAATGCATCTCATGCCGCGAACGCGACAGCCGTGGTCAACGAGCAAAGCTCGTATGTATATCGTTTCCTTATCACAGTATCGTCTGCTTATACCTCTCACAGATCAACATTCACGACTTCACAATTTTCAGCCGGGGTCCGCACAATCGCCGCCTCAGGACCAACCACAACATCGGCGACATCTGCCACAACAACAACAGCCGCATCTACAACAGCACTATCAACACCAACGTTTACTCCTCTCTCTGCTTGCCCCACTGCAAACAACACTCTTTTCATCTCAACGATTTCCAATACATCCTCTCTGCTTCCTCCAACCAACGACACCACTTCCAACTTGACATATACACGCTACTGCGATGCAAACACACCTACAGATTTCAAGCCACTGACCTCTGGCTTTGTGTATACATTCGACGACTGCATTAATTTGTGCGCGGCGTATAACGTTTATGCTGCTTCGTCCACCGGCTGCAATGTTGCTGTATACGATGTCAAGCAAGCAAGACCAGTCAACTGCGTGGTCGGAAGCACGCAGAATGCCAATGCACAAAGTGTAGGCGTTGATGGCGGTTTTGCTGTTGGATTGTTGGCGCCGTCGACATAGAGCTTTGTTGATCGCTTTCTGCCCCTTGATTGTTTTCTGTGCATTAGCATTTTTCCTTTGTTGATGCATCTTTTTTGGACACGATATCGGGTGGTTTGATTCGGTTTCTCTTGTATTGCTTGGATGGAAGCGAAGGCATGATTTATATGAATTGTATTGGTCTTGTAGGCAAGGAAGGGGGCAAAGTCTTACTATAAATTTGGCGTGTATGCTAGAACAGAATACGTATTTAATTTTACTATATCATCATGTTACTTATCAGAGCGCAGTAACGTCCAGGAGATGACATCTTAGGCTACTTCTGTGGTCACGTCTTTAGCTCGGTAAGCAATTGTGCATTCCCATAGCATGTTCTAGGATTATTCGATGATTTTGGAGAAGGATTGAGAGACTTGCAGACACTGGATTAGTAATACACTCATATATTAGGAGGTGATCCCGCTGTCTGCGGCAACCCCGCCGAGCTCACCTCATCTAACTGTGTATGCGCTTCTCAGCTGCATGTAATCGTAAGCCTTCACGTTTTTCCACGTCTTCATTCGCGAGTGATGGTGTTTTGGAAGGATGATGCGAGGTGCACGGAGTGGCACAAGGCCGCTTGGCCGGCGGTCTATTCATACTGCCGTGTCCGATTTTCGCTATTTAAGCTACGAGCTGACTCTGTGATATGGAAGGGGAATTTCAGAAACAAGAATACACTTTATCATTCCATTTCACAGTGTCAAGACGCTTCCTGAACGTCCAACACCGGTGTCCCTGCCCTCTGATACCCTACTAAAGCATCAAGCATTATAGCCCATCATGTCTTGGATGTTGAATGTAGGGTGTCCCGCCGCGTGTTGATGTCTGTCTACCTGCTTCTGACTTCTTTCGACAGCTCGTTTTGGGGTTTCACAACTGGCACAGCGGTGTACCAAAGATTGCTGGTGAGCTCAAGAAGAATCCGGCGCCGCTTCGTCTAGGCGTACTGGGAGCTGCTGCCATCAATCCTGGTGCTATATTTGACCCGGTACGTCAAATTCAGTGGTGGGAGAATTGACCGAGAGACCGTCTCTGCTGTCGGCGTGATGTTTTTGAGACGTTGTGATGGCTATCGAGCACTCCTGCCACCCTCGCCATTGCGAGGATCCCTAGACTAATCGTTTTGCTCTAGGTCTCCAGGCACCCAGACGTCGTCATTGCCGGCATCGCCTCCCGCAGCAAAGCCAAGGCAGAGCAACAAATCAAGGTCTGCAGTCTCCCTGTAGCCAGAGCATATGGCAGCTACGAAGATCTCCTCAGCGACCCCAAGATCGAAGCAGTATACATCTCACTCCCGAACGGCCTACACTTTGACTGGACAATCAAATCCTTACGCCAAGGCAAACACGTGCTAGTAGAGAAACCCATCGCATCCAACGCTGCACAAGCGCAAGAGATAGCAAATGTCAGCCAAGAGACTGGTAAAGTGGTGTTGGAGGCGTTTCACTGGCGCTTTCATCCCGCAGCACATTTGTGCAAGCAATTAGTTGCTAGTGGAGAGTATGGCAAAGTGAAGGAGGTAACAACAAAAATGGCTCTGCCGGCTGCTTTCCTGTCTAAGGATGACATCCGTTTCAATTACGATTTGGCAGGTGGCAGTTGCATGGACTTGACATACGTGTTTAGCGCCACCTCATATTATGCCACCAGCTCCCTCGCAGAAGCAAAGATTGAAGTCATCGAGGCAACAGCGAGGACAAACAAGAAGGATCCGCTGGTGGACGAGGCAATGCAAACCACCTACACCGTCACCTCAAACGGAAACACTGTAACATGCCATACCCAGTGCGATCTCGCTGCACCCTGGCTTTGGGGCATCATACCTCCTTTCTGGGATCTGACGGCAGGTATAACCTTCACCTGCGAGAACGCAAGCATCCACTACACCAACTTCCCAGGCCCATATCTGAACCACTCAATCAATGTCCGGGATAACGCAACCGGCGTAACGACAAAACATCAAGCACTTGTGGATGGTCCACAATGGCTGAACAGAGGCGAAAAGTGGTGGACGACATACCGATATCAACTCGAGGCTTTTGTGGATAGAGTTAGGGGTGTGCAGTCTGGTAACTCGGTGGCTGAGGCAGAAGAGCTGGACGGGTTACCGTGGGTTAGCATGCAAGACTCTATCGCTGTGATGGGGATTATTGACAAGGTCTATGAGAAAGCAGGGTTGCCGTTGCGTAAATAAGGATTACCATGATATTGCGTTATTTGAGAGCAAGACTTGCTTATCTAGCAATGCTAACGTGATCTGAGAGTTGTCTCCATCTTTGTTACACGCCATCAGCGTCTTTTTCCCTTTGTCTAACGCTTTATGCTTATAGAGGCTATATGGTAAACCCTAGAAAGCGTATCCACAACATCTATCTTCTAGACTATTTCTCTACTCTTTGTATGTGCTGAAAAAACAACATCGGTAGCTATAGGAACGCACATTGGTCTTTAGCAAAAGAAGTAATGTTTACTAAGTGGACGGTTAAAATAAGGTATCTTTAGGGATAGAGGTCTATTCTAGAAGCAATCGTGCATCTCTATAAGCGATAGTAGCACTATATGTCTAGTGATTAATAGAGAGGTAAGTAATTAAAAGAGAGGTAAAAGAGTAATGCACTAGCAAAAGTTAAGGAACGTGCGAGTGACTAAGGGACGGATACATGATTAAGAGAAAGGTAAGTGACTAAGGAATAGATGTGTGATTAAGAAAGAGGTAAAACAATAAAGTACAGGTAAGAGAGTAAGGCATAGGTAAATGATTAGAACAGTAGTAAACAATTGAGAAAGAGATTGGTTATAAGAGTGATGCAAAGGTAAGAGAGTGAGAAACGGGTGAAAGAGTAGACAATAGATAAGTGATCAAGGCATAAATGAACGATTAACAAGCAGGTAAGTGGTCGACAGAGAGGTGAACCAGAGTCAAGTAAGCGAGTGAAGCGTGTTTAGCTAACGACAAGACGACTGAGCTCTCTTTAATACCTCCTTCCCTTTTAAAACAAAGCTCTATATAAGCACAAGAGTCAAGAGCAGCGGAATTGGAAGGCTTGGAACAAGAACAGAATAGGGAAACTCCATACGCTATGAGACCAAAAACCGAAGACCCTGTACGAGCCGGATATATGGGCAGAGATGATAATAATAATACTTTTGAGTTGGTAGAAGGGCCCTTATTTGCCTAGCTCTTGGAGTTGTGGCAGATCCCATAGCGGACGTTCCACCAGCACGGCTTCAGGCTGTTCTTCATCCGCGTCTGATGTCTTTTCGCCCATGGCCACCATGCCCAATATAGGTCTGTATCTGTATGTGCACCACCATTTTCTCCGGCCTGCTGAAGTGACGGCTAGAGCACCATCTGCGCCTCCATTTGTGTCTGCTTCTGCGTCATCGTTGCCGCGACGCAGAGGGCCCACTGCATCCTCTAGTGCTTCTTCGTCATCCAATTCTTGCTCGTGAGAGGTGCCGTTGGTGAGCTCGATGGCTTTGCCGTCCTCGATGCGGCGGATCTCATCTACAACACCCTTGGTTTCTCCGCTTGCAGCCTTGTCACCAGCACCGCCCATACCCTTTGCCTTTTTGCGTTGCTCGGCGAGCTTGCCCCATTTGTTGCTCTCGCGACGCTTGCGCTTCTTGCTGGGTGTGTGTTGGGCAGAGATATCGTCTTCACCGTCCTCCAAAGCTTCGTCTAGTACGTTAGAGGGTTCGTAGTTTTGTGACAGGTCGAGCATGCCGACCCAGTTGGCACCATACAGCCAGGCACGGGCACGAGCATCGTTGACGTCCCATACGACACCCATGGCGCGATCTTTGATGGTCTGGAACTCGGCAGGCAGAACACTCGTAGGGTTTCTGCGCGACCAATCCGTGAGGCGTCCGGCCAAGACGTCGAATGTGTAGACTTGGTGGTGAGATGTGACGACGAAAAGAGGAGATTTGGTAGAGGGAAGGGCGTGAGATGTAGGATGAGGGTTGTTGCGGGTAGGATGGACACCAGGGTTGCCATTCACAGTGGGCTCTTCTTGTTGCGCCGGTGTAAGTGGTTGGAAAGAAAGAACAAGAGGTGCAGAGTCGAGCCTGGGCAGCAAGTTGCCTGATGGGTTGTCTGTCCAATGCTGGCCGTATAAAACCGTGGTCTCGTCCTCATCGTCGCTGTCGCTGTCATCGTCGGAATCAGTGGCCTTGTCTGAGCCCGAAGAAGACTTTGTGGCAGTGTCCATGGCAGGAGCAGTCGAGTCGTAGTGACCTTCGAGTACCCAGCTATCCAGATAACCAGAGAGATCACTGGCAACCAGAACAGCACTGTCGGGCGAAAAGGCGAGCCTGTTGATGGCGCGCTCGTACTTCTTGAGGCCAGTCTGGATTGTGACCTTGCGGGTCTGACGCTCCAGCTCAACATTTGCGTCCAAGAAGGTGGGCTTGTCCGAATCATCCTCTATTCTTGTCAGGCAGACTTCGCTCTGCGGTGTCACTGCTGCCAGCCATCTCCCGTCGGGTGAGAAGGTGATCAAACGGGCGCCGTTTTCAGCAATAGAGTCGGGGGCAGCAATCTTGCGTACGCGTAAGCGGTCTTCACGGTCGTCTTCGGTGCGCGAGAGGTGGAACAGCTTGACAGAATCGATGGTAGACACGGCGAGGAGGGAAGCATCGGGAGAGATGGCAACCGAGGTGATGGCTTCTTTCGAGTCGATTTGGATGCGAGTGAGGAGTTTTCTGGTGTCTTCGGGTACGGGGACGCGCTCGGAGCTCTGCTTGTACATGCGCCAGATGCTGATCTCGCTCTCGGCCCAGCTGACGAGCATGCGCTGTTGGGGGCAAGAAGCAAGGACGGGGTTCTGCGGTAGACCAGGGAGTCTGCGGTGGTTTTCTTTGTTGAAGTTGCGAAGCGGGATTACGAAGGGCGTAGTATCGAGACCTGGGAGTTGTTAGCATGATACAGACGAGGCGGATCAAGTATACGCACCTCCTGAAAGAACGACGCTCATGTGCTTGGAGTCGTAGACGGCCATTGCCTTGATATCGCCCTCGTGCATGCGACGATGGCTGGTCTTTGCCCACCTTCTCTTGTCGCCTTCTTTGCCGCCCAGCTTGTACACGGCGATGCGACCGTCCATGCCGCCCGAGAAGACAGTGTTGCCGTCGGTGCTGCTGATAAGGTCCAGACAGTCGGAATCGTGGCCGTTCACACTCTGTGACAGGGTGTATGTTCTTCCGTCCCAGAACTTGAGCTGGCCGTTAGAATCACCCGACACAATGTCACCGTTGGGCAGACATCTGACCTTCCAGACCAGCGTGTCTCGGGGAGCACCGGGGATACCTGCTCCCAAGCTGAGGTTGCGCAACAGGGAGCCATTGCGGGCGTCGTAGATGCGGATTGTGCTGTCGGTGAAGCCGGCGACGACCGTGTCTCTGTCCTTCCATGTCACGCTCATGCATCGCGTCTTGCGATTGCCGCCGCGGGCCAGAAATCGTTTGAAGACGAGGTCGTTGTCCTCGGTGGAGAGAATGGCAAGGGTGCCGTCGCCTGTGCCAGCAACCAGGTTCTGGCCACGGAACTCGTCCTCACGCGAAGTCTTGGTCGGACGCCAGCGCGGCTGGGCGGCAAAACACCACACCTCGCTGAAGTTGCCAGTCGACGAGCGCAGCTCTTTGCCTGTCGTCAGGTCCCATTCCGTCACAGCTGCCGTCGAGCCAATGCTGAACAGGCGCAGCTGGCCGAGAATTGTGTGTCCCTCATAATCTGTGTCGTCCGGCTCTTGAATCCACGCCAGCGCATCCACGCTTCTCTTTGAGCCTCCTGGGAAGACCGACTCTTGCACCCAGTCTCCTCTTTCGGCGCTCCAGATCTCTATGTCTCCATTTGCGCGACCGAGGGCGAGCTTCAGCGCGGGTCTGGGATCCGTGTAATTCTTGTCGCTTGATCGAGAAAATGAAAGGGCGTTGATGGCCGATGACGGGTAGGCCACGAAGCGAGAGCGGTGAATATCCATGGTATTGCCTAGATTCTCTTCTTCCTCTAAACCGACATGACTTTTGGCAAACAAAAATGGGTTGCGAAAAACAGAAATAATCTTTGGTCGACATCCAAGAATTTGCTTCTCGGACTTTGGCGCATGAAAAGCCGACGCTCGCAAGCCTTGGCATCATTTTCCTACTGTCACTTCCCAAAGTAGACAATCATCACTCTTTCCCAGATGACAATTTGTCACTTCTCTCATTTTCCTGATCCATTCGACGCTGTGCCCTTCTGCAGATGGTCAAAGTAGGTTCTTCCGCGTCCATCTGGGACGAGCAGGTAGTAACGGTTGTAGCATGAATTGCACCAGGTCCCAGTGACAGCACTGGCCTTTAGTAAGGACTACCTATTTGCAGGAGAAGGTCCGATCCTGAGAGTCCACAGCCGTCACGACAACGAACTGATCGAGTCGATCACTGTCTTCTCCTCACAAGCTATCCATGGAATTGCCATTTATTCCGAAGGCATCATTGTTTGGGGCGGTCGCTTGGTCACACGATTTACCTTTGCCGAATATCACCATTCCCCTCTGACTCGTCATTCTTCTTTCGAAGCAGCCGATTGGATCCTCGACATCTCTGTCTCTCCCAATTTGTCTGGACAGAAGCAAAAAGCTGCTTTGATCACTGCTCACAATGCTCTCCTCCTATTGGAACTGGAACCAACATCTGGGTTGATAGAGTTGACCTCAAACTCAAAATGTATCCTCTATTCAGCCCATATACACTGGACCGTTAACGACCATATTCTTGTATCTTCGGGCACAGTCTTCGGCGACATTATCGTGTGGTCTTGCTTATTGCAGNAAGACCAAGCCCCCTCATCAATACTACACCATGTTTTGATAGGCCACGAGGGGTCCATCTTTGGTGTGCAAATCTTCGAATCCCCAGCATCCGAGTATAGAAACGGTCCCTCTCGGTTACTAGCTAGCTGTAGCGACGATCGCACTATCCGCATCTGGGATATCTCATCTCTACCCGAAACTGCTACCAACCCACAAGCAGCTGCAGACTTGACGTCGGCTCGGGAAACTGGTTTTGGTGCCAACGTCGCTGATGTTCTACCGGAGAACGCATCTGGTGGAAGATGCATTGCCAAAGGCTGGGGACATGCCTCGAGAATCTGGGGTGTGAAGTTCATACCGTCCTTAGACCCAAAAGTCCTCTCGTATGTTGCTTCATTCGGTGAAGATGCAACCCACCAATTCTGGAGTCTCGGTGAGACGAGTCCTGATCAGTTCGCTCTAACACACCTGNGGGGCTCTTGTTTGCACGCCGGTAAGAACATATGGTCATGGGCAATTCATCAAGACACCCCAGGCGAGGTTGTCATCGCTAGTGGAGGTGCAGACGGCAGTATTGCTCTCGAGCCGAAGTCGATTCCCTTCACTGGTGCGTCGGATCACACTCAAACCTGGTCGATAGAGGATCTAGGCTCGTCATGTCCGGACCGTCCACAATCAGGTCGTTCAGACAAGCTGCGAAGTTACGCCTTTCTGGATAAGACTAATCTATTGGTTACTACCGACGCTGGAAACATTTTGCTGTTGACAGAAAATGAAGACGGTCAAGCCCAAACAGACTGGATCCGAAGGGAAGAGAAGCTTCGAGGATACTCTGTCGTTACCAGCATACCGAGTCTGTCTATTGCATTCTTGGCAGGTATGGATGGCTCGGTTATGCTGTATGAAGGCAAGGGGGTGAAGGAGCTGGTCAAATCAACCAGAAAGACCGCAGCGTTGTTCGCTCAGCAACTGTCTGCCTCAGAAGATATTCATCAGCGAATTGGTCTTCTGGTCGCCAACGTTGAGGCCAAGACAGCCCTCTTCACGCGTTTCAGCCTGAGCAATGGCACCGAGGGTGCTCGAACAATCGAAAACCCGTCAACATGGAGACTAGCGTTACCTAAAGGCTTTGTTATAACTAGCTCCCTCGCAGTCAATCTTGGTCAGGAAGAAGGGTTGATGCTTATTTTGGGGTCAAGGAGTGGCTCAATGGTGGTCTTCCACGTAGATGGCACGCCAGGAATTCATGAAGATGTGGCACATCAACACCTGCATGCACAAGCTCATGGCTTTGAATCAGTGACTGATCTTACTTGGCATGCTGGACCAAACTCGGTCGGAGACAGTGGGCACATTTTCTCAGTAGGCAGAGACGGCACTTACGCTATACACCACCTCTCGAAGTCAGACTGTGGTGTCGAGCTTCGATTGATTAGCCAAACGACCCTTCCGTTGGGGACAAACATTGAGGGGCTTCACATCGACGAGAACACCAATCATCTTCTGGTCTGGGGCTTTCATAGTCGTCAGTTCATCGTGTTTGATGCGACAGATGAGCGTGAAATCATGAACATTGACTGCGGTGGAGCCAATCGAGTCTGGAAGTTCGTCCCTGAAAGGTTACAAGGAGGTCACTTTGTCTGGACAAAGGCTTCTCAACTCTGCCTCTTCTCTAAGACTCAAAATCTCACAGGAGTTTTAAACAGAGGCAGCCACGGCCGAGAGATCAAGTCTGTGGCTGTTGCTCCTACAAATCCGACCAAGTCCGGCGTTCTGTTTGCGACTGGTTCTGAAGATACTGATATCAAGCTTTTCACTTATCAGAATCAGGGCAAGGTGCCCCACTTCCGCTGTCTGAAGACGCTANAAAAGCACAACACCGGTATTCGGCAGCTGGAATGGTCATCCGACGGACGCTATCTTTTCAGTAGTGCTGGATTCGAGGAGTTCTTTGTGTGGAGAGTGCAGAAGGCGCCTTTGGTCGAGCTGGGAGTGGTCTGCGAATCAGTATGTCCTACCGAGAGCGATTTGCCTGATCTCAGAATCATGAGCTTCTCGTGTAGAGAAGAACATGGCAAGTTCATCGTCACAATGGCTCGTTCAGACTCCACTTTGCGGGTAAGTACAATCCATGTTTATTCTCTCTAGCATTCCCAGCTAACAAGTACAGNNATGTACCAATACTGTCCTGGCCAAGAGAATTCTTGGAGCATTCTAGTGACTGGAAACTACCTGACCTCCTGCTTGACGCAATGTCTTCACATCGAGACGTTTGACCACACTCAGTCGCTTATCACGGCGGGTACCGATGGCTATGTTGCTTTCTTCCCGCTCAAAGCTGACTTCAAGGCTGCCACGACCGAATCAAGTGCTCTGAAGTGGACTTCCCGTGCAAATATTCATCAAAACACAATACACACTATGAAGTTGCACTGGTTCGACAACAGGACATGTCTGCTTGTTACTGGAGGTGATGATAATGCAGTAGCTTTCAGCATTTGCGCCTGGAGCGCTGCAGGAACGACGCCAGAGGTTCACACAGTGATTGTTCCGCGTGCGCATGCAGCTGCTGTCACGGGTGTCGAGATACTAGCCTCTACTGGCCTCAAATGGTTTGAAATTGCTACTACCAGTATCGATCAACGGGTCAAGTTCTGGGAGGTACACTACAATGGCGCACAGCTAGGGGTTGATGGGCTTACGGTCAAGAGGAAGGGCAACCACTTTACTGCTGTTGCAGATGTCTCTGGTCTTGCTGCCTTGGATGTTTCATCCCTCATTGTCTGCGGAGTGGGCATAGACGTATGGAGCCATGGTGTACGTGGTGGTTGAGAAGAGGTGCAGCTTCTAGAGACAGCGATCGGCAGTTGAGAATGCAGAGTCGAACCGCTTTGCGTGTCAAGAGTCAGGATTCTGTTAGTGCAGCGTGCTTTCGGATGAAGTCACGACGATCAGAAGCAACGTGCGAGGCGACCCGCAAGGAGGCCTGCTGGTTGGCTAGGAGTACCCCAGTTTTCATGCGCCCCACAGGCTGTGGGGCATTGAGGTGCTGATCCCGCATCACCTCCGCATCCTCCTGCCTTAGCGATACCGCAAATCCCTAGGAGAGACATGCCCAGTGCAGGATGGAGTGGATATATAGGTAGAGACATTGCCGGCACCTCTCTGCTGCCGGTTTTGGCTTCTTTGTACAGCACTCTCCAGACATTTACTCACAATGGAAGGACCTTCACATCCTCGCGAGCGTCATCTCGTTCACAGGTACACATTGTAATCTTTGCTCTTCTCGACATTGTACTCATCTCTGCTCAGTCATGCCCACGAGGAAGACTTACCAGGAACAGTAAATCTCCAAGCCCTAGAAGGCGACGACACGGCATACGGACAAGCTCTCTACCCAGTACCCAGCGAAGACCCCAATGATCCACTCCAGTGGTCGAAATCCAAAAGACCATGATCTTGATCATTGTGTCGCTATACTCGTTTCTCGGCAACAGCGCACTTGTGGGACCATCAGTATACCTGGAGATCTATAGCGAGGAGTTTGGCATTTCCGTCACTGAGGCATCAGGACTTGTGTCTTATCCCAATTTGGTCTTTGGATTTGGTATGTCATCGGGTTGAAGATTGAATATCACACGTTGCGGGTTCTGACGTGATCTCAGGGTCTTTGCTGCTCGTTCCTGCCTATCTGAAGTTTGGCCGACGCCCGGTGTTGCTTCTTTCCCTGCTCATGGTAAGACTTTACTTCCTTTTCGTGTGCAACAAATCTTCTGTCCTCCTCCTTCAACACTAGAGAGCGATGTGTCAACTGCTGAAATACACGATTGTTTTCGACCTCGGGGCGGTGACCAAGGAGAATTGGTGAGGTGTCACTCTCTCGATGGATACTGCCTCATCTCTTGACACTATCGTGTATATCTGCAGCCATATGCGCTACATACGTTTGCATCCGGGGAAAGTGGAACTCGACTTCTTACAGTGTTGCTGACTGGCTGCTAGTTTGTGTTTGGTCTTCTTGGTGCTTCGCAAGCTACCTCCTATGGAGGTCTCATGGCAGCTCGAATTATCCATGCCTTGGGTTCTGGCGTCTGCGAAGCCCTCCCTGTACAACTCGTTAACGATATCTTCTTCCTCCACGAACGCGGCAAGAGATTGGGATATTATACTGTTTGTTTGTGCTGGGGTAGCACAGGACCCCTTTACGCTGGATATATGCTCGCAGCTGGATACTCGTGGAGGTACGTCTCTACATCGCTACCCCCACTTTATTCTCTTCTAACAACAGCCACTCAGACTATATTTTTACGTCGAGTTTGCCTTTGCGTGTGCGCTTCTTATCCTCGCATTCATCTTTGTCGAAGAAACGGCATACAAGCGTGTTGTTGTGACGACATCGACACCAGACTCGGACAATGAAAAAGGGCACAGCGAACATGTTGAAGTTGTTACTCTTGCTCCGCCGAGAAGATCTTGGCTTCAAACTTTGAAACCGTGGAGTGGTATCGACCATGAAGCTGAGTTTTTATGACTATGCTGCGCTCGTTCAGTTACTTCTTGGTGCCCTCTGTAATGTGGGTGGTCACCAGTTTTGGTACGTTGTTGCAAACTGCTGTCTCAGACACTTATGCTGCTTGGACAGAGGCTAACAAGACACATAACAGGCATATATATCGGCCTCGGCGCGTTAGCCTTTAACTACACATTCCCCCTGAAGATCGTCGCGCCACCGTATAATTGGAACCCTAATAACGCTGGTCTCATCGCTCTGGGCAACATAATCGGCTACGCACTTGCTGTACCATTTGCCTCTTCATCAGACCGCATAGCCGCCTACCTCACCAAACGCAACAACTCTATCCGCGAAGCTGAAATGAGACTCTGGGTTCTCCTCCCCGTATGCCTCATCGCTCCCGCAGGCCTGATCTTATACGGCTTCACCGCCCAACGCAACCTGCACTGGATAGGCTATTTCGCTGGCGTCGCCATGACAGATTTCGTCAGCTACTTCTACTTTTCATTTGTGCTCGCTTATGCAGTGGACTCCATGACTGCCAACACTGCCGAAATGTTGATTTGCATGAATCTGGGAAAACAGGCTATTTCCTTTGGTATGGGGATCTATCTCCTGGATTGGATTCTGGAGCATGGGTATGCGAAGATTATTGGTGGTGCGTTTTGTGCGGTGTTGGCGTGTAACAATCTGGCGGTGTTGGTTTTCTTGCCGTTTGGTAAGAATATTAGGAGGGGGTTATATAACAGTTGGCTTGGACGGCTGCACAAGAAGACGAGCAAAGGTGTGGAAGTTGCTTGATTTGTTCATGAGGTAGGGTATCAACTACTCGAGTATGAGCAATGAAATTTCTGATCGTTCTACTTTTCGTGCAATAAAGTGGGCTCTTGATGATATGGTTTTTTTTTTTTTTTTTTTTTGAGATTGCCTGACTCCCTGTTTGATTTCACTGTACCCCTGCATTGCCATCCCCAAGTGCTAAGGACTGTTATTTCGTAGCTATGGAGATGCACGACACTTTTTCAGAATGGAGTGTTGACCAGAGGGAGATACTATTCCGCTTCAATGCATTGTCTTGTCCGCTATCCTTGGCCATTCTCAGGTATCTAGAATCAGTCGGCAGTAGCGTCTGGTCAAAGCTCTTTTTTCTTTTTTCTTTTTTCTCTTCCGAAGCTTGATCTTGTTTCGCGGTCTGGAGTCTGGACACTGATTCAAGCACCTGCAGCCACCTCATTTCTTGCATCTTGGACTCGCATTCTTTTTCGCTAAGAAGAGACAAGTGGAAATTTAGTCCCGCGCCTAGCTTGCTTAGAGCCGCCCGAGTCTACTCGACTATGCTGCTTCTCTCCACGCTTCGCACAAAGGGAAGTGCTTGCCCACGACACTCATGTCGGCGAGTCCGACAGTATGAAGGTTTGATACGCTCACAGACTCTAGGCAGAGCCGCGTTCCATCACGCTATTGACTTGGTCCTCAGCCTAGTCGAAGAGAATACCAATTTTCGAGATGAGTGAAGTACTCAGCTGGAGTCAATTTCCACTACGAGCCTTGACTTCCTCCATGGTAGTCTGCTGTATATCAAGAACTCTAGACTTAAATCGACTCTGTATTCTATGAGGTAAAATTCTCGCTTTCGCACACTCCTTTAGTTTCTCATCACAAGATCTTTGCTTTCTTCTATATTTTCTTTTTCTTTTTGTTTTTTCCTCTTACCACTGTTCCAACACTCTCATTATGGGTCCATCCTTGACCCGAGGATTAGTCCTCTTCGCTGCTTTATTGCAGTCTAATGCAGCAGCCTATTCGTCGCTGGTATATCAGTCAGCAGTACCTACGTCATCAGCTGGAGCTGGAGCCGAACAGTCGATTGTAACGATCACTTTGAGTTATGACAGCACATACACGGTTACAAAGGGTACACCCATCACAGCTATCGAGACTGTCACAACATGCACACCGGGCACAGTAGCTCCGATAGGTACTTGTCAGAATACGGTGTGGTCAGCTTCTGGAACATACTACAGCGAGCAATGCGACAATGCAGCAGTGATTGGCGCAGTCCGTATCAACGGCCCTGGGGTTGAAAACATCAACAAGTGCCTTAGCTACTGTATCCAATTCTCGCAGTATTGCGATGTGGCTCTCTATAATCCTACGAGTACTTATTGCAGACTTGTGCAAACCGGGCTTTCTGGCTCGACATGGGGTTCTGATTATCAGGCAGCAACGACTTTCTCCACCAACCCTTGTGTTGCCACTGTAACGAACACTGGACTCGATTACTCCACCGAGACGGTCACTTCTCAGATCATTACCGTCTTCGAATCCACCATAACAAGCTCTGCTGTGCCTTCATCATCTCCTTCGATAGAGTCATCTCTGGCAGTGTCTTCCCTGGATGTTGTCCCTCCAGCTTGCTCTGCAACACCAGCAGCTGCGGTACAGGAATCGGTAGTTACTCTCACGTCGATTTATGCCAGTACGTATACCGACGTCTTGACCACTACCTACGCATCCCTACAGGAAACTACAACTTGCACTCCTGGTGCTTTCACGGCAGGGACTTGTCAAGGCGGTGTGTATACCCTGGGTACGAAGTACTATAGTCAGGTGTGTGGCGGTAGTATGTTGACTGGTGGTGCCACGGTTCTCGTCCTCCTGCGGCGCAAATCGGACTCTGCAATCAGTATTGCAGTGTTTACTCCACTCTGTGTAGCGGTTACAACTACAATACGGCTGCGAGGGTCTGCACATTCCTCTCTGGATCCTCAATGTACTACACCTCTGCAGTTGCTTTCCAAGCCGCGCAAGCATACACGACAAACCCTTGTGAGGCGACCGTTACTGTCATGGATACGCAGTACTCTACTCAGATCGTCTCGACTGATGTCACCTCTGTGTATGGAAGCACTGTCACGATTACAGAATCGACAACATCCTGTACTCCAACGACCACTCCTGAAACGACATCGAGCCCTACGATTACTCCATCGATTGCTGAGCCATCTGAGTTCACTCTAAGCAGTGTCGTGCCAGCCAATACTTCCATGCCAATCAGCTTCTCAGTCACCAACAGCTCTGTTCCGGCTTCGTCGATGATCACGGCAACACCCTCCCTGAACTCTACCAGCCTGGCATCGGCTTCACCTATCACAAACAGCTCTTCGATCATCGCTCCGTCGAGACAAGTCAATGCTTCAATCCCGATCATGACCAACAGCTCTGTGCCGACTAGCTCTCGTGTTGCCAATAGCTCTACAGCTGGTTTTCCTTCGATAACAAGCTCGTTGTCGCTGTTCAATACATCTATTCCAGCAGGCTATGCTGTAATTCCAACGAGCCTGATCTCAGCCATGCCTATCAGCAACAGCTCCGTCATCGCTTCTTCCTCGGTTTCGGCTGCGACCTCGTCGGTACCAATCAACGTAGCTGTCCCGGCTATGAGTAATAGTTCTGCTGTCGTTTTGCCAACAAGCGCGGTATCCACGAGCCTAACGTCGGTCTTGCATTTCACTAACAGCTCGGTTGCTGCTACAACAAGTTCGGTCATGATCTCTTCGGCACATCTTAACACAGATGTTCCCGCAATCGCTTCGCCTCTGTCCTCGAGTGCCGATGTCTCCACATCTTCAAGCAGTCTATTTGCATCACCTAGCGCGTCTATATCATCGGATCTATCGGGCGCAACCTCTTCTTCCGTTCCTTCGTTATCTGTCTCTCCCACCGTTGAGGCCATGACCTCGACCCCTGTCTCCTCCGGCTCACATGTTACACGACTAAGCACTTCGACTATCTTCAGTACTCGCATCACCACAGTTACTGCCTGCCCACCTGACGTCAAGAATTGCCCAGCCAGATCTCAAAGCACTTTCCTGACCACCGAGACACTGGTTCTGTCCACCACGATATGCCCAGTGACGGTAATTCCTCAACCGACTGGCACCGTGATGGCCGGAGTTGAATACACCACATCTACAGTGTTGTGCACCAGAACCTCTACGATAACCGCTTGTCCGTCTAGTATTTCTGACTGCCCAGTTTCGGCCCAGGAGACTTTCTTCGTCACGGAGGTTGTTGTTGTGTCTACGACTGTTTGCCCAGTTAGTGGAAGCAAGACTATGTTAGTGTATACTGAGCCCACTGCAGCTCTCGCGACAAATGAGGGCAAAACTACCTCGGTTGTTCAAGCAACGAGTGTCATTGCCTCAGGCAGCAGCCAGAGCGCTGAAGAGACCCACAGCTCTTGGAACACTGCAGCATCAGTCGACAGCCGGACTGCCGAAAGATCTTCTACTCAGACGCTCACTATTTTATCTACTCTCAGCATCACACCTCAACCCGCTGTCTCAATCACTGAGGCAATTTCGAGAGCACCGGACGTGGGTTCTGGATCTGTTGCATCAGTCACTACCAGTAACACACCATCTACCAGCTCTTCAGCATACCCCCAGAGTTTCAAGGCCAGTATGAGCTCTAGCTCTGTCATCGTGTCAGATGTCCACGATGCTCTTGCTTCGGGCTCCATGTTGCACTCAGCTGGCAGCATTGGCAGCCAAGGTTTGTCGAGCATAGCTACTTCGAGTGAATCCTCTCAGCCTAGTGGCACTACCAACCAAGGCTACTCCAGTGTAAACCTTTCGAGTGAAGACCCGCAAGTCACCGGCACTACCAGTCAATACCTTTCTAACGCGAGCGTCTCCGCCGCCATCTCGCAACCCAGCAATACCTCCTTGGTGGTTGGAGCCTCGCAGTCCAGCAGCAGCAGCACTACTAGCAGCTACAGACCAGCAACATACACTGGTGCTGCTTCCTCCTCTCAGTGGAATGTGTCTTTGACATTTGGCTCGCTCTTTGCTGTTCTAGTTACCATGCTATCCTAGATATTGTAATCAGTCAGTCCAAAATATCGTAATCATAATCAATATAATCTAAAATATGATCGTCTCTGCCAACACCATACGAAACCCTCGTGATCTAGATGCATAATCAATGCAGACACTTGATCAGCCACGTTTCTCTCAGACCATCACGTTTTACAACACATGCTGTGTGTGACCTTGCAGCCCCTGCATCGGAAACGGTCATCCAGGAAGAAGCGCGCGTGAGGATACATCTGAATGTACACCGCTTTCTCACATCTTGGCTGGGGAGTCTCATGGCGTGTGTGCGGGATAGATTTGCTCAGCCGCTCGTCAGCCAAGCGAGGAAGCCAACGATGAGGTGATCATGTGGTAGTCGGGAGTTCTTGGACCACAGGGGCGTAGATATAGGGGAACATGGCGTTGATGCCGTTGTTCGTATACATTCGCCAAATACGACTACAGAATCACTTGGTATACAGCAGACAGCCATCTTTGTTGTGGTGTGATGGAGTTGTTGGAAGGAGAAAGATCTAGGCCAAGGAGGCCAAGAAGGGTTTCGTTTTGGCAGGGTCCAAGCGTCATTGATACAAAAGGGTCTGGAGCACCCCACGTTCTTATTGATGGCCTGTCAGCGAGTCAGTGGCTATCATTCCTCAATCTTTCGACGTCTCATCAGCTCGTTTGATACCAGATCTCTGCTAACCGATAGCTGACCGACATTCTCCTGGTTGTCTTGGAAGGACTAGGACGAAGACTATGGTCCTATAGTAGTCTCTCTACCCTCTGTCAGACGAATCTCTAGACTCATCACTTTCGGGACTTTTCTCTATCGTCGTACAAACCAGATTATCTACGATGGCGTCCACAGTCACAGCTTTCGTGACGGACACTATAACAAAGACCACGGCAGCTGCCACAGCATCTTCGACGGCTAGAGCAAAAGCTCAGGGTGGTATCTTGGAAGGCGAGAATCCGACACATTACAACCCAAAGGATCCTATCATCATATTCATCATACAGGTGCGTGTTTATAATTCTCTCCGTGTGTCATAGACAGTCACAATAGCACAGTCAGCACTCGTCTCGCAGTGATTCACATTAATATTGTAAGCTAGAGAAATGCACAATACTTTCCAGAAAGAAGTAGCTTCCACGGAGAGTCGTGATTTTGTCGGCTCTCGCTGGATCTGACCTCTTGTCTTGAAGCATTGTGCATTTGTATAGCTACACTACAAATGTGTATAGCACACGGAAATAACCTAGCTCTAGATGTGGAAAAGTCAGATACTAATTCCAAGTCTCTAGGCCGGCGTGATCATCCTGTTTTGTCGGTTACTACACTGGCCTCTATCAAAGATCCGGCAACCGCGTGTTATCGCAGAAGTCATTGGTGGTGTCTTACTGGGTCCCTCGGTCATGGGCAGAATTCCTGGTTTTACTGCCACAATTTTTCCGCCAGCTGCACAGCCAAATCTCGCACTGGTGGCCAATCTTGGTCTGGTTCTCTTCTTGTTCATAGTAGGTCTCGAAGTCGACTTGCGCTACCTGGCCAGCAACTGGAAGATTGCATTGAGTGTCGGCTTAGCTGGCATGGCACTTCCCTTTGGCCTAGGCTGTGGCATTGCTTATGGTCTGTACAACCAATTCTCGGATGAAGACGAGACTGAGCCAGTCGCATTCGGCACATTCATGCTGTTTGTTGGTGTGGCCATGGCTATTACGGCTTTCCCAGTGTTGTGTCGTATCCTCACGGAACTGAAACTTTTGTCGACATCTGTGGGAGTTATTGTCTTGTCGGCTGGAGCTGGCAACGATGTCACTGGATGGGTCCTTCTTGCCCTCTGTGTGGCTTTGGTAAATTCTGGAAGTGGTATAAGTGCCCTCTATGTGTTGCTGACAGCTCTCGGATACACGCTCTTCCTCTTCTTCGCTGTCAAGCCGGCGTTTACCTGGGTTCTTAGACGTACGCGTACATTTGAGAACGGACCATCTCAAGGCATCATCGTCTTGACCCTACTGATTGCGCTTGCATCTTCCTTCTTTACCGGAGTCATTGGTATCCACCCTATCTTTGGTGCCTTCATGGCAGGGTTGATTTGCCCCCATGAAGGTGGGTTTGCAATCAAGGTCACAGAGAAGATTGAAGATTTGATCAGCGCTCTGTTCTTGCCACTTTACTTTGCCCTATCTGGACTTTCTACCAACCTTGGTCTTTTGGACACTGCCATTACCTGGGGATATGTCGTTGGTGTTTTGGCCGTTGCATTCGTCGGCAAGTTCGTGGGAGCTTCGGTGGCTGCTCGCGTCAATGGCCTCGTCTGGCGAGAGAGCTTTACCATTGGCGCTCTAATGAGTTGCAAAGGTCTCGTCGAGTTGATTGTCCTCAACATTGGTCTGCAGGCCAAGATTTTGTCGCAAAGAACATTCACGATTTTCGTGGTCATGGCTTTGATCACGACATTCATCACTACGCCGTTGACCATGGCCCTGTATCCGCCTTGGTACCAGAAGAAGCTAGAGGCTTGGAAGAAGGGTCTTATCGACTGGGATACAGGCAGTCCCCTGACTCCTGGTGATGATGCCTCGTCTATCGTCGCGGCAAAGCTAGAGACTAGCAAGATCAAGAAACTACTCGTTCACCTAAGGTTGGATAACATGCCTACCTTGATGACGTTCGTCTCGCTCTTGGCTGCTCCCAGCAGATCTGGCGATATTGCAGTGCGACAGCACCCTATGCTGGCAGGTAAGAGCGCGGAAGAGCCTTCGAGAATTCCAAACCGACCTCTGGAGGTTCATGGTGTCCGGATGATCGAACTTACGGACAGAGACTCATCCGTCATGAGTGTTTCGGACGTCGAAGAATTCCACTGGAAAGACCCCATCATCAATACATTCCGCAACTTCGGCAGATTGTACAACCTAGCAGTCTCTGGCGAAGTCGCGATTGCCCTCGAGTCGTCTTTTGCCGAAATCATCACATCCAAAGCGGCAAGCGAGTGTTCAGATCTTCTTGTTCTTCCTTGGAGTGAAAGTGGAAGTATGAACGAACAGCAACCCTACAATGGCAATCCCACCACTCCCAGACGACTCGAAGACACAAGCTACGTCAGTTTCGTGGCCGCCGCACTCAATTCGTCGACGTGCAACACGGCGGTCTTTGTCAATCGTGACTTCGGTGGCAGCGCAGTGGCACGCCGCCCACCAACTCTGTCTCGTCAAGCGAGCAAAATTAGCTTGTCGCATGAGCGTGGACCTGCGTCGTCGCCCATCATGGACAAGTCGCACCATATCTACATGCCCTACTTTGGCGGGGCCGATGGTCGCGTGGCGTTGCGGCTTGTACTGCAGCTGGCAGAGAACCCAGATGTCACTGCCACCATCGTCTTCTTTGACAGACTAGATGGTGCGGGTGGCGTAGCAGAGACCAAAGACACGGAAACCTATAGTTCGCCTGTGGAAGTCTCAAGTACGGGGTCATCGAACCCCAGAGATGGCAAACCTAGCGCCGTCGCACAGATCGAAGATAGCGACGAGACGTTCTTCGCCATGATCCAGCGATCTCTGCCTGTAGAGTTGTCGTCGCGAGTGGTTATGGAGTCTATATCGTCACACTTGCCCCTGGAGGAAGCAATTTCTCGGGCGCAGGTCGAGGTCGCGCAGAACCCCAAGAACGCAGGCGACTTGATCGTTGTCGGCCGAAGGGACTTTTCCAACGAGTCTGGCAGAGCGTGTTTAGGCCTCGTTGCGCAGAAATTCGTCGACAGCGGACTTCGAGCAAGCATTTTGGTCATGCAAGCGAGATCGCCTCACATGTCTTCTGAGACGCCGTGATGTGGAAAGATGGCAAGAGGTGTCTCTCCACCTCTTCAGTCGAGAACACAACCTGTCCAAGCTTCTGATGGGCATGATACGCACGTAGTTGATTTTGTGTATTGCAGCAGGGAACACAAGTGGTGGGGAAGGGGCATGAAGCTCCCAAGCATAATGGCATGATTCTCATGAATATACGGCAGACTATATCAGGAAGCAAAGGTGTTATTGGATAGGGATCAATCCTTCGGGCATCTAAGGTGATAGGTTGCTGGCTATATCATTTTCGTCTTTTACCCGTAAATCTCGATTCATACGCCGCAGAAAGTACGAGTAATGATTTCACATCTAGAATTTTTCCCGATCGTATTGTGAACGTGTCACTCGAAAGAAACAACAATCAGGATATAGCTCCGGTGAGCAAGCGAATCAAAGTAGCAGCCACATAGTATACCTTGATCAATGTACATGCAGGCTACAAGGCTTGTTTTTAGATGCCTGCTGACTGGCTTCCATGTCATCCGCAATGGAGCTTCACTCTTCATTTACCTATTCTGGCAGCAAGAGCGGTGAGACCTGATCATCTGCGCCTGTGTTGGAGCCTGAAGGGGAAGGAAGGGAGTCGGAGGAGGGCCTGAAACACGGTCAGCTTTTGATCGACGCTGGGGCTTGCAGGACGAGCAGGCAGGCGGCATGCCATGTCGCATGCATGTGGATGCGCGGCAGGTGCGTTTTCTTCGCAAGCTTTTGCCTGATGTGATGTGCGGTGGGGTTGCTTAAACTTTCCACACGCAGCCGGTGCCTGAGAGTTTAAACAAACAATATATTGTTTGGCTGTGTTGTTGTCGCCATGTGGTTTACTGTTGCACGGAGTGAAAGGGGATGGAGGGAGACGCTTTGTCTCGTCAAAGAAGTCGGTAAGGGGCATGTCTATGGCAGCTTCCATGTGAACGCAGCTTGTGACTCGTTCCTGGACATGTTCGAGAGGTGTGCCGCCAGCGTAAACGCTAAGAGCATTCGACAGCCGTCACATGCCGCAAAAGAGGCTCTTTGGCAATCTACTTTTTCGAACAAAAACGTGGAGAAAGTCGGCAAAGTGGGCCTTGTCATGTTGCTGTCGTCATGCCCATAACAAAACCTTATTACCCTTGGATACCGCAACTTCCTAAACTCCATCCCTGCGTGCTGCCTATTCTTTCCTCCTACTGCCTAAAACCACACACCTACGGAGGGCCTTCTCTCATAGTCTCAGCAATCCATCCATGGCTCCCGCATTCTCATGGACTTTTTCCATGACTCACTAGTTCTGCCTGGCTCGGCCGCCGCACCTGGCCCCAATGCGACAACCACCAATGCATCCTCGAGATCCAATCCCAGAAGTTCGCGGCTTTCGCCATCGCTGTTGAGGGCGCTCCGAGACCCTTACCAGTTGATTGGCGCCAAACCCGTTGAAGCCGGCAGTCAGAGACAAAGAGCCGAAGGGCCACAATTGGATGACAGCGAGTGGCGGAGGCAGGTTTTGAATCTCAAGATCTCCCAGGTATGCTGCACATATCTGCCGCTACAAAATGAAGCGACTGACAGACTCTCCTCTAGGNCAAAATGCTACACGGATTGGCTCTCGGCGGCTTCGGAACTCGACACACTCGAAGGCAGAGACGCGTGGAAAGAGGACGAGGAATGCGACGAATATGACACGGCCTTGCTTAAGGCTCGACTGCAAGAGTTGGAAGATGCGCGCATTAGTTGCGACGCAAGGCGCATGCTGTTCCTAGCCCGCACATCGCTGACACGAGACCTGGGAGGCATGGGCGATTTACGTCTGTACAAGCATTGCAGAGTTGGCACCAAGACGCTCATCGAACGCTACATATCCGCTGCTCTGGACATGCTCGATACGGTTGTCGATATGTGCTCGCCCGTCAATAAGAAGGACACGGACTTGGACGTCAGAGAGGTCTACGAACAGCTGTTGAGCGCTAGGCAGGCCTTTGGAAGAAGCGCGTTACTACTGTCGGGAGGTGGCACTCTCGGCATGAACCACATAGGAGTGCTCAAGACGCTGTTTGAAGCCCGCCTGCTCCCTCGCATCATTTCGGGTGCCTCGGCTGGATCTATTGTCGCTGCCGTGCTTTGTACCAAGACCGACGACGAGATACCACAAGTCCTGCGCGAATTCTGCTATGGTGATTTGGACGTCTTCGAGAGGGAAGGAGAGGCCGAAAACGTCTTGAAAAAGGTCTTTCGCTTTTGCACAAAGGGTGCTCTCTTCGACATCTCCAACCTCATACGCGTCATGAAGGACTTGCTGGGAGACATGACTTTCCAGGAAGCCTACAACAGGACAAGACGTATTCTCAACATTGGTGTATCGACTGCCAGCTTGTACGAGCTCCCTAGACTCCTTAACTATATTACTGCTCCGAACGTCATGATCTGGTCCGCCGTTGCCACGAGTTGCTCTGTCCCTTTCATTTTCTCGCCTGCTCAATTGCTGGCCAAAGACCCACGCACTGGACTGGAAGTACCATGGGATCAGTCGCCTCAACGCTGGATTGATGGTTCAGTTGACAACGATCTACCCATGAGCCGCCTGGCAGAAATGTTCAATGTCAACCACTTCATCGTGTCTCAGGTCAACCCGCATGTTGTGCCTTTCTTAGAGAGGGACGACGAGATCGCATCATTCGGTGCTCAGACTTCCAAATTTGCATTGTCGGCTGGACCTAGCTGGCTCCGCACCGTTGCTAACCTCGCGAAAGGAGAGGCTCTGCATCGCATGCATGTCCTCGCTGAGCTCGGTGTCTTGCCGACCACCATGTCCAAACTCCGTTCGGTGCTAAGCCAACGCTACTCGGGCGACATCACAATCTTGCCCGAAGTATCATATACACAGTTCCCTCGTGTTCTCNAAAATCCAACGACCGACTTCATGTCGCGCGCCATGCTCAGCGGTGAGACGGCTACATGGCCTAAACTGTCGCAAGTCAGAAACCACTGCGCCATCGAGCTGGCTCTCGATGTTGCCGTGCAANAAGTGCGCTATGGGCTGGTCTTTTCACCCAGCCAGATCGACCTCAGACTGAACGCGTTTGCTTCCACTGCTGCTTCGAATGAAGGTCAAATACGGCACGCACGACGAGCTAGCCACGGCAGTCCTCCCGAAAGCGAACGCCCGCATCTCCTCACTGTTCCCCCAACATATTCGTTACGCAAACCAAGCGTCGCACAAACCATGCATGCATCCCACATCACCCCGCCTCCANAACACGCAGGCCTCCACGACGATTTCGCCTCTGGTCAAGAAACAGCAGTCGACTCTGAGGATGCCGACTGGTCTGACTCTTCGCTCGACAACTCGCCGACACGTCAGACACCCAGACTGTGGCCAGCGCCGACTTTAATCTCGCGCTCTCAGCCTGTGACTCCCAATGTACACGCCAAGATGTACATGTCGTCCTCGCCTGCTTTGATACTCACGCGTATGGACAAGAAAGACGGTGATACCCCTCATGGTTTGGTGGCTTCGCCTGAAGAATACAAGTCTGTGTTTCAGAATGCGAGGCTGTATGTAGAGGAAGGGATTGATGTTTCTGGGACCAGGGGTATGGTGAGGAGGAAGAGGAGTTTGACTACTGGATTCAGGGGTCTATGGCCGCCTGGCCGTTGAGTGGTTTTTCTTGTTGTCCTATGGGAGTTCCGTGGGGGTTTTTCTTGGGTGCAGTCTGTTTGTTTCTTTTCTGGACATGGCGTTTTTGAGGCATTGTGGCATTCTGGCATGACATGGGCGGTATAGTTGGTTACTTTTGCTTAGATTCCGGGTTCTCAAAGGCAACTGCAAACTGTGATTGGCGTGGCATATGTTTTTTCTTCTTTGTTTTTCTTTTCTTTTCTTCTTGTACATTGGATTTCCTCTTCTAGCAAAGGGGCTAGGATGGTATTGCTAACTATTCGCACACCTTTACGAGTCCCATCATAGTCCTCTTCCTCTTCGATCTGGCTCTTAATGATAGTACTGCAAAACTTGTCAAGTATCTATCGTGTTGGTTTGCTATGATCGCTGGATTTTGGCAGGTAACATGCATCTTCGCGGGATTGAGTTGCAGTAGAGTTTGGGGGCTTATAGCGCTGCTGTGTTTGGCTTTAACTCTCAAAGACGCTGTATGGAACATGATTCCATGCTTGTAATAACAAGGACAATGTGATCATCGTGGTTGCTGGGGAGCGAGTTCGTGAGGGCAGGGTCATACTCTAGACAGGAATTTCTGAGCACCTTTCGCAGTCTAAGTGCACGCGAGACATTGACAATGCAGAGCAATGTTTGAGTGTTTGGGGAGATTTATGATGGTTCATGATGACATTTAGACCTGTTACAATCGTTTTCTGGCCCGGTATTCATTGTTCCCACACATGGACTTCCAAACCCCAGCTTCGATCATTCTTGCTGTCGACATGGTCTCTGCCATTCCCAATCAGCATCACTTGATAGTGGCTTCTTCAGTCCCGACCTTGCATCTTGGGTAACCTTGTGACAGAGAGGGTACTACATGAACGCGTACAAACCGTCGAGATATCCAGTGATTTCAATCCCTTGGCTGAGTCTCGAGATGCTACAGCCTTCTGCGGGATGAAGGCAGTCTGGCGTTTGACTTGACAGGCAGCGGATGCTTCTCTTCCTCTTCGACTGGGGTAGACGGCTGTGCGATCTCGATGTCGACCACGCGACCAAGCAAGGGTGTACGGTCCAAGTCTTCCATGGCTCGCTTTGCTTGTTCGTGGGTGCTGAAGTCGGCAAAGCCGGACTTGCCCCTTGTGGATCCCACGGGTATGGTAATGGTGATGGCGCCAACGCGGTGGCGTTCGAAGAAATCTGCCTGTATTGGAAGTTTGATAAGCTTGGGTTGTAGGCAAAAAGGGATGAATCATCGTGATGCAAAGCGCTTCTCGGGAACTGAAAGACGAGCATTACGAAACTATTGTGGCTCCTAGGACGACGGGCTCTCGATGGAGATCTCCGGTTTTCCGATAAGGCGCTTTGGTTTTTGATGGCCCCGGTCAACTCAAGCTAGTACGTACCACGTCTCTCTTTTTGTCCAACTGCCCATGTTGCGGATGTGAAGTCTTCTACGTTCGACAACAGGGCGGTCAATGTCGTCCCTACGAGCTCGAGTCGGATTATGCTCGCTCGAACTGTATGACGTTGTCGAATTCTGTCTTTTCTTCGTCGAACTAGCTGGTGAGGTAGGTGCGTTTCGCAGCCGATCCCGAAGTGCCCTTTCCTCTGCAATGAGTTCTGTGACAGTTTGACCCCTGCTACTGTCCTCCTTGGCTGGCTTGGACGTATCATTTTCGGAGGCAGCGACCTCGGATTTCAAGACCTTGGGAAGGTCTGGACGCATCACAACGGCTTTGACCGGTGTGAACTCGAATGGCTTGACCTTCTCTTTCTTCAAATCCGGCTGCTCGTCAGCATCGTCTGTCTCAAAGCCTTCGAGACGACAGCGTTTGAGCTGTGGACGTGGCGAGACGTGTTGAGACTCGGTCTCGACAATTCTTAGACTGCAGAAGCGTGATTAGTATATGGTCGATCAACTCTCCGTGTGCGAAGTTATGTCTTTTACATGACAGTAGAATGCACAGTATGTTCGTAAAGGGGTAGATTCCATTGGGAATCGTGATTTGTTTGGTCCCCTGGCACATCTGATTCGAAAAACACTGGCGCGTTTCAACAGCCCACCCATGACCTCGCACCACCACGGGACGCTGTGTGACGAGGAGATGACCGAGAAGGACTCTGCTTACCATGGAATAGTTCTCATCTCTTGGGCGCAACTCTCGATCATCCTGACCAAGACTTCTCTACACACGACGAAAGGTGCGTACTTGAATCTACCGTATGTGTTTGGTTGGTCCTGGCGTATCTGGGTCTCAAGATCGGGCTCGGCGAATAGGTCAGGATACAGCTTGGCGACGGGAGGAACAACCAGATGTCTGAAGAGTTCTCCCTGCTTCCCGACAGGCATCATCCAGCCAAGAGGGTGTTCGTCCTTGCGACATAAGATCTTGCCATCATCGTTGGTGAGCTCATCGGGAGCGGTCCAGGGACAGGGTGCGCGCAAGTAGCATCGAATGTGCTTCTTCAATTAGTAAGTCTCTTGAGGCGTCTGGTTCAGCAAGATAGCTGCCTGTACATCAGTGACGCCATCTTGGGTAAAGAAGTCGATGATGCCGGCTAGAGAAGGTGCAGGATAGTCGAAGCGTTTGTGACGGACTTCGCCATCGTCTCCGGAATCATTCTCGAGCAGAGACATCGCTTCCCTGGGTGCTTCAGGTGAGCAATGTTTGCAAACAGAGCTCGATTGAGAACGACTGTGGTAGACACAGATGTTTGACTTGACGCGAGTTTCGACGACGTCAAAGGATGAGAGGTGAGTCTTATTCACACCACAGATGTATGCTTGTTGACAGCTATGGCGGTTGGTCAGGCGACAAGATGGGTCTGTTGTGGTGATGGCTCTGTCAAATTTGAAGGTGATTTACGAAAAGTTTCCAACCAAGCGGCACACACTTTTATGAGTGGAGGAAGGAGCATTTCAAGAGTGGTTCTTCGAAACGCGAGGTCATTTTCCAGGAATACGATGTTGACAAACGGAGTGGGAAGGGACGACCATGGTGTCGGAGACGGGGTTCTTGCATGGTTACGGGAATATGCAGATGATTGGTAGGAAAGAGTTGATCGACAGCATGACAGATTTCACTACGAAGCCACTTTGTGTCAGGAGCGATGACTTTCATGGTTTCTGCTCTCTTCGCGCGGATGGAAAAGCTCTGCATGTTGTAGTTGTTGCAAGAACGATAGACGCGACTTCCTCCCGGAGTCAAGGCAGAATCCCTCACCGCCTTCGCCCGCATCATCCAACCACCTCTTCCTCCACGCGCTCGTCCGTTCATCATCACGATATTTCTAGTTCATACACCTGATCATCAGCTTTTCAATTGCCCTGCACTCGCGCGTTGATCTCGATTGTTGGACATTGGCCTCTGAAGCAAGGTCAACTATACGTGAACCACTAGGACGTCTACGACGACCATGACTACGGTCGGGCTGCGGGTCACAGGGAAGAGGTATGCCCAGCGGTGTTATTCTTAGTCTCCCCGATGATTGAAGCTGCTTGACTGATCCAATCAAGGAAGAGGTTAACATGCCTATATAACGTCCAGCAGTACTCGGATATAATAGTTTCGTTCAGCAATCGCAAGGTCTTTGCACACAAGGCTATACTTGCTCGAGCATCATCATACTTTCACCACGCCTTTTCATCAGGGGTTGCTCCTGTATGATCGGAAGATCGGTTCGTTGCTTTGAGCTGTTCTATAATCACTTCTATCTCATGGCCTCTTTCACCCAAGTGGGAAGCACTGGCTTCTTCTCCCATGCCCGACGCCATCTCTCCGTCCAACCTTCCGAAGCCGGCATGGCAAAAACAGCCGTGACAAAGTATACATCCTTGCCAGGCTCGATATCCATACCCAAAGAAGGAAGCACAGTACGAGCTTCGATCAGGTTGGAGTTGGCATCGACTTCGAGCACCTTGCCAAGTCTTGGTGCTTGCAAGTCAACAATGCCGACAACACCAGCCTCTGACACTGTCAAGGCGGATGCTTGGCTGGCCGCAATACCTTCGTGTGGTGACGAAGAAGACAAGGCGCCCAGCGCACGTCCAGTATTCTTCGCCGTGCCTTTGATAGCAAAGGCACCCTCATAGCTCTGCAGAGCTCTACCCGATTGTACGTGGTGCACGCGCAGATGCCAGGAAGGTGCCTCGTCAGTAGGTGGAAGCAACCAAGTACGAACCTTGACGTCTGACCAAGGCCTCATCTCCGAGTACAGATATGGCGAGCCATCCTTGGTGTTCAACTCAGCATTCTCGACGTCACGACGCATCTTCCACATCTCGCCTCCATCATCACTCAGAGCCAAAGCGGATTCTGGAACATACTGTTCAATGGTGTAGCCGCCTGTTGGCACACTGTAGCCGAAGGAAGCACTGTATGCGAAATGTCCATACTTGGCTTGGGTAGACTTGAGCGGATAATGGCACTTCTGACCCGAGGAGAGCAAAAANGTGTGTCCAGCCTTATGCACCATGATGTGCAAGGGGTACCTCAGAGCTTTGATCTCTGGAAGCGAAGGGGTCGCCGATCTGAAAGGATGCGGCTCTTCCTTCGAGGTCCAGAACGGATGCTCTTTCGGCAGCGCCAGAGGAGCAAAAGCCAACATGCACCAATATGGTGAACCAGGAGAGTTGTAGTTCTCAGCCAGGTAGTAGTTCGGGTATGTGTAACCAATGTTGAGCATACCGTTCGGCTGGAAAACATCTGGATGTTTGGACCACCATCGCAAGTTTCGTAGAAGCATACCCTTGACCACGCCCCACGACAGTGGAGCAGGCAGCTCAACTTCTGCAAAAGCTACGGCGGCCCAGAAGCCTACGGTTGCAAAGCGATATGTCAAACTTCGTCCGAACGGGATAGCATGACCTTCGGGATCCATGTAATGCGCAAAGTCAAGAGCATACTTGCGGGCTCTGTCGCGGTACTCTTCTGCTCTCTTTGGGTCGGAGTCACCTGCAAGCTTGGCGTAAAGCAGCTGAAGGTATTGAATGGCAAATGAACCGGAGTAGTAGTCCATCTGAGTATAGCCTGCTGGGCCATCATTTGACCAGCCGTCGCCTCGATGGAAAGTGTCTAGATGGTCCATATCGGCCTCAAGACGAGATTCCGAGTATGGAGCTCCGTTGGCTTTCAAGCCAAGGTTAGCGAACACTCTGAACCATAACCTGTTTTCGTCAGTCTCGAATCCGGGCCCAAGCACATATGCTACTCACCAATTCGTGTTTGGCATCTCCTTGTCATTCATACTTCCCAGCCAGTTTGCAACGTTCTCTTTCTGTTTATCGGTCAAGGGGTCCCAGAAGTCCTTGTTGGCAATAGCAAGAGTGTATCCTATAGGGCATGATTCGACCATACGCTGATCCAGATCTTCCATGTTGCCCCAGAACTCGGGATTTTCAGGATCGGTACCAGCAATCATACCCTTGACCCAGAGTTCCGATTTGCTGTATGATCCTCCAGCGAGTAGTGGCGCAAGACCCCATAGCGGGCGAGCAAATCCTTCTATCTGAGCTGCCGTCTCATCAACTGCATCTCAGAGTCAGCTATCCTGTAGGGCAAGATAAGAGACAACATGGAAGGCGGAGAATCACTCCACAGCCTTGGAAAGCTGTACTGCCACATCAACTTGGTAATGCACATAGCAGCCCTTCCTACTGGCTTGGCTTTGTATCATGCTTATACCTTGGCAAGACCATCTTGCTCCCCTTCGTGATCACCGGAAGAATTGCATGGTACTCACATCTTGTCCCAGAACCTCCGACTCTGACCAATGCCCTCTCTGGACTGAATCCTGCTTCTAGAGGATCTAGTAGCGAAGCGCAGGCTGCTGCGAAGTCATCGCGCGTAACCAATGGGTTCTGCGATAGCGGATGCAGCGGGAAAGGGCGATTCTTGCTTGCGGCTTGAGCTGTAGACATCTTGGCAAGAGAGACGCTTGATCTGTAAAGAAAGGTCTTGTGAGTGTGTTGTTCTTATTGTGAACGTGGTGATTTCTCCGCCCCGCTCGCTTCTTGCCCACATACCCCGATACAAAGCTCTGATGAGGTAGTAACAGATGACGATCTAGTTTAGCCTAATCTACTCCGTTGCCGACGCTCCATCCGGTCGGCGACTTCCCTAAAGCATCACCCCACTCCGCTACACGGACCACAGCCGCCCCCACGGCGCGCTAACGTACCCCAGACTCTTGCTCTTCCTCCTTCTCTGTGATCTGTATGCGAAAACTCATGACCTTTATCTTGGAGTTGTGACTGCCCAGAATTGCCCAGACGGGCCAAGTATCATCGACAATGTCCACGAATCATTGGAGTGCGGCGATGCACACGCATTCAAGGATCTGCTAGCGACTGATATATCAGAGCATGTCCGACCATTGAGTATCTGGTTCCTGCTCAATCTATCCGCCGGCATCTTGACTCAGCTTCGAATTCATTGTCCACGACCTTTAACATGGGATTTCTCCAAAAGATTGTCAAGAACGATGCGATGAAGGAGGACNCCNCCGAGATCTATGGATGGAAAGTTTATTTTCTAGCTTTCTCAGTATGTATCCATGCCAACTCAGTATGGTGAACTGTGACTGAGAGTTTTAGGNCATGTTTCGGAGGCATGTTGTTTGGCGTTGACTCTGGAATTATCGGGGGCGTTCTCACCCTTCCCGCATTCAAGACGTAAGAATACAATCATATCAACGACATATGAATGCCGAAGCATTAACATGAAATTTAGCNNAAATACGGTCTTGATGGTCTTTCACCTATTCAGAGAGCCGATCTCCAGGCAAACATCGTATCTACCTTGCAATGTGGTTGTTTTGCAGGTGCTCTCGTTGCCTCATATGTTGCCGACCGACTGGGTAGACGCATGGCTCTTCTTATTGCCGCCGTGGTTGTCACAATTGGCTGCATCTTTCAAGCAGCTGCTAATGGTCACATCGCTATGATGTATGTCGGTCGTCTGATTGCTGGTTTTGGAGTTGGCAAAGCATCAATGGTCACTCCTCTATACATCTCGGAGAACGCACCTAGAGCCATACGTGGTGGTCTCACTGGTATCTATCAACTCTTCATCGCAACTGGTACCATGCTTGCGTTCTGGGTAAGTTTTTCACTCTCTCTACTCTTAAGCTCAAGGTGCTGATGATTTCTTTTGATCAACTATGGTGCAAACCGACACTTGACCGGAGCGACAACCTACATCGTACCCCTGACCATGCAAGCTCTTCCAGCCATCTTGCTCTTTGGCTCGATGTTTTACTGTAAGGAGTCACCAAGGTGGCTAGCACGCAAAGACCGCTGGGATGAAGCCTCCGCAGTCTTGTCCAACGTCAGAGCGCTTCCTTCTTCCCATCCATATGTCCAGATGGAACTTCGTGAGATGCAGGAGCAACTCGATCACGAGAGGGCTTTGATAGGTGGTGCCTCTTTCATGGATTTGATGAGAGAGATGTGGACTATTCCTGGAAACAGAAAGAGAGCTATCATCACCATTTGGCTTATGATAACTCAGCAGATGACCGGCACCAATGCAATCAACTACNTAGTAAGTATACATCATTTGCGTTCATGTTGAAAATTCAGCACACGACTTTCTGTAAAATGACCTGAGCTGATCTACAACCTCACATGCAGTTCTCCACAGATCTTCCAGAACTTGGGATTGTCTAGTACAGATGCTGGGTTGTTTGCGACTGGAATTTATGGTGTCGTGAGTATCATATCGGTTGGCACAAAAATGAGACTGATCAATGTATCCAGGNTCAAAATGACCATGTGCGCTTGTTTCCTGCTTTTCGCCGCCGATTCTCTTGGTCGTCGTAGATCTTTGCTGTGGACATCCATCGCTATGGGTTGTGCTATGCTCTACGTCGGTCTATACGTCCGAATCAAGCCTCCGGTCAAAGGCGCCGCTATCCCTGGAGCAGGATACATGGCACTGGTCTGTATCTACCTTTTCGCGGGCTTTTTCCAAGCTGGATGGGGTCCGGTCCCATGGATCTACATCTCAGAGATTCCCACTGCCAGGTTGCGTGGTGTTAATGTTGCTCTGGGTGCCGCTACTCAATGGGTACGAGATTGCGCTACTTGGTTGCATACAAAGCTGACAAGTCAACACAGCNTGTTCAACCTGGTTGTGGCCCGTGCAGTCCCGAACATGCTAGCCACAATGGGAAAAGCAGGCTACGGCACTTTCCTATTCTTCTCTGCAGCCTGTTTCCTTTCCTTCCTGTTTGCCTGGTTCTTGTAAGCTTCATGACGCCTCACCATCTGTTGAGATAATGTTTGCTGACATTTGCTTTTCCTGAACAGCATCCCTGAGACCAAAGGGTTGTCCCTCGAGAAAATGGATGATCTCTTCGGCGTCACCGAGCAGGCTAGGAAGATGGACGATGAGGAAGGCGCTCATGATATCACACCTCCCAAAGACTTTGAGGGTGAGAAGACACAGCACGTTGAAGTTTCGCAAGTGAACAGCAACACAAAGCATTGAGCGTATGTCTTGATGATTATAGTATTGGCAAGTGTGGAAATCGACAAGTAATAAGTACGATCATAGGCTTCGTTCCGGTATTTACCTAGCCTAGGTAGATATCGGTTTGATAAACATATTTCTTAAACGCACATCCACCGGAGTGTTCCACTGAAAACGACATTGCGTTCGTTGTGCTACCAATGACTTATGTCTGGGTCACAACTCAGGAGGCTGTAGCATTAGCCACAACCTTACACTCCGGGTAGCCAAGATTGCCCAACCAAGCTCCAGAGTTGAACTCAGCAACGATAGCAGAGATCTGCCATTTCTGCGCACCAACGCCGAAGCCGCCACCTTGTCCTTCAATTGCAGGTACAACGGTAGCAATACTGATACCTTGAACGGGAAGTGCCTGGGCGGATAGCCAGCGAATAACGACGGTGTTGCAAGTGTTCCAGAGATTCAAGATTTTGAAAGGCACAGGTGGTTGGGCTCCCTGACCGGCGAGGAACTCTGCCTTCGATGTGAAGGTCAAAGAACCGAGNCTTAGGGACGGGTGTCAGTATTCATAAGGGATGGACATATGTTGTTTCTTGCTTACGTCTTGAGCTTGCAGGCCTGGTTCGTGGATCAGTGTGTTGACACTGTCGGATTGGTCGGTGAAGTTGTTGGTGAACAGCTGGACGGCGAGAGCCTCGGTGTAGTTGGAGATTGTCAAGCCGAAGCTGGTAGCGATCAGGGACGCATCTGGGGCCGAGATGCAGGTGGCGTCTGGAACAGCAGATGGGGAAGCAGCTTCCGTGGGGTTGAGCTGCGATGACCCTGCAGCCTGCGACGGCCAGGCAGGTCGTGAAGGCCAAGCAGGCTGTGACGGCCAACCAGGATGTTCGAAAGGAGAGTGGGCTGCGGTCAGAGCCACCAACGCTGCAAGGACAAAGGTACGCATATTTGTGTCGATAGTAGTCTTGTATAGAGTGCTCGGATACGTTCAGATGAGGGCAGAACGAGGTGGGCTGCCACCTAATATACTTGTAATCAGAGATCCAACATTGGCCTGCATCATTAGAACCCACACGGATCATCGATTTGGCTTCTGCACCTGCCGTTCCATCCATGGGAGTTCAGACTTTTCCACGGGTGTTGTTGGGCTTTGTTACGCTTGCTGGCTAGGCAACATGCGAGTCGGAAGAGGGGGATATTGATCTATAAGTCAGCTGCATGGATGTATACCAAAGTCACAAAGCTTCAACCCATGTTCAAAGGTCACAAGAGCAGTGTGTTTCTGCGTTTTGTGAAGGCTCAAGTATAGAAATCTGGGAATAGTATCAAGCCTTGACAAGCATCGAAACAGTATCCCGAACAGAACCTTGAGGTGACGGAGATGCTCGAGTATTGAAACCCCACCCAGTTTCCCGTCTGCGAGTGTATATTGTATAAAGAGATTTATAGCTGGAAGATACAGCTCTGAAGTTGGGAAGTAGCCACATTCAGAAGAGGTAAGTGGCCCAATGTAACACTTCAGACCTTGTATCAAGCTGCAGTTATACACGCTGACTATTGGGAAAAGACTGGAGGTGGGTGTTCGAAGAGCAGGGGCTTCACTGCCAGTATTCTCGCGAAGTCCGCCCGTTGACCAACCATGACGGTTGCCGAACAAACCTCCGAAAAATGCAACGACGATCTTCGGGAAAGATACTTGTACTTGACCAACCTCCTCTCTAATCATCCCTCATGATTGGATTGATGATAACGAGCGAGGTGAAATTACATGTCGAGTGTGTTCATTGTCGTACAATGACATTTGCTCAGCGTAGTCAAGCAGCCGACATTAAAATGTCCTCGATGTAGTCTGAGGTGTCGGGATTCAATACCATGGATTTTTGTGGCCGGAGTCTCGGTCGGAGCAGATAAATGGCGTGTTCTTCAAGTGCAGATATGCGGGATAACTTTCCGAGATCTGCGGGCAGGAGCAATCAATGCGCCTTGTATCGTGCTGGCGACGCAGCAACGATGCGATACATATAACCCACAAGTCAAGACGCTCGCAGCGTTCCTTCCCTCGATCTATCATCAAAATGTCCCTCTCAACCGAAACTCCTCTTGAGATCTTGATCCTGGGCGGAGGCGTGGCAGGTCGGTTTTCATCCAGTCTCAGCAGCCTCACCATGCTTATACATGATATCANNGGCCTCACGGCTGCCATGGCCCTAGCCAAGTTCTCGCCTGAATCAGCACCACCAAAGATCAGAGTCTTCGAGATTCGACCAAAGCCTGGTGTCATCGGTGGAGCAGTCAACCTCACGCCCAATGCGCTCAGATTACTCGACCGCCTGGATGTGCTGCCGATCATGCAACAAAACGAATATGGCTTGGAGATCGACTGCATCGAGGTATTCAGTGTATACCAGCCGGTCCAGTTGGGAGAGTCAAGCTTCAGAGGACCTGAGGGCAAGGGTCTTGGAGATCCACCATACAAAGTGCGTGTAGTGTTCGGGTGCAATTTGACTGTAAGCTAATACAACGAGCAGGCTTTACGAGTTACCCGCGCAGACGTCATGAAAGCCCTCGTCGAGGCCGTCGAAAAATGTCCGAACGTCGAATTCACCTGCGGAAAGAAGACCACAAAGATTGAGGAGGACGAAGAGAAAGGCATCACATTGACCTTCGAGGACGGAACAACCGCTCATGGAGACATGCTGGTGGGTTGTGATGGCATCCACAGTGTCACACGCTTAAAGCATGTCGAGCCCGAGCGTAAGGAGATATACTCGGGCATTGCAAACGCATTCGGATTTGCACCCCTCAACAAGGACAATCCCAAGATTCAGGATCCCAGCCAACTGCACTTCAACAAGACAGCCATCAACTTTGCACGTCGCGGAATGATGCTTTCGAGTTTCTACGAGCCAACAAAGACTTCGGTCTATGTGGGCGGTGTGCTGCAAGTGCCAGAGATTGAATCGAGAGACGGCTGGAAGGTTCGCGGCGCCGACCAAGAGCTCACAAAACAAGACATGCGAGAGAGATTCGCTACTGATGATGTCGTGTTTGATGATCTCAAAGCTCTGATTGACACTGCCGAAGACTGGTTCATGTGGCCCATCTTCACCCTACCACCCGAAGGCCGATGGACAACACAGCGAACCATGCTTTTGGGCGATGCAGCTCACGCAATGCCACCACAGGGCGAGGCTACTGGTATCGTACTTGAAGACACTGTGCTCTTCGCAAGATGTGTAGCAAGACAACAAGAACTCGGTACTGGAAACTTTAGTGATGCATTTGCAGCCTACGAAAGACTACGCAGAGACCGCATCAATGCTGCGTTCAAAGAGTCTGGAGCGGTCGTAAAGACTGTTCAGGATGCTGGTTGGTTAGGCCACAAGATCAAATGCTTTGTTGTGCCGTGGTTTTTGTGGTTTACGAGTGGCAAGCGAGAGAGGCATTTCACTGAAGACGTGACCACCTCTAATCTTGGGTTTTGAGCGGTAGACTTCCCTTCGAATATGACTTATGACCATATCAATAACTCAATATGCACACTGTGTTCACCGATGCGTAATGTATAGGATGGGTGGTATTCTATATGAGTGGGAGGAATGGCATGACATGGCCGAAGCCTTCGCGTTGCCAATGAGAATGAGAGGGTGAGCTTGCGTTGACAACTTCATGGCTTGTGCGGCTTCCGAGATCGAGTACACTCCGCAATGAAGATGCACAAATGCACAAACATACATAAATAACAGCACAAGTCTTTCGAGGGCGTGATAGAAGGGAGATATTAGTCTATGGTATCAACTTAAAATATAGAAAGGTGCTTTTATGTAAGATCTGGGTCTTCATCAAATCCTTACAGAGCCTTGACGCTGTTAAGAACAGGGTACTTGGACTGTAGAGGGTCGTAAACAGACTGGCAGCGGCCATTGTAGTCAGCAGTGCTGCCAATCTCAACGGTGAGCTCGTCGCCGGGAACACCGAGCTTAGCGACAGTGCCGCACTTGGGCTTGACCTTCTCCCAGCCGGGTCCGGCAGCGGGGTTCTTGATCCACTTGACGAACCAGTCGTTCATGGAGTCGGCGAGGGCTTGCTGGGCAGCGGTGACATTGGTGAGAGCACTGAACGTTTCGGCGCCACCGAAGAAAAACGGAATTTCAGTGCCGTGGGTGGGGGCACCAACGATACAGCCGACAACGTTGCAGTATTCACCGAAGAAGCGGTAGGCCCAGGTGTTCTGCTTTGCGCTGCGAAGGTCAAGCAGGTAGTCGACAGGGCAGAAGAAGCGAGCATCACCGTACTGTGCACCGCTCATGGCAGAAACGGAAGCGTACTCGGAAACGTTGTAAGCATCAATGAGTTTCTGATCGGGGATGTGTGCAACATCAGCGTCAAAGGTGTTGATCCATGAGCTGAAATCGGTGTTCTCGCCACCGTAAACCAGGCCGAAAATGACACCCTCACCGTCGGAGTTACCGGTCAGAAGAGGAACGTGGGAGGCGTACTTGCCAGCAGCGAAGCGGCCAGCGTAGTCAGAGAAGCGAGTGACCTCGTCAATGATGGGCGAAAACCAGGTGTTGTAGGTGCTGTTGAAGTTGGCAGTCTCAATGTCATAAATGCTCTTGGTGCGAAGGCAGTCGAGCTGACCAGCACCCTTACCGCAACCAACCTCAGCAGCGACAATGTCAAGACCCTGGTTAAGGGGAGTGACAGCAGGACCAGACTCAGCGTTAGCACTCATCTCGACAGCACCGACGAGCCATGACTGGGGGTTGTTCCAGAGGTAGTGGTCAACCTGAACGGAGCCAGAAGAGTGTCCACCAAACACGACATGGTTGGGGTTACCACCAAAGGCAGCAATGTTGTCGTGGACCCATTGCAGAGCTTGTTGGACATCGAGAATACCAAAGTTCTGCGAACCGTCCTTGCCCAACTCAGCCGAGTTGGGGTAAGCGAAGATGCTCTCTCTGGTGTTGAAGCTGACAAATATGACGTCCTTGCGGGCAAAGTTGTTACCCTGGAACTGGACATTGCTGCTGGAGCCAGTGACCATAGCACCTCCGTACATGTACACAAAGACCTGTTCAAGGTTAGAAGCTTTGATACAGCTAACGAGGTTCTCCTCTTATGCGAAAGAATGTTACAGTGTAACTGTAGAAATGCACAACTGCATCCCAGATAGCCTAAGATGGCGCTTTTTCCGTGGACAATAGTTCCTTGTTGAAAGTATTGTGCATTTATATAGCTACACTGTGACCGTTTCTGACACATGAGAATTGGATGAAGGACTTACGGGAAGGTTCTTGCCATTGGCATTGGCAGGAGCCCAGACATTGAGGTTCAAGCAGTCCTCATCTTGACGGCTGTAAGGAGTGGTGCTAATTGCCTGAGGGCAGGTTGGTCCGTAGGCAGTAGCGTTGACTACCTGTCCGGGCATAAGCTTCTTCTTGGGGATAGGTGCCTTCCATCTATAATGCTTGAGTCAGTCATGTATTTCAGGGTGAGGTATAATATGCTACAAGCGAGCCGTTACGGCCGTTGTGCCATGCTGTTGACATACCTGTTCTGTCCACCGGTCGTTTCGGCAAAGGGAATGCCCAAGAAGACCGAGTTTCCGCTGGCATCTGCGAAACCGTTGACGGTGCCTCCTTGAAGCTTGACAGCATGAGCACCTGCAGAAGATCTCGCGGGAGAGGCTGGTCCTGCGGGCGGCGCTGGTGGCGGAGGGGGTCCGCGAGTGTGAGGACCAGAAGGTGGACCAGGAGGAGCTGGAGGACCCGGGGGAGCTGCGTCCCTGGACACGGCAAGAGCTGTCACGCATGGAACAGCCAGGGCTGCATTCAATACATAGCTGAGTCTCATCCTGGTTCGACAACGATAGAGTTAAAGGAAAGGTAAGAGAGTTCGAGACGAGACGATAAGGATGAGAGGGTACCTGTACAAAGGAGCAAGATCTGCTTTTATTCTCTAACGCACTCACACGAGATAAACCCATCTCCCTGCAGATCATTCTTGCTGAATGAAACCACGTGCAGTTTGAGACGAGCCAAAGGTCAGGCAAGGGTCCATGCTGTAGCAGTCTCATCCACTTCTTCCCGAAGGGCAGTGCACAGGGTAACATTCGGCAGTCTTACCCCGAGGTAATCTGTTCCTCTTTTAAATGCGTTATGTTCTCACGTCCTGCTTCATTGTTGAGCCACAGAGCGCTCTACCTTGTGACCAGTCGTATTCACATAGAGCTGTCAAGAGAACGTCCTTCTCTGAGTCTGGGTTGGCCTCCAAGAGTATTTTTGACCTGAAAATCACTGTGTGGAGCAGACAAAAGGAGACTTCTGCCCCGCCGGCAATTCGCTTGGGCGTTCACGGAACCATATCGCTGCGCATTTCTTGAGCTTTCGCAAAAATGTCGTCAAATTCGAGTCGTGGCCCTCGGATTTGCGCCACTCTCCCGCTCGACGTGCTTTACCGTTGGAGCTAATACGCGATACAGCTTTCGGGACAGGACGGACGACTTTTAGTCTTCGCCTGGGTAGACAAGTCAGATTATCGAAACACAAGGCCGTCTATCGGAGCGGGATGACCGACTTTCGCGTACCCGTGCTAAAGTAGCATAAAGACCCGCTGTCGAAGAGTCATGTTTGTACCAAAGTAGAATGTCTTATAGCTCCCTGGAGTGCCATTGTTGCACCAAACGGCATTGCTCCATGTGGCGTTGTGATAGCTCGTCTCACACAAGCACAGCGAACGTTGCTTCCAAGTTGGAAAAACGAACGCCTCCCGCTTATTTGAAACTTCGTATCTCACACTCAATATTCAAGCATAAACTCTAGCTGTAGGATTCATGGTTTGTAGACGTCCATTGGCCGATAAGACAGTCAGTAACACAAAGTGGCTGGGAACAGAAGAGACTCCAGACTTTCTATTCTTGCCCGTGGAGGCGGCGATAAACCTAAAGAAAAAAGAATGTCATATCATTCGATCGGCTCAGAGAGCCTCGTCTGTGCTGTCCCCATCCGATCCCGCGCTTGCAGAGGAACCACTTTACGGAAATTCGCAACGAATTTGCAAGGATTTGTGGATGGTCAAGTTTGTAGTGCTTCCCCCAAAATCGCGAGTCGTCCAAGGTGCACGCATGAACTAGTCTAATTGAGGCCCCATCTTGCGTTTTCATACTCGATAGCTTGTTCGCATGTCTTTGGAGCGATCTACACTGCCAGAAACGGGGTTGAATAATCATGCCTTGGCTCAAATCGGTTCGCCGCTCGAGACGCGCTTCTGGAAAAAACGTGGAGACGCTCCTTTCCTTTTACGCCCGTATAGCTTGTTGATCCATCGTGTTCAGCCATGGCGAAATAGGTGTTTACTAGTATGCAGATCGTTAGTTTTTGCTGCAAGCCATCATGCAACCGTCATGCGAGAGAAAGACATAAGAAGTGCTGTTCCAGTCTGCTGGAAATCGTCGCTTGCTGTCCATTTTCCTGCTCTATCTGTGGTGGATCTGTTTTCTTGGACTTGCAGATCATTCATGTAAAAATTGATTGTTTTCAATCTCAATCGCAGCCATGCCAGACTCGTCGGTAGGCCAAGTCGTACGTGCTACCACAGAACCCAGATCTGCGCTGTCACAATTGCTCATCATTATTCTGACAGATCTCGTGGTACATCTGCACGATTATACCATGCTTTTTCTTGTTCCTGCGTTTGTTCAGTCGATGGCAACGCTTTGGTCGACTTGCCCTTGATGACTACTTTCTCATCCTTGCAGCCTCGTGCCTTATCGGTGACTTGGGTATCCAGCAGCACATGTGGAATCTCGGCTTGGGAGACATTTCGAAAGCGACGCCAAAGCAGTTTATTGGCATCATGCAGATGATTGTTCCTGGATCAATTCTCTACGTCTCCTCTTTGTGGTCCATCAAGTTTGCTCTGGTTCTCTTCTACAAAAAGCTCGCCGCACCAGGGTCCAAGATGCAAGTCGCCTACAATGTTGCCCTGGCTGGTCTAGTCGTCACATATACAACAATCTTCTTCGACATCCTGTTCCAATGCTACCCTTACGACAAGCGATGGTCCCACGACCCCACCTATCAGTGCAGTCCAAAGGCTTCGAGAATCAATTACTGGATTACAATCTTGTTCAACATCTTCTCCGATCTTATCATCATTTGTCTGCCTATCACTATGGTCATGAAGCTGCAGATGAAGCTTAAGCAGAGATTGGCTGTCGCATTTGTCTTTGCGCTGGGTGGCTTCGTTTTGATTGCGAGCAGTAAGTTTCCTCCATCTCCAGCAACCCCAAATATGCATATACTGACCATCACAAAGNTCGTCCGAGCCATCTACTCATGGCAAAACAAGACAATGCTAACCTGCACCGTCTCCATGGTGGAAAACGGCGTCGCCATCATCGGCGCCTGTCTCCCAGCTCTGCGCGCCATTTTCCTGGGCTCGCACTCCACAAACGGCAACAGCAGTTACGCAAAACACTACGAACTCTCCTCCAACCAACGACGAAACCCTCAAGGCCGAAACACTACAAATTTTACTGTCTCAACGACTAGAGGAGGCAGAAGCCACTCTGTGGACTCGGATGAGGAACTCGTGAGGAATATGCAAGCACATGGCCAAGCACGGCCATATGTTTCTGCGCAATCGAGCGTGTCGGATGACAGGGACAACAAGGTTGATGGCATTATGGTCGCCACAACCGTTGATGTCGACCACAAGGACCAGGAGAGTGTAAACTCATTGCACAGTCCTTTCGGAGTCCACGATGTCTAAGCATTTCCTTTGTCCAACGAGATACCCGAATTCTATTGTACGCTCCATCGCAATGAACTAATCACGAATCCGATAAGATTACTGGTACTTGGTTTAAATGATCAAGTAGACCATGACATCCACTGCTCCGTCTCGAAGCTTTGGTCGGTGAAGAATAGAAAGTCTTCCGGAACCTCCATTGAGTAAGACACGGTATTCAGAAATTCAGGGCCTAGATAACTGCCCCCTACAATATCGGTGGAATAGCCGCCCGGTGGATCCGGATGGATCTCGTGTTGCAGGTTACCAGGAGATTGCATTGACTGGTGTCGCTGATTGCTCCTACCAGACTTGCGAGATACGTGGATCCTCCCAATCAGAGGAAGTAGCAGACTAGCCTTTTGTGGCTCGGCCGAGTCTGGCTGTTCAAGCAGAGAACGCAAACTCTTGATGGCGTCCACTCCATGCGAAGCAGACTGACTACCAGTACGGCTCGAAGCTTGTTGCATGGCTTGTACAGCCTCATCCACCAGAGAGTGGGTCTGCTGAGCGTTCGTGATATGCCGAGAAGCCACAGTGGAGGGAGCCGCTGCGGATTTATTTGCGGTTAGCAACAGGAACACGATGGCCGAAAACGCCTGCAAGTCGACGATATAATTCGCGAAGAAACCTGCCGGCAAAAGTGGTCGCAGTGAAACATAACGCTTGAGATGCACTTGGCAAGCACTCAAGCAAGAAATGAAGTTGTAAAGAAATCTCTGATCATTATCGTATGCAAGTGCCAGTCGGAGATGAGTACGAATGATCAAGTACGAGTGCCAATATTGGAAGAGTGACCCTGGAGATAGCGATGAAGGTGACTCCTTCCACCACGATCTTGCAGGAGTGTTGGCCACGACTTGCAGTTCTTGGTCCGTGGACATGACAATACTGAGCAGATCCGACGCGGATTCGTCCTGAATGTACACTTCGTCAAGCTCAAGAACCTTGCTGGCGATGTTGGCAAGTCTGTGGAGAAAAGCTTGTAAAACAACTTCGCCTTGAGTGTCGATGATTGGTCGCACTGGTAGCGGAAAGCTGATGGTGGCTACAGGCAAAGACCACATCATTGAAATCACTCGGTCCATTGCACAGATGGACTCCCAAACCTGTGCCTTCTCTTTCTGCTCGGCGCGTGCACTGTCGAAGTATGATTCCAACTCGATATGGTCCGGTCGAGATTGCGGCTCTGCATCGCGTTGGAGAGTTGTTGCTGCTCTCGGCAGGCCGATAAGTTCGGCAACGGCAATGACTCGTCGAAGAGTAAGCCACGTTTTTCTCACCCTAGCTCGGCCGAGCTGNGCTGTTTCGAAAGACACGATTCAATATTCGTCATTGGAGTGGAGGGCCGAGACCAGAAAAAGAATTGAAAGCACTTACAGCCGTATGAACAGGAGGGCACTCCGGATTCCTTCAAGATCTGCAATCAGATCATCGTTCGAGACCACAATCTTCTCCACGAGGTTGGAAACGTCTTTGATGAAAGTAGTTGAGTCAGGTATGCTTCGCAACATACTCGTCGCATCATGGGCTTGTTGCACAGTCAACGTCACAGCCAGTAGAAGAGAGGTAATTGGCACTGGATGCGTCTCGAATCGTTTGACTCTGTCGTAGTTATCAAGCATCATAGGACCAGCACCCATGGCCAAATTCAGAGAGAAGAGAACCTTGTACCATGACAGCCAGGACTCGGCGTTTGCTGCGATGGTAACCATGTCTTCACGTGAAGGCAACATTTTCAGTAGAGCGGCTGACTCCTTGGACATGGTGGAGGTCGACAAGCGATTAGATGGCGTGGTAGTTTCATGTCCATTCGAGTCCAGCAGGTCGTTATCGAAGAGACTAAGAAGGTGTGTCGGTGGGTTAGCTGGTGAGGAGGGACTGGAGGTACCAGGACTTTGTTCATGCTCGAGTCGACTAATGGTAGGTCTGTTGTCGGAATGTGACACTTGGCCTGGTGCTACAACCGGAGGGTTCTGCCCGATAGCACTCCATAGGTCGCTTACTGACTTCTCCAAGGCGTCGATGCGAGCTCGAGAAGTCAGCTTGGCCGTGTCGGAGGTCTGTATGACCTCGACCTGTAATTCACATGCCCTTTTCCTGGTGACACAGCTTTGACAGACTTGAGCATTATCGGACGGCCAGATGCACCGTATCTTTCGATGTCGGCATTCTTGACAACTCCTGGTTCCCTTTCGGATGCGTTTTGCAGGTGGTTCCTCCGACATGATGAACGTCGCAATAACAGACGAGAACGCGTCCGAGCAAGAGCTCAGCAATGGCAGCTTGTTGAGACGGCGGACAAATCAGAGTCCGCCAGGATTGAGTGGCTTGAGGACCCCGCACAACTTTCTGTCCGCCTCCGTGTGGGACTCTTGCTCCTTCTACCATCCCTCATACACTTTGCTGTAGCGATACACAATTATGTTGCCCTGTGGAGGGTCACTCATGGACATCGAGTCTCTCATGCGCACTCAACGAAGAGCCTTAATGCGAATGATATGTAAGATCTCGCAGCTCTGATGTCTCCTTTCAATCGAAGCTACGAGCGTAAGGAACCGTTGTCTTGGGCTTCGTCCGAAACGGATCCGAATTCGTCTCCTTTCGCAACAAAGTAAACAAAATCCGTCCATGTTCACTGTAGTATATAGCTTTGGCACTGGAAGCACGAGATGGCCGAAAAATCACTTTGAGTTCTACAGACTATCAAACAAACACCTCACTGGTCCCGACTTGGACGCCTCTCGGCAAGCACATCGACAGTCCAACCAACTACCATCCACAACTAAACGATTATCTACCATGTCTTCGTCCTACCGAACTCAAGCTGTGCAACATGGTGTATGCACTCAACTGCACCTGATATCCAATAGCGCGCGCTAACAAACTTGTAGCCCCTTACGCACCCACCACAGCCGCCGTCGGAGGTCGACCAACCATCGAAACAGACATCCCAGCAATCTCTGTCTTCCTGCTACTCTACATCGGCGGCGCAGTCTGCAACATGACAATCTTCCAGATGAACAGACGTAAGGGCCACAAATTCCTGGCCTCGTGGGCAATGTTTGGTTTCTGCATGGCTCGCATAACGAGCTGTATCTTGCGAATCGCATGGACAACAAGGATCCACAACGCCCGTCTCGCCATCGCCGCATCAATTTTCCTCAATCTCGGCGTCATGGTCGTCTATGCCGTCGTCCTTGTCCTGGCGAATCGTATCCTCAGAGCAACTCAACCACGACTAGGCTGGAACCCTACACTGAGAAAGGCAATCAAGATCTCATACATCGGCATCGTTGTTGTCGTTGTTCTACTGCTCAGCTTCATTATCGCATCAGTCGAGACTCTAGACCAGAACGTCAGAAGAGCATCCNTCTGGATTCAACGAGCATCAAATCTCTACCTTCTGCTAATCAACTGCCTCGCGCCAATCTTTCTCATCCTCTCCTGTCTCCTCCCAACAGACCCAGAAAGCGAGGATTTTGGCTCCGGAAGCATGCGCTCGAAGAAAGTTGTCCTTGGAGTAGCCAGCTTTTTCTGTCTTTTCATCTCCGGTTTCCGCTGTGGTACCATCTGGGCTGCACCCAGACCAGCCTCGGATCCTGCATGGTATGACCACAGGGCTCTGTTCTACATCGTTCTGCTGGGCTTCGAGGTTGTGGTGATTTACCTCTTCATCTTTACCAGATTTGATCAGATGTTTTGGGTTCCCAATGGCAGTCAAGGTGCTGGAGACTACTCTAAGGCACATGGAAATGTTGATGAGAACGTTGCTGAGAAGGAGGCGGCGTTCGATTCGGATGTGCAGTCTGTTTAATTATGCTTGATCAGAATGACGAGATAGACGATATAATAATGGTAATCATGGTTTTCTGATACTCGGTTGGAATTCTGAAACTCCTATTTGCACAAATGTTATAGTCGTGTTTCGACGTATTTGTCACTTCAATTTTCATTGCCCCTGCGTACTTCCCTTCTTCGCTCGCCCACATCAATTCTGACGTCCTTTGAAGACTTCTGGCAATACGAGTAGTCTTTGACTGCCGAGCGGCGAAGAGCTGCGTGGTTGAACCAGACCAACGTGAGAATTGCGTTGAGTCGGAACGAAATCAAGTTTCGGACTCTATGAACTAGAGCTGTGTTGCCGATAGTATGGCTGATGATGCTGAAGTTGAAGATGATGATGGAATGAGAGCGCTGTTCGCTCAATTTTTCTGGCGTGATCGACAGTCGCCAAGACCCCCTTCTGCAGCACCTCGAGTCGGAGTCCACTCCATGACACCTGTCCCATTATCATCATGTTGCAAAGTGACAATGGGATCGTTCGACTTGATTCATAAATTTTGGAAGACGCTGCGAACAGCCATCAAAACACTGCTCGACCTCGATCGCACGTTTGAAGCTCTTGTCGCACGCGTCTATCAAGGCTCATCCTTGCCATGTCGTGACCCCACCCATTCATACTGGCTCGAGGACCCTCCCTTCCCAGAACTTGTCGATATACAATCAGAAAAACTTGCCGACCAAAGCGATGTGGTTGTTATCGGGAGTGACATAACTGCTGTCGCCGTAGCACGCGGCTTACTTCAAGAAACCGAGCGAAGGAACCAAAAGATCAAAATCACCGTCCTTGAAGCCAGAGACATTTGCAGCGGTGCCACCGGACGCAATAGCGGTCACATCAAAGCTTCACCTCACGAAACCTTTGAAAGGCTAGAAGCAAAGTTTGGAGCAGAAAGAGCGGTAGCACTTACCAGATTTCAATTAAACCATGTGGACTATTTGACAGACATTTGCAAGAGCAAAGGCTATGCTCAAGCGGAGTGTCGCAGAGTCGAGATTGTTGATCTTTTCTTCGACCAAAAGACATTTGATAAAGCCTGTCATACAACAAGAAAGCTGGAACCAGTTCTTCCAGAATGGCAGGCTAGAATTTATTAGGCAACTGAGGCTCAAGAGAGATTCTTAGTCAGCGACCAAGTTATTGGTGCACTTTCATACCAGGCAGGAGCTTTGTGGCCGTATCGTTTTGTCACCGCTATCTGGAACGAGCTCACACATAGATACCCTGACCAGATCAGAATCGAAACCAATACACCTGTCCTTTCAGTAGATAAGCAAGGTACTTCCGGCTACACTTACAATGCCTACACGGACCGAGGCGTCATCAGTTGTAAACACGTCATCCACGCTACCAATGCTTGGATGGGCAATTTACTGCCGAGCCTTAACAAANAAGCGACAGGCATGAGGGCAANNCACATGTCTGCACAAAATTCCGATCAGCACAGCTACGAAGGGTTCAGTGGTGATCGCTCATGGTGGATGATATATGGTCCAGATGATTTTGACTACATGACCCAAAGGCCGTCTTCAGATGGCACAGGTGACATTATGCTCGGCGGAGGAACTTTTCGCTCCAAGGATAATGGTCTTGATCAAATTGGTATATGGGATGACAGCCGCACCGATTCATTCACACCTGCACACCTGGCTGGCATCCTGCCCGTTGTGTTTTCCCGGGAGAAGCAACAAAGAGAGCCTGAAAGACAGGCGAAATTCTTACAGCAACACTGGTCTGGTATCATCTCGCTGACTGGAGATTCACTTCCCTTTGTTGGAAAGCTGGACGCTCGCCTCACTGGAAGACGCTCTCAAAAAGACTCGGATGACTCGGCTGAGTGAATTTCTGCCGGCTACAATGGTGAAGGCATGGTGTTTGCCTGGCTCTGTGGCACTGCACTCGGCATCATGATCATGGGCTCCGAACAAGAAAATATCCCTGCATCGCCTGGCTTCCCCGGAGGAATGCTGCACGAGTGGTTTCCCGGAGAGTTGCTGCTCGACAATAAACGCTACAATCGCATTGATGTGCTCGATCTTGCTGATCAGCTGTGAACAAAATCAATCTCCAAGATCTTGATGGTGTTGGCTCAGAAAGTCTCTTGCCACGGAAAATGCCGGAGAATGAGCTGCGATATGCTCACCAATGGAGGGCAATACCATGGCGGCATAGAGAACGCGAGTGCGAGTCCGCCATCTCTTCATCCACAAGAGCACCATCTCCAGTCGTCACAATCCCCTCTTCCTCCTCGTCTCCATGACCACATCCAAGTAACCCTCCATCACACTGACACCAATCCTCGTAGCTCAATCGACGAAGGACCCCCAGACAGATAGCGCATCAAACCCATGTGCGAGACCAATTAAGCAACAACATAACCGCGCTTGATAGCCCACTGAATGCTCATCAGAAACGCAAGACCAGAAAAGTTGCTGCGAGCCAGAGACTTGTCGGAACGTCCATCACTAGTGTTTCCGAGGACAAGGTATGCGAGATTGTGGATGAGGAGAATCCAAGGTAGAATTGCGATGCTGGTTCTAGTGATCCATTGAGATGTCAAGACTGCCATTTTGGATAGACTGGGAGAAGAGGCGATGGAGTGTGTATAGGTGTTGAAGTGCAGGATGTTTTGATTTTGTTTGGGACACGAGGCTCTTATATACGTCTCAGCGGAAAGGATGCACCAAAGATTTGGTACCATCTAATCAGTGCCTCGTTAAGGAAGGGCCGACTTGTTATTGTGGGGCGGTTGCCTGATTTTCATATTACAGCGGTTCAAGGTATGGATACCACCAAGGATATCAATCAAAGGTGCCACATTCGCTGACGCAAACACAGATGTTCACCGTTAGATGACCATTGAGTCTACAATTATCTCTGTACAGTCAACTACTTCTACGCAAAATTCTGCAGCACTGCCCAGCTTCAAGGACGACTCTTGATATTACCATGACATCTCTGCTTTGAGATCCAGATCAACTTACAGAAGCAAAAGCCGATGTTTCGAAGAACGATATGTATTGAAATCAAAGTAAGTAAACATGTCCATCCTTTTTTTCTTCTTGTCTTTCCATACATTTCTTTTCTATCTGCAGCATGGAACAAACCATTATACATTACATTCGCGAAACAGATAATCCGAACGTCCGAACGCCAAACTACCCAACAGTTCCGAGAATATAGTGCCAACTCACAAGGCTCGAGGCTTGTAAGAGAGCTGTTGTTGAAAGAGCTCTGACAATTCTCAATCCCTCAGTCTTGCCCAACATCGCTGTCATCAGAGTGCTCCTCAGCTTGTGATTTTGATAGTGACCGGCACAGAAGAAAGGATGGATGTATGGATCATATTGCTGGAGCGAGCTCAAGCGTGAAATGGAACGACGTTGGTGGTCTTGTTCTCCTGGATTGCAGGCAGTCCGGAATCATCGCCTTCGTCTTCATCATCGCCCTCTTCCTCTCCATCTGTCCAGTCCGATTGGTCTCCCTCGTCTTCGCTATCTCCAGGATCGGCCACATCATCCGACATTTCTTCCAAATCGAGTGCCGTCTCGTTGTACCCCTGGATATCGCCTTCCGCAGATCCCAGAGCGAAACTGTGCTTGCCGCCACACTTGTTCGTTTTGTAGCCATTGTTGTGCGGTCTCTCACAACCCACGAACTTATGTCCACGGCCTTTGCATTTCTTAAATGGATGATGGATCTTCTTGTACTGGCCCAACCCGAACTTGCCCGTCCAGTCGAGATCCTTGTTGCCGCGACAGTGGTTCCCATGGTGCTTTCGATTACCGGTACAATAGCTCCACCAGTCCCCGGACTTGTAGAAACCGGTAGCGTTGAGAAACTGGAACATGGTCTTGGGATCGTTGTCGGTCCATTTCTCACTTCCAGAATTTCTTGCTTCTAGAGTTGGGTTATGGTTGCGTTGTTTCTCCGACCATGGAAGCGCTGCAGCCATACAAGGATAATTTCGATTGTCTCTGGAATTGATGGAAGATATTGCCTGGCCTCCGGGAGAGTACAGAATCGGGATATTGAACAAACCATGGGCTTTACCGCCAGCCTCGGCTGTCGTTGGGCCAAANAAGCCATCGACTAAGTCTTGATCCGGCTCGGGTGCTCCAGAACTGACACTATAGCCATTGTGTTTAGAATACACATAAGAGGCTCGCACGACATCCTTCAACGTGAAGCCAGTATATGCCTTGAGACCTCCGTGGCCAATCGGACCTCGGATAAGAGCCTTGTGGTTCGTTCCTTCTCGAATGACCGACTTTGAGAAGACGTAAAACACATATTCAGGTGCTTCTTCTAGGCAGACGCGTAAAGTTTCGAACCCTCGTGAGTCGCTCTCACAGTTTCTAGTGTTGGCCATGACAATGTAGGTCCTTTCGATGTTCCAAATAGTAGAGATGTAGTTTGCCGCCCATCTTTTTCGAAGAGCCTTGTTGGTTTCAGGTGTGTACACACTACTCCTATTCCAGTGACCCTTTTCAATGAGGCGCACAAGTCTTGAGTCTGTGCTGGTCTTGTCGCCTTGGCCAGAGAGTAGGTCTACCATAAACTTGTCGAAAGTGTCTACGATCCGATCCTGACTTTCTTTCTGTGCCGCAGTAATCATATTAGTGGTTTTGGAGACATAATTTTTGGCCTCGATCATATCCGTTCCAAAATTCAGAGCGCCTGAAGCTGTGGTGCCAAACAAGCCTGCGGAAGCGGCCATGAGGCGAATCACGTTGATATCCAGAGCAAGTACGGCGGTTATCTCGCCTACTGCCATAACAGCACCTAGAAACACCCCAACAGAAGAAAGAAGCATAGCCAACGTGGTGTTAATATGGCTTGCGATCTTCCAGTTCCGATCGTGCCTCGCTTTGTGCTTCTCGATATTGCTACCATCGGAGAATTTCGTCATAATATTACCAAGGTCGCTTCGTACAGTGGACCATGCTTTTTCGTTGGCACTCTTGACTTCGTACGCCACGTTGTGGAAGGTAGCAATAGCTTCCAGGGTCCAGTAAGCGGCCCATTGGTCCTCAATATCGTGCTGGTCGTCGATGAAGCGGCATGTGACCACTGTACACGTCCCGGATAGCTTGCAGTTGATGATTGAGTCTGCCGCGTCTGGTGCCCATCTTCGATGGAGCCAAGTCCAGAAATGACCTCCGGAGTCAAGAGACTTCCATTCGTCGAATTGGGCCTGGGCCCACGGACCGACTATCGAGCTAGCTTGTTCGGGTGTCAACTCGTGACCCTCATCTTGTATCTTCATGCATAGAGGGCTTCTCTCAACATCTTGCTCGGTCAACACTGTATGAGTCCATTGAAGTCCAAGGAGGAAGAACTGGAAGATGATGNNGTGTGAAGACGCATGTATTCGAGCGGATGACGAACGTGCCGTGGTCGATGAGGGCGTATGAGTCGTGTGTAAGAAGAAGTCGAGACAGAAGCAAGAGGGCGAGAGATGATTGCCTGACTTCGTCAGCTTGTAAGAGTTCCCATATGAATATGGTTAGAGACGTAAGAGGACAGGCGAGATGGACCATCCAACAATCTCACCTATCCACTGCTGCTGATTCGTTGATAGCTCATGATCTGCAAAGAGGTACAAGACAGGATCAGTAGCTATAGTAAGCTTTTTAGAACACAAAACAAAGTACCCGCTCCGTTGTACCAACGATTCTTCACGTCTTGTTCGCGGTCATGTTCGATGTGAGTACCAACAAAGCTGTCCGGCGATGATATTCGTATACTGATCTGGCTACAGAGCCACACTAAACGATCCGGTGCCGAAAACGGATGAAACTCGATAGGTTTGACTCTGGAGAGAAGCTCAGAGTTGAGAATGCTGACGTTGTTGTGATGTTGGCCGGATCTGTCCGAAGTCAGTCTGTAGCGCGGCTTGTTCGCTCCTTCTGACTCCACCTCAACTCCACGGATAAGCTTACCTACATATCCTCAAAACATGCTGAAAAGCTTGAAGACACAAAAGGTGTACTTGAATGCTTGTTCCATATAAGCATCAGATTAAGCGTTCAGAGTAAACAATTCGCCAATGTTGCTCAAGTTCAAAGCCATCCTACAGAAAAGGTTAATGTCGTAGTGTGCTAGATATATCAGTCGACAGATAGACAACAAATGAACTCAAGTCCAGTGATAGCCGTTTCCTATCAAAAGCTTAAAAAGGTAGACCGAATATCTATTGTGAAGTAGTGAGCTGCAATTGACTTCTCCAACCAGCCCACATTTCAGATATCATTGCTCCACAGACTCTCTCCACTAACTCTCTTTACCAACTCACTCCAAATATCGATGCCCTATTGACTTTCTAGCGCTTCCCTATTAATCACATCATCCACAGAGCAGATCAAATTCCCTCAAAAGAACCGGAGATGGTGCTATGGAGCCAGTGAAAGGCAAAAGGCATGATGGTATGATTGGCATATGGATACGACTCCAATCACGTTGACATGAGCAACACTCAACAAAAGATGAAAAGGCAGCAACTTTAAAGACGCGCGAGAATTGACAAGACGGACGCAATTTCGGCTCAACTCCCAGGGGCAGAGCCAACCCCTTAGAAAAAAAAAAAAAGGGGGGGGGGGGGGGGGGGGGGGGGGGGGGGGGTTTTCCAAAACGACAAAAGATATAGTATACATAAGAGGTTAGACAAAGCATAAATATATACAACAGCGGCACAGAAGACTCACTTCACCCTCTGTGCCATCGACTCCATCACTCCACCATCCTCCACACCCCTCTTCTCCCCCCCACCACTCTCTCCACCATCCTCACTCACCACCGAGACCGCATCAACCTGCTCCATCGGCTGATCGAGCAAAGTCTCCTTCCTCCCCTCATCCCTCCTCTCCACCGGGACAAACCCATCATAATACCTAGGCGTGACGAATCCCAACAAGACCGCAATCATACCAACAACCGAAAGAACAAAGCCCGCAATCATCATAGGATCATATCTCAGCGAATGAAACTCCGGAAACGCAAAGCTGAAGATGATAGCCAGGACAGGGCCAGAAACATAGCGGAGAAGGACAGGCATAAAGGCGGGGATTTTCCAGTTATTGCCGCTGCCGACGATGAGATTGAGGTCGCGGCGAAGTTGGTTGCCAGAGTAGAATGCCAAGTACCACAATTGGACAAGTTGACTTCTGATTCTCGACAACATGGCAGTATTTTTCGGTGATGGAGACTTTGCGATGACACCAGCGAGAATGGTGCATGCAGCAAAGAAGCCGAAGCCAGCGCCAGCGCCAATAGCTGCGCTTTCCACTCGATGCGCGACGGAAATGCCAATCAGCAAGCCTCCAAAGTATCCGAGGTTGTAGACAACAAAAGCAGGCATGCCGACTTGCCCAGTAACATCGTTCCAGCGATAAACAGTCGTAGCACTGACGACCTCGGAGAAAACGACAAAGATGAGAGCGATGTTGTTGATCCACCTGTCGACCCCGTCGAGGAGATAGTAGCCAAACTCCGTGCAATAAGGCAAACACATCAAAAACGAGACGAGTGTAAGCGCACTCACGATGACAGGACGCGAGTACCTCACCCCCGAATCCACAAGCAGTGTAGCCACAACATCCAACATAACAAATGCCGAGCTAAAGCCCAACACAATGAGTGTCAAAAATAGCAGCACAGCCCAAAAATTCGCTCCAGGCATCTGAAGCACCGCCTCAGGCAAAGTGAGAAAGCCAACGACAAATGCACCCAACCGCTCATCAGGAGATGGCCAACGACGAAGGAAACCAACAACGCCAAAGATGGCAAAGGCGGCAAAGTTTTCGAAGAGCACGTTGCTGCCGCAGATGAGAACGGCATCCATGACGGCATTCGAGTGTTTCTGGTTATACGAGGCATAAGAAGTAAAGTATCCAAACCCGATTCCAGTGGAGAAAAAGACTTGTCCGACAGCAGTTTGCCAGACTGTTCCAGAGGCCAGTTGATCTCCTCTCCAGGTGCCCCAGAGAAGCTTGACTCCAGCGCCAGCGTTTTCCAGCGAGAGAGCGCGGCCAACAAATATGATGGTGGTGATGATGGGCAGTCCCATTGTAAAGTACACCACTCTTCCAGTCATGCCGACGCCACGAAAGATGGAGAACCAGATCAAGAACCAGATAAACGCACTCCATCCGACCGTCTCGCCGATCAGGCCAACGGCGGGATAGCTTGTGTATGAGGCAACATCCCTGCTTCCATTGGTAAGGCTACCAGAGATGGGTGCTGGATTTGCGACAACGTCATTATTGTAGAAATCCTCAATCCGGTTCTCCCAAGGCAGCGGGCTGATGAAGGAGTTTCGAAAGTAGTTCATGATCCAAGCGAGGTTGACGGTAAAGTACTGAACGACGATAAGGCTGACAAAGACAGGACCAATGCCGACGCCTTTGAGACGTCTGTTGATATTGTTGAAGGCAATTACGGACCCTCCGCGGTAGCATTGGCCAATGGATATCTCGAGAACGAGAGCGGGGATGGCGATGAGGAAGACGGCGAGGAGATATGGTATGAACCATTGAAGACCATAGTTGTTGTAGACGACCGAAGGATAACGAAGGAGATTGCCCTGGCCAGCACAACCTCCCATGGCAGCAAGCAAAAANGCCGCCCTAGAAGGCCACTGATCCCGTCCATCCTCCGCCTTCTCAGGTTCGGGAAAGAACCATTCAACACCTTTAATTACAAATCTCTTGACTGTCCTTGAAGCCATGGTTGCTGAGTGAAATTGAAGCGCAACGAACGGTGGGGCCTGCCATGATTATATGCATCCAAACGCTTTCACTGGCCTACCTGATAGCGCGAGATAACGTTCTGTCTCTCTACGTGCGCCAACTCCTTGGCTGCAACTTCTCGAAATCCTTATATCTTGGTCTGCCTTGGCTAGGTGATGGATGTTGTCTGATACAGCATTATCGTGTCTTCACATCTGTAGGTAAAAGTGTGCGTTCAGGCCTGTTGAAGTGCTGTAGAATACTCGCTGCTACTTATCGTCATTCATGCATGCTTTTGACATGGATCGAAACATCCGAGTTGATGTGTTGTAAGAAGACAAGAGTTGGAAAGAACATGAGAGACGCGTTGGAGCACGCGATGCTCGGCATGACATCACAGCCTAGCCCAGGAATCGTGAGCAGGGTCATCCCCCATGCAGCGATTTAGAGCCTTGAGAACATTAGACGACGACGACAAGAGGCATATCTGGGTTTTCAGTACTAGAGTATAGCTTCTAGCGTTCTGAAATACCCAGAGGACATAAATCGGAAGTGTGAAGCCTTTGCTGTGTGATCGTGTAAGGTAATAATCGATTTGTTGATCAGTGAGTCTTGTTGACTGGAAGGTTGTCATTGAACCTCACAGGTGAGAGATGATTAGGGCAAGACCCATAGAAACAGAAAAGGGAGGTGGTAAAAAGAATAAGATACCCTAGAATGGCAGCACCTTCCCTTGAGAGCCCACCAAAAGATCTACTCGGATTCAAAAATGTATTACAACGCTCAGTAAATCTCCTCCAGCCCAGATTCTTTCCAACTACCCTCTCCACTCGCAACTTTATCTCTGACACCCCAGTACTCATTGCCAAAGCGCCAATACTCTTCTCCAGTAACAGGATGTTTCTCGAGTTTGAACCATCTGGGTTCAAAGTGTTCGCCCGCTGCCTCACGCTCACGGCGTCTGGCTCGTTGCTTCTCCTCCACTCTACTCTTTTCCTCAGACGCATCATCGTATCTACCTTCCTCCATAGCACGCTGATCAGGTCGGAATCGCGAGTCGGTGGGTGCAAGCAGGGGTTGCAACCGTTGCGGCAAAGCATTCAAAGTAATAACAAAAGGCGTAAGATTAAACGGAATACCTTGAGGACGGGGCCCAGCCTCCCAAACCAAGATCGCCTGATTGGATTCCTGAGACTTGGTCGAGGTGCCGAGATTTTCGTCTTCGTAGCCGGGGTGGGTCGAGCATAAATTTTGTCGTTCCAGCGGCCACCGATGCTCCATTTGGGTACGCCCTTTGCGTCGGTGATCTTTCCGGCAACGAGGTAGGCAGATGATGCTTTCCAGCCTCGCTGCTTGAAGTCGAGGATGGCTGTTTCGCCGGTGGTGTGGTTCTTCACCTCCATCAAGCCGTAGTTGTCGATAGTGGGATTACCAGTAATGATTCCCACGACAGATGAGGTGACCTTCTTCCAGGTGTAGAGTTCTTCTGGTCCATGAGTGGGCTTCAGACGCAAGAACCATGTACCGAGAGGGTTAATCTCGAATGATTTGCCGTAGAACTTGCTCTTCACAGAAGATTCACCATAGTACTCCCATTTGGCGCTCTCGGCGTAAGCGGCACCGATTGGTGGATGATGGCTGACTTGCTCAATGAAGAAGCGGTAGCCCTTGTCGGGACGGACATACTCGAAAGTCTCTCCCAGTAGAGGGTTGAAAGGCTTTGCAACCCTGCCGATGGTAGAAGCATATTCCGAAGCAGCAAATCCAGCAACATAAACCATTCTCTCGGCAGAATCAGAGCGTTCGGCTGCAGTATCTAGAAGCTCAGTGTATTGCATGTCCTCAACAACACGATACAGAAGAGAGGTAGGTTCGTTGAAGGTGACGGGAAGAGTCATCTTGGTCATATCCTTGCCAATCATGTTCTTGAGGATACCCCAGAGCGAGACCTTGGGTCGATTGTCGGCATCAATAGGAAGCTTGGATCTAACAGGGTCCTCGTAACCTTTGTACGACTTTTGAATTGCAGTAGAAGCATTGTCTTCGATAGGCGCAGCTTTCTCCTCTGTTTCAGTGTTGGTTTGAGGTGTGTTTGCGACAGGCATTTGACCAACAACCTCGACTTCTCCAGCATCGACAGCATCGAAGAATTGTTCGTCCATGTCGGAGTCATCATCGGAGACATCGTGATTGGTCATGTCTGCAAGAGTCTGCCTGCGACTCAAAGTGGGAGAAGGGGGACCAGCAGCAGCAGTGCCATCTTCGGCAACAGGTATATCTGCAACGGCGGCAGCGAGCTTGCTGCTTTGAGTGGCTGTAGTTCCTCTACGGCTGCGGGCACGGCTTGCGGTACCTGAGCCTTGTCCCTCGAGAGCGTCTCTCAGGGCACGCTTGGTCCTCTTGCGCTTGTCTTCGCTTTCACCAATACGATTCTCTAGATCTTCTTGTTCAGCGGCGACTCGGGCCATGCTTTCCTCCCACAGCTTGCGGATGTGTGCTTCTCGGTCCACGCGATGTTGCCAGTAAGCATCGTGATCCTTGGAGATGCGTAGAAGGTCAATCAGCAAGCCTCTGAGGTTACCGACAGCAGTATCGTAGGAGGCTAGAGCATATTCAACATCAGGATGGCCTAGTGGGAGGGTGGGGTTGTTGGTCTTCTCTTGTTGCAAGGAATTCGAGACAGAGGCCAACAAGTCCAGTTGAAGCTTGGCCGACTGAGCGGTGATGTTGAAGGCGTCCTTGTTGATGGGCTTGACCTCATGAGCGCTATCGTCATCAGCGTAGTCGTCTTCCTCATCTTCAAAGTCGCGTTCGCCGTCCGTCTCGAAAGTGTGGTGGCGTGTCAATCTTGTCAGTTCGTCGCCGTACAAAGTCTCTCCATCGGCGGTTTGAGCAATGCTAGTACGACGGTCGCTACTCACGGTCGGTGCGAGGGTCGACGAGTCGGCAGCAGAAGGAGCGATTGAGTGCTTGTCTGCAGCAGCCTGGCGCAAGGCGTCGCCCTCTTGACGTTGACGCTTCTGTTCTTCGCGAGCCTCGTCTTTGGACCACTGAATGGCATTGTTGAGAGACCAGAACCAGCGCTTTGCCTCGACCTCGTGATTCGCCTTGAGGTGATACTTGACAGACGACTTGCCATGAATCTCAAAAGTCAATTTGTCCTTGGAGTCCATATGCAGAGAGGCGATCTTCATGTTGATGGCACCACGGCAAGCAGAGCCAGCATCGTCCTGGTGCTTGTAGTAGCTCAGAACACCATCCTCGAGCACGAACCACCGCAGTTTGTATCCAGTTGTGTAGTTTGTCCACTTTTTCAGGTAGCCCTTCATCTCACGTGCTTCCTTTGCGCTCAGAGCGTTCTCTGGTGGGCCTTCGCCAGTGCCCAGTATGGCCTTCTCTTGGACGCCACGCTGAGCGGCAGCAGCAGCGGGTGACTTTTTCAGAATTTGCTTGGTGTGGTCGTCTTTTGTGATTTCTTGAGGCAGCTTGCCTCTACGATCACGACGGAAAGGATCGGCGCCGTTGAGCAGCAGTATCTGGATGAGCTGTGTGTCCTTCTTGCGAGTGGCCTCGTGCAGCAGTGTACCGCCAGATTCGACCGTCTGAGGCTCAGTAGCCAGTTCGGGGGCGTTGATGTCGACGACGTGACGAACGTGATCGTCTGCAAGCACATCTTCGAGAGTACCGTAATCGGCGGATTGGATTAGGTGCTGGATTCTGTGAGTGGTCCTTTCGATGAAGATGGAGCGAGCAAGCTGCAGGAGCTGGAAGACTTCTGGGCTGCGGGCGAGGTCGAGCGGAGTCTTTCCTTGGAAGTTGGTGACAGACTCGTTGATTGATTTTTGGTCGAGGAGCAGCTTGATGACGCTCGTACGGCCAAGAGTCGAAGCAATGTGTAGAGGAGTGTTGCCGTCACGGTCTCTAGCGTTGATGTCTAAGGTGTTCTGACCCATACTCAGGACATACTCGACGACAGAGGGCTCGGCGCATTGCACAGCGAGATGCAGGATGGTGTTGCCCTCGAGTTTGGTCGAGTCGTCGCGCAAGTGTTTGTTGATGCCGGCCGTGTCTCCCTGTCGCAAGGCTTCGAAGACCTTGAACAGCTTGACCGACTGTTCGATTGACGTCGTCGAAGGTTGAGACATTGGAGTCTTTGTTGGCGGGGAACGAACAGCTGGCGATTGGGAGGCAGAGTCGGGGTTGGAGTTGGTCATGGTGGTGACCAGGTGAGGGGCTGGCCTGGCGCTCTGCTGGAACGAGTTCCGTGAGGATTGCATGGCGGGCGAGGACGGTTCGAGAGAGTCTGCCGTAGGAGAGTCGGGCACGTCGTTCTGAGGCGCGTCGCCCCTGCTCGTCACCTTGGACAAGAGAGACTTTGCAATCGACGACTTGTTTCGCTGATGCGACGGGCCATTGTTGCTGCTGTTTACCCCAAAGCACGTCAGCCTTGGCGTAGATCCGATAGATTGCCATTCCGTTTACCTGTCGGCCATCTTTGGATCCAGTCTCGTCGATGTTGACTTGACAAAAACAAAGGATAGGTATGCAAAGGTCTAGGAGAGCGACAGGGGACAGGACAGAAGAGGACGGCAGCTCAAGCAATTGGGTTGCCTACCGTTCATGCAGATGACGGTGGTGGAGCCAACGTTTGCGGGCGGTCTAGAAGTCTATTATTACACTGCCCCTTTAGGTCTTCGTACAGCTTCTATACAACAAGTCTATGACTACGACACCAGCAGAATCACACTGCCCAGCTGTCTAGCCACATCCTCCTTTTCGACATCGTGAGTGTCCTCGACCTCACCCCACATGTCCGTCTGCCACGTCACTTCAACACTTGAAGCTTTACGGGCTTCAGAAATGCCAAATCGGGATGTGTTGTTGTCTTTTTGCAGGTGTCTGAACTCCTGACTCCACTCGACCAACAGTCGAATTGCGACAAGCAGACTCTTGGTCGCCAAAACTCCTCTCTCGAGTCCTGCCAGCTCAAACGCAGGCAGAGCCGATATCCAGCCACGAATAACTTCCTGTGTCACCTTTGGCTGCTTGACGGGCATGATACTATCCTCACCCAAGATGGGAACAATCTCGAGACCAGGGAAGATGTGTGTAGTGAGGTATGCGAGGATGGGCTCGGCCGTCTCGATCTGCTTTTGTCGGAGACTCTGCTTGGGCTGGCCATCAACCTTCATATCGAGCGCCGAGGCAGGGTCGTGGATGTTCTTCTCAGGGTCCCAGCAGAGCAATGTGTCGGTGCCCAGGTATCTCATGAGCATTATGACGATGCTCTCCTGATCTTCTTGTCGCCTTGGAGGTCGGCATTGTGAATGTCGATTGCGCGCGAGCTCAGGGATGTGAGGGGATGTAGTGGTGCTTCAGCGCCTGTTGTGCCGATGTGAGGAGATCCCATTCGAGTGCAATGCCCGAGGCAAGGGCGTACTTGGTGGGCGGCAGGGTGAGGACTTCCTTCGAAGCGGTTCTGACCGGTCGCTTGTCCAGCATGATCTGGAGCCCATCTATGCTGTGCGTGAGTGGGTGTCTGCTGGAACGAAGACTAGGATCAAGGCGTACCAGGAGTCTCCTTGACCGAAGACTCTTTCCAGAAACGCTTGCGCAGGGCGGATGCGGGCTTTGCGGGATCGACCTTGATCTGGGCCTGTCTTGCCAGAAGAGCAGCCTGCTGTCTCTTGCGAGCGACGCGGTCTTCGGTCTCGGTAACAGGTGCCTGTGGAGGTTGCGGTGGCGGACCAGCAGCGATGGGGTGCGGCAGTGGCGTTGCTGTCCTCGACGAGCTGTTGTGCAGGCAGCGACATGCTGGGCGGAAGGGAGCAACAGTGCGACGACCAGAGGCAGTCAATGCCGGGCGGATGAGGGATGCCATGGTGGATAGTAGGGATATGCTGCTAAAAGTGAAGTTTCACATGCCAAAAGCCGGCGACAGTCTGCTGCATCGGCACACGCCGTCGACGACAAGTTTCGGAGCGGCATTCTCGGGAGATCCGTGCACACGCGAGTGGGGAAAGCTTCTATGAGCCCCGCATCTTCCGTCTTCTTCCCAGAAGATCGTTCTGCCCCCTTGAGCGCATCGTGTGGCTTGTCGTTGGAGGAACGACATGGCCGTCTTCGGCACGACCCCAATTCGTCTGCCCCGCCGCAGCGCCATCCAAAAATCTCATATCCCGTCATCCATCTGTATCAATATATCCATCTGCACTTGACCTAAGAAGTCAGAACAACGCCATACACCCTCTAAGCCTCGGTCGTTGCTTGGCTTACACCCGTTGCAATTCTGGGACCCCTCTCCATCTCTTGCATCTTCCCTGATCGGCAACCAGTCACCCGCCTCGTCAGTCTGTAGGAATGTCCTGTACGAGTGATGACTAGTTATCATCAAAGAGATTGGGCTGGGAAGCTCGTCTCGACTCCATCACAGCATCAGCATGATCCATCCTCATCAACACAACCTGNNCTGCATCTGCCCCAACTCCAAGAAACAAGTCAAAGCCGCAGCCCAAGANAGTTGCGATTCATCACCAGTCAAGGGGCTCCTCAAGCCAAACGGCGTCGTGTGTCTACCGCTTGCTTGGTCTGCAGGAAACGTAAAGTTGCCTGTTCTGGCGAGCGACCACATTGCAACACGTGCACCAACAACAGACTGGAATGTTCAGGATATGCTGATGAGAATGCCTCCGGAACTGGCCATGCCGAGGAGACCGAGACTCCTCAACCAGCGGCTCCTACCTTGCGGCGCTCCGAGACAGCAGACTCGATGAAGGCTCCTCCTGCCAGGAAACCCAAGACAACCGAATCCAAGCCAGCCAAGCAAGGCTCTACGTTCGATGTTGGAAATGCCGCTCCTGTCGTATCGGGACGCGTTGAATCACAGCCTCCGAGAAACGATAACGATCAGAGCTATTTCCCAAAGTCGACGCCCTCATGGTTCTCCGGCGCTAGAAATCGGATGCCATACTTTCGATGGCTTGGCCCTACTGCAATCATGCCAGGCTTCAAGCAGATGGTCGTCAAAGTCAACCGCTCATCATCTACGACCGATGGTGTAACCTCTCCGTCAGCCGGTGCTCAACCTGGCGCTTCGGCCATGTCAAATCATTCCGCCACCTACGATCCAGACGCGCGGACGCCTCAAACTCTACCATTCTACGACAACTCATCTATGCCGCCTAGCGAACTGATCACACATCTCTGCGACACTTTCTTCGTTCATCTTGCCTGTAATTACCCCTTTCTTCAGCGTGATCGCTTCTTGAAAGACCTCGAAGAGAAGCAGGTCGATGCAATCCTCGTTGATGCAGTTTGTGCGCTGGCTGCTCGCTTCTCTACACATCATTTACTTGTGCAACAGCCACGCGAGGGTCAAGTTGTGAACCATTCAGAGCAAGGTTCTGCTTTCGCCCAGCGAGCGAAACTCGCCTTGATCGACACTTATGCCACGCCAAGCGTTGCTGCCGTGCAAGCTGCGCTTTTGCTTGCCTACAATGAGTTTGGCGAAAGCAGGGACAGTGGTCTGTGGATGTATCTTGGTATATCCATCCGCATGGCTCAAGACCTTGGCTTGCACAAACTTGATGGTCTTCGTTACGAAGGTCGCGAGGGCTCATCTCCAAGGTACTCCAGGAATGACAAGCATGTGGACAAAATGATCGGACGTGCCGATTTGCAAGACCAAGATCGAGACGTAGCCGAGGAACAGCGAGCAGCCGAACGTGAGCGAGTCGATACTTTGTGGGCAGTATTCTTTCTGGATCGAGTTGTTTCATCTGGTACTGGACGTCGCAGCACGTTACAAGACGATGATATTGAGCTTTCTTTCCCGCCTCTTGATTTGCTGGATCCCAAAACTGGCTGGCCTTCCCCGTTTCCTGCACTGATTCGGATTGTCTGTTTATATGGCCGAGTTGCAGATTTGCTCAACAGTATCAAGGAGCCATCGGACATCACTAGTGAGACACCACAACAGTTAGCAGACATGGAAGCACGGGTTACGAACTTTTACCAAGGTCAGAATCTTCTCCCCGGGCAGATATTTCGAAGAGTATTAACACATCTCANNGGTCTCTCCCCGAAACTACACTTTCAGGCCATGAACTTCCACCATTACGTCAAGGCTGGAGAAGGAACCAACTTTGTGCTGTTGCACTTTTGGTTCCACACGCTCATCGTCCTACTCCACCAGCCGACATTGTTGAAGACTTTCGAAGGCAAAATGCTTCAGCTATTCCCGAACAGTCAAGCACTTTCCATGTCTTCTGCCAAGACTATCGCAGATATCTTGTCCTACTCACAACTTATCGACACGAAAGCGAGTCTTGGTAATCCATTCACCACGCAGCCAATCTACATTGCCGCTTGTGCTTTCCTGAAGGAGACTGCCGAGCAGACCGCCACCTCGAAAGAGCATTCTCGCTCTCAATCGGCGGCGGACTCCCGTGCTGGAAGTCCGGTTCGAGAACAGCCCACCTCAGGGGTCGCAGACATGGCCAATATGACTCGACCGTCAAGCATGTTGTCAAACAGCACCAGACCGCCGATGGTGGAAAGAGCACTAGCCCGCCATACTCTACTCGCAACTGCAGCGAACCAGCACTATCAACTTTGCTACAAAGCACTACAAAGTCTCGAAACATACTGGGCAGGGACAAAGTACATCCTTACAGTATTGGACCAGAAGTTTAAAGGTGTCGGAGACCCTCTTTTGTATACGGTAGAAGAAGGTGAAAGTGCCTTTGAGCAGCCGGAACCAAACCCTTCATTTACCCAGCCAGGATGGCGAAGGAAAACTCCATCAAACCCGTGGTCTCCGAGCGCATTGATGCAAAGTTCATTCATGCAAGCCAAATCTCCTCCAGCAGCAGGTGACCCCAATCAACGTAAGTTGTCTCTAATGGAGTGTTCCAATACCATGACTGAAAATCTTGCAACAGCTATTGGGTGGACTCTCACAGGCACTCTCAATTCGCCGAGTACAAATGTAGCCTGGCACTTCTCCGGCGGACTTGGTACAACCGAGCCAGTGCAGCAATCTCTTGACTCACTCTTAGACCACAATACTCCCTTCGACTTCAATAACATGCAGAATCACAACATTCCATCATTTCAGCAACAACAACAACCGCATAATAGTCATATACGGACATACTCTGGCAATAGTCTGCCCCACGCATCACCACTCCAACAACGACATCACCGATCTTCGCTCCCAGCATCAGCATTTGCAGCCATACCGCCCTCGCCAACATCTTTTCCTTCGCCTGTCCAGCACCGACATCAACAAGACTCTCTCCATGTCCCTTCCTTCAACCAAGCGAACGGCTTGCAAAACTTTGATGGCCGTAATTTTAATGCAGAAGAAAGCTATGGCGACTTTTTGATCGAGAGCCAGGATGTGGATATGAGTTCGCTTGGCTTGGACATGTTGCCTTGGTTTGATGCGCCGAGTGGAGAGTTGATGCCTGTGTTTGATGAGGCGTTGGAGGTGGGCGATGTGGATACGGACGTTAATGCAGATGAAGTGTCTAGGGCACGAGAATCATGAAGGAGGGGAGTGGAAGATTGGCATTTGAGATGTTGTCATCGTGGATGGAGATCCAATCAAGTCGGTCGTAGATATGTGATCATGTGAACTGCTTTTCTGGCATTATCCATGATGTCTTTTGTTCTTGACCAAGTTTGTGTAGTCGACACAACACATAGCACGGTATCCCTCGACTTTCCATCTTACGAGTAGAGTGGAAAGCCGTCCGATGCGCTTGCCGGACGGCCTTTGACCTTACGATCGCTTCTCAAACCCCTGACCCCTTTCAATCTCTGGCATGTTCTTGGTGTTGATAAGTGGCGTGTCACTACATAGACTTGTTTTGCATGCTATATCGAGGATATAGCATATAGCGTAGTCACTAGACATTCCTTGGGTTCTCGAAGCATCGGTACAGTGATCCTGCAGTCGGCGAGCATTTTGGGCGCCGGCTGTTTGGGCGACGGGAGATGTGATGGCGTACTCAGGATAGAGAGACACGTTTATCAAGGATTGAGAAGAGGTATTGCTTGATGGAGTCTTTATAGCGTCTTTTGTTCTAGTCAATATTGATGGCAGACATGGCATAGAGGGCTGAAGCGATGATAATACACATGGGCTGTTGAGTATTCGCTACTACAGGGATGAGTGGTGGTGATATAAACAGGAATTGATACTTTAGACCAAACGTGTGTATACTGTAATCTAGTAACGCTGGGGGTTGGGCTCTTGTCCAAGTATTGTCTTACTATAAACCTGAAGGCTTAACTCAGATCCATCTCGTGGTGTTGTGTAGACTGTGGCCGCATCACTACCGGCATATCAGCCGGTGCTTCACAAATATCTTGCCCCGCAGGTGCCGTCGTCTGTGCAGTTCTAGCTCTTTCTCTTTGTCTCTTTACCCTCCTCTGCCCACCCCTCCTACTCCTCGACGAAACACCCGCCGGTTCACCTCTCTCCCTCCTATTCCACATCTTCTTTGCCCTTCTACTCAGCTTTGTATGTTGAAGATAATTTCTACACATCGGACATGTAAACCTCGACTTTAAAATCGCCTCCAAGACCGGGTATCGTGCTCGCAACATCGGTCTATCGCGAAGCCAATCTGCGAATTTTTGATCCGTGCAGCCTTGTTGCCATTGTGTTAGACAGGGGCTGCAGAAGCTGTGTCCGCAGTCGACTGTGAGGTTTGGTGTTCCTTCTGTGCAGATGGGGCAAGGTTCTCTTTCGTCTTCTTGTGTGGGGGGTTGGTATTGAAGCGCAGGGTTTTGGTGTTGATGGCGGTGTTGTGGTTTCAGGGGTTGGTGCGACAATTCGCTTTTCTGCGGCTTTTTGCTCCAAGCGCTCGAGTTGGCGGTGAGCGTAGCGGAATGCTGATCTGGCTCTTACTTCTGCTGCTCCACCCACGTAGATTTTTGAGGCTTCATCGGTAGTTTTTGTAGTATTGGGGTGTGGCGGCGGCAAGAGACTAGTTCCCAGCCTTGAGGGTAGCGCAAAGGAACTCTTGGATCCATGTTCTCCATTGCCAACTCATCACACATAGGACACGATTCTGCAAATATGTGGGAAGGGACTTTATAGTGTGATTCTGTGCTGCGGGAGATTTGGTGGTCGAGTGATAAAGATGCTGTGATTCTGGTTTGGACAACTGTTCTGGCGGGTGAGGTTGACGAGATGTCTGGGGTTGTGAGGCGTATCCTGGTTACAGAGGTGCCTTGGTAGGCGGTTTCGAGGGAAGAGATGGGGATTAGGTATGGGTGTAGTGATTGTATTGGTGTGTGGGGTGGGGAGGTGTCCATGTAGTCGTGGGTTCTTTGGGCGCGCGCGCGTAAGCGGTCGTGTTGTGCAGGATCCATGATGGAGAGTTGTTGTGTGTTTAGATATTTTCTTCCAGAAACTTTCCTTCTTTGCTGATGGCAGGATTTTGCTTGATGTTGATGGTTTTGTGCGAATGAGATGGAAAAAAGGCAAGAGATTGTAAATATATTTCAAGTCTTGACGCGTCGTGCTGAGGTAGTTTGAGTCACTTGCAGAAGTGGCTGTTGCCTGATGACTTCCACGTGCGTTGTGATCTAATTCGAGAAGATTTCACTTTATGCCATGAGCAGGAAGACAATAAAGCTATCGTGTAGTATCTACTGTCACACGCTGATAATAATGATCGTTAGGTTGTTGGTATACAAGTATGGAGGAAGACAGAGAGGATGTCCGGGAGGAGGTAGGTTAGAGACGCTTGGGCCACCGGTTCGTCCTCTCTCGATCTGCTTTGGTAAATTGCACCCATGAGAGCAAACAGAACTATCTGAATATCAAGACTATTCAAAAGTCTCCGAAACTGTATCACTATAACACAAGTTTGTATAGCGGTAAGAGAGATTCTTTTTCTCTACCACAAATCATCCTCTCGGTGAGCTCTTTAGTTGGATTTCGGACAAGATTCTTGGCATCTCCATCTCCGAAAACTTTCCATTTGCGCAAAAACACCGACATCAGAAACAATCTCACAACACAATACACATCAGAAAACCATGGCTTTCAGTTTCAACTTTGGAGGCGACGATATCGATCAGACCGTCGATCAAGACGTTCCAATCCTGGACGCGCCATCCACAGAAGCAGACACGACATTACAAACACCATCTCCCGTCAACGTCCTCCAACATGATTTGCGCCAATTATACGACACCCTGCCGGATAGACTATGCTACAGCACTGCTTCGATCACCTCGCCAACCGGCAAACAAATTCTACTGCCGCGTCGCGAACTCTTCGATATTCGTGTGCAACTCATGTCAGAAGCATCTGCCGAAAATGACAACGATGTCACGTTATCGCAATTGCAGTCCACAGACCTAGCGCCCAATGTCTACGAAGGCGGTTTCAAGACTTGGGAATGCAGTGTTGATTTGTCGTCTTTGCTGCTTGACCGCGGTCCCCGCAAAGACATTGACGAGTTGGTGCGGTGTGATGGGGTTGTGGAGTTGGGTGCAGGGTCTGCATTGCCGACCCTAACACTATTCCAACACTGTCTACGAAACGGCATTCCTCAGACCTTTACTTTGACAGACTATAACAGTTCTGTGTTGCGTCTGGTCACATTGCCGAATCTGCTACTTACGTGGGCGGCTTGCACCTCTCCCCCTTTGATCGATTTATCCGCCGAACCCTCTGGCGATCTCGAGAATATTCCTGCACTGTTACCGCAATTCCTGGCTGCTCTTGCCGCCTCAAGGATCCAATTGTCTTTTATCTCGGGCCCTTGGGGCGAATCCCTTGCCTCTCTGATCCCTGAATCTGCTCCTGATATGGGAAGTTTGATTTTGGCCAGCGAGACCATTTATTCGCCAGCTTCCACGACAGCGTTTGTGGATTTGCTGATTCGTTTGCTGCAACGCACGAAAATGGCAAAGGCGATTGTGGCTGCAAAGAGATTCTACTTTGGCGTTGGGNGGAGTGTTGATCATCTCAAGGAGGTGTGTGCAGAAAAGGGTGCTGTGGCATATGAGGTGGAGAATTCGGGTGTGCCTGGTATGGATTCTGGGGTTGGGAGGGCGCTGGTCGAGGTGCAGATGTATTGAAACGAGAAATGAATGGAGGTGCGAAAATTTCAATCTCCTTCATCACCCCAGTATTCTTTCAAATCCTGCGCTCGCCATTGAGTAGCAAAGCCCGTCGTCCGTTCTATTTCCGCCAGCGCTTCTAGCACAACACGATGCTCGGCTTTGCTCGACATGACCTTGCCAGCAATATACAATGGCTGCGGCGCATTCGTCCACGCCGCATGCAACAAATTACTCACCGAGATCCCAATGACCTGCCTCGCATGCCAAAAGATACTTCTCTGGCCCCGCACCTTCAAGTCATTCGGTTTGGCTTGCAACATAAGCAAAGTAGCGGTATGATAAAGCTGATTTGCGCTCACGGCTGCTGCATTTGTGTAGATAACCACAGGAAACGGTCCTTCGTCGTCAGTGTCGTGGGCGCGCGATGTCAAGGGCCGCATCTCTGCAGGCCTACTGGTATTCCAATCGACAAGGAGATCAAACAGGGCTTTCCACTTTGCGCTGTAGGAGCTGCCACGCTCGGTGGAGCTGCCGCGTCTAGACACAACGTTGAGCACGCTAGCGCAAAGAAACAGCGAGTAATTTGCATAGCTGTCGAAGTTTTGAAAGTCGGTTTTGAATCGCGAAATTGCTGTTGACATTGTGCCTGTGGGCAGAAACCAAAGGCTCGTTGGGATCTTGGTGTGCGAGTCTGAGAGGAAGCCGCCCCACATGTCTGTTTGTTTTCAGTATGATGTATGCAGAATGTAGCAGAGCAAGCACATACCCATGCGGGCAAAACACCAGAAGATGGCTTGTCGTATGCCTCCAACAACGCCATTGATGCCAGCAGCCTTTAGCAACATCGCCGCACCGTTCAGATGTCGGGCCCAGTCTTTTGGGGATGCTGAAGCAAGTCAGCAAGCCAGAACGATAACAAATGATTGTCCTTTGAGATACTGACAGCTCATCATCTCCAGAACGCAAAGCAAAACACAGCTTCCAATGACCTCTGTACTCATACTTTCCAGCTCACCAGCAATCAATCGTATCGCCTCCTGATATAATGCCAAACTCTCCGTGTAAGGTTTATCCGGGTCTCTTCTCTCCATCTGCCTTGCAGAGAGAGCCAGTACTGACAGACGTAGTGACTCGGAGTTTTGTGCCAGGATTGGCAGGTGTATCTGAAAGTGACGATCATTGTCGAACATGTCCAGCCACAGAGCTATCTCGTCAAGGTAGTTTCGCCAAAGCTCCATCTCACGACGAACAGTCATACCCTTTGGCAGATTGCTACGTGTAGACCTGTCGGGCTCAAGCTGCTCCCATTGAGACGTTCGCCTGAGTGTCTCCTGATTGTTTGGATCGTTCTGTGATTTGTCGGACTCGGGAGTGCCTGTTCGCGTGAGACCGGTGCCACGAGCTGTGTCGACCATGTGGTTGTAGAGAGTAGTGTGCAGCTCTCGATACGCGGCATTGGGGTAGTACATGGCATACATGTCTGGCGACTCTGCAGGCACATGGTCTACATCCATCAGAGCGTTGGCTTCTTCATTACTCATCGGAGGCCACAAAGAGTCGCCAAATGCTTGAAAAGAGTCACGATTGGTAAGATAATCCAGAGGCTCGAGCTCGGGAAGGGAAAAGGATAGTAGATGGTCGTCTTCGCGGATGACAGGGAGACCGGCCGTCGACAGAGGATCATTCATGGGTTGAAGCGGAGTGTGGAATGTTACGCGAGGTGCAGCTTCGCCCTCTCCAGCTGCAAAACTGTGAGACCGTCTGCTATCGTGAATACTGTGGACCTCGTGAGAATCCGCTCGCAGNAGGGGAAGGCGTTGCACCCCTGGCGAGAGATTTTCGTTTGTGAACCTTCTGCTAGATACTGCTTGACTTTGAGCCAAGTCCTGTGAGACACCAACAACTGCAAGATCCATATCCCACGAGAAAGCGCAGCTTTCTTCTTCATGTGGTGTGGCCTTCTCGTTTTCGTGATGATCATCGGTCGTGGAATATTCTTGGCCATTGAGAAATTCCTTGCACTCGTGAGTATCCAGATCAAAAACGACGTCAACAATTTGCAGTGATGATGGGGCCTTAGCAGCGATCTTTTGACCAGCTATCATGCTAGGATGATCGGCCTCGAGCGATGTAAATCGAAAACTGAGACCAGAATCCCATTCACAATCTTCGCCAAGCCTCTCGCATTTGGTGCAGCTCGGTTTGGATTCATCGCACTTTTTCCGCCGTCGTCGACAATTCAAGCATCCTGAGCGACCTCGGAGCGAGCGTTTAGANGGACCATCGCGGGGTCGCTGTGGTGAAGGTGATGCCTCGTAAGACTCGTGGACCAAGGAGCCATCTTCCGAAGTAGTAGCTCTGGTATTTCGACTCGATCTCATGGGTCGCGATAGTAGACTACCTAGCGAGGAAGTCGCTGGTGGCTGGTGAAAAGAAAGGTGGAGGTGCTTCCAGAGTGCGGGGCAAATCTGGAAGAGAAGGACAAATGAACAACGGCGACAACGGGGCTAACCTCGAATTATATCGAGAAGATCACAAACAAAATTCAAACTTCAGTCTACCGCTCTGTGATACACGCTCAATGCAGTACTCAGCTCCCCGCATGACACCAGTACAGTAAGAGGTTCGGTGGGGGAGGTCAGATGCACCGAGCCCATGAGGGTTAAACTTCTGGAGTAATTGTCTATCTTGCTAGATACCAAGCATTACTGTTTTGGAGAGCTTTTTCGAGCGAGATCCTGCCAGCCATCAGGAGACTACGTCCATCTCCCGCGTACATTGAAATCAAAATATCTATGGTCTCTATCTAATTCATCGTCATCTACAAAACGGGCTTCAAGCAGTCGCGCAGTGTCCACCATCTACTCTCAAGTCGGCACCAGTCATCCATGAACTTCCATCTGCCAGGAGGAAGACACAGGGAGCCTTGAAGTCTTCAGGTGCCCCCAGTCTGCCCAATAGCGCACCTCTCATCCATTGTTCCTCAACCTCGGGCTTTTCTTGCAGCAGGCCATCTGTCATGGCAGTACGAATGTAACCAGGAGAAAGTGTGTTGACTCTGATGCCCCATTGACCCCACTCGTAGGCAAGAGAGCGGCACATCTGATGTACGGCGGCCTTGCTGGTGTTGTATGCCGAGCAGTGCAGGCCGCGGTTGGCAATCTGGCCAGACATGGATGCGATCATGACAATGCTACCACCAAGCTTCTGGTCGCGAAGCAGACGAGCTGTGTATTTCGAAATGAGGAAACTTCCAGTAACATTGACCTCCATGATTCGACGGAATCCGTCCATAGGATAATCAATAGCGTCGACCATCTGCTGAATGCCGGCGCACGAGATCATGCCTTTGACAGGCTTTCCTCGTTGACGAGCCTCCTCGCCGCAGTCTGCGACGACCTTTTCGACCGCCTCCTCGTTCGTAATATCGCAATTTTTGTATATGGCGCGAACTCCGGTGCTCTTCTGAAGCTTGGTAATGACTTCCCATTCTTCTGCGCTAGGCTCGGGAAGAATGTCCAGACGAACGGCATCAGCACCCGACTCGAGAACAGCGGTTGCGAGTGTGATACCGAGCCCACGGCCTGCGCCAGTGATAATGATGGTTCTGTTGTTCAAGCCAAAGGCCTTTTCGATAGGTACATTGGCAGATGATTGTCTAGACTCGGGGATGTCTCTGGGAAGTTCAATGTCGGACACAATGCTTGGTGCCATGATGTTGTAACAAGTCGGAGATTGTCAAAGAATGAAAAACGATATCGAGTAGAGAGTGTTGAGCGTTCAGAGCTATGCGCAAAAAAGGTCAAAGGGTCAAGGAGTGAAAAGTGCAGTGGGCCTGGTCAATTTGTAATGATCTCGACAGGCTCAACAGACCTTTGGCGTCGCAATCTCGAGACGAGTCCCACCATTGAGCCATGTTGAGAGGTCTTGGTGGATTCATTTGTGGATTGAGACACAACATACGGCGCTTGAGACTGCCGTGTTGGTGCGATGGATGGAAAGAAGAAAAGGAGCGTTATGAACCGCGCTACAATTTGTCCTCTTGAGTTGAGGCAATAAGCGGCTTCCCTTTTCTGTGAGAGGAAATAATTGACGCCACAGCCAGAGAAAGAAACTGAAGCGCCAGGCAAACAACCCCGCATCGTTCTTCGGAATGGCGGGTTACTTGTTTCTGACAACAGTCCGCTGTTGATCAAAGTCAAGAGCGCCGCCATGAAGGTACCCACGAATGTGTTTCGCATCAACGGCGTAATTGATAAAGGCTCAATGTTCCCATGTTTTCCTTTCGCTTTCCAGTCTCAAAAATTTCACATATCCCGATATGGCACCCTCCCTTGAACATTACGAAGAAGCTACTTCCGGTATTCCTGTGAAGGTGCTTGGTACACAGATTGATGGCACCAATGGAGCTGCGTCGCTACAGCTCGAGGAAGCCGACAAGCACGATCAAGTGCTTCGTGTCTTCCGCTGCTTGATTGCAGACTTGTGCGAACAATTCGCCGGTGGCCACCCTGGTGGTAAGCTGGGATTCTGATGATCCACATTTGAACTCGAAGACTAAATCGAAACGACAGGTGCCATGGGCATGGCAGCCATTGGTGTGTCACTCTGGAAATATGCCATGAAGTACTCACCAGCAAACCCCAACTACTTCAACAGAGATCGCTTCGTCCTCTCAAACGGCCATACATGTCTGTTCCAATACACTTTCATGCATTTGGTCGGGTACAAGAACATGACCATTGACCAACTCAAATCATATCATTCGGACCGAGCAGACTCGATTTGTCCCGGACATCCTGAGATCGAGCACGAAGGTATCGAAGTTACAACAGGTCCTCTGGGTCAAGGTGTTGCCAACGCTGTTGGTATGGCGATGGCAACAAAGCACCTTGCTGCCACCTACAACAAACCGAACTACGACGTTGTCAACAACATGACCTACTGTATGATTGGTGATGCCTGTCTGCAAGAGGGTGTTGGTATGGAGGCTGTGTCTCTTGCTGGTCATTGGAAGCTCAACAACCTTGCCCTCGTCTATGACAACAATCAAATCACATGCGATGGTTCTGTCGACATCACTTGCAACGATGATGTCAACGAAAAGATGAAGGCCTGTGGTTGGAACGTCATCGATGTGACGGACGGTGTATCGAACATCTCGGGCATCGTACAGGCTCTCGTCGCTGCCCGCGCGAGCGTTGACAAGCCCACGTTCATCAACATCCGCACAATCATCGGTATCGGCAGTGCCTCGGCCGGTGATGCAAAAGCTCACGGTGCTGCTTTTGGTGCCGAAGACGTCGCCAACATCAAGCGTGCTTTCGGTATGAACCCAGAGGAGCACTTTGTTGTTCCCGACACAGTCTATGACTTCTTCCGTGAGGCAAAGTCACGAGGCGAGGACCTTGAGAAGGAATGGAATGCCCTCTTGGAAGGCTACAGCAAGGATCACCCCGAGTTGGCTGAGGAATTTAAGTTGCGTGTCGCAGGCAAGATGCCCAAGGACTGGACCAAATTCATCCCGGCGAAGGGTAGCTTCCCTACATCGCCTACACCTTCAAGGAAATCCTCTGGCCTGGTTTGCAACCCTCTTGCCCAGAACCTCTCCAACTTCATGGTCGGTACTGCAGACTTGACGCCTTCGGTCAACATGACATGGAAGGACAAGGTTGACTTCCAAAACCCTGATCTCAAGACTGCTTGTGGTATCAATGGCAACTATGCCGGTCGCTACATTCACTGGGGTATTCGAGAGCACGCCATGGCCGCAATCTCCAACGGTCTTGCCGCCTACAACAAGGGCACAATCTTCCCCGTCACTTCATCCTTCTTCATGTTCTATATCTATGCTGCACCTGGTATCCGCATGGGTGCCCTCCAAGGTCTACAGCAAATCCACATCGCCACTCACGACTCGATCGGTACTGGTGAAGATGGACCCACACATCAACCTATCGCCCTTGCAGCACTATACCGCAGCATGCCTAATCTTCTCTACATCCGCCCCTGCGACTCTGAAGAAACAGCCGGCGCCTTCATCGCCGCCATCAAAGCCGACACAACTCCATCCATCATCTCCCTCTCCCGCCAAGCCCTCATCCAATACCCCGAAAACAGCAACCGCGATGGCGTCCAAAAAGGCGCCTACGTCTTTATGGAGCAAGAAAACGCCGACGTAACCCTCATTGGCGTGGGCTCGGAAATGTTCTGCGCGGTCGAGACCAAGAAATTGCTGGAAGAACAGCACAATATCAAAGCTCGCGTGGTGTCATTCCCCTGCCAACGCTTGTTTGAGCAGCAAAGTAAGGAGTACAAGCAATCCGTACTACAGTATCGCAGCAATGCCCCTCGCGTGGTTATCGAGGCGTATGCTGTCAATGGCTGGGAGCGCTATGCCGATGCCGGATACTCGATGCCCTCGTTTGGCAAGTCTTTGCCTGGCAAGACTGCTTACAAGCATTTCGGCTTTGATGCACAGGCCATTGCGCCCAAAGTCAAGGCGTTGGTTGAGGAGGTCAAGAAGGAAGGTATTGAGTCTTTGAGAGGAGACTTTAGGGATTTGAACGGCACGATGGGGTATGGAATGCACCACTAGATGATTGAAAGACTGATGAAATTTGTATATATTTAATGAGTGTCTGTGTTTTTTTGTTTGAATCTTGTTTCCTCCAGTTGTCCAAATGTCTAGCGTTCGCATCGTTCTTCTAGCAGTGGTACAGAGTCTTTGATCCAAGCTATAAACTCACAATCTCGATTGCAGACTAGATTATTGTTATTCTTGGCACGCAGTCGATTCTATGCAGATGGTTTTTGGTGAATTTCTTCTTCTGCTTCTCCCTTTTGAAGTAGCAGCCGTTCCTCTACAAATTGTTCCTAGACGATGTGCCACACAACATAGCAAACTCAAGAGTCAGGAAAATCACTGTATACATCGACCAGACTTCCCAACAACGCTCAACCATGACCAAAGGACTCTCGTAAACTATCAACAAACCCTCACTTATCCGATATAAGCCCTCAACTCGCCGAATCATAAGTGATCGTCAAGTTATTAGTCTTCACATGCCTCGAGTAGCTCGTCCCATAGCTGTCCTCTGCGAACCTCCTATCCATAACTCCATACGAATAGCTATGATTCGCCACATTTGAATAGTATGCATTACCCATTTGTCTAGCACTCAAATCCACAGGCCCACTAGCCAATGTATACGTCGACACATCTGGCCTACCCTTCGATGAGATTTGCAACCCATAATCCACAAACGCATCGAATGTAGAAAAGTTTGTAGATGCGTAGGACAAATTTGCAGTTATGGGGTAGGAGAAACTGGTTGTGGTTGAAAAGTCTGGTGCTGAAGGGAGGATTGCGGCTTGAGTGCCTTTTGTGGACTGAATGTTGGAGGATACTAGACCGCTGTTTCCGAGGTATCCGTTATTGGTGTAGGAGAGGCTTTGGGTCCAGGTGCCGAAAGGTGAGGTTGCGGAAAAACTGCGTTTGGCAGAGATGGTGTAGGATAGTGTTGTATTTGTGCCGTTGCTTGTGCTGACTAGATTGGATGTGGTTTGCAGAATCGGCGAAGTGGAGATGATGGGCGCGGTATAGGTGCCATTGTAGTCTTCGTCACCTTCGAAGAGGAAGATTTTGCCAGAAACTAACCAGTAGCTGTTTATACTGCTTGAGGAAAGCGTGGCTGGTCCATTGCCTCCGTTATCATCCATGCCTACAACTCTGATGCTGAAGGAGTGGGGGCTNCCGTCAAGGAGGTATGGCAAGAAGGGCGTAATGTCGATTTCATATTCCCGCAAGTCGTAAGCATCTATCCCAACGACAGGACGCCAGAAGCCTGGAGCGATACCGCCGGTGAAAATGATGGGAAATGGCCACGCTACTCCTGCCATGATGTCGTCGATAAACAACTGAACCTCACGGAAAGGGCCGTATCCAAATAGCGTCCCGACGGTGGGCTCAAAGCTATGAATGTCGGACTGGAGGACGTTGGTGTACCAAAACTCTTCATTGCTTTGACCAGTAGCGGCTATGGACACAGTCGCGTGGGTTGTGTTTCGAGGAAGTGTCTGCTGAACTGTTGCACTATCGCCTGGCAAGGTAAAGATACTCGGTTGACCAGTAGAGCCTAGTTGAGGCGTGATGGGCAGAATAAGGTCGGCATGAGCTGGCTTGGGCGAGTTATACGAGAATGTCGCCGTGAGAGTAGTGTTGAAAGCTCCAGTATAAGTCGAATCATAGACATTGTTCAAGCTAAAGATCAACTGCTGAGGCGACTTCCACAGACTCAAATACATGCTCAGATCTTTCTCATATCTGAAGACAATGCCCGAAGCGGTGGGCTCGGCAGTGCTTGTCCGCCACACTTCGATATCTCCAAGGAACATCTCTGCGAGACGATCGAACTGACGGCCAGCACTGGTGACAGTCCATTCGATGACCACATTGTTGAAGTCACATTCAGGCGGAGTGTATTTTCCTACGTAAGGGATGCCATAGCTCGAGGCAAATGTGTGAACCATCAATGTTCGTTGGACATTGCACGTTGTCGGCTGTAGAATAGGTACAGGCTTGTAGAGCTGGATGATTGGCAGCGGAGACTGAGGCTTTGCAACTTGGAAGAACGATGCGGCTTCAAGTGGCTTTTTCGAAGGTGAGCGGTGAGCAAACACGGCTGTGGACAGCACGGAAGCGNNAAGAAGAAAGCGTTTGAGCTGCATCGTTCATGAGCCCAAGCGAAGAACGAGCAGACGCGACCAGGAAGAATGGAGGGAAAGCTTGATATACAAGGTTGTCAAGAAGATAAGGCGTGATGATCAAGCGTTATATGATCTCGCTACTGCATGATATGGAGCTGCCAACATGGACGGAACAGGAAGGCGCTATCGTCGACTGTGCGCAAGCATGCTCTGTATCTCCCGCGATTTGCGAGCCATGTCAAGTGATGTTGTGTTGCGTTACAACGAGACGATACTCGGGACCCAACAATCTGTCTACAGGCGAATGGAAGACATAGTGATTAGAAATAGAAACTCATGCGACACACGAAGACACAGTTGTGGTCAACCTCGGCATGTGCGTGCTGAAAGATCGACAACGTGATGGAGACTGCGTTGCGGCCGAAAGCTTCCTGGTCGCGACGGACATTTTCCTCCCATTTCTCCACGTGCCTTGCATCTTGAATCCACTATCCTCTTTGCAGAAGGTAAATCTCGCAGCGAAGCGAATCAAACTTTGCCTACGCTCGCGCTCAGCAAAGCAAGCCCTCATCATGTTTGAAGATCTGCACTGAAACCCAGCCAGATCATGCAGGAGACGACGATTACGGAGGCGACTGATGATACACAGCATGCCATCAACACTCGAGTGAAGCCTATAAAGTAGACTTGATTTCCTTGACAGTATACTGCAACACAACGATTAGATCCATCTGTTAAACATGTCGTCCACTCTCATCGTTCTCAGCACTCTTCTCGGTTTGACTGCCGCTGTCATTGACTCGTGTCCGGCAAACGCGCCTATCAGCTGCCAAACCAGCGGCACCATCCAAAACACATGCTGTACTGAAATCCAGGGCCAAGTCCTACAGACTCAATTCTGGGACTCGAGCCCAGCCACTGGTCCGTCTAACAGCTGGACTATCCATGGTTTATGGCCAGATAATTGTGATGGCTCTTACGAGGCCACGTGCGATAGCTCAAGAGCTTACACCGATATCGGTTGCATCCTGCTTGACAAGGGCCATGGCGATATTCTGAGCTACATGGAGACTTACTGGAAGGACTATCAAGGAGATGATGAGTCGTTCTGGTAAGCATGCATCATGACACAAGTGTAACCCCATTTGCTAACAATCGACCAGGNNGAGCACGAATGGAGCAAGCACGGAACTTGCTATTCTACCTTGAATCCCGACTGCTACACCGACTACGAAAAGGAAGACGAGCTTGTCCACTTCCTCAACACCACCATCACTCTATTCAAGGATTTGCCTACTTATGAGTGGCTGGCTAATGCTGGAATCACCNCCAGCTCCAGCAAAACCTACACCAACGCCCAGATCACCAATGCACTTCAGTCGCAATTCGGAGCTACTCCTATCCTTTCCTGCACCAGCGGCAAGCTCAACCAGGTCGAATACGTCTTCAATGTGCGCGGTAGTGTCGCCAATGGTCAATTCATTGCCGTTGACCCCACGGGCACCAAAGGAAACTGCCCAAACACTGGCATCAAGTACTTGCCCAAGGATCTCAGCACCACACCTGAAGCCAACGAGGGTAGCTGTTCTTGAAGAGAAATTTGCATGTGTGGGGAGCAGTGTCTAGGATGGATGACGAAAAGTGTAGCATCATGTAATATTCATCTCGGTCCATCATTTTGAAGCCTCGATGATCTTCTCGGCCATCACTGGCAGCGTATCAGCCATGACATCCATATCAACATCAAACAACTCCTCGCAATCCTCCTTTTCATACACCGAACAATAGACACCCTTAAATCTGTGTCCAAAAATTAGCTAGCACCAATAGCGCTCAAACAAAACGGAAACTTACCCAACCATCTTCGCAGCACTAACATCCCAATAATGCGCAACGGTCCAGCTCTCGAGATGGCTTTGCCCGAAGAGAGGAACAAGCCGGTTCCTATGGTTCCAGCCAAAGCTATCATTTGAATCGTCCTCTGGTTCAGGCCGCGCTTGAGGTCCTTCTTCTCCTCGAATTCAAGCGGTCCATCCTGGTCGTATGCGGGAAGTATAGTACCATGTTCAATGTCTGAGGCGACGTAACTCTCTTCAGTGTGTGAGAGTTTCTTCTCATCTGTGCCCATTGGGAGAATCTCTGGTGCATGTATCGACATGACTTGAAGAATTGGGTGAACAAAGTGCAAAGGGTGGTCAACCAGACTTGTCCTTTTATGCATACCCACTCTACATGTCTTGCACCACAAAGGCGCGAAGTGCCTATCTCTTCTACATGACCGTTCAATGCGATATCATTGGCTCGGCATGGTTTTATGGGCGAGCGTCTTATTCGCTTCCATGATCGAACAGAGGTCCGCATGGGAATGGCGCGGCCAGACCTTGCGGCGCAGATAAACGACCAATTTCTTCGGATCAAAAGGAAGGCTGCTCTTCAGCTGCTGATAAGGCGATGGTAACAATTCTCGATTGCATGTTGTCATTCGATCATAAATAAGTCAATTGGAGATTGAACGCTGAATTGGCCAGGAAGGAGCGATTTTCACGCGAGAAACCTTGACGGGAGGACTGAGACTGGTAGCAACATAGGGGTCACGCCTTTGCTTTCCGGTCATCTTCTCATATCTCGAAGCCTGCAACCTGCAAACCTTCCGATGACAAGGAGCGAAGTTCAAACTATTGGAATGAACGATTGCATTTGGACCAGAATTGTATCCAGCGAGCAGATAGAGACTACCAGTGGGCGTTCTTTGTTTCTCAAAGGTGCTGTGCAATGCTACAGCCTATCGCGTTGCAATCTTTTGCACAGCAGGGAGTCAGGGACGGAGGGTTGAGTTCAGAGCACCCCGCATGAGCGCCACCAGCAACCAGCTTCAGATATGGCAGCACTCGATAACGAGCGAGGGCTACCAGCAGCCGGGTATGTCGGTTGCGGCAATTTCTGTATCGCGTCGTGTCTTGGATGTTACCTTCAAAGTGATTGAGGAGAAGAGAGGCACAACTCAATGTGGAGACGAGTGATTGGGCCATGGCGCGCGGCCTCGGCAGGAGCTTGGCCTATCTTGTTTATGCGGGTGCCTGGAATACGACGTGAACCGTGAGGAGAAGTGAGGCAGCTTGCCCTCCAGGCTCCAAGGACTTGTGAATATATTCCCTTCGTTGTGGATTTGCTTCACGAGGAGAGAAGGACTGAGTCAAAACGCGAAGATGCAACTTCCTCAGGGTCTTCCGACCGTCGGCGGCGGCACCGAGTCCTTTTGGCGCACCAACCTCCACAAGCTTGATGATTATCGGTCGACTGAGCAACTCNCTAAGCAGTCTGACATTGTAATCATTGGTGCTGGATACGCGGGTGTTGCGACGGCGTATCATCTTCTCGAGGCGGGCAGCAAGGCGTCGATTACTCTCATAGAAGCCAGAGGCGCCTGCAGCGGAGCAACAGGCCGTAACGGGGGTCACCTCCGTCCAGATCTCTACGGTCACATTCCGACATATATCGACCGCCATGGACTAGAAGCTGGTGCTGAGATCGCCGAATTCGAAGCCGCCCATGTCACGGCTATCAAGAAGGTCGTCGCCAAGGAGAACATCGACTGCGATCTCGTCATAACGAGGTCGACCGATGTCTGGTGCAATCAAGATGCCGCCGAGAGAGCCAAAGCTGGTTACGACAGGATGGTCGCCTATGGGTTGAAGCACATGGATGATGTCCACTTCGTCATGGGAAAAGACGCAGAGNGGCGTGAGTAATTCTAAGTCCTTAGGTATTCATTGTTTACTGATCGACCACAGATTAGTGGTATCAAGAACGCGAAAGCATGTGCCACCTACACTGCAGGAACCATCTGGCCATATAAGTTCATCATGACTCTTCTTGGAATTATACGGAACCGTGGCGTCAACATCCAGACATACACTCCAGTAAACTCGATTACTTCCCNNTCGTCCGATGGCCAATGGACAGTCTCCACATCCCGCGGTGACATCAAGACTCAAAAGGTGGTCCACGCGACCAATGCATATGCCAAAACCTTGTTGCCAGAATATGAAAAGAACATCATACCCTGCAAAGGCATCTGCTGCCACATTGCCGTACCAGAAGGGGACGTCGCCCCTTTGGTCGGCAATTCGTACATTATCCGCGAGCAAGGCGACCCCAGCGTCCTCAGCTACCTGATCCCCCGCTCAGACGGTGGTATCATCGTCGGCGGATCCCAAGCAATCTTCAAACCCCACCGCGAGCAGTGGTACAACAACACTGATGACGAGCAGCTAATCAAAGCATCCAAGGACTACTACACCAATTATATGCAGAACAATTTCCGCGGCTGGGAGAACACCAAAGCTGAAGTGAAGAAGATCTGGACGGGCGTTATGGGATATACTTCTGACAGCAATCCTCATATTGGTGAGGTGCCTGGCAAGCCCGGTCAGTATATTCTATCCGGCTTCAACGGTCATGGTATGCCAGTCATCTGGCTTGCAGCAGAGGGGGTGTCCGATATGTTGCACACGGGAAAGAGTTTTGAAGACACAAAGGTTCCCAGGGCGTTCAAGACAACGCAAGAGAGGATTGATAAAGCAAAGGCTGGTCCCGAAGGCGGAGATATTCTTGCGTGAACCAAAGCTCTGACATTGATATCTGTTTCTTCAGAAAGGTAAGCATATAACGGTTCGATTATCCTGTGAGAACCTCGTATAGAACACTTGTTAAACACGACTTCTGGCCTACCCCAAGTATATACACAGCCGACATCGGCACACCTCCACACCTTGACTCACGTTTCACTCCAACACTCAACCATCAACATAGAAAAACAAGTCATGCGGCTATTTTACACTTAACAGCAATCCACACATTCACTTTTGCAAACATTATAAAGGCACAAGAATGTCATCTTCTTCCTACATCATCCTCGGCGCCGGCGTCATCGGCCTAACCACCGCCCTCGAACTCCGCTCCCGTCACCCCACGTCCACCATCACTATCGTTGCAAAATACCTCCCCGGCGACCACCACCCCACCTACACCTCTCCCTGGGCAGGAGCAAACTGGCTCTCCGTAGCCACCGACAATGGATCCCAAGAATCCCGTGACGCCATCACTTATGCAAAATTCAAAGAATTAAGTACTGGGGATAGAAGCAAAGAAGTAGGTGTTTATGCAATGCCCATTACAGCGATCTACGATAGTGACATTGAAAATGCGGGGGTCTTGTCGCCGGCGACGGGGAAGATTTGGTATGAGGGGTTGGTGNGGGGAGTGAGGATGCTTGGGACAGCAGAGTTGCCTGAGGGAGCGAAGTTTGGATGTGAGTTGGATACTTTTGTGGTGGATACACAAGTTTATCTTCCATGGTACGTTTGTTGTGTGATTTTCTTTTATTCTGCTCTTGCTCCCCAATGCCGGTTTTGGAATCTCTCTATGTGTGAATGTGAGAAGCAAAAGCNNTTACGCGGATAATTAAAGGTTGCAAGGGAAGCGAAACGTCAGGGTATAGAGATTCGCAGAGGCACGTTTGACTCTCTTGATGAGTTGTTCTCTGCTTTTCCCTCGGCAAATGCATATCTCAACTGTACGGGCTTGGGTGCTTACTTCCTTGGAGGCGTAGAAGACAAAACCGTCTACCCAACGCGGGTATGTACATATATTGGTCCACAGAGACTGGATACAGAAACTCATTCTAGAACAGNNGGTCAAATCATGCTCGTTGAGAGCCCCAAAACTCCTATGACAAGGATGTACTTTCGCTCGCCGCAAAGGGTCAACAAAGACACTACTTATGTTTTCCCACGCGGCCCTCACAATGGTGTCGTGCTGGGAGGTGTTCGCCTCGACAATGTTTGGGATGGAGATGTCGACCTCGAGTTTGCTGAAGACATCAAGAGACGTTGCTGCGCTTTGGCTCCAGAACTTGGCAAGCCAGAAGACCTGAAAGTAATTTATCATGGTGTTGGTTTGAGACGTGAGTTTGACAATTTCTTGAGGGACTGGTGCAGAGAACTGATGCATGTAACAGCAAGCAGAACAGGTGGTGCTAGACTGGAAAGAGAGAAGTTTGGCGAGCGTTTGGTCATTCACAACTACGGTGCCGGTGGCGCTGGATACCAGGCGTCATGGTGAGTGGCGACATAGGATTTAACTTGTGCAGTGCTGACTCGAGTCCCAGGGNGTATGGCGAAGGATGCGGTCGATTTGCTACAAAAAGATTCGCGTCTGTAAATACAAGGAGATGGCCTCTTGCTTGTGCCCTTGCTGCAGTCTTTCCAGCTCAAGCATTCTTGTTCCGGGTTTGTGCGAGTGCAGCAACTTCCTCGGGCGAAATCTTGCGAGACTTCATTTTCTGCTCTTCCGCTTCGAAAACGATATCATCTCTTTCCCAAATCGCGAGCATGGCCGCTCCCATTGGACCAAATAGTAAGGACCAGCCAGCAAGACGTAGTAGCAACGAAGTTGAGAGTACTCCCGAGCTGGGGTAGATTACCTTAACAACCGCGAAATATGCCCAGACCAGATAGGTGAGGAACATGAGTGTCATGTCCCATTGTAAGAACCAATGAGCACCTTCACCTACTGTGCCTGCCTGCTTTCCAGAGAACGGTGAAATGGGAATGAACAGGTTGATCGGGTGGAACTCTGCCGGAATGTTGTTTGCGAAGAACGTAGGGAACAGCAGGCTGGTTATCGAAACAGCAATGGTGCTGACGTGAGGGACTGCCGCACAGCAGAGACCAAAGATATAAACTCTGCGGAATGCTCGTCGTTGATTCTTTGGGCTCTTCTCCGCGAGTTCGTCTTTGTAAGTACCAAGTCGGACGAGGACGTAGCTTGTCCAAACACGCTGGCCCAAGCGAAACAGCAATGGAAAGAACTGCCAAAGGCGGATGAGATCAACCTTTTGCTCTAGAGAGACGATTGTCGGCGCATGAAGCGACATCAAGATTGTTGGAACAATGATACCGCCAATTGTTGCAGGGATAATGGCATCTATGTCTGTTTTGTGGTTCACGAAAACATGACTTGTCGATTGCTCTCCAACAGGGGAGAAGGCGAGGAAGATGGGGCCTATGACTCCAATACCGAGGCCCTGGAATAGCAAGCCATATGCAGTGGTCAGAGAAGTAACCCTCCAACTGTTCTTGTTGAGTTGGCGTTGTCCTTCAAGAGCTGTCAGAATCCATGCGACGATGCCTTGACCGGCAAAGTAGAAGCACATCAACGAGGAGCCAGGCCGGGTGCCATTGACCATTGGCCAGAAGAGCGTAAGCAAGCTTCGCAAAAACTTGTCAAGCCAATTCCATCGTGTGAACTCCGTGGTGTATTCCTCGCCGGTTCCTGGTAGACGGTTTTTCGATGAGTCCGCTTTCATCAACCCAAAGGTCCCATTTTTGCTTGCGAACTGCCATAGTGCGATATAGCCGAACACAGCAAGTCCTATCAGAACCGCATTCCTTACAATGAGGTGCATGTTACCAGACGATTTGACGACAAGAACGAAAAGTCAACTGAGCTCATCGAAGAGATATCATTCCAGTATGTCATAGCGGCATCATGGAGTCGTGCTCGAAGCTGCGCTCATACGGATACGTCAGTACAAGATTCGAGATACTAGTTCCCATCAATGCGATAAATTGATCTTTGATCGCTGTCGCGACACAAAATAATGTGTTGACTGTCAATAGTGATCGAGATACAGTTCAACTGAGATGCCCTAATATCACTGTTCTTCTATGAGCTTATTTCCGAAAACGAAAGTCACCGTGCATCGCTTTTTCATCCTGGTTTTGCAGGAAGGATCGATCAAGACAGGGCTTCTCTGCCGCTGCCCGCGGCAGGTGCATTCACGTTGCAATCTACGCCTCGACGTTCGCTTTGACATCTTATTCCTTCCCATAGCGATACGGCGCGAGACTGGCCTCTCGCACGACCTGCTCCTTTGTCGGCTTGGTTCTTGCATGATGTTTCCGTGATGCGATTCCCAACCATCTGAATACCGTGAGAAGGTGGTTCTAGAGCAGGTCTACGTTCCATGCAGTCGATCGAGCTTGGAGCTTGGTATGCAGATCAACGAGGTGGGGTAGGGGTTCTTGGAGGGGTTGTTCTAATCTCTCACGTGGCTCACATCCGAACCTTCTTGCATGATAAGGCACATGAGATACGAGATTGAGCTTTGTGTTACTGCTTGCGAGGGCTCTATACAGAGCGGAAGTTCTCACCCAGAAAGGAAGTGCTATACTCAGTGTTGATGTATCAACGCCCTACGAGGTGATATGGACTATGCAGAGAGTAGGGCTTACGCCTCTCCTTGATAAGGATCACGCCGAAAGGCCGTCTGTAAGCGACAACCAATCCGGAGAGTCTAACGACAGCCTGGAGACATTTTTCTGCGCGTTTTGATTATTGTCGCATCCAGTGACTGTTCTTCGGCAGGGCTTAAAGATTGTCTTGTCGAACGCCACGGTTCAGGCAGGTCGTACTAAAGAGCAATCTTGATCTGACTACGCTAGGATTCGAGAATACAACCGTAAAAACACTACTGGAACCGCACACACGATGAGTTGGAACAAAACGTACAGCAACAAAGCCGAGGATACAGCTTGTCACCAGTTTCCGTTCGACTTGATGAGGTTCGATGATTTGAAGTTGTCGCCCCAGAGGTCAAAGGCATCAGAGAGATCCGAGTGTGATACCCCATCACAACCTCCACCAACTCGCCGAGTCAACGCCCCGGGGTGCGGCGTTTCGTCTTACACTTGGCAACCAGGACTTGTGAATATCCTTGCAACCTCTATTCTCAGCAATTTTTCGTAGAGTATCTGCCGTAATTTGGTATGACTGTCGAAGTGTGTGAGGTGTCTACACAAAAAGTACCCTTGCCGTCGCCGAGTCCAGAGCGGCTTCCAAATGTCAATCGAAGGAAATTTTCGAGTATACCGTCATTGGCGTTCTTTTCTCCAACAGTCCCACTCGTTTCCGAACGCCCTGGCTAGGCGAACGCACGCTATGCGAACCTTCCTCAACCAAAGAGTCCAAGCGTCGCTTCCTCATGTACATATCTGCAGGGTACTCCCCGTTGGCCGCCCAGTCTCATTTTTCTCACACTCACTCTTTTGCATCTACTAATTACTATACACGATGGGTTTCCTCGCAAACNCCCCGGACCGCAACCTGGACCAAGCCGGTATGGCCGCTGGCCACGGTCAAGCCGCACCTTCGACCAAGAACCAACTCGGCGATGCGCGAAAGGTGTCCAACGAAGAGAGCGGTACTGATCTCGACGAGTCCGATGCGATACTGTTGGCCATGGGCTACAAGCCTGAAATGGCACGCAACCGATCAACCCTTCAAGTCGCCTTCATGTCCTTCGTCCTCGCCTCAATTCCTTACGGTCTCGCAACAACCTTCTACTACCCTCTCGTAGCTGGTGGCCCGGCCAATATCATCTGGGGATGGGTTTTGGTCAGTTTGATCATCATCTGTGTCGCTGCCAGTCTGGGTGAGATTACTTCAGTCTACCCGACAGCTGGTGGAGTCTACTACCAGACATTCATGTTGGCACCAGCCAATTACAAGAGAGTCTTGTCGTGGATTTGCGGATGGGCATATGTCGTCGGAAACATTACCATCACTCTGGCCGTCAACTTCGGTTCTGCACTGTTCATCATCTCGTGTGTAAACGTCTTCGAGTCTTCGCCTGGTGTCGGCATCTGGGAGGCCAGTGCGTGGGAGACGTGGTTGGTCTTTGTTGCCATTACTATTTTCTGCAACCTCGTCTCTTCGTTTGGTAACAGATGGCTGGCTCTGATCGATGTATGTGAAACAATAATCTTGGAGCACATGGCGATAAACTGACTATGTGACCTAGNNACTTTTGCCATTTTCTGGACTCTTGCTGGTGTTGTTGCCATCCTCATCGTCACTCTCGTACTGGCTAAGGGTGGTCGTCACTCTGGCGAGTATGTCTTCACCCACTTCGAGCCTCAGTCAGGATGGGCTCCTGGATGGTCCTTCTGTGTCGGTCTTCTACAAGCAGCCTATGCAACCTCGTCGACTGGTATGATTATTTCTATGTGTGAAGAGGTGCAAGAGCCTGCGACTCAGGTGCCCAAGGCTATGGTTGCGACCATCCTCATCAACCTTGGCGCTGGTTTGATGTTCTTGCTTCCTCTCCTGTTCGTTATTCCCGATCTCACCACCCTTGCTGCCCTTGCATCAGGACAACCTGTCCCTACCATCATTGCCACTGCCGTCGGTTCGCCTGGTGGCGCCATTGGTCTGCTTCTCCCTCTGATGGTGCTCGGTCTTATTTGCGGCATTGGTTGCACTACCGCAGCATCTCGTTGCGTCTGGGCCTTCTCGCGTGATGGTGCCATTCCTGGTAGCAAGTGGTGGAAGCAAGTCAACAACACCACTGCTCTGGAAGGCGTGCCTGTCAACGCCATGCTGCTCAGTATGGTTGTGCAAATCCTGCTCGCCGTCATCTACTTCGGATCCGTTGCTGCATACAACGCCTTCTCCGGTGTTGGTGTCATTTGTCTGACTGTGTCATACGCCATCCCCATCGCTACCAACCTTTTCACAGGTCGCAAGCATGTCAAGGGTGCCCCCTTTGCTCTCGGGGCTCTTGGACTGTTCTGCAACGTTGTCGCCCTCGCCTGGAGCTGTCTTGCTGTACCCTTGTTCTGCATGCCGACTACTGTCCCCGTCACTGCAACTCTCATGAACTACGCATCGGTAGTCTTCGTCGCTTTCATTCTGATTGCAGGTGCGTGGTACGTTGTGTGGGGCAAGAAGAACTACCAAGGACCTCCGACGCATGAGGACACCGCCCTCGAGACCAGAGGCGGCAGTATCGGCGAGGCGAAGGTGGCTTCATGAAAGGTTGCACAATTTTTTTGTTGGAGTGAAAATGTTTGATGATTGTGGATCGATGCTGGACGATTGATACCCGATGCGACTAACACCAGGCCATATGCGACTGCCTTTGACCGATTTTCGACATCACCCGAGAGCGACGACAACCGTGAGCTAGATGCTTGCCCATGTGCGACTTCCACTGCTCGTGTCCAGCCCAAGCGCAATACGACACCCGTCCATGCTCGAACGCCCTGCTCCAGAGATCTCGACAACTGTTCCAGTGCGACCAACGACTTCCATGCGACTTTTCCGAAAAGCGACGATAATGTGTTGTTGATTATTCACCTTCTACATTGCAGAACTAGCAGCGAACTTGATAGCTTTCCTTTCTTTTGTGTGGATATCCCTTCTTGTACCTTACCATTTTACATTACAGGCATTCAGTGTCATGTTCATATTTGCCATTGAGGGCCTAGCTCATGCTGGCTTGTCTTATCCAGATACAAGGTATCCATCGCGAAATACTAACGACATAGTTTAGTGATCTCAATCGTTGTCGATGGATTGCAAGACAGAAAGTGTGCTCGAGGTAAGTTTTACACTCAAAGGAGTCTTTGCAATTGAGGCATCATGTCTGGTGTCGCTGCCAGCTGCTCGTGTACTCCACGACCTTGCCTTGCCGCTGTGATTAGCTCAATCTTGGTCTCGACACAAAATCAGTGCTGAGTCGATTGATGCTCTATATGTACAGTGTTGATGTACCAACAAAGTCGCATCTCATATTGGTTTGCTCAAGAACGTACTCTCCGTACTATCTGCAGTCGAGTCTTGGAATGCCGGCATGCGTCAATTCCTACCGCAAGGTGTTTTTCGACCATCAGTTGTGTCCCCTGCGTTGAAGGACGATGTCAGATCTGCATCTTTCGCTCGTGCCAGACAGCGTGGCTGTGAAACTTTGATGATTGCAGTTGTAGATTAAAACAGGTATTCCAGACCTCGAGCGACGCTATGATGATGACGTAGCCTTGCATATTGCTCTGCTCTCACAATTACATAGCTACTCCTATTGCTAACCTTTAGACTCCACACAGTAATAAGAAACCTCGTCCTTCTAGCAGTCATGCCCCCGAAACAAACACAAAAGACAGCGAATTCGAAAGCTTCCAACAAGTCCACCAAGACAATGAGCAACAACAACAGTAACCAAGCCCCGCAAGGCATCTCGGAACATGAGATCAAACAGAACTCGGGTGTCTCTGCCACCATGGCCTTGCAAGCGACACAAAAGCATGGGAATTGAGACAAGCAGCCATGGCAGCCGGCGACGCCGAAGCACGAGAAGCGACCCTTGCAAAAGCCATCGATAAAGAGATTGAAGCCGAGTCCTTTGGCAAAGCTGCAAAGTACACACAGACCGGAGCTTTCCAAGGACTCGCTGCTGGTGCGGGTTTGGGCGTACAACCCGGAGTCACGATCGGCAAGGTGACGGGAGCCATTGTCGGCGGCACGGTTTCGACAGTCACTGGCTTGCTGGGCGCTGGTGTGGGTTCTGTGTATGGTGCCATGCACGGCAAGATCTGGGACTTGGGAGAGATGGCGAGTCATGGTGTTCAAGGTGTTGTCGGTGACTTCCTGCCAGACTGGAAGTCGACGCCGGCGCAAAAGAAGGCTTTGGACAAGATGGTCATGCAGACAAAGGAGACCCAGGCACCCAGCAAAGAAGAGTTGGAACAGATGAAAAACGACATGCCTGATCAAGCTCCTTCGTCTTGGTCGCAGTCGGCAAAGGATATGACGAGCTACTTGCCGGGCATGCCTTCGATGCCTTCGATGCCCAACATGCCCAACATGCCCTCCATGGCACAAGCAGGTTCTGCTGTAGGACTAGGAGGCTTAGGTGCATCCTTGGGCATGGGAGGCGGTAGTGGTGATCAAGCCAATACCAAGCAACAAAAAGCAGCTCCCCAACAACCCAAAAAGCGAAGCCAATCCCAGCCAAAGCAAAGCGAGCAAGCACCAAAGCAACAAAAGACATCAAACACACAACAACAGCAAGCCTCCAAACCGGCAGCACCAAAGCAAGCACCCAAGCCAAAAGAGGCACCCAAGCCCAAAGAAGCCCCAACAGCAAACACAACCTCACAATCAAGCCAGGCAACAAAGCCGAACACCACATCCACCAAACCAACCACAAGATCATCATCGCAGAAGCAGGCTTCAACAACCGCATCAAATAACAATACAACCCAGACAGCGAAACCAGCAGCAAAACCACAACAAGCCAATACCAACAAACCGGCTGCTCCTCAACCCTCTACCACTACATCCGCGCCCGAGAAAAAGAAACCGAGAAAACTAAATACCGCAGCAAAGAGCAGTGGAGTTGCACAACAATCCAAACCAGCACCACCAGCAACGGCGACCAAACGCGCACCAAAGAAATTGGAAACCCGCAAACCTGCTGCTACTGCTGCGTAAAATATCATTCGTGTCAGTCATGCAGATCATGGAATGGAACTGAGGGAAATGGCTAGACTATCGACCAGGGTGTGTCACTGACAGATGTGAATTTTGCCATATTCTTGTATATATCTATGGCCTTTTATGATGCATTCATTCTTGATGTCTACTGAGCTATTCCATGTGCATCTGTTTAAAAAGTGGTCATGTCTAATTTCGACGGTTTTTTCAGTCTTGGTGTTTCAGAGAGGCATGACTATAAGACAGGGTCGTACCCTCAACAACCATCTTTCGAGGTAAAATGGAGCTACGACAACGTATGTTGTTTCAAATAGTTCTAAAACACAGCCGGGACTTACTTGAAGCTATTTTCTGCATGGCAGGGGAACATGATACGGTTAGTATGATCTTTGCGGTCATGAAATCTATTTTTCGTTTCTGAGATGTTGATTTTCAGAATCTTGAGGATAACACATGCAATGAACCCAGCACTTGAATCGAGCGAACAAATTTCAAATTTAGAACTTATGGCATTCGCTTGTGTTAACCATCTCTGCAATGCGGTTGTTTGCACACTGATCTACACAAGAAACCAATACTTGTAAGTAGGACGATGTATCTAGCCAGATTCGTGGCTAAACCATGGTCACCAAGCAACTGCACATATTTATGGCTTGTATTGAACACTACGTATCATCACGAGAGAAGGACATGACGTAAGAAGAGATGGTAATAATCCTATACACAAAAAGAGTCGGATGCAGCATAGAGCAATAGGGTAAGTAGCACTTTACCAGACCCAACCGTAGAAGCCCTACTAGCATATGGTCAGGAACCCAATCACCAAGATATCCTACTGTTTACTCATCCAAAAGCCTCAAGGCATACTGTCACCAAACTCTTACATTACTCAACGAACACGTTCCCACAACCACAACACCCATCAGCGGGAACAAAAATCACAGCCAACGGTCGGATATCGAGCAAGACCCCCAAACTCTTTCAGCCAAACCACTGCCACAAAACTTTATAGAACACAAACCCAAGTGCAGTTCCTTGCTTCTCCAGTAAAGTGTAATAATCGCGTGCTTTAGAAGCAATGGAAGCAAATGTTTAAAATTGGGTAGAAAAGAAGACGTGGAAGAAAAAACGGCTTCGGTACGCGGCATAGAATTCGCGAGTGAGACTTGTGTGTTTTGCGTCTGAGTTATTATCGGATGGATAGCAGAACTCGGACCTTCTTCTTGAAAACGGAAGACTTGAGTTTGAGGGTGCGAGCTGAGTTGAGTCAGTGGAAGTGAGAGATAGTTCTTCACGGTTGAGTTGTGGGAAGAAACTGGAAAATGGCCAATCTCCAAACGGTCAAATATAACCAGCGATTCTAAGCGGTTGTGGCAAATACTCAGACTCTGACACTGCAAAAAATGCTGGTGAACATATCGAAGTACCGAGAGTTCCGTGTTGTCAAGACAAGTGCAGCTCTACGCAGGATGTAGAAAAGGGTTCTAGAAGGCGTGGAAAGGACCGCATCCGTAAATTGTTGCCAAAAGCCATGTCAACGGCCACTGGACGGCTATCACGAACGCTGACCGTAGTGGAAACAGATGCGTTCCTAGAAGGATAACAAAAGCATCAAGAATCATCAAGAAGCACCTGAAGTGTATCGAAGAATAAACATCAATGTGATGGAACAAGTCAAGTCAGTGGCAGAGAGCGCAAGACTGCAACGGCTGTTTTGGGACAAAACTGTGATATACATATGACGTCGGGCCTTCTCCTCAACTCAAGAAGGTGGTAGAAGACTGAAGGCAAACAATTTGTCTCTGACCGGAGAGCAACTGCGATGTTGCAATGCCAAGGCAAGTGCGAGGATGCTGTAAGTGGCGGCGGCAATGAGCGTCCAACGGTCAAATATGAGCGGAGCGAAAATGGCAACGACAAACGTGTTACTGCGTAATTCCTGATGATATTATTCTGGAAGCTCCAGGGAATGTATCAAGTTTAGAGCATATAGACAAAAAGTAAAGAACAGTTTCAAGCATACGTTCGGATGCAATGAAAGTTGTATGTTGTGTAAGTGGCGGAACGGGCAGATGTCAGTGGCAGCGAACGGCTATGACATTGCGCATACGTTGATTTTACGAATCTATGTCACCTACTAAGCATGGAATTGACGTAGTTGGCCACTGTTGTATTTTTTCAGGGGTATACTTGATATCATTGAGAATCTCGCAAGCCGAGGCAGAAAAGTTGTTGAGGTTAGCATGTTACAAACAGAGTACGAACCGCGATCGACAAAAGATCAGCGGTGAGCATTTTCTCAGAAATTCGACAGAAGAGATTTATCACACACATTCGGTATGTCGTTCCTTGAACGTAGAAGCCTTCTGTTAGATCGCGATTTTCGAATTCGATAGATAGACATGCACGTGTATTGTCTGCCCTTATCGCACTGTTGCAATCAAGCATAAACATAGAGTTGTTATCAAGATAACAAAGAACACGAAAAATAACGGTTATATTGATAACATTTTCGAAGAATCTTTGGCTTGGACTCCGAACAAGCGGAGAACCCACTATCCACCCACAATGTCCATAACCTAAAATGCACGTACAATGCTGTGATCTGAAAATTGTTGGTGATAGACGTTGTTGACATGTGAAAGAGTTGAAGAAGCGAATACGGATAGGTGAAGTCCCTAATTGGCCCAAAGAGAACATGCCGTGAAACATGTATAGCCTTACAGAGCTTTTTCGCGTGTTTGGAAAGATAGAAGCCTTGCTGATCTCTCGCTAAAACACGTGTCATGCTGAGCTGTGCGTGAGACATACGTGGGTACCAGCATTGAACACCTCGGCCTGAGAAATGAGGATTGTAGTCGAAGCACGCATGAGTTGAGGTTGAATAGCAATCGGTGATGCAAGCGAAGGTTTCCTGTCCTGCCGCTGCATTGACTGACAGAAGAAGGTTCGTTGTCGTGCATATCATTGACAGGTGTCGATGATGCCGACAGCCTAAGATCAAGACGGACTATGGTAGGTCCACCCTAACCAACCACATGATAGTCGATTGTGTGAACACCCTCGGAGCTAGGTTACCAGAAGAAGACAGTGCACAGGAATGCGTGAGAGCAAGACGCACTGTGTATACAACAAACGGAATATGGTGCCGACCCGAGAATAGAGTTCAAGCTGACAGTGCTCAGCTGAACGTTACAACTCACAGCTATCTGACAAAGAATGAAGGCGAAGAGGAGGCAAGATTTGAAGGAGTGGAGAGAATGGAAATGTGACTGTTGTGTTGAAGATTTTGTTCATGAAATGTGTCTATATTGACAAGAAAGGTAGTTCGTAGTAATCATCATCATCTTGATCGTGAGCCATTGGCCAAAAAACAATCCCAAAGTCCCAATGCCCTTGACTCCATCCAGCGCCATACAGAAAGCAACATGCAAGAGATACAAAGGAAGTGTTTACATAACGCCACACCACTTCTCCTTCTCGGACCAAAGGTCATCGGAGGTATGTCTGAGGTCTTCTTGGATCTCATATCTGGCATCACCCTTGGCAGCATCCCACTCCTCGAGCGACTCCTTGAAGTGTTCGACGAGGCGCTGCTGATCACACTGTCTGGCAGTGATGACTTCGCTGGGGCCAGTGAAAGCTTTGGTGAAAGCGACGATGTCGTAGAGGCTAAGACCCTTGCCAAACTGCAGGACAGTGTTGACGGCGTCGAGTTCAGCGTCGTGAATCTGTTGAGCATGGCTCATCAGAAGCTTGAGGCTTTCAGGGACAGCAGGATGGGCAAGAGAGATGGGTGTGACATTGCCATATGAGCCGTTGATGCAGAAAGGGCAGTCGGGACCATGGGCGAGCTTTCCATCAAGCATGCGGAAGTCTGCTGAAAGCTCGGACTCCGAGTCCCAGGTCGAGGGTTGGAGAGTGAAGCTCATATCGCGGATGAGGGGTTGCGAAGGAGGAAGGGTAGAGAGCCATGACTCGGAAGCAGGCGAGAAGGAAGTGGTGTACTTGGTAAGACAGCAAGGCTCAGGGCAAGTGGCATCAATGCCAGGGACAGAGCTGAAGAGGGTGATGAAGGAGTTGCTGCCAAGGAAGACAGGTAATGCTTCTTGGCGGGTCTGGCGGCATACGCGAGTGATGGCTGGAGGAGCAGCCAGTGTGTCGATGTAGAGGGGCTCGGCTTCAGTCACTGCATATCCATAGATCATGAGACGAATCTCAGCAGGAAGATCAAGGAAGCGGAAGGATTCAGAAGATGAGCCGTTGTGCCTTGAAGGAGCGGCGGGGTCAGAAAGACGAGATTGTTGGTGAGTCTTTGTGAGTTGTGCTTGGATCAGAGCAGAGTGGTGGTAAGGAGATGCGGGGACAGAAAGAACAGCCTGGGGAATGGCCTTGGTCTGCTCCTTCTCCTTGGTCAGGCGGGCAGACACAGGCTTCTGATGACGTGCCCAAGTCTTGATGTTGGAGTTTTGCGAAGACATGATAGAGCGTCGTGTCTTGGAGCGAGTGGTTCTGGGCGAACGAGTGCCAGCCATGTTTCTGATGTGAACGAGTGTTATGTGGAATGGTGGTTGGAAAGAAAGAACTGGAGGACGAGGCGCCTTCAAGTAAAAAGCCAGCAGTGAAAAAAAGTTGCCGTTTGGTCAAAGTCGAGCGGTCGTCAACAGTGTAAACAGTGACGGGCGGGGCTGGGAAGTGGGGTTCAAGACAAGAATATGCAAGCAGAGCGTTTCCGTGACTGTTGGTGCCGTACTGTGTAAGTTTTGGTCGAGGATGGCTGTCGTGTTGGATGTCGTGTTGGTGTATAAGAGTCTCTCTATTCCTGGAGGGATCAGCGAGGGAGGGCGTATATGAGCTGTTGGGGGTTTGAGGATGTTGTTCTAGTCGACACGAGCAGAAGGAGCTTGTTAATATAACATCTCAAACCTCTACGGCAAGGAAGTGACACAAGCTGCTTCACATTACGGCTTGCTCGACTACGGCAGGCCGTTCAGAATGTCTTTGGTTGAGGTTTCACTCAACCCGGCCCCGCTGATGGGAGAACAACGGTCGCGTGAAGGAATTGCGAAGGCAAGGCAGACGGAAACAACGTTCGGCGGGCTGGTCGTATCACTATCTCGACGGTTGTCGCACAGCTGGACAACAACGGCTTTTTGGCAACGTCCAGCTTGCTCGGCCATTCACCGTCAGCTCAGTTGCGTGCCGTGCGACGCTGGCAAATTCGCGAGACGCTGGAAGCCGCAAATCCTGCAACGGCTTTGCAACGTCGCTCGATCACCTCTCCCTTGCGACCTCGCGCTCTCTTACCGCACGCCGTTTGCTTGCTGACGTACGGGATCGCCGACGTCAATGATAACCTAAGACAAGACACAATCGATTGCGATAGATACCCATGAAGAGCCGCTGCCGCGGGAAGTTGGCATTGCCATCATGGACCGGGGAGAAGGTCGAAGCTGTTTGGCAAGAAGGGAAGGAACGAAAACAGCCCTCACTTTTTGTCCACCACTGCACTCCGCAATATTGGCACTCTGTGCCGGAACTGTGGCTTCTAGCTTCAAGCCCACTTTCCATCCAAGCCATCATCAGCTTGACCCTGCCCATTTCTGCGAACAGCAACCCAGCCCTCGGGCAGTTATAGCTCTTTTCAGTCATGGTTCTTGCATACACTCCAACTCATACGGGCCCAGGCAATCAAGCCACCTCGAGTCATGGTCCTCGTGTCTTCACCAAGTTGCAGACCTCTTTAACTCTATTGCGGCAGCTATACTCTGTCCATGCATACCACAGGGATGTCTCTGTCGAAGGATGCGAATATCAAGATCCTTCCCAATAACTCGACTCTCTCCAGCTCGGCCGGAACAATCTCTCGTAAGCTTTGTGTAATCTCAAACAAGGACTGCACAATCTCATGGCGCCGCGCTATGCGCACGTACAGCAATGTCCACGACCATCCACAAACCTAAATTCTGGCGCCCATGACAGCCCAAAGCGTCAATAATCATGTGCTATACTAACCCGACTCATGGAGGAGCATATGTGATGCCGCCTTCCTAATTGAGCCGGTGATCTCTATTTCCACTTAACCTTCGGACCACTCAGTGAGCGCGGAGCGAACAATGTCCTCTAATCAGCACTGAAAAGCCTCCAACATCAAATTCCCTGACACTGCATGCTTCTGTACCTGCAGCAATTGTCTTATCTACTTCAACTGCCTGGTCTCCCACTCCTCTACTCGTTCACCTTCTTGGACTCATAGTCCCGAGACACAAAGACCTTCTTCGTTGGATGACCGAATTCGCGATCGACAGCACCGTTTCAATGTCTTACCTATAAGCCCGTGTCTTCGGTTTCCCCAATGAGGACTCGGTCAATACCAAAAAGTGCCCTCCGCCCTTCCAAGACGACCTGACGTCCTACTCTTTACAAGTGTTGCCGAACCCTATATCCCGAATCGGCGTCATCCAAGCCTTTGGTCTTTTCGGAGAGGTCGGCGACCCCGGCAGTCACTTCCTTGGGCTCAGAAATGGTTCGCCGAGAGTGCCATCCCATACTGGTACCTTCAAACATGTTCTAGATCTTGCATCACACTGGTCGCATACGATGTACGCTTCTCCTGTTCGCTCATCAATGGACGCGAACATAGAGAACAAAAATCATGTTCTTCTGATTGACATTCCACATGATTCAAGCGCGCCTGTATATGCTTCTACATTGTCTCGCTATCAATTGCGCCGGATCGACACATCGAAACTCCCTGTAAGGCGGATCAACATTGAGAAGACTGACTCCAGTAGTCTGGTATGACATATCTCGCGCTGATTCACTTCTTCACATGTCTTCGATATCCCCAAAGCAAGCTGAGAGACTCCACTGAAGCAATAGCTCTGCATGAATGCTACCAGTGTTTGGTCAGAGTTTCTACGCACTATCAATGACTGTACCATTACAGAGCATTTCGATAGTCAAGTCCCAACACCACGCGAGGACACCGAGACTACAACCACTTTCTTGGGACAGATTTCTATGAACCTGAGGAGCCGCTGCCCCACAAGCTTGTCCGTCTTGTTTACAATCAGCTCTTCATGCACGTGGAGTGGTTCAATCCTTCGAATCATTCGCTGGCGGCATCTCAAGAAAGGGTAAAAGATCTACATCTGCCGTAGGGCAAGCCACCAAGCCACCAGATATTCGGATTCTTGGTGCCGCAAGACGTTAACAATGTTGTGCTCTCCTCGGTTCCTTTGTAGCGGTTCGCACCAGCTGTTTCACGCGTCGCGCTCCGTCTTTAACTGTCTTGATCTCGGACTGTTGTTTTCTGACTTCGGAGAATTTCGAGTTTGGCTTCTAAATGGTCCCCGTCATCTCGCAGATCTCATGCATGACCTCGCCATGATCTGTATACATACTTTGAACATGTTTGTTTATTCTAACCTGCACACGACAGGACAAACGAGCGTCACCAACTTGCTCGCCTGCGACTTTCTTACTGTTGTACTGTACAGTTGCCAGCGTCGCGGCGCGAAACGGTTCGCCTGCACAGCCCCAGCCACACCTCGAGTTGTGCGCGTCGTCGTCCAACGGGTTTCTTCGAGCACCGGAGTCCGAATCCTTGTCCAGGTTCTTTCGTGTCCACAAAACGGACTTTTCTATGTCGAGCGAATTCTTCATACTGCTCTCGCGAAGTCTATCCTTGCTATACAGCCCTACTACTTGTCCCGAAGATTGGGCGAATGGTTCACTTGTAAGAAGACGTTGAAGCCACACCTCGTACATCGGTCCTCGGCCACTTGTGCGGAGCATACAACACACAGCTGTGGTGCATCTTGTCTCATGGTTGTCGGTACAGCAGTCAGACATATAGGTAGGGTGCTCCATAAAACCATCAGTCTTGCATCCTCAACACTCGGTTGAAGAGCTCTACATCTGTCCTCGGTTCCTGCTGGGCGTTCTGAAACACAAGGGCCGCGAAAGCTGCGGCACGCTTCAACCTACACAATTGTTGCTGCTCTGCGCACGTATCGGCAGTCCTTATGAAAACGTCTGTCCTGTGCGTTGGGCCATCAGCCATCTGTCTGAATCCTGACCACACACCTTCGTCGGATTAATGATTCTGGCACACCATGAAACATACCTCGTCGTATCTATAAGACGTTTTGTGAATCCTTCCGCGGCTGCGGTTTGCTTACGCGTGGGATACTGAGTATCAAGCGCCGGTTGAAGCATTGCTGTCGTGAGTATCCACTGGATAAGTTCATGGTTCCAGCAGGCAATTGTCCACGGTCATGTCTACGACTCGCAAACCGTTGTCAGCAAGACTTGTGACCAAACCGTTGCACAAACCAGAGACTTCAAAACTAGCCTTGCGAAGACCCCGTTACCCTTCTATAGATCTTCGGTGGCTGCGTCTTTCAGCTGACGCCCAAAAATTCTATACACCACTGCCCAGATCCTCGAACCCTGCGGCTCTACGTTGCGGGCTTGTCAACTGTCGGCGTCGTACCATGGCCGGCTTTGCGACTCCGTCTCTATCCAAAATTTTCTTCTTTTCGCGAGTCCTTGTCGTTTGCGCCCGCCTTGTCGGCTGTCCCGAAATCTTTATCTTTGAGTCAGTCTTGGACGGCTTCGCCGTAGAACCTCTTTGGGCAAATGGACTCCCTTCGTCGACTCCTGAGGGTTCATCGGTATTCAGCTCCGACGACTATCGCTTAGGTTATCGCAGCCTCGAGGCTCAGTATCGGCTGCTGTTATCAGTATTTGAATCTACCGCGGGCATTGTATTAGCGGTATGCGGTAGAGCTGGGACCCAGGTGCCGTGTCTTGCCCACGCGTGGCGATGCCGTGGATTCTTTCCTCTGTGGCAATAAGTCGGATACCACACACATACGAGGTCTGGATTTGCTCTTGTGTACCAAAACCTTCCAAGCGACTTACCTCTGTCAGCTGGACAAACTTTTCTTCTCTCTCATCGTCTGTTCTAGGTTGCAGGCCTCTGATGAACAGGCATTAAGAACAAATTGGTAGGAAGCTTGCGTACCGTGACCCTGGTCTTCAAGGGATCTCCCGCCATCTAGAGCTATGACATACTTGCGCCATTTCGGACACACCTCCGTCCCTCTACACTTATGGAATCTTTCTGCGAACCCCGCATTCGAGTGCTTTGTCTACTATTAACATGGTGCGTAGGTATTCTGCACGCTACGAGCCGTAATCCGTATATCAGGACCCATCATAGTGGATTCCAATATTCACTGGTTTCACTTCTGGCCTACTCCGTGTTCCGAGCTGCAAGGCCTTCAGCCTGCGCAAGCGACTCCACCAGCCAACTCTCCAGAGATTTCCCTGTCTGTGGGAAACGATATCGAGGACATGCGTACTGCAAATCCGGTAAATCCTGCGGCGCTGAGCTCACCTGTCAGCTCCCTTCAAATCGACAGCCCCACAGTGTTCGTGTCACCTGTGGCTGCAGCTCCCAGATCCAGATGCGCTTAGCGAGGGATGGAGATCTTGAGACCGCAGTGCAGGAACCAAGCGAAAGAGGTCCGTGCACATGCATATGCATGACATGACGCTGCACGTCTCAGATAAAGCAGTCTCCAGTATATGCAGGGTTTTGACAGCCCCCTCTGTGCGTCTCCTGTCACGCTCACCATTCACGGACAACACGTCTTCGCTGTCTTGAAGGAAACCAAGTTACCCCCAAGGTGAAGATACCAAGGACAAAAAGCTGAGCGGATATCCTGGCTCCGACCAGCCACTGCGACACAGAAAGCACAGACGCTGAGAGGACATGGCAGTCCATCAAGCGCCCAACCAGGAAGACCTTCACAGCAGCTCCGGATATACAACCGCCCTAACAGCTGCCCTCACGACTGTTCTACGACTAGGTTTGCGGCGAAACCGTTCCGACTTGCAGCGTCGGTAGCGAAAGCGCAGTTTGCAGAGGCTCAGTGCTTCAATAACGCGTATAACGTATGTGCATTATACTGAAACCGTGCAGTTGATGCAGGAGGTCGCAGATATATGACGCCCTCAGAGTAGCACCGACGATGTATAAGCTCAGCTGATCAAATACAGCTTGCAGAGATGCACAGGAACAGAGGTCTTTGCATCTGCAATGCAGGTACGTGGTCATCGAGGCTGGATAGTGTGTGGCTGGTAGACAGCATCACGGGACGTGCAGTATGCACACTTTTGACGTCGTTCGCTTCAGAGTCTCTTCTTGACACACTCACAGAAAGTATACAGGAGTGCATTTTCGCAGAGAAGTCGTCATTGAAGATCGCTAAGATGGCGTTTCTCCCAATATTTGCATACTCGCGAGACTATCTTCAATCCCCATTCATTTTCTTCTTCTTTTCAACCTGTCCCATCTTTCTATATTTCTCCAGCATTCACTAACCTAAACACAGGATATAAGAATTCAAAAAGGACATACCTAGACCCAGAACATCTCTGCTCCTCTCCTGGCACATATTTCCATCTTGAAACCCCATTGACGGAGCCCGAAAAATATTGATTTTGCCATTACCTCCGAGATTGCAGTCATCTTGAGGTACGATTATCTACGTATCCTTGCGGGGCACCATTGTAGATATACCTATACTATCAAGCTTCTTTTCGAGACTATTACACTTTACTCATTCTCTCTGTGCTATATTCCTTCCTTTTTCTTACCTACTTTGTTTACGTACGCAAACCTCCATCTATGCCATCTTTTTGCTTCATTATTCCCTATACCCGCATGACTATATCCCTTGAACCTTTGTCGCGTCTACAGTCTCCCAGGTGTCACGGCAACTAAAGGCAACTCGTCCAGACCTTCAGTCCCTTACACTCAAAGCCAAAACTAGGATACAGACGGCGCTCGGGAATAGCAAAGTCTGTGTCTTATTCCCAGAAGAATGATGATATACACTTTTACTGTTTCTCCATCACACGAACGATCTTTCACGTGTACTGGAGATAAGGGGTTCAGCTTTTGGAACGTTACTGCACAAAAGTATGGTTAAGCATATGAGGTCAGAGGGTGAACCGTTAGGGTTGCCGTGTAAGAGGTTCAGAGACTCAACGTTGAGGAAGTAAGAGTTGGGTTCTTGAATCTTTCATGATTCGTGCGCGGCATGGACAGCCCAGAGGAAAAATCTGGAATAGAAGGAGTGTGAAGTTTCCTTTGTCTATGTCTGTGACGAAAAGATCGCCGCCCAATAGCAAGAACACACCTCAAGGTAGCCACTATGCGAATTGATCTTCCAGAGAAGCTGATCCAACACCACACCTATCAAGACTTGCAAAATGCTATCAAGCTGCAGCAACAAGGTCTTAGGATTGATTTCTTATCAAGGCGTTGCATCACATTAAAGCCAGAAACCAGTCGTCGCAGAAGCAGAAAATCTCAGTCTCGGCGATACTCCGTTTTCTAAATCAACACGCAGGTTTTCATACTATCTTTCTAATGGTGATGTGCTTAGTCTTATAGATGGACAAACCCGCTCGAAGGACATGAGTTGCAGTGTACACATCTGCTAAACAAGTAGCGACAACAATGTCGACAAGCATCGTAGCGTATACAATTCTGCCCAATGGTGAGAGTATTCTCCTTTCAGAGTGGATGTACTCGACACTGTGAGTCTTGTGCCCCAAATGGGATGGAGCAATAGTAAAGAGAAGTATATTCGTCAATGGTTTCAAGTATACAAGGAGGAATAGGATATTTGGCTTCTGATTGAGTTGTCCAAAAGACCAATGTGTACTTCTAGAGCCGCGCATTTGCACAGAGTCAAAGTATGACAGCAGGAAAGGGACTAATTAAACCGCAAACCCTCATCTTTGACAAGAAGCTTGGTGCAAGGCTATGCGCAATGCTCGTGATTTAGTGTAGATGCTCTTGACTCCATGTGATTGCAACCATGTGCTCCAGAGAAGCTACTAGATATCAAGGGACTACTGGATACAGAGCAAGGATAAGTGGTGTGTTCACATAATGCGCACTGCTGATTCTAGTGCGATCGTGTGGTACACTTCACGATGTCGAGCACGTAAAAGGAAAAGGTCAGGGTTACCAGCCATCAGTGCGGTATTGATGACAGCGACGACGACATGGAAGGCTCGAGAACATACACCTTGGATGCAAATTCTGGCTGCGATGATGGTTTGCAGACCAACCGCCCGCACGTAGAAGTTGCAACTCCAGTTCTATTGTCTTGCAGTTGTCTGAAAAGAGCCTATGCTGGACAAAAAGCGTGGAACGGATAGAAAATTGATTGGATCGTGAATATGGCATGAGAGCAACGCTAAGAGAACAAGAATAAATATATACGACAAAAGCAGGACAGGGTATCAAGAATCAAGAAAAAGGATTAGAAGTAGTTTCTGTATTCACAGAGACACACGTCTTCAGCGGGTTGAGCAATGAGCACATCTGTGATCTGGGCTCCGACAACACCATTGGTCGTGTAATAGCAAGCTGGTGTCTCTTGACCACCTGGGCTCACCAACTCAACTTGAACAGCATATGGCCAGAGAGTGTAACTCGCATTGTTGCCCATGTAGGTGTAGTGCTGGGCAAAGGTATCGTCGAGGTGGAGAGTTCCAATGACTTGAGTTTGATTAAAGAAGCAGACGGTAGCCCTGTTGTCTGCGGTGATGTTGTTTGCCGGGATGATCTTCTGGGTTATGTTTACAGCAAAGGTGTAGCGCGGCGAGGTGTCGTTGATGAAGGTCAGGTTGGTCGAGTCAAAGATGATGCTGAAGGGGTTGTCGGAGGCGGAGATGGTCAGGTTCGCAGGAACGCCTTGTGCAGATGTGGTCATGTCGCTGCTGTTGGTAGCATACGAGGCAGATGTGTTAGTTAGAATCCAGTTGAAGGTTGCCAGAGAAGCAGCAGGCGATTGCTCGAAGGTGGGACCTGGAAAGCAGCGCCAGGTATTGGGATTCGAAGTGCAGTTCGTCTCGACGACACGCAATGCTGTGACGAGACTGTACTCACCCACAGGATATGGCAGCTGTGATGGTGCGCTCGTGTCTGGTTCGCCTGGATGCGCTCCAGATTGGTCATTGCCTCCCCCTCCTCCACCTCTCGTCAAGCCTACACCCAGACCAATTCCCAGTCCAATGACGACGAGCGCGGCCAGCACCAGGAAGCCAATCCTCTTGCATCCTCCTCTTTTGCGCACGACGGGGCCAATGGCGACGAGCTTGTCTCCTTGCAGCGCGCCGGCGTGCAAGACGTAAGGTGGTGGCATGGTATCATGGCTGGCTCGCGGAATTGTTGTGGCCATGTGGGTGCTGTCGCTCCATCGGCTGTTGAGCCTCGCTGATGGCGACGACATTGAAGACGCCGGTCTGTCCGACACGACGGCAGAGAGTCGCTGGCCTGCGACTGTCGATATGCGACGAGGAGGAGGCGACCGGAGCGCCGACGAGGGGTTTGGCCTGAAGACATCCATGGTCGTTACTGCTAACAAAGCCGTTGCATCGTTTGTATGTCTCGACGCTTGAACCTGTTCACAACACCAAGAGGCACCAACCTGTTCAAATAATGGGAGCCTTCGTCCACATTTGGTCTGGCCCACCGCTCCTCTTGGTAGAGTGACATACCGCTCTAGCCTATTCCCCTCAGCTTCGCGAAGCCTTTGACGAGCTATCGAATCCAAATCCTACACCTAAAGTCAGCTTCATCCAACATGAAGATCCTCCTCTGAAAAGGCCATCTTCAGTCGTGAACAAGCAATACATATCACTATCGCCATCTACCATGACAACGACTTGACCTGCCTGCCTCAAGCGTCTTGTCTCGCTCGACGTGCTCTGCAGTCATGACTCTCGGTGCTCGGAGATCTTCCACGTTCGAGCTTGGCATCCCCAAAATCAAATGCCCATCACCCTCCCTCAACCTAGTTACCTGACTTCCTATCATCATCCCATATCAAGAAACCCATCAGGCAAAAGCTAGGTAGAACAACTTCTCATGTCTCCATTTCCCATAAACCATCGCCCAGAAAGAAGAAAACCTATTGGTAAAGCACCATCAAGTGCTCCAAATACATATTTTCCAGACCCCCTGCCTGCTGCGTGATCTCGAATCCGTGGTCACTCTGCACTCACTTTGTTCGCACTTTCGCTTGACTTTGCCTTCACTGTGCCTGCGCTTTCGCTCCATTCTGCTTCCAGTGAGCCCTCACCGTGACTTCACTGAGTGAAAGCTGTCAATCCTCACTGCCATCGCTGCCTTGGCGCTCCCGACCGGATAAAACCGGAGTTTAGCCGAGCTTCGGACTTAACCCCGAACATCTCCGTCCACCAAAATGGCTACCCTTATCGACTGGAACAATTATCCATCGGATGGAGTTAACTCCTTAAGCGCAAATAAATCTACCACGCGTCTTGACAAGTATCTGCTGGATCTTATCGGCAAGGTCAACAAGAGCACCGAGATCACCGATCCGGCCAACTTTGGTANNAGTTAGAAATGAGATCTTGCCTCTATCATTGCCTAACTTCAACCAGGTCCTGCAGGTGTTACTTTCACCACCTTGCCTTTGGACTACAGACTTAACACGAGATTGCGTAACAAGGTCGGCGAGGGTCAGCGAGGTTTCGATAACTACGTCTTCGGTCATCCTCGGGGCTACTTCCGCACTGCCGACTCGTTCGCTGTACACGTCGTGTCGCTTCTTCTCAACCGCCTTCAGCACTGCAATTGTCGCAAGTGTCGCAACGGAACTCAGCAAGCCGCTCCGACTCAGCAAGCTGTCTCAACTCAGCAACCCCTCTTGACCGCTGCACCCACCAACAACAACATGGCAGCCCCTTCCACCATCAACAACATGACGTCCTCTTCCTCCATGGTGGGCGTTACCTACAGCCAACCCCCTGTCAACACCGGCATCGACGACGACGGAACTCCCAATGTCCTCGAAGATCTTCTGCACCAAGCCAAGCAGAACCAGGGACAGCCCATAAGTCTCGCCATAACAGAGCCCCTCTCCATGGACTGGCTGGCCGAACAAGATCTTGCCGATCTCCCTTCCTACCTCGAGGCTCTCAAAACCTCCTCGCGTTGGGCTCCTCGCCTCGGCGAGATCGTCCTCGTTGCGCGCAACCTCAAGGACACCCAGCTAGTCAAGTTTGACGATCAGGCTGGTATCAACAAGGTTCACGATCCGCAGTTGGGCTGGATTGGCCTGCCCGTCTGGGAGGCCGCTGTAGTCACTCAGATTGGTAAGAATCATCTAACCGCCGGCCTCCTCGATCAGAAGCAACCCATCGCAGACGTGGATGGTTTCCGCGTTGAGCCCATGCCCGAGATTGGCAACTCCGACAAGCCCTGGTCGACTCGCTTCAAGACCGTCCAGCTGCTCAACGTCCGTCCCTTCCACTTCTGGCAGGAGCTCATGAACGGCGCTGACATCAACAACCCTCGCGAGTGCCACCCCACTGTCCGCCATGCCCTGGCCGCCATGTCCTCCATGTCTGTTGTTGGACGCTACCACTTCAGTTCTAACGGAAAGGAGGCTCGCGTCTACTGCAAGGGCATGTACATTGGTGCCGAGTTCATCGTCCCAGGCGACGTCGTTCGCTTCTCTTCGCTCATCCACAACAACAGCTTCGGCAAGGATGTCGTCCACATCAAGCACATCTACGTCAGCTACAACCTTGAACGCGAGCCCACTCCCCCTGGCAGTGTCCACATTACGGGTGTTGCATACACCACTGACAACAAGCACGCCTTCGGTCAGTACCAACGCCCTCTTCCCTTCGAATCCTTGCCCTTCCCTGATATGCGCGGCTACGGTCTCTGGTACAAGATGGGAGAAGGCGACACTCTGGTCCGCATGCCATACACCAAGCTCTTCACTCGCCTCTTGGAACAGAACTGGATGTCGGCTGTCATCGGCAAGCCCGCAACTACTAGAGTTGCTGCTGGAGGTGGTGCTCCAGGCATCAACAAGGACCATACCCTCGACATTACTTACGGCGTCGAAGGCGTTCGTATGGCTCGTGAGTACTCGACTCAGCACGATGCTCGCATCAACGAAAACGAAGGACAGCTCTGGTACCTGGGCGAGAACCGAGTTGATCAGCTCGATCTCACCCTGATCAACGACCAGGATGTCGGACACACGGCTCGCTATGGCTTTGAGTCCACTCCCACCCCTCTTCAGGAGTCTCACCTTAAGGCCATGTTCCGCGCTCGTAACGCCCGCCAGAAGCTCCCCAGCCTCAAGGTCGCCCACACCAACTCGGGTCCATCCGGCGACCAACACTACCAAGTCTCGGACTTGACCGGCAGCGGCATGACCGATTTCCAAGACGTGATTACCCCCGAAGACGTCGAAGAAGAAGAGTTCAGAACTGACTTTACGCAGCGTTACATCCACAAATTCGAGAGCGAGTTCACCCAGCGCATCACCGACGAAGACATGGACGAGTTCCTCTCATAGCCTGAGAATGACGAAAACATGTCGAACCCCTACTTGGAGAAGCAGGCCAGGGATGCTGCCAGGATTGAAAGAGAGCTCAACGAGGAGTTGTGGGCAAACATGGACCAGGACATGGGCGGCATGAAGTAAAGAACATGACACCACGAGAGCTAGTTTGGACAAAGATTCATCTAGGATGTAATATAGAGATCAGAAGAGAAGAGACATCAGAGAATGGGCTGCAAGACTGGCAGACCCCCGATATTGTAGCAATAGGAACCAAATCATGTCTCTCTCTCAATGGAAACTGCCCTTTTCTCGATACTACTGTGCATTCTTATAGATACTCGAGAAACATGTCTGTACAGAGGAGAGTATTGTCTTGCGCTGTGACCTTGTGGTTGCCCAACTTCCAGATCCTCCCTCTCCGTGTGCAGAAGACTCCCATGAAACAGCTATAAAATTGCACAGAACTTTACGGAAACGAGTAGCAACCACTGAGAGTCGACGAAATTATGGCTCTCAGTGGACAATACCTTGATTCTCAATACTACTGTGCATTTTGTAGCTACTTGACTAACATGCCTACGTGTGAGAAACCACCTCTCTTGCGCTATAGCCTTGTAGGTTCCAGAACCTAGATACTCCCTCTCCATGTGCAAAGCACTGTCATAACGTAGCTATAGAAATGCACAGTAGTTTACACAAGGAAGCGGTATCCAGTGAGAGTTGACAAAAACATGGCTTCCAATGGACATTACTTTGTTTTGCAAAGTACTGTGCATTTTTGGGGTACTCGAGTTGATTGGTTTGAACAAGGAAACAGCGTCGGTAGGGGAGAAACAGAAATAATCGCATTCTCATATTCAGGTCCTTTCACAGCGGTGCGTAGTATTATTGTAAGCTATAAAATTGCACAGTAGTTTACAAAAGACATCAGTCACCACTGAGAGTACACAAAATCGTGACTCACAATGGACACTACTTTGTTTTGTAAGGTACTGTGCATTTTTATGGCTACATGGAGTAGATGCTTTGGTGCGCGGAGGTCAAAGAAACAGAAGTAGAAACAGGCAGATGTGTGGGAAGGAGCCATGGCGACGCTGATTGGCCTTTCGGATGTCGGCAGCAGGGCTCGGACAAGGAAGGAACAAGCAGCGCGACAAAAGTTCAAAACATGGAACACTTTATACCAACTCAAGCCGTCATCATAACATCTTGACTGTGCGCATTTCGTTTCAACAGGACACCGAGACACACAACTCGATACATGCCCATCTAAGACTACGATACGCGACTCGCGACACGTGACTGCAACTTGACTGGACTACTTTCACTAAGCTTGGCCAACACGAGACATCGCCATCACACATACTAGACAAAGCCATGTCGAAACGCGTTGCAGACGGACAGGGCGGTGCGGAGAGGTACGGTGGCATGGAAGACCCCGCGACACAGCAATGGACCCGCCGCGCAAGGCGACAGCTGCTCAGCTGGCAAAACGAAGGTAACAAGTGAATGACTCGGCTGTTTGTACCGCCAACTCACTCTCTGTTTGTGCANGCATCAAACCCCTCAAAGGACGCCCCGGCTCCTCTAGATCTTCGTCACCATCCAAGACCAGTCCTGCTCCCGGCTTTCCCAACCCATTTGGCGGCGCCGACAGCAACCCTTTCGCACAGAGCGCTCCTGCTCCACCAGCCGCTGCCAGCTTCAACTTTGGCCAGACGAGTGCACAACCACAGAGCAATCCCTTCGGCGCCATGTCGACATCACAGAGCTTCCCACCCAATGCGCCTGCAAACGGCAGCAGCAATACCGCTCCTTCCTTCTCCTTTGGCCAGTCACAGCCTGCCAGCGCTCCTGCCTTTGCACCTCCTCAAGCATCCAGCTTCAGCTTTGGTGCATCAACTCCCTCGGGCACATCGTTCAGCTTCGGAGCAACACCTGCCAAGCCGTCACAACAGAACGGCGACGCCAACAAGGCTCCTTCATTCACTTTCGGCTCAACACCCGCGTCGCCCGGCCCCTCAGCTCCTGCATCACCTGCTCCCACTGCCTTCAACCCTTTCTCCAGCATGTCGGGTCCCTCGTTTGGCAGCTCTGAGCAGCCCATCAGTGCAGCTGAGATCCATGAGATCGAGTCGGCCGGCCCCCGTCTGAGCCAGGAGGGCAAGCTTGACCAGCTCGCTAATATAGTGCGTCACAGCGAGCCCAAGTACAAGGTATTTTCAAGTCATCTGTCTAACAAAGTTGTTGTTCACTGACTGTCAAACAGGNATGCCGACCTTGCTGGACTCAACCTATTAACACTCCCGCCTGCAGTGCAGAGAAAGATGCTCGACTTTGTGCGCAACAAACCCGATACAGTGAGTCTGACAGCGATTCCCTCTTTCGATCTGTCTCGTTACGCCAGATCCAATGGATCAGGAGCTTCTGATGACGCTCCTTTGTTTGCCTCCCACATGCCCCAAACCTACACCCACCTTCCTGCTTTCAGCGAGGAGCACTTCATGACCAACGGCTTCATCGACGAGGTAAAGCTTGCCGAAGCAGCCGCCGATGCAAATATGCCCAGCGCATGGCAGACGGGAATTGCTGCTCTGCAGTCACGTCTGGACAGAGAGAAGAACGGCATGGACCAGATCCACTCGTACCAGTACTTTTCCTCGTCGCAGCAGTCACAAGAGCTCAGCTTCACCCAACCCGCAGCACACTCGTTCAATCCCAATGCATTCGCATACGCCCGGCCATATCAACCATTCAACAGTGTTGAAGGTGGTCAAGACTCCTTCGTAAAGCACCGCGACGTCGAGCAAGACACTCAACATGACATGCTCGATGTTTCCCACCACCACTACGCGAACATGCAACTCCAACAATCTTTCACCCAGCCTTTTGCTAACAGTATACTCCACCAGACACAATCCGAAACTCCCAAATCCTCCTTCTCGTTCTCGTCCACCGCGCCCGCAGCCGCTCCTCCCGCATCGACGTCCTTCAGCTTTGGTGCATCCACTCCTGCGCCGTCATCCCCCGCACCCACGACTGGCTTCAAGTTCGGCAACACCGCTGAGCCTAAGAAGGACGACGCTGCGCCCACCACCTCTGCCTTCAGTGGCTTCGGTGCCTCTACTACCACGAAGAAGGACGACACACCAGCCAAGCCACCCTCGTCGGCCTTCAACTTTGGAGGCGCTGCCGCTTCTCCCGCTCCCGCACCCGCAGCACCATCTGCCTTCAACTTTGGCACTTCGACAACGGCACCAGCCTCCCCAGCTCCTGCCTTTAACTTTGGTGCTGCTGGCGAGAAAAAGGACGACGCAGCAGCACCCAAGCCGCCGGCAACCGCCTTCAACTTTGGCTCCTCCACAAGTCCCGCTGCTCCTCCGTCTCCCAAACCTGCTGAGAAGAAGCTTCCATCCTTCGCTTTTGGTGCCCCTGCCGCTTCCAAGCCCGCCGAGGAAGTGTCTTACCCTAGTCTGAACACGGCTTCTTCGCAGGNNAGTCGTCTCCCGCACCCACACCCTCCTTCAGCTTCGGTAAGTCAACAACTGCTGCTGCCCCATCGCCGTTCAAGCCTGCCGCTGCACCCGCTGCTGCAGAATCCCCTAAGCCTCAGAATTNCTGGTCTCGGCAACTCCATGTTCAACACCGCGCCCACCCAGCAAAAGCCTACGGAATCTGCCTTCAAGGGCTTTGGCGCTTCTACCTCGACCTCTCAGTCGAGTGCAATAACCCCTTCTTTCGGCTTCGGGTCTTCTGTCAGCGCACAAGCTCCTGCTCCTCCTGGTAGCTCCGAGCCGCGCCCAAGCAATGCTCTCTCAGCACCCATTGCTTCAGGTGTTGCTACTCCCNCGGCTTCTCCTCAACTCCCGCCTACCGAATTAGAGTCTGCTTTGCTCAGGCAGTTGAACGATTCTCTGCGTTCGTACCTCGAATCAGCTGACGCTTCGCGGGATTGGAGCGCTGTCATGCGTTTCTACCTTGAACAAGCTGCTGAAATTCGTTCCGAAAACAGTGATGCGCCATCCACAACCGCCATCACCTCCTCAAGCGCCCCCAAACTTATCACCGCTCCATTGGCCTCTTCAAGCACTCGTGGTGAGAAGCGCGCCGCCGATGAGGAAGTCGCAAAGGAAGACGACCACAGCAAGCGTGCCAAGCCGACAACCCAGACTACCCCCAGCAAGCCTGCATTCGGCCAGTCTACCTCCACTACCAGGCCAACATTCAGCAACTCCGAATCTCCTGGCGGCAAACCTTTCAGCGCGACTGCATCATTGTTCAATGACATCTTGGGATCGCCAGACAAGCCTGAAACTCCCAAGTCCACCAACGTCTTCGCAGCTTCCACGGACAAGACACCGGCTCCTCCCGCTACTGCTCCTCAAGTCAAGGCCAATCCCTTCGGTGCCATTGCTCGCAACGTCTCTGCTACTCCTGGACCCACCAATACTCAGAAGAGCTTCGTTCCTCCTGCTGCCGCTCAAGCAGAGCCAAAGACCACTGGGGGTTTCCAGATCCCCAAGTTTGGTGCTGCTTCTGCTTCATCAGCACCCGCAAAATCTGGCTTCCAAGTTCCCAAGTTCGGCGGTGGTGGCTCCTCTACTACCACTACCCCTAGCTTCCTCGGCTCGTTCGGTCAGAAGGCAGCTGAACAAGAGGCCAAGGAACGCGAAAAGCGCAAGGAAGAGGACATGGACTCTGATGAAGATGAGGAAGAGTGGGAGAGAAAGGACGCTGAGAAGCAGGCCCAGAAGAAGGCTGAGCTCTTGGCTGCTAGCCAGGCCCTGAAGTTCAGCGTCGACACTTCCAAGAAGCCCAGCAGCTCCGCTTCTGCCGTCTTCTCATTCAGCGGCACGCCTGCATCTAGCTCAAACACTTCTGCTTCATCCAACATCTTCGGCAACCTCTCTGGCAGCAAGCCTGACGATGAGGATGAGGACGGCGACACTGACGAGGATGAGGACGTTCACGCTGCTTTGACCAACGCAACTCCTGCTAAGCCTGCGGCCGGCAAGAGTCTCTTTGAGCGTGTTTCTTTCGATGCTGATAAGGAGAAGACATCTGATGCTCCTAGCGCTTCGTTCAAGTTCAGCTCTTTCGGTAGTTCAGGTGCTGCCGACAACACCTGGAAGGGCAGTGACCCTATCAAGTTCGGTGCCAGCACGGCTACCGCTGGTACCACTACTCCCGATGGCTCACCTGCCAAGGCTCCCGCCCCCAAGTTCAACTTCGGCGGTGCTTCACAACCGGCTGAGAAGTCATCTCCCTTCAGTGGCATGGTCGGTGCCCAGCCCTCCTCATCTGGTAGCATCTTTGACGCTGCAAAGCCTTCGACACCTAGTACCGGTTTCTCGTTTGGAGGTGCCGCTCCTTCTAGTCTTGCACCTCCTTCAGGATCATCAGTGTTTGCCTCGGCTGCTACTTCCCGTGCCACCACACCCGGCGCCAACACTACCGATGCTGAAGGCAGCGCTGCAGAATCGGAACCCAGTGACACGCCCAACGACGCACAGAAGGACTTGACTGCTCTCACTGCCGATGACATTGCTAAGTACGATCTCACTCATGAAGCACGCTGTAGAGTGACGAAACTCGTCAAGAACGAAGGTGACAAGGCTGGTTCTTGGGTGCCCCAGGGCGTCGGCCCCATCCGTATCCTCGCCTCCAAGGAGACCTCGAAACCCCGTATCCTCATGCGCGCCGACCCTTCCGGCAAGGTCGTGTTGAACTTCAACGCTCTCCTCAACCCCGCCCTGTACACGATTAAGGGCCAAAAGATGGTGCAACTGAGTGTTCCTGCCGAAGGCAAGAAAGTCGAGTCCTGCATGTGTACCTTTAAGGATGGCGCAAAGGCAAAGGAGTTTTTAGACGCCCTCCATGGTGCTATTGCCAAAGCTCAAGGTTAGAAACATGGAATGAGAGGACACAATGTGAAGTCGAAGGTGCGGGAGCGCATGCATCGTAACCTGCGACACTGATGACTGTTGAATTTCTCATCCCTTTTTGGGTTTTAGTTTTGGGCATGGACTTATTTGCTTTGATTCTGAGCTGGTTGTTGTTTTTATGGTTAGTTTACTTCTTCGTTTCGCCTCTCGATGGCTGTGAATTACGCTCTCATCAATGTTCTAAATTTGACCAAGTAAATGCTCTTTGTGGTGCCATGTCTTCTTCAAACAAGTTTATGCATTTCTACAGCCAATCACTAGTCTGTCGAGTGAGGTGGGAATGGCGCCGAGCCACTTAAGCACATGTAAGACAAATGGTGAATTCGACCAAGTCGATGCTTTCTATGGAAGCGTCTTTTTTTTCTTTTCTTTTTTATAGACAACAAGTTTGTGAGTTTTGATAAACAACGTTTAGCCTATCAAACTAAAAGGAAGATGTGCATTCAGTATATCTAATTTAGCATTTTAATAAGCTATAGACAACTTTAAACGTAGCCAAGTTAACACTTTCTATAGAAGCTGCTTTATTCTAATCGAGTCCATGACTTTTAATGGGATGACTCTTGCTTATACATAGAGAAAAAGCTGGATGTAAGATAGCACTTAGCTAGCATAAGATGGAGAGTATAAGATGGAGAGTATAAGATGGAGAGTATAAGATGGAGAGTATAAGATGGAGAGTATAAGATGGAGAGTATAAGATGACGATGGACATTGTAAAGATGTGGTATCTATACCAACAGCAGCAAACTATACAGAGAAAACCAGCATCCAGGGCCATGGAACCTAGTCAGACAACTTCAAGATGGTCGACACGTACCAAGGTCATGAATCCACAATGGTAACGTGTTTTGACGAGACCGAGATCATGCAAGACCATGTACGGCGAGGCGAATACATGAGTTTATTGTCTGTTGTGGATGTCTGGGCATACCAGATGCAGGCTGGGAGACTTGTTCACATTTGCTTGATTTTGAGTTGCTGTTGTTCGAGATTATGACTAGAAGAAAGCGTGGTCACTCTAATGCCCCATTGTCTCAACTTGCAGGCAAGAGCGGCATGATTCTGGGTGTACTTGAATAATATATCAAAAGGGTTGTTGTCTCTAATCGACCTTGTCAGCATCAATGAAGCCCTTTCGTGGCTCCCCTTTTACAGCCTGCAAAGTCACTTCCATGTCCTTTGCAAGAGGAAAGGGTATGATTGTAGCAATGGAGCATAGTGGAGAGGTAGATGCAAAAGGTCGATTGTTTCTCATTACTTCGTACTGCTTTATTTACATTGGAACTACAGAGATGCATGATGTGTGACTCTGCTATCGCTGCCGTTGCTGACCTCCCATCTAGAGCTTGCTCTTGTAGAGGTGGATGACGTGAGGGTTGCAGTACGACAGCAGACCTTGTGTGCCCCACTCGCCGCCAATACCACTTTCCTTGTGGCCAGCAAAGATGNNCTAGAATTTCTGTCAGTATGTGCTTTGGGCGAGCATAGGGTAGGGGAGAACTTACGCTTGAGGAGTAGGCTTCTCGAACGAGTTGATGAACACACTGCCAGCTTGCAGACGCAGAGCAATGCGCTCAGCAGCCTTTTCATCCTTACTCCACACACAGGCACCAAGGCCAGCATTACTGTCATTAGCACGAGCAATAACCTCTTCCTCATCCTCATACGGCTGCACCGGCAAAATCAAACCAAACTGTTCCTCCTGGATGATTTTACTGTCATTGGGAGGGTTATCGATGATAGCGGGTTGCAGCCAGAAACCATCCTTAGTCTCGACATCGCCGCTGCCGGCGATGAAGTTGTAGCCCTTGTCTTTGCTGTCTTGGAAGAAGGTCTTTACTTTTTCGTATTGCATTTGGTTTTGGATGGGGCCGAGCATGGCGCCTTCTTCGTCGGGGGTGCCGACCTTTAGGCTGGCGGCGACCTTGGCCATGGCGTCAACCATAGGGCGGTAGATGTTCTTGTGGATATAGATGCGCTTGGTGGCGACGCAGACCTGTGGTTGACAGAGTTAGCGGTCTGAAAAGTGCATCAGGGATAATCAGACACATACTTGACCACTGTTCTGGAAAGCACCCATGACGAGCTGAGGGGCAGTGGCCTCAATGTCGACATCTTCTCTGACGATACTGGCATCGTTGCCACCAAGCTCAAGAGTAACGCGCTTGAGGGTCTTGCTGCAGGCAGCCATGATCTTCTTGCCGGTGGCAATGCTGCCGGTGAAACTGATCTTGGCGATGCCAGGGTGCTCGGTGAACATGGGACCGAGCTTGTCATCACCACCGAGCACCTGGACGACACCGGGAGGGAAGATGGTCTGGGCGAGTTCGATGGCCTTGAGCGAGGTGTAGGGAGTGAAGGGCGAGGGCTTGACGATGATGGTGCAGCCGGTCAGCAGTGCAGGGCAGATCTTGCCGAATGAGAGAACAAGGGGGAACNNTGTGGATATCGTTAGTACCATGTTCAACGATGCTAGAAAAGAGAAGAGGCAACGTACGTTCCAAGGGCAAATGGCACCAACAACACCCAGAGGCATATATCTCGTCGTCATGACCTTCTCATCATCCTCGAGTCGCTCCTCAGGGATGCTCAGCGAAACATGGTGATCAATCCAAGCACCCACAGCGCCAACCTCGAAGGCAGCAAACTGTCTCGGCTTTCCAGTCTCCTTGCACAGCAGTGTGGTGAATTCTTCATGGTAACCGTTCCAAACATCGCGGAAGTTCTTCAACAGTTGCTTGCGCTCGTCAATGGGCTTGACACTCCACGACTCGAAAGCCTTTTGGGCAGAAGCAACGGCATCGTCGACATCGGATTGAGTGGCAATGGGCACGTTCCAGAGCTTTTCGCCGGTCGCTGGGTTGACTCCTTGGTGGTAAGTGTCTGACTTTGTGCGTGCTTCACCGTTGACGATGTTGGCAAAGTTGTCGTCGAACGAGATGTTTGCAGTCTTGCCGGGCGACATGATGGATGTTGATGTCCTAGTGTGATTGATTGAGGAAAAGACAAAAGGTATGCTAGCGACAAAAGGAAGGAGGGCAGGTTGATTTTATAATGGCGATTGACCCTGTAATAACTCTCGTATATCATTTGCGGGTCGAAGGAGCCGAGGGACGAACACTAGCGTCGTCTGAAGCTCTCTTGGCTCTTTAAGTTTGTCACTTTGGCAGTTTCAACACCCAAGCCACTGAATCCTTCTCACGCTTTTCCTTGCCAAACGTGGCCATTGCGAGCACCGCCAATGTCTAGACTACTATATCAATCACCTGAGAATTACTTTCTGACTCGGTCTCACTTTACACCGCTATCTCCTCAAGGCTCCGTGCGTCTCAACCAATCTCACGTGTGGCAACGACATTGCAAGAGGAAGTTGATCACTGGAGATGACTCCATTAACCCCGCACCGCTCTCCTCCCCACATTGGCGGGGTACCGAACCCTGTCATCTGCCAGAAAGTCGTTTTACAATTGCCGTGCATGGCGCTGCTCCTCTTGGTGCCTGCATAGACTATTCTGAAAGGGTCCAGAAGTTGTTCGCATGCTTGCTGCGCCGTAGGATCCACGTCTATATACCAATTCGAGGAGTGTTAGACGAAAAGACCAAGGTGATGGTCACTGGAAGTCGTTGTTCCATCGAATCCTCCTGGACACATCTCCCTTGATTGCAGTAATGTGTAGTTTCATCACTGCGAGTTCCATTGCACCCATTGGCGTGAGTAATTGAAAGACAACCGAAATCGATAATTACTATCATGTTATACAAGACACCCTCAGCGCCCCTTATGCATGCCATTTCCCTATGACTCCATTTGTGTTTATGACCCAACCACGCTCCTTTCTTGCCAACTCCCAAGCGTCCGGGCCTTGTATGCTGTAGACAAGATACAGTCTTGCCACGCCATCCCTCAATGACTTCAAACTTCCTAGCCAACACGTCTCGGACTAGCAGTCTCCTCCACATGAGCATTCCTCTTCGCCAACAGCGGCGTCCTCTCATCATTCTCTGTACCTTCAGCCGCAGATGCAGCAAAGCTATTCCACGAAGCGAGTTGCGGTCGCAAAGCCCTGGTGCTCGGAGACTCTGAGACATCTCTTCTGGCCGAGGAAGAAGTGGCGGAGGTGGCATCAGCACGGCGTGCTTTGCGGTTGTCGCGGATCATGTGGGTGATGGCGGTGATGATGAGGGCAAGTTGCATGGTACCGACCAGCACATAGACGATCCAGACAGACCAGCCAGAAAGACCTAAGCGGATGATCATGGTGATGCCGAAGATCCAGGTGTACNNTGTTTTGCAAGAACAAATGTCAGCATCCAGCTTCTCAACCCGAGTATACTATGATGCGAGAAATGGTAAACTCACAGGCGCACCCATACAAAGACTCGCCAGACTCAAACTGCCCAGATGACCCAGATGAATAGTCGTCCACACTTGCGGCACCCACTGCACGCAAGCAAAGCACACAACCCAGATACCCAGCACATTGGCCCACTCCTGCGAATACCAAGGGAAGCGGTTAAGGATAACAGCACTGATAAGCATAATGGCAAATGAAAACGCAACCACAATAATCAGAAGACGGATAGCGCGGCGAGCACGGCGGAAAGTGCGATCAGGAGATGACAAAGAGCGGCGGCGACCATGGAGTTCGGCATCTGCTTCTTCTTCTGAAAAGTAGACGTAGAGGAACATGCTGTGTCATTGATCAGTAACTTGCCAACCAAACCATAGGGAAAAGACTCACATGCACCAAAACAGACCAACACCACTAAGCACCTGGAAGATACCCACCAGACGCGAGATACAGCCAAAGCGTGTGTAATGTCTACAGCAAGCAATGTCTGTCTGACTCGAAGGCAACACCATGATATTCGCCACGGCGCAAGTTCCAGACAGAGAGCCGAGAAGGATGTACATAGTCGAGAGTCCTTCTGCCGATTTACGGCTAATGATGCGCGCGAATTGGGGAATGTAAGAGACCAAGAGCCATCCTAGAAGTGCACTGTTTGAGAGCTTTAAGTCAGTGACTGTCACTTGGTGAGAATGTGATGCGAACACAAGTGGTCTTTCGCGTGAGGGTGCATTGGAAACATACCATGATATGGCAAACTGTCCGGTGGAAGGCTCGGACAGTTTCTTGCACTTGTCCTCTGTGATGGACGACAGGATATCCATTGTGTATGTGAGGACAACCATTTCCTGCACCCGCGTTTACAGTCGATAATGCAAGGTATCGCAAAAATAAGAAAAAGACAAGGAAAAGGCCTTGAAAGTAGGGGTTATAAATCTCCGCCTCACTCGCAATAAACAAATCTCCAAGCGGGGTCACAAGGAATCGCTCCGTTCAAGGTAAACAGACAGGGACAACGGTTAAAGGGGCCGCGCCTGATGCAAAAACTCGTAAAAGATAAAAGAGTTGTCAGAACAAAACTTTGAAGAGTCAGGACATGGGAATAACAGATAAAAGTTTGGGATCTCGACCATACAGTTCGCATGCGAGACGCAACATGGTCGATGTAACCAGCGACTAGTCGAGTCATTCCAACGTCATGTACGACCCGAAACCCTGTGAGATGTTGGCCTGACGATTCTTATTCGATCGTCAAGTGAAATCATGCAAAAGGGCTTGTCCACCTTGCAAACGAGATTTGATGCTGCAAGCCCGGCGACCACGTTTGTGCATGTGCGGATCATGAGTGGTTTGTTTTGTCGGAAAGCCCTCTTCAGCATGGGGTGAGAGATTTGTCGAAAGGGGCAATAATTCGCGTTGCTCGCCTCTGCCGGCCTCGGGAGATCGTCCCGGAGCCGTGTGACTCGTCGCGCAAGCATCCAGACCGACGAGGACCCTGGTTTTTTCATCTCAAGGTTGGTCTTCTCGTTTCAGATTGTTTCCTCTTTTGTTTTGTACACACGCATATACCTCGGACGTCGTTCGAGAGACGGAACGCAAACACTCCACCTACACATATGATCAATCAGGTAAATAGTAGAGTCAGGTCGGAGCAAACACAGAGTATAATGAATCAGGACTATCGGCCATAAACCTTGATACAGTCCTCGATGTCGCGGAACGTCTTTTCCTTGTCCACCAAAGGACCCGACATCGGCTTTCCAAACGCCAGTTGAGCTTTTGCTTGCCAGGTTTCAGGGATCTTCCACTCGGCATACATTTGCTCGTGCATCATGTCCTGGTAATGCTGAAGATTGCACCCAAGACCTTCGGCTTCGAGAGCTGTCCAAACTGCGATTCTCGAATTAGCTAACAGCCTCAAAGAACAAGACCTGGAAATTTTGACTCAGCATGTCGACTCTAGCAGAAAGGGATAGCAAAATTGCACTGTGCCACATGCCCCGCGGAAACCTTGAACCTTTGGAATCAAGATATCTACAGTCATGGGCATATATCTCTGGATGGCTGCAACACCCATTTCCCAGAGTTTGTCATGATCGTCGCCAAAGAGTACGATGCAACGGCAAGAGCGAGCATTAAACGGCGATGGCGCATAACGAATCGCATGCTCGACGATAGAGATGATACGATCCNNATCCGAGATGGGTGATTCTTTGGCAAGGGAGTATAGGGCGCGACGAGCTTTAGCGGCGTCGAGAAAGGACATTTTGTCAGCCATGTTGCGCGGTTGTGGGCGGTGAAGATCTCGGGATCTCAAAGCAGAAGTCGAGGGGATTAATAACGTGCAACTCCATGTTGTCGAGTCGAGGACACCAAGACAGATATACGGCGAACAAATCAATAGAACAATCTGTCTGGTTGTTAGATCGGAGGTTTGGTCGCGCCGCCCAGAGTGGACAGCTCGCTTGTCGTATCGTTATCTCGCAGGAACCGCAAAGTCGGCCATACACGTGCTTCTCAGTCAAATGTGGCTGACTACAACCAATGTCTATCCACTATGGAACCCACGGGGTTGGTATTCCGTGACTCACTTGTCAAGGATCATCGGCGCAAAGAGCCCCGATGTCCGGCCCAGGGACGGAGATTGTGTAATATGTCTGCATTGCCATTATTGTTATTGTCTCTTGAACATTACCCTTTGGCTCGCTTATATCCCGCGTCTCTACATCTGTCAAGTTGTCGAGGCAATGCTCCTCTCGCTGGACAAGGTTACTCTAGATGACATTGCCGCTTCCATGCCATTGGAGTTTCACACGATCTCTGTTCCGTGTTTGTGATGCAAAATTGATTGAACTTATAGAAGAAAGTATTGAAGGTATATATCCATCCTAGGCATGCGTACAAGAGATTCTCAGCACAGATCCACTACTACATTACTCTGTTAATGGACCCCAGAAGTTTGCCGAAGAAAACTCGGCAAACCCGCCGTCTGCTGTACAACTCATGCTGATGCCCAATGTCTGCGTAGTCGCAGTAGGTACGACTTGATACGGTCCGTCAGGTGTCAGTACAGCATGGTGGGTTTTGCCGAAGGGCCTGGTAGGCGCAACACCTGTATTCGAAGGTAAGTAGCTCTCGAAAGCTACATCGTCGAGAGTGTACATGACAGTGCAGGCATTAGTCGTGCTATCGAATCCACCGTCCAGGGTCAAGTTGTAAGTCCAGCCGGGCTCGAGGCCAGAAAGGACTTGTGTGATAGATCCAGTACCTAGTATCTGGCCGCGAAACGTGTCTGAGTAGACACATGGGTAGTAATCGATGGCTGCACCGGAGAACATCCATGGATTGGATATGCTGGGATCTTGACCAATTTTCGGATTTGATACCACATTGTAAGGGGCCACGGCTGGGACATATACGATGCTCGTTGTCGTAGTGATTGGTGTGTCTGCTGTGACGGTGCCTTGGATGGTCGCAGTTGTGACCCCTGACGATATGATCCGAGTAGAAGTGACATTTGTCTGAACTACTCCAGGCTGTACGTATTGTCGAAAGTATACTGGGTAGGTGGAGCAGCTGCTTTGTAACAATCGGTAGCAAGACAACAAACGGCCTCCACGCCATCCTTGGGATCACAAGCATCTTCGACGTACTCGCAAAGCCCGGTGACATCATCCTCGTTCTGACTCAACTGCTACTCTGGATACATCCAGTGTCTGCCACATCTCCACCCGCAGATCAACTACCAGATCGCAAATTCCTTCCCAGCCAGGATTGGAGTCTTGATCGCGATGACCTCAAGCACCTAGTCCCTGGGTACTCGAGCAGATTGATATTCCTAGAACAACCGCGGAGCTCTCTAGCCATGTCGACAACGATGACCATGATCTTTCCGGCTGTCGTACTCGAGAACTCAGCTTCTGTAAAGTCTCTTCGCTGTTCGGAGAATGGCAACATCGCGCTCAAGCTCTCCTCTGTAGAAGCTTTCGAAAGGACACAGGGATGGCCTGACAGGGATCTGGTACTAGTCACTAACAGGCTTTCCTGTAACGCCGCAGATGAACGTGGTGTCTTCTTGACGCGGCGGGTGAGTTACAGACCGAATGAATTATCGCTGGAGATCCAGGCACGCGCGGTTTCTTACAAAGATGTGGCAAAGACGATGACAATCGACTATCTCGAGATAGATAACGAGGACCGTGTGGACGAGACATCCGAGTCCGCACACGACGAACTGCGCGAGGAGCTCTAATGTTGGGACAGCCTCCCGAATAGACGTCTGAAAACAACAACCACGTCAATGCGGAGTGTTCAATATGAGCCCCCAAGACCTCCTTCATCCCTGTCATCACTGACGATGTTCTTGCCATCATATCTATCCTGAGGGTCCTTGATTATGCCCAGCAAGCGACTGGAAGCAGTCTCGATGGTCTTGAATGAATGTTGCACCTTCTCGAACTGTGCATCCCGCGAGCTGTCGATAAGGGAATTGATGCTCGTGCTCGGTCTAGCCAGAAGACCCGGATTTGGAATGGCAGAAGCNGAGCTGGTATTCTGACATAGGAGGAGCATCAGGCTTGTCGAGCTGTGCTGCAACCTTCGCTTCGCGCTGACGTTTTCTGGATCTGGCCTTCTTCTCCTGGATCATGTGAGTGTTGGACATAAAGATGTGATTGCAGGCAAAAATACTCTGCACTGCTTGCAGGTTTTTGTTGTGGTGTCTAGCAAGCCGTTGCTACCCGACACTTTGCTTTGATACCAGTCGAGTGGTCTATCTGACTCGCAACTCGAACAGCGTTTGCTGTCGACTGAGGGTGCTGCATCCGTGGTCGAAGACATTGTCGAGACTTTCAGATGTTGATAGTGGAGCCAGAGTCTTGTCGATGTTCTTGGTTAGGCGCGGCGAATTACTAGAGATGCAAAACAGGCTCATAATCGTTCGAAAAAGGGCACGCGCAACATCGTCCAGAAGTGAAAAGGGATCCTGATCTGAGTCTGTCACTGCCGATCACATCTTATAGCTGTGCAGGACGTGGATTTGGCTGTGAAAACGCGCCTCACTTTTCAGAAGCAGAGTATTGTCCACTGAAAGCTGAATATCATCAGCTCCCATTGAACGCTTGATTGATGTATCTGTGCCGGTTGCACGAGTTGCTTGCTTGAGATGGTTCTCATGTCACCCGGACTTTTGTTGACTGGTTATTCGTAGCGAACGCGCCAAAGACGGACCCTTCTTTTCTTTGAACAGAGACTCAGTCAAGTCGTCCAGGGTACATATCTTCGGTTGACGAGCGTCTTGAAGTGATAATAGCAGGCGGATGAGAGATGTGTTCAGCAATCAGACTCGGTTTCGGCAGAGGCTCAGTCTGTGAGAAAGTGACAGCGGCCTCGAAATCGCGATGCCTTTTCTGTGCCTCGGCATGTGCTGACGAGAAAGGGTTGTTGGTCGCCCATATCTCCGCCCATGTGCTGTGACGCTTGGCGGTGCTGTGCGTCGTGTTGGAAGGCAGAGTTGTTAGCGTGGGCGGGCCAGTCAGCCAGGAGCCGTGACCTTGATAAGTCATGGTATTCTTGGTACCCGAGCTATCAGATCCGGTCTGCAGGTCATAAACTCCTTGGCGGGCAGTAGCTATCTTGACCAGTTTCGACAAAACACCAAACTCCAGTTTCAGCTTGATGCTGTAGCACATTCCCTTGAGTGTAACTTCGATTTGATACAAGCCGAGATACTCGACGGCAAGAAGCGCGACGTCCAGAACAATGATCACGACGTTTATCGCACCGAGCTCCCACATGATCTTTCGAAACCGGCCGTCGTCAATCACTTTAAGCACACGGCGAACTTCGACTAGGTAGATGAAAGATATGATGAGCTCTTGCAGCGAAAAGACCGTCATCTGAATCTTCTCCATGACAGAGTAACCGAAGGTGAACAAGTAGTACTTGCTGGAGTTGGACCCAAGAGATAGGACATTCGTTGGAATTGTGAGAACGATGGCGTTGATGATGATCATGTATAGTATACCCTTGAGCAGCTTCCGGTTTTGTGTGATGCAGTGGAGTCGAGAGTATAAGACCAGACTCGATCCTGGCACCAGGACGACCCAGCCAATACTCGAAAGTATAATCATGCCGAGGGCATCGGCTTCTCCAACCTGTTTCAACCAAGCGCCGACCTGATAAGGGATGATTGACATGGCCGTGATAAGTAGCGACCAGAAGTAAAGTCCAGAGTAGCGCTTGAAGACAACCAAGACCAGTATGATGATTTCGGCGGCATTGTACCAGGCAATGGCCGTGAAAGCTATCATGGCTCGAATGATGATGGCATTTTCGCCCTTGTATCCTCCAGTTATCCCATTTTTCGCGTCGGTGATTCCGTCAGGCATGTCGCTTTATGGTTCCAACCTTCTCTTTCACGATGTGATAAATGATATTGGATGGACAGTAGTCGGAGTATTCAGAACATGGTCGCTTTGAGCGGGCACCCAAAGTCGGCGAACATTTGGGAGAGAAGACGAGGAATACAGCTGGCGGGTGAGATGAGGGAAGACAAAAAGTGTTCATGGCTGGGACTGACAACAGCCTTGAATCCTTCGTATGCACCTCCGTCGGGAGACAAGCCCAGATCGGCACATGATCGTGTCCGACTGGCTTTCGGGGCGCCATGCACGTCACTTCGCGGGGTTGACCGGTCTTCAACACCCTTGAGGCTTCGCTCCAGACCGCTATGTACATTTATTCATACAGTGTCTCTGACTTCGTCGCAGATTCTATGAGGGAGCGGTGGAGGATTGGAATTAGGATGACAGGCAGACTATCGATTCTGCGACTCTGACCACTCTACTGCGACATCAAAGTCGGGAGCTTACTGTGCCTGCGCAACGTTGCAGTATCTCCGAAGCACCGGAAGATGTCTCTTCCACAATCGCAGCGGCAGATTTGCGATCCTTGATTAACCCGACACCGGTACCAGCGTAGGTCACCATTCTCCCGTGGTCACCCCACGCGCCATCGCCGCGCTTGAGCCCCTCTTTGTACATGCGTACATTTTCAGCATCAGACAAGCCTGCTTCCTCGTCCGAGTGTCCTTTGTTAATAATGGCTCTCCCATCGTAATGTTGCGGCCAGCCAACTGTTTCCTTGAGACGATCGCAGAGAGTTGACCTTCTAGTGGTGATACCGCCATCCTTGACACGAATAATTTCGTTCTGCCAGCCTTTCGCAATACCAGCTTCGCTTGCAGCGAGAAATCTCGTCCCCATGACGACGCCAGCAGCACCCAGAGTGAGGGCAGCAGCAACACCTCTCGACTCGGCGATCCCGCCAGCAGCAAGTACTGGCACGTGAGGATAGCCAGCAGCTTTGAGTGCATCCTTGGTCTCTGGCAACAATGATATGATACTGGCGGATTGGCGAAGACCATGGCCACCCGCGTCTGTCCCTTGGACGACGATGACATCGGGGCGAGCCAGCTTCATCACTTCCAGTGCCCCGAATACCGTCCCGACTTGGACCCAGACTTGTGTACGTCCTTCGCTCACACTTCGAATTTCCTGAGCCCATGCACTAAAGTCTGATAGCTGTTTTGGAGCAAAAAGCCAGATAGCAGCAACGCAGTGTTTCTGGAAGATTGGTGACATAACATCGAGATCACAGCCCCAGTTTTGGAAACCAACACCGATGGGCAAGACGCTGTTGTGAAGATGTGATTTGCAGGAAAACAAAGCCGAGGTCTTCGTCAGGAGATTATCGAGTTCAGCAGGCTTGGTCCCACCAGCTAGGAAACCAATACCACCCGCCTGGCTGACTGAAGCTGCGAGAGCAGGCGTTGCAGCACCCAGCATTGGCGCCGACACGATCAGTGGAAGCTTGATCCATGGATATGCCTTCTTGAGTAACGCATTCATGTCGCAGCTGTGANNTAAGTTACTGAGATGGAGAGTGTTGTGGTCTGAAGATCACAGAGCTCCAAAGTAAGGTCCAACTTTATAGTGAAAGTGAACAACGGCCCGCAACACCCGCCAGCCCCGATTGGTTGCACAGTCCTACAAGCCTTGTGTCCAGTCACCAGGGATACTCCACTCACTACTACCATTGAGAAACCGATCAATGTCGAAGGTCTGGAGATCCGGCATCTCGGGTAGGGTTTCGAGCCAAGTGCTGCCCCAATCATTGATAGTCTGAGGTTGTGAAGGGATTGTCTGATCGAACAAGACCGATGGTGAGTATGTCGATACAATCTCGGAAAGTGTTTTCAGATCTGCTTCTTTGCGTTTCCTGTGTAGATGTATGAGCAAACAAGCTGTACTGAGCGCTTCTTTAGCGGCATCGGTCGGGTAAACGAGTTGGATGTTGCTCAAAGTCTTGATGCCATCGTTCAGTTGTGCGATTGCAGCTGGTGTATCTAATGCGAGCAAGATACAGATGATCTGGAACGGGACATTTACCACATGATGCCACGGAGCACAGTCGTCCAACAGGTCTTGAGCAGCCTTGATGCCTCTTGCCGTGACTGTCAACACCTGACTGAGAAGACTGCCTTGGAAGTGAAAGTTGAGAGTTCTCAAGCGGCGGCACAGCAAGAGTGTGAGATTGCATTGAGCAAGAACTGATGGTGGTGCGGTATGATGCCGCTCAACAATGGTCGAGAGAGAGTTNTTGAGATCCAGCACATCCACACTCTTGTCAGGGTTAAGGTTCTCGGAATGAGGTAGTAGTTCAAGCAGTTCTGTGGTGTAGCCGCCTTCTCTAGGTGCAGGTAGATCGAAATCGAGCGTCTGAAGATGTACCCTAGAGCGTCCGATATCAAACGACATCCAGATATTGAGATGCTGGGCAACACCAAGGATACGCTTTCTGATCTCCGGCGTCAGCGGCTGACCTGACTCATCAGCGCTCCAATTGAGTACGTGTGTCGAATGGATGCCAGCTGCTTCGAGAGTGTGCATCAACATACAACTGGCCATCCATGCGGCATGCGCTGGTGCAGTCATTCGCATATAGGCTACCCGTAGCACCCATGCAGTAACGATGTCCAGAGAAGGATGTAACGATATTGACTCCTCGAGAATCCGCTTGGCAGTTTCGACAAGGTCCAACTCTGCATCGACGACGTTCCTTCGCGAGAACAGAAGTCCCAAGGCCGCAACACCACACATCACAGCCTCAAATGAGCTAGTCTCGGTTTCATCATTCGTCCAGTAAGTTCGCATACGCCGCTCAAGCGAGCGACGATCCACAAATCCGTAGCATGGATCTACTTTGGCGAAGTAGATGCTTACAAGCTCTTCTACCTCAGGCCATGACAAAATCTGAGTGATGGACTGCGAGACAGGAATGTGATTCGACTTTCGTGAGCCAAGAAAGACATTCCATGCGAACAAACGCAGTCGAGGTGCATTTGTAGGATCAATACCTAGCGCCATTTTCCTGACGAAGGCAGAACCAGAATTGGCTTCCAGTGACTGTATCCGAGTCTGAGCATCCTGGTCCGTGGGTGTGGGAGGAGTGTGTTCTGCTGCTGGTAGGGTATCGGATATTGCGGCCGACTTTCTCTTTCGAGTAGATTGCGGGTAGTGGCAATCATAAGCATATCGAACACAGGTGCTGCATGGAAAGGCTCCATCACACTTTCTTTTGCGTTCTCGGCATGGCTCACAAGCAACGCGTGAGCGCAATCTGTTGTGTTGCGGCGTCGACGATGACATGTGGGCATCTACGACTTGCGGGACATAGGGATTGCCAGTTTCAAAACCACCGAAGTGCGACAAAACACTTTAAGACGATTCTGATTTGAGTCACCCACTTTCCCACGTCTTCTTGGTTGTTGCTTAAATTCTGCTGATGGTTGCCCATGGATATTACCCCGTTCCTGCCGCAATAGCCGCAATCACCCGAAGTTCAAGCGGAACAGCTTCCTCGATCCTGGACCTTGACACTAATTGTCTTGTTGAAGTTTTGCGGTGCATCGCCGTAGTAGTTTGACGTTTCGCCCTGATGTGAATGGTATAGTAAGCATAGTTAGTGGATCTCACGTCCCGCTGCGGGTGTCGTTCCACGTTGAGTCAAACAAAAGGCTTGGCTGCAGCCATGGACCCAAAATCGCTTCATCCACACGAACGCCATTCTTGGAAACTTGCTCAATGTCCCTCGAAACGTGCAGTTCGCTCCCATGAGTACCTTCGGCTCCACGCACGAAATCCATGTGGCGCCCATCGAACAGCATCTAGTTGTTTCAATATGGCAATCGCGACAATGGTCTCTTGAAGAACTTGCTCAATCGTCCTCTCAGCATGCAATCAATCAATATCAGATCCGGAACTGTAGGAGAGATACCGTAGCAAGTCTCGCCTGGACGACGCCATACAAGAGTCATGCTTGCCATGCTCTCGGGCGTTGATAGCTCGTCCGTCGTTATCTCAACTCGCCAATATGAAGATTTCCATCGTCTTTGGGCTCAGTCTACCTATCCTTTTATCGAGTCTCGTCACTGCAGAGACACAGTATGGAGTCCTTGGTTTCGGCATCCCAATGTACCAGCCATTGTGTTGTTTCTCTTGCCACGATGCACTGTCTGCTCTCTACCTGAATTGCACAACCTTTTTGGAAGACATGGATATGCATCACGGCGGCATGAATATGAAGCTTCTCAAGCGTATGGATATGGGAGGCGAGTCAAAGGCAACAACGAGTGATGCCTGCTATGCTGGCGACAGTGTCTGGCTCGAAACCTTTTCCAACTGCGTCCACGAAAAGTGCTCGAAGGACAGTGTCGAGCAGAGCACACAAGCCCAATGCTTCTCCAAGCTGGCCGCAAACGGACTATCCGTACCAACTTTGCAAGCTTCCTTGCCATCAATTGCACCCACCGTCCAACTAGAGGCGGAAGCCACCAGACTGAACTCGACAAGTCTTGTCAATGAAGATGCCTACCTCGCAAACTATGTGACGATGAAGGAGTTTGTAGCCTCTGAGCACAGGCATACTCGCTACGCGTAAGTATATGCATGGGTGAACCTGGCATTATGTTAACCCCAAGCAGACNTCATTACTATGCTGTTTGTTGTAGGCACTTGTGTCATCGCCGGGACCTGGAAAAGACACATCGCCACAGAGATCATATCCAGCAGCTTATCTATGAAGTTGAACCAGCATTTGCTTGTGCCGGCTGCATTCAACAACCGACATCAAGCACCAGTGCCGTACCGATTGGGTATGTATATCGAAAGTGTTGGCCCATCAAGGTAAATGCTGACTGTTTGCTTCTCACCCANNGGTTACCTACCCAAGCGCGCCCTTTCGTTGTTCATTGCCCCATACTTAATTCTCAACATAGTGTTTTCTTGTGTCTCTTTCCACCATGCCACTCCCAATGCGTGGTATGCCGACCGGCGTCACGAAATCGCTGCTTACGTCTCGAATCGCACTGGTGTCCTCAGCTTTGCCAATCTTGCTCTTGCAATTCTTTTCTCGGGTCGCAACAACCTGCTCATGTTCATTACTGGCTGGAATCAGAGTACAATGCTAGCCATCCACCGTTGGGCATCAAGAGTTGCAACCGTTCAGGCTGTTGTACACTCCATCATCTATACAATAACCTACTTCTGGACCGGTGGAACAGTTGCATACCGGACTGAGGCAGCTAAGCCTTACTACTGGTGGGGCATTATCGCTACCGTCGTGCTGTGCCTCGCCATAGGCTTTGCAGTCCTTCCCTTCCGCACTCGGTCTTACGAGACTTTTCTCATCACACACATAGCTTTTGCTATACTCGCATTGATAGGTTGCTGGTACCACATCGATCTGCGCTTTGGCAAAGAATGGGGCTACAAGGTCTGGCTTTACATTGCATTCGCTTTCTGGGCGTTCGACAGGTTGATGCGATTCGGTCGTCTGCTGTACTTCAATTATTTCGGCAGTCCCATTGCGGTCGTCAAACAAATCCCACACACCGACATCTTGCAGATGACTATCTATCCCAAGAAAGCCTGGAACGTGAAACCTGGACAACACTCATTCCTCTATATACCTCTGCTTGGCAAGCCTTGGGAGAACCATCCTTTTACCATCGCATCTTGGAGCTGTTCCGAGCCGAGTCGTCACACGCCAGGCATCGCAAATGCATCTACTGGCAAAGAAGCAGAGGTCCAGAGTGTCGAAATCGACAGTTCTTCCGCTTCAAAACACAGTCGCGGTTCGCATCATCCTACTCAAATTGTATGTCTGATACGAGCCAGAAAAGGCATGACCGCATCACTACTTCAAAAGCTGCAAAGGTCAGGGGCAAGCTCACTCCCCATATCTATTCTTACCGAAGGACTGTATGGCGGACATCGGACTGCATTGATGCCATTGCAGACTGCAGACACTATCCTATGTGTCGCAGGGGGTATTAGTATCACCAGCTGCATGAGCTTCTTGCAGCAATACGTCAATGAGTCGTTATCGGCCGCACCTACTTCGAGAGCATTGACGGGCCACATGTCCAATTTCGTGCTCGCTTGGTCGGCTAGAGAAGAGTCGCTCATTCAGCATGTGTCTACCTCGCTATTACCTGACTCTGCTGCAAGTGCGCAGAACAAGCAGATCGAATATCGGTTCTGGTGTACTGGAGAGCAAGGCAGTCAAGACAAGGGGCTTGAGCAAGGCAGCGATCTGCGAAGAGGCAGGATGAATGTTGAAGAGGTTGTGAGATTGGTAGCAGAAAAGGGGAAAAGAGTTGTGGTGGTGGTTTGCGCTCCTGGCGGCATGGCGGATGAAGCAAGGGCGGCTGTGGTTGGCTGTTTGAGAGATGGTATGCCTGTTGACCTGATCGAGAAGGCATTTGCATGGTAGTTTTCTCTGTCACTACTCATCACTCGTGTTCTATTGAGGACTTGGTTTGGGATCTGGTTGTTTACTGGTTTCAATGTCATATGGCCACCCTAGCCTCGTAATCGTTCGAGAAAGCTCTATGTAATTGCAGCGTCGTCTCTTACCAGCCATCACGTCTTCCCTGCTGCTCGCCCTGATCATACGAATTCTGCATACCCTGATCGAAGCGATCAACATCCTGCTCAGCATCATCATATCTATTCTTCACCCCTTGTCCAAACCGATCAACATCTTGCTCAGCATCATTATATCTATTCTCCACTCCTTGCTCAGCTTGATCATATCTATTCTCCACCCCTTGCTCAGCACGTCTACCCTCATTCTCTGCGCCACCAATCTGTTCGCCAATCCAGTTTGCGGCACTGCGAAGGCCGGAACCAATGTCCGAAGGAATGTTTTCGACGCCTTGGACGGTGTTGTTGAAGCCTTGTTCGGCGTAGCGGGCGAGGTTTTCGGGGGCGTTCTCGACGGCTTGTTCGTCGCGGCGGAAGGAGTCGCCTGCGCGTTGTTCTTCGCGGTCGAAGGCTGCGTCGGCGCGGTCGTAGGTGCCCTCTGTGGTGGGATGTGTTAGTGGGTTGGTTTCAGGGGGTTGTGGGAAGGAGAGGGGGCGACGGACCAGCTCTGCCTACAGTCTCGCCTGCGAAGCGAGCAGCATTCTCATCGTAGTCACCGTTGTTGTAGTCGGACATGTTTGGATATCTCTTATGGTAGGTTCGGCGTTTGAGTGACAGACGAATTGATATGTTGCTTGATGATGGAAAGAGAAATGTAAGATGGAGCTAGCAGCCAGCTGTCCTTGCTTATATACGGCTGATCATATGGCGTCAAACAAGCTGATGCTTGTATCAACAATGACGTGGTCCAAGACGAGAGGTCGGTGAGCTTGACGCTGGTCAAGCTTCTGTCACTATCTTAAGGGGTCATGGCGGGGTCGGATCAACAACCTGAAACACGCTTGTGCTCCTGGTTTGAAGTCTGGATCTGATGAGGAGTTATGAAGAAGTTGTTCATATATTCAAGAAATTATGCAAAAGATACAACCATAAACACTCCTATGCAGTCACTGCAGTCACACTCTTGCTACCACCTCCATCACTGACAACGGTGATGCCGTTTGCCGGCTTCTTGGTCTTGGCCAAATTGACACTGTACTTGCCATCTTTCCCCAGTGTCAACGCAGTCGCCGTTCCAGTCGCTGTATTCGTCAAATACAATTTCAAATGTGCATCATAGCCTACGATGTTGGTGTAGGCAGTGACTGAGAGACTACCACCTCCTGAAGAGTTCCATGTGTAACTGTCAATGGTCACGACATCCTTGATGGCAGGATCGCTGATGACGGTGACATTGGCATTGCCACTTGTGCCTGCTGCAGTACTACTGGCTTTGATGTTAAAGACATAGGTGGCCTTTGCTGTCCCAGAGGGAGCAGTGAGAGATGGGTTTGCAGCACTGTTACTTGACAGAGTGACAGTAGGTCCACTGACTTGAGACCAAGAGTATGTGAGGTCGTTGGCGCCAAAGTCGGCCTTGTTGGTAACGTTGAAACCTAGCTTAACCACAACTCCAGGACGAGTCGATTGGGTATCACCGACAGCCACGGTGGGAGTGCTTGCTGTAGCTGAACCAGAGCCACTGGGAGTCGATGTAGCGGAAGCAGAAGGATCAGTCGGAGTTGATGCTGTACCAGAAGCGGCAGCAGAGGAGCTGGCAGCGGGAGGGGAGTAAGGAGCACAGCTCTTTGTAGCAGGAGCATTGGCACCTGGCCAGGGACTGAGCTGACCAAACAGATTGCCGTTACTGTCGTATCCCAGACCTTGTGCGAGGAAAGGAAAGTTGCTAAAGTCATTGACGGGCGGAACAATGCCAGGTACGTTTGCCTCGGGAAAGAGAAACTCCAAAACAGGTTGGACATAGCGGCCGGCATTGATCTTGTTGTCGGTCAACTTCTCGCCAGTAGAAGCGCGAATGACGTATTCGCGAGTATACTTGGATGTTGTGGTGGTAGCAGCTCTCCAGGTCCACTTGTTCCTCACGTCGCCTGCCTTGTAAGAGGCAGCGCCAACACTTCGTTCTGTCTCTTCACCAGTACAAGGATCGACATCGATGGCGGAAACTGTGATGCCAGCAGTGGGGTCTGAGGTGTAACCAATGAACNNTGCTCAAGGTCAGTACAATGCGCTGTGTCTGTATCGAGACGAGTTTCGGGTACTCACCCTAGAGTCACCAAACTCAGAAGTGGTTCCACCATCGAAGATTCCAACGATAGCGTCTTCGACTCGAATGTAAGTGGGAGCACCTGAAGTGGTGATCTGTACGTTGGGAGCAACAATTGTGTAACAAACGATAGTGCCACCATCATTGATGCCAGAGTATTCGAGGTAATCTCCTACTTGGAAAGGGGCCATTTTCAAGGGGTCAGATGCTTTGCTGTGGTAGTGTGAGCACAAGATGTTCCAGCCTATAGTCAAGCGAAGCTGTCTTACAAGNGTGTTTTGTCCTGCTGGTCGGTTGCTCGAGGGACAAAGTGGATCGGAAGAAGACCTCGGGATACACATCGGGAAGCCGCTGAATGCTGTGATGGAAGGATTCTCGTCGTCTGCGGTGTAGTGAAGAGACTTGGTGTATCCCACAGAGTAGATCGCGTTTGGGTCGTTGATTGCAATGGTCGGACCACCCTTGATCTTCATTGTGCCAGCGGCAAAGTTGATGCTTTCGACCGTACCGGAACTGGCTTGCAAGAGATATTCTCCAATCTGCACGAGGCCAGCGATAGCCTTGCCGTTGACCACATTTCCAATCACNTCTTCGTGAAATTGTAAGCATACTCAAGGCAGAATCCAGGACGGGAGATAAACATACGAGATCTCATGACCGACATAGCTGTTCGCGCTTGCGAACTCTCCAAAGGGTGCAAAGGCAGCAGGGAATTGCACTTGGAGGTTCTGCGGGATCGTGACTGAGTATCCATTGACAGAGATAGTACCGCCAGAATTGTAGGTGCCGTCGCTGGCAACTGCACTGTCAAGTCGGCCATCCAGTACAAAGGGTTCGACGGTCTGAGCAGCTGCGCGCGAGCTCAACAATGCAACAGAAAGAAGTTTGAGTGCGGTAGAAAGCATATTGAGAAGTGTGACTTGAGACAATGAATGAGATACTTGCAACACAGCGCTGGCGCTTTATATCAACATCTCTGCCGCCAGGCATGATATGAACAAGGCTGTGATCATTATAGATACTTCACAAAGGAACATACAAGACGTTCTCGAATGGATCACAGCTGTATACAGTCAGGTTACGCACTAGGATACGGGAGAAGACTTGGGTCAGGCCGGGCCACGATAACTCTGTGACAGTGACAACCATGTCTTGAGGATCATGGCTTGGGTAAGATGAGACGGGTACGAGAGATATGCCTGCTTCCTTCACCAGCTGACAGCACATCCATCAAGTATCAGTCTGCAAGAATATTGTAACAAGACAAGATGTTTGGTACAGCAAAGTACACAGGCCGAAGCCACAGGTTTAGTGTTCTGTCGAGGTCCTCGTGGTGTCAACTTCATAGCTGAAAGAGGCGATTTCGAAGCCTCTTTTCGCCGCTATATCGTGTATTCTCCGAAAGCTTCGTGGATCGCTGTTCGCAAAGGCGGAGCGTTTGCCCAAAGTATGCTGGCAGTCGCTCTGCCAAGGCATGTCGTCCGAGTGGTCGTCAAGGTTCCAGACCGAGTACCGAGTACACGGGGCATCTGATAACAAGCATCAGCGTTCAGCTGCCGAGCCTTTGAGCTTGGCGCCGAGTGTCAGCCAGACAGTGACATAGGTACAGATCATGGAGAGCGCAACAGAACACACGGAACAAGACGAGAAGGTATACGGAGAGATGTCCATGTGAATGTGGTTGAAGGATTCGGAGGCGGTCAGCGCCAAGTCCTCCCCGCAGATTCAGGTCTTGGCAAGAATCATTTCGATCTCCGCAGGTTTGCAGTCCGAATCTCTCTTGCCTCTGCTCTCCCAACATGATCACAGCTCCAACAATTACATACAGCACTGAATCTGTTGTATATATAGTCATCCTTAATCAGATGTGAACAACCCATACGCTGCAGGACATATTTTCAATAGCGGCCCTTGGTAGGAGATCTGACCCTTGGCGCGCGCAGCCACATACGGAACAAACAAAAGCATCTTGTGTACACCGCACGCTGGCCTTTCCGTCTTCAGCCCTGGACTGACAGAGAGAAGCCTTCCTGTTCCCCACAACTAGCTACTGTAGCAGTCTACAGACCACATCCGGCTCGAACGCTCGGAAAATTGCTGCCAGAATAGGACAATTTTAGACAACACCCTGGTGTATTCTTAGAAGATGCAGCTCAAAAGTGGTACCTGCTGGCCATTGGCTCTTTTGGCCCGATCAGCTGTCTGCCAGCCTTATGCTTCGATAGTCTTCTGCCTCTTAAGTATGGTCTTGATCATTCGAAGCCGTCCACCCCATCCGTGGTCTATGGTCGAGAGCCCTCTTCGACTGGTCTCGGTTACAGACTCAGCTGTGACATGCCGGATAGGCTGCTTACCTCGCGCAAACGACCGTCTTGGGACTGGGCTGGCTTGACACCGCCACCTTCGGTCATAATCTCAACTCTGATTCCTCTACCTTATGGGAAGAGGCGCTATGAGCCGCTGTCTCGCCACGTGCAGTGTCTACTTCGAAGACCCAGACTTCAGCTGCTGTAGAGAAGCAAGGATGTGGGCGGCGATTCCGAATGTCCCTACTTCGTATAGCCCATTCTGGAAGTCGTGGTAGTAAGATAGTGGGGCATACTGAGAAGATGTGTACTCTGTAATAGGTTCAACCCCCAGTGAGTCCAGATATATATAGGGCTTGCCTGTACTCGAGTAAGTCAGGAACTCCAACAGCCATCCCCTATCTCAACTCCTTCCAACAAGCAAGACCTTTGCACTATGCATTCTCTTCTGCTTCTCACTCTCTTCTCATTGGCTGAAGCCAAGGGCTGGTTGAGTCCTGTTTATCAAAACTTCTTCTCAGTCCCTCTACCTATTCCGCCAACCGCACAGCCCTACAAGTAAGCATTTGCAGATCATTCTTGAAAGGAATCTCGTTTCTGATGATCATCACTAGGANCCTATGATAACATTGATTATTATGAGATTGATATCAAGCCTGTTGATATCGAGATCTACCCTGGCAAGAAAGCACGTCATGTTGGGTACAACGGAACTGTCCCCGGACCAACTTTCAAGATGCAACAAGGTCGCGAAGCCGTCGTCCGCTTTATCAACCATGCCGACCGTGCAAACTCTGTCCATCTTCACGGATCATATAGTACCTCTTCCAACCAATCTCTTTTTGGTGATCAGACATTGACATATCTCCTTCAGGTCNGTGCTCCCTTCGACGGCTGGGCCGAAGACACTACCGAGCCGGGACAATACAAGGATTACTACTATCCCAATGCTCAAGCTGCCAGAACACTTTGGTATCATGACCATGCTGTCGGCCATACTGCCGAGAATGCCTACTACGGACAGGCCGGATTCTACATCTTGGAGGATGCTCAGAAGAACGCTCTTGACCTACCCGCTGGTGACTACGACATCCCTCTGGCTCTCGCTGCTAAGCGTTATAATCCTGACGGCTCGCTCTGGGACCCTGAGGCGAATGGGGAGACCACAAGTGTGTTTGGTGATGGTATGTTAGCTATATTCTCTATTTTCTCTGGATATACATCACTAACAAGCTTCTGGNTAATCCAAGTTAATGGCGCTCCTTGGCCGTTCATGGCTGTAGAGCCTCGCAAATATCTGTTCCGTTTCTTGGATACCTCAGTCAGCCGTTCGTTCCAACTTTACGCAGAGGCAGACAAGAAAGTCGGCACCCGAATCCCATTCACAGTCATCGGATCAGACGCAGGTCTCCTCGCTAGTCCTGTCAGCACCACGCAACTCGACATCTCCATGGCTGAACGCTGGGAATGCGTCTTTGATTTCTCTGGCTATGCCGGTCAAAACATTACTCTCAAGAACACAGGCAATGTAGCTGCAGACGACGACTTTGACGGCACTGATAGAGTTATGGTAAGTGTTTACACGTTCTCAGAAGTCGTATGTTGGACTAATGGAAGTAGCNGGTTCGTGGTTGGCAACTCTGTGAGGGATACGAAGGGCAATGGTCCTCTGCCAGCCACTCTGCGTAGCGTACCACTGCCACCAGCCAAGACAGGTGTCGATCGCTCCTATGAGTTCATGCGCAGCAATGGCGAATGGCAAGTCAATGGTGTTACCTGGGCCGATGTCCAAGATCGTGTCATTGCCAAACCTGAGAGAGGATCTGTTGAACGCTGGGAGCTTATCAACAGCGCAGGAGGCTGGAGTCACGTTCGTATCCCCTTTACATCATGATCCATACTATGCTAACATGGATCTCCACATCTAGNNCCTATTCACATACATCTCATTGACTTTCAGGTCGTCGGCCGTACTGGTGGAACTCGTGGTGTTCTTCCTTATGAACAGACCGCGTTAAAAGACGTCGTCTGGCTTAACAAGAACGAAAAGGTCCAAGTCCTTGCCCGCTATGGCCCGTAAGTAACCCAAGCACATCTATCAAACATCACACTAACAATCATCTTTCAGANNTGGGACGGCCTCTACATGTTCCACTGCCACAACCTAATCCACGAAGACCACGACATGATGGCCGCCCTGAACGTCACCGCCCTAAAGGACCTCGGCTACGACGAGAAGACCAGATTCATCGATCCTATGGAACCAAAATACCGCGCCAAGTCCTTCAACCCAGAAGACTATACCCACCGTGACGGCGATTTTGAAGACAGCGCTATTGAAAAGAAGTGCAGAGATTTCCAAGACATGGATGCTTACAAGGGTGCCCCCGAGGTCGAGCAGAAGCTTGAAGAATACTGGAAAACTCATAGTTCTCAGACTACGCTCGTGACCAAGACTTTATCAGGCGGTGGTAGTGGAACCTCGGTCTCTACGACGGGCTCTAGTGGTGCTTCCTCTAGTGGTGCTTCCTCTGGGGCTTCTGGTTCGGGATCTACAACAGCTTCAGCAACCGTGGCTTCTTCGGTCACAAGCACATCAGGCAGCACGCTCATTACATCGGTAAGCTCAGCGAAGAGCACTTCTACTACGAGTGACGACAAGGGTGGAAAGAACAAGACGACTACGAAGAAGTAGATAAAGCATGAATTTCTCTTTTATACCGGCGTTAGGGCTCAACATAAATCCACATCAACTTCTCCCAACCTCTTCTGAACCCAAATGATCTGTGAACATAGTTGTTGCAATCAGGAATACCCCTGACTCTAAACTAAGACTGTTCTTCCCTAGATCCTGGTGGAGATTCTGAATCGCTGGATCAATCTGTATATTACTATAGTGAGAATATGCTTTGACAACAACTTGGAGATGGAGACTAGAACTTTCTCTGTCGGACCTCTGCATCATTAACTCTAGCGAAAGAAACGCAAATATCCTCTTTGAAGATGATAAGCATCTACGAAGAGCTGAGATACCGTACGCCTTTCTGCGACAACCTTTCAATCACAACATTAGTTCGTGGATCTTGTTGGCTTAAGGATCGATATAGCGATGAGGCTGAGGTGAAGCTTGAAAACACTGCTCTTATGATTTTAATGATCACGTCGTGTTTACGTACCGGAATGCATAGAACTGTTTCGTTGTTGTCAAACAACAATCACCAAGATATGCTATCTCCTATCTTGGTATAGTGCAGCCGGGTTTCGGAACGCTTGGCTCGTGCCGATGGTGGTCTTACCTCGCTTAATGCGATTAGCATGATTAAGTGGGACCCTCCGACTGCATACTCAACCTTTAGAGCATCGAGGTTTTGTCTGCGACAGCTGCGAGCGATCGAAACAGCATGTGAAGTCTTGAGTCAAGAAGCAAAAGGCGTCGCGTGGTCGTCTAGATAACTATGGCTGCATGCGCTTTCGCCCTAGGTTTCTCCTTAATTCCACAAATCTCATTTGTGTGACCTTCCAGTGAAGTGTCAACCACACTCGCGATACTAGTGATCATCCGACGCGTTCCACCGTGTTGGTGTATAGTGTTTGGGTTTTAGGGTTGCAACACAAGATGTCTTGGCCGTCGCTCTGATCACATCTGTATGCAGCTCACCGTCGCAACATCTTTTCGAAAACCGTGGCTTGCGAACTTGGAGTCACTTCCCTGTGCGAACGACGCTTCACTGACATTTCTGCACTGCCCTTGCGGGATCTGACAGCACAGCCTTGTCATGGTAGTCGCTCGATAAGACTCCACCTCCGACCAAACTATCTCGATTGTCATCCCGTTTCATCGTCGGAAACCTACAGCTTGCTCATGGCAGTGGCAGGCTCGCGACTTGCTGCGCTTCCAGATACAGCTGCTCTACTGGAGGTGCTAGAGGTAGATGACCGTCCGACATTCATCCTTGAGCAAGGAGCTGCCAGCACACCTAGGATCGTCTTTCGAAATGCCTCACTTGACACACCACAGATTCATCTGCTTTCGACGACTGGGCAGCCATCGCCTCAGAAACATTGTTGACTGGCAGTTCTTCCTATTGTGGAAGAAAGTGGTCAAGCAAACAGTTCCGTGAGGCATGGGCGATAGTTTGTTGTGACACAGCCCTGTCAACGACGCGGTCTACCAGCACAACCGGCCTCGACACTCCTGTCAAGCCGACTATTCAGAACACCACAAGCACCACGACCTACAGAAGACGCAGCTCATCTCAACTTCAAACACCCATGACACCCATGATATCCCTGACGCCCCTCTCGCCGCTCAGGATGTCAAAGCATCAACCAAAGTTGGCAGATTGGACGCTGGCTGACGCTACTTCTCCTTGGTTCCATTTCGTCAAGCGCTTTGCTTGGTCTGACACCCCATTTGGTGCTATTGAAACATGGACACTAGAACTGCGACGCTCTACCGCTAAAATCATGAATTCTCCCGATCCGCGCATTCTCATCTTTGGCGAACAAAGGGCCATCATGTACAACGAAGCTTTCGCTGCCATCATTGGACGGCATAATCCATCATGCTTGGGCGCCNCCCTTGTTGATGCACAGGTTGATGATATATTCAGAATCTTACAGGATATGTCGCTGGCTGCTTACGACAATGGTAAGGGCGCCCGACTCACTCACCAGGAATTATTTCTTGTACGCAGCGGCTCTATGGAGCAAACTNTTTGGAATATCTTCCTCTCGCCACTGCCTGGACTGGATGGATATTGCGACAGTGTTGTTGGCGAATTTGTTGATATCACAAACCTGGTCGTCCAAGATCAACGTCGATCACAAGGTTCAGACATCTTCGATTCCGTCTCGAAGGTCGAGAGTTTACCCGAGCTGTGGTCAAGATTCTTGGGCGCTCTTGAGGACGATACTCCTGATATCTCCTATGCTATGGTTTACACTGCTCTCGACCATTCATCATTCGTTCGCTCTGATGACCTACCGACGCCTGATATTACTCCTCATCACGCTACCTTTCAATCCGTGACATCATACTTTGTCAAGCGATTTCAGCTTGCCGATNTTTTGAGATTACCGGAAAATGTGCTCGAGCCGACCATTGACCTCTCCATCGTTGGGGGCTCCGATGCACCAAGTCTTGCGAATGCTTTCCGTGAAGCTCGGGAAAGAAAGGAAATCATTACACTATCAGACAGAGCACTTCCCCCTGAGCTATCAATGCAAATTATCAACTCTGACCCCGTCCGTTCCGCGTCCATTCTCCCAATCTCAGATCTCAACGGCAAGCCGCTGGCTGTTGTTGTTCTCAGACTCGATCCAAGACGACCATTTCACGAACCAATGAGCCGTTTCATCCACTACATACATGAGGCAGTTTGCAAACAGGCTGTCCTAGTCACACTCCCCAAGGATCAGCAAGAGTTTCAAANNAAAAAATATGAGGACACGACCATAGCTCTCTCACACCAACTCCGGCTCTCGATACTGAAGGCCAAGAAGAAGGAAGAGAAGTTCCTCCGAATCGCTCAAAGCGCGCCTTTTGGAATGTATCTATACTCACCAAAAGAGAGAGCGATTCAGGTCAACGACGCCTACCTCAAGATGACTGGGACCACGAAAGAGGACTTGAACAAGGAAACAGCACTAGAGCCGCCCTGGCTACAGACCGTAACTGGGGAATACATGGATGTTGCAATCAAAGAGTGGGAGCATTCGATGACTGTGAAGACCCCTTCCGCTATCGAATACAAGATACGCGGTCCATCTGAAGACCCCAAGCCTCGATAGGTATCTGCTACATCTTTTCCTGACCTTGATGAACATGGTGAGGTCTACTCGATACATGGCTGGCTTGTAGACATCAGTGACCGTCTGGCAAAGGAAAACTTGCTCGCTCAAAGACTCGAAGATGCGCTCGAAACGAAGACCGCTACCGAACACTTTCTTGACAGTATGTATGCTCATTGAAATGTCCGGTTTTGGCAACTGAAGAACTTTTGCTAATCTGAGCCTTAGNTGGTATCTCACGAGATGAGGAATCCTCTCAGCGCCATCTTCCAATGCTCCGACGAAACCTTAGATACCATTCACAAACACATGAACCAGCCAGACACATCACCTATAACCTTGTCACAGCTCAAAAGTTTGGAAGATGCAGCTCATACAATTGCGTTATGCGCTCAACACCAGAGTGGCATATTCAATGACATTCTCACCGTCAGCAAGCTTGATTCTCAATTGCTCACTATCATGCCGGAGAAAGTTCGACCAGTAGACATAGTGCAAAGAGCATTGAAGATGTATGCACAGGAAGCGAAAAGGAGCGGTATTACCACTTCCATCGACATTCAGGATACCTATGCTAAACACGTCTCGGAGTTTGTCGTGGTAGACCGCAATCGCCTTTTACAGATCATCATGAATTTGCTCACCAACGTGATCAAACACACGAGATCGTGTAGAGAACGATCGATCGTCATCTCATTGAGTGCTTCTATTTCCGAGCCAGATGACGTCTCGGCTCAGAACGCTTTCATGCCACTGACTCCGAGAAGATTGAGTAGCCCCTTGACGACTGCAGAACATGACCACTTCAGCGCTGCTTTCGAAAGCTTGTGTGCTGGAGATGAGATCCACCTGCACGTCGCTGTCCAAGATGCGGGCTGTGGTCTGTCAGAAAGCGAGATGTGTCATCTCTCCAGAGGATTTTCACAGCCGAAGACTCACGGACAATACAGTGACTCCGGACTGAACCTCTTCCTAAGTAAAGAGTTGATCGAGCTGCAAGCTGGCCGAATTGGTGTCACCAGTACCGAAGGGATCGGAACAAGCTTCTCCTTCTACATCAAGTGCAGAAAGCACGTCGAAGAACTAGCGCCTACGCTATCGGCTACACCAAAACTGCCTCACAACAAAGGCCACAGACCTCGCATGAGCCGCACAGAAGCCTTCGACGACAAAGATCTCGAATTCACTCGCCAGCCCTCTCCAGTGAGAGGTTTGCACGTCTTGGTCGTAGAAGACAATCCACTCAACCAGCGCCTCGTCGCCAAACAGCTACGCAACCAAGGCTGTACAGTCCACACCGCCGACCACGGTCTCGATGCCTTGGAGTTCTTATCCAAGACTAATGTTTCTTCCTCTCCATCCTCAAACACAAAGCTTGATATTGTGTTACTTGACATTGAGATGCCTGTCATGGATGGACTCACATGTATCCGCAAGATCCGAACTTTGGAGGAAGAAGGCTTCTATACGCGACGAGTACCTGTCATAGCTGTTACGGCCAATGCTCGCGACGAACAAATGAAGGAAGCATTGGAGGCGGGCATAGATGAGGTCGTCACGAAGCCGTTCAGAATCCCTGAGTTGCTGGTACGCATGAGTGAGGTAGTCAGTGGTCAGCATTTGGCATGATCCAAACCTGTCTCTATTGTTCTCTGTCACCGAGGATGGGTCTGCGACATAGAAGACAGAGTGGAGGATATCTCGGTACTACCTGGTATCAAACAACAAAGGACCGGGCAGTCGTAGAGAAAAGAAAATCATGAATAATGAAATATAGATATAACAAAAAATACTCTCAAACACATCGAGCTTGAACAAGAAAGTCAGTGAGCCAGTAAGAGCGCAACAAATGAGAATCTGGATTTTCTGTCGTCTTATCGTTACTCAAGGAGTGTGCTTTTGTCCCCCTGCTCCTCTATCGTCGTGAAAGCGCTTTTCCAGATGCCGACTCCATCCTGCACTCCTCCCGCAACAAATCCGCCATAACAAGCCATTAGTGATTAGATAAATGATAGTAAAGAAGAGAAAGAACAAGAAATGAAGTACAGAAATCAAACAAACATGCATCATCGAGCATCCTTATGACAAAAAGAATCTTGTGACTTTTTGCGAAAGCCACTAGCCATAGAAAGAGGGTGTAGAGCTCAGAATCTAGCACCACCCCAAGTCTCCCTATGACTCTGACTCTGAGATTGACTCTGCGACCCGCCCCTCGAATCACTGATATCAAACCCAGTATCAGCGCCCCCTACATCAAACGAATGCGCAAAATCATGAGTATCTGTGCCACCACCAAAAGCATTAGTATGAGTGCTAGCAAAAGAGTCTTGTCTTGCTGACTCATGCTGTTGAGGAAGCGCAAACCCATCATGTTGGGAAAAGTCTGCTTTCGCAAAACCAAAGCCTTGATGCGTGGGAGGTGAAAAGTGAGTAACTTGCGTAGTTTCCGTATCTTCAGGCACAGCAGAAAAACTGTGTTGACGGGATGTGGCATCGATGTCTGAAGTCCCGTTTCCAGCACCAGCGAAGGCTTGATGGACAGATAGTGAAAATGAGTCTGACAAAGAGTTGAGGTGGAAAGTGTCGGTCAAGCCGCCAGCAGCGGCAGTGAGGTGATCAGCCAAATCTGCGCCATTGCCATTGCTGTAATCGGGGAAGGCGGCGGTGGCGGGAGAGTTTGGTTGGCTGAAGAGGGCAGCGAAGTCAGTGGGTGTTGCGTTGGAGCTTTGTAGCCAGGGCGTTGTGGTGCGTGACGGTTGTAACAAGAGAGGATCTGTGGCCGCAAGGTCGAGATCTAGAGTATGGATTGCAGAGGAGAAAGCGGCAGAGGACTGGGGAAGCGGTCGATGGGGTGATAGAGCTGAGCTGTCGAGGGAGATGGAGACGTTGCCATTGCTGAAGTCGAAGGAGTTGACATCGTGCAAGCTATGCTGTTGAAGGTTTGGTTGACTGGTGTGCGGTAAGAGAGGGTCGAGGACGGTGGAAGCAAGGTGATCGAGGTCGGAAGTTGACGTTGGCAGCAGCCAGGAAGTATTGTAGCCCGCTGTTGCCTGTGTATCGTGCAAATTAATGGGTGAGGCCAGTCCATTCGCACTTTTTTGAGAGGGGTCGGGATAATGGTGACCTCCGTTCATGGCGGATAAGTCGAAGCCCGCATAGTCGTGGCTTCCTCCACCGTAGGCGTCTTGGACGCTGAGAGCAGTTTCCTGACTATCGCTAGCAGACTGAGAGATCTGACTAACGCCACCTGCAGACAAGGGAATCGCGTCGTCGAACGCACTTACCATGTCCAGATACTGCCATGTCGTCACTGCAGACTCTTTGTTCGCCGCATGTGAGAATGAGAAGTGGACAGTCAAGACTACTTGAGGTTCGCCCAGCTCTGTTCTTACGATGATCTCTTGAACAGCTGTGAGTTCGCCCAGAGCTGAAGAAACCTCCAGGAATTTCTTTGAGAGCTGATTGTGACGATCCTCTGTAGTCTCATCTTGCTGCAGAGGACGGTTTTCGAGTTCAGTAGCCTGTCTCTGAAGCAACACTACATGATAGAGGTAGCGGGCCCAGAAAGTGCTGGAGAAAGGAACATAGTACTGGATCATACCACCGCCTTGGTTGTAGTGACCATTAGAGTCGACCTCGAGAGCATCATTGTTCTCAGGAACTTCGGCTGCATCATACTCTTTGGTGAAGTTGAGCCAGTCCTGGTGCATATCTTCGGTCAACTCGTAGTTTTGGTTGTCGTAGAACTGGCGATTGCCCGATCTATCGCAGTACATGGGTCGACCATTGAGATACAGTCTTGTGCGACTACTGACAGAAACAGGAGGATTGCGAGCATAAGCCTTGAAGACCCAACGGATGGCCAACTCTGTATCGCCGACCAGATTCTTCGAGTGAAGCACGATAGGCACGTGCAGAGCCAGAAACTTGCCCCTGGCAAACCTTTCAAGTGGAACATTGGCGAGACCGGGGNNGAAACAATCGTAGAGCTCTGCTTGAGTCTGTACGAAGCAGCTGCTGGGGCTGAAGCCTTCGGTGGCACTATATGTGTGCAATGTTTCTGGTCCTTTGCAAGAACGCATGAACATGCAGAACTCTTCAGGCTGCAGGTCGAAACCGGTTTGCAGAGAGTAGTTGCGGCGTTGGTTCAAAGAGCTCATGCGCGATTGCGTGTCAATATGGTATACAGATGCTCTTTTACGAGCAGCTTTGGTAGCTGCTGACTCCTTCTCACCTGGTGTAGCGAGGAATCGCATGACNTTTTCAATGTCAGCATTGCTGTCGATTCCTATCACGAACAGGCCAAAACACTTACTGATTGCCTCGTTCTGTACGAACGGCTTCAGCACCTGGATGTGGCTCGAAACCTGCTTTCGGGTGCGGACGTCTCCAGTGTTTCGAAAGATGTAATCTGCGATCAGTTCGTTCCTTCCCATCGCTTTTGCATCGTCGTTGTGTTGTTCACCCGGAGCTTTCGACTTCTTGCGGCCACATGGAGGGTGGCGGCATAGAGCTTGTACCAGATCGTGTTAGCAAGCATGCCACGATCATGGTCATACAGTATACGAACCAACTATGAAAGCGTCTTCGATATGATCGGGCCATTTCGCGTCTTCCTTGCTCCCCTTCTTCTCCTTGGGTTGTCGATTGCGATACTTAATGTAGCCATCACACCGTAGAAACCTTGATGCAAGAAGCCTGGCTTTCCTCTCTGCCTCCTGGTCCTTCTCTTGATCGTCGGTAGGCATGCTGCCTAAGCCACGGAATCTGCCCCGATTGGCATTGTTGAGCAAGTGTTGAGGGCCTGGGTCGAACTTTTGTGCTAGTCCTGCCATCCAAGGAAAGTGAGGCTTGCCAGGTCGACCTCGACCGAACTGTAAATGTTGGTAGGCTGAGGCTCTGCCGCCAGCGGAGCCACAGGTCGAATCATCGTTGATATGAGTGTAGTAGTCCTGGGTGTCCTGAGTTTGCAGGTACCCAAGCTGTCTGTTTCCACACTGTTCTCTAAGGATACGAGAGTCCTGATCAACTTCAGACCACAATGGAGCGTTAGACGGGACAACTGGGGTTGGGAGGAAAGATTCCATCATCTGGGAATAAGCTTCGAGGCAGAAGAATGGAGTGTGAAGAATGGATTGTGTTTGTAAGAATGCTGATGATGAATATGGTTTACAATGAGAGAAAGAAAGGATCGTAAAAATCTGGATGGTCAAAGGAATGACTTGGGCGAATAATAGGTAGTGAATAGGATCATTGCCATTGGACCGATTACATGTTTATAGAACTGGTGCTCATCCAAGGGACATCTACAGAGGCCACGACCCATGGGCCAATCTCGGCAGGGGTCATGGCCTTCGAAGGAGGTCTACAGTGACAGGCTGAACTTGCCGTAGGAACTGGCCGGCGGTCGCGCAGCGCCATAGATACCACCGTCTGATGGAATTCATCATTTCATCGACAGCAAGGGTCCCGACATGACGTGTGGGGAGACATGAACGATCGTCTACAGTGGCGCTGACTGTGTCCGGAAAGGGAACGTGAAGGTGGTGGGCTAATTTCACCTCCCACACGACCCAGGAATGCGATCAAGCAGGAGCCTCGACTAAAAGGGCCTCGATCGACTGATGCGCGTGCGAGTACGTGACGAAAGGGCAGGTACCAACCTTCATCAGAGGAGACAAATTATCCGATACGCACCTGTTGGGTTACTAGAAGTACCTGTCAAGTGAGCAAAGCCAAGGGAGAGGGTAAGTGTAAGATTGAAAGGTGAGAGCGTACAAGCAAGGGATCTTGCCGCACCCCCAAAGATCTCGAAATTTAATGCTGCACTCACGCCTCTTCCAAACCATCTTGATCGTCGCCCACACGGAACTTCTTACGACCGCCGCTGGTGAGTTTTTGCAGAGCGACTTTATTGAGCTGGGAGCCGGCCTTCTTTGCCATGGCTTCGATTTCGGCTTCGGCGTCTTCAGGGTCTTCGGCAGCAAAGTCGAGAACCAGTCTACGACCCAGCAAGTGAGTGTCGCGCAGAGCATCCATTGCATTCTCCGCTTCCTTCGGTGTGGTGAAGTCAGCAAAAGCAAAACCGCGAGCTCCTTTATCGAATTTCTTCGGAACGCGGACAGAGCGGAGTTGTCCATATGCAGCGAAGAGAGCGCGCACGTCCTTCTTGGTCGCTTCGAATGGCAAGTTCTTGATGATGATCTTGGTTCCCCGAGCAGCGAGCTTCTTAGCCTTGTCTTCTTTGCGACGCTCTTCAGCGGCGTCAGTAGCCTTGTGCGACGCACGTAGCTGCAGCTTGTGACCATCGAGACTGTAGCCATCCATTGCCGTAATGGCAGCTGCAGCCTGTTGCTTGCCAGCAAACTCCAAGAAACCAAAACCCATACTGAGAACCTGACCAGGCTTCTTGGGGTCTGTCTTCGTCTTGACTCTTGCTGTCAAGAAGCCAGATAGCGGACGGAAGATGTCCGTCAGGCGATCTGTTGTAGTGGAGAAGTTGAGGTTTCTCACGAAGAGAGTGCTGGTAGTACCAGCAGAGACCTCCGTGCCAGTCTCTTGCAGCAACTCGCTAGCTGAAGCTTTGGCATCGAGACCAGCCTGTGTGGTCTCTCTGTCCGTACTATCAGTAAGCGGGGCTGTTGCCTGGAATAGATCCTTAGGTGCCTTCTCAAGGAAAAGAACGGACGTGTGGATCTTGCGATAAGCCAGGGAGGCAAAAGCAGCACGAGCTTCGGGAGCATGTTCAAACTCAACGATAGCGATAGTGCCTGATGGAGGCATCAGGAATCTCTTGATCTTGCCATGTTGCTCGAACAGCTCCTTCAGCTCACTAGCCTTGGTTTCATATGGGAAGTTCTTCACCAGGATTGCTGTGTCGCCTCGTTCCCGCTTCTTGAAGGCATCCATATCAACACCGTTCTGCTTGAAGTATGACTTGGTTTCCTGGATAACATGAGTCTCGGCATGTGCCTGCTTGACGGCCGCGTCAGATGAGGTGGGATCCAACAATTCTGACTTTGAGACACCAAGACGATCGGCGACCGAAGACATGACAGCATCGGCGTTCATGTAGAGCGAGTTCCAATTGAAAGTAGCTGAAGCAGCCTCACGCTTGCGCTTGATGGCCTGCTGCTTCTTGAGGGGAAGTTTTGACAAGGCAAAGTCGTCAAGCTTGTCCTCCCGCTTGGCAGCAGCAGGGAGGATGTGCAGCAGGCGACCCTGGAACACCTTACCATCCATATCACGCAATGCTTTCAAAGCACTGTCGGCATTGGTGAAGTGAAGGTATGCGAAGCCTTTGGTAGAGCCTGTCTTGGGGTCTATTGGTACGTGAACNCTAAAGCCATGATGCGTTAGCCAGCTGCTCTCGAACGATAAATGCAGATAATGAAGATTGTGCAAGCTGGTGTGTTTTTCAGACTAGAGAGGCATCTACTAAAATACTCTTCCTGAGTTCTCAGCATCTGCACATAGTGCATAAGCTGTCCCTATCAGGTGTTCATCCTTGAACCAGCACGCTTTGGGTTTGAGAAACGAAAAAAGTGTAGTGCTTACCTCTTCAAGATTTTCAAAGTCGGTGAAAGCGCTTCGTAAGTCGTCTTCTTGGGTAGCGTAGGAGAGATTTCGTAGATACAGACGTTGACTTGCTCTGACCTTCTCTTCGACCTCGTCTGTTGGTGGTGCAGGCTCATCTTCGAAGCCTTCGAATTCCTCGTCTTTCGTCGAAGGCTCCGGTTGAGGGACGGGTTCGGGACTCGGCGATGCGGCGACAGTATGCGAGGGTCGTGTCGTAGTAGCGGCCTCCTCCTCTTCGTCGTCGTCTGCCAGACCGAGAAGTCTGCTTGTACGTGAGCGCATCCAGTCGTCGTCGTTCATGACTGTGTCTTGTTCTGTGGCCGGCTCGGCACTCTCACCCACTTGGGCTATCTCGGTGGGAGCAGGCTGATCAGGGTCCATAGCATCTGTAGTGGGTTGTACTGGGAGAGGTTTCACGGCTGGCGCTGCGCTCTTCGGTTTCTTGGGCACGTTCTCATACTCGGAATCACTGTCGGCTTCGGGCACGACGACCTTGGTGTCTAGTTCTTGAGCAGCGATATTGACCTCCTCACCTCGGGTGCCACGAAGTTTGGAAGGAGCCTGCATGGCGTTCAAGAACTCGCTCAGCTTGGGGTCCTTCTCTTTCGTCTCGGGCTCGGGAGTGGCGCGTTTCCGCTTGAGGTTTGCTACGATGGGCTCGGCATTTGCATTGTGTGCGGGCAACTTGGCCATTGCCAAAGGATGTTGCGACGATTGACCTTGCCTCCTTGTTGGAGCCTCACCAATCTGGTAAGATGGTCAGTAGAAGCTTGGATGAAGAAAATGAGAAAGCGACGTACGGGTCTGGCCAGCTCAACGCCGATCTTGGACATGCGGATGAAAGTACGGTTGAAGTACTTGACGGCCTTTTGAGCATCTTCAGGCGACTTGTATCCGACATAACCAATTCGGCGCTGAGGAAAGAGTCTGGCGTCGGTGACTTCATATTTGCCAAAGTGCTTCTTGAAGTCGGCCTCGCTCATGGTGGGGGCAGCCCCCGGACGAAAATACGAGATGACTCTGACTCCATGGTATAATGCAGAGATAGGGAGGGAGAAAAGAGATTGGTAGAGAAGAAGAGATGATGTAAAAAATTTATGGAAGGTGCAAGATTGTCGAGATTTGCGCGCGGCAGCTTTGCGGCGGCCGGCGACTCGCTCGGCTTTGCACGTGCCCATCTCCAAGCGACGCGACTCCTCCCAACATCATCCAGTCAGTCCCAATCACTTTCCTTTGGAAGTTATAGACTGTAGAACTGCAAAGACCCATCATCAACATGTCCGACGAGAAGACCACAACAAACCAGCAGCTCGAGCAGACCGAGAGGCTCGAGGGTAAGTCAGAATGCTGGTCTGCACTCACTATCAGGGGCAGTTGAGCTAATGCTTTGCTCACAGCCCAGGTCAAGTCTGCAGACATGGTATGACATTTGTGGCTGTCTTTGAGTGCGTATTCGTGGCTCATGTTGTTACCTAGACCGAGGACATGCAGGCAGAAGCCATCGAAGTCGGTAAGTTGAGGGCTTTGTGGAGACTCTCGTATGCCGAGAGTGATGGCCAGGAGGGAGTATGCTAATCAATGTCTTGGGTACAGCACAAGAAGCCATGGAGAAGTTCAACATCGAAAAGGTCAGTCTGATGTGATGTGAAGTTTAGCCAGGTCGCGTACAAGCGCTGATCTTACGATCCAGGACATTGCACACCACATCAAGAAGACGGTTCGCCAAAATCCGACACAGCCACTCTAAAAGGGAGAGACTAATGGCTACACAGTTTGATGAGCGCAAGGGTGTTACCTGGCACTGCATTGTCGGCAGAAACTTTGGCAGCTTCGTGACCCACGGTAAGGTCCCCCGCTAGTTGTTGGAGATATTGAATACTGATACATTCATACAGAGACCAAGCACTTCATCTACTTCTACCTCGGACACTGCGCCATCCTGCTGTTCAAGACTCAATAGGAGTGTAGACAAAGCAGAGTAGAAGCAACGTCGGGATACCCATGGAGTCGAGGAGCAGTGGAGTAATCAGAAAAGGGCAGACTTGATTCAGAGGCAATCAGATATGCCCCTTGTGGTTGTCAGCTTCGGAGAGGAAAATATACCAGCACAATTTCAGCAAACTGACAAGACCATAATTCACATATGCTCCCTCCCCATGTGCTAAAGACTGTTATACAATAGCTATAGAAATGCACAATACTTTCCAGAATAAAGTGCTGTCCAAGGAGAGCTATCATTTTAAGGCTGCTTCTATGGCCACATGTCTGATATTATCAACAACTGTGCATTTCTACAGCTACACGAGTTACGTATTATAGCACGTGGAGGGCAGATTTCATAGAGGCTGGCTGTCACATGCAAGAGCGTCGGGTCTTGGCACTTCAAGTCAGCCACACTCTCTGAAACATGCGACCAGTTCACGATCGACGTTGCTCTCTCTCTCTCTCGAGTTGAGAATGCGCCTATAGCATATTGAAACACAGCACAACGACCATCATGTTAACGAGCGACGACATATTGGAGCAGGCGGCGCGCGACGGCTCCATTGACATGTGAGTCGCGCAACTCTCACACGCGTTTCCTCATCCTGACGCATGACGACAGANNTCCGAATGGCCACGAGTGCTAGAAAACATCTTGCAGAAACTACACAACGTATGCGCAGTCGACTTCGCGTACAGCTTCGTCGCTGACTTGAATGAAGNNATCGTACATAACGACTTTCCTATACCGAAGCCTCCACCGCCTCCCAACCCACCCGTTCTGTTGCCCGTCGCACCCGTTATTCTACCTTCCAATGACGACTCAGTACTCCCACCAAAGTCGCCTGAACCTATTGCCTCGACAGTAGAACCCTCAGAATCGGTGGAGGTCTCTGAAACGCCAGGCAGTACCGACAAGGAGAATGCTGTACCACGCCCACCCGTCCCTTCTTTTGCCGCAGTCCCTCAACTCAGACAGCAGTCACCTTCCTCGCCTCTACCACCAGAACTATACAATCTCTACAATTACTCCAGGAGTACTCTCGAGAACAACTTCCCCAAACAGCCACCATACACCATCCAGCGCCTTGCAGAGCTAGTCTTGCATCCAAAGAGATGTTACCGCTATCTACCGCCCTTCCTCCAAGCCCTCGATCGTGTCGTCTCCGTCACCAGTACAGTGAACGAATTTCCTCTAGCCCACGCCAGCATCGACTCTGCAACCATTTTCCTTGCAAACGGCGAGCCCACCGAACACCATTCCGAAGGCGAAGGTTTAGGAAGTGACGAAAGTCTGGGAGGTGCACTGCTTACTCCCATTCCTTGGTTAAAGCGCGAAAACGGTCACCACGATTTCCGCAGCGAGAGTCAGCAGACCATAGAAGGTCCCAATGGCGTCGGCGTCATCGAAACTGTTTCCGTCTCTAATGGCGCATCTGCCTCGCCTCAGGAAGATGACACAAGGAGTCATGAACAACACTTACGAGCAGAAGGCGGTGTTACACAGGGCGAGTTGCTACGTCAAGAGCAGGAAGCCGGTATCGTGCCCGTGGGTCAGGAAGTGCCCCGTCGCACCTTGATGGCCAGCGGCTCTGCCAACGCTGTCGGCAGAGGCGAGAACACACAAGCTGCAGAGGAGGAAGCAGGCGAGAAGCCTGAGGAGCATGCTCACGCACGTGGGCCCGAGGAGATCGGAGCCGAGGACATGGGACCCCAACCGGACGCATCTATCGGAGTCACGAGACCTCTGAACATGGAAGCTGCAGCGGGGAGAGCCAAGTCACCAGAAACCTCGCGCGACGACACTGCCATAGAAGGCATGACTGAAGGCCAGGAGGACAAGAAGGAGGAACCCAAGCCCGAAGATAAACCGGAAGAAAAGATCGAGCAAGTTGATGAAGAGATGCCAGATGCATAGGACGCTGATGACGAGGTATCTTCTGTCAACACTAGAATCTGCAGAGTAAGCGCACCATCTTCTGAGGCCAGGAACTATTGGTAGATGAATAAGAGACCATTATAGCTAGTGCATTGCTGATTAGGGAACTCCAACTCCACCCTGCCTTTTCGTCCCCGTATGCCAAAGAGTGTTATACTATAGGTAGCTATCAAAATACACAATAGTCTCTAGTGCAAAGTAATGACCAAGGAGAGATAGTCCCAAGCGTCGTTTCCTTGGTCACTGGTCTAATCTGGTAAGCATTATGCAGTTTGATAGTATACTATAGTACTATTCATCAATGTGGAAGAAGGACTAATCGTAAGGTTGTAAAAGTCGCGGGCACAGGTAGTTTTATAGTTGACCACATGTTCTGTAAAAGGCCCTTCTCGTGTTCTAGATGCTGTCATGTTGTAGCCGTAAAAGTTCAAAAGGTTTTTCGGACAAAGAGAAGTATCCATGACCACATTTCTCTACGAAAAGCCATTGTATATTCTGATGGTTAACAAGACCACTCTCCATCATCGTGGAGAGTCTCAAGTGCTTCAGCACATGAAGAGGACATGATATTTCGCGAGGCATGAGGCTGCGTCAGGGTCGCCCTCTGGACCTGTGCCTTAGCCAGCATCATCTTCATTGCTTGAACACGGTACAATTTGAGCTACGAGAGATGATTTCGTATATTTGGATACTGTATGACTAAAAAACGAGCTCGTCCTGATAACCGAGACATGATATGTGTGTATGTTGATTAAAGTAAAATTGTGTTTTGGTCAGATATGAGAAGGGTCTCAAAGATAGCTGGCCTCGATGTGTAGATAGACAAGAAGCGAATGCAGAAAGACTGATCAGAGAAATGAACAAGAGCCTCTCGCTGCTATTGTACTGTTTGAGTATTTGAATTTGAACTGCATCCATCTCGCTTGCCTTGTGAGATCTGCAAAATTCCGCAGTCGTAGAAGCCTTATCATACACCACACTCGCATGATGGTGAGGTATCGCAAGTAAAGCTANNTGAGTTTGTGTCAATGGTTGGATGTTGTCAAGGGCTGAGGCAAAGAGGTCCTTACCAAGCAGGGGTACCGGCAGTGCAGCCGGCAGCTGTTCTACACTGGTCGCATTGTGCTTGGTTGCAGCCGGCTTGTCTGACAAAGAGACGTCGGTATCGCGAAAGGAAGGGCGAGCGTATGTCGGTAGTGGGATTCAGTGGTGTGGGAGAAGCGTTGGTGAGGGCGAGAAGAAACGCCAGGATGAAGGTCAGGGAGGCGAGGTGCATTGTGGTTTTTGTTCTGGGTGCTGGTATTGTCGGCAACTGGTGTGTGGATGACTCCTGAGTCTCTGTTCGTACTCGGCGGATGCTGATACTCTCGAGAAAGACGCCGTTCTGCTGCTGGTCAACACTTACCTTTTATACTTTTCCATGCGAGCATCTCTGTTTTGTGGTGGGAGCACAGAATATCGCCGTGATCTCGAAATAACCATTACAGTTTCGGAGCCATGTCATCTGATACTACCAAACCATGGTCCACGGATAAGTTGACAGAGAGTCGAACCAGCTCTCGTGATGCTAGCAGCCAACCGCGAGCCGTGGTGTGGGAGGTTTCGCATCACAGAGCATGTGGAAAGGTAAGACAGCTTGTCATGCAACACGGCGACGGAGAGCATTTTAATCGTTTGTGGTGACACGATGTATTCGGAGGCTGTATGCCGGTTCTGCGGGAAGACGCCGGACAGAGACACAAAGCAATGACTGCTGTTTGTCCTTGCTTGGACCAGCAATTCGGAGTCAGACATGGCGCTGGCGGGATGACCTCCCCGGCATATTCAAAGTACAAGTCCGGATCTTATGACATGTCAAGAAGATCTATTTGAACTGCTCGACATGATGGAAGGAGTGGAGAAGGCTGGACCTGGATGAGGTCGACCGAGGGTGCGAGATTGAAGTCGATGGAAAGCCAAGAAGTCAGAGCTGTCTGCTTCCGAACTCCTGTTTGCTTGTTGACTTGTTCCATCCTCAACAACAATATGCTCGTTGACGCAGGTTGCCTTCAAAATTCGAGGGAACAATGTAGGAGGTAGTGGAATGTGTATACAGCAATGTCAAGAAATTGACGCAAGCATGGTTCGCGTCGATCCAGATGTGAAGCAAGGACGCGCTCGGCAGGCATCCGCCGCAGAGGAGTAGAACAGTCCATTTTGTCTTCATCTATTATTCTTCCTGTTGATTTATGTCGTGTCTTCGTGCATAGACAAAGGCAAGCGGCGTCGATTGGCGTCTGCAATGACGCTGATTACGTTGTAACAGCCTCTTTGGTCGGTCTCCTTTGCAGGCCTCGCATCAAGCGTTGGTTGGGATGGAAGGAGCAATTCTGGTCAGGTCTTTCGCAGAGTGGCCGCGAAGCTCCATCTCTGTGAGGCTTCTCAGTCTTGTTCTCTCATCAATCGTATTCACATTCAACCCGGCCAACTTGGCCCAGAGGCCGCATGCCCTTCGAGAGACATGTCCTCTAATTGAACACACCATTCAGTTCCTGTCTTGGAGGCTGCTTTTGGATCGACCTTCTTCATTGGACGAGTGCAAAATCCACCCTTGGAAGAGCGAGCACTTCATCAACAGTATCAGCGGTCATCCAGCTAGTTCCCAGTACAATTCAGCATAGCATCTTCGATACCTAGGCATGGCTTACGTCCTCTCTCTAATGCCCCAGAGTCCGCTGGGCGCTCCTTACGACCAACGAAGTTACGAAAGATCATGGTCATCATTGGGAAGTACAGGTACCGTTCATCACCGTCGTTCGAGACAGCTATCCGTCGGCTCCTTGGCCTCTGCAGCCTCGGTATATGGTCCATCCTGGCGCTCGCCCTCGAACCATGGCACGCCGCTCCGATCAACGTCATACTCGGACTTTGAGAACGGAACATATCCCGCAGCACTCCATCGTCCAACTACCACAAGCAACATATCTCGTCCAGTGAGCGTGCCACCTGCTGTCCCTCAACTCGTGCCTCTCGTCACACCCCTACCGTCTCCTGTCGAGTCAGAACCATCGCTTGATACTCCAGCTTTGAAGAACGAACACTCTGCTTTGGATCTTGTCGACGAAGAAAGAGGTGACTGGGAAGAAGGCCATGCTTTGCTCGGCTCCGACATCTATGATAGCTCGACTCCGAATATCGAACCTCCGGTTGCTGACCGTGGTGCTGTGACATCTTCTGTGTCGTCTCAGCAACCCTTCAAGAGGTGGATGAACACTTTGAGACAGAAGAAAGCTTCATACAAGAGTCGTGTCCGCCCAAACCTCGATGCACTGTTCTTACATCTCACGAATCACTCTGTTGTCACCTCGCCAGAGCCATCTGTCAGAGGTCATCGCAAGTCAGGATCTTGGGCTTCATCTGTCAACTTTGTGACCGCCGTCAAGTCAGCCACCATAACGGTTGCAAGTGCAAGCATCGCTCCTCTATCGAGGTCAGCCAGCAAANAATCCGGCCATCCTAGGCTCCACCGTGGGAGCAGTGGTTTGTTCGAGTCAGAACCACGCTTCTCGACTGACAGTGGTCGTCCTTCCCTGAGCCTCATCATCGATGATGCCGCCCGCCAGAGAGCAAAGAAACGTCGAGAGAAAATTGAAGAGTTGATCAAGACCGAGGAAAGCTACCTTTCGGACCTGAAGGCGCTAAGTAATGTGAGTCGTTTTGCAGGAGCGTGAGAAAATACATCTACTGACCTTTCTGTTGCAGNNGCATACTTTACATTTTTGCCACCTACGTCGCCCTTTCCAGGAACGCAGACTCGTGCTTCGGCTCGCAGCAACATCACCAACATGCTTCAGCTCCACACTGAGCTGCTGGAAGACCTGCACCACGTGATTCCCTTCTCAGAACATGACCAAGCTATCACCGAGACGTCGACGCCCAAGCGCAAGCCTTATCATGTCAGATGGCACAGCGAGGACTCTATACCTGTACGAAGAACCCCTCTGGGGACCAGTCATACTGGATGGTCGAATCGCTATTCGCTTGACTCGCACAGATCTCCAAGTCAGGAGCCTCTGTCTCTCACCTGCACACCCACCACAGCTGCTGACGTTGGTCGCATCTTCGCGAAGAACGTCAGTATACTTACCATGCTCTCAACCTACCATGATGCTGACAGTACCGATAGANTTAAGCGGTTCGCATTGTATGAAGAGTACAGTGCAAGGTGCGAGTCGATGCATGACGATATCGATTTCACTCAGAGACCATCGTTCTCCGTCTGGGACTACGATAAAGCTATCGAGACACTTTCGGCTTCTGTAAATCCTGTCAAAAGCCGAGAAGCGAATCGCAGAAAGGCGCTCAGCATTAAAGACTTGCTCATCAAGGTATTGCTTACATCGTGATAGTCTGAAGACATGGACTGACAACTCTCCAGCNCTATTCAGCGAATCACTCGCTACGAGTTGCTCTTCAAGGGCCTATGTAGAGTCACGCCTTCTTGTGATGATCCCACATCGCATGCAGTTCTGGACGATGTCCTTTATCGCCTAGGGGAGACATGCCGCAATGTCGATGATGCAAAGGATAATCCAGACAAACTTCGGTTGATGGAGAACTCCAGGCTGCTCCAAGATCGACTTTGCTTCTCAGACAGAGTGAGAAGTGTCATACTCTGTGCAAAAACTGTTGCTGATTCGAGCCAGATTCCGCGTGAGCTTCTCTTTCAGCGTCTCGGCAGGTTATCCCTCTGCGGCACTCTTTACATCGCCTATCGGAACAAGACCACTTTTCAGGGATGTTACATGATCTGTGTCTTGTATGAGTCATGCCTTCTGCTCGCTCTACCAGATCGCTCCTCGTCCAAGTACAAGGTCGTAGTCGGTACTTCCCTTGCATCAACCAGTATCGAGGAGAGCGACAATGGCAAAGGTATGCAGCTCGGGAAATTCTGACGAAAGGCTTACTGACTTTTCCAGNGCCTTCAATGCCATACAGCGCCATTTACCTGGAAAGTCGTGTTCGAAAGTGCCGGTAAGATGTACGAGCTGATCATGGGAGCTTGCTCCGACGTCGAGNAGAGCGTCTGGAGAGACCGTCTTGCTGGTCGGATTGCTGTTGAGGCACAGCATGTTGCTGAAGGTCATAGCGCTCCCTTCGACCTTCAGTCACCACTCACCAGGGATATACGCAGTTTCGGCAAAGCTTATAGCAAAGCTAGAGGCTTTGTTCGCCGACTCTCTGTCCAGCGTACGGCTACACTAGGACCGATGACGGACTGCAACCAGGTCATCATCATGCATACCTCGGCTCCCAAGGACGACTTAAACAACGCTTCCACATCTTCACTGCCTGGACGTTCGAAATCACTTCCTACTACCAGCGGCGTACCCATCTTGGCACCTATGAGAGCAGAGCGTATCAAAGTGGAGGCGGGAATGTCCGACGTGTGGACAAAAGACTCGATCCCGTATCCAGGAATGGGCTCGAGGCGTACTGAGAACATCTTCAAGGACACTGCCAGTGACCTACTTCGCAAGCTGAGCATGGCCAGCATTGCCAGTAACTTCTCCCGGCGATCAATGAGTTATACGAGCGTCCACCAAAGCCATCAAGCCCCAGAGAAGCTCGTCAAGGCCAAGCCAGTGCCACGACCCGACACCCTCAAGCCAAAACGTCCGCCTCTTGTCAATTTCCACAATGCGCCGGATGCATTCTTGCCCGAGGACTTCGGACTGCAAGGGCCTGATCTGAAGCGTAGCCGCAGGCTGGGGTTGCGAACGTTGACGATGACAGACCGACCGCGGTCACCCTTCTTCTTTACAGAAAACAAGGCGCCCGAGATCAAGCGAGCCAAGAGTACGACACAGGCGCGTGCGTCGACAGAGACCGAGGTCAAAGCTGAAACGGTGGAGGAGTCGGGCAGGAAGGACAGCTTGCAAGCACTTCAGAGCAATGTCGGCATCACGGTGGTGAATGAGGGGAAGGGCGAGATGAAGGTTGCAGAGTTTGATGTGATGAGAAAGAAGAGATCAAGACTCTTGAGGTATCTGACCAGCAAGTCTCGGGTCGGTGACGAATGAGTGGGATGATGCAAGGTATTTTTATGGTCGGGTGGAGACACCTTGATTCTGTTTACGTATGTGGGGAAGGGGTCATCCAGATCGAAGCTTGATAGCTCATGGCTCCGGCGACGTGGGATCACTACAAGAAGTATGAGTAACATTGGGTACCAGAGCATCAAATAGCAATCATAGATCTTTTCATCATGATTGTGTCGAGGTTGTATAGAGCCATTGGAATGTCAAGTTTGTGAGCTTCGGTCTGTTTCCATCGCCTGTTTATGCCCAAACATGGGGAGAGTGGCATTGCTCGGAGATGACACCGATCACTTGGATTCTCATACCGAACGTTCTCTCTCTCTCAAGTGACATTCATCAATAGTAGGCTATAGAGATGCACAGTTGGTTCCAGAACAGAAACACGTCCATTAAGACAGCTTGAACAACACCATCTCCTTGGACATCAATTTCTCCGAGAAACTATCATGCATTTCTATAGTCATCCAAGAGAGGTATGTGCTGTATGGGGGTTCGACTGGCGTCTGATAGCCAAACCCCACTGCAAGGTACCGAGCGACAGGGGTGACGTAGTGAAAAGGGGGCCGTGCTCAAGCTATGAAGTCAGGGAAGTCGCGTGCTCAATGATGGTCGTAACTTGTCTCTTCAAAAGCATTCATCTTTCCTCCTTCCATCTCACACTCCAATCCATCAACAACTACCTCCGAGAACTCAAGCCCAATCACCAACTCCCATACCCATCATCAACCACTCACTCAACAACAACACCACCATCAAAATGAGAGGAAACGCTGCCCAGGTCAAGGTTCACTTCAAGGGAAGCGACGACGACTACATTGTCTTTGTCGACTCTGCCCAGGCTGTCCGTGACTGGAAGGCCGACAAGTCTGTCCCTCTTGCTCAGGTCGTCAGCGGCTGGAAGATCTTCGTCACCCACAAGTACGTGTCAACACGATTACCCCGCCATACCCCACCACGACTAACAACTCTGCTATCAATAGGCNAGGGTACCACCGGTATCCTCGATGGTGCCTCGAACAGCCAGCTTGAGAACGAGTTCGGAACACACAAGGAAGAGGAGGTCGTCAAGCAGATCCTCGAGAAGGGTGACATCCTTGAGACTGAGGTAAGCCCAGATGCCCACCAGTCTTTGGTCAACATTATGGCCTGGAAAAAGCATATGCTAACACAAACAATAGNNAACTCTGCCCGCAACGGTGACAGAAACATCACCCAGGGTCCCTCGGTCGGCCACTAGATGTGTCCTGAATCAGCAATTCGAGCAGGTCGCAGGCGATAGCGACGCCTTTCTGAGCGCTTCCATCCATATCACTCCGGATTGAAGCATAGATAGCGACGCGGGTGTTCGTTCACTCTTCCGTTATCCGGCTCAGAGTATATTCTGACGACATACACAAGTCATTGATACCACATCATGAATGAAACGAATTTCAAGTTAACCATTGTCTTCTGCCTTGTATAGTGACTGTTTCTCCCTCGCTACCTTGACGCTAGCGCCATATAAACCTGTCGAAATGCACAATACTTTCCGAACTAGGGGTGTGGCCCTTGAGATGCCTGAAGATATCGTTCTCTCCATGGACGTTGCTCAATTATGGAAGCTATTGTGTGTTTCTATAGCTACATACGACAGCAGACAGCACCCTGGGAGTTCACCGTTCCGATGCAGAACTCTTTGATTGGAGACAAATATAGTAGCAAGTCACGATAAAGGCGTTTGCAGACGAACGTTTCACTCGCTGTCCTTGTGGATGGCTGTACCGTGCGTACAACGAGGTGACTGCCGAGGGAAGTAATATTCAGCCAACACGTTCTGGAATTGACCACAAACATTCGAGTTGTGAGTGATCAAAAGTCTGCAAGGCAGCAGCGACCGAATTCATAGTCACTCGGTTGGTTGGAGCAACTCGAATTAACTCACTGGGATTCAAGCCAGTCGATGTGAGTCGCACCTTTGACTCACTACCAGTCGAACTTTCTACCTCTATTGGAGCGCAGCCGGCAACCTTCCATCAACCCTCACTACCACGTGTAAGACGACCGTCACTGCCTTGAGCCCTTCAACAAAATGTCGTCAAGACTCGACATAAACAGCCTGCTCACCCGACTGCCAAACGAGACTCAACAACAAGCCGCCAACTACGCTGCCATTCCTGGAGCAACCATGACTACTCCGATGGACATAGACGCGTCCAAAGACCCCTCGATACCGCCCTCCGATGGTTCATCTCCATTTCTCGGCCTGCCTCGCGAGTTGCGCCGTACCATCTTCGCTTACATCTTGCCGCCCAAAGATAAGGTTGTTGAGCCTAACAATAGGACACCCAGCCAGCCTCAAGCTGCGACGCCTGTTGTGCCTGCCGCACCTGTTGCGCCTGTTGTACCTGTCATGCCCGTCGCGCCCGCTGGCCACATCACTTTTGCTGCTCTTAACCAAATGATGACGGCTTCCCAGAATGCTCAAGCTTTGGCAGCCCATGCTTTGGCAACTCATGTGGCTCAGAACGTGGCACAAGGAACTGTCGCCGCGAGACGGAAGGAAGTCAAGGCCAAACAAGCAGGGAAGAGCCCTACTCTGGCTGTCGGAGATGCTCTGGTCCTCTGTAAGCAAGTTGCTGCAGAGATCTTAATCACACTATATGAAGAGCGCACATTCGCCGTCAATGTCTATGAAGGCATCTCGGATGGTGGCATCGAGTTTCTCAACTCGGGTCGCCAGCGTCTTCAGTATCGCGAGCACTTCACTCAGGTACGTTTCAAGCGCTTCGAGGGTCCCGACGATCCTTTCGGCTTTTCACGTATCAAACGCCTTCTGGTTCGCGTCTATCCAGCGACCGAGGCAGCCTCGGAGCACAAGAACAGTCGTCACGATGCCATGCACGCCCACTTCATGATTCGCGCCCTCGTCAAACTCCTCAAGCATGATGACAAGTTTGGCTTGACACGCCTGCAAATCCGCTTTGTTGAGCCTCGAAACACTCTCTGGAGACCCAATCCCTGGCAGAACACATCGAACTTGTCCCTTCGCAGCTCCTCAATTCATGATATACCGGCCGTCGAAGTCATCCTACGCGGCCTGTTCGAGTTGCGTCAAGTTCATACTGCAGTCTGCGAGCTACCTCCTCGCTTATACCGAGACCAGGCTCTGAGCGACTTCGTCGACCGCCTACAAGACACCATTACTGGCAAGCTTCATCCCAGCACAATGGACGATGAGATTGCCGCCAAAATTCNNGAGGGCGCAAGGGACATGCTTGACGACTGGATTCATACCACCATGTTCGGCACCAAGGCCTCGAAAGCCATGCCTACAGCTCTCGAAGACTTTAACTTTGACGACGTGCAAGATGTCGATAACTTCGACTACTACCCAGATGAAGACGATTTCTTCGAGCTACGCGGTCCCTTCAACAACACAGCGGATCATTCCGCGGCTGGTGACTGCTCGCCTGCGCTCCGCGACGCCTATGAGGGACGTGTCGCGAGTGTCCATGACAGAGATGATGAGAATCACGAAACCCGACCTCGTGCTGCCGCCAACAACAGACTATCGCGATTGGCCAGAAGCAACCCCAACAACGATAGACCTGTTCGTACTCGCTCGACAAAGCGCTCAGTACGAAACTCGCCGCTAGACTCTTCCAGTCGTGAATCTAGCGGAGGAGCCTCACTTCTTGGGATGATAACCATTGGCGACGCCGCCTGGCCTAATTTGAGCTCGTTGGTTGATACTAATGACGTATCGACTGAGCATCGCAGAACTCTTCCACCAGAACATCATGCTAGCAACTATGGATCTGTTGCCAGACCTCAAACACAAAATTNNTCACTATTCTGGAGGAGAATGAGAACGGCGAATTCGAACTTAAATCTGACTCCTCGGCACAAGCCTATTGGAAGTTACACAATGGAACAAGGGGAAGACTGGGATGAAGGTAAAGATCAGACTACAGATGGAAAAGTGTACAACATGGCTCTCAGATCTGAATGGAAGCTAGCATAAAACCGGGACTGGAGAAGATCTGAGGATGAGAAGATATTGCTCACTACTCCACAAACATAGGAAGATTGCTCTTGCTCACACATACCACATAAATATGATTTACTTGCTTGCTTCTTTCTGCTTCCATTGACAAGCGTTCCTCCGTCGATTGCCCTCTATGCTATTCCAGAACAGACTCTCCATGCTTGAGAATATATTTTGGCAACAGGGACAGAAATGGCGATGTATAGAAGTTGATGTTTCATGTCGCGAGATGATGTTTATCTCGTGAAGTCTGCGTTTCTGCATGGATGATTGTAGTGATGGCTCCTTAGGTATTCATTCCGCTCCACATGAGAAGCCGACTTTCCTCGAAAGGTCGAGACTGGTAGCTTGATCTGAACAACTAACAATTGACGACTTCCGCTTGGACGGTCATGTCAGATATTCTCTGAGCCGGACAAAGGGAGAGTCATAGTAGGTAGAACTCGGATAAAGAATGTTTGAATATTGACAATTCATCATACGTCTACTCGTATTGAAGACAATTCCTTGCTTTCATGCTGTTTGTAAGTTGGTGTTGGTGATGATGAAGCGAGACATAGAGGCGAAGTGTCCATGTTTGGTTTCTGTGATTGTTCTGGTATCGTACTAGCAGTGGCAGAGGAAGCAGTCAGTACACACATTCACTCTCCCGTTATACATCCCGAGGATATCTGACGAAACTACAAGAGACACGCCTTCCTCTCGTATGCTCTTGACAGCCAACCATCGATCACTTGTGGGCAGGGAGTGATGCTTGACAGCGCTGTCCAAGAAGCAAATCAATTCACGTAGAGAAGAAGCTCGTTTGTCCACTCCATGACAACAAACAACCAAGTCTAGAGCAACAGCACACAAAAACAAATCCATCGAATTAGGTAGAGTAGAGGGTCAAAAAGGACCTCACACACCGTTCTTACCAACCGCCTTTATTCCGCTCCGGAGCAGGGCACGGGTCAGTCGGCAAGAAGCGAAATGCTCAGACATAGCGGCCTCGCCAGGGATCGAACCCGGAACTTGGTGCGGATGGCAAGCCGTTGCGCCAACGGACCGCTACGTGTGGTCAAGGGATCTTCGGGTTTATAAATCCTCCGAGTGTAATGGTTGTCATGGTGACATGGTGGATGTTTTGCTAAGGAGTAAAGTGATGAGCAGTGGAGTGAAGGAAAGATTTAGAAGTGTGGTAAGATCAAGTGATGAGATGTGGCTATTTCTTGAGATTGTTTTGAGTGTACCACCACAACAACACATGTGTTGGTAGTGACAATCCTGTCCATTCTTATCCGCTGTCGATAGTGACTCTTTGAGACAACACCATCCAGAACCGCTCAGAGCGTATCAAGCCGACGGAACCAATCCGATCTTCCATCGACACCCAACATCAATGAATCTAATCATTGTCTTGAAGTGCTCACTGTCAAGATTTGCAGGGCAAGTATTGCTGTTCTCCACGTGTGCGGCCAGACTTCTCAGATCACCAAACTTTCGATCGCACTTGAAACATAAGTATCTCTCATCAACCATGTAGGACTCCAAAAATGGGAGATTCGAACAGATCCCAGTCCGACAATACGTGATAGAAGACGTCTGGGTCGAAGTATTGATAGTGGCCACCTTCTTTGTGGCGAAACATGTCGGAATGGGAACAGTAGGTGTTAAGGCAGAAGAAGCAACTCGTTTTCACCTCGCGGTGGACTTTCATATGCTGATTTCCACCTGCGTCAATTTCATTACTAATGGCAGAGCTTGTGGAGAGGGCGAATCTGTATAAGTACATTCTTTCCATCGAAAACCTCGAGGCATTGATCACACCGAAGATGTCTTGCGTCTCGGGCCGTGTCTTCGAGGTGTTTGTCGTATGTCTCCTTGTTGGATGCCACCATCTTGCATACTGGACACTCGAAAGCACTCATGTCTTCCTTCGGGTCGCAAGAGTGAGAGGCGTAACCGTCTTTCGTCTTGTAGCCATAATCGCAAACATGACAGTAATATGCATGTTACTCCATGATCCAGTGTCTCACAAGCTGTTCCCAGGACTCGGATTGCGTGCTACACCGATATACGGTGCAGACATTATGCTTTCTCGACATATGGACATGGCTTGCGTCCCCGATGTAGCTTACATACTCATGGCATATAGGACAGTTGAAGTATACTATCAGCATGATCAAGTTGTCTAGATTCGAGTTGCGTAGTGTTTGAATGTTGGCGAAAGAGATTGAATGAATGGATAAAGTAGCAATCGACGTTGGTGTTTCAGGTTAACAGCGGGAGTCGCGGTACACGGTACGGAAACCCTCAAAGGTTTCGGACATAAGTCTTGCCATATATTGTATCGACCATGTGGCAGAACCAGAATCATGACTCTCGGGATACGCATTGCGTTGTTCGACACGTGGAGATAGACCTCCTCGTGGGGGAACCTCGCGATCACAATCTCAACTGTGGTACAGCTTCTGGCCAGGTTCCAAGAATAAACATCGCTTATACCAGCCCTGTGATTGAGGAAGCTCAGATTGCTGGAAACACTGTCTGAAAGAGTACCCTTAGACTGGCTCACACAGCTTTCTGGACAGACCTCGAACCGAGCACTGGAAGATGGAGGGCCTCCTAATGTACTAGCAATTAACCGATAGAAACCAGTTCTGCGAGTGTTAAGCACAACACATAGCGATGGATAGGTAACTGGCTAGGTTTGTTTTGAAACGAGCCGCGAGTTCGTGCTAGCTCTTGCCTCTTCCAAGGCTTTGTCGTGTCGAGCGCATCTTCCGTGTTCTCTTTGGCAACCCGCTTTGACTCAGCTACGCGTCAGAAATCTTGACTTGTCTCTGCTTCACTCGCTTTCATTCACTTTCCTTCTGGTTGCGTCTGTTTGCGCAACACATTCACCAGACTTATGTAGGAAGTCTGGCTTCCTTCCACATCATCTTTTCTCCTCAACCCATCTCAACACAACAAGATGCACCAGACCATGAACGCTAGTATGACTGGCAACATGGTGGACCCCGTCNTTGACAAGATCGACAAGCTCTTCGCCTGCGGTGTTGGAGACCATATTCCACTTCCTCAGCTGGTTGTTGTTGGCGATCAGTCAAGGTAAGCGCACACAGAACACTTCCGTCTTTATCGATATGATGCTGACCCTTACACCGCGNGCAAGTCATCCGTTCTCGAGGGCATCACAAAGCTGCCCTTCCCCAGAGACTCCGGTCTATGCACCAGATTTGCTACGCAAATCACCTTCCGTCGTGCGCAGACTACCAGCGTAAGTGAGGCAAGGGTACAGATAGCACAAACCCAACCCCATCAGATGGGTTTTCCGCTGCTATGTGTTCCATGTTCAAACACAAGAAACATGCTAATCGTACCTTTACCTTTAGNNACCACTGTCACGATCATCCCTCACAAGAGTGCCACTCAGGCCTATGCTGACAAGCTGCGTGCTTTCAAGAGTGTCAACAATGCTGCTCTTGAGCCAGTCTCTTTCTCAAAGACCATGATGGAGGTTCACAAGCTCATGGGTCTATCGGACTCTGCTGAGGACAACGATGGCAAGTCTACCTTCTCTGAGGACGTGCTCAAAGTCGAAGTTACTGGACCCGAGCAGGAGCACTTCTCTGTGGTCGATGTTCCAGGCATCTTCAGAACTGCCACCAAAGGTGTGACCACCTTAGCAGATGCGACCATGGTCAATTCGATGGTACGCCGCTACATGGTGAACCCACGCTCTGTCATGCTGGTTGTCATTCCCGCCAACATCGACATCGCCACTCAGGAGATTCTGACTCTTGCGGAAGAGGCGGACCCCGACGGTCATCGCACACTTGGTGTTCTGACAAAGCCTGACCTGGTCGATCCTGGCGCTGAAGCCAGTATACTTCAGCTCATCAAGGGTGAGAAGCACCCTCTCAACCTTGGTTGGTGGATTGTGCGTAACCTTGGTCAGCAGCAGATCCAGGAAACTGCTGCCGACAGATCGGCTGTCGAAAAGGCTTTCTTCCGCGACAGAACACCCTGGAATGAGCTTGACCAAGAGCGCGTCGGCGTTGATGCATTGCGTAGTCACCTGCAGGAAGTCCTGGCCAGCAACATCCGCCGCGAGTTCTCCAACGTCAAGCGCGAAGTCCTCACCAAGCTGAGCACGGCCAAGCGCAGTCTCGAGAACCTTGGTGACAAGCGCCAAACCACTGATGAACAGCGTCGTTTCATCATGGACATTGCCTCCCGCTTCCGTCNNAGTTTGGCCCTCAATGGCAACTACTCGGGCAACAGATGGTTCGACCAGGAACCCGACCTGATGTATGTGACCACCGTCGTCAACCGTAACGAACGCTTCGCCAACGACATTGAGATGCACGGCCACTCGTAAGACACATCTACCGCCTGTGCTTGAAAAAATGGTATTGACTGCGTCATTTTCCAGGNNTATGCGTTCAAGTTCGACTATTCTCCAGAGTCGTCCGAGAAGCCAGACACCACAAGCAACGGCGGTCAGGGTCTTGCACTGCGCCACACCAAGGACATTGATCATCTTGAAGACTTGATCACCGGTGACCGTCTGATTGATGACAACATCCACAACAACATCATCGAGTGGTTGTCAGAGCTCTACAAGGGCAGCCGCGGTTTCGAGTTGGGAACCTTCGACAAGAACCTTCTCTCCAGAACAATGAAGGCTCAATCAGGAAATTGGGAGCCTCTCGCTCACGGCTACATCCTAGATGTCGTTCATCTGGCACACCGCTTCGTCACAACTCTGCTGAGACATGTCTGCCCTACTCCCCGAGTCAGAGAAGGCATCATCNCCGTCCTTATGGAGCCTCTTCTCGATATCTACCGTCGTGCCCTCGAGCAAGTCCAGTCCGTCCTGCGCGTCGAGCACAGCAATCCTCAGACCATCAACCACTACTTCAACGACCACCTGGAGAAGTCGTAAGTCTTTTCGGATCATCCCATGGAGACGGGGAATTCAATGCTGACCTGTCAATATTGTAGTCGTCAAAAGCGTCTCCGCGCGTCCCTCGAGAAGCATGCCACCGTTCAAGCTTCGCCCTTTGGCGGTGTCCCTCGTAGCACGATTGCACTCGACGATATCGTTCAGAACCACCCCATGTCGAACGCTCAGCACACCGTCCTCGAGGTCCATGACATCCTCAAGGCCTACTGCAAAGTCGCCAGAAAGAGATTCGTCGACAATGTTTGCATGCAGGCTGCAGACTACCTGCTGGTCACCGGACCCAACAACCCTCTGAAGATTCTCTCTCCCCAGTTCGTGAGCTCCTTGTCTGACGAGCAGCTCGAGGAGATTGCTGGTGAGGATATCGGCCTCAGAAGAAGACGTACTGCTCTCGCCAAGGAGGTCAAGGATATGGAGGTCGGAAAGAAGATTCTTGCAGGTGTCGCCTGATCGACCACTCTCCAGGATCTTCAAGCATCCAAAGGGGCCATCTTCGGAATTGTATAGCATAGTATTGCTGGTGATGAAGCATGGTACGGTATCAGTTGGTGCTGGACGGATTTATTTCGTCTGTCTCAGACATGGTGGGTTCGTAGAAGATTACAATCAGCTCCGAGGATTGGCATCTAATCGAAAGCGTTACTCGTATTCCTGTGATGCTACAAGTTATCGAAATGCACAGTTGCTTTCCGCCACAATATGACAGTCTTTGGCACATGGAGAGAGAGGATGACATTGAGTTGAAGCTTGGGAGAGAGGTCTTCTCGGTCCGACGTTGATGATCTCTTCCCGACCTTCAACCGAAACCTGAAGACACTGTCGCATCTGCAGCACTTTCTCGCTCAGAAACAATCATCATGATACGCATTCACTTGCGGCGTTCGATAACATCTCATCAGAGTTGACACTCGGTGAGGAACGACTCGTCAACATCAGGAGATGCGGGCAGACGAAAGCGGCACGAGATGCAATATTCCGTCAAGCACACATTATCACATCGGATAGCGACGTCTGCATGCATCCTAGCCTGACCGCCAACAAAGACTGTGAGTACTACATTCGTTTTTACTAACAAATTGGCTCTGCAGTATGTGCTTTCCAAAAGCCTTTGTCCAGCCACGGCGCCAGCTATGGTGCATATAGTAGACGTGATCAGCTAATCGTAAAGCACTTGCTTTTCGGACAGCGAGCCTGCATTCGAGAACCAAGTCAAATCAACCACCGTCGAAATCTTGCATCTGAGGATATTTTCGCCTTTCGACAGGTTTGCTACCACCAGGCATGGCTTGTTTCATCTGTCTCAAGACCCCTCAGCAGCTATAGGTCGGAGCCCGTATGTTACCCCTCCCCTACATGCAGAGAGGCCCGAAGTTGAAGCTGAAGTCAATTTTCTCCGTCTACGCCGCATCCTCAAAGTACACGTAGGGTTGAGTAAGCAATTATAGTATAAAGAACTGACTGAACGACAATGGCTCCTTCCAAGGTACAGACTTTCTTGAGATGAGTTGTGTATTCTCGTGACAGCACGCCATGACCATTAACATCTGTAGGTTGTAAGAGCTCGAGAAGAGGTAAGAGGAAGTATCAACCCCTCCACGGTAACAGGCAGATGGCAAACAAAATTGGGCAAGTACGCGCTTCCTTGGCTGTCTGTCGCTGACGTCTCGGCTATTCCTGCCCAAATCCGTGCACCACACCTTCTTCACTTTCATATAGCGTGTTTGCCCTTTCCGCTTGCTTTGCTTCCATCATCTTGTAAATTTTGCTTCTCACACACTCAACTTTCTGAAAATTTTGCTTCGTTAGCTATGAATTCAAGCGCATCTGAAGAGGATGACAATTGTCTCTCCTGTAGAATCTGCCGATTCCAGGGAGGCCTCGATCTTCCCACCCCTACTATCACCAACCTTGACGATCTGCGCACTCAGTCACATGCCTTCTCGATCAGCATCTTCAGACACTGGGTCCTCCTCAACAAGATACTCAAGCGTTTTGAGGGTCAAATCCAGAAGCGATGGATCAAGCGCAACAACAACCAGAGGCTCTCGGTTCTCCTTCAGGCCTGGCCACACATGGCAGCCACTCATCGCCCAGAATTTGCAACTTTGCGTAAGATTAGCGTGAACAACAACAAGCGACGCCCCAATCAAGCCAAGGAAAAGGAGGCTTATCTTTGGCCATACATCAACCAGGAGGATCTGGTCCAGTCGCACAACCTCCTCATCTTTCTCAACTCTCGCGGACGTCACCTTCCTGACAAGTTTGTCTTCGGCGATCAACATCAAGCAAGTGTCGGCAAGCCATGCGGCACCAGCGAAGTCGACAAGTACAAGATGTCGCTCCACGGACAAAGATCGCCCAAGACTTATGGTTCGCTGGTCCTTCGCGACACAGGAGACAGGGTTCAGCAAGAACTGAGGATGGAACCCGCTGCCGGTCTCCAGGCCCTTGAGGTACAGGAGCGCATCCTTGACTTTCTCGTCAAATGCTGTCGCCTAATCCTGCATGATATGGACCTCGACCAACTGGACGTCATTGAGACCAAGCCTTCTCCGCCTCAGATCAACCCTACCTTGCCCGTCCACACTGTCACTGCCATGGCTCAGCTTGCACCATACCGCCTGCCACAGAAACTTGACATGAAACGACTCAGAGTACTTATTTCGGCAAGACGCGAGGAGGCCGAGGAGCACGTTTGGGCTTTGCGTGAGGACCCAGGCTACTTTGCGCATACTATGAGAGAATGGTCAGAGCACTCACCTTTCATGATTCCTGACAAGTTCAAGAGACCACACAGCATGGTCGGTGAGCCTGTATTCTGGGACAAGGTGGCAACAAACATGATCTTTCACGCTTACAGCAGCCTGATTCTATTCGCTACTGCCGACGAGGCTGTTACTCTCGCCCAGGAAAGGCTCGACAGCTGTCGCCACAGGCTTGAGCTATCTTCTAGTCTACCACCCGAGGTTGAGAAGATCTTCCAGAGGCTAGATCACATCGTTCAGATCGTGGCCGATGAGCCTCTAGGTGAGCTGATGCTCGGGTTCCCTGCGTCGCCACCCATGCGTTATGGTTATGAGAGAGCAGCTGCCGATTCTAGCCCCTCATTCAACACTTTGAAGGTCAAGATGGGTAGACTGAGTGCAGCATGGAGGGTTCAAGTCCTGTTCAGAACCTTGCTGAGCCCTGAACAGCAAAAGAAGGTGAGTAAGGGTTCTCTTTTAATCAAGACTATGTACTAACAAGTTTAGCATGGCTTGAACAACACGGTCGAAGAAATTCAGAGAATGCTGGACGAGCACAGCAAGGACAGTGATCTCATCTCCAGTTGGGTGGCCAGCAGGTTCTCGGACCTGGCACTCATGTCGGAGGTCAGACGACAGCTTGGCCTTTTCCAGCCATGGTGTACCGCTTGGCGAAGCAAGTGTTTCATCGAAGACGATGCTCCCTACTTCTTCAGCATGGTCGAATGTGTACATGACTTCACTTCATGTGCGGTGCTTGATGCAGCTGATCCTGCGTTCTTTGCATATCCTTCTGACAAACGCAAGACGCGCGAGACTGTTATTCAGATGCGACTCGCCGAGAAGCGCTTGGACAAGTTCTGGGCTACGGTGGACAATCACTGCGAGACGCACACGTCCTACTCGGTGCTCCACCTCCTCATGGACTTCTTCACCGACTGGAACAGAAAGATTCACAGAACCAAGCCTTGGAAGGAGCCGAAGGAGAATGGCTACAGACCCAGCCAGCAACTAGAGGATGACAAGGATGGGGAAATGTGAGTAGCTCTCTGACAAGCGATTACGAGATACTGACCGAGACCANGCGGACTGCCTCTACATGTATTCGATCGCAATGCACGCTGTTCTCACCCCAAGAAGAGTGAGCTGCTGGGAGGCATTACTCCACAGAAAGCCAAAGCCAAGACTAGACCTAATGGTCCTACACCATCTCCGGAACAGGAGGTACGCAGAGATTCGGCTACAAGCACGGAAGAAAAGGAGGATATCGAGGTGAAGAAGATTAAGGTCAACAAACGTGCTTTCAAGGTCTTTGCTACGATGTTCCACGTACCTTCTGCCAGTGAGCAGCAGAACACTGGGGAGGTTGCCTGGTCTGAATTCTTGTACTCAATGAAGATGATTGGATTCTCTGTCGAGAAGCTGTATGGATCCAGTTGGCAATTTACGCCCGATACGATCGATCTGCAGAGAAGCATCCAGTTCCATGAACCACACCCTCGCGCGAAGATGTGGTTCTGGCTTTCGAAGGAGTATGGTCGCAGATTGAACAGGTATGTGATGGTATCAAATCCTGCTGAAAGTATACTAATGAGGATGATANGAGCCTATGGTTGGACCGGCGAGACGTTTGACTTGCAGTGAGTGGACTGAAGTCTGACTTATCGGGTGCAAAGCGTTTGCTTTGTTCAAAAGAACTCTTGTCACAATGGTTGGTGGAGGTGGTCACGGCAGATAGAAAGATGGAGTACCGGCATCATGACTGAGTCGTTGACGATTGCGTGACCACGTCAAAGCGGTGGCTCAAGTGATGGAGCTCGTAGGATGTTCGTCCTCGATGAGCTCGCATGCTGTAGTGGTTGGTCAGACACAGCATGTTCATAGTCGTCAACAGAGGATACAAAATACAAGGCAGCAGCTTAGATTTGTTTCTTCTTGCAAAACATCAAAAACAAAAGAAGCCATGAAGTCAAAGGAGGCTTGAAGACGACGAAGTGATGCGTATACAGAAGCTTGGCAGCCGGAAATAGGAGCACGGAGAAGGGGCTGACGCAGCGCGGCAACTGCGCCTTCTGATTATCATGGACTGAAACAAGATATTTGGACAGGGCATTCGCCTCTCGAGGAAATCCTAAACATCGTATTGGACATCATGTTGGACGAAAATCTACCAGCCTTCTTCTATCGAAACTCGCCTGACGGAGTAGCACATCATAAAGGAATCTTCTTCTCCGTTCGCGGATCCGATCCCAGCCCCGCGTACAGCCTGAGGCACGGCGACCCCGCCACCTCGCGCAATTGCTATGCTGCTGGTCTATTCGACTGCTACAATCCCGAAGTGCTATACGGAGAAGTCTTGATCAAACCGGAATGGAGTCACCCCTCGTTGTCGCAGGATGAGATTCGAAGAAATGGCGGTGTGCCGCCGCCGCCAGTGCCCATTCTGCCTACTCAATTCACTGTGCAGTTGTACAACCCTGACCTACAAGTGACAGTGACGCAGAAGCCCGGTAGCTGGGGCGGTAGTGCATCGTATGAGTTCAGTCTCCCTCAACTCGTCTTTCGCACACCGTCGGCTTCGACTTTGGACCGGACTCAAGATGACCCTGGCGCGTCGTTGGTCACGCCCAAACTCAACTTTGTATGGCGCAAAGAAAGCAAGCTCGCTAGGGACTTGACGGCCTACATGACTGGCAAATCGACTGACGAGGTTGTCAAGAAGAAGCACCGCGATCCAGACATCATCGTTGGTCTGTTCCGCTCTCTACGCGAGTTGACCGTCTACGAACCCAATTTGTACCGCGTCGAGTTGGAGGATCCCAAGGGTCTTGAGCTGGTCATGCTACTATCTGCCGCCGTCATCAAGGACCTCTACTTCTCCAACGACATCAATCAAGTCTTCAACGTCTTCGATCCTGCTCGCCTCGCCTCCCTCCCAGCAACTGCCGCGCCTTCTCCTCCTCTAGCCGCTAATGCCGATCGACGCAAGTCTCTACCTCGCCTACGAACCAGCCCTCCTGCAACAGCCACGACTCGACGTCCTCCTCTAGCAGGCGTTGGCACTGCATCCGCCCCAGATCCTCGAACACAATGGGAGTTGGATGCTGAGACCGCTCGCTTGCGTGCCCAGGTTGAAGCTGAAGAACGCGAGATGAAGAGACAGGAAGCCGCTCGTCGTCGTGAAAGAGAAAAGGCAGATGAAGCAGAGACTCGGCGTTTACGTAAGATGGTCGAGGAAGAAGAGCGTGAGGCCCGCCGTCGCCAAGAAGAGGTTGATCGTGAGACAGAAAGACTACGGAAACAATACCGTCTCAAGCCACCTTCACCGGTGAATAACCAGCAACGGCACTCTGCGCCTTCGTTGCCAATTCACCAGCAGCAACAAGCTGGACCTTCACGCCCTGTACCCGTGGCGCCTACCTTTGGGAGCAATGGTATGATCATGAGCGGAGGCAATCCACATGTACCTCCTGCCGCTGGACCGTCGAAGATGAAAAAGAAGAGCTTCTGGGGACTGAGGAGCAACAGTGATCAGAGCAATGCCAGCAATGGCAAATTGAGCAGANAGGCTAGTGCCGTCTGGTGATGAACTTGCAACATGAGACAAGCACATCACACACACGCCACAAAGCGGAACAATTCTGGCTAGGACTCAAGCATCGAGTCTACTCACACCATTGCAGCGCAGTCTCAAGGCCAGTGTAGTCTTCGAGCGAGTTCCTAACCTGATCGTCTGGCGAGGGTCAAGCTTTGATGGCCTTTCCGAAACGGGCACGATGGTTTCGAGAAATCTATAGTCCATCACACCTCCTAGATCCCGAAGGGGTTGCAGAGGGTGTCCACAGTCGAGTGCGCTCACGACAGAAGTACACGGTCTCGAAGTCAGGAGGGGAGAAACATACATAGCATAAGGCATACAACGGCTTCAATAGCCAATACATATCATTCCTCTCTGTCGTTGTATTGAATCTTGGTGCTTGCTTTTGGTATATCACCGCAATAACCAGTAGATTGATCAAAAGTCAACTCCCCTCCCTCCTTTTTCATCGAGACACTCAAGCAAACATCAATTTTATGACTATATACCGATGGCGGGGCTTGAACCAGGGATCTGACCAACCCGGTTCAAGCCGCGTCTTCTGCCGGATCTAGTTTCTGTGCAAGACAGTTTATCCATTTTGACGATCAGATCGTTTCTGTCTTACCAGGATGGTTTCTGTTCCTCAAAGAGACGTTTAACAAGACCAAGTATAGAAAAAACAGAAAGCAATTACTGGTATCTTAGTCGGACAGATCTAAAGTTCGAAGCCGACCCTGACCGCCAAGCCAGGCTTCACCACGCAAAAAGAAATCCTCCAATCGTCAGAATTTGCACCACCACTTTTAAACTCTTCTTCTTAGCACAACGACGTAGTGCAAAAGGATAGACAAAAAATAATGGTCAACTGTGGTAGGAATAGCCGAAGGCGGGGCTCGAACCCGCGACCTTGAGGTTTGGAATATCTGAGAAGATAAGAGCCACACGCTCTACCGATTGAGCTACCCCGGCAGGTCTGATTGNNATCTAGTTCACTGGGTGAACTGGCTGCTGACTGATGGAGAAGTGATAGAAAATGTGGTAAATATACACTTCCAAATGATGCTGGAGCGGGACAGGTCGAGCACCGCAATGTGAGTAGTCAAATAGAGGAGACTGCGTGGGTTGATCTTGATATTGTCGGTTTTTGTTTAGCAAGAAAAGGTAAGCTGCATGATGGCGATATTCCCTGCTTCTGTGGGGCGGTCAAGCGAGCGTCTGTTCCTCGTTGTTCTGTGTTGCCGAAGTCTTTATGCAATGCCTAAAACCCTGGCCGATAATTCAAGTATACATTGATGCGGACAGATCATGACTAATTTATTTGATATGTATTGACTAGACTTTAATTGGCTGCTAGAACCAGATCCTATCATTTGACATGCAGATATCTGCTTGTATTTGGCAGAGGTGGTGATTTGTGCCTGACGCTGGGATTTGGGCCACAACCATATTGGAGACACTTCATGTTTTGCGGAAAGCGTCCGTTCGAATCGACTTTGATAAAGACAACATGGATGACTCCCTTCCTACGTTGTAGTTCTTAAGAGAGTTCATGTCAACAGCACGGTTGTCACTATTAACCTGATTGACCTTGCTGTCGACTCGCCCATGTCTCATTGCATCTCATCTTATCAAATCTCCGAGATCTATGCAGCACTAAGCTAGCGCAGGTCAAAGCTTGAAAGTTCAAGTCGGCCCGTGAGACACGCCATCATCCTTCTGATAACCATCTCCGAGCCATAAACGAGACCCGTGCTTTGCTGCGTGGGTGAAGCTTTCGATCATGTGTCTGATGTCGCCATTAAGCTTGTCCCATCAAGGGCCACAAGCGAGGATGATGTATGGTTGAGCTGACAATCAGAACTCTTCCTTGAACACCATCATGCGCTCCTTGCCAGCATCGTCGAACCAAGCGCGGAACATGCCTCCGCAATTGAAGTCCGCTACCACTGTACCCTCTCCGAAACGATACTCGATACCGATGATTCCGCCTTCACCCTCTCCAGTCTTCTTCCAGCGCTCTTCGGCACTCTGCTGGAGCATACCGTCTGGACCAGCCATACGCGACACCGATACCGCCAGAGGAAGAGGTGGGAAAGAGAAACGGGTCATCGCAGAAGTTGTACGAGCTGCAGACGTCTTGAGGAAGGCATCTCCGTTACCNTAGAAGAGGAGGTTAGGCATGGGTTGGACATGAGTGAGATATGATACGACGTTACCTGTCCCTGAGAGAGCGACTCCGTGGGGTGCTAAGAACGGCTTGACCGGCTCATGAGAGGCTACAGGTAGGTACGATGAGAAACCGGGCAAGCACTCTTGGAGGACGCTACCAAAGTCGCCATTGACTAGTCTTGCTGCTGGCGACAAAGTGGGTTGCTGGTACATCATGCCATGCGGGCGGTCGAACGGGTTCTCTTCAATCCACTGTTCAGCCCAGAAGCCTGCTCCTAGAGTGGGTGTGTCCNNTGCAAGTTGTCAGTAGTTAGAACTGTATGAGAGGGACGTATCTCAACAGACTCCTATCCTGCCTGGAAGCTTGTTCGTAAGCCCGCCAGTCGAGGTGGCTACGCAAAGCATGCCATCGCTATCGAGAACAACTGCACCCACGGTTCCTTGAGGGAGATAGTCTTGACCATTCCAAGAAGGATCGTGAGTGTTGAGGTCTCTAGCATCCGCGGCGCACTCTGCAATATACGAAGAGCATTTATCTGCCCGTCTCTTGTGTTTGCGATATGTCTCACGATCCGTAGATTTACCCAAGCCCTTGCGATGCTCATCCCATCGTCGCTTGGTCCAGTAGTATCCAGGACTCACAGTCTCCAAACCCCATGTTTCTGCAAGCTTGTTCGCAGTGTCGCCAGCCAGTTGGACATGACCCGCAGCACCACCTCCATCTGCGTCTTCTCCTCTGATCAATAATTCGCGTGCAAGTTTGATAGGATTTTTCGCTCCAGAAACTTCCATAACACCAACGCCGCGCTTGTGATAGCCTTTGCTGACCATTATAGAAGCCTCCAACTCATGCGTGCCTGTGGTTGTGTAGACGGCGCCGTGACCTGCGTTGAAAAGAGGATTATCTTCCAGCATCGAAACAGCATGAGTTGCAACATCCAAGGCTGTAGCGCTGGGCTTCGCCAACAGAGCATACGAAGACTGCAGAGTCGACAGAAGGGCAGCTCGGTAGGCTTGATAAGCATCCTTGTCCAGATTGTCGCGAGTTATGTTTCCAGCACCGCCATGGATGATGATACGTGGTGTACACTTAGAGGATTTCATGCTCTGAGAACGAGCTGAAGGAGGTTGATGTACTCGAAGGGCTGTTGATACTGGACAGCGCTGTTATCGTAAGGAAGCCGCGACTTGGATGATGATGATGCCAAAAGTGTTGCCAACAACTGCCGCTCGGGACGGTCCGAGGAGAGTCTCCTCGCAGTAGCGTCCTCCGAAAACGTCCTTCGATGCATCCATCTCGGCCTGTTCGGTGCTACATTCAAAAGTTGTGAGCTTGTATCCAAGCTGAGCAGTTGTTGTGATCTGTCAGAGTATAGTACTTTGGGTGTTATCACAAGTCGAACAACTATACCAGTGTCTCCCTCATGAAGCCAGTCTTCATCGCATTCTCAAGCTACAAGATATCACCATAGAGTCGTACCAATGTGCAGATCTGAGGACAAGGATACCGAACACAAGGCTATAACCATCAGCTATCACGTCTGTGCATGATACAAGGACAGACCGAAGCTTAAAATATGGCCCAGCGATTTGGCATTGCATCCAGCACGGAGCAACCGAACGATATATGCTGACGTGGTGTGATGTTGAAAGCCCTGAGGGTAGAATCTCCCGACCTTGTTGTTCAGGAAGAGCTCAATTGATAGACTAGCTGGGTATGCTTGCTGATCATGAATTTTGGTAGAGGTATATTGATGCGTCTAAAAATTTGTGCCATGCTGACGGCAAGGACATGATGACAAGCGCACAGGAACCTGATCCCGTCAAAGGAAGTACAGAGTCACAAAAATTCTCATGATATCGTACGAGCAGCTGCATTCGAGCAAGAGTCGCTTGAACGAACAAACTAGGATGCAGACGCTTGGCGAGATCCCTTGAGTCAAACAATCCGAGAGATGTCCGAGATTTCAAGAACGCCTCTTGGAAACTGCTAACACACTTGCACGTCGAAACCGCTTCGAGTATATCAAAAACATGGAACGTACGGTTACAGTTGCGTGAAGTGTGATGATGATCACATCAAGGAGTTATCTCGCAGTAAACATTGTCTTGCAAGAAATATCGCTCTGAATATATAATGTCCTCATCCTCCTTGATAGACTCTGAGTAATGAAGAACTCACCGTTTACTCTTTTTGATATAGTCAACTCTCCACCAGAACATACCTGGCTCAGGCCCACGCAGCAGACATGTCTACATACACATCAAGGACACCGAGTAGTACCTCGACCTTGAAGCACCCGGAGGGAACCCACAAACAAGAGCCAGACCTTGAGGAGACATATAGGAATCCAACCAGAGAACATATTCCAAGTCACATCGATACAGATCCTCTGGACCTGCCTTACCGTACACTCACCGAAGACGCCGATATGGCTGAATACACGACCGAAACTGCCACTGGCACCCTAGCCCGGAAGGTGACATCCAGAAAGACGGGCAAGACCGAAGACTACGAGCTTGTCACTTTCACGCCAGGTGACATGGAGAACCCGAAGAACTGGAGCAAGGCATACAAATGATGGTGTACAATGGTCGTCGCGCTGACCTGTTTCGCTGTCGCTTTCAATAGTGCTGTGATCACGGCCGACATGATCGGTGTTCGGGAGACCTTTGGGGTCAGTGAAGAGGTCGCACTTCTTACCATTACCGTTTTCGTTGTAGGGCAAGTATACCAGTCCCTGTTGCTCGTTCAAGATGAACTAACCATAGATAGATTTGGTGTAGGTCCGATGGCCTTCGCACCCTTCAGTGAGACATGGGGACGTCGTCCTGTATATGCTAGCACTTTGTTGATTGCTCTCATCTTCATCATCCCCTGTGCTGTCGCCAAGAACATCGGAACCTTGCTTGTCTGCCGCCTCATCGATGGTATCGCTTTCTCGGCCCCCATGGTCCTGGTCGGTGGAACACTTGCCGATCTCTGGAAAGCCGACGAGCGAGGTGTCCCAATGGCTGCCTTCAGCGCCGCACCGTTCGTCGGACCAGCCATTGGACCACTGGTTGGTGGCTTCACTTCTGATCACCTCGGCTGGCGATGGTTGTACTGGTTGCAGCTCATCTTGTCCGGGTTCGTCTACATCCTGATCGTCTTCACCGTGCCAGAGACATACGCACCTATCATCCTGGCGAAACGCGCAAAGAAGCTGAGAAAAGAGACGGGCGACAGCAGATATGTCAGCGAGTCGGATCTCGACACCCGTCCCATCGGTGAACGAATGCGCGTCTTCATTCTTCGACCTTTCCAGCTTTTATTCTGCGAACTCATCGTCTTCCTCATTTCACTCTACATGAGTGTCTTGTATGGAATCCTTTACATGTTCTTCGTAGCATTCGTCGTTGTGTATCAAGAAGGAAAAGGATATTCGGTCAGTACCACTGGTTTAATGTTCATTCCTCTGGCGATTGGTGTGGTTGCAAGTGCGTTCCTAGCACCTCTTATCAACAAGGACTATGCAAGAAGATCGATAAAGTTCCAGGGCAAGCCGCCGGCAGAACAGCGTCTAATCCCGATGATGTGCAGTTGTTGGTTCATTGCAATCGGCATGTTCATCTTCGCATGGACGTCATATCCTCACCTTCATTGGATGGGACCTGCGATGGGTGGCTTCTGCATCGGTTTCGGCTTTATTCCTTGTTACAACAGCGCCAACAACTACCTCGTCGATACGTACCAGCATTCTGCTGCTTCTGCTCTTGCAGCAAAGACGTTCATCCGAAGCTTTTGGGGCGCTGGCGTTGTGCTGTTCACGGAACAGATGTTCCACAGGCTCGGTTATCAATGGGCTGGAACTCTGATGGCTTTCATCGCTCTCGCTTGCTGTGCGATTCCGTATGGCTTCTACTTCTTCGGTGAACGCATCAGAAGATTCTCCAAGTATGCGTACGCTGGGGACGATGAGGAGAATGCTGCTGTTTCATCGAAAGAAACAGAGGCGCATTAGCTGATAGGCTGATTACACTTGGAGAATAAGATAGAGTAGTTGATATATTGGTCGAATACTCTTGATTGTTGAGTTGAAAGATGGGCTGGCAACATCACACGACGCGTGACTCAGGAAGCCCCCTCCCAAGCCACGTCGACCTCGGCAACGAGACCCACGCTCTGGTCATGAACATCAAGAGACAAAATCAGATGTTGAACATTTGCAATGATTTGTAACATTGTTTATACGGAGATTCGATTGAACAATAGAATTTATGCTTGTCCAAAGCCCAATGAATGTTCCAAAGCGATATCCAGCTTGCTCGCCAAAACCTCCTTGCTTTCATATTCAGGAAGTCTGAGCGTACCAAAACAGGTGCTGCTTCCAGGCAATGCGCTCGTTTCGGAGTCGCTTCTCTCAATAACGAAAATCAAGCTCTCCGCCCCATTCACGGGCACTCGACTGCTTGCTGTAACGAATTCCAGCAATTGCTTCTGCTTTTCTTGAGGGTAAGCCTTGACCACCTCCCAGAACCAACGAACGACAGGTGTGCTGGCTGTGTAATGATTGTAGGTTGTGGCTTTTTGCAGGGCGTTGATATCGAGGTGGTTATGGCCTTCGACCAGGGTGCGAAATTGATCGGCGTTCATAAGCNNTGGACACATGTGAGCATGATTTGAGACTGGTGTAACAAAGCAAATTCTTACCGACAATGGTCTGAGATTCATTACAGAATAGAACCCTTTAGCAAACGCATTGAACTGAGGGCGAACAGACCAGTCCATGACCCATTTCGAATAGCTCGAGACAAAGTCCTGACGATTGTCATTTGTGACTGGTTGAGGTGACTCGCCTGGGTTTGCGACCTCGACCTTCCAGCCTGGCCACTCGAATCTGCTTTGGTGATACCCACGAGCTCCAATCTCAGATTGCGTCTGTTCGCTTGGTGAATCCGTATGGTCCGTAGCATCCGGTAGCTCATGCGAAGCAGACTGTGCCACAGGTGTAGACTTGGACGTCGGATGGTGCTTGTCTGGGTATTGTCGCATCACCTTCAATCGTCCCAGACTCATGTTTTTGCCTGATTTGATCTTGTCCCACACAGACCAACCATCCCATGGATCATCCATACTTACATCCAGATGCAAGCCGTTAGCATCAAAACTGTAGACATAATCTCGAGCAAAGTCTTCCTCTACGGAACCTTGATGTATCTGGAGATGCTGCAAAGACCTAGCCAAACTCGGCCAGCCCTCTCCGAGATCAGCTTCAGTAGGTAACTGGAAAAGAAGTTTCTTGTAGAAGACCAAAGGGAATGAAACTGGTAGGGTGATGCCGTTGTAGATGGCGAGAGCGAACAGTAAACCGAAAAGCTGGTACTTGTAAAGTGGTACCATCGTCGCAGGCTGGAACCAGGCTAGGCGAGTTTGAGGGTCGATTGAAAAGAGTGCTGCATAGGTTCAGCATAAAGAGTAAAACCATCAAGATGGAACCGACTTACAGTAGGCGGGATTGAAAGCCTCTTGACAGGCAAGCTTGAAAAATTCGATCTGAACGCCTCCAAGATCATGACCAATCTCGCCTTCGTCGATTCCCATACGTATCCTGAGTGGTCGTAACAACTCTCGCCTCTCCCTGTGCCATAATTGATCAAAAGCATCAGATAGTACGGACTGCCTGTTGATCTTCAACACAATGTAATGATCTTGGGCGGCTCTTAGACGGCGATCAAGGTAGACAACGTCCTGGATATTTACTTGGGGCATCGTTCTTCGGCGTAAGTGCAATACCGCATCCGCTTCGTTGTAGGCGCGCCGCATAAGGATGTGATGGGATGTGCGAACCAGTAAAATCGTTGATCTTGTGTCGAATAGGAATTTGAATGACAATAGATGACAAATGTTGGGGCCTGGCTTGTAGGACAGCCAGTCTTGTGCTGCCTTATCAACGTTGAGAGAATCGAACACGGCAGAACATGTGAACAGTCTTGCAGGCATATCTAGCTGTCCTCGACCTCGGTGTTTCCCTGAGAACGTTAGTGATACAGACCAGNNCAACGGTGATTTACCCCTACAAAGATCTTCAATTAACTCGAGTGCCGAGCCAGCGACAGTCCATCTGTTTATCTGCAAAGAGCCGTCCCATTCCTTCAAGAAACATCTGCGTAGCCACTCAAGCCAGATAAGAGATGTGGTGCCAACAAGCTCTCCACCATGTCGTAACTCTTCCCGGTACTTGGTCTTCAATGTAGCCATCCGTATACTTTGCTCCTCTTGAACTAGTAAATCGGTGAGGGATTCTCTGACCCGGCGGCTAGTTTGCCAGATTTGCAGCCGCGGATCCGGCTTTGCATCGCCCATGCCACAGGCGGACAGGGTTTCTTCAAGGCATGTTCTGGCACCAATCGCCCGGATCAGGCGTTTTGCCATCCGCATAGCAGAGTCTTGCTCAAAACTGTCGAGCGTTGATAGCCAAGGTGAAAGAATTGGATCGTCTGGAATTTGTTTTTGCTTGCCATACGCTTTGCCATTAACAATCGTAGACCAAATCATGTGCCAAGTTTCCCTCGAAGCTTGAGGCACAAATGAAGTAAGCGCATGAATAGCATAATGTAACACACTAGTGACCCGAGAGCCCTTAACATCAGATGGGAAGGTCTGAAAGGTTCTTAGTCCTTGATATCTTGAGTCAAAGGGGCTCTCGAACACTGGCTCAAGAGCTTCCCATATGGAATCGAAAACGACAGTTGAGGCATCTTGACCAAATTCGTGCACTGACTCGAACACATGATGGAGTCTAATACAACGAATCATAAAGTGAGGTGTGACTGGTCCTGCCAAAACACCCATATGATCATCAGAGAACGAATGCGCCAGAGATGAGAAGCTGGAAAACAAGCAACGTAGCCTCGAGTAGAGATGGGCAAGTTGGCCATCTTGCTTCGAAGAAGACAAAGCGGAACGAGCGCTACGTGTGATCTCGCAAAGTTTGATCAGGTCATCGCCAGACATTGAAGCAGAAGACGAGACTTCGATAGTAGAATTAGGACGTGGGGGCTTCGTTGAGTGTATGTCCTCGACTGAATGGATGTTCCTAAGTGATTCAGAATTGAAAAGCTGCTGCATGATAGACCTGTGATCGACCTTCTCCTGTACAGTGGTAGTGATAGTGGGGAGCTGACTGGGAAGATTTGGACAGAGACGATCGTATGCATTTTCTGATGAGGCCAAGACGACTGCCATAGTTCGGGCACTGACAGCAGTGTAGCCACGCATTGGTGGAGATGAGCGATGAGACCTCGCCGTTGCGCAAAGAGGTGTTGAACATGTAGAAGCGCCGCATCCTTGATGCAGTTGGAGAAAAAACNNTGCAAGACAAAAGATCAGATGGTGGCTCGAGTGATAGACCTTTCGTAGGATCACGTACCGATTGATTAAGTCTTGGGTGACATGGCGGCGTGATGAAGATGGCGGCAAGGATATTGGGCCAGAGGAGGATTCGGTAGCCATAGTAATACAAGACCAGACGGGAAGAAGAAACAGCTATACAACCATAGCCGATGTTGTCAAGAATGTTTATGAGCACGTGAGGGTTAAGGTAAAGAGACGCGATGAGGACGAGGCTTCGGCAGGAAGCGACACATGAGAACGAACTTGTTGGTTGATTGATATTACAGTCCGAGATTCGACCATCTCAGAAGAGGTCGTCGAAAGGCAAGCGCGCAGACAGAGACTCACCAAGACCAGAGAGAGAGAGATGGACTCACAAAGAGTTGCAAGTTGCAAGTTACAATCAAGGTGTAAGAATGAAGAAGGTCGAGGCAGGCTTGGCGATGAGGCAGGGACGGACGAGTCGGGCCCGGGGATTGCGGCGTTTCGACTGACGAAATTTGGGACATGACATGGCTTTGCGAGCAAGAAAGTTTGCCCCTCCAGACATTTCTTATCGCGCTGCTCTCTTGTTCTTCTGACATTGCGCGCCACTTTCCATACAACCCACACATTGCCGTATACCACTACTGCCAAAACACTTCAACATGGCTAGCATGGCATCGGGTCCCACCCACCCCTTCACCTGCAACACATGCCAGGTCGCCTTCCGCTCCAGCGACCTGCAGCGCACCCACATGCAAAGCGACTGGCAGTAAGTCTGTCCAATGTCCTAGCATTTCTCGTATCTGACATGACCCTACAGCCGCTACAACCTCAAGAGAAGAGTTGCATCGCTTCCTCCGCTCACCTCTGAAATCTTTGCCGAAAAGGTCCTCGCCAACAAGGCTTCGGCCGCTGCCACCGCCGCTCGCGCCTCCTTCGAAAAGGTCTGCTCCGCTTGTCAAAAGACCTACTTCAGTGAGAACGCCTACGCAAACCATCTTGGAAGCCAAAAACACAGACAGCAAATTGCTCGCATGCACATGAGAGATGTCGACGACGCCAGCTCCGTCATGAGCTCTACCTTCTCTCTCGGAGAACCTCTTGAAACCGCTTCCAATGTCGAGACCGCCTCAGTTGCCTCTGTCGCTACCGACCGTCCTGAGGAACGCGATGCCGACCTTTCACACATCACCGATGGTGTCCAACAGACCGACATCGCCGACGACGACAACTCATCCAGAGCCCCTACTGATGCCGACGACATGGTCGAAGTCCTGCTCAACCAGTGCTTGTTCTGCAACACCATCTGCGAAGACCTTGACGAGAACATCAAGCACATGTCCAAACAACACGGCATGTTCATTCCTGAGAGAGAGTTCCTGGTCGATTTGGAGGGCCTGCTGAGCTACCTCCACGAGAAGATCCACGATGACCACCAGTGCCTGTACTGTGGTCAGCTCAAGCACACCGCTTCAGGTATTCAGACACATATGCGCGACAGAGGTCACTGCATGATTCCGTACAGCACTGAAGACGACATGCTTGAGATTGGAGAGTTCTATGATTTCAGAAGCACCTACTCAGACGAGGAAGATGACGAGAGTACCGACGGCGCAGACGATCAGCAAGAAGGCGGTGTCAAGCTTGGTGCCGCTCGTGCCACCAAGGTCACTATCGAGACCGAAGACGGCGACGGAGACGCAGAGATGGCCGATGAGGACGACGAAGGATGGGAGAGTGACGGCTCCTTGTCATCGGTGCCAACTGATGAGATTACTTCTGTGCCTATCGACGACCACTCGCACCGCTACAAGACCCTCGATCGCCACAGACACCATTCTCACAAGGACCCTCGCCCTCACCGAAACACAGATGGATATCACTCTCACGCTCATTCCACTCCTCACGCTGTATACCACGACGAATTCGAATTGCACTTGCCTACAGGACGTACTGCTGGTCATCGTTCGCTTGCCAAGTACTATCGCCAAAACCTCCGCAGCTACCCCACCCCAGAAGAGAGGGCAGAACAAAGAGCTATCGAAGGCCGTCACGACTCCGACGACGAAGAGGAAGCCAGAAAATCAAGACACGACCGTGGTCGCCAAATCGTCACTCGTGCAGAGGGTGGCCTTGGCATGGTTGGCGTTAGTGAGGTCAAGAAGAAGGAGGTGCGCGCCGCCGAGAAGAGAGAGAAGAAGCGCGAACAAAGAGCGCAGGCCAACTACCAATGGGGCAACGATAAGAGAGGAAACAACCAAAAGCATTTCCGCGTAAGTTCTCCTGATCACAACATTGCGAATCGCTTGCTAATCCATCTCAGGACCATCTTCTGCAATAGATGTGTGCGCTCGACACTGCAGTCTCTGGCTGTGGGATTTTTGCACTCATTGGACAGTGTTTGGTTTAAGTATATCTCACGATTGTTATACCTCTGATTTCGAACGGACCGCATCAGCGACGGTCCTCAAGTTTTTACGCAAGGCATAGAGCATTGTTACACTGCGGGATTGATGTAGTCTCTTCTCGTATACCAATGCATCCACTCTTGTATGCTTCCTTACGACTACGTTCTTCTGCCTCGTATTCGCTTTCGTCATCTTTTCGAAACCCTCATCAATTTGGCAGACTGTGCTCGTTACTGACCATTTCTTAGACATCGTACAGCAACATCAGATGACAGACTTGGCCTCTTAATAATGTGTACTGTGAAACATAGGTATTATCGAGCTGATGGTGTTTAAGAAGCCGATAAACTTCGTCAGGTTCCCCTCCTGCCACGCGAGAATCCCTCTCATTCTCCACTCGTAAGCTTGGTGGTGGGAACCAAGGCGTACCTGCCTCAAGCAAGCTCAAAGCTCATGTGTTTCCTCTCAGCATCCCAACCATCTTGCTTCTCGACATCAAGTTCTGTATTACTTCAGGAGTTGTATCATTGCTTCTCGTCTCATCTGCAGCTCCGCTCTATTCATTGAGTATCATTGACTACAATCTCTGCCCATTACTACCTTTGGTATGTCGAGCTCTCTCACCTGCAAGCACATCTCAAGATATTTTTGGTCTAATCAATGAGCTCTACATCGATGCATCTGTTGACTCTATACAGCATTCAGGATGAAGTCGAGTCTCGTGCTCGGCGCTCTCGCCGCTGTTTCCTCTGCTTCCTCCAGCATGAGCACTTCGTGGGACACCACTTTCTGGACTGTTGTCAGGCCAAGTTCGTCAGCCAACACAACCCTTCCAGGACCGGTCACAACCCTGACGTTGACTATCAACTCCACCATGTCGGGCACTCATACAATTTACAACAACGGCGAGCCTAGCTCGACCACCACTGTCGTCAACATAGTCGAGCCAACATCATCCATCAACGCTTCTAGCACTGTGCTGGTCCTGGTCCCTCCTCACGTCCACACCACGACCACGATCCTCAGTACGGTTTCCACTGTCTCCTTGAAGATATCTCCGACTGTCTCGTCTACCCGTCTTTCATCATCAACCATCTCTTCAACTCGTCTCTCATCATCCATTTCTTCTACTCGTCGTACATCCACCATCTCGTCTACTCGTGGTTCCTCGTCGACCATCTCATCCACTCGTCGTACATCGGTCAGCTCTCCGACCACAACCACGACAGTGACTGTGAAGCATTGCAAATCCAAATCCAAATCCAAATCCAAACTCACACCCACACCCACACCTATCTCGACCTCCTACTCGACTAGTTTCAGAGCGATATTTTCTACTAGGACTAAAAAGGTCCTTTCCACTAAGTCTAGAAAGGACTTTTCCACCAGTTTTAGAACGATCCATCCTTCTGAAACGACCATAATCACGACCGTCACCACCAAGCTTTGCAAGTCCACGCCCACTTTGCACTCTTCTGTCAAGGAACCTATCACTACTGGTCAAAGAGGTCTAGGGATGATTCCATAGGCTCTCTCCGGCAGTACTCTGACTTGGAAACAACCTTACATTACTTTGACCCCGAGAAGTAGAGTTATGTTCAAAGAACTCGACATTCTCCAGGCATCTTTCTCATTACGCTCCCGATCTGGAAGTGATGATGCATTTTTACAGCTCATGGTATCAGCTCCAACGGGCTTGGGAGCGATACGTTTTTTTCTCTCTAACCATGGCTCTCTTTGGGCTCACCTAATTCAAGTACAACAATGTAATTTCATAGCTGCGAAAAGGAAGAAAAAAGTCCATCGAAAGCCTCGATCCCATCTGCTTCCTCTTGTTGCATAGCTGACCTGAATGTCTGTGCATTTTGATAGCTTCTAGAGACATGTTAGTATCCACTTGAAGCCATTGTTGAGCTATCCTCGATCTTGACTCAATCTTTGAGAGAGTTGTGCAACTGTAGGACACATAGCGCTATGTCAAGGTGGATGGGCGTCTGGGGGATGAGGCGGTGTGATTGGACAGCGGAGAAGAGGTTGTCTTGGCGTTTGATGTTTACTCGCAGTGTTTTGATGTTGACGCGAGCTCGTGGACAGCGCCGGGTCGTGTCAAGTTTCAAGCATCCTTCTTCAGCATTGCATATCCAGGCATCTCTGCTTGTTAGCATGCCTTCGCCTCGCCAGTCGCCTGGAAACACGTCGACCATGTCGAGCTTCCAGCCCGAGTTCGAGTCCACCCAGCAGTTCGACACGGCCACGCAGTCGCTGCAACTGCCCAACCTCCGATCCAGTGCACAGCGCTTCAGCTACTACAACCCGCCCCAGCCCGCAATGCACATTGACTCGTCTTTCGTGCGCGATAGCTTCCCAGACTTCACCGAAAAGTCGCCATCGCCCTCGCCCGACGCCTCCATGTCCATCGAAGCAGGACGCGGCAAGAAAGGCAGCCCCAAGAGCTTCGACATGTCCGACATTCCGCTGCCCAGCGACAGCCTCTACGACCTGCACAGCACCCCGCCGAGAAGCACGCGTCCCACGCCAAAGAAGGCCGATAACCTGCGAAAAGAAGCTTCATTGCGACGCGCACACTCGAGCGACAAGAGAGCCAATGCCTCGCAGCGCCGCTCCTTGTCCGACATGCACCACAAGGTCCGTCACGAGAGTGACTCTTCCTTTGTTGGTGAAGACCGCCCGACCACCCAAACCGTCCAGCCGCGAAACACGCGCTTCACTTCAGCCAATCTTCCCACCTCTTACTCGCGCGACCAAGGCCTGCAATCCGCCTCTACACCTCAGCGCCCGCTGCAAAACCCTACCGCGACCTGGACCGGCACTCAGACCCAAGCTTCCTTCATGCTGCCCGACCTTCCGAACATCACCGAACTCGTGTCGGGCATACGCAAAGATGGCACCCCAGTCTTCTCGCGCTCGCAAAAGTCGCGTTCGCGCTTCACTTCTGCATCATACAACAATCCTACCACCACGAACACCATTGCTCACGCAAACATCAACTCGATCGCTGTGCCCGACGAAGAGAAAGCAATCTTTGCTTCCCTACAGCTCCTGAAGGATAAGGTTGCAAACCTCGAAGCTGAAAAGAGCGAAGCGCAAAAGAGACTCGAAGAGTACGAGACAGAAGTCGGCCAGCTCAAGTCGCGCCTCGACGTCGAGCAGAAGCTGCGACGGCCTGACAGTGCATTGGGCGAGGACGATGATGGTAGTGCCAAAGAGAAATGGCGCGTTGATAGAGCCACTCTGCAGACTACCATCAAGACCTTGCAAGACCGCCTTAACCGCGGTGAACGTAAGATATCTGTCAACGACATCGCCGTCAAGCGTTTGACCCAGGAGCGTGATGATCTGGTCACCCAACTCGGCGTTGCTTACTACAATTCCGAAGAGTTCAAGAACGAGAATATGCAGTTGCGCGATCTGAACGAACACCTGGAAGCTGATGTCGAAGCTCTACAAGCTGAGAATGGTCGTCTGCGCGTCAGACTTGCTCAGATCAAGGCTCAGTTCAACGATGAAACACAGCAGTGGAACTCACGCGAGTCTGATTTGAAAGCACGGATACATCGTCGTGAGGCCGCTGTTCGCGACATGCAGCACGACCTGACCATGCAGTCCGCCCCTGCCCAAGACCAAACTTCTAAGTCGTCCAAGTCACGCTCTGCCCAAGACAACCAGCAACCTTCAAGTAAGCGCCGAACCAGTGGAAGACTTGGCCAGGATACCAAGCACAACATCCTGGATAGCATCGAGAATGAGATTAGGAGATCACGTTCCGCTGCTGCACCTGCCAATCTTCGATCTCGCTCCCGTTCTAAGTCCAACACCCGTCAGAACACTTCGAAGTCCCAACGCGTTGTTGACGTTAGCGATATTGATTCGACGACCAACTTGGATTTCTCTAGACCTATCAGAGATGAAATTGCCCACAATGACGACGACTCCGACTCCAGAGATATTACCTATCTGAGTTTCCTTGATCCTAGAGAACTGGCAAAGCTGCGAAAGACACTCGAGGAAGAACGCCGTGCTTCGAAGACTGCGCGTGCTGTATCTGCACCCCAAACCAAAGAAAATGCGACTTCCACCAACATGACTGCTGTGCCTCGCAAATCTTCTCTAAGGGATGTCACAAACAACGATACAGGACGTTTCACCATCAGATCTCAGGTCGACGAAAACACTGGCCTGCTTAAGAATGTTCGAATCCAATCGCCTCACACATCTGATGCCATCTCGTACTCCGAACCTAGAGAGTCGATCGAGGCATCGTTCATGAGCACTTCGTCTCGCCGAAGGAATCGCAGTAAGAGTATCGAGGAGATGACGTCCGCCTTCATTCTCCCTGACATCACTCTCCACACTGGTCCAGGAGCCGAAGCCACTATGGCAAACACAGTCGGTGACATCTCTCATGGCAATTTGAACTGTACCGCTTGCCCATCTCAAGATTCGCAGGACAAGGAAGTCACAATCCCCCAACCGATCCCTGTCTCTGAACGTGAGATTGATGACACGAACGCCACTATTCGACCCTCTCAACCACCACCTGTGGCTCTAGCAACCGTGCTCAAGCAACTCGAAGACGAGGTCAAACATCTGAAGCTCCAGCTCCAGGGTTACGAGAAGATGTACAACAAGCATGATCCCGCTCTCGGCCGCCGCAAGCGTCTGGCTGTGAAGCAGAAGATGGACTCCCTAATGGCTGAAGTCGAACGCCGCAGCGATCAAATCTATGCTCTTTACGACGTTCTCGAGGGCCAGAAATCATCTGCCGCAGACACTGATGGCGAACAGCAGTTGCAAGAGTTGGATGGTGAGCAAGTGGAAGAGACGTTGCAGAGTCTAGGTATTGATGTTGACGAATTGGCTCAGAGAGCTCGGGAGGTCAAGGAGGCACAGCGTCATCCATTTGGTCTTGGTGGGCTCGATGAGGAGAGTGATGTTGAATTGCCTTGGGGTGGGTTCAGCGACGAGAGTGAGGTTGAGGAGGTACAGTTGCCCAGGAGACGTTCAGTGAACAGGGCTGTGATTGCCTAGAATTGAGGAATGAGGATGACATGATACTCTTGGGTTTTTGGATAGGTCAAGGAGTTTTGGAAGGACATCATTAGTTTGGCGCTATCAGGGCACAGAGATTGAGATTCTTCTTGGTGTAGTTGTTATGTTCGATTTGTTACCTTGCCCAACATTCTTTCTTCGTCAGCATAAGATGATCTTCGGCTGTTCTTCCACGGTGGCACAGTCGCCATGCCTTTGAGGTTGGGTTGACTGGACTACTGGCATTAACCCCCGCGGACGCTGCAGGACTCAAAGGAACGATGACAATATTCCAAAAGAATCCTATCTCGTACGCGTATAAGGATACGAAGAAGAAGAGGGTTCCTGTCCGTTGGTGTCGGCCAATAAGCGGCGGTTTTCCAAGCCCTCGTGCTTGTTGGTTAGGTAGTTATGCACAGCCGTCGGCAGCAAGAGAGCCGAGCAGATATTCATCCACGAGCATCCGAAAGCAGGGCTGAGCAAGTACGTACCTTGGTAGGAAGAATCTGGATAACGTTGGAAAAGAGGCTGGAGCTGTCAGATCCGAAGTAGATGTCATCGTGTGTGTCGCTTCAGCATAACCAAGTCGGAGAGTTGTGCCGGAGCTGAGGAACAGTGGCGTTGCAAACCGTGCCGAAGCCTCGCGGCCGCAACTCTAACGAAAAGACGTCAAACAGCTTGGATGATACTGTCTTGTAGCCGGCGGACAAAATGATCTGCAGGGTTCCTCCGCCGCGGCAACCGAGCAGACGGAAGATCGACTGATCTTGATCTTGTGCTCAAGACAAAAAGATATTTTGGGCATGATTGGTACTTCGATTCTACACCAGTCAGATCTTTGAGCGCATGATATATGGCTATCTTACTAGACGCGCAATGTACTGTATGATCAGGAGTAGCCAAGAGAGCGTATCGAGGCGTATGCACACGCGACAGTAAGATGAAATGCGCCAAGGTGTGTTGGGTCCTGAAACTGTAATAGCCTCTAGCGTCTACACGTCACTCTACTGGGTCCGTTTCCGTGGGAGCCGGCAGACTCGATATATCTTTTGTTTGCCCCAGCCTCTGCATGGCTGTCTATTCCTTACTCACATTTTGTATCTCTATCTCAATACCAGGATGAAGGCCCAAACAGCATTGACCGGCCTGGTGTCGGTCGCCGCCCTTCTCCCTGAAGTCTCGGCCAGTGTCGTGGTTATTCGCGACCCTTCTGTTGAGCAAGCCGCTGCAGAGGCCCTCGCTGTACCGCTGGCCGCACTCAAGCGTGCAGCTCCTGAAGCTCCTAACGGATATGTCCCTACAGCTGTCGACTGCCCTTCGGATCGTCCTACTATTCGCGAAGCCACCACGATTTCCAACAACGAGACAGAATGGCTCTACGTACGAAGGAACAACACCGTTTCCGCCATGAGAGATCTGCTCGGTCGCTTGAACATTACCGGGCTCGACACAAATTCCTACATTGACAGCGCGGCAAACAATGTCAGCGCTCTCCCCAACATTGCTATTGCTGGATCAGGCGGTGGTTACCGTGCCCTGATGAACTATGCTGGTGCTGTGGCAGCCTTCGATAACCGCACTTCCAACTCTACTGGAGCAGGTCAACTCGGTGGCCTCCTGCAGTCTTCCACCTATCTTGCTGGTCTCTCGGGTGGTTCTTGGTTGGTGGGAAGTTTGTTCATGAATAACTTCTCCTCAGTCGAGAACATCTTGACTCAAGACACATCCGACAGCAACAGTGGAGGCACATGGCAATTTGGAAACTCGATCCTTGAGGGTCCCGCAAGCAGCCATCTTCAGATTCTGAGCACGGCCGACTATCTTAAAGACATCTACGACACTGTTCAGGATAAGAACGATGCTGGGTACGAGACCACCATTACCGATTACTGGGGTCGCGCCCTGTCATACCAGTTGATTAACTCCAGCATGGGAGGCCCTGCTTACACCTTCTCATCTATCGCCGACTCTGACCAGTTCAGGGCTGGTAACACTCCCATGCCTATCTTTGTCGCTGATGGCCGTGCCAGAGGCCAGCTCGTCATTGACGGTAACGCTACTGTTTACGAGATGAACCCTTGGGAGCTTGGTTCATTCGACCCTACTACCTATGCATTCGCTCCCATGCGCTATCTCGGATCAAACTTCTCCGATGGTACGGTTGTACAGGGAGACAAGCAGTGTGTCCGCGGATTCGACAATGCTGGTTACATCATGGGAACCTCCAGTTCCTTGTTCAACCAGGCTTTCTTGCAAATCAACGGCTCTACTGGTCTGATCAATAAGGCTCTTACTGCCGTACTGGCCAACATCGGTCAGGACAATGACGACATTGCCAACTACCCTAACCCCTTCTTCGGTGTTAACAACGCGACCAGCCGTGTCGCCAACACTGATCAGCTCACTCTTGTCGACGGTGGTGAGGATTTGCAAAACATCCCTCTCCACCCTCTCATCCAGCCCGTGAGAAATGTCGATGTCATTTTTGCCATCGATTCGTCTGCCGACACCACTGCTGATAACGGCGGCGCCAACTGGCCCAACGGCACTGCTCTTGTTGCTACCTATCAACGTAGCTTCTTGCCCATCGCCAACGGCACCTCTTTCCCTTCCATCCCCGACCAGCAGACCTTTGTCAACCTTGGCCTGAACAACCGTCCTACCTTCTTCGGCTGCGACGCTAGCAACACCACCCACATGACTCCTTTGATCGTATACCTTCCCAATGCCCCCTACGTCTACCACAGCAACGTTAGTACCTACGACCTGCAGTACAACGACACTGAGCGCAACTACATTATCGAAAACGGCTACAATGTCGCTACCCTGGGCAACGGCACCCTCGATAGCGAATGGCCCACCTGTGTCGGCTGCGCCATCCTCAGCCGCTCCCTCGGCCGCACAAACACCGAGGTCCCTGATGTTTGCAACCAGTGTTTCCAGCGCTACTGCTGGGACGGCACCCGCAACTCGACTCTCAACACCACCTACGAGCCGCCATACAAGCTTGCCAAGAACGACGTGCTCGGCTTCTCGAGCAGTGGCTTCAAAGGCGCTGTGCCTTCATTGGCTTTTGCCGTGTCCGCTGTTGCTGCTGTCTTGATGATCATGTAGATTGCGATCGGAGCGTTTGTTTTGTTCGTTGCATTGTGGTTCAATCACCATCATAACTCTTCTGCAAAGAAGATTCATCTATAGATACAGGATAGCTGTCTGCAATATACAGGCTTTCTTGGTTACGAAAAGTACAATAATATATCCAAATTTCAAAATCCTTATTCCTGTTTCACTGCCTCCCGTGTGTGATGGTTGGTCACAGTGCGGTTGTAGAGATGCACAATGCTTTCTATAATACGGAGATATTCGCGAAAGGCAGGTTGTGTTCAGGCATCTCCTTGGTGATATCCCTCCTCAGAGAGACGTGTGCATTTTTATAGCTTAGAAAAACACAATGAAGTACTATGAGAGAGAGGTCGATCTTAGGGGCGTGTGTCTTTGCACGAGAGGAGGTGTGAATTACGATGATATCCATGTCTTCTCCAAGTAACATATCCGAGTTGCTTATAGACGTTGGAAAAAGAGAATGCAAGTTACATCCTCAACACACAAGGAGGATGGAATGGAAGAGCAAACCAGTGAGGTTTGATCATGGAAAGGCGACTGAAAAGCAATAGGACAAAAAGATCCTAGGACGAAGCGAATCGCTTTGGCATATGCCTGTTTTGAACATTTTGACCAGCACCTCGTCTGGACCAGCAGTAAAAACTTGGGTGGTCACTGATAAGAAGTTACTTCTCAATGCTTGAGAATCGATTTGAGAAGGCATGACTAACACTATCAACGACAACCCCTCTCTCAAGAACTAGGGATGAGATTCAAATCAACAAAAACACGAGAAGATTATAGTGGGAAGGTGCGAAGGAAAAAAGTGACAAGCAGGGTCACTTCTGATCATATAGTTATATAGATAGCCAAGCTCTTTCGAGTCTTGGATGAAGTGGAACTAATGAGTTCAACTCCTGTCTCAGTGCGGTGCTCGATATACGCCAAATACATCTACATCACTTCGGCGTATTGCTGCGCATGTGCTTCGATATGTGTACTCGCGTGTTTCAGCACATCGAAGCTAATAAGCTTGTACTGTAGCTGATCGTTTGTTGCTCGATGTTAGCACCAAGAAGCATTCAACTGGATAGAGTGATCCTTGCTTGCTTGAGAACGTCATGATGCTTGTATGATGACCATGAGCCCTCAATTGCACGCTGGAGAGACATCTAGTCAGGGAGTGATGCTCCTAGCTTGTGTATAGCGTCGTTCTCAGACCCTGGAAATCGATGTTTCAGAAGTGCTGGCTCGCGTTCCTCGACGCGATGATCGTGATGCTTGCTGAGCGGAGCACGGAGTCGACGTAGAAGATGTGACCTAAAGCCATGATGCGTTAGCCAGCTGCTCTCGAACGATAAATGCAGATAATGAAGATTGTGCAAGCTGGTGTGTTTTTCAGACTAGAGAGGCATCTACTAAAATACTCTTCCTGAGTTCTCAGCATCTACACATAGTGTATAAGCTGTCCCTATCAGGTGTTCATCCTTGAACCAGCACGTTTTGAATGGAAGAAGAAAACAACGCTTACCTCTGCGAGTGTGAATGTCGGTGGAGAAGTTAAGCTAGTCTTGAGCCTTTCAGCTTGACTTAGCCAATCTGAGATTGCTTCATGAGCGCTCAGAGTCACCAACGACATATCCTCGAGCAACACCGCCACGGCCTTCTTCCATGGGTGCGCCTTTAATCTTGCCATCTTCGTCGTAGTCATAAGCAATTTCGTAGTCAGTACCCAGACCTTGCCATGTACGCTTGCTGCGTAGAAATTCGGCAGCAGGAGAGACTTCGCCACCAATCTGGGCAAGATCACCGTTGGCACGCTTGATAAGACTGGTAGCAGCGGTCTTCTTGGAGGCGGACGCAGAAGGTCGTGCCATAGGTCGGCTCTGCGATACGTAACGTCCAGTACGAAGATCGAAGACTGGCGCCTCGGATTCCGAGTCCGACTCATCATCAATGCCTTGACCGTCCTGGTTGTCTGACTCGTCGTCGTATGTGCCTTCACCCCTGACTACAGTTTTCTTGCCGAGCAAAGACTGGAAGTCGCTGTTCCATTCTCCGGTCCAGATACGGTCCCTTTCGTCGGTGAGAGCCAGCTCCAATTCGAAAGGTGTAATGATGGGTTTCCAGAAGTCCTTGCTTTCGATCAAACTGCTTTCCCAGCAACCAATGATGACCCAACCATCGACCTCGGAGAAGTTTGCAACCTTGGCAGCGTTGACCTTTCCGACAACGAAAGTGTAGTACTTTTTGCCGGCACGAGTGATCAGGTCTTGAACGTGAGCCAGAGCTTCCATGTAGTTCTTGACGGAAAGGGTGTTAATCAGAATACCAAAGACAGAGACAGTGCTAAGGTTTGTTACGAGAGCATAACGGCGACGGAGAATCTGGGCAGTGGACGCGGACATAGTTTGAGGGGCTTCAGAACCCTCGGACGCGGTCGGGTAGATGTCGATGGAAGCCACACGAGAGGTGAGATTGAGAAGGAGGGATGTCGGAGGTTCCGAGATGTGGAAAAGCGAGTAGTCGCGAAGAACAGCGGCATCCTCATCTGCTCCGGAAGGGACGGTGCGATTAGGCAATAAAGACGAAGGGTTGTGGACAATGGATGTGGAAAACAGGTTGGTGTAGCCAAGACTCTCGAGAGCAGATTGTAGAGGTTGCACATGTTCAGCGTAAGGAATGTCTGCCATTAGGACTACCTTGTGGTCCTTGTCCAGATAAGTCTTCTGGAAGCTGGCGACGACAGCGTCCAAGTCGAGCGGACGGAAGGTGAAGACGTAGATGACAGGCAGCCTCTGAGTCGGGGAAAGGCAGGTACGGCCATAATGCACTACAACATCGGCCAGGACGTGCTCAGCAGCAACCTCGTCGACGCAGCAGGCACCGTATGAAGTATCACCAAGGATACAGAGTCTCTCTTGTTCGGCGTCCAGCGAAACCTTGTCCATGGCTTCAGTCACGTCTTGACTCTTGTTTTGTGTGCGGAGCTCTTTCTGCAACGCTTCAAAAACCCTCGGAGCATCGGTCAACATATGATCGGGGAATTGAAGAGCTATCCGCTTGTATTTTGCATGGCGGATCTCGTCAACGGTTCTCTTGATCTCATAGGTAAGGTATAATTGTTCGTCCGAGAAGGTCCGCACCAGAGACGGGTCGATGGCAGGGGTGGGATCCTCAAAGACGTGTGTATCCGGAGTCGACAAGACCGGAGCAACCTCTGGCGCACCCAGCGACATGATTGCTGCTGTTGAAAGAGGGAAGATGCAGTGGAACAGAATAATTTTGGCCAAGCAAAAACACCTCACGCACGGACCACTCACGCCGCAAGTTCCATCATCGTCGGAAAAGTTGCAGGTGGAGGCCAATCCGTCACTACTTCTCTCGCTCGACCACAACCACACACATCTCACATTCGCCATGGATCACAGCAGAGACCCTTGCCCTTGGGTGTATGTTCACCTCCCACGCCACCAACTGCCACCAGCCTGCTAACTCTGCTCCTCCAACAGGGCCTTGAACGATTTCGGAGGTGCTTTCTGCATGGGCGCAATCGGCGGTTCGCTCTGGCACGGTATCAAGGGTTTCAGAAACAGTCCGTACGTTTGACCACGCTCTCAACTACCTCACACGACCACACACAACATACTAAGACTCGGCGCAACAGCTNATGGCGAGAGAAGGATAGGCGCTCTGACCGCCATCAAGGCGCGTGCTCCCGTTCTGGGTGGTAACTTTGGTGTCTGGGGTGGCATGTTCAGTACCTTTGACTGTGCGGTCAAGGGCATTCGGTACGTCTCGTCCAACTCGCTTCAGACCAGCCCACCATACTGACCCAGCCACAGCAAGAAGGAAGACCCCTGGAACGCCATCATTGCCGGTTTCTTCACTGGTGGTGCTCTCGCCGTCCGTGGTGGTTACAAGGCCATGCGCAACGGTGCCATCGGTTGCGCCATCCTGCTCGCCGTCATCGAAGGTGTCGGTATCGGTTTCCAGCGCATGATGGCAGAAAACACCAGACTCGACATGCCTCCCCCACCTCCGCAAGGCATCGAGGCCGCTCCCAAGCCCATCGCCGCTTAAAAGAGAAAGACTTTGCAAAAAACACTTGTGTTATGTACGGGTATATTCGGCGTTTGGAGCGAAAAGCATCAACTTTCTTGATCTGGGGCTGTTTTCTTTTGTTTCCCACCCATACACGACCGGCGCGCCTAACGAGGGCTCCTGTCTGCTCTTCACTCTTCGAAATTACATCTCAAGCCACCAGAGAGAGAAAATCGTGGTGGTTCATTAGTTTTGCATAAAGACCAATCTGTACTCTTATGTTTCATGTCATCAAAACCCACTTTCCAAAACAACCAACAATATCAATCAATGTATGTTGAGGGCGAAACTAGATGCAGCGTCCATGGAGAGCAAGGTCGCCGAATCAGAGAGCCCTGGCATTGTTCTAGGAGCCGTCGATGCAGTGAAAAGGCAGAATAAGCTCTCCGCTTCCACATTCGCCATCCTTGCGGACGGACTTTGACGTTCCATGCATTGTGTCATGTTCTATCTTGGGAGATGTATATAAAAAGCTAGTAACCATTGCTTTTGTCTAGCCATCTAAAACCTCATCCTGGCAGCCTTGAATCTACTCACCTTCTTCAGCTTGCCATCAGGGAACTGCTCCATCAAAGGATCGTCTTTTTCTTCCTCTGTCTCCTTGAATCCACCTTGTTGGCGGATGATGTTGTTTCGCAGGCGATAGTATTCGGAAGCAAGTTGGCGCTGCTGCAGTTCGGGATCAAGCTCGTCGACTTCTTCTGGCGCGCGCGCAGTAGTCGATGGCACAGCCGGCTTTTCGACAATCTTGTCTGAGATGACAGAGCCAGAGACTTGATTTGATGCAGGCTCGGGCTGAGCAGGCTCAGATGCAGCAGCTCTGTTTTGCTTGAAGCGCGAGGCCTTGGCAGGCTTTGCTGGTTCGGAAGGAGCTTGAGGCTTGGAAGATGCTCGCTCGACAACATCTGCGATCGGTGCAGTGCGTGGCTTGGAGGCGACTGGAGCCTCAGANCCTTTGGGTGCCTCTTGCACATCCAACTCTTCTGAGAATCTGACACCCTTCTTTGCCGATGCGTCTGGCTTGACTGCCTCTTTGCCCTTCGAGATTGCTGGCTTGATGTTTTCGTCAGATGTTCCTTCCTCGCCACGAACCACAAGACGGCGAAGTCCTTCGGGATCGTACACGGGGTCTACTGATTCGAGATTGGGTCCGAGGTTTCCAATAACTCTTGAGCGAAGTTGTTTCTCCAGTTCCTGCATCTGATCTCTGTAGCTCTTGGAGACTCCTGGACGAATTGATCTTCCATGTTCGTCTTCTTCCTCGGAAATTTCGCTGTCGTAATCGTCGTCGAAGTAGTCATCGTCGTCTTCGAACTCTGATAGGTTCTCATCCAGATCCAATTCAGCTACCACCTGACCGACTTCGTTGAGGTTGTACTGGAGCATTTCCCTGCGCAGTCTTGCATCTTCGGGGGATTCGTCCTCCGGGATTACCGCTTGAGCTCCGATGACATCGTCGTCGTCATCCAGTTCGATAACACGCTCCCCGTTGGCGAACGAGCCATTGAACAAGGAAGGGTCGACTCCAGATGATCTGCTGGCATTGGCATTGTCGGCGCGTGAGGGAATTTCTCTTTCTTGTACTTCCTCGGCGAAGCTGACCCCTTTCTTGGTAGCTTTAGGAGCATCGTCGGAGGCTTCTGACGTCTCTTGACCCTTGCTTGCCGGAGCAGCCTCAGGCTTTTTGGTAGTATCAGAGGCCGAGTCTTTGGTCGAGTCGTCATTCTTTGATTTAGAGTCCATGTCTTTCAGGCCAGCTTTACGAAGAGTTTCGATGATTTGTGCTGTTTGGTGTTCCGGCTGGGTGACTTTGCTCGATATAATGTTTCCATCCTCGTCCAACTCCTCGATAATCTCAGTCATGGGTAGTCCAGGTTCCTGTGTGTCGTCGTTCTCCCTGTCCATCTCCTCCAGCACTTCAGACAATTGACTTTCGGTTTTCTCCACCTGCTTGGAAATAGTCGACACATTTTGTTGTACATAGTCAAGGCGCCTGTCAACGAGTCGGCTGACTTCTATCGGATGGCGAATTGGTCCTTTTCCAATTCCGAACAAGTCAAAGATTTCTGGAATGGTCAGAATGAAATTCTTAGTCTGGCGTGCTTCTCTATCAAACCTTTTNTCATTCACAAGTTCTCCTCCAAATTTCTCGCTGATGCGTGTNCTGTCTATCATTAGCAAGGAAGTTTGCAGGATGAGTACATAACAACTCACGCAATCCTTTTCATATTGAACATTCACACCAGATGAAAGCTCTTCCTTCAAGCCTTCATACTCGGCATCCCATGTTCGCCAGTGTTGCAAAGATTTGCGTAGCTTTGCCACGTTCTCTTCCAGTTCTAACCGGCGTGTCTCAAGTTGTGCAAAGTCGGCCATCGTGTGTTACAGTTCAGCAAAGCAGACAGAAGCAAGAAAACTTCTGCAAAAGATATGTTTGTAATCAGTGAAGATGTCTTCTCGAAGTGACTAAAATTGAGTATAGAACGGCAGATGCCGGCTAGCAAGCCGAAGCCGAAGCATGGGCGATCTCTGGGACAAGTTGAGCCTCACACTTCAACTGTCGTGAGCTCACCATCAATCAACACGACCATGTCTCGTGTTGCTCAGCCCAGGTCGACGCCTGCGCGACCAGGCGAAGATGGTGAGCTACATAACGCCGACCTCGACCTGTCGAGTCTCCGCTTGACCGCAGGCATCGCTGACAGCCTGACCTCAGACATCTGCCCCGTATGCAAGTCCTCACGCTATCTCAACAAGTCCATGCGTTTTCTGGTCAACCCAGAATGCTATCACAAGATGTGCGAGTCCTGCGTGGACCGCATCTTCTCCCACGGTCCAAACAAGTGCCCGATCGCTGGCTGTCATCGCACCCTACGAAAGCACAAGTTCCGAGAACAGACATTCGAGGACATTCATGTCGAGCGCGAGATCGACATTCGAAAGCGCATAGCCAATATCTTCAACCGTCGCGAAGATGATTTTGATTCACTACTCGACTACAACAACTATTTGAACGAGGTCGAGGATATCACATTCAATCTCATCTATAAGATCGATGTCGACGAGACGGAAAAGAAGATTTCGGTCTACGCTGACCAGAATGCCAAAGCCATCACAACAAATGCCGCTCTCGCATCTCAAGAATCACACGACTATTCAGCGCTGCAAGCCGCAGAAAGAGAACAAGCTCGTCTACGGAGAGAGGCTGCTCGTCGGGAAGAGGAGGAAGAGAGAAGAGCACGTGCCGAAGGAAGACAGGACATCATCGATCGTCTTGCCACTGGTTCAGGCGATGCTGACACAATCACACAAGAGAGTCGCGTCACGCTCAAGAAACGACTCGACAAGAAGCAAGCTGCCGACAGACAGAGACAGCTGCAAGCCGCCGCCGCTGCAAAAGATGCAACAAACGGCAGCAGTGGCATTGTCATCAAAGGTCTCAAGACACGCAAAGCACCTGGTCCAGAAGCTCCGTACGACGCCTTTGGAGGACTCCAATTTTTCAACGAGTACCATATCGTACAAGATCACTACGACTGGGACTGGCTCAATGAGATCGACACACAGGTTGCTATTGTTGCAGGCGGCTACAGCAAACAAGAGTTTCATTCAAGGGCACTCTGCGAAGCATTCTCAGGTCTTGGGGTCATTGTTGGAGGGGAGAAGGCCGAGCAAAATGGCACACACAACGCAGCTACTATTGGCACTGCAGCCGCAGTTCATGGCGGCTCTGGCGCAAAGGACGTCAAGATGGAGGACCCGTTTTGAATTGATGATACACGTTAAATGATACCCCGAAAAGGCGCATGGCACGGCATATACATTTTTTATCTACCACTAGAAAGTTTGCAAAGATCAACTCATGATCATTGGTTTCGATGTCTTTTCTCTCAATATAAGTATAGACAGCTATAATTTTCTTGGCATTGATGATTGATTGCTCAGGTGACAAGTGCGATCTCCGTTGCGTACCTTACCTTTGCTGTCCTGAATATCATTTTGAATTGACACAAGGTCATCCATACATTTCCAATAGAAGTCTACTGACGAGTTACTACACTGTGTCCATCACAGCTGCCAGCAAGTGGGCGAAACTGAAACTCAGCGTGTAAACATGGCCGACGCAGAACCCCACCGTCAGATGTCTCTCATACCATACACCTCCGACTCACAGGAGATTGTTCTGTAAGCTGTTAACATGTGAAATCATCAAGTAGGTCTTCACTTGCTAACCTTGTAGANNCGTCGCGGCAATGCGATCGTTGTCTTCGATCCTGAGTCGCGACAATTGTCGTTACGTGGGAACCCTCAGACCGCCATCGGAGGCCTGAATCTTCAGCAATGCCCATACTGCCATCGGCCCCTGGAGGATGAAACGAACCCACACCAGTATGATTCTGAGGACGAGGGAGCTACCTCACACAACCAGAGCAGTTTTGTCAACCCGGATTACTTTCGCATGCTAGCACATAGTATACCAAGCTCAGCAGCAACCTCTAGGCCCGCATCACCACTGAAACAACTTCCAGCCTTGCGATCTGATACTCCAAGAAATATCAGTGCCACTGGACCTCCTGGTGCAGAATTCGTTGGTAGCGCACCTTCACCTGGTACAACGAATCAAGGCATTAAAGACGACAGTTTCTTGCCAAACTACTTCAAGCATTTCTTCGTTGAGAAACGCGAGCTAGGCCGTGGAGGTCGTGGAGTTGTGCTTTTGGTTGAGCACTTCCTAGACAAGGTCTCTCTCGGAGAATTCGCCTGCAAAAGGATTCCAGTCGGCAATGATCACGGCTGGCTGGAAAAGGTTCTGATTGAGGTGCAACTACTTCAAAGACTAACACATCCAAATTTGGTATCATATCACCATGTCTGGTTGGAGGACGCCCAGATCACCAATTTTGGACCGAGCGTGCCATGTATCTTCATCCTACAACAGTATTGTAATTCGNGGGACCTACACAACTATGTCCTTGGCTCGACACAAACCACAAGTCCTACCGAAATTTTGAAGGAGCGTATGAGAAGACGGTCAAAAGGACTTTCGGAGCGTCCGACGAATCTGGGATGTCGCACTATGAACTTCGACGAGATTTTCTCCTTTTTCCGCGATATCACATCTGGGCTGCATCACCTACATACGAACGGCTACATCCATCGAGATCTTAAACCGTCGAATTGTCTTTTGCACAATGATGGCCTAAAGACATCGGTTCATGTTTCGGACTTTGGCGAGGTACAAGCCGCTAATGAGCAACGTACCTCGACCGGCGCAACCGGCACGATATCGTATTGTGCTCCTGAGGTACTACAAAGACAAGGCTCAGGCTTCGGCGAGTTTACGACTAAGTCCGACATATTCTCCTTGGGCATGATTGTTTACTTCATGTGCTTTGGCCGACTACCCTATCAGAATGCTGATGCTGCTAACGATGAGAATGAAGATCTCGACAAGCTTCGCGCCGAGGTATCGGCCTGGCATGGATTTGATGATGTGACCAGAGCGAGGAAAGACCTGCCAGAGAAGCTCTACAAGTTTTTGAAAAGACTGTTGAGTCCCAATCCCGTGGAAAGACCAAGCACAGAACAAATTCTTCAAGCCATCAAAGCTGGAGGCGAGATCGACGATATACCTATGAATACCGTCAGGACTGGAGGAGAAAACTCCNCGGACCTCAGTAACATGAGTTCACGTATCTCGTCGGTTGATTCGCCAGCGCCAAAAAGACCCACACGAGCCAACACCAATCCGGTCTCCTCTAGGCCGGGCATATCACAACTAGCAAGGCATCACTCAGGTGAACTTGTGCACTCAAAAAGCCCACCTCTACAACCCCGTCGCTTCAGCAGGGATGTAAGCATAAGCACGAGCACTAATACCAGTACTCCATCACCTCCGGATACTTCGACACTTGCTTTTCGTGGCCGTGATGTTGGAACACCTCCGCTCACTAAATCACCCACTCGACTTNATGCTTCCGCCTCCTCCTCCACCTCCCCGTCTCGCTCACTCGGCAGTCATCCTTTCCTCCTTCTCTGCTTCAAAGTGTTCCTTTTTGGCTTCAAGCTCTTCCTACTCAGTTATCCCTGCTCGCCGTTTGCGGCGAAGGCGTGGCTTACATACCCACTGATGGGTCTTGCCATTCTGGATCTCACAGTTTGGAAGATGAACATAAGAGAAAGTCTGGTGTTGATGATGGTGCATGTGTTGATAGTGTGGATGGCGGGAAGATCGAGTGTGCTATGTAATGGCGGAGGGATGAGATGGAAGGGAGAAGGGCTTTATGAGGGGCTATGATCATTCTCAGGTTATCAGGAATAATATCGAATTTCTCCTCTGCTAAAAAAACAACTCTCCTTACAACACCACATCCAGCTCACAGATGCTGATGACTCAATCTCTTCGAAACGTGATACAAAAGGGGTGAGGGTTTTGAGACCACGTGGTATGATAGTTTCTTCTTCATTTAGCTTGCCAATGGGTCAAGCGTAGACATTAAATGTTTACAGATATCTTTGTTTGACCAATAGGCTCAAACATATATTGACATTACAACAAGCTAGTTCTCGTCAACGATCTTAAGCACTGCGGACATGAACAGGCACGTTTCTTCTGCCCTTGGTGTTTCTCTTGACAAGAACCTCTCTCTTGCTGAAGATATCGCCACTGACTTCAGCACCAAGGCCAAAGTCCGGCTCACCACCCAGAGTGCCAAAGATATCACCAATGTAGTTAGTGGCATTGACACCTTGAGCGAAAGTGCTGTTCCAGCCATCAAGAATACCTTCAACGACCTTGACACCAGCGAGATAGATGTTGGCAACAGCAGGCAAGAAAGCACCCTGCACGGAGGACTCGAACAAGTTGTAGGTAGCCGAGCCACCGAGGAAAGGACGGTCAAAGTCAGAGGCAGTTCTCATGACGATGATTCTGCTGTAATCGACGAGTTGCTCGGTGGCAGCGCGCAGCAGGGCTTCGAGGGTGGCGTTGTCTTCTTGGGCAGTGGAGCAGTAGTTTCCAGTGCCGTTGGTAATCAAGGTGGTGAAGTTGTCGAAGGCTTCTCCCAACAGACGGCCCGAGTAGTAGACATCTGAGGTAGCGACATCGCATTCAACTACACTGGGCCCACTGGGNGAAGCACCAGCGGCGTAGATTTCGTCATTGGCGTAGAATTTGCGGTAGGCAATGGCAGCGTCAGAGTCGTTGAGTGTGGCCTTGCGGGCAAAGTTTGCAGCAATCTTTTGCAGGTCCTGGTTGACCTCGAAAACTTCGGTACCGTAGATGTTCTGGGGGTACTCGGAAGGGCTGGTAGCACCGAGAGGAATGTAGCCAGTGGAAAAGTTGCCGGGGATGTCGCGAGGGTCAAATTCGTGCTCAAGAGCGACCTGGACGGCGTAGCGAGCAAAGGTGACAGAGGCGATGGTAGCAACCTCGGGGTTGATTCCAGCAATGCCGGCGATCATGAAGTAAGAGGTGGTCAGGTCGAAGCGAGGGCTACGGACCAGCGAGGCGATCGTGACGGCGGCGTTAATCTCAGCCTCGCCCGTAATAACCTGGCAGACATCTCCATCCTCAGTGCAGTGAACGTGAGGGAACAGAGGTGAAGCACCAGGAAGCGAAATGTTTCTGGCCAGGAGGTTGAACTCTGGGATTCCGTACCAGATCTCTGCCTCGGGAGTGAACATGGAAATGATCATCATCTTTGGCTTGATCACATATTCCAATGCCCTTTCAGCGACAGCAACAGGCTTGTGGAGGACTGATGCAGAGACGACGGAGCTCATACCCAAAAGGGCAGAGGGAATGCTGGACGAGAAACGCATTTTCGAGCAACCAGAACGAAAGACTTGGAGGAAACGAGGGAAGCAGGACCTATGATTGCCGATCAAGAAGACTTTAAATGCGCCGGCACAACAGAGCAGAGCTTATCTCTGCAAACAAACTCCATACCATTGAGCCAAAAAGCGCGCTGTGCGCCCATACCCAACCTCTTCGAAGATAATGGGATCACGAAAGACAATCCCGGCGCAGCAAAAAGTCGCCAGGGTCGCACGCGTTGTCGTCTCGTCGCGCGTCATTCTGCCGGAGCTTTCGTCCGTACTAGGGAAGGACTTGCCCAATAGTGGCAGGACATGTCGTGCACGGCCTATCGCGCTACATCGCACCCGACCTCCCGCGATCCGCGAGTCACGACGGAGGGTGCCGATCGTGAACTTGATAGCGGTTCTGCTTTGCTCCCTCCTCCGGTTCACGATTACAGGACTTTCAAAATACTGTTCACATAACCATAACTGCTATGGGCTCCAAGTTCTTTTTCTTCTAGCCGGAGTTTTGAACTGGCACTCAAGAGTCAAACAACTACTCATGCCACATACAGATCAATAAACCCGCATTCTCCAACATGGAAGCCACTCCTCCAGAATCCTTCTCGCCAAGTGATTGATGGTACGCCACTACTCATGGTAGTCGAACTTGGCGACGGTGAGCTTGGGAGTTGTGAACGTCTTATCGTCGGATGTGAACCATTCACCAGACACGCCTTGATCTCGCGGAGGACCCTTCGTAAATTCGGAATCAGGAGCGGCCAGGACAACAGTTGTGTTGACGAAAGAGTGCTCATACACCTCGCCTTTGAAGTCTATCAAGGCTGTTTCCTCNATCTGCCAGATGGTGGGCCTTCCGGTTTGGAGCGACAGAGTTGGAAGCACCGATACATTCGGTTTGTCTTCTGAGGAGACGGTCAAGTTGAGCTGGTCCTTTTCGTCATCATACTTGTCTGTGATCGGTGTCAGTATTAGACGTTTCCATACGCGGAGGAGTTTTTGTTGTCATACACTGCATCTTGATGACNNCGGACCAGGTGTCATGCGGAAACCACTGGTTGCTTGCTGCTTTTCATCCAACAAAAATCCCCAGTTGGCGCCTGTGAGGGCACACCACTGTCCATGGTTACCACCGCATCCTTGACCGTCGTTGTGAGCACCTGCTTGGACAACCACTGGCTGATCGACGTCTTGCAACCCGGCGTATATGAGCGCGCCAGCTTCTTGGCCTTCCGGTACCTTTCCAGGGCACACAGTCGTTTCGGCCTCGACGATGTAGGAAGAGAATGAACGAAGATGTTGCCCATTGCCAAAGCGGTTGTGTGGATTGCTAGGTTCTGCGACGGCGACGGCGTTCGTGAAGATCGCCCACATAAGCTGTGTTGGTTTGACCATTTTGCAAACACTTGCTTGGTTGGTTCTGGCAACAAAGAAAGAAGAACAGAAGGGTATGCAGAAGAGTGTTTTATAAGCAGATAGAAAACATCGTGTACATGTACATCATTTATGATGGTAGGGTCATATCGTATTTGAGCAAGTTATCATTGAGCCTCAGCCATGCCTATACTTCACGTTGCAACAGAAGCTCTGAGGTAACCATTCATGATTTGGAGATTGCATTGCCACGTACGCTGTCCAAATCCAGGAGATGCCATTGTTGGTTCACAGTAACCAATAGAAGTCGTGTTCGCTGCCCAAGAGATGGATGTGTCTCGATTGTCTGATATCAGTTGTCGAAGCGACCTTCCCTCATTGCTTGATGCACTGGGTTCTCAACATCGACGACACCAGTCGCTCTCAACCTTTCGAACAAGACAAACAGACGTTCGGCTTCGCGCTCCTTCTCCTCGTCTGTCATCTCGGGCTCAGGGTCTGTAGGTTCGGCAGCTAGACGTTGACCAGTGACGGGATTGATGTCTGCACCCTCAGCATCCGCTCTCATCATAGTCTCCGGCACCTCGATCTTATGTGTAGAGAGGAAACCTGCAGCATAACCATATCCAATGTTGTGGATGAAAGTTGTTGGGTTGCTGTCGGAAAGCTCGAAGAACAGAGCGGAGATGCTCTCACGCAAGTTCATCAGGGATGGAGAGATGGAAAGTCGAAGTAGTCTAGATGGCAAAGAGTCACCTTGACCTAGAGGCTTGGAACGGGCCTGTTCGTCGGGTAATAAGAGTGACTGCATGTGTTTGCGGACATCTGGTGATACCTTCTCCTGGATCTTTCGCAAAAGTGTCAATAATGGGGTTGCGGCTTGATCAAGTTTAGTCTCTGAATATGCTTCCAACGAAGTCTCCAGGATGCCGATCAATTGCTCAAGCTGCGCGTTAGTAGGACATGTTTCTTGCGTCATCTCCATGTTCATCAATGCATTGATGATGGCACTAACAGTGCCTTGCAATGGTGGCGCAGGCAACTTCTGGTGAGAAAGAATACTGAACAGATCTGGCACAGAGCTTGCGAATCTGGCCGCTAGTTCGGGCTGTCTAGCTGTTACATTGAATAACAGCTTCAAAGATTCTGACAATGCCATGTCATTCATGGGATGGGCGACTTGACTGGCAGGATCGGAGAGTCTATCGGCGTGCCCGGCTAAGTTCTGCTCATGTATTAGCTATGACCTGCTTTTGAGACGATTGTAAAATCATACCCTGCAGATGCTGCTGGCTAGTTCATGCTTCTCGACAAGCTCTCTGAGGTCGACAGTAGTCTTATATGTCAGGAGGAAGATGATGCGCGAAATTAGAAACTCGTCATCCCGATCATCGTTCTAATACACAGTTAGTCTCGTATGCCTACCCATCAACGAGTGACTTACTCTAAGTCTCTGGGCTGCTTTGTCGCCATATCCCAAGTCCAGTAGGTACTGTCTTGGGGCTTCTTGTAGGAGCATAGCATTAGCCAGACACCGCAGAGCTTCTTGTGAAACATGTAGTTCTGCCACGTCGAATCCATATTCACATAGCGTTTCGACTCCCTTNTTGGCGAAAATGGACTCGGAATTTGCAGGATTTCTCCCAAGCACTTTGAGCTGTTCGAGAAGGCTTTTGCGTNNCCTGTCATTTCGTCAGACCAAGCTCTGCAGTGATAGTGTCAGATTCTCTCGTGTGCTAGAGACGGTCACAATGTAGCTGCAGAGATGCACAATACTTTACAGAAGAGAGTGGCAACCGCGGAAACGTGACAGCCACATTGTGACAGTCTGTTGCACATGGAAATCGAACTGGTTGAAAAACATACGTGCTTCTGATAATTTCTCGTCCTGCAAGTCGGCGGTGAGCTTGGTCAGAAGCTCATCGACCTTGGCTTTGCCTAAGTAGGATATGTATCAGCAGAGCACGAGACTCGAGATACAAAGATCATTCTACCTTGGCCATCATCTTGTGAGGGCCGAGCAAACATGGCGGAATGTGCTGTATGGAAGGTTCAACGACCAAAGAGGAAGGAAGGAGCAATTTCCGAATTGGGAAGTGGTTACCAAGCAACTGCGAGCGTGCCAAGAAAAGGTTCCTTCTTAATTGGAACGCGAGGAAAGCACGTTCGAGGCGCGTCATCTGGACTCGGAGAGTTTACTTGACAACGCCCAAAGACAACACTATCATGCTGCTGAACAAGCAGGGTCGACTGAACAAGACCTCAGACTAGACATCACCTCCATCGTACGGCAATGGTATCTGCTGAGCCGCTCGAGCATCTCGCCAATCGTCCTCCTACTCCTCCCAAAGACATCGACCACGAAATAAACAGAGTCATTAGCCTTCTGGACGTCGACTTTGAAACCGAGCTCGATCAGGTGCAANAACCCTGTTCCCGTACAGGCACCCCGGTCCAACCCTCTCCTCCCTCTTCACAAGGAGAAGGCTCACGGCACAAGTCAAGCAAGCGGGTCGAGTTCTCGCCATGCGTCACTGCTCATGATCCTACACCCTTTTATGCCACTTCAGCAGGCGCTGCCAGTCCAATCCCTCGTCGCTTCCCCTCGAGCAAGCAGCCCAGACCCGTTAGATCTATCTTGAAGGCCACACTTGACCTGCAGACACCCACACCTGATGCTGCATCGCCTGCCGCCGACTACTTCTCCATCTCCGACCCGGAGACCTTTCCCGTCATGCTCGACTCGATTCTGAAGTTCCTCGACGCCCCCTCGACGGCACTCCGCTTGGATGGATACAGTACTCTCAATGGCGCTCTCAAAGCCTACGATGACTTGCCCGACGTTGATGCCATGCGATCCAAAATGCCTCTTCTCACCAAACACATTTCTCGAGATATTCTTGAATCAAGTCGCAAATCGGATCCGATGACATCAAGTCTGACCACACAAGCTCTGAAGCTCACAACTGCACTCCTTATGCTACCTGCTCTCGCCGACGCTCTCGACGAGCAATTCCAGACTCTGCTCGTCGATCGTGCTATAGAAGTTCTGGAACAAGATCCAGTGCCAAAGTCGATCGCCAACCACCACATGTTTCTTCTGGCAACTCAACGCTTCTCATCGAGAGTTGTCAATGCGTCCAAAGTAGAGCAAATTCTCTCTTCGCTCACCACCATCCACGATCGTGTCAGCGGCAACAGTGTCATTGCATCTCGCTTGGTGATTTTCCAGCGCTTGATGGACCAAGCCCCTACTACCATGCTCAGTAATATGCGTGAATGGATGCCCCACGTCTTCCACGGTGTTCTGAGTAGCATCAAGGACGTTCGGGTGCGTGCCATTGAGACTGGAATGCAAGCTGCCATGATGTACGGTACAAGCTACTCATCGACCAAAGTCATCATTGATCTTTTCCACACAACTACTACTGAGGCTAGCAACTATGGCGCCTATTTCACTGCCCGTCTGTTTGACATGTCTAAGCCAAAAGAGAGTGGTGAGAACACCGACCTCGAGGAGGCTGTTCCCCAGATCTGGTCAATGGTGGTGCTTTTCTTCAGGAGCAAGAAGGTAAAGCTGTCACAATGGCGACTGTTTTGTGAAGAGTGGTTCCTCCTGATCCAGAATTGCCTCAACAGCAAGAACCTCACTGTCAAGTTCCGAGCCACATGCGCCTGGAACCGACTCGTTTATGTCGCCAATCCAGATCGCGAAATGCTAGAGAAAATGGAAGGATGGGATCATACGCTTCGAGTCCCCTTCGTACATATTCTTCACACGAACAAAGGCCGAGACAAGAAGAGTAAGGAAGTACGCCACATCGCACTTTCCGGCTATTGCAACTTGCTACACTATGCTCTAAGACCCTCCCAGCCTTGGCAAGATCTTGACTATTTTTGGGACGTATATGTCAAGGAAGTCCTTTTGAAGCTACTGCTCTCTGGTGGAAGAGATGCCAGTCTAGCTTGTCGGGTACTCAAGGCCCTTTTCGACGGCAAGTCAACTGTCTGGGACGAGGAGGTAGCCAACAAGGCTCCAATACTACCTGAGGCTCTGTCTCGATTGGATTCTAAGTGGATACGCTCCAGGGCTCACAAAATACTAGACTTGCTAGGCCCTTTTCTCGAGCTGTCCCTAGCTCAGTCAGGAGACGGACGTGGTATTGACGGAACTCCTTGGCGCGAGTTCTTGACTGCCGTTGCTAGTGCTGGAAGTCACGAGGTACTGCGGTCGCAAGAACTCAAAGAGTGCTTAGCTCAGCTGATGAACTTGTTCGGTCGTCTATGGGCGAAGGCTCCAAAGAATGTGGATCATTTGGAGACACCTTGGATTTCACGTTTCACAGCTCTTGTGCAATGCTGCATCGATGCAATTGGACCATTACCATTCAGCGAGGAGAACCTAACTCGTAGTGAATCTAAGAGTTTCGAGGCTGCACCGACTCCATCAAATCGGTCATCGAAACACCATGCGAAATTGCAATCACCTGCCGTTTTCTTATTCGATCTATTTGCCCAACCACCAAACGCAATCAGCACAGATGCAGCTTACTCTGATGCTGCTGGAGAGTTACTCCATCAGATCTGCCAGGGTAGGACTTCACGCAAGGAACGGCTGGAACTTATACGCAAATGCTCACAAGCAAGCTTGGCAACGACTTCGGTGTTGCTATGGAGGACTGCAGTACAGGAAACCACTGCAGTTCTTCTTGACTCCAGCCTGAACGAATCTGTCCAAGAACCAACTCGCCTTGGGTACCAAGCTCGGCATGCTATCTCAATATTGGCATCGGGTCTCCATCATCAACATGATGAGAGCGGTGCGTTGTCAGCCGCTTTCGAACTTGTCAGTGTATTAGCAAGGATTCTGAAACAAGAAGCCGGTGAAGGTGGTGTGGTTCTTGGTCTCATGGAACCTTTAGCCGAGGCGCTCTTGCAGCAAAAGGACGAGATGATTCCAAAGATTGTCCTTGTTCAGGTCACCAATAAGTTGCTACGAGTTGGAACATTCCCTCGTAACAAACAGCAAATGGACGAAGCGCGCAGATCTCTTTGGAACACGCATTTGCCATACTCGAAGCAGACGAGCTTCGAGCCATTCAACCACGTTTATGAGCTCGCAAATTCAGCGCTGTCGATCTCATATGGTAGTATCGAGGAGACTGCAGGATATCTAGCACAGTTCGTCGAAGCGGTCCAAGACTTCCTGTCGAAATGTCCTCTGTCCCTGTTCGCCTCGCCTGCATTGCGCAGAGTGCAACATGGATTGTCGCTGATTGTCAAGGATGAGGGTCGCGTACTTGCAGGTACTAAGGAGGCTCAAGATGTGTTCTCTAAGGTAAGTCATAACTTGCAACCAGCCAAAGTGTTGTCACTAATTCACATAGACANNCTTGCTTTATGGCAGTCCATACTCGAACAGCTGAAGAACCTGCCCTCGAACAAGACTCTCTTGAAAGCCTTGGACGAATTGTTTGCAGCTGGCTTGAATAGCACACATAGAGACATCATCAACCTCACCGTGTCTTTCTGGAACACAACGTTTGGTCAACTCGACTCGCTTGAGTATCCTAGCCAGGTTGAGCAAGCGATGAGGCGTCTTCAGCCGCTCGTCGAACTTGATCTGCCTACCTTTCCGAAGAACGTTGATGCACTGGTAAGCAAANGCTCAGATACAATTTTGCCCACATTCTGACAAGAGTAGGCACCGTCACCACTACGTGACTTAATTGAGTCGCAGCAAGATATCGATGTCCAGGACACGCCTTCACCCTCTAAGCAGCAACCCACCAGAAGATCGAAGAGAACGAGTGTGCTTAATCGTGCTACCTCCTCTAGTCCACAGAGAGAGCCTGTTATGAGAAGACAGCCTATTTCCAAACCAGCACCGAAATCAAAGCTGCGACATGAAGACTCCCAAGTCGAGTTCACGGCTGTCGAGAGCTCGTCACCAGTAGCGATGGAATCTCAACTTCTGACCGAACATCAGAGAGAGGTCAAATCTCGACAGCAATTCGAGATGGCGCCATTGTATCCTGAGTTCTCATCCAGCCCGGGACCACGGAGGAGAGCGCCAAGGTCAGGACTACCGCTCCTGGACTTCTCTAGCCAGCAGGCCGTCACAGATACAGGATATGCTACACCCACCCTGAATGACGATCATGGACCGATGGACGAGTACATCACTTCCTCACCCACACCAAAGGCAACTGAGAAGTTGCAACCACCTGTTGTGGAGAACCCAGATGTGGATGATTCAGCCTTCGAAGCGGAGGATGCCAACATCCCGTCTTCTCCGCCCGAGATGGAAGACGAAACTGTGTACGAGGGCACGACCGAGATCGAAAACTTGCAAACTGTAGAACAACAGGGTGTGAGCGAGACCCGGTTTGATACTGTCCCTGAGGACTTTTCCACAATCATGCCCCAGGAAGAGCCAAAAGCCGACAACTCGAGAGCACTGCCGCAAAAGACACCTACAGTGGAGCAAGCGGCGGACACGCATATCGCAACGCACCCCTCGGTCAAACGTCTTGCTCAAAATTCTGAGGGTGGAATCTCATCCGATGTCTTCACAGACGAGCGCTCCGAACTCAACACTGAAACTTCTGCGACCAAAGATCAACCTGATCTCGGTCAAGTCATTGAGCAGGCGTCGAAAGATCAAGATGCCATCGAATCCGATGATTCTTCGCCTATACTCTTCACAGATAGTCTGTCCGAACAGCTTCACAAGGATCCCCAGAGCTCTGTGGCACCCTCTCAGAGTAAGGTGTCCGAAGCTGTTGTTACGGCTGGTGACATTAGCAGAGTTTTGGACTCCTTCGTAGGAAACACGTCCGATGAAGACGATACGACATCGGTCCNNAAGAAGAGGCGCATATCAGCCCGACTACCAAGCCAAACACTGCTTCTTCGGCTTCCAAGCGTAAGCGAGAAGAGCCGCATGAAACGCGAGCTTCAGCCAAACGTCGCAAATCATCTGCATCTCCGTTCAGACGCATCGTCACAAGAACGCTCTCTTACCTCACGGGTAGTCAGATGGNAGAAAGACGATGATAACGACGACGACGACGACGAAGAAGTGCAAGATTGCATCGTTGTCGGAAGCCAGCAGAACCAGAAAGAAGAATCTCAGTCAGAAGCTGCAGAAGATTCTCCAGTTCCAGAATCGGCTCCAGCAAGCGTTGCACCAGTTATAAGTAAACGTGGACGTGGAAGACCTAGGAAGTCAACGACAACTATCGTGTCCGACCCAGTTTCGTCCGTCAGAACTCGAGCCTCGAAGCGGCGTGCGTCTATGCTTGGAGCAGAAGAAGACCAAGACTCTATGACCATAAATACGCCTGCACCAAGCAAGTCTCGGAGGACAACACGAAGTCAAGATGCAAAATCAGGCCAACCAGTTGAGCATGTCATGCTGTCTCCTACGCCTCGTCGTAGAGGACGTGAACTTGAGGCTGTTCTTGTCAGTCCAGGTCCATCTGGTGAAACTTCGCTGATAGCTGAGTCGTTGGTCGAGGATGATGAGGGAGTTGATGATGATGCGGAAGTTGATGAGCAGGAAGAAGACGGAAACGACGATAATCAGGAAGCAGACTCGCAGCTGAGGCACGAGGAAGAACGGGCAGTCCACGAACCGCCACCTGCGCAGGCCAACTGGGTGGTTGCGAGGTTGCAAGATCTCATCATCAACTGCAAGACATTGATTGTCGGGCCACAAGAGGAACGGGAGATCACGGATGCTCTGTATGAGTTAGGGCGACATGTCTATGAAGCCAGGAGGCGATCAGGTCTTTAGCGTGTTACAGCCGGATGTATTTAAATGGTACCTTAATGATTCAGCAATGGTCAAGCCGCGACATGTGCTAAAGCAGAAAGAGTCATTGGCATCACTTGGAGCATTGGTATCGATGGCTGTAAAATCCTGATTGATTAAGTCTATGCTGAGTCGAGAGGGGTTGATTTCCTTTCTACTATGCCTCCGCTTGGCGAACCATGCTATCTTCTTTCATCACGGTCGTGTCGTGTTTTCTTCCGTTGCGGACAAGCCTGCACTCATTTACAGGTGGCTCTTGAGCGCCTGACCAGCCTCGAAGCCATCCTGGGCCTCCAAAGTGATCCAGCCATTGACAGCGCCAGCCTCGACACAGATCATGTTCTTGTAGCCGTCCTTGGGCTCAAAGTCGGCAATGGCCTCAGCACCCTCCCTCCAAGGGTTCCAGATGACAGTGTCCTGCATGTTGTCTCTGATGACGTCTAGACGGGGCTTGTCGTCGACGAGGATCGAGGTTGTGTCTTGAGTGAAGGACTTGTAAACGCGGTCGACGGTGCTTTCGATGCGGAGCTCGTTGCCCTTGGAGTCGTGCTCGGTTGCGTTGAGGATCTTGTCGATGTATCTGACGCCCGAGAGGCCGGTGACCTTGACTTTGGAGATGTCNCTGGATGAGCTTGTTAGTATGATGTTGATGAGAAAGACAAGTAGTGGTGAATTGCTTACAGGAATGGCAAAGTAGGTGTGGAAGAGGGTCTGGAAGTCGAAAGGCTTGTCGCCCTGGTTGCGGACGTTGAGCATGGTCTGCAGACCGTCCTTGGACAGAGTGACGCTGTACTGCAGGCTAAAGTCGTAGGGCCATGCCTTCTTCATTTCATCGCTGAGGTTGTTGGATGTCAGGCCAAAGTCAAGGCGGATGGAGTCGTCGCTGCCCTTCTGGTTGCCCGACTCTGACGAAGTGGTACCAAGGTACTCCCAGTTGGAGATGCGAGCGAAACCGTGTTGAGGGAGGGCTGAAGTAGCGTGGTTCTTGGGTGCAGGGCCAAAGTTCTATACAAAGATGATCAGTGACTTGGTTGCTTGACAGAAGCGGTGAGAACATACAGGGAAGACGACAGGGACACCACCTCTGATGGCCTTCTTGCCGTCCATGTGGGCATTGGAGCTCAACCACAGGTTCTCCTTGCCATTGTTCTTCCACGAGATGACCGTGGCGCCGTACAGCATGACCTCAACCGAATCGCCGCTGGGCAGGCTGGCAGTCACCTTCTTGCCATCCGAGTGGACGGTAGGCTGAGGGCCAGTGGTGCTGGGGGTAAGTGCTGAGGGCTTGTGTGCTCTGTCGACCATTTTTGCAGAATTTGTTGAAGACGAGAATGTGGAAAGGAAACAGACGGCCAAGGGGTCTTTCTTGCTAGAGCTCTTGATTGTCCCTTAGTGGGGTTGCTGCGGAATGCGTCATGCTGTACAAACATCAGGCATGTTTTGCATTGTTCTTGCATAATATCAGCACAAAATGTTCATAATCTACCATACTCCTCAGCCTCTCTGTGCGGAAGACTGTCTTGACGTACTCTAGCTATAGATAATCACACTTGGACAAAGAATAGAGGCAAGTCCAGAGAAAGCCGACAATCACGACTTCCCATGGATAACTCTCTTTTCGTGGCCTATTGTGCATTTCTATAGCTTGCCATATCACTATACATCCGTGAAAGAGCGCCTGATGGTCAGGTCGTTAGCACGTGGAGAGGTGACATTCATAATATGAACTCCATTCTGAGATATATCGCATGACCAAACTTCTGCTCGGCAAGTGACAATGTTTCTATATCTTTATAATCCCTCTATACCACCCCACATACAGTGTGGGTAGAGGAAGAGCGGCAATGGTTCCGCTCCTTAATATCACCCCGCAAATGGACCCCACCAATATCCACCTTGATGCCCCATCTGTACTCGAGTAGGACACAATTGCCGAACGTACCTAGCAATATTAGACAGCGAAGGCCTCTAGTTCTTTTGTTGTGTTGATTCCAGTTGCAATAGGTTCGCCTTCATACAAACAGTATACCAACCATGGCTCCCACAGCACCAGTTGCACTCATTACAGGTGGTTCTTCAGGTACAGCTTTCCATGTTTCAGACTCGGCCTTGAGACAAACCATCTGACAATCGCAAACACAGNGAATTGGTCTCGCTCTGACAAAATACCTCCTCAATCGATCCTGGCGCGTCTTTATCGCAGACATCAATCCTCCTCCTCCAGCCGAACTCTCCGATTTCCCTTCCTCATCCCACCACATTCACGCGACAGACGTTTCATCCTGGGATGCGCAATCCTCAGCCTTCGAAACCTGCTGGTCCACCTTTGGCCGTCTTGATTTCTGTGCGTTAAATGCTGGCATCGACGACCGAGATGATATATTCTATTCCACGAGCAAGGATCTCAACACCCCACCCACCAAACCAAACATGAAAACCTTTGAAGTCAATTTGTATGGTCCATACTATGGAGTCAAATTGGCTGCTTATTACATGGCTTTGAACAAGCCATTGCATGGTCAAACCAGCGGTAAAGGTGGCAGGATCGTTATCACCGCTTCGGACGCTGGACTCTGGGCTTTACCAGCTGTGCCACAATACACAGCTACCAAACACGCTATTGTGGGTGTGGTGAGGGCAATGGCGCCCTCGGCTGCAGACGTTGGTGTCTCGATTAATGCTGTTGCGCCAGCGCTTACACCATCTAATCTTGCACCTGCTGGTTTACTCGAGAGTTATCCGAAAGAGGCATTGACAAAGATGGAGACATTGATGAAAGCATTTGATACATTGGGTAGATTTGAGGAAGTCGAGACAGAAGGGTGGGGTGGCCAAGAACCTAATGGACAAATTGTTGAGGGTAGAGGCGATGATATCCACTTCAAGAATGAGATTGAGAAGACGGGCGGGAGGGAGGTGCCANAAAGGTGAGTCTTGTGCGGTCCAGTTTGTATTGACGAATGCTAATTCGAAGCAGAGATACAACAGATCTGGGCAGATACGTACAAGGAGCGAAACATAAGATTTGCAATGCAGCGTCAGTAGAAGCAGGAGCTAGAAGGGCAGATGATATATGTGAGATAGGACTCGAGTAGAGGATACGAATCAATTACGTTATGATTTGGCGGTCCTCGACGTGTCTCGTGCATCTGGTTAGGATCTTCTGGAAAGAAAAAGCTCCTAGATTTCAATGTCGATGACCTTGTCAAGCCGTACTGAGAAGGCACAAATCGCAAACCGGCGAGCTCCAGACCGTAGAAATGCAACAGCAGGAGCAATGAGACGGATCCGGAACGTCGCAGGTTCTTGTATTGCTAGTGCTGTACACTCTTGGCTCCTGACGGAGCAGATTCATGATTAGACTCGTTCAGGATTTCTCTCAACCCAGCTTCGTTTTGCCGTAGGCTCCACCGGCAGTCTTGCGCATCTCCAAAGCTTTTCTGTATGGCGGTGCAGTCGGTGGTTGCACAGGGTCCAGCACAACATGGTCTTTAGGTAGATGATATGAGGCATCTGCGTCGTAGGCCGAGAGGTCTCCACAGGCCAAAAATGGTGCAATCCATCTGATGTCTTTGCTCTCTTCTTCGTCTTCAGAGCCAAGCTCCAACTCGGTGATACCGTCTGGTCTCAACGTACGCGATGGCAGAGTCTTCTCAAGCTTCATCTCCTCAGGTACTTGCAGTTGTGTACCTGCGCCGAGAGGGTTCTCCAGACTGGCCTTGAAGCCCTTCGGTGGGCGGAAGCCTGTACACACGACGAATGCCTCCACACTGCTTGCACGACTACTCCTTGGCTTGGCCACGCGCACTCGCTCAAACACAATCTTGAGTTGCGCGTAGAGAAGATCGACATCCTTGCCACGGAAAATCTTGGCCACAAATTTACCACCAGGCTTGAGGACACAAAGCGCAAGGTTTAGCGCTGCCCACAGTAGTTGTGATTGTACATATGTGTCGAGGTCGTGCAGACCGGTGACATCAGGTGCGCCATCCGAGATCACCAGATCCACAGGGTGAGATGCTTGCACAGAGGTAGGGTCGAAAGTCTCCGGGTCCAGGGCCTTGAGTAACAATGGGATGGTCGAAGGGTGTGTAATGTCTGCACGCATAGTCACGATGCCTTCCAGGGGTGACATCGGTTGCAGATCGATAGCCACAATCTTGACATTTTCTCGTGGTTGTAGTTGCTGCTTTGCTTCTTGTTCATGCCTGTGTCCAGAGATGGATGTGGTTTGGCCATGCAACTCAAGCTTTTCTCTAGCTTGCTTGTCCTCCCAGCCAGCTCGTCCAATTTTCTCGCCCTTGATCAAAACACGAGACAAGACTTGACTCCAACTTCCAGGTGCGGCGCAAAGGTCGACTACGCGAGTAACTCCTTCGAATAGATTAAATTCCTCGTCCAGTTGTAGAAGTTTGAATGCACTGCGAGCACGCCAGCCTTGCTCTTTGGCGAGACGGTAGTAAGCATCGCGCTTATCTTTGGATGACTTTCCCATTTTCGATCAGATCAGGCCAAATCACAATGGTGATTCGATGTTTCGGATGGTGATTGAATGTATCTTCAGGTCAACCTCAGAAAGAGTCTGCCGAGGCTCTCCCGCAAATCTGGACCCTTGAACTTTTCTACCTCTTGGCGTCTAATGACATTTTCTATCCTCTTTGCATCAACATCATTATACACAATTAAATCATGGCGGCAACCGAAAACAAACGTGCCTTGCCTCCAAAGGTCGCGGCAATGAAGGCCAGAAAGCGACAAAAGCTGGAGGGCCCAAAGGTCGGACAGAAGGCCACCGCAACCAAATCTTCAAACACGGCGCGACCAAAATCGGAAAAAGTGCGTCTGGATGATCTGGCATGGAACGATGTCGAAATGCCCGATAGATTGGATGATTTCGAAGGTTTCTACGGTCTTGAGGAGATTGATGATGTGGATGTTGTCAAGGACGACAATGGCATTATTTCTTATCGGGCTATCAGCGACAAGGCTACAAAAAAGAGAGCCGCTCCGGAAGAGTCAGAGGACGATGGTGAAGAGTTCACTGGCTTCGGTGACGATGATCAGGAGGAAGACGATAAGGACGAGGGCGGTGCTATGATTATCGAAACCGTTACGCCCAGATCTGCTCCCGAACTTGAAGAAGGAGAGACCTGGGAAGACANNGAAAGAAGAAGCAGAAAAGAGTTGCAGAAGCAGCAGTTGAAGGAGAAGAAGCAGAAGGAGAAGAAAGAGAAGAACCAAAAGGAAAAGAAAGAGAAGAAGGAAAAGAAGCCAAAAGCAGAGAAGAAGGATGCTACTACCCAGGCCGAAGTTGGATCTACCGCATTTGCCAATCTTCTGGATGAAGAAGAAGACGAAGGCGCCGATATTACCGCATGGCGCCCTCTGAACCTCTCGGACGATACTCTTGGAGCTCTGTCGAAGATGAAGTTCCACCAGCCATCAGCAATCCAGAAAGCCGCTATCCCCGAGATTTTGGCAGGGCACGATGTCATCGGAAAGGCCAGTACCGGATCTGGAAAGACCTTGGCTTTCGGTATTCCTATTCTGGAGCGTTATCTCGAGATGCAGAAGATTGCTGGAAACAACAAGAAGAAGGCCAACAGCGAGGAAGAAGCTGCTCGCAAGCCCGCTCTGGCCCTGATTCTCTCCCCCACTCGTGAACTCGCTCACCAAATTTCCACACATCTTACCACTCTGTGCTCTGGTCTCGACAAAGCACCCTGGATCGCAACACTTACCGGTGGTCTTTCCATGGCAAAGCAGCAAAGACAGCTCAAGAATGCAGACATAATTATTGGTACTCCTGGACGTCTTTGGGAGATTATCAGTGGTGGCCACGGTGTGCTCAAATGGCTGAAGCAGATCCAGTTCCTGGTTATTGATGAAGCTGACAGACTGCTCAGCCAAGGTCATTTCAAGGAGCTTGAAGAGATCATCAACGTCCTTGATCGGAAAGATGACTTCAAGGCCGAGGAGCACGAGGATGAGGATGAGGCACCGGAAGTGGTTGAGGAGGTCGAGAGACAGACGCTCGTCTTCTCCGCTACCTTCCACAAGGGCTTACAGCACAAACTCGCAGGCAAGGCTAAGCCCGGCGCTGGCCTGATGGATAAGAAGGAGAGTATGGAGTATCTGCTTAAANAACTCAACTTCCGCGAAGAGAAGCCCAAGTTCGTCGATGTCAACCCAATCAGTCAAATGGCTTCTGGTCTCAAGGAAGGTATGGTTGAGTGCGGCGGTACTGAGAAGGTTTGTCTTTACATTTGCCTATTTAGTTACGCCACTGGATTAACAACTCTTCTAGNNGATCTTTACTTATACGCACTTCTTCTGCTACACCCTAACGCCAGAACGATCGTATTCTGCAACTCTATTTCTGCAGTGCGTCGTCTCACACCATTCTTGCAAAACCTGCAACTTCCCGTCCACGCTCTGCACTCGCAGATGGCACAGAAGGCACGTCTTCGCGCCATCGAGCGTTTCACCTCAAACAACCAGAACAAGACCAACCACAAGGGCTCTATTCTCCTCGCCACTGATGTTGCTGCTCGTGGTCTCGACATCCCCAACGTCAACTTGGTCATCCACTACCATCTGCCTCGTGCCGCAGACAACTACGTCCACAGATCTGGTCGTACTGCTCGTGCTGGCGAGACTGGCTCTAGTATTCTAATTTGTGGACCTGAAGAAGTGGCTGGTACGCGCAGATTGATCGCAAAGGTCCACGCCAGTTCCGCAGCCGCAGGTGCCGAGCCAGCAAACGATGCCGCAAAGAACGGCTACTTTATCCGCAGTCTGGACATTGATCGTCGCGTCGTCAGTAGACTGAAGCCTAGAGCAAACTTGTCCAAGAAACTCGCCGACACGACCATTGCAAAGGAGAAGAAGCACAGTGAGGACGACTTCTTGAGGCAAGCAGCCGAAGACCTGGGTGTTGACTATGACTCTGAGGAGTTTGAGAACGCACCTGGTAAGAGGGGTAGAGGTGCTGGCAGAATCAAGAAGGAAAGAGAAGCAAGAGGCTTGACTAAGGCCGAGACTGGTGCACTCAGGGCTCAGCTGAGAGATATGTTGAGCACGAGAGTCAATGTTGGTGTTAGTGAGAGGTACTTGACTTCGAGTGGTCTCGACATCGATTCTCTGTTGCAGCAGCAAGAGGCTGGTGTGCACGGAGAGTTCTTGGGCACCGTCGCGGACCTCATGGAGTAGATGGAAGAAGACATTGTTCATACATTTCAAGTATTTTTGTTTTTCTTCCTCCTTACAAGCTAGTTCTTCAGGCCGTCGAGTCCATCTTCATATTCGCTGACATCGTACTCGTCAGGATACTTCTCAATAATACTCCTGAGTTTCTCCATCTGTTCCTTCTGCTCCTCGGTCAGCTCCTCGTATACACCTTCCATCATATGCCTCAGAGCCGGTTTCTTCTCCTTCTCGGCCTGCTTGAACGCCTCCAAGATCTCCTTCTTCAGCACAGCACGAGCTTCTTTCTCCTTTTCCTCATCCCAGACTCCTCTTCCTTCCATCCACTTGCGCAGACGAGTAATGGGATTGTCTCTGCGCTTCCAGTCTTCCACTTCAACTTTGGCGCGATATGCGAAGCTGTCATCGGATGTACTGTGGTGCGAGACACGGTAACTCATTGCTTCGATCAAGATGGGTTTGCCGCCGTCTTCGAGACACATCTTGCGAGCCTCTTTGGTGACTTCTCTGACGGCTAGGATGTCGTTGCCGTCGACTCGGATGGTGTCGATGCCGTAGCCTACGCCTCTGGATGCAATGCCATCGCCACGATATTGCTCAAGCGTTGGCGTTGAGATGGCATATCCGTTGTTTCTGCAGATGAAGATGACAGGGCATTTCCTGGTGGCGGCGATGTTTAGGGCGGCGTGGAAGTCTCCTTCACTGGCTGCACCTTCACCAAAGTAGCATGCCACGCAACGTTGTGTGTCTTTGGGATTCATGGCGTTTTGCATCTTGACCGCGTACGCTGCACCAGAAGCCTGAGGGATCTGGGTGGCCAGAGGTGAACTGATGGTGTGGATGTGGTACTTTTCGCTTCCGTAGTGGATTGGCATGTTGCGACCTAGACCTGGATCGTGCTTGTTGGCATAAAGCTGGTTCATAAAGTCTGCAGGTGTGAAGCCGCGGTATTTGAAGATTCCCTGCTCGCGATATTGGGCAAAGATAGGATCACTGGGGTCTAGCGCTGAGGCAGAGCCGACTGCTATGCCTTCTTCGCCTGCTGAAACCATGTAAAAGCTGACACGGCCTTGTCTTTGGGCATCGAACATGATTACATCCATGACTNNGTTGATCTGGTCAGTCTTGTTTTTGGCGGGCAAAGTTGGTCAATTCTTACTGCTCACACTCAGCATGTCTTTGTACATCTTGATAAGATGGTCGTCTGAGATATCAGAGGGTTCCCTTGACTTGTCGACAATGACGCCATCTTGGTCCAGAATACGATAAGTCGGCATGGCTTTCTTGTTTGCTGGCCGTGTAAAGTCAAGGTTTGTTGTGAACTTGCTGTCAATGGCACCAGGAAAGCGTACTCTNGGCAACATCTCAGTGGATTATCGACAACAAGGATAGATGAAAGTATACCGATCCGAGCCTGGTCGTTGTGATACTGAATTCCATCTTTTGGTTACACTTCGGAAAGAGCATCTTGACGGGCGGAAAGCCGCAGAGAACGTGAATTTGAGGACACCCATGCTGTAATTCTGCAACCAGGAACATGTCCTCAAGAGACAGGGGACGCAAAAGTACAATGATGGGTACCCCTCCGCACATTCGGGTCCTCGGTAGCGCCCTCCAGTCGCGGGCTCCGTCTGGGGTACGCCCTACGCTAAGCAAAGGATCTACCCGTCGGATCTAATCTCCGATCTTCGAGATAGACGCTTGGCGCAGCGGCGTGAGCGTTTGTGTCGCCAAAGTTCATGTTCGCTGGAGGAGGCAAGTACAATCAACATCGCCATGTCTTCATTCGTCCCTCGCGCCGCAAAGCGGTTACGGCTTTCCACTCGCACCGTCACACCTCTGCCCGTCCGCGCCTTCTCGTCTTCGCCATACCTCGCCGAGCAAAAACGCAACGATGAGAAGACGACGCATTTCGGTTTCGAGAGCATTGCCGAGTCATTGAAGGAGTCCAAGGGTAAGAATACACCCCTACACACTCCAGTGCCATGGATATACTGTCATCAGCAGCTAATCGCTTCATGCGACANNGTCGGTGCCGTCTTCAGCTCTGTTGCCTCCTCGTACGACACAATGAACGACTTCATGTCTCTCGGTATCCACCGCCTCTGGAAAGACCACTTTGTCCGTAGCATCAACCCCGGCAGTCATACCNCCGGCGCACCTCAAACCGGTTGGAAGGTCCTGGACATCGCAGGCGGCACCGGCGACATCGCTTTCCGCATTCTCGACCACGCGACAAACATAAACCACGACCCAAACACACACGTCACAATCTCAGACATCAACCCTGACATGCTTGCCGAAGGTCGCAAGCGCGCTGCCGCCTCCCACTATAACGGCACCGGAAGACTGGACTTCGTAGAGGCCAATGCCGAGAACTTGCACATGATTCCCGACAACAGCATGGATCTGTACACCGTCTCTTTCGGTATCCGTAACTTCACACACAAGGATATCGCTTTGAAGGAGGCATTCCGCGTCCTGAAGCCTGGTGGTGTCTTCGCCTGCCTCGAATTCAGCAAGGTCAACAACCCCGTCTTTGATTTCGTCTACAAGCGATGGAGTTTTGCCGCCATTCCTTTGATCGGCCAGGTCGTTGCTGGAGACAGAGACAGCTACCAATATCTTGTTGAGAGTATCGAGAGATTCCCCAGCCAGACTGAGTGGAGGGACATGATCAAGGAGGCTGGTTTCGTTGTTCCCGGCGGTGAGAACGGTCAAGGTTGGGAGGACTTGACGAATGGTATCGCTGCCATCCACAAGGGCATCAAGCCTTTGAAGTAGAGCGGTCGCTCTTCTCTGACCGTTCATCTCTTTATCTGTAAAAACATACATCAAAGCGGCATATATCTACACTGTACAACTATTACTACCTTCCGTTTCCTCCTGACATCCAGCGGCAGTAGCGCGGCGCAAACATTTTATAATCTTGACATTACGATCTGCCTAGTGAAGAAGGGACCAGCATCTTGTTCATCCCATCAGACCTTCTGTGATGTGTTCACTCTAGCCTGTATCCCCACAGCAGCGTGTGAACACCCACAACTGAGGGGACATTCGAATTTGTCTGCACGGTTCGTGGACACCACAATTATTCCTTAGTACACCCCATAACGCATCATAATATCAAACACGACCTCCATAGAAACTCACAGTGCAGTAGAAATACTCTGATCGTTATAAACCGCGGCCCCTAACCAGATCCTATACACGATCAGGGTCGCGCTCCCAACATTGCACCATCGATCAGCACACACATCCGACCATTTCGCAACCCAGTACTCTTAGCATTTAGTGCCACAAGTGTCCAGTGAATACACCACAATGGCTTCCATGTTCGGGCAACAGAAAAGATTAACTCAGATATCAGAAACCGGGAATAAGGATGGTTTTCGTTTTCGCTGGACGCGTAAGCCCCTCCTATCCGCGCGCGGCCATCCGATGATGCGAATGACATGTGGTTGTTGTAGTGTGCGATCAAGTAAATCTCACAGATCGGAACGACGATACTGTTTGTAAATGGGTCTTGCCATTTTTAAGCTCGCTCTATTTCAAAAAAACTACCATCCTAACCACCAGCTCCAACGCTTTCTGCAAAAATAAGGGTGTGAGACCAAGAGACGCGAATACAAGAAACCCTCGAGCGGTCTGGGCCGGAAAAGAAGAGAGGTTCACGATATAGCGTCCCAGCTGACCAACTTGCAGGTGACGAGTATTGACATGAGGGGTCGAATGCAAGTTCGTACAGTCGGTATTGTGGAAAAAGGGGGCGTGTAAAGGAAAATTGAAAAAGGGAGTGACTTCAACAATCAAGATTTTGAGAACAAAATCAACAAGTCGAAAGTGAAAAAGGGGTGAGAAACCACGATAAAGTGATAGTATCGTGGCATCGCCCAGGAGAAAGTAAGGCCTGCGACCAGACAACAACCGAGAAGCTGATACTTGGGAGGAAGACGATAGGAGAGGCTCTAAGCCATGAGTCATCAGCATCGTTAATCGAGAACATTCAAGACAAGAGTAGCGCAAATCGATCCAGTGAGCCTCAGAAAGGCACACCACAGGTGTTAGCTTGACCAGCCCTGGTTGTTGAAATCGTTTGTCGAAAAGTTCTGATCGTAATTGTACGTGTTAAGAAAGTCTTGTCCGGCAGGAACCATAATGCCGTCGTTCCAGTTGACGAGTTTTGAGCCACTGTCGAAGTCGAAAAATTGATCGTTGACGTTTGAGGTGTCTGCACTGAACTTAGGGGAAGGAGCGGCAGTTGGAGCCATCGAAGGACCAGAGGAACCTGCCACCGAATACGCGAGCGAGGCACTGTTGTCAACGTTGTTGCCCATAGCATAATCCATAAGGGCCGGGTCCCACTGGAAGTTGGACTGAGCAGGAGATTGAGACTGAACAGAAGAGGCCAAGTCAAAGCCAGAGAACTGGCCAAGTGACATGGACTGTTCAGGAGACTGCTTGGGCTTGGTGAAGGTGTCGGCAGTCATGGAGGCCAGATCTATGTTGCTTGTGTTCGGGTTGGAGTAAACAGGCATGCTCCAGCGGTTCGACTGTCCAGTAGCCACAGAGAAATCAAGGTCGAAGTTGTTGGTGCTGCTGTTGACGTTGGTACCCACGAGGCCTTGCATGTTCATCTGGTAAGGGTTGCTGTCGAAAGTATTGATTTCCTCTGTAGCTGGAATCTCATCGACTTCGGACATGGTGCCAGAAGAAGTGTTTGTCAGAGCAGGCTGAACATCAAAGGAAGTGGTGTCGACCTTGGACCAATCGAAGTTGTTCCAGAAGTCAGTGCTCATGCCGAGGTCAGAGCTTGGCAAGGAGAAGGACGGCATGGAGGACTCAGTAGTGGTAGTGCCGATGGAAGAGGTGCTGGGGAAGCCAAAGTCGGCGAACATGGAGGTTGGAACACTTGACGAGACGGTCGCGAGGGGGTACTGAGGCTGAGCATCAACCGGAGGCTTGACGTCTTTCTGCATGGCTTCAGCCTGCATGGTAATGGCGGAGACAGGCGAAGCTTGGCCAGAGTTGGCGTTTGATGGATGGGCGGACATGTTCGACTGGAACCAAGAGTGTGGCTGGCTCGAGGCGACTGCAGCAAGGCTATCTACGGAACGGCGAGCGTTGCTCTTGGTCGAGACGGGCTGAGTGTGCGAGCGAGGCAGCTTGTAAGGAGCTCCAGATTCGTGAGCAGCATTATTGTTGCGATGGCATGGCTTGTGGTGGCCGTTGGCAAAGACGGTCAGATGGCCTTCGGATTGGTGTGAAGTGAGGCGTGGCTTGCGTTGGCTGAGTGACTTTTTNGGCACGGTCGATGTCTCCTTGACAGTATCCTTCTTGAACGAAGCTTCGATATGGTCCTTGTGATCCTTGGCGTCTTCGAGGGACGATTCTTTGAGGTTTGAACAGATACACTTCCCGCCGTGGGGGCAGCAGCAACGATGTTCATCAGACGAGGGGGATTCTTCAGCGACAGAGTAGAGTTCGGGCGAGTGGTGTTCTCCAGAGGCCGAAGGGGGTGGCATGGGTATGCCGGACTCGTTGGCGGCAGCGATAGCAGCGGCTTTGGCTTCAGCCTCGCGCAGATGGATACATTTCTCTTTAGTGTGGGGTTTCTCTCCACAATCGCATTTGACATGGGATGAGCGCTTCTTGCGTTCGGCGCGACAGTGCGGGCACTGGGTGATGGGGCGGCCCTTCTTAGGGACAAAGAAGAGCTCGCGGTCTGGTATGTCTATGAGAAGTGCACTTTATATACTGGCATCGGGGAGCGGCCACTTACCTGTATGGGTGCAGCCGCTGACACGGTGACCCTTTAGGCACGATTGGCATGCCCATTTGGTCCCATCTTCCTTGACTACCATACCTGACGGATTGAGAGCGTGGCCGGCGGGGAGACGTCGGTCGATCGCGGAGGGATGCGGGGTGCGGTTTGTGGTGGGGGTTCGTCGCAGGTCCGGCCTGACGGATTGGACCTTGTTATTGCAGTGTTTTTGATAGAAATTAACCAAGGAAAATAGCGTGGAGCTGGTATGTAAACAAAGAGATCACAAAATGGAGGGTATCTTTGCGAAAACGGTCTTTCAGAACGCCAGAGATGCAGGAGCGGGGCGGGTGATTTGTTGCGGTCGAGTCCTTGCGGCGGTGGTATGACGAGGGCCGGCGTGGATGGCAAAACGACGAGCGACGGCGGTGAGAGATTGCTAGACGGCGGATGGAGAAAAGAGCACAGAGCGGACGGCCTTTGGCACACGACAAGGTCGTGGCCTTTCGAATGGCCTTTGAGCAAATACGGGGACCACAAAACAAACAGTTGTCGAACGACGATAGTAGTGAAGGAGGAGAAGACGGAGAGTCGTTGTGGCATGAAGAGCCCGCACCTGCGACGCCAAGCCAGCAAACCAATACTAAAAGTGCGATCTGACTCTGACGCACAGGCCGCCGAGCTAGAGACTCGACACCTCGGAGTCCTGAAACTGTTCGACCTGTCCATACCAAATCGCCAGCGCGACCCGCAGTCTGCCGCCTGCGACCCCCAGCACTAGCCAAGCTGTTCGCTATCCAGGACCCGTTGACCGTTCGTCATGACTTCACAGCCACCCCGACATACTTCAAGGGGAACAAGCTTGTCGATCGTTGATGAGAGAGTGACCACTGCGCTTGTATCGCTCGTATCATGCACGCGCGAATGCCGACAACTGCAGCAGCACAGTTGATGCTGCATGCCTGCACCTCCCTCATCCGTGCTCATCCTATGTAACTGCAATCTATGCACCGCGCTTCATAGCGGCCGTCGTTGCATGAATTGTTATCGCCCGTCTGTCTGCTGATTGCGATCCCTCGAGTTGAGGCTTTTAACAACTCAGGCGCCGACTCAGTCCTTCCGTCGTCCACAATCTCGTGTTTGCATGTACTTTACAACCAGATGGAATCCTGTCTGTAAAGAGATGGGTACAGTGAAACAATGTTCATCACTATGCCTGAGCCGCTGCAGACAAAGGCGGTCTGGCAACCAAGACAATTCCAGTTGTGTGAAGACGATATCGCAGCCAGAGCCTAGATCCCACGCAACGGCTAAAGACAATGGCTCCTCGGTCCATGTAAGATGTGTGTTGAACAGGTCATTTTATTATAGGCAGGCGTGGTCTCAAGTTATTACAGTACGGCGGGTCTGGCAGTCTAGCAAAGATGGAGGATGAAGAGGGGCCTTTTGCAGGAGATTCGGCAATGGCTGAACATTGATCCGAGATTAAGTTGGTATGGGCAAGATGACTGCAAAAGAGATGATGGCCGGAAAAATAGAGTCGGCAGTCGTTTGCTGTAGCCGTGGTCCTGCAACGCCATGAGTATGTTGATGGTTGAGCCTGTTCGGGCTCCTCGGCATCGAGTGTGTGATGGTTGTATATCTCTCTCCCTCCACATCTCGCAGCAACATACCACTACGTAGATGGCGAGCGGACATAGCCCTTATGCATCTCCGACCGTGGTCGACCCCTCTCTAGGGCCCTACTACAGTCAGTCGATCAACAGTATTACACACCATCTACAACACCCCGAGGTCGACGATGACCTGGCCCTCCGCGCCGAACTGAGCAGGTCGCTGGGCCTGAACCACTCAACCCACGAGTCGGCAAACACGTCGCACCAACACTCGCCGCAACCACACGACGACCCGCAACAACAGCATCATCATGCTCAGCAACAGCAACATGCTCAACCAGCCCCGCTTCCCTCGCAGCCGCAACACACATCACCGTCGCAACACGTTGTGAACCCTGACCTCTTTCCCGAGCATCACCTGAGTCCACCGCCTGGTCAACATGGCGCCGACAACAACAAGGACAAGCGCAGCAAAGTCAGCCGCGCATGCGACGAGTGCCGTCGCAAGAAGATCCGTTGCGACGCCTTGAACGAGCACGAGACATGTACCAATTGCAAGCGCTCCAACTCAGGCTGCGCTTTCAGTCGCCAGCCCCTGAAGCGAGGTCCCAGCAAGGGCTACATCAAGGAGCTCGCTGAGCGCTTGAACGCTCTCGAGGGCCAGATGCAGCCCCAACAACACGGACACGTCGACCAGGAGCTGCAAACGTTGCTCGCAGAAGCCGCCCATGCCACACGAGATTACGCTTCACCACCCCGTCAAGCAGGCCAGAAACGAAGACGCTCACAGACAGAGACGACAGAGATGGATCCGCTGCCTGTCCTGGCTCCGAGACTTGCACCAGCAACACAACCCACCCAACTTGCGACCCAGCCTCAACCTGCTGCTGCCCCTCTTCACGCCTATGGGAACCCATACTCTCGCGACCCGCGAACGTCACCGTACCCTATCCAACCAAATTACCGTCAAGACATGAGACCTACGCCCCAACCACAACCTGCCAACACACAGCCCTTCTTTAAGTATGGTGGAGATACTCGGCGTCGCGAGAGCGTTAGTGTCCCTTTCGATACGCAGGCAGGTGTACCCACGCTGGTTGAATGGGATGAAGAGGTAGTCGACGAATATTATCGGACCATACACCAGACCTTTCCGCTATTACCCCACTCAAAACACCGCCTTCGCATGCGCCTGGCCGAGTGTCCCTTGACGTTAAGAGAAGCCTTCTTGACCGTCCTGGAGTGCACGATGCGCACTNTTCCCTCCTTCTCCTCAACGCTTCGTCCTCAACATACATACGCGCCCATGATGAAGCGAGCCGCTGAACTCCTTGCTGGCTATCCTTTCGAGAACCCAGCCACGCACACCAGTGGTACCAATCTAGTCTACTTGCAAACCCTCTTGTTGATGGCTCTAGAATCCGACAACCATGGTCCCGCAACAGTCAGGGGTCAAGCCGGTCCTTCACGTGCAGAGTGGTTAGGAAGAGCTGCAGGTGTCGCAGGACAATTGGAGATTAATCTGATTCGTCCGCGCGAACGATATGCCACTGAAGGTGATCCGGACTCTGAAGAAAGGCTAGCAAGAAGAGTATGGTGGGTACTGTTCATCCTCGACCGCTGGCATGCTTCTAGTACCTCGGACCTTCTCAAACTCCCAGAGAACAGCGTCGTCCTACTGCCCGAGGATCAGATCCTGCTCGGCGAATCGACATATCACTTAGCGCGCCTCTCCTTCATCATAGGACATCTCGCCGCCATTCTCACTACAACAAAAACACCAGAGACCAATGTCATGGCACCTTCGAACCCAGCATCCTCACTACTCGGATTGACGTTAGCTGGCGAGATCGACCGCTTCCGTGAATCGGTAGAGAGTGTTTGGGGCTCATTAAACCTGGTCCATCTCTCCTATCACCACTGCCACCTTCTTATCAAACGACTCAACCCCACAACCGAACCTACAGAGTTGATCGGCCATGCTGTAAAAGTGGCTACAGTGCTAAACCAACGTCAAACACCCATTACACCATTAAACCACCACTTTGCAGCCCTAGCAGCAATGACCCTCTGCGAACTCGTAGACATAGAAAAGACACGTGCCGAAGCCATCAGAGGCCTTGAGCAAATTTCCGAAGCCTTGGGCTTCGGTCGCGGTCTCGCCGGCCACGAAAAGTCTACGGGCTGGGATTCAGCTATCAGAGATTTGATTGTGCAGAAGAGAAATAAGTTGCAATTGATTCTGGGTGGGATTGAACAGTTACCGCCGGGATTGCAGCATTTGGCGCATGCTCATGCTGGAGAGGGTGGCAATGGGACGCTGACGCCTAGTTCCGCGCAAGGAAATGTTGCTGCTACTAGTGTGGCGGGAGAGAATGGGAGGCCGGGCAAGTTTGACCCTACCATGTTGACGAGGTATGGCTATCTCACTGCTTTGGGGCAGGGTATGTTTGTCTCGAAGTAGGAGGTTGGATACATACTACTACATAATGTTCGAAAATGGGAATGTCTACTTGGATTCTCCTTGGACATAATACGGTATTGGAAGGTGTTGACATCGAATCCACTACACTTCGCTTTTCAGACCTCATCATCTGTGGCTCTCGACTCGTCTCTATCACAACATCTGGCCCAACCGCCAGCTATATCCTCCTCTTCAGCCAACAACCATAAAAATGTAAAAAAGATTGATACTGCTTCGCTTCTGTATCAGTGTCGGTCTTCACTCTTCTGTTCAGACCCCATCTGTAGCTCTCGTCTCGTCTCCATCTCATTTACATCCGATTTCAACCTACACCTCTTCACCCAAACATCACTCAATCTCAGTCAGATCGTAAGTCTCATACGTTCTCGTTACCATTGCTGCGGCCAACTTCTATCTCTCAGTAGCACACAACATGACTTCTTCTGCAACAGATGCCAGCAAAAATCTTGTCAATGGTCGCCGGAAAATATGAATCTCGAGGAACTCAAGATGTTCCGCCTCGTCTGCAAACACACCAGAGACTTCGCAGACCGTGTTTTTGAAAAGCGTTACCTTGGACAGCGCCATCATGTCTCAACAATGCATGGCTTGAACACGCTCGCAACAATTGCCGGCGACAGGGTTCTGGGAACATACATCGAGAAGATCATTTTCAATACCGTGATCTCATATAAAAACGAGTAACACACTTCCGATTACTACTGCTATATTATGTTCGCAACCAAAACAAAGATCTTTACTTTGACTCTCCCTGGACATTGAGTGGGTTTGGAAGTTGTTTGTGTGTTTTTACAGTTGTGTTTCTAAGTGTGGTTGGAGGCTGGGATATGTCAAATGTCGAAGCCAGAGTTAGGGGTACCCTCATAAGCATGTTCGGGCACTTGAACACTAACTCTCGAAATTCTGGTTGCAGGACCCTAGAGTGAGTGTCACTTATCTCTCTGCATCTCTACAATAGTGACTCGAAGGTCCTACAGAGTTGAAGCAACGAGCGTTGAATCTCAAATTCAAGCAGGTCGAATTCGGACTCGATGCTTTTCTTTTGGTTATGGACATACTTCATATAGCTAATGTTAAAACTAACAACTACTCATGAACAGCGTCTTTCTCTCGTCTTCTCTTGTAGCAATCAGCAGAACGTTCATTCGTAATACATCCATCTCCTTGGCCAATAACACATACATATGTATTCGTGCATCGTGAAACATACCAATGTCCCTCAAGAAATCAAGCAAGGTGGCAATCGTCAGTATCAAAGACGCCTGTCCAGCACTTGACGCTGCCAACATGCCTCCACATCAACACAAAGTTTGAGGAAAGCATCATCTTCGAGATTGGCAAGGATGAATTGTTCGATGGCCTTTGCACGAGTTTCGTTGGACTGCTCGGCATATTGCCTCAGCACGTCCTGTGCGTGTTGCTGTGGCGAATTTGTTGTTGCCATTTCCACATCTTGCATATTCGGACTCTGCTGGGCATTTTGCTGCGGCGAATGTCCTGTCATCTCGACATGATCAATCTCCGGATGCCACAGAATGTGCTTATGAGCGAGGTGTTGGCTACGTCTTTCCGATGGGCTGGAAGACGTCATCTGCTCAGGGCTCGAACACAAGGAGCTTTCTGGGCTTGGAAGTGGCTTGTCTTTCGGACTGGAACTGGCGAAGTGGACGGGACTTGCGCTGCTACGGTAGCGTTGATCTGTATCCGGAACAACATCTTGGTCGGGCTCACGAGCTATAGTGCTGCTCGAAATATCGATATCTCTGTACCCGGGGCTTCCATTGACGATTGTATTATAGTCATCGCTCGGCTGGAAGTTGTACATGCGCGATGCTGGAGGCTCGAATCTTGTAGGTCCTCGAGGAGTGGCGAGTCGCGTGATTCCCGGACTAATCTTCTTCTCTGGCGACGTACCACTTCGACTTTCCTCTTTTATTGACTTTTCCGATTTGGCAGCCTCTGAAGCATAACTTGGCTTCGGAAGGGGTGGCAGCATCTTGATCTTTGCAGGACTGCTAGAAGGTTTGGGGAAAGGAAGTTCTCTACGAGGAGGTGGCATGGTTCTGGCCATGTCTGATGGCCACTGGATGGGCGCAGTCGAAGGCCTTTCTGCCGGTTCTTCGCTCGTGCGGATCGGACCAAACGTTGGCTGTCTTTGAATGCCCCGGGTCTCATACACCTTTGGACCTGGCGATGAAGTGAACATGTGCAGGCTGGTTGAGTCGTCATTGTGCTGGCTCGACTGTTGCTGAGCATATGAGGCGGTCGATGGGAANAGCATCTACCTTCGTCAGTGTTGAGACCCATTAGTGGAAAACCCAACAGCCATACCTTGAATTGTCGGAACGATGATCGAGGAAGTCTCACGGTCGAAGCGAGCGGATTGCACAGAGGCTTGACGGTCCATGTATGAGTTAGCTGTCATAGGACGCGCTTGAGGCTGAGTGTTCTGCTTGGCGGGAGGCATTGAGAACATGAGCCCGTGACCAGATAGCAGACGTACAGCTTCGTTGCAGGAGGCTTCATCGGTGAAGCGCAACTGAATACGTCTGACCTGNGAACGAAAACCCAAGATGTTGGTATGTGGTCTCTCAAGAGAACCTGAGGTGATGATGTTACGTACCTGATTGTTCTGGCAGAAATAGCGAACAGCCAATGCAGTACCCTTAGTCAGACCAAAGATGGGCAGATTGTCTGGCGATTGCTTGGGCTGTCTTTTATGCAACTCTCTAGTCTCTTGGATGATGGCCGTGAGTGGGAGAACCTCNCTAAGACTTTCTGTGAGCACCGGAGATAACTATGCATATAAGAAGCGACCTACCAGATCATTGGTACCTTGGACGATTCTGAGCTGTATACCGTCATGGCCGAGCTGTTCAATAAGAGCAAAAATATCAGGCGCTTGGATGTGATTCCAGCCAGAAGGACTTGCATGGCGAGGGAGAGTAGAGTGCGAGAACTTCAGGATAGAGTGACATAGTAAGGAACGTCCGAAAAGACTGGTTTGACTTGCCATGTTCGAGTGGTCGACACAACGGAGGAGAGGACAATCTGCAAATCGACGAAGAACTATAGCTCAATATCCTCCCGTCGGAACACGACGAGAGGACGACACTCTGCCATGTCACAGGACTTGGGAGGGACCATTTCCTTATGTAAGCACGAGGCTTCCGTTTTTGCATGTGCGCTCGACGAAGGCCGAAACAGAAATTCAAGCTCGACATGAAGAGGAAGGGACGAAGGACCCAGTTGGGCAAGGTGCTTGCAACACGCATGGGGACCCACGACTTTCTACTCTCCCAAACCACGAATCGTATAGCTATGAAGATGCACCATATTGCTGGGCAACAGTGTAAAGTTCATTGAAAGACGACATGTCGTATGCTGTCTGTGATTGCACCTCGAGCGCATGAGCGAGGAGGAAGTTGAAGCTCGGGGATATGACAGGCGCTATCACCGAGGAGTGCCAAGTCGGGGGTGCAGAGTGTGGAGGGCCGATCAGCGACAGCGCGCAAGTCGGCGCAAGGAAGGTGTAACTGGACGCGTCGCGAAACAGCATCCATCATCGCGCCGAGCTCTGGTGAGCGCCATCTGACATTTCCAACGAACCATTTCCTTCTTCGAGACAGCGACAAGATAGACGGCCTCTCTAGGACCCGGACAACCTGGCATCATGCCCCCAAAGAAAGTCGGCCAGCGGACTGACCATGAATCCTCGATCGAGAAAACCGAGGAGTACGAGAACTTCTTGAAGGAGTTAGCTGTGTATCATGAGAAGAGAGNNGGTAGGCGTCCCAGCAGGCAGCCGGTGGAGAGCAAGAACAGAAGCGGTTCTAACGCAATGCGCAGAACCACAATGGAGAATGAGCCGAAAGTCGAGACTCAGCACATCGATTTGCTGAAGTTGTATAAACGAGTCATCGCAGAAGGTGGATATGACCTGGTGTCGGATACCAAGAAAAAGCCTCTCATGTGGAGGAAGATTGCCGATGAGCTTATGCCTGGCATCAAGAATCTGGCTGGCGCGGCCTTCCTGGTGAAGAGAGCCTATTACTACAACCTGGTAGCATACGAGATATCGACACACTGGGGTAAGGAACCACCGCCAAAGGAGGTGATTGAAGATGTGACAGCAAAGGGAGGCGACGTAATGTCGAGGACGTTAGAGAACTACCCAAACTCGGCCACAAAAGACAAGAGCATTGCAAACGGCAACTCGTCTGACAACGAAGACGCTGCCAAGGATACCCACGACGACGGCGAGCCCGGAAGCGTGCGGTCGACCAGGGGATTGCGCCAGGCGCCGCCCCAGCGCGTTCTTTTCCAACCCGACACGACCGCCCCACGTCAAACCCGTAACCAGGGCCAACACACCTCGCAGACTCCTGCCTCACCGTCGCCTGCGTATGCCAACACCACCCCCATGACTTTGGCAACCTACGAGCCGCAGCAGCAGCTGCCATTGACGCTCAAGCCCGTCACAACCCCAGCCAACAACTCTGAGCACTACCGCATCAAGCGCAAGCTGGAACAAGAGGCACAGGCCAGCCATGTTGCAAAGAAACACAGAGGTCTCATGCTGCCAGGCACTGGCTTTATCGGACCAAACATCTATGTCCGCGCTCAGCTAGCTCTGCAGTCCGGTCAGCCCGACGAAGAAGAGTATGCCTTACACCATCTTGTCAAAATCTCCCACGAGCGAGGCGATAAGTACCGCTTCGATCAGTTCGCCGGTCTGGCCGAGGCCCTCGTCAACAAGTTGCTGCAGGTAACCTCTCTCTTCTACGACCTTGAGTGGGTCATCTCTTACGACGAAGCTTCTGGTCCGCGCATTCTGGACGCAATCAACGGCACGCCTGATCTTCTACAGAAGCTGCAGTCTGCTGTTCTTTTGGACACTGCTCATTCTGTCGAGACCACGGAGTTCAGACAGGCCCTGGGCCGCATTACTGAGGCCGGTCTTGTCATTCGCAACATGGTCATGCTGGACGAGAACGCTCAATACATCGCCAAGCTACCTCTTCTGCGCGACTACTTCTGTATCGTGCTCAACTTGCAACCCCATCCCGCTATAGTAGAGCTACAGTACTACGCTCTCGAGACCATCGAACAACTCACAAAGCACTACGACCTCGACGCAACCGATCTTCTGTACGAAACCCTGCTTGCTCAGCTGGAATCCAACGACCGTGGCAGAATCGTTACCTCATTGCGTGCTATCGCTCGACTTGGCATGGCTTACGAGGAAAACAAGCGACTCGAGCTCGTTCCTCTTGAGATTGTTCAAAAGCTACCTGATTGGATGATGTTACCCGATGAGGAGCTGCGTTCTGCATGCTTGGACTTCCTCTTCCAGTACACTAGTATCGCTGACAATGTCGAGACACTGGCGCTGGATGCCGATGTTCAGAGCCTCGTCAAGCAGCTATCTGATCTGTTGCTCTACAACGCAAAGAAGGAAGTGCCTAAGATGCACAAGCCTCGCCCTTTAGAGCCTCATTACGACTCGGAAAGCTCAGCTCATGTTCCACGCCTGTGTCATGATGTGGTAGAGTCACTGCTGCAGTATGCCGAGCCCGACCGTAGTTCACGCTGGTAAGTGACTTCCAATGATGCATTTTTACACAGAATCTAATCGATATAGGNNTTGCGTATGTGCTTCGAAACAGACCCAGACTCTGAAATGACCCAGATCCACCTCTGGCAGTCGTACCAAGCCACTTTCCTCAAGCACCAGCCAACCCATGGAAACCTCATAGCAGGAGAGTTCATCAAGAATGTCTCAAACACATTCACCGGTGCATCTGCCCAAGTCGCAAACTCCAAATACGTGATCAAAGGCATAAGACCCCGCAAGATCGCTCACGACATTGAGGGTAAGGACCTCGTCAAGTGCTGCTGGCGCACTGATCCCACAGACGTCGCACAGGAACACATCGCCATCTTCGCCAACGAAAATGGCAAGGAGTGTGGCGAGTTCTTCTCCAACGGTCCAAAGCTCTGGGAACACATCCTGTCTTCTCACCTGAAGGTCCCAAAGAAGGCACCGACAACTGTCAACGGTGATACTTCACAACCACCACAGAGCACTTCGAAGGCCGCTGCTTTCGACTTTGCTGCAGCCGATTCGTCCTTGTCATACGGTTGCAAATGGAGCAGCTGTTCTCGCCAGATCCCGAGTGAATACAACTTGCCTGTCGGCCTTGCACTGTTGGCTCGCCACATCAACACACATCTGCCAGACGCCGGTCTACTGGCTGAGCAAAGACGTCTGAATCAGCACAACTCAAAGGACGTCGAAGAGCCCGTTCCCAGCAACCGCGTCTGGCACCGCACAATGGCAGACGAACGCAACGACGCTGCCGGCCTGCCGTTAGGGTCTGCACTCGTGTTGCGAAACATTGCTCGTGGTGTCCGTAAGATGGNNCACCCAGCGCGAACGGAGCAGCCGCCACCGCTGCTGCCGTTGAAGAAAAGGCACACCCCGCCGATGATGACGATCAGCCTCATCGCGAAGGTGAAGATGACGAGCTTGCTGTCGCTATGCCCGAGCNCACCTGCCCCACCATCAGCCGAGCTGATGAAGAAAATCTTCGACCCCATCAGAGAGAAGCTCTTCTTCGCCATGGCACACAATCCTACTCTCAAGGATCACCTGACCGCTGTCCTCTGTGCCATTTCCAATGGTGGAGGTTAGGTTGTTCACTTCTTTCCTTCCCACAAAGCTCCTTGAGTTCTTGGAAGTTTACGATGATATGCAGAATGGCGTCCTGGTTTCTGATCTCTCTTGCTCCTTCACTTGGAGCGGTCTTTCTCATAGCGTCTGCGAGGATCAAACGGATAACACTGTACCTTTATTTCTTCGAATACCACTTGTCCCTTAACACTTTTCTGATAGGCTCGAGAGTGCCCTCTGTCCTGTGCCTGCTGTACTTTGTTGTGATAGATTTTGGCACACTAGGAGATAAATTGACTTGTCCTCCTGGATCTTAGAAAGTATAGATGATGTCGAGAAAGCGTGTATATTCGTTCATTCATCAGTCTAAAAGTGTTCTACCACAAAAAGATCATTTATCCATAATCTCACTCGCAAACTTACTCCTCGCTCTAATCTTCGGCCCCCATATCAACAGCGCAAAAGGCACCAACGTCAACACAGCACCAATACCACCCAACAAGCTCCCAGCGCCCTGAAATGTCATAGCCCTAAACATCTGCGGCACAAACAAAGGAAACGCTCCTCCAAGCATATTCCTACAAAAACTCTGCGCTGCAAGTGCAGAACTGGCATAACGGTGATAAGTGTCAGCCAGGTAATTGAAGACGGCGAGGTAAATGCTGAAAATGCCCATTGTGGCACAGCCGATGGCTAAGGTGGGAACGATCCAATGTGAATTACTGCCTGATGTCCAAGCGAGCCAGAAAAGACCAATGGGTAATAAGATACTTTGCGCGCAAGCAAAGTATAAACGACCTTCTGGTGAGTCTCCGAGGTGGGGAAAACGGCGTTTTGTCCACTTTTCGCCGAGGATAGATATTATGGTTGAGATTATGGATGCGATGCTGATGGCGGCAAATACTGAGCCGGTTTGATAGAGGTTGAAGTTGTGGGATGCCGAGAAGATAACGGGAATTGCNCTGAAAGATTTGGTTAGCATGTGCATGTTCCTTGTGTAAGGAGATAAGCTCGCTTATCAAATACGTACACCAAATGTTAGATAGAGAATGGCCCACGAAAACGCAACCCACAGACTGAAGAAGAAGACGACGGGTTCTGTGAACAGTAGATGGAACGGTCGCACAAGCGAAATCTTGATCATCTGCAATAGACTGGCGCGCTCCTCGTCGCTTTTAACTTTCCAGCGTATTCTCTGCGTTGAGGTCTTGCCCGAGATTGAATCGCTGGGCATATCAACGCCTGTGAAACCCGCGGCCTCGAGTTTGTCGTAGTACTTGTTGAGGCATTTGGCCTTCTTCGACAACAGCACCGAGCCTCGTGACTCTTTGAAGAACAAAATTACCAAGATCTGGACCGTTCCGCAAGTAATGATCTGCAAATAAAAGATCCATCTCCATGTTGTGTAGTAGGCTATGAAAGATGACACCAGAGGTCCAAGTCCTGTACCAAAGAGGGCGGCGCCAGAGAAAAGAGCCATGGCAGTGTTTCGATCCTCGGCATGGTAGATATCACTGATCACACCACCGACCATCGTGCTGAACGTACTGGACGCACAACCTTTGAGGAAGCGCGAAATGAGCATGCCACCGTACGACCGGGTAACGGCGCAGCAGACCTGGAAGATGACATATAGAATGCCAGTGACCACGAACATGGGCCGACGTCCATTAATCTCGGAAAATGGGGCCAGAATCATAGGTGCGATGGCGAAACCAGTTGTGAAGATGGTCACTCCCACTGTAATGGCGACGCGGGACACACCCCACTCTTGCTCCATTTGTGCATCACCAGCAGTGTAGCTGCCAGCAGCATATGCTGTGACCGTTGTCGCGAGGCACGAAAGCCAAGTTATCGCCCGCTTCCTGCTCTTGGACCACTTGAATGGTGATTCATATTTCTTGAGATCCGGCTCTTCTGGCGGTGTGGTACGGAGTTCGTAGGGAGCTGAAAGGTAGGAAGGACGAGGGATTGGCGTATCGAAATCTAGGTAATGGTAGATGATGTCGTCCGAGCCGGATTGGGTATGTGCCGGCGACAGATTCGTGGATCCGTCTGGGGATTTNTTGTAATCGTCATATTGAACTTTCTCATCGGCGTAGTCTGGTGTAGGCCGGGATAGATTTATCTCAGGATTTGCACTCATCGTTGCAAGAGCAGACGGGGTGTCATACTGCTCGTTGAGTGTGAGAAACAGGAGGAGGTTAGAAATGAGAAATAACAGGCAAACAGAGGCGCAAGAGTATTGGATGTAAGGCAGAATACTCCACCTTGTAGTGGTTGCCGAATGCCGAAGCAGTCGCGGATACGCGCATATTGCGGGAAGAACGGCCGATCTCGCATGAAGGTTTACATCAGGTCGAGTACCTACATGTTTCCCTTGGGCCTTTGCTTTGAAATCATGGTTGACGGTTGGTTGCTGTGCTGTGGTCATTTCTGCTATCAGAGCAAACCATCAAAACGTGCCAGGTCAAAGATACGCATGCCAAGAGGGATGACTCTACATGGCTGTTTGATCAAGTGTCGGTACTCAAGCCCATAGCGATATGCTCACGGCATTCCAAGCCATTGACTTTCAAGTCGAAGGAGGTACGATTAGTCATGGTGGAAATGCTACCTTGTCGTTGATAGCATTTCGACAAAGCTCCTGAACAGCCCTCGCAGGGCTTGGAATATCTGCTTGTTGACAAAGTCACGGACGTCGAAGTTCTTCCAGGTCTCCGTACTCGAGCGCTCTGAGAACCTGTGGGGTCCAATACCTGGATGTCTTGGGTCGGATTATACGCCATTTCTGGCCAATCAGAGTTGACCAAGTTCAAGCCACTCCGCAAACAAGAGGTAGCTTCTCCGAGTTCGCTCCAGCTCGTTGCTGAGCTGTGTGCGGGGTGCTGCTGAGGATGAAGACTGAGGAATTGTTCAGGCAAGGCCCAAAGACCGAGTGAGCTGGGGAGGCAGGTATGTGCCGCCGCCAAGGGCAGTTCTGATCTCTGAGCTGTCCGTTGAAGAGGCCATGGAAGGAAGAAGAAGTCGAACGAGACAACAACGACAAGAGTGGGATCTTTATGCACAGACAGATGATGCGAGTTCTAGTGGCTGTGGCGTGAGGGTCCCGCCATTAATAACCCTCGACTTCCACCCCACTTCGAGCTCGCCTTCTGTTGTCCTCTACAAACTGTTCTCTCTTTCCTCAATTCCCTCCATACACACACAATCACAGTCAACATGTCCCAAAGACCTGAGCCCCTCCGCCTCGGCAGCGTTGCCCCCAACTTCGATGCCGACACCACCAACGGGTATTCAACACTGCCGCATACTTTTTTGGCATCGGACACTGACACAATTCTAGTCCCATCAACTTCCACGAGTTCATCGGAGACAAGTGGGTGATTCTGTTCTCTCACCCCGAGGACTACACCCCCGTCTGCACCACCGAGCTCGGTGCCTTCGCTAAGCTCGAGCCCGAGTTCACCAAGCGTGGTGTCAAGCTTATTGGTCTTTCGGCCAACACTGTCGACAGCCACGGTGGCTGGATCAAGGACATTGACGAGATCTCTGGCACTAGCCTCAAGTTCCCCATCATTGGCGACAAGGAGCGCCAGGTCGCCCTCGCATACGACATGCTTGACCACCAGGACGCCACCAACGTCGACTCCAAGGGCATTGCTTTCACCATCCGTTCCGTCTTCATCATCGACCCCAAGAAGACCATCCGCACCATTCTCTCATACCCTGCTTCCACTGGTCGCAACACTGCTGAGGTCCTCCGCATTGTCGACTCTCTCCAGACTGGTGACAAGCACAGAATCACCACCCCTATCAACTGGGTTCCTGGTCAGTACTCATCCATTGATTTACCTCTCTTTCAATCATTCTCTAACTCTGTATACAGGTGACGACGTTATTGTCCACCCCTCGATCAAGACCGAGGAGGCCCAGAAGATCTTCCCCAAGGTCAACATTGTCAAGCCCTACCTCAGATTCACCACTCTTCCCAAGGAGGAGACCAGCGCCAACGTCTAGATTGGTTTATTGCGTTTGAAAAGCGAATGATATCCACTGTTCTTCCTGATCAATAGAGGAAAGGGGTTCCTCCCATATACATATGACGATATAAAGAATTTCATGTCTACCTACCACCACAAGCAAATACCGTCAACTCGTGCCATACCAGTAGAAGTGTAAATGTGCTATGATGCTTTGGTCGACTACGGACCTTAACTCCGGAATACGATATCGCCGTATTTGTTGATGCTTGGCATTCTTTAAGGAATGCAAAGCAGTTGCCTCAGAGATAGAACAGAGACAGACTGGAATCGAGTCAAAGTACCCCGCGACACGAGCTCTTGTTTGTGAGAACATATAGAGCTGTATTTGTTTGGACAGTTGATCTTTCAAGGAGCCTTGACGACCTGCACGGTACCGTTTGGGAACAAACGGCTAATTCCGACATCTAGGGTGAAACACGTCCAGCCTGCCTCCCTTTCTCCAAACAGTCGAATTGTTGTTCTACAAGGCCCTCGTACAGCCGCTTCTGGTTCTACCAACCGTCTGGTGATATCCGTCTGGTGTTTCGTTGGCGACAAGTCTTTGCGCTCTTTCGGTAGGTTCAATCTTTTTCTCCTGTATCAACAACATTACCTCCTCTGTTTGAATCGTTCCATGCGCGCAATCACACAATAAAGAGTTAGACCCTTTTCTGTTTTGGTTTCTATATCGATTGGTACCGGTGTCAAATGGGATTGAGATCGCGGAAAAGGCCAAAGAATTGCGGATTCTTGCAAACGAGCAACAAACTGGGATATGTGCAGATCGAGTATTCAAGATGAATGGTCTGGCAACGATGCAGAGAGCTCAAAACACAGACTTCGCCGATTCTATACTGGCCATCGTTTTTTCTTGCCGGATATATCACTTTGGGTTTTCATTGGTTGTCCTTCGCAAGTTTTGAGCGCACGACTTGCATTACCTTATATGTGCTGGTCTTGAGCACATGGGCTCATATCGTGTTCTTCTCTGATCACACATCGCTGACATGTCGGTATCAACAGGGGCTAAGTCGGGGCTAGGATTGAGGAGAACTGCTTCGAATATTCTGTTCAGGCATAAGGAAAATCACCTCCAACCCGAAGCACCTCGCAAGTCGAATCCATACGCTCTTCCACATTGTACTGGAAGTCTGCTTCTACCGGAACCGACCCACCTGACATATCGCGAACGTACGCCCAGTCCGCAAAGATCGAGACACATCCCGATCATCGTAAACACCTCCAGCGAACCGCGAACACCTGAGTCGCTAGAGCCCAGTATCTGCTTTTCTAGCTCAACCTGCACCTTTGAATGCTATCGAGACCATCGTCCTCAGTTCAGTTTTGTTGGACCGATCACACTGGTTGATATCGCGGGATCATCATTTATACCATCCAAGGATCTCAGTAATCGCATCAATTTCATCCCCTTTGACACCAAAACAACCCCCGATTGTGCCGAAGAGCAACGACATGTCGACTTGACCCGGTCTTCCTCACCAGTTCCCAGTCTCTCCACAAGCTCTTTCCACACGGCAGAAGATCCTGATTGCGAAGACGTGCGCGCGTCTGTAGCAACAATGGCACAGCCACCTCCAAATCGCACGAACACGCTCGATCACTTGATCGCCTCCCCCTCGCCATCTCACCTAACCTCGAGAAAGGGCTCAAACGCTCAACTCTCGGTCGCAAGCAACCACTCTGGCATGTCGAGACGAGACGACCATGAATCATCCTCAGAGATGGACGTGATGAGCCATGCTTCAGATCATCACATTCGCTCAGCTGCTGGCTCGCCCATTCCACCTCAGACTCCAAGTGCTACCTCGGCCAACGCAAACTTATCTGGCTTGGTATGCAACGTACATCGCACTACTGGAAGAGAGCCTCATCCCCTTGTTGGCGCTACAACCACAATACTCGGCGACAAGATGTACGTTTTAGGAGGTCGCAAGATTTCAAAATCTCGCCCTACTTTGACCTCGGATCTCTACGAGCTTGATCTTATTCGTAGACATTGGTCTAAGATAGAGACCAAGGGCGACGTCCCACCTCCGAGATACTTCCACAGTGTGTGTGCGCTTGGAGACAACAAGCTCGTATGCTATGGAGGTATGTCGCCCGAAGGTGGCCCTACGGCTCAAAACGAGTCTCCGGATGCCCAGGTCAGCGTCATGTCCGACGTACACGTCTACGATATACCCTCACATACGTGGACAAGGATTAATACGGGAGAGACACCTCAAGGCCGTTATGCCCACTGCGCAGCCATCCTCCCCTCAGGTGCAGTCTTTACTTCCTCTAACGCACCCCTATCCGCTATACACCACAACCCATCAGGAGCCCAACCAAATTCAGGCTCGATTGGTGTGGAACTCGACGGAAGAGGTGGCGCTGAGATGATTGTTGTTGGTGGCCAGGACAGCGGCAACCATTACATCGAGCAAATCAGTGTGTTCAACCTACGCAGCTTGAAGTGGACCTCGACCAAGCCTATTGGCGGTCGAAGCTGCGGTGCATACAGATCCGTCGTCACGCCTTTGGTCAGTATGGAAAGCACAAAGGTTGGTGCAGGACACGAAGCATCGATAGATGACTATGACGAGGACGACGATGATGACGACAGCGATCTCAACTCTTCTGGTTCTGCTATGCTCATCTACACCAACTATAACTTTCTTGATGTCAAGCTTGAGCTTCAGGTCCGCAATCGCGATGGCACACTCGTCGACAAACAAATGCAGGGTACAGTGACACCTCCTGGACTCCNNCGCTTCCCTACGGGTGGCGTCATTGGTAATAACTTTGTGGTTGCTGGTACATTCTTGACGTCTTCCAAGCAGGAGTTTTCGCTATGGGCCCTTGATCTTCGGTCGTTGACTTGGGCTCGCATCGACAGTGGAAGCAGTATATTCAGCCAAGGAAGTTGGAACAGAGGTGTTCTCTGGGAGCGCAGAAACTCCTTCATTATTCTTGGAAATCGCAAGCGAAATCTTGTCGACGATTACAACAACCGCCGTCTAAACTTCAATAATATGTGTGTCGTTCAGCTCGAGGCCTTTGGATTATACGACAATCCCAGAAAAGTCTGGCCCACCTCTGACTACGTATCAGCCAGCGCCCCACAATACCATCCAGGCTCCGAAGGCTCAGCAGGCGGAAGAAAACTATACAGTGGTGCCGAGGAGTTGGGCGAGATGATGATTCAGTCGCGTGAACTTTGTGACATGGACTTCCTTGCTATCGATGGCACACGTATCCCTGTCAATTCTCGTTTCATCGGCCGCAGATGGGGTCCTTTCTTCAACCAGCTTATACGCGAAAGTGCCGGTCCCAGCGAGAGCGGCGAGACTGCGACTCTCAGACCAGGCACATCATTGACGTCTCGCAACTCTAGCATCACTATCACGCCTACACTTACTTCCAATGGATCAACCCTCACGGCGAACAGTGTGACTGGCACTGCGCAGACACTGGAACCTGCTGATGTCAGGAATCTACCACCCAACTCACGCCCAAGGACTTTGTATCTTCCCCATACGGTTCCAGCACTGCAAGCATTGATCCACTATCTTTACACTGGCTCACTGCCTCAACAACCATCACATCTTGCGACGCCTCAGATATTCTGCTCTCTGCTTCAACTTGCTCGTCCCTACGAGATTGACGGTCTGGCTGAAGAAGTCACTGAGCGATTGCACGAAACACTGGATGGCCGTAATGCTGCAGCCATCTTCAACGCTGCAGCCATGGCAGCTGGTGGTGGCGAAGGTGTCGTGTTCAAAGACATCAACACCAGTGTACACCCACCTCGTGTGCAGAGCCTCGCGGGCATTGAATCCTTATCAATCAACGGCACTGGCGGCCGTAACCCGTTGCGTGTGGATACTGAGATGGCCAATGGACGCACTACACGCACGACTCTCCGTGGAGAAAGCCTGGCCGAAGAGGACGAAGACATTCCAGACTCGGCCTCCACGGCCGGTTCAGCATACAGCATCACGAGTAGTCGCCAAGGTGGCCGTGACGATGAGGATATCTGGGATGGTGGTCAAAGTCATGTCATCGGGCTGCAGAAACGCGGATTGCGCGGCCTTATGGAAGGTCGCCGCATCCGTGAGCGAGGTCGTAGTGATGGTACGGGTGCAGCTAGCAGTGTTGCTGGCAGCAGTATCACGGGCGGAAGTGTGGCTAGTGGAAGCATAAGTGGTCCTTCGGATACTCATGGCCTTGGCTTGGGAATCTCGTGATTGTGACCGAAGGGAAAAGGCATATGCATTGGGGACATCTGGAGAACGGAGTCAGGAAATCAAAAGAAAGCCGGAAACTAATTGTGTCTAACGTAATATCAAACCATTCAAAATGTTTCTGTACTGCTTAAGGTCTTTGTGAGGAATGGTTGGGGCCATGCACTGGATTACACGGTTCAAGCGTGGTGTGGAGCGTGGTCTCATCTTTCGCGCAAGGTTCCTGTTTCGCAGCGATACATAGCAACAATTCAAACTATAAAAATACATGATTGGCTCGAGACTAAAGTCACGTCCACAGAGAATTATCAAGACAACATCTCTCCATGCATGCTGTCGCTGAACCGCGGATAGAAGTTACGAACAGGGTGGTACTGTCAGCAAAAAGTGTTGGTCGTGGCGGCAGAAGCCGGAAGGTCCGAGGTGATGACGTCGATATATTGTTGGATAGCTCTTTGTTTCTGTACTCTTCCAAACGACATTGGCCACCCTACTCGTACTCGAACATATACTGGATTGCACCCTTGAAGTCAGTTCACAAGATCTATGCGTTTTCTTCCAACTCTCGTCCGCAACCTCTACGCCTTCTCGAACGCCACCTTCCGAGTAGCACCCNCACCTCTCAGACCAGCTCTTCGACCTACCGCAAAACTGGGTCTTCCTAGCATTCCTTTCCTCGGAGCTTTCTTTGGAACTTCTTCATCCTCGAACAATATGACCTACCCATTGCAGAAGGGCAAGGAGGAGTGGCAGGCTCAGCTTAGCNCCTGGTATGTCCTTCACTCAGGCGTGGCGATGCGGCATTCCACTAACATGGTATCAGAGCAGTTCCGCATCCTCCGCGAAAAGGGCACCGAGTCCCCCTACAGCAGCGACTTTGACAAGCACATGCCCTCCGAGGGTGTCTACACCTGCGCCGGCTGCGAAGCGCCTCTCTACAAGGCTAACCACAAGTTCAAGTCTGGCTGCGGCTGGCCTGCTTTCTTCGATGCTGTTCCTGGTGCTGTGACTAGACACACCGACCGTACCTTTGGTATGGAGCGTACCGAGATTGTCTGCTCCAACTGTGGTGGTCATCTCGGTCACGTCTTTAAGGGCGAGGGATACCCTACCCCTACTGACGAGCGTCATTGTGGTACGTACCCTGGGACAAGTCCAACATAGGCTTGTGCTAACAATATCACAGTGAACGGAGTCTCGCTCTCCTTCAACAAGAACGACCCCGTGAAGGACTCGAAGGCTTAGAGAAGCCACTACTTCGCAACGAACTTGATGAAAAACGCTGTACATACATGAGCATTTGGAGCTCGATATCGTAATTGAAACGAAAATTCGGACTTTTGACGTTACCTATCATCTTCTAAGTGTCTTCAAGGGAAACAGTGTGAGATATATACGTTGCTCAAGCACCAACTCAAGCCGAGAATGTCTGCTCCTTGAATCCGTCTTTTGGACTCAACTCATCCTTAACGACCGGGAACCAACCAGTGTGGTTGACATATTCCAGACCACTGCCATCAACCTCCGTACCGGTAAGCACAAAGGAACATAGCNNCTACAAACATCACGTGTTAGCGTTCATGCTTTATTAAGACTCAATGACTTGGGTGTCAACTTACTCGCCATCCTTGATGCCCACACTGGTTCGTTGCCCTTTTCCAACTGGAATGTTGTAGAGATACTCGCCCTTGCCTTCATTTAACCTCAACTTCATGAACATGGTCTCGATGGGTCGCCAGCCACTGGGCCAATGCTTTTTGTCGTCCTGCTTCTTGACCATTTCCAAGTGAAGGTCCNNTGATTAAACCACGCATCAGTATATCTTCGTAGGTGGGGGAAGAGACAGTGAGGGACGAACATAGGTTTTATCGCTTTCCCAGGCGATTCTGACGTTCTCGCCGAGCACTACTCTGCCTTGAGGGTCGGTCTCGGGGATATAGGTGAGGTTGAGAGCTGCTTGGCCAAGAGTGCAGAAGGCCAATAGGCTGCTGGTGATGGTAGTAAACTTCATGATGATTATCTTGCGTAATTGATGCTTGTTGAGAATCGATATGGCGGTATAATGCAAAAATCTAAGTCGACCTGGTTGTCGTTCACTCAGTCTTTATATCAACAACTTTGGATGCTTGTGCTGAAGTGATGCCTGGGAGTTACCACAGCGACTCTATACTTTTATCCTATCTTGCTCATTCTCTTGGTTTTAATTCTGGTGCCTGGAGAGCCAAACGAGTGGATCCAAGTGCGCTCCTGCGTATTTGGAGATCCTTCGCTCGAGGTTTCCCGAGTGCTGGAGTCAGTCACATCTCACTTAGCTCAAATACATGATACTGCTGGAGTATGAAGTGCTACCCACGGAGACCTTATCCATTGTTCTCCATGCTTGTACCTCAGATGTCAAATTGACCTTGTTCGTATAGCCCACGACACTGATAAGCATTACCGTAAAGCACAACTAATGCAATGATGTGACAGACTTATGCATCCATGCAAATAAACGGAGTTGTTCAGAGCATGGACACAGTTCCCATCCAATCTCGACCCTGCCAAGCATGCATGTCCGGCTAAATAGCCACGCTTTCCCGCCCCCGCATTTTTCACATGCGTTTGCTGCAGATCTCAAGTAAACAAATGGGAAGAAAAATTGTCGAAAATAGCAAGAGCAAAGAAGGTGTTGACACGGTGTGTGCTGAAGAGACACTTCATGCTCGAATGGAACAAATATGTCTACAGAGCACTTTAAAAGAGCAGATAACCTAGAGCATTTTCATGCTAGCATGCAAGCAGTCGTGACAGACGTCAATCTCAAACCAACAATTCCTTCCCAACTTTGCGTTGTCATCTCAACACTAGGCACCTGCATCACCAATGCACTCTTACGTCCGCTTACCTACCCCATAGCTTCATGACATGAGCCAATAGCCATGCCTGCAATACCTGATCAAGAAACTAGGCAAACTGCAAGTATCATGAGTGCTTTTTAATTATGTCCATGCAGCGCAAATCCCTAGCCCTCCAGCCACCGCCAGCCATACCAACCACCGCTGAAGTATCCACACATAAACATGCGCCAACGCTGTTGAATCCTCTACTTTGACCGCTGCAGTGAGAGAACTAACTTAACGGGTATCACGAACTTATTCTTGTCATCATCTGCCATCTTGAGTTTATTGAGCGTATATACCTGAGCATTTTCGCATACAACAACTACTCTACGAGATCACGAATCATCAACTCTAGAAACGCATCTCTCGTCCATCAGTCCAATCCATCTGCAATCATCTCTTCAAGCCGCCACAAACCTCTACGAAAAACCAACAAACACCCTAACCCCTTTACCACCACTCCTCGAAAGCCTCCATCCGACACAATCCGCACAAAACCGCAACCATGCAACGCAACATCGTCATCGCCGTCATCATCATCGTCCTCTTCATCCTCCTAACCCTCCTGGGTTTCCTCATCTGGTGGATCCAAAACGGATTCCCTCGTCGTGGGGGTGGTGGCAGTTACACCGATGATGAAGAGAGCGCACACTAAACCACTTATTGGTCTTGCTCTAAAAGAATATGAGGAGGGGAGGATATGACATGAACTGGGAATTTGGTGAAGCGATACTGGCGGGAAGAGAGCATTACGATGGCGTTTATGGGGGCATTTTTGGTTTCTTTCTTTGTTCCTTTCAGCAATATACCATTTGAGAGGAGGATACACATGAAAGGGAGAACAGCGACGACCCGCGAAGGGCGAAGGGGATACATGTAAAGACACACAACGAGAACGGACACAAGACATGATAGAAGAATGGCATGCATTTATGGCATATTCAAATGAGAACGAGACATATAATGTAGATAACCCTCCTCTTGAAAACACACAAAGAGCAAGCCTTAAAAATTAGTCAGGCTCAACTCTTACCGCATACGCAAAAGAACAATCTTTTTCGTCACCAAAAATCGTGAAGAACTGGGCATTTCAAAAGGGTAGATTTTCCTCCCAACACAATTGATATCTTCGCATAGCAGAAAAACAAGCAAGGCAACAATCTGGGTGGTGCTGAACAACCACAACAACAGCCTAGAAAGCAGGTGGATCTGAGATAGCAATAAAGGAGAAAAAAAGGGAAGAGTGGTGTGGCGTGGTGGGCATTTTTTCAAATTTCTCGTTAATACTGCATGGGGTGTCAGATGGAAAAGAAAAGAACAATGACGAGGACTCGTTAACAATGACATCTCTCCTGTGCATCCGCAACACATACGTGATTTTTCTGCGTTTTGAGAAAGAAACGTCGTGCTGCTTCTGCCGAAAACAAGACATTTGGGGGAATATAAACGTGGGTGGAAACAGAAAGGAAAAAGGATACGAAAGTTAACCAAATGGCTCCATTGAAGGAACCCTGTACAGCGACACTGCCACAAGAGGGTTGTGGCAGACATCACTACGAATTGGATGGTGCTTAATCGTCGTGTGCAGCGTGATCCGGCGTTCTCTAAACCTGACCGACGGCACGGGTCCCAAAGACGTCAGTGTCGGAAGGAAGCGGGCTATCATGGTACATCTTCGCGTTCTTGGAGTTGGAACGATCAAAGGGAGGAGGAGGACGCTTGCCGTTAGCGTTGGTCATGCCGCCCATGTGGGTGTCGCTACCGAAGCTGTGCTGAGGGTGAGAGCCCCAGTGCGGTGCGTTGCCCATTGGGGCATCTTCACCGTCGGCATCGGCATCTGCATCTGCATCAGCGTCAGCGTCTGCATCAGCATCGGCGTCGGCATCAGCGTCAGCATCTTCGTCGTCGTCAATCTGGTGGGCGCCGAGTTGACGAGAGGCGGGTCCATGGGCAGATGCATGTCCGTTCTGGAGAGGAGTCTGGTTGACTCTGGTATCGTAGGGAGAGGTTGCAGGCAGCTGAGCTGGAGCGGGGTGGGTGTTTCTTACTAAAGCAGTAGAGGGACCCGATGGGGTCGAGATGGCAGGCTGCTCATTCGGTGTAGGTTGCAGGCTGACGGCAGCACCTCCAAGCTTGCCGGCCTTAACGGCGCCCCTCCATCTGCCGATTATACGGTCGTAGTCCCAGTCGCGAGATTGGTCCTTGGTCAACATGTCCGAGACGATGGCAGGGTCGAGAGGTAGAGAGACGGGCGGCTGCAGCATGAACTCGCGGGGCAATTGAAGATTGCTCATACGAGCAAACTGCTCTTTGATCTGGGCGATCTCTTGTTGTGCTTTGACCAATTCCTCCTCCTTCTCTTTTGAGCGCTGATCGGCACGAGCAAAGGCACGCAAAATTTCAATGCCCCAAGTTGAGCTTTTGTCTTTGTCCGAGAGGGGAGACCAATTATTCCAGGCGGCCTGCAGATGCATCTGTAGTCTGCGGACATCTTTNTCAGGAGTGGGCGTGGGCTTCTGTTGGACACGTTGTGTGATCTGGCGTTGGAGGGCATCGAGCTGGGCATCCGAGGGAACGTCGAGGGACCACGAGTCACTGCTAGCAAAGGGCGTCATGGAGAAGAGGGTTTGGGGAGCGGGAAGCGCGTGCAGGCAGAGCGAGGGGAAGTTCATGGAGCAGAAGTCGAAGTTGAAAACATCCTGGTGCGACACTCGGCGTCTGCGGGCAGAGGGTCAGCATTGGTAAAAAAAAGCAAAAAAGCAAAAAGAGTACCTAGCAGCCTCGAGACTGTCGAGTAGTTCACGCAGAGCCAACTCGGCAGCCTTTGCATTGTCCTGGGATTCTTGGTCTTTTTGTTGCGAGGAGCGCTGCAGGGCGGGGCTCATGTTGGACGACGAGACATCAGACATGCGTGGCGGGAGGTTGTTGATAACGCCAGTACCCTGCCAGGTCGCAGTGTTGAGGCCGAAACGGGGNTCGCGCAGGTTGACGGGGCTGACGCCCATGGCGCTCGAGGCGCCGCCAGCTGTGTCCTGGGACGAAATGGTCATCCGACGACCCCACTGGCCGGTCGGAGTGCCGCGGTCGCTGGCGGCATCTTCGTCGTGTTGGAGCCTGCTGTTGTTGTTTGCACTGGCCCTCAGACTGTTTCTCGGCTGGCGTCTCGTGATGCCGCCTCGCATGACCTTGATCTTTTCGACGTCGTGGATGCCATCGGCCGGCTTGGGATTNCTGCGGCCATCGAGTTAGCAGGCGCTCCATCAGGCAGCACGCAGCACGCGGCCACTCACCTTGGGCTTAATGTAGAGATCCAAATGACGGCCGAGGGAGGAAGAGGTGAAGGCTTGGTTGCAGAATGGGCAGTTGCGGTCCTTGGGGCCTTGGTCGACGAGTCCAAGCTGTTGTCTCCGTCGTGCTGGCTGCCATTGACCGAGTGGTCGTGCGATGCAGAGGCCTGAGGCCCTGTCACGGTGCCGGCGGCCGACGACGAGGGAGTCGACACCGTGGCCGGCGTCTGGCTCGACGCTTCTGCCATGGTTTTTTCTGCTCAGTCGTGGGTCGAGTCGAGGCGGTGGTGCAATCCAAGAGCTGTCATTCGACGTCTTTAGATGTCCTCGAGCATTTTGCAATCCTAGAGTTTCCTCAATGTTTCCATGCCACACCCCAGCGACGTGACAGTACGAGGTCAGGTTAAGTCTTTAAAGTTACTGAGCTGCTCGAATGCCCAGCCTTTTCGCAACCGAGAAACGCTTCTTGCCGACCAGTCCAACTACCCGGTTCCGACCTGCTTACATTCCACCACGTGTGATTTTGTTTTCTCCTGCATGACATGGTTCACTCTTGTGCAGGACCTTCTTCCGCCTTGTGCGAGTTGCATCCATGTTTTCATGCCTCTACTCGTCCTTTGCACCTGCCCAAAATTTGAACACCCCGGACGAAGCTTTCCGATCACGGGCAACCATCACATGTTGAGCCCTGGTTTGGTCCAGATTGGGCAATATCTGTCAGGAGCTTAAAATTCACTGACTGTTTTCTCTAACGAACAGTCCCTGCATAACAACAGTCCTATTCACCTCTGCAGCTGAACAACCGTACAGTCGACGCATCCTACATACTCAGCCACGAATAGCCTGGTAAACATATCCTGAGATCGCCAAAGCCTTCTCCTCCTCCAATCTCCTACACACAATCTGAAGCGACACGTGGGCTCCGTCGTAAATTTCTGGGTCATCTACACAGCGTTAGCAAGAGGCTGAAAAGTCACAACGGACGACTTACAAGTTNGCTTGTGTCTTCTCATCCGTCTCCGACACGGGCTTGAAATCATTATATGCCTTGTCCACATTCTTATCGACCTTGGTGACTGGTACGACCACAGAGGTGTAGTCAAGCACGTTTACCCACACCGAGTAGCTGTACGAGGTGTACTTGTTAGGACGAGCTGCGGCAAAGGGCGCGAGGGGACTGATGATAGCATCCACCGGACGACCAGTGCCGGTCAATTTACTGGTCGAGTTCCAGTACTCCATGTACTCCTTCTCGGCATCTCTCTTGTTGACTTGGTTACGCATAATATCCGTAGCGTTGGCTTGAGATGACTGCTCGAACATGATGTTAGGCTTGGGATCCTCTCCACTGAGGGCAAAGGCCTTCGCAGCGTCTGTACCGCCATCGTAGTTCCAAGACTTGGTGCAGATATCTTCGAGCTTGCCATGGCTGGGCGGTTGCCACTCAATGATCTTGTGACCGAGAGATTCCAATTTTTGGACAGTTTCGTCAAGAGCTCTCTTAATTGGAGGGTGAGGAGCGCAGTTTCCATCATGTCTCAAAACTGCAAACGTGAGCTTTTTCTCCTGTGCTAGCTTTTTGACCGTCTCCTCCTGTTCAGTCCTCCAAGGTATGGGGTGTACACGTGGGTCGTGCTGCCACGGTTCAGTCTGCAGAATAGACTGCACAGCCAATTTGAGACCAGTAGATGACGATGACAAGGGTCCAACGACGCTGAGAATACTCGGGGCTCCATCGAACGAGTTGGCCATTCCTTCATAAGGCATCCTACCGGCACTTGGTCTCAAGCCAAAAAGTCCATTGAACGCAGCAGGAATTCTGATACTTCCGCCAATGTCGGTACCCCAGCCAAGAGGGCTACCCCTCAGCGAAATGAGAGCACCCTCACCACCAGAGCTACCACCAGCACTAAGATTTCTGTTCGTAGGATTCCAGCAGTATTCAATAATGTTGTTTGTTGTTTCACCGCACATCAGTGTGTGCGGTACGGCTGTTTTCACGAAGAGAACAGCGCCCAAGTTGCGTAATTCCTTGACCATCTCAGATTCATATACTTTCTCCTTACCTGTCCCCTTCTCGCCTTGAAAAGTACCAATCCATCCAACGTAACCCATGTGAGTTTCGACTCCTTTGACGTGGAATTGGTCCTTGAGCGATACAGGCAAACCGTGAAGAGGTCCAATTGGCTTTTTGTGGTTTGCAAGGTAGTGGTCAAGTTTCTGAGCAGACTCGATTGCAGCGTCATAGAAAATCTCATGAAGGCAGTTCACNCTGCGAGCGGTCAGCAATTTTAGGTCTACAAGCATGGAACTTCAATGCGGTCAACTCACTAGTTGATGGGCAATTGCACTGCGATGGCAGAAAGCTTTCGTGACCTCAACGGCAGTCCATTCACCAGTACTAGTCTTCTTGACAATCTCAACAGCTTCTGTCTCGGTGATCTCAATCTCTTTGGGATCCAGATACTGCTGGACGAACTTGCCAGTGACATCTCTTTGCTCTTCCGCAGATGGTGGTGCAGGGATACGCCATTCCTCAGGTATAAGAGCGAGAACGGAGTCGCGTTTCTCAGCAGCTGTCTGCTTCCAGTCAGGTGCCATGATTGCTGGTTGTCAAGAGTCAAGTGTTGATGTGAGGGAATGTTGCAAAGAGGAAGTCAAGTTTGTAAGCTAACACTGCACATATAGATATCTTCAGCTCGGTTGAATTCTGGAACAGTTCATATATTCTGACATCAGGGCTGAGAGTCGGCGGAGGGGCAGGCCTATCTTGCTACCTTCCAATTGCGGGGCAGATTGACATGGTTGATGAGCTGCTGCCTTCCCCTCCGCTCGACCACCGTTTCTCCGGCAGACAGTTTCAGGGTGGATGTCGATACCGGTCATATCAGTATCGAAAGACTAGAAGGTCAACTTGGAAGAAAAGTGTTGTGTATCAATTGGAAAATGTTGCGGCTACAATTCGATCTGGTAATTGGAGCCACCCCTCTGAAGTTGGTCTCGGGTAATGACGCACCGCTCTTTCGAGGCTTTGGTATGATAATGCATCGGATAGTTGTGTTTTCCATCCTGAGCGGATGATTAATCGCTGTTAAGAGCACCGTAGAGCGATGACACCATCTGTATCCTGCTCCTCATACTCTGAGTATGAGTTATTCATAAGCGCCTGAAGCTTGTGGTGCCACTACTATACGAGGACCATCACAGAGTCATACCGCTACTAAACCGGCAACCGTGAGGAAAAGAAGGCACCAAGTCAAGAGTGAAACTCCGAACTCATCTTCAATAGAAAGACGTGAATAGTCTCCCGAAGTTAGAATTTGTCTCCTGTGCAGTACTTTCGATAGACAAAAGCAACATCCACAGAGATAGCTGCCATCTCATCGACTCCTTACGGTCTTTGTGAATCTGGCAAGGAGTGTATTTCGATCGTCAGGTTTGCTCATTCGAAAGAAGAGGTACCCGACTTGATCTCCTTTTCTCCTTTTTCTTGATGCCCAAAGGTAAGCGACCGCAGTACCTAAGATGCAGTCCTAAGATCATCCTACACTCGTACGTAGCAACGTGGCTGCTCAAATCTGGATCCAAGTCTAACGAGATGCAATAGTCCAGCATCGTCTCTCTTCGTATGCTGTTACTAAAATGTGTGATTATACACACTAGTATGCATGAGAGGAGCAATATTTGTGTAGAGAGCTCGCCTCGACAGATCTCCTATGAGCATTCCTTTGGGTGCATCTAGAGTCGCGGATGCTCGTGTCTTACATACTTGCTGCTTCGCTGCGAGAAAGACGTCGAGTACGAAGAATGTGAAAATGTGATCATCACAGACTTCGTGCTTTTTCAACACGTACCGACCCAGCCACATCTCTCGCCACATACACAGCCACATATTTATGGAGACAGTGATTCGCTCACCATCGAAAACCTGGTAACCTAGGCGAGATGTCATAGGTCAGTAGATGGATTTAAAATACCCGCGGCGCATAATCGAACATGTTCCATCAGATGCGCGGTCGGTGCTGACACCTGCGCGTCTGCACCTTCTGCAGCGACGGTGCCATAAAGTCACTCCCGCCTGCTGCAGGCGCGTCGACAACTCCATCCCACTGACCATTCACATTGTGCCAGAACTCGCGGTTCCTACAGCGGATGTACGAGACGAATAGCCCGCCAGCCCAAAGCTATCGACAAGCACATGCGTGACGACTAGCCGTTCGCCCAGCATACCTACCCAAAGGCCATCTCATCCCATTGTCGGAAAGTATATTATCCGACGATTCAGGGTGATCCGAACGTGTTCTTTATCAAAACCTCAAAGAAACCTTGCTTTGTTGGAAGATCGAACACTTATCGTATCTTTGTTCTTTGAAGGATCTCATTTGTCTTCTGCACACCGCTACATAAACGACCAGCCCCCTCATTTTCGAACTCACGACATTGTTACCACAACCTCTACCAACCTGAACAATTATTTCAAAGCTCCTCAACTTGCTTGCCGGCCAAGCTATTCAACGAGGCACAACATTTTCACCTACGGAAAGCTCTACAACAAAAACACATCTAGAACATGGCAATCGGCCAAACGGTGACCGTGGTCAACAAGTCCGGCAAAGTTGTCAGTACAGGAAAACATGTCGTCAACGTTTTCAAGGAAGCCAAGTCAGCGTACAGAGAACGCAAAGCCGAGATCAAAGCTGTGCGCGATGCGGAAATTGAACAGAAGCGTGTTCAGAAGACACTTGAAAAGTTCACACTAGAAGACGATCGTGCCTCACAAGCCTCTCGTCGCTCTCAGAGATCGAGGAAAGAAGGATCACATCAAAATCGTCCACTTGTGGATCGTGGCTACTCGGACAGCTTCTATGCCAACGACAAATTTTTGAGTACGAGAAGCCATCGGCAATCAAATCTACGCAATAAACTCAGCCCAGAAGGCGAGAGACAACACAACGAACTGGTCCGAAGACATACCACCGATATGGGCCAGGAAGTTAGAAGACCAAGGACCTCGCGCTCAGCATCCGAGGCGGACATCGACATGGACCTTGCTTATGGCGAATTACCACCACCATTGCCAGAGCGCCCTCAGGAAAACGAGATCGAGTTGCGAGAGAAGATGACGAAACTGCAACAACTCCTGGATGAGGCAAACTGCGTTCAGCACTCTGTCATCGCCACCATTGAGAACCTCCAGAAGAACCCAGATGCCTTAGCCGCTGTGGCCCTGACTCTTGGTGAGATCAGTACCATGGCAGGCAAGATGGCCCCGGGAGTTTTGACGTCTATGAAAACGGCATTTCCAGCCATCATTGCCTTGCTTGCCTCGCCTCAATTCATGATCGCTGCTGGTGTCGGTGTTGGTGTCACGGTCATTGCATTCGGTGGCTACAAGATTATCAAGAAAATTCAGAAGCACAAGGAGGAGGCTGCTGAGCTCAAAGCTGGATCGCAGCGTCAGATTGCAGACAACGAATCCGTTTCTGAGTACGATGAGCTTTATGAGCTCGACGGTGACCTCAGCCATATAGAGGTCTGGCGTCGTGGCATTGCGGATGCCGAAGCACAAAGCTTGGGTACAAGTGTGGACGGCGAGTTTATCACACCCGATGCGGGTAGACACCTTGTTGCGGATGGCATACTTCGCGAAGAGGACCTCAAGTCTATGCGCTCGAGCAAGTCTCGCAAGACATCCAAGTCCAAGAAGAGCAAGAAAGATACGAAGAGTGACAAGGACTCTACTGTGAGCGGTTCAAAGGACAAAGAGAAGCGCAAGAAGAAAGAGCCGAGCGGTTTGAGGATGCTGTTCAAGACGCGCGCATGAGCCTTTACTTCTCGGTTCAATCTGGTAGTATCTTGTTTGCTTGTTTTGTCTTGTTTTGGCAGCGGAACTTGACGCTTGATTTGTTTTTTCTGTATGTTGTTTGATTTGTTCTTTCGCGTGTCGTTTAGTTTTGTTGTACTTCCTTATAGCGTTCCAGCGGCATTTGCATTGTTCGAGTTCTTTTGCTGTTTGCTTTTTTCTATCCACGAAATCTGACACCGCTACTTTTTGTTTTTGAATCTGCGCAAAGTATTCATATTCTTGTCTAATGAACTAGGGTCAATGGATGGATGAGTGGGAAGTCTTCTAACGATATAGTGAATGACCGCAACCTTCACACCATGGCTGAATCGCCGAGAAGATATCTACGCGTTGATAACATGGCTGCCTCAAGAAGTCTTCGAACTGGAAGCATAATGTTACAGAGCCATTCCTGCGTCATTGGAGATCGACCGTCATCTAGACATAGATTGCAATGCGTCCAGACACCGGGCAACCATGGTGCCCCATGTTGTCAAGATCAGATTCTCAAAATGGCTGACTCACCATGCGGAGCATCTACAATACAGAGGATGATGTTGGTGTCTTCGGCAGTGTTCTTGCCTGATGTCTTGCCAAGATCGCGCTCTGGTGTGTCGAACGCGATCGTAAGACGCTTGTCGAATTATACATCCGACAGGTCGTCATCAGTGGTCAGAAAAGGCTGTGCTTCGTTGGCAGAAGGCTTTGTACGGGTGCCAAGTTGGGACAGTACTGTTTGGTGGGCTGTAGTGATGGCGAGACACGTTGTGTCAAACTCTCTGTCTATGGCAACAGGATGATTGTGGAGGGCCTTCTCGGATGCATCCCTGGCATCGTTTTTCTTCTGAGCATGAACCACGTTGATGATTTCGAGCTGCTCAGAGAGGAGTGTCGCGAATTTGGCCGCTGCATTGTCGGTGCAGTCTTGTAGACGAGGAGTCATCTTGCTCGCGATAATAGGCATTTTAGATCCTGACATGACACTAATTTGACAAGAGATCAGTGGCTGTAGTGTATAGCAAGAGTTCGATACTCACGTAAACGGTGTCGATGGTGAAGGCAAAATCCGTCGAGAGTTCCGATGATGAACGGGCAAGGGAAAATCGTCTGAAAAGGAAAGAGGCAACCACCCAACACCCTTCCCATTTCAATCTTTCGTCATCGTCAATGTGATGAAAAATATAGAAAGCATCAGCACGCGAGGCAAGTTTAGATCAGCGCCGTTCATGGCAAATGTTGAATGCGGTCTGAATTTTGGAAATGCTCAATGCGAGACACAGAGAGCTCTCCATGGCTAACTCTATCTGATGAACATGACTCTGCATCCTTATAGCCACCTGAGCTTCATGCTCATGGACCTGGAGAGCGGTTGATATTCTTTTTCAGACCCCATCAGGGTCACTATCGCGAGTTATCATACTTTAATCTTGTCTATTGAGGTAGCAGCATAGAATTTCTTTTTTTCCCCTGACACAGAGGGCTCTCCTTGATCAGCCCTCTCGGATGAACATGACTCTGCACTGTTATAACCATCTGAACTTTATGCAAATCGGCCTGTGGGTGGTGTATAATTTTCAGACCCCATCAGGACACTCTGGTGATGTATGATACTTGATTATCGGACCACAGCAGACTACTCTCTACCTCTTACATCACCGCGAACCACCAGCGCGCTGGTGCCTGATCGTTCAGTGAGAAAGTCACGACCAACCATGACCAAATGCATCATCTGCCAAATTACCACCCAACCCTGCCACTCTGCTTCACAACTTTTTTTCCATCGACTCTTCTTCTGGTCAGATCTTCTTTTCGTTCAAGTAAGTTCAATTCATACTGATGACTGGCACGAGTACTTACTTGGAACAATGTTCGTCGACATGGACACTGGACGTGCTCTCGAAATTCTGGGTCAAAATGATACCCTGAAAACAGATCTCGAGCATGCGCACCAAATCATAAAAACCCACGAAACCACGATCAAAGAGATGAAAAAGAACGTGAGGCAACAGAAAAGAAATCTGTATCCGACGAAAAGACCATCAAAGCGATGCACAAGGAATGCGAGGACGCCAAAAAGAGATCAGCAGCTCACGAAAAGACCATCCAAGAGATGCACGAGCAACTCACGCAATAAAGAGAAAAAACACAAGTTGAGCTTGATGTACAGAGTGACTTGTTACGTCAACTCAGAGGAGCACAAGCATATGACAAGGGAAGCACCGAGCATCTTGTCCGCCAACGCGATGAATATCGCACTGCAGTAGAGAACTACGATTGATCGTGGAGCAGATTGGAACAAGGTGCCGAGGAGATGAGCATCACAAACAAGACGCTCGAGACAGCACTGCACACTCAGAAGGAGCTTGTCAAAGCCCTGCGACTTCGAATCGGTGACCTTCGAACCGAACACACCAAGGCACTCCATGAGAGCATGCAAGCAGCGGAGTCGCGTCTAGAGGATGCGCTGACCAAGAGGGATGATACTGAAAGACACCTGCACATAGCACTTGCGGCTGCGTGAGCTCAAATTGCAGATTGCCATCATCTATCATCCGGCAACCGCCCTCAAGTCAAAGAAAAAGGATTTTTTCTTGACGATTCCATCCAACAACATGACCTGAGCAGCGACCCAATAGATGACGACAACCAAGAGAGCGCATTGTGCCTCTCCGAAACCGCTTCCGTTCACGACTCAATGCGCTACATCTCGTTCGAGGGCAGCTCAGACGATACCCACAGTGAATCTGCTCAGATCCAAAGCCGCAATGAGTCATCGATGCAGGATGCTCACTTCGATGAAGGTGGCCAGTTCGATGAAGATGCCGAGTTTGATGAAGATACCGAGTTCGATGAAGATGCTGAGCTCCAACAGGAACTCGTCGAAGCATCTTTCGACATGAAGCAACATCGTCAGATGTCACTAGAAGCTCAAATTGACGATCACAACAGCCACCCGATGATGACTGCGAATTTCGAGCAAGTGCCTGCTTCAATGGATCCATCTCCTCAAAAATTACTGCAGACCAGCATCGATGGAAAAGACAATCAACACCTCGAAGCTGTTCCACCCAAGAAACGAATGGGCCGCCCTCCCGGCTTAGGGAACGAGAAAGGCAAGGGAAGTCGGAGTGGCACCAGAAAACTTCCCCCAAAGCCCAAAAGCAAATCCGTCACGCCAACGAACCAAGAAAGAGAAGAAGGTCGAAGCTATGAATGTCACAACACGTTCAAAGAGGTCACCGAATGGTTCTTTAGATGTCAGTGTGGTTGTTGTTGATTGATCTTCATCATCATTCGAGTTGTCAAGGTTCATCATACTACCGGTATCAAGGACAGGAAGTCGCGATAGGCAGGCAAAACAAGTATAGATAACGAAATATTTACAGTGCGATGGCATACAGCTGTATATATCTATAACCAAATCGTATGCAAATGCTTTGCACATCCATTATCTAAACAGAAAAACAGAAAAATCTGCTTCGTCGGGATTGGTCTTGCTTTTGGAGCTCGAAGTTGGTTTCTTCGTATTTGATTCGGGATTGCTCTATCGATTCGGCATTTGACGTGGTGAGAGCAATAAATTTCTGGTTGAGCTGATCATGGGACTTGGTGATGGCAGTGTGTTCCTTGGAGAGTGCAGTTTTGGACGTGCTGGTGGCATGGTTGTCATAACTCAAGTCGGCGACCAACTTCATGAGGCGAGCATTGTCGTCTTCCAAGCCAGTGAGTAATCTGGCGAGGGCATTGTTTTTCTGATCCAGGGCTGCATTTGCTCTCGCAACCTTAGTGAACTTGTTGTTAACTTGCTCCAGCGTATCTCTTGCTTTGTCGAAAGATATCTTGTACTGCTCCTCGCATTCCTTGTACTCAGCTATAGTTTTCCCAGAGCCAACAACAGAGAATCGCAAGAGAGAACACAAGCATGCGTATTTCGAAGGACCTACAGCTATGAGCACAGTGGAGGTAGTGTGAAACGTTGCGAGCATTCATAGGTAGCATAATGAGAGACAAGGTTGCTAAGGACTAAGGTAGGGCCAAACCTTTCAATAGAATATCTCTAGTCGTCGAGATACGTACTTTACCTGACCGCCTGTTGCTTGCTCCTGGAATCAAACAATCTGTCTGTGGATACTAACTTGAGTGACAAATGAGCATACTTAATGCTGAATGCCAACACACCGTGCTGAGTGGTCGGCTTGGGTCCTGTTTCGCAAATATTAACCTCCTTTTAAGTGAAGGTCCGGAAATTGCTAAATGAGTATAGAGAGCTGACGGAGTAATCTTGTCATGGCGGAGTACAATTCTCATACTTGCGAGGAGGCATCTCAGAAGTCCAGGGATGAAGTCGAGACCGGGAAGGAAATCATAGGCAATTTATTGGATTAGCAGTGGGACAAGGACCAGCGATGAAGGATCAGTCCAGATTTCTAGCAAACCAAACACTCTACTTGAGGTGACGACGCATCGTACAGTTGCATATCTCCAGACTGTGACACCCTCAACGGTGAGGTTGAAAGAGAAGGATGAAAGACCGGGGCCTACTCGTACATGACCTGTATGGAAGTTATCACATATCATGGGGCTAGATTCTTCAGATCGATCCCCAGCTTCCGCAATAACCCGACCGATTCCTGGTAGTTGTTCACGGAGGCCATGCCCCACGGGCCACGGCAGGAAGCCCGAGTCCCATGGAAACAACAGAAAGCTGAATCTGCCTGTGCGCATGATGGCTATTTGCAAGAAGCTTCGCAACCGGTCGGAACTAGAGAAGCGGGACGAACAGTATGGAAGAAGAAGGCGCATCACGAGGGCTGAGCACAAGTCGCGGAAGGCGCAAGGGGCAGCGGCCAACCCCACGATGGCTCAAGCATGGGGAAATTTGGGGAAACTCGGCAAACCACCCGTTCGTCGTCTTCATCTCTACAGCAGATCGTCGTGGTTCAAGCGAAGAGGAACTGGTGGTGTGGTGTCTCTACCCAATGAGAACACCAGCTTGCAAGTGTGAAGAGTGTACCGTGAAGGTGAGGGGAACCTGACCATTCCTTTTTTCTTTGTCGTCAAGTCACAGACCAAAAACCTATCCACCTCCTCCCTTGGGTTTGCACCCCGCAAATTGCAATTGGGTGCATCGCGAGTCTGGGCGGTTTCATGACGCAGTATTTCATAGCTATTACTTAAGGCACCCGGCTTCTTCCCTTGGACCGCTGAGGAGCATCTTTATTACGGCTACTAAAACGCAGCTTGCAAGCATTGACTCTTGACTTGCAACAAGAAACAACGCAATTGATGGACTCGTGCTGAATTGCTCCGAACAAAGATATCAAACAAGTCCGCGTCATCCGTGTTTCTCCGCCACAGCCCAAGACCTTCCGGCCCATTATCGCATTTCCTCTCCGCCAAACGGTACCATCCAATTACAAACGGTTCATTGGACGCTACCCATACTATTCCGTAAGTCTATGCCCTCCCTAGGAAGTATCTAGCGCGCAAAGGCCTCGGCAGACCCATCGGAGGACCAAGGGCTGTGGGGAAACTGCTCGAGCTCGACGAAGAAGTAGCGCAGGAGCTGACCCGAAAAAGGATCAGGTCGAGTACAAATATGTCTGCATCGTCCGGTCCTGAGCCTGTCCGATCATACTCTCCTGCTCCTCCCCTCCAGCAAGACTACATTAGGCAACAGATTGCCAAACAGCAGAAGGGAAACTTCCACTCTACCTCACTCAAAATGGTTACCAACAACGTCAACAAGACTGCCCTTCACCCTGGCGGTGTCGAGTAAGTCTCCTGTCTACTCCAGCTTGCCATTGGCTTGTTCTCTCAGGAAGCAGTACTAACAATGTATTCAGGCCCAAGCGTGAGCACACTGAGATTGAGGAAGAGCTTCACGAGAAGGCACACATTGACTACGACCGTGTCGCCATTGTAAGTTATATTGAGGGACAAGCCCCTTCCCATACAGCAGCTAACTCTTGCTCAGGTTGCCAACCCCTCTGTTGCAGCGCTCTACGAGGATGCCCTCGTCTACGAAACCGGTTCCGCCATCACATCATCTGGAGCTCTTTCAGCCTACTCAGGAGCAAAGACTGGCCGTTCGCCCTCAGACAAGCGTATCGTTCGCGAGCCCAGCTCAGAAAAAGAGATTTGGTGGGGTCCCGTCAACAAGGAAATGAGTCCTGATGTCAGTACTTTTTCCATCCTCCCCGATCTTGTCGATGACAAACATGCGGTTGCTGGGTGGTGGCCCGAATTGTTTTCGCATAGCGGAGCCTCCACTGCGGGGCGCGGGTCACTACGTCAACCCTCTACCCCACTTTATATCGGGCAAGCGCAGCGGCTCGGGAGTCCACAGCGACGCGCTTCGGCATCCCGATCGGCTGCTCGCGCTTGCCCGCGGCTCTGCCGATTCCCCTCCATCATCACATGAAAGTCAATGGAATGAACTTTTGCTGACCACTTTTGGGAATACAGGTCTGGAAGATTAACAGAGAACGTGCAGTCGACTACCTCAACACCAGAAACCGCATTTACGTTATCGATGGTTTCGCCGGCTGGGATGAGCGCTACAGAATCAGAGTCAGAGTCGTGTGTGCTCGTGCATACCACGCTCTGTTCATGCGCAACATGCTTATCCGCCCCTCGAGAGAGGAGCTCAAGACCTTCCACCCCGACTATGTCATCTACAACGCCGGTGCCTTCCCTGCCAACAGATTCACCACTGGTATGACCTCTGCCACTTCCGTTGCTATCAACTTCGCGGAGAAGGAGATGGTCATCCTCGGTACCGAGTACGCTGGTGAGATGAAGAAGGGTGTCTTCACCGTCCTCTTCTACGAGATGCCCGTCAAGCACAACGTCCTCACTCTTCACTCGTCTGCCAACGAGGGTAAGAACGGCGATGTCACTGTCTTCTTCGGTCTCTCCGGTACTGGTAAGACCACCTTGTCTGCTGACCCCAAGCGTGCCTTGATCGGTGATGACGAGCACTGCTGGTCCGACAAGGGTGTCTTCAACATTGAGGGTGGTTGCTACGCTAAGACCATCGGTCTTTCTGCCGAGAAGGAGCCCGACATTTTCAACGCCATCAAGTTCGGTTCCATCCTCGAGAACGTCGTCTTCGACCCCACCACCAGAATGGTCGATTACGAGGACTCGACCCTGACCGAGAACACTCGCTGCGCCTACCCCATTGAGTACATTGAGAACACCAAGATTCCTTGCATCTCATCAGGCCACCCCACCAACATCATCCTTCTCACTTGCGACGCCCGCGGTGTCCTCCCTCCCATCTCCAAGCTCACCNCCGAGCAGACCATGTTCCACTTCATCTCCGGTTACACCTCCAAGATGGCCGGTACCGAGCAGGGTGTCACCGAGCCCCAAGCCACCTTCTCATCTTGTTTCGCCCAGCCCTTCTTGGCTCTCCACCCCATGCGTTACGCTACCATGCTCGCCGAGAAGATCAAGGAGCACAAGGCCAACGCCTGGCTCCTCAACACCGGTTGGGTCGGTGCCGGTGCCACCACTGGCGGCAAGCGTTGCCCTCTCAAGTACACCCGTGCCATCCTCGACGCCATCCACAGCGGCGAGCTCGCTAACAACGAGTATGAGACCTACCAGACCTTCAATCTGCAAGTCCCCAAGACCTGCAGCAACGTCCCCGACGAGGTCCTCAACCCCGCCAAGTGCTGGACCGGTACCGCCGACTTCCAGGGCGAGGTCAAGAAGCTTGGTCAGCTCTTCAACGACAACTTCCAGAAGTACTCGTCCGAGGCCACCGAGGACGTCATCAAGGCTGGTCCTCAGCTGTAAGATGCTCGCTCCGCTTTCTAGGTGGTATCGCACTGCCTCTTCGATGAGTTGACGAAATTTGTGCATATTTTGCTCTTTCTTGGGATGGTGTTTTTTCTTTCTTTTTCTTTGCTTCATAATACCAGCGCCGCGCGAAAACTGTACGCGTACGACTGTCCGCCTTTGCGCTTTCCTCATTCGAAGGATCACTCCTAGATAAATTGTACTTGGAGCCTGTCGATATCAAAATCAATCAATGTTGAAACATAACTTGCTTGCCCCATAGCCCCTGTGACCTTAAAATTCGAAGATACTTCAGTCCATGTGCAAAAAGACTATTCGTTGCTTTAAAATCGAAGGTCTATCTATAGAGATTGAGCGGGTGACCAAGCACCACTCTCGATGCTGCGAATAAGATAAATATGATTTGTACATTGTATATGCCTCCCATATCATTCTCTGAGTATCAACTCAATGTTTCTTCTCATCCCTATCCTCCTGCTCCCGTTGCTTCGCCGCCTTCTTCTGATTCCTCGCAGCCGGACTAAAGAACTTCTTAATCTTCCCCACTCCCTGCAAATACAACCACGAACACACAAACACAACCCCAAAATTGAAGAGAATGTACGCCCAAAAGATACCATAGTCTCTCCAGATATTCTTCCAATAGACATTAAAAGAAGCAGCAAAGGCATCGCCATCTCTATATTGGCAGAAACCGCAGAGGCCGTTGGCTTGGGTGATGACATAGCCGCCTGATTGTTGAGCATATTGTCCGGCATAGGTGTCGCAGGATTGGCCTGGTGGAGCAGGGAAGCTGGCGAGTTCTTGGGAGTCGCATTGGATGGGGAGGCCGTGGGTGACGAGGGCGAGTAGGCCTTCCAACAGGTATTTGAATGGGGAGAGCCAGTACATCCAGCTGCGCCAGAAGTATGGAAGGGCGGCGTAGGGAACCACGACACCACAGAAGGAGACGACGAACAAGAAGAACATTGGTACAAGCAATGAGGCAAGTAGCTCATTGGCAGCAAACCTGGAAATTGTTAATACTGTCTGAACATGGAAGTGAAAGGGGAGATCAGGTACTTACGAGGCAATTGCTTGGCCGAAACCGATATAGAACAGCTCGAACGACATGATGAACAGCCAAACCGATGCAGCTCTGTATGTACCGCGAGGGAAGCCAGGCGGGAAGTACCAAGCACACCAGTAGATAGTTCCAGCAACCAGCGAATACGGTATCTCAACCACGATAGCACCAATCACAAAAGCAATCCAGCTATAAATCTTCGAGTTGGCCTCTCTGCTCTGGTAAATATTGCGGAAGTTGAGGAAACGAGGTTGCAGCTGCTGGATCAATGGTGGTGAGATGGTCAGAGTCATGAAGATAGAGAACAGTCGGCTCTGCATGTCGATCTGCGAGTTTCCGAGGTTCCAAAAGGTGAAGCCGTTGAAGAGTGCTGTGAAGATGTGCAGCATGAATTTGCCGACGACGTATTGAGGGGATCGCCAATATGCGATGAAGGATCTTCTGACCACGGTGATGATTTGAGTACCAAGTGGCATGGCGTACTCGCGGTCGTCATCAGTTTTGGCTCCACTGGAAGCCTTGCGGCGCTCCTGGATCATTTGTTGAATCTCTTCCTGCTGCTTTTTCTTTTCTTCGGACCTCTCCCAGAGGTCTCCAAAGTCTGGTCCGTTGTAGTCGGGTTACCTGCGCCAATGGCTTCGAGCATCCATTCGGCTGGATTGACATTAGGAGGACATTTCTGCTCTCCATTCTTTTCAAGGTAAGTGATCAGCTTCTTTGAGTCGTGACCGAGCTCTCCATGGTAGACCATGCGGCCACCGCTCTTGAGGAGTAACAGCTCGTCGAACTCCTCAAACAAGACGCTTGACGGTTGGTGAATCGTACACAAGATTGCTTGTCCAGCATCCGCGAGTTTTCTGAGGAAGCGAACAATATTGAACGCAGCGCCTGAATCGAGCCCACTCGTCGGCTCGTCCAAAAAGAACACTTGAAGGTATTAGACATGGAGGTGAGCCGGGGATAGGGAGAAAGAAAAACTTACGTAGGGTTGGCTTCGAAGCAAGCTCAACGGCAATAGTCAGGCGTTTACGCTGTTCTGGATTAAGACCCTCACCAACCTTTCCGATAGTGGCGCCAGCAATATCTCGCATCTCAAGTAGGTCGATGACTTTCTCGCAATACTCATACTTCTCGTCAAGGGAGACTTCCTTTGGCTGGCGAAGCTTGGCAGAAAATCTGAGCGCCTCCCTGACAGTGGAGGTAGGCTCGTGGATATCTTGCTGTTCTGCAAAGCCAGTAGCTCTTTGAAAGCTTCTCGGGAGAGCTTTACCATCAACAAGGAAGTCACCTGAAACGACACCAAAGTCGATGCGTTGAGCAAGAGTGTTCAGCAGAGTAGTCTTTCCTGCTCCCGAAGCACCCATGAGAGCTGTCAATTTTCCTGGACGAACAAAGCCCGAAACGTCTTGTAGAAGCTTTCGCTCTCCACCTTCGTATGGAATAGTGTAGTTGACATTCTGCCACGTGAAGATGGTCTCGTTTTTGGCGATGCCCGCAACAGTGTCGTCAGAATCGGATCCTTTACGAGCTTCTTCATTATTCGGTGTGGCATCGATCTGACCTTGGCTCGGCTCTCCAGATTCTTCGTCATTGGTCCTGCCTCCAGTCTCGACCTCCTTTTCGACAGACTTGGGAACTTGACCACGTTTGAAGACCGTTACTTCACCGCCACCCTTATTGGGCTTCTGCAACTCCATACCAAGAGCAGTGAGTGCAACAAAGAATATGAAGAATGCGCAGATGAAACCAAAGTTGCGCCACAAATGACTGCGCGAGTAAGTAAATGCAGTTTCGATGTAGTTGGCGCCATTGACAGTCGTTGACCCGGGCGTGCTTCCTTGAAGAGCACATGACTGATATTGTGGTGAAGGTGCATTCGGGGGAACCAAGTAGGGAGGATTGCACTGTAGTTCGAGGTTGTAGAACTCGTTAGACATCAAACCCTCGAAACCGTATTGGACCGGGTTGACCCAGCGTAGCCAAGCGAACCAAGGATGCATTTTTCTTGGTGGAATGAGATACCCAGTGTATACCACCAAGATCTGAATAACTGGTCCTGTGATCCTGGTAGCGACATCGAGAGAGGTGACCAGGGATCCAACGGCTCTGAAAAGAGCATACATGGTCATGGTCACGATCCATAAGAACATCAACGATATGAAGAACTGCGAAGCCGTCCTTTGTAAGCCGGACATGAAGTAGACGACTATGTCGAAGATGAAAACTTGAACGAAGACCAGAGGAACGTCGACCGCAGTCTGGGCAATAGCGAAGGCGGCTGGGCGATAGAACTGATAACTCTTGTGCTTCAGAAGAATAGGTCGGGACTGGAAGACAGCCGTCAATTCGGCCAAGGCGAGAAGAGCGTTGAACAGTAGCGAGAAGAACATAACACCACCACGGGGAAATGCTCCAGTAGCCTGTGGTACAATTAGCATGTCTCTTACGAAAAAATTGGTACGCCGCAACCACTGTCGCGTTGCAGTGTGTTATTCAGAAAGCCAGGGGCCTCCATTGAGAGTGTGTCTTTTCGCGAGAAACGGCAGGCTCTCAATGGTGACCGCTCAACTGTGAATAGAACTCTGCAATGTAATAGAGGTTCAATTTCCTAGGAGGAGATTTGAAGCACCATCTGGTAGTTCTTGACTCGTTTTGTATGCATCCTCTCATACGTACCGTCTTTGGTTGGTTGTAGAACAGTGAGCCTACAATCAATGCCTGGAAGCCAATACCACCCCATTTACCAACAGTGGCCTGCTTGTCACCAATCATGACCAGAAACTGTCGTTGTGTACAAGCCATAACCTGTTTTGGGAAAGAAACCTCGAAATTCTTCTTCTTGGTAGCCTTGGTTTGAGCATCGTGTCTCGCCTTTGTAAGTTGCTGAGTCTCTCCTTCAAACTCCTCAATCTCTTTGAGGTTACGTTTCTTCTGTTCGCTTTCTTGGAAGAGACGATCAAAGTCTTCGCCGGATCTGGGAATCTTGTTTTCCCAGCCTTCTTTGACGTGTCTTTCATGTTCGTCCGTCACGGAGGTGATGAAGTCGGCAGATGTCCAACGATCTGGTTGTACAAAGCCCAAATCTTTGAAGTACTGAACCGCATCCTCGGTATGGCCAAAGTAGCAGCATTTGCCTTCATGGAGGAGGACGACTTTGTCGAAACAGTCGTAAAGCGATTCACCTGCTTGATATAGTGCAACAGCAGTAGAGATACGAGCCATGTTAGTCAAGGATCTCAGACTCTGCACGTATTCCAAAGCTGTGCTTGCGTCAAGTCCTTTGGTCGAATTGTCCCAACATTGGGCGGACGCTCTAGTCACCATGGCCTCTGCGATGGTGACTCTCTTCTTTTCACCACCAGATACACCACGGATGAAATCATTGCCAACCTTTGTGCCCAAAGTATGCTCGATCCAGAAGAGCTTGGTAACGATTCGTAAGAACTCTTTGACGTAGGCTCCGCGAGACTCTCCTTCCAAGCGAGAGTCTTTTCCAGGCGTCTTAGTCTTGAGAGCAAAAGACAGAGTGTTCTTGACTGTGATTGTTGCGTAGTGCAAGTCATCGTCAGGGATGAATAGAACCTCACCCTTGTACTTCTTGCCCATCTCTTCCGCGGAAGTACCTCCATAGCTGACTTCACCATCGATGGAAGTATATCCTGCTCGTTGATTCGCTAGTGTCTTGAGCAGAGTTGTGCAACCAGAACCCGGCCGTCCAAGTACAAGCAGCATTTCAGCAGGCTTGATAACACCACTGAAGTCTGACAAGATTGTTCTTTCTTGCGGTTTGCCAGCAGCTTTCTTAGGTCCTCTGGAAACAAGATTCTTGATCTTTCTGGGAAGACCGAGGAAGATGTCTCCAACAGTAGGTTGCAGCGCGGCACCAAGACCAACACCTCGTACGGTAAGGTTCTTGAAGACGAGACCAACGTGCCTGGTCTTTTCTTCCTCGGAGTGTTCCTGTCTGGTCTTGCCGAACATACGCGACATCAGACGATCAATCTCTTCTCTTTCCTCGTCGTCTTCGTGTGTTGGTGCTCTGCTTAGACCACCAGTCTGGCTTGTTCTTCTGCGCGAGAGAGTGCGGAAGAAGTCTTCCTCAGTCATTCTTCCTGATAGCTTTGGTCGTGAATTCGTTGTCGTCTTCACAGGAGCAAAGGATGGGTCTTGTTCGGCTGGTTGTCTCTCGACGGTCTCTGGTGCTTCGACCTCTTCGGTAGGATGGTGCAGCATAGCGTCATGGTTGGGAGATGCTTCTGAATCAGATGGTATCGCCGTCTCGTCAGATGATCTAGGCGAATGGTTCTGTTCGTGCAATGGTATGGCGACTTCATCATTCGGAGTAGTTCCCGGATGCCAGGAGAGGTATGTATTGTCGTGCGGGTGTGAACTTTGTGGATGTTCATCTATTCTTCCTGATGAAGGTATGTAGCTGGTATATGAGTGATTTCTCGAATCTTGTTGTCTGAGCGATTCTGCTGGTGTTTGCGGCCAGCCCCGGGAAGGCCTTCGGTATATGGTGTCGGCCGCTCCATGATTATACAGGAACAATAGGAGCAGGTAATTAGAATGAGTATTGAGTCACAGCAGTTGGCTCATTGAGGTCCGGGTTCGCTCTAGAATCTGAATGAAAACAATGCAATCCACGATGGAACTGTAAACAATCACAACAATAGAGCATGAAAAGAGAAGGAACAACTCCCTTACCTACTCGCTCCTACCTATAGCCTGTAAAGAGAGCCATGCATGCCAGGCCTCATACTGATGTTTATCATGACGACACGAAATATGCACGTTGGACGGCACACAAGATGGCGGGCTTTGTTTGAGGTCACGGAACTCCGAGACGGACATCTTAAAGAGCAATGTCCACTCTTTACGCAACACGATATAATCTTTGCCCGCGATATTTGCTCGGAAACCGCGCTTGTGTTATGTAGTCAAACCACTTGCACTCTGTAGGCTCAGCCCTTCTGGTTGAGCCTCAAGCCACGCCGAGTGCTTGTGTCTTCCCTGATCTACGATGGAGGATCTGTCAACGGCAAAGCCTCACAAGTCACAGCCAGATCGCTACGTGGGCCGAGAAAATTAACAGATTGGCGCGTGTCACCGTCTCATTAGGGTAAAAGACACCAGGCACTTGCAACACCTGTTGTTCAGCCACGCGGCGTGACTAAATCTCATGATGCTAAGACTCCCGGGTCGCGATTGGTAGCAGAACATGTACTCTGGTCGGTTATCAGGACTTGTTATTTCGAACCACTGATGTGGTCTGGAGCACTTTTCTACCAGATCCTCTTCGCAGCCATCATATATCTATCCACGCCATCGAGTTTCAATTCTCCTTTGGCCTTTTCCTTGCCCTTGGCCTCACGCTCTCTCAAGTTCCTCAGACCTTCAGGGTCATCCTCATAAATCCATCTGCGCTTGTCTTCGTCCACTTCTACGGCTCCCCAGCCGCCAACCCGGCGACCTTGAGTATCGAAATTCTGCTTTTTCTGTTCTTGCATTTTCATATTGCGATATCGTGTGCGCGCGAAGCTGAGCAGGAGCATACCAAGCAAGAGTTTGAGTGCGAGCAGAATGAGGTATATGATCAGGAAGAAGACGAGCATAGTGCCCAAGGCGATTGCGTCGTCAATTGTCCAGAAGCGCCAGGAGCTGGCACCAGTAACGGCATCAGCACCTGCGCCGAAAGATGACCTGCCTAACGCCCTCCTGAAGATCTGGTCAATGTGGGCAAGCGCGGCTGTGGTAGAAGGTGGGGTCTCTCCAGATGCTGATTCTAATGCGATTGCTGTAGCTGTCGATGGCATAGGCAATGGCATGTGCGTAGCGATGAGCATGTGATAGGTCTGGACTGAGGCACGGATGAAGAGACAAGAAAGAGGGAGCACGGGGAGACCGAGTCGCTTAGTCAAGTTCTGGTCCGCAAAAGCATGTGAGTAATAGTCTTTCGTCAGCACATCTAAGAAGCGGCCATAGAGACTCGGCTTGATGTTGTTGAACTTCGAGATGTAGGCATGCTTGACCCAGTCAACAATCATCTCACTGCCGATTACAGTCACGAAAGGACCGAATATCTGACCAAAGCCTGTTGGAAACATGTTAAAGGCTTGTGGAAGAATGCTCGTGCTCTGGATAGGTGACGCTGTCGAGTTCGAGCTGAAATTTGTTGCCGAGCCACCCCTAGAGCTCATGTTCAGGCCTCCGACCTCGACAATATTACGCAGAGCGATGATGAGTAGCATGAGCCAGAGCTGGAATCTCTCAACCACGTCTGCACAAGTCAGCTGGAATAGATTTTCCTTCTCGAATTTCTTGAAGACGGTTCCTTTGATCTCAACAAACTGATTGGACATCAGGAGCGTGAGTAGAGCATTTGAGTAGGAATTGACAGCAACATTGAGGGCGATGACTTGGTAAAACAGCATGGCTGCATGGGCGACATTGTAAGCCAGAGCAAGTATGAACATGCCTAGAGGAAGTAGAACCTTGCTACGGCCATTGGGCTTGCGCTCGAGAGTCTCTTTCGAAAACAGGCATTCGATGATGTCTTGACCTATAGCTGACAAAAGGCGGTCAAATACCTCGAGCACATTGTATATGACGTAGAGCTTGATAGCAGCCTGTCCGCGAATCTTGTGATACATGCGACTGGCATCGAACTGTAGAAGAATCGCACAGCTAATGATGATCAGCAGTCCATGTAGCAAGTCAGCCTTGTGATTCGGAAGCAGAGCGGAGGGTGTAGACTTGGAGCGTCTGTGACGATACAGCGGGCTGGGGATCTTGAGTTTGGAGGGAAGTTGTTGAAAGCGCATCGAGTTTGTGTCACTTTGACCATCTGATAGGGTAGAAGGAGCTGGAGCTGCAGGGACAGAAGCAGAATCAATCAAGGGCGAACTGAAAGAGCTTCTGCGAGAAGGATTGACGGACGGTGGCTGCTTCCTACGGTGCCAGACACGGCCCACTCCAGAGTATATAAACGAACCAATGTCTTTGGACTCTTTAACGATGCTTTGAACACACCACTTTAGGAAGATACCAACAGCCTTCAAGAATCTCAAAGGCAGAATGGTAAAGGTATACAACCAAGCGTCCAGACAGGCCAAAGCACCAAATACCAGAGTCTGCTCGAGCTGAGGCGGTAAAGTCAAGAAGTTGTACAGGCGCTCGAACTTTGCTTTTGAAGACTCGTATGGAAAGTCACTGCTGGCGGAACGATGGATGTANAGGGCCGAAGGACGCTCAGAGGAGAGCTCGAGTTGGAGGTATGTAGGCAAGGAGAGAGGCGGAACGGGAATAGTGGCAGGCATTGGAGAAGGAAGCGAATCGGACATGGGTGAGGGCTTGAGGGCTTCAGCGCCATCTTGGTATTCGGAGCCCTTCAGATTCAGAGTAGGACGTCTAGGCCTCGAGGCATCTTTATTCTCGTTCGGGTTCCTTGGTATCTGAGCTGAAGAAAGCTTCCGTTTTATCACAGGGGTAGAGTTTGAGCGGCCACTCGCAGTGGGTCTGGAGACAGTCGGCGGAGGGCGGGCATTCAGTACGGGTAGAGTTGTGGGCTCTGGCACGGAGGCTATGTCGCGGGCAGAGGTGCCTAGTCCGTTGGCTTTCGCATTACTTTCGTCGGACAGGGGTGGTATGTCGTCGGTAGATATAGAGACGGCACGTAGCGGTAGTGAGTCGGGCGACGAGATCAGGTCTTGCATTTGGGCTGAGGACAGCTTGAGCGTAGGAGATGGCGAGAGCAGCTTTCCATTGCTGGTCTTTGATTTTAGCACTCGCGCTGTTACCGTAGTTGGAGTAATCGCGGGACTGGTCGTCTTTTCCGACAGGCCATCGAGAGCAGGACTTGTCAGATCCGCATCGTGGGTGTAATCTGTTGTACCATGCTCGGTGATGGGAGACAGGGCTGGTGTGGGCAGTTGGTCCTGGGTCGCAGTGGCCTCACTGCCGTCTGGCGTGCTCTCCTTCATCGTAAATCAGGAAGGAAGTGCATCTTGTTCTTGCTCGCACCAGAATGGACCAGCCATCAATGTGTTTGGAGCTCAAGGAAGGCAGGAGCGACACGCGTGTCTGTGCCGCCTCCGGATTTAATCTCATATAAACGCCGTATACACCTAGAGCATTGCTGGTTTCATCCAGACCTTCACAACTACCATCCACATTTCTCAATCCTGCGCAATCATGTCGGGCTACGAGGGTAACTCTAGACTTCTTTCCCAAAGTTGCTGTACATCACTGACAATCTCCAGTCGAACACAACATCAAAGAAGAGAAAAAGAACGAGGCACCGCCCCGCCGCCCCGACCTATCGACCTTCTTTACCACCCTTGATCTCGTTGACACCAGCGGAGACCGTCATCCTCAGAATGCACACTCTCTCCCTCTCCCCGGCGACGTTTCAGCAGCCTTCCGCAGTCTCGCAAATGCCTTCTCCATGATGCAGGGTGGTGGCCATGGTCAATCGCAAGAGAACACAGATTCATTGTTAGCTGGCATGGTCGAACAGTTGATGCAAGAGTCTGAAAATCCTCCGAGGGAAGTCAAGGGCGTCTCGGACGAGTTCCTCGCTCAGCTGGACAGAGTGCCAAAGTCGAGCTTGAAGGACAAGGACTGCCCCATCTGCGGCAACCCTTTCCTTGACGGCAAGTCCACGCACTCTCAGGGCATTGTTGTCGCATGATACTGATATGTTGTACTAGACCCGCACCCGCTCGTTGTTCGGCTCCCCTGCCACAAGGACCACCTCTTCGACCTCGAATGCATCACCNCCTGGCTCAAGCTAAACCCAACCTGCCCTCTCGACAGAAAAGAGCTGATCAAGAAGAGAGCCNCTACACCACCTCCTGATGAGGAAGATGGAGAATATGACGACATGTATGCATGATCGCCCCGGACGCTATCGCATGACTTGGAACATAACGATTAGCTCTATTCAAAAAGAGCACTCATGATAATTGCAATATACCCAAAGAAGTCGTTCATACATCGAAACTACAAATACTTGCTCCTCAGTGCCTGACTGATAGAGCTCATCCTGCTCGTCGTAGAGCCATGCTGCATGTGGCTCATGAACGCCTCCTCTATGGCCGACTGAGAGATACTGGCATCNTGAACTACATATTAGCATCGACTGTCTCTCATACTCCGAATCTGTATTCACGTACCATCAAGATCACTGAACGAGCTTCCCATACTCGGTGTGCCCTCGCTGCCTTCCCTACGGACCCTCGGGCTGAGTTTCGAAAGTTCCTCGCGGTGTCTAGGGCTCAATGCACTTGCTGGGGATGCATGTGCATAGTCTCCTCGATTGACCTCTCTCTGCTTACCCGTGCGTGTGGTGGCTTGGGCAGCTGCGGCAGAGCTAGCTGAAGATGCCGACGAGTCAGGAGCGATTGTCCTCTGCTCAAATGCGCGCTTTACCGGTGATTTGAGTGTCGCAGCTGGATCGGCACTTCCAGTGGCAGTAGTAGCGAACGGTAGAAATCCACCAGATGATTCGCCATCTTCGTCTTCATCTTCGTCATCGTAGCCGTACTTGCCTTTGTTGTTGTAATTTGCTGGTCGTCTGAAGGCTTGACTGCGTGCCATGCTCTGACTTTCTCCATCAGAAGAATCCGAATCTGACTCCTGCAAAGCATCAGAGTCTGGCTCTGATATCTCCCGCTGAGGCGACACAGGTTTTCTGTGGTTGCCAAAAGCTGCGTTGAATACTCTGCTGCTTGGTTGCGCTGGGCTGGCAGGTGGTCCTGTGCGACTTTGTGTCAATGTCCTGGTAGAAGGCGTACGAGAAAGCCCTTCGGTTCTTGGCTGTTGGTTAGCAGTAGATAGTGTTGGCAGCATGTTAGGCTGGCGGAACACCCCNGAACCTCCTGATCCCATGGTTGGAGTAGGGCTATCTCTCATACGTGCTGATAGAGCGGAGGGGCCCTTTGACCTATACTTTGATCAGCTTGAGATCATTGTCATCCTGCACATTTCGGTCTTACCTTGACTGCCGACTGCGAACGCGGTCGCATTGCTGTTTACAGCAACGTTGCCTGTAGAATCAGGTGGCATGGGTGACGGGCAAGCTGAGGGGCTGAGCTTCTTCATCTGCGCTTTCATCTGTGCAAAGTGGCGTTCGTAGAGCCATGCTGCCTGCTGAAGGAGGAAGGCCAGAGAAACCTCAAATTTTGCAGATCTGCTTTCGTTAGCTGCAGAACAGGTCAAAAGGGAGAATATACCGACAAGTCTTCCCTATCGAGATGTCAGCTTGATACTCGCATTAATGAAGTCAAAGCGATACATACAGTCCAGCTCCTTGCTGTTGGAAGCTTTGGAGATGATCTTCCATAGTGCACGATCTTTAGTAGAGTTCCAGTCAACCNNTATGGGCAATCAGAGGTGTCCAAAACTATATCGTTGCACGTCGAGTACCTGTGGTGGGTCTACGAAGTCACCTCTGGGGAATGGCAGTCGGATAAAGCAAGTGTAGTGCACGGATGAGTCCGCCGGAGCTGACTTGTACGCTGGTGACGGCGGAGCGTTGATACCCAGAGCGTTATTGGATGTTTGAGCTGTCCTCAGGGATAGCTGCTTCGGATCTTCGATGCTGGACATGGTATTGATGATGTTTTGATGGATAAGAGTGATGGTCTGGCATATGAAGCATGAGCTTTGCGATGCACTGCATACAACAACGCACGTGATACCGACCACTATCAAACTTCCGACACGAACATACCTAGTTAGTATACTCTACTATACTAGCAAATTCGATGATGAGTCCGGCAACGCTTATATTCTGGCTGCGTGTCAACCGTCTGAGAGTGGTTGAGGTAATGTTCCTCATTTCAGTCAGGGTCACCCTATATGGACTACTGGGAAAAAACAGAAAGAAATCTCAATCTTTGGTGCCTTCTTTCACCTCGCAGACCAAGCACGACTTGCGATCTTCGATCAAAGAAGAAAAGACAGTAACCATGCTCACGAAGTCTTTCTGTTTGAACAGCTGCCCAGAGTGTTCGACGAAGAATGCGGCGACGTTCAGTTTATCAACCCAGGATGCCATTTTGGAGCCGAGCTGCAAACAATCTTGTCGCAAAGGAATTTGACTCCATAGTAGTCTGCGCACTGGTACAAGTTGTGGAGAAACTCAGCGCTGTCGTGCTTGGCTTGGTTGCTAGAATTGTCAATGTACTCATCGAAGGGCAGGTCGTAGAGGTACCGAATCAGAGCCATTATGCAGTCGATATCACCATCGAGCTTGCAGTTTTGAACAGCCGTATCCTAGTAGTTCAATAAGCTGTTGAAGATTTGATGCAAAAACAATTTGTAATCGCCTCGCTGTTGAAGAATATCTCTTCGAAGAGCTCAGATCCTTTTGCGAGAACTAGCTTGTGTGCATAAATTTTTCTTTCTTCGCCGTCGTCTCCGAAGGTAAGAGTAACATCAGAATGCTGCTTGTCGTTGAAGACTCTGTTGGTAAACAACCTATAACGTGTTAGGTGTGTCATATTCGAGATATTGTTTCGAATGATTTACTTTCTTTCTTTGTCTCCATCGACGACTTCTCGTTTGAGATGCATGATAGTCGAAGGGATATGTTTGATGCGGTTGAGATGTAGTATGGACGGAGTGTTAGGACGATCTGGCAAGAGATATACTCTACTGGTATCTCGAGCTGCATATGGGGTCTGAAAACAATTTTGCTCAGTTTTGCTTTTGAGAAAGCTCTCCGAGTGCAGAGGTGTGTCATTCAAGTGACTATAGAAATGCACAATAGTTTGAGAGACAGGCTAGCATCCCCTGAGAGTCGTCAACCTTGTTCTCTTGTTGGGGAAAAAACGGCAGTGCCAGTGTAGTTGACGTGATAGGGAGACAGTACAGTGTGGGATAGAAAAAGAGAAGGGGGTTTAGAGCATCTGACGAGAGTTATAGTAGCTTATCGTGGCGAGGTGACGCTTCTGGGGTCTGGAGTTTCTAAGACTTCAGCTTTCACACCCTCCGAGTGCAGTGGTCCGCCGTTCGTATGACTGTAGAAATGCACAATACCATTCAGAAACAGACCATCATTCCCTGGGATCCGTCCATCTGTCAACTTCGGTTCAGGGTAGAGTCTGTCCAGTCCAGCTAGCAATCCAAGCTTCGCGAAGCTCTTTATCGACGGTCAAGAACACCTCTGCTGTATTGTGACTCGCAAGTCTATCAAGAACTTTCACCTTCGCAGTCATGCAAAGGTCGCCGAACTCGTGTAGAAAGAGCTTCGTGGCAGCAGCCGCTGGCGAAGCTGCAATGTCTGGCGCGACCGGTGAGTGTTTACCACACGAGACTGCGGGTTGCTGGTCTCGACATTGCGTCGAAATCGTGTCATTATTGGCTGTTCGGTCGTCATGTTTATTCATCGCTACCGCTTTAGCAAGAACCTCCAAGAAAGCCCTGAGACTTTGCTTCAGCTGCTCCCCAGTCCGTTGCAGCATATCTTCAAAAGCCAGCAGATGACCACTTGCCAGATCCTCCATCTGATCTTTGACATCAGTAAGGGTATCTCCCGCATGCTCGTCGAGTTCCTCAACACCCTTCTCTGTTTCAAGCTGTAGCTCAACCTTCAGGTTATCGAAGGTTTCTTGCAATCCGTTTTCTGCGACTTTTTGGCTGTATTCGAGCGAGTCTAGAAGGTCTTCCATTACGCGCTGCAAAGCTTGCTCGGTAAGCAGTGGTACTTGAGCAGAGATCAGCGTACGAAGTTCTTTGTTCAACGACCGTATGACAGATCTTGGTGAGATTACGTCCCAAGATTCGTGAGCTGATGTGAAACTCCTGACGACTTTCATCGAGAGGTGCTCTTGGTCTGTTTGAGACGCCACATCTTCTGCTTTAGGCGAGTATCTAGGAAGCTCATGTCTTTTCTTAAAGATTGTAGGCTTGATACCAGGCGTTTCGGACCGGTCTGAAGTCGAAATAGCCGAAGGAGACGTGTCTCCCTGAATGCTCAGCAGAGGGCCAGTAGAGGCGCCATCTCCTTCATCCTTGGTAGCGACGGTGGGTGTATGGGGCTCGGAATGAATCGTATGTAAGACTTCTATAGTGCTTGGGGTGTTGACCACTGTAGGCGAGTATAATGCTTGCTCCAGCGAGAGGGATAGTATCGTGTCATGTACAACGTCAGAAGTATCGTTAAGGGTTGGCGAACAAGGCTTTGAGATAGGGTGCGATCTCGCTGATTTCGTAGGCGGCGATTCGGTATCAGGGTAGCTGACACTATGCTCAGGTCAGTCGACAACACTCAGGGGATGAATTATGCAGCCTCTCCGTATANNGCAAAGTCCTTCATACGTATGGCTGTGCAAACACATGATAGTCTTGAGAGCATGGCTATTTCCATTGAGAAGATCTATCTTAACCCGCTCTCTGTAGACGCGCCTCTGGTCTCAAAGCAATCGTGTACTTCTACAGTTGAAATACTATGCTACGTCGCTACGCGAGAGCAAACATTGAGGGGTTGACTTACCGCGAGGCCGTTTCAGAGGCACACGAGTGTCCTTTGGCGTTGCGGGTAGGGTGTTTTGGAGCGGCGGAGAATAAGGGGGTGGTGAATATGTTGGCTGTAAACGCTCGATTTCTTCTTCTTCTAGGACATGGTTTACAGGAACTTCAGGGGTTCTTGCGCAATTGATATTCTTGGCGCCTTCGTAGCTGTTCTCCGGATCTTCTCGGCTTGGGGACAGATCTTTCTGGGGATTCGAACAGCCATTAGATTGTTCACCGACCCGGCGCCAGTCGTCAAACACGCCNCCTTTCTCGCTGTAGGAGCGAGGCAGGTCGACACTCGCTTCGCCGACAGAAACGTCGCCTTCGAAGTTCATCAAAGCCTGTTGAGCATAACTGCTGTGACCAACGAATATGTCGAGACTGTGCGCACAGGAAAGCGAACGAAGCAAAGTTAACAGGTGTAAAGCAGTTCCCCCNAGGCATGGTACATTCTCTGGCGCAGTTGGCATCAAGACACGACCTCGCTTGGGTTGACGAAACGGAACACGAAGACATTTTTTCGTAGACGAGTTTCCATACGCTTCTTTCAGACACTGCCTAATATTCTCTGGAGCATTGTCCAAGTTGACAACAGAAGAGCTCTCGGTCGCACAGGTATCTTGAGAGGGGAGCAGGAAATGGTCGAAGGTCTTCCGACGTTTTGAGACTCGAATAGTAATACGAAGATGCAGCAAAATGTATAGCCCTCTCGAGGTGTCCTTGCCGAGCCAAAGAGTCAGCAGCGTAGGTGTTCCAGTAGGACATGGCAATCCAAGCGAGGAGATCTCTGAACGTCCGGGATCGGTCCAGACAACCAAGGCAGGTTCCTTGGACACCCACTCGATGTCTTGTGCGAAAGCAATGCCTGGTGGAGGCTCCATGGATAGCGAAATTGAAAACTCGGAGAGCTATATATTAGCAGGTCAGCAAAGAGAGGTACTCACCCGAGTAAATACCCCAGCACTAGAAGATCTGATGCTGGAACCCTCCCACCCGGGCTTTGCAAAGTGGTAAACTCAGAGCAGCCCTGACTCTCAAAAGACAAACAGCCAGACTTTCGAGCCTGAGAACGATGGGGTTCCGCAAGAACTTCGCTACGGACTCACGAAGCCTGATCTGTAGTAGTGCTTGCGCAAATCGAAGACAGAACCTGGGCCGCTCACAGAAGTAAAGCGGAAACGCGTCCACCTCCAGCGAGAAGAAGCCGAGAATACGTCCTGACTTCTAAAGCGAGAGTAAAGGGGTTCCGCGAGAACTTCTGCTACGGAGACTCGCAAGTGTCTGATTCTTCGCTGTTGCGCGACCAAGGACCAAGCTCGGGCCGCTCACAAAAGCAAAGCGGAAACGCGCCCACGTCTGATCAGAAGACGACTTGGAATGGCGAGTGTCGTTTGGCGACCAAGCAAAGCGATGATGATATGGTATGAAGGTGCAAACAACGTCGTGCATCGAGACAGAAACAAAGCTCGACAGCCGACGACGCGTGATGCACGCAAGTCTTGGCACGCGGGTGGGGGACTTCGGATCGGCGCAAAGCACCCCGACAAGACTCCCGACGAGAGATTCGTGCTTACATGCATAACCCAAGGCCGACCATATACCAAAGTAGGAGACGAAGACATACGAAACCCGAATATACTATGCATGGTATGAATCAAGCAGTGCTGAGAGGCAGGGAGTCAAGATCTAGAAGCGCCGATTAGGTCCCGAATGGGAAAAGAGGAGGCATTCGGCTATCATGCAACAGCGTGTGACCGGCCATCAGGGTGTTGTTTTGGCGGGGTCGAGTACGTCTGAGATGAGCTGAGAAGCACATAAAGGATTCGTCCCGATGCCAATTGCCCGAGAACCTCTTGCTTAATAATTCCTTGTTGTTTCTGTTTGCAATCTCTTGATTTTGATATTCAATATCCGTATACTTTACCACGTCATCCATATGAGCAACATTCACAAAGACACGGCAGTCATGCCTCAGACACACTCCNCTCTATTCAGACTACCTGGAGAGCTAAGAAACTGGATTTATGACCTTGCTCTCACACCATCCACGTCCATTATTAATCCTAGTTGGGATACTACCAACGAGCCAGAACACCAGCAGATACCCAGCCTGGGTGTTGCTCTATTAAAAACCTGCCGTGCCATCTACCTCGAGGCGAACGACTCAATAGCGTTGAAAAAGGGGGACTTCGTATTCACAAAGGTCGCTCATATCCAAGCATTCTTTGCCAGGTTATCGCTAGCACAAGCCAGCCATATTCATCACATCACAATCGACCTCAAAGAAGCGGCATCGGGAGACACAGCAATGCAAAGCGAGAAGAGCACAACCGTTGCCAATGAATGGATTCATTACCTCTGCTGTACACAAGGGGCACATATGATGGGCGCCTGGTGTGCAAATCTCAGCACCCTCAAATCAGATATACCATATCTGCGCTCGTTATGCTTTGACCTGACCAACTGGCAACCTGACCATGCAGGTTCACGGCTAGGTGGTTGGAGATACTTGCAATCACTGCTTCGGAAGACACGAGACTTGGACTCCTTCACGCTTAGAGGCAAGTGTCTTGACAGCGGCTTCTGGAGTTCACAGCCAGTACCCTGGAGCCTGGGATTATGGATCTCTCCTGCCTTCGACAAAGACGAGTCGGCGCTGGTCGATTTGGTGGGGCAGACAGTACGTATGGCGGGCGAGAAAGAGGTCAGGCTTATAGAATGGCACACTAAGGATGGTGTCACACTGCTGACAGTGCGTGTTGTTGAAGCGCGAAATGCTTGTCCACTGACTAGTGGTGAGCTCCAACTCTCGCGAAATGGGAGGATGTCGTGGGATTACTTCCTTGAATTCCAGGATGACCAAGTCGAGTTGACCAAAAGACGCAAGGCATCGCTGCCTGCTAGTGGCACTGCATGGAATGGAGTACCCGCGGTTCAGGTGTAGAGCGGGACAAGCAATGATATAGCCATAGATGGATCTTGTTCATTTCGAAATCAATCCCAATGTCGTCTTATGATCGGACGTGCCGGATCCCAAGGCCCATGGATCTCGTTCTTGTATCTCTGCAATCCGATGAGCCACCAACTAGTGATACCCATGGCAAGACACGTGAGAATACCACCAAGAATAGCACCGCCAACTCCAGCTTTCCAGCCTCCCCCCNNTGTGATGGTAACGCAGAGTCCGCCTCCTGCGCCGAGGACGATTAATGCAGTCAACACCAAGTGTCCTGTCCAAGATGCATGTCGAACATGTCGCCTAAAAACTGGGAAGAGTCCGAAGACCTCGATACTGAACAATGTCAGACTGAAGACTTCGTTTGTGTATTTAAGCCGCGAGGCTAGAACTGTAGAGGCCATAAGAGCAGCATTTGTGGAGAGAGAAGCAGGAAATCTAGTGAAGGTCGTAAGTGAGTATCCACGCAGAACATGTGTATAAATGCTTACTTTNGCTTCTATACCAGCACCGTAGTCGAAGGTGAAGATATTAATGATCAGAAGCCAGGTACTCATTGCCCAGATGGAGTCAGAAGATGTTGATAAGGTCAAAGACTTTAGGATCGGGCTCAAGCCTAGCAATGCACAGTATATCAAGATTGCGGACTTGGCGGTTGCCAGTCTTTCCTGGTTGCGAGGCGAGAGTGAGGAGGTCTGGCTCTGGAAAGGTGGGTAGTAGCTGTAGCTTGCGAATGTAGCAGCACCGTTAGGATGACCGGTAGTGGATGTGGTCGATGGTGAGCTCTCAGTCGCCGAGACTACAGACAAGGGGCGCGAGGCTGCGACACTCGAGATGCCCAAACCCAGCTTGGCGTTGTCTGTCGTAATCGAAGTAGGATCTGTAGGACTTAAAGGTCCTTCCTGAGTGCGCTGACTGTCTATGACAGCTTTGGACGAAGCAGTGGCCTCGGCGAGGGCAGTGCGAGCAACCTGAGCAGTCTCTTCTTGGCCTACCCAGTAGTCGCGAGCAACCCATCCCAAGACGGTGCCGAAGGTAGCCCAGCTTACGACAGATACAGGCGATACACGTTCTTGTTTAATGCCGACAAAGCAGCAGACGAAGATGATGACAGAACCGATGTGTTGTACGATGACAGTAGAGTCTGCAACAAGCGGCCAGAAGTCATAAGGTCGAAGGCGCGGGTTGCGCTGTAGATGGTCTAAGAAGGTCTCTTCATCCGTGTAGTTGTCGGGATCTGAACGTCTCAGTGTTTGTGCTATGGTATATCGCTTCTCTTGCTGTCGCGCGCCTCATACANNTGCTTGTTTCACCCAGAGCAACTTTTTCCATGTGCGTGGTCTCCTCCGACTAGCATTGCGGCTACCACGGTTCTCTCTCTTGCGCCTGTCTTCGGATGCACCATTCTTGCCCGTTGATCGATACGGCGGAGAGTATGTGAGAAAGGCGTCTTCCGGCCTCAGGTGGGACGAGGCAGATCTGGCGGTACTTCTTCTCGATATGCTTGCGTCCGAAGCTGACGCGCTGACTGGAGCCTCAAATGGTGTCATGTCGGGAGACCATGTTGGATCTGACTTGACCCTCGAGAGCTCACGCGCCAGGAATGACCACATCGTTGCCAACGTTGCGAATAATCGTCGGCGCGGGTCCGTTCCGTGTTCGCTTCAACTTTGCAGCGACTAAGAGCGAAAGAACGATCCACACTGTCTTAGTTTCAACATGAGACATCTTTTTCATCTTTTACAGCATCATCGTAACATGCCTTCCCTTCTAGTGATTCAAGGAAGCTGAGCTTGGAAGATGCACAATGCTTTTGGGAGTCATGAAAGCGCATTCTGTCACCACCTCTCATTGGACTCAACTCCGATCCCAAGAGAATCTTGCATTTTCACGTCTGCATATGTGGCAGACCATGGCGCATCGAGGGAACCACTTGCCAAGCACGATCAACAGGCCCGGTTCGCTGACTACAGACTGTTCTCGCACAAGATGGTTAGCGCAGAAGCTGCAGACTGTTTATTCTCACCTTGGTAACAGCTGCGATTGGCCAAAAACCCTGGTTCTGCAAGAGACAGATCATGCACGCTAACCATCCAATGCGAAACCAGTCTGTAGTAAGTGCCTCCTGAGCCAGTCGATCTCCTTCCTCAACTTTGGAACATTTTGAGCCTCTACACGAAACTTAGCGCAGCTTGATTCGCGTAAACAAGGTATGCATCGCTATGAGTACGAGCAGGAAGACCTCTCACGTCTGGTCTTTCATGTCTCCAAATACTTGTCAGTATTCGTACCTCTGCCTGTCGTACTACAAACTTTGTAATTGTTCCGACATTCCAGGACCAACGCTTCAGCCCTAGAAAGGACCGTGTGCTTTGCGAACCGATGTTCTCACCTTTTCTAGAAACCTCCATCTCGCAAGCCTATCCACATCCACGTTTTCCGGTGTATATCATGTCTCGGAATAACTTCTCTCCAGATGTTTTGCGAGTCAATGATATGTGCGATGTATATCATGACCCGAGCTCTCGGAGCTATGACATCGAGTTTGATCATCATGTTGAGTTTGGAGGACGAACAACCACCTCTACAAGCTGCACCTGATGTCGGTTGGTTGTTTACAGGAACGGCGTTCAGTTGTCCCAGATGCCAACCGTTAACAATCACCAAGTCGCTTGATGACCTGATCATTGGACGAAAGCCAGCATGACTCTTCTTAGGCAATCTCGTATGCCACGCCCAGTGGCTTGTGGCGTCAAGATTGGCTGGCCAAGGCACTACGGAGGAGGTGAGCGTTCACGTCAAGATGTCAGCCCTGAACGCTCGCTTGTGTCTTAGCTACATTGCTATCGACACTGTTCTTTGCCAACAAGGCAAGGCATGTGGTGTAGAATGTCACCTGTCATTAAACCCTTTCCCGTCAAAGAACCACTCCTCGACCACCAGTCCAGCAGCTTCTCAAAGTCTCACAGTGGCTGCAAGCTCAAAGTTTCGGTGAAGCCGGATGCATTGACAGGCCCCGCAATCGCATTGATACCGATTCTGCGGTGCTAGTGTTTCGCGCTCCAAAACACTACTGACTCGAGCTCGAGGATAGAGTCACAATATGAATAGGAGAGTATATCGGGAACCGGTATCAAGGGCACGAGCCCTTAGAGCAGTTTATTCTTGAGTTGAATTACCAAGCAGGAGCCGGATAGAGATCTCGGGCTTGTGGCGGCGCAGAAGACGGTTGTTTTAACCCTTGGGTAGGGGACGTCATGCAGCTCTTGCGCCGTGGTGGTTTTCGATGATCCAAGTTCGTCGCTGACGTTGACTTCTCTTTTTCTTCTCTGTGTTTCTCTGTTGGCCGTTTTGTGGGAATTCCTACCATTTTCATCTCACACGGTTCTGTCTGCTGCCAGTCCGCGACGAACAACCACTAACCAGTAAAGTCCGGTGTCAACAGCCGGGTCATTGCGGAGTTCAGCTTGATTTCCCGATACAGACCGCTACAACACACTGGTACCTAGACAACTAGTAGAAGTCCTCGGCAGTTGTTCAACACACCGTATCTGCCTGTGTTCTTCTGTTGTGTCTGGCAATCGACCATTCCCATGCGTTTCGCGACATCAAAAGAAGCTGGATCCATTGATGCAATATTTGATACTCGGGCAAGAACTCAGTATCAATGGACGACGAGTTCGCTCTTGAAGTCCTCCGACTTGCCGAGGGTCAAACGGTCGAAACCTTTGAAGAGGACCTGAAGAACCAAGCACAAAACCTCAATATCGACATTGCCCTGCTGGAAAACGCCTCCAAGACGAAGGACTCGAAAGCGACATCGAGCTTAACAAGCTCGACACAGCCACGACGATCCATCTCTACTGGCTCTCAGGCTTCGCATTCTACAGACTTCACAGACGCGTCCCGCATCTCCAGGGACTGTCCTAATGCCAGGACTCGACAAGTCCGTGGGCGACGCAGTTCCGCCACATCTACATCAATCAAAGATTACGACTCGATAGTCAACCACGCTAGATTCGATTTCCGCCGCTCATCCTTCAACTTCGCGACGTCGCCCATCATCTCACCATCTCCTTCGACGTTTTCGCTATCGTCCGTCTGGTCTCGATCAAGAGAGTCATCGCCCAAAAGACACATTATCACAAGAGGATTGAGCAGGCTGAGGTTGAGAAGAACTGACTCGGGAGATTCGACCAGAGAGAAAGAGTAAGCAAAGGCTCCTGAACGAGAAGAACCGGAGTCTGATCAGATACACAGCGATTGCCCTCATTGTCCTCATAGCGGATCCCGCCATCGCCGCACGCTGCACACGCTGTCCTGCGGCCACCGCTATTGCACCCTCGCCCTGCGCAAGATAATCAAGGACTCGCTCAATGATGCAAACATACCACCAACATGTTGCAAACGCCCAATACCGGGGAGTCTGGTCGCAAGCGTGATGAGTCAAGAAGAGCAGGATGTTTTGATGAACATGTTGGTTTCTTGGGACGACGAGGCCACCACATCACCACAGACGATCCACGAATCGGAAGTCACATCACACCCGACGTCGTTCCCGAAGTCACGATCACAGTCAAGATCGCCAGTTTGCGGAGCCGAGGAGTTCCACCCCTCGGAGGAGAGGAGAAATAATCTGGAAAAGGCAATGGAGATACCCGATTTCAAACACCTAAGACAGGAACAAGAACGGCAACGAGACAGTCTGGTCGCTTGGGCTGGGAGAAAGAGACAAGGCGTCATCGATGGATATGCAGTGCGCAAGCTACAGCTCCTACCATACTTCGATCGCCAAAAGGACCAGCTGGCGGAGAAACAGAGCGCCGCAATCGCTCGCATAGAAGACAAGCACGTACTCGATGAACACGAGATGCGCGAAGGACATGAAGTGGAAACACGGAACAATGCAATCGCCCTCAAACACATGGAGGCATACTGTCGAGGAGAGACAACAAGCGGCGACCGCCATAACAGACCCATCACAGATCGCGACTTGGCCGAACTCACAAAAGCTAGACGAGCACGCGACCAGATGGACGCGAAACACGACGGCGCTATCAGCGTGCTCAGAGGCGAGCAAAGCAGGCGCATCAGCCAACGATTGGTAAAGCAAGAGGAAGAGCTAGCGGAATTGGAAGCACGCCAACTCAAGGAGATTGAAAGTCTACAGCGCGAATGCGACGACATGGTGCGCGACTGGGATGAGGAAATCCAAAAGAGACGCGCGAAGCTCGAAACTTGGTGGAACATAGAAACGGAAATCTGGCGGAGGAAACTTGAGCGAGATTCTGGCATTCTTTTCTCTGGAGAATTGCCGTTGGTCCAGTGGCCACGCGCCGACACCACCGAGAGCAACAAGAAAAGAGATCCGACCAAGAGACATACTATTGCAGTATCTCCAGCTCCTGGACTACAACCAGGTGGCGAAGGTCGCCTTCGCAGTATAAGCCCTGCGCGCAAGCAACACCGCATCAGCACTGCATTCACCATTAGAAGTGGCATGATTGGCAAAGCATGAAGTTTACGAGGAAGTCCTCTACATATCAATCACTTCTTCTCTACTTAATGTCTACAACTCAATTTAATACCAACTTTACACCTTGCTGAACAAAAATATCGATCAGTGCTGGAAACACAACCCATATATGTCCATGGTAGTGGCAACATTCACTGTCTGTACATCTTTGACACGTGTACGGGTAGTGCCTTCGTTCTGTTCTCGTGCATGGTATTACATCTACTCACCGACTCGGTAGGAACACTGGTCCATCGAGGATAAATCTGCAAGCATCGTCGAGTGACATGTTCCTGAGGATGTGCAAGATAGCATCACTCTCCTTGTGCGAACTTTTCCGAAGCAATGCCAACACATCTTTGTATGATCTGAGCTGCTCTTTCGTGGCTTGTTGTTGTGTCTTTCCTTCCTCGACAGAGTATTCGCACTTGGAGTTCTTCTCGACGCACATCTTACATGATGGTCGGTCTCCATCGCACNNTGTCACAGAGATCCAAGTCAATAGGGCTGAGGACAAAGATGCTGGACTCGACGAGATACTCACCTTTGATTTTCGTTGCCGACATTTGAGACATGCGGCTTTGGTCTGTGTTCGTTTCATTTTTGGAGACTTCTCCACGCCACATCCTATGTGTGGTGAGAGGATTGGCGAGGTTGATGTGCTTGTTTCAGAAGAGTGTCGAGATGGTGTTCGGGTATCCTCAATCGGATATTGGAGTATGCTTGCGAGATTCATTGTGAGAACAAGACAACAAACTCCATCAAAGCAAGAGAAGGAGGATGAAAGTAGGAGGTGCTAGCAAGAGGCAGAGAGAAGAACAAGAACGGGTTCGGTTCCCCGGGTATGCACCCTCCTTATATTGAGGTGTTCTTCGGCCATCAAGTCCGTCGGCGGCGGACTGGAACTCCAGAAACCCCCACTTGCTTTTCATTCATCTCTGCACGAGGCTGCGAGCATGTGCCAATAGAGTTTGCAGCAAGGATCACAGATGGTGACCTTTTCGAAGGGGCACGGCTCGGTGCGAACAGTTTGACAGTTGCGGAAAAATCTCCGCCTCAACGAAATGCCCATGATTTCGAAAAAGATCAAGTATAGACGGAGGTAGGTGCCGAGTTCATGTAAGCGTTTACCACATTCAGACGTGGACTGACGCTTGCATGACCTGCGTTGCATCCACGCTGAGCAACCAGAGCCTCAACCGTCAACATGACACAATTGTTTTCCTGTTGTCCGAAGGGCAACCACCTCCCACATCAGCGATCACAATACACTGTTGCTAATCAGATGTTCAAAGGGGGAGTACCAGATTGCTTTTGGATTGTGCTGCCTTGATGTTGGTTGATTTTCGGTGGGTCTCTTTGGCTGGTGTTATGCCGAGATAGCCGATGATGCCAGGACGAGGGCATACATGAACTGAGCGGTCCCGAGCCCTTACGATCACTATCCTGCTGTGCCTCATACCTGTCGTCACATTTACAGATGCCAATGTGAAAAGGCGTCCTTGACATGTTTTGTCAGGCACCATTCGTCCGGAAGGTGTAGAGTCCGAGGCACATAGCCGTGTAGACGAGCAGATACAGAATGCTCGGCGCATCTCGCAATGCAAGATCGCCGATTTTGGATAGCACATGGAAGTTGGAAAGTATTCCCGTAAACATGACAGCATGGTGGCATGTGCCTTGTTGCTCAGCTTCAGATCTTTTGAATACACGTTGACCCTATCCTCGTTCATGGTGTTGCACCGACGAATCTGCGATATTCGTGTAAATGCCAATTCGCGAGATCTTGTGTTATAGACGCTGTTTCAATAATACACTCTTCAACTGGACTGCCTACACGTAACAAGAGTTAAGAGTGACAACGACTACTGGCTTGACCTGACTTGGCATGACCTCTGGCGCCATCTCCATTGCATATATGCAACCTGCTATAACTAGAAGAGGGTGCTTCGTCGTCGACCTGACGGTGTGGAAGCCCTCATCTCGGACGTGAATCCGAGCTCTATGACAGGTCAGCACCACTGCATATATACATCTCTGGCCCCTGTCATGCGATATCAGCTATGCAACTACCGGAAAAACTCGACTCAAGCAATCTGAACACCTCAGGCCAAAGGTGGAAGTGTTATATATGAAGTAGGAGAGGCAGCGGAGACTTTCCGCATACGGCCTTCCCGCCGAACATCACACATGCATGCTGTGCACGTGCTCCGGGCCTCGGGTAACGTGCTTCTGCCCGGTCCTTTGAACCTGATACGCAAGAACTTGATAGAGCAGTAAGCGACATTTCTACTACGTCTTCTACCAAACGTATACTGTTTTCCACCTTGAGTGACTCTTTGGAAAGGCTCGACAATGGCAACAACGATACGTTTGACTTCATCCGTGGTGCGGGGACTCCGCGCTCGTCGTTCTCCAACGATAAGCCGTCAACAACAACGATTTAATTCTACGAATTCTGGATCTATCGGTCAGGTCCCTTTCTGGACTACTAACAAGGTGTTGCTGCTGAGTGCGTTCACCGGAGCACTGGCGTATACATACGGAATCTATGATGCTGGAGCAACTTATAAGAAAGATGGGGTAAACGCTTCTCAAGTACCGGTTTATGCGAAGAAGGCAGAGTGGGAGAAGGTGATTAACTTGTCTATGATACATCTATTGCGAAGTTTGCTAACGTGGTATAGGNCGATTGAGGAGGTACGGNGGAAACTTGGCGAAGATTCGATTACTACCGATGACGATGAATTGCATCGACATGGATACTCGGAGTGGTCAACTATTAATGTTGATGTGCTTCCTATTGCTGTCGTGTATCCCAAGTCTACGGAAGAGGTGTCAGAGATTGCTAAAGTGTGCTATAAGCACAAGATCCCTATAGGTGAGGGATGCTCTGATGCTTATGATGTATTATACTGATCTTTCTCTTAGNTTCCATACTCTGGAGGTTCAAGTTTGGAAGGCAATTTCTCAGCCCCTTACGGTGGTTTCTGTGTCGACTTCGCCTTCATGGACAAAATCCTCGCCTTGCATGATGAAGATTTGGATGTAGTGGTCCAACCCTCAATAGGCTGGATGAAATTGAACGAAGATATCAAGGACTCTGGTTTATTCTTTCCAGGTAACGCCCCAATATTCGAGAGACTCGACTCCGCTGACCAGAGATCAANNGTTGACCCGGGTCCGTCAGCCATGATTGGGGGTATGACTGGTACGAATTGTTCAGGTACAAACGCCGTGCGCTACGGCACCATGAAGGATAATGTCCTCAATCTAACAGTCGTCCTCGCCGACGGAACGATCATCAAGACAAAGCGAAGGCCTAGAAAGTCTTCTGCCGGCTACAACTTGACGGGAATGTTTGTTGGCTCCGAAGGCACCCTTGGTATCGTGACAGAAATCACGCTCAAGCTCCAAGTCATCCCTCAGGAAACAAGCGTGGCAGTGGTCACCTTCCCCACCATCCGTGACGCAGCCAGTGCAGCCTCTCGAGTCATCAAAGCTGGTGTCCCAATTGGCGCAATGGAGATCATGGACGAGGTCCAGATGAGCGTGGTCAACAAGTCAAAGTCAACGAAGAAGATCTGGCGCGAAGTACCCACCATGTTCTTCAAGTTCTCGGGCACAAAAGCAGGAGTAAGAGAGAACATTGATTTGGTCAAGAAACTCTCGAAACAATGCAAGTCCATCGATTTCGAATTTACTGCCGACCCAGAGGAGCAAAAGAAACTTTGGTCGGCAAGAAAGGAATCTTTGTGGTCCATGTTGGCGTTGAGGAAGGGGGATGAGGAAGTCTGGTCAACCGATGTTGCTGTTCCTGTGTCAAGACTGGCTGATATCATCGAAGTCTCGAAGCGCGAGATGGATGAATTGGGCCTCTTTGCGTCTGTTCTTGGTCACGTCGGTGACGGCAACTTCCACGAGTCCATCATGTATGATGGCAAGAATCCAGAAGAAAAGAAGAGGGTCGAAGAATGTGTGACGAGGATGGTAGATAGAGCGTTAGAGATGGAAGGAACGTGCACCGGTGAACACGGCATTGGATTGGGAAAGAAGAATTCGCTGGTCAAAGAGCTGGGATTGGACACTATCGGTGTGATGCAGAGGGTCAAGCTTGCATTGGATCCGCATTGGTTGATGAACCCAGGAAAGGTATTCGATCATCCAGCCGAGACCAATCCAAAAGGCAAATAGACGAACATAACATTGAACAAGAATAGGTTGTACATTCGGACAAACAAATAAAAGCAAAAAGAAAGTGATGCCAAAGATCTCGAGTGTTTTCAAGGGAAGTGATTACTTACAGCGGGGGTCGTGAATATTGAACAACTAGACATGTTTCATTCAGCAGTGAAGGCCTTGTGTTTGCAAGTCATCTCTCGAAGAACGATCAGTCGTAGCCACTCCCAGTGCGCGCAGTATCAACCATCCTTGTGTTTGCAAGATCAGGTGCAGATTCCGCTGCTCCAGGCTAGCGAGTGGGCTAGGTCCCTAAACCTCTGCTGATTAGGCTAAACAAGGGGCGGGAAATCACCCACCCATGAAGTTACGAAGACACAGTTAGCCGACAGGAAGACGCCTCTATCTTACCTCACCACAAGGGGATTGTGACTAGGGCCACGGACGTTCCAAGAAAGAATTGTTAGCAGATGCAGCGGTTCGAACTCGAGATGTTTGGAGGGGATTAACGACTGAGCTAAAGGGAATTGGATAGAATGAAGGGCAATTGATAGGAATATATGGGCTAGAGGAGCTCAAAAGTGAGACTGAGGTGGAGTGAAGTGAAAGTGGAAGTGAGACTGCAACACGGCCAAGCCTTTTCAATGCGAGAGCCCTGGATACACTCTCTTTGGATAGGGATGCTGTTCTTCGAAGAAAATACTGTACAATCAAGGGTGAACAAGCGATACCACCAGGGGGGGAAGGGAATGGTACAGCTTCGGAAAGAGCTGCATCTACGATATCAAGGGAAGCCTGTCGCAACAGAAACACGGTGCAAAGAAGGATTGAAGTGTTGATCAGGAAGAGTCATTTGCTCATATAGTGTGGGCTGTGGCCGAAAGATATATCCAACTACCGTACTTTCTTGGTTTCGCCGTTTAGATCGGCAGCCTTGATTTCTCTACTCTTNTGGATCTTCTGCTTCAAGTCCAAGACGATAGCCTGGAGCTTTGCTTTGATTGCAACAATTCCTGCAGGCTCGACCTCATCTGCAGCGACAAAACGGCGCACGATCAAGTTGAAGATACTACCAAATGCCATGGCCATGACGGTACTAGTCAAGATGATGACATTGTACGGCATACTGAAGTCGGGAGTCGGCAGAGGAAGAAGCATAGAAGTGGTGCGTAGATATACAGGCGTGCTGTGTTCTCCGTTGGTCGAATTGGTAAGCAGTTTGACTATTGAGGGTGCAACATCAAAGCCGCGGTTCGCGTCAGGAGGATATTCGGTGTATCGTAGAATGGCCTTTTCAAAGTCGTAAGTCAGAACCAAGGAGGCGCCGGCAGGAACATGGAGGCGTAGCTCGAGATGAGTACCTCTGGCACGGTCAATAGCAGGCCTGTAGAAGATCTGCTGGATTGATGATGGTGATGGCGCAGAGTTGATGGAAGCGTGTAGGGTGTGTAGGTATGGTTTCATGAACCACGGCAAAGACTCGAGATAGACAAGATCAACAGAATCGGTAGTAGATGGATTGGTAAGGATGACTCGCATACCACCTCGCTCCTGGCCGTAACCGACCATAGTTCGTTCTGCACGAAGGCGGGGTTGTTCGAGAGTAGAAGGCGAGATCAAGGGTTGCTCGCCTAGTGCAATATCGAAGTCACCGGATGGTGGAAGAACATAGCGTACAAGACCATCCTCGGATTTGTGCCCACTGTAAGCCTCCTCGGCGGTAATCTGAATATCTTGACCAGGAGCGGCGTGCAGCGTGACTGACTCAGGGGAAGCACCTTCGTTGACATGACAAGAACCACGAATAGGACGACCGAAGACCTTGCTCAAAGTCCAATCACGCTCGGTGGAACGTTCGCGTGGGTAACAGGTATCGTGACTGTTGTACCATTTGCCGGTGTCACAGGCGATTTCCTCAACTGGCGGAGGTCTGGGGATGGGATCATGCTGAGATCGCATAGATCGGTCAAGATCAAGAACCATGTCCACTGTTTGTTCAATCTCCAGCAAGCATTCGCTTCCATCGGCAGGGCATATAGGGCGCACATCGATGGCCATTGTCTGCCAGGAGGCGTCGAACAGCTTGTGTCCGTCTAGCAGAGTCGCAATGCCAGCCTTTCCCTTGCACGGGAGAAGCTTCAAGAAGGGCGTCAGGTTCTCGGTGCAGACGACTTCGTGAGGCAGAGCACCGTGCAGCAGGTGCAAGCCAGATGTGTTTTTGTGAGAGCCCTCCAGATCAAAAGTCATTGCCGGACGGATGGTCTTGGTCGAGTCGATAAAGTTGATCGAGGCACAGAAGAGACCAGATAGAGCATTGCTCAGAGTCAACCAGCGAGCATTGGCTTGTTCGTGTGAGTCTGCCTCGACCCAGGCCCACAGCTCGACACCAGTGCCTCCTTCACGGCGGCCGCGTCGCGGTCGTTGTCCCCAGTTCTCCGAATCCCAGCGACCAAGACTGAAGCGAAGATGGAGTTCTCTCGCATGCGTGTGTTGCAAGATCTGACCCAACGAACGTGGGAACAGGCGGTAGTTCTGAGCATCGAAGTCGGACTTGGTCGTGTTGGCCTTGAAGTTGAAGGCAGCCAGAAGTTGAGATTGAGGAAGCGGATGCAGCTGCAGCTGCTCAGTATATTGCCCTTCAGCCCATGGTGCAAACAGGCACAGCAGCGACAGGGCAAAGACTATCACGAGCATGGCGGCCTCATGGCGTAAGTTGAAGATGTAAAGGGGGCTAACAAGTCGAGCATACATGTGCCAAGACGTCGTTCAGCGCGGAGCGGCCACTCTCTTCCGCTTCTGCTGCTCTCAGAAAGCTTTCATCTGTATACCACCACGAATAAGACATCAATCACCTTGCAATACCGCCCATCTACTCTTACGACTGCTTTGTCGCCTGACCTCTCACATATTTGTCTACAAATCACGCTTGCGACATAGCGCATACTCAACATGGCAGCCGAGCAGAGAAAGCTGCTGGGTACGCCTTCACATGAAACATCTTGACTTCGAAAACATTACTGACACGTCTCTGCAGAGCAGCTCATGGGCGAGCAGTTGCTGGCTGGCCCTGGCGCATCGCGCGCTCCTCAGTTGTCCATCACTGATCCAAAGGTGTGCCGCTCCTACCTTGTCGGCACCTGTCCTCACGACCTGTTTACCAACACCAAACAAGATCTCGGTCTGTGTCCAAAGACCCACAGCGAAGCCCTGAAGTCCGAGTACGAAAACGCAGACGACCAACAAAAGCGCAAATGGGGCTTCGAGTTCGACTACATGCGAGACATGCAAAAATACATCGACGACTGCAACCGACGCATCGACAGCGCCCAGCGCCGCTTGGAAAAGACTCCCGATGAGATTCGCCAAACGAATGCTCTTCTGAAACAGATTGGCGAGCTGTCGCGCAACATCGAGGACGGGCTGGTCGAAGTTCAGATCCTGGGCGAGTTGGGCAGTGTCAACACGGCCGTCACAGAGTACTTCCGTATCAGGCAGCAAAAACAATTGAAGGAGGATCGCGAACGTGAGCTCAAGGCTCTATCCGACACTTCGGGCCCTCGGGTCACCAGAAGCTCCAAGTCTGCGATGTGTGTGGTGCATACCTGAGTAGGCTGGACAACGACCGCAGACTGGCGGATCACTTCTTCGGAAAGATGCATCTGGGTTATGCTCAAATGCGCAAGACGTACCAACAGCTGCAAAAGGACCTCCAGGGCCGACAACCGCCGATTCGCGACGAGCCTTCTGGTCCCAGAGGTGGTTACGATGATAGAGAGTACGGTGGTCGCAGCGGTGGCTATGGCGGCAGACGAGGCGGAGGTGGTGGTGGCTTTGGAAGAAGGGGAGGTGGCAGATGGTGATGATTCTATTGGGCTACAAAACGAGACGACAAAGACGAGGATGCATTACAGCTTGGTCGGTGTTTTTGGCGCAATACCCAACATGAGGCATGGCAGCGAGGCGCTGGGATGGTCGATTGTCTTTTTACATATATTCCCTCTGCTTCCAAAAGAGCAGAATTACTGAAACCCAATGCAAGTCATGAAACAAGATACTACGCTCCTTGTTGTTCTATTGAGTCAATAATGCCAAGGAATAAAGGGTGGACAGCGTCATTCGGAATTGGGCTTCTGGACTCAAGGCCGAGGGGCAGCTTCGATTAATCGTTCGTCCTTGTCCCCAAATTAAATACACAATACTTTGGTCTCACAACGGCACACCTCAGCGATATTGCAGACGCAATAACAGTCACTCTGCTGGATCAAACCATCGTCACCACACCGCACACGACACTCCCCTAAACTCCTCACAACCACCGCCATGTCGCGGAGACCCGCCGGACCCGATAGGACGATGCAGAACCAACAGACGTTGAAGAGCTTGGTCAAGTTGGAAGGAAACAAGAGCTGCGCAGACTGCAAGAGGAACAAGCGTACGATGTTCGAACGCTGTAACGAGGCGTGGAAGCTGACAGGTGTCGACAGATNNCCGAGATGGGCCAGCTGGAACTTGGGCATTTTCATTTGCATTCGGTACGCAGTCACCGCTACTATGCGTTTGGACGCTTACTGACAAAATCTGTNNAGATGCTCTGGTATTCACCGTGGTATGGGCACGCACATCAGCAGAGTCAAATCTGTCGACCTGGATTCTTGGACCGACGAGCAGCTTCAGAGCATGCTCAAATGGGGCAACACCAGAGCCAACAAGTACGAAATCCTTGTTCTGTATAGCGGAAAGTTTCTGATTGCCATTCCATAGGNNTATTGGGAAGCAAAGCTCGCCCCTGGTCATGTTCCCGCCGAAGCGTACGTACCTTACAGGACGTCCTATCCCAACTCTAATAACTAACACGCATGCAGTAAGATCGAGAACTTCATCCGCACCAAGTATGACTCGAAGAGATGGACTATGGATGGCCCCATTCCAGACCCCTCGACTCTGGGAAGCGAGGGTGGGGATGAAGACGTGGTAAATACAGACTNNCATCCCACCGGTACAAAGCAGCTAACCGGAAGGCAGCCTCTCAGCGTAGTCCAAGAAAAGGCGAAGCTCGACCGATCTGCCTCACTCAGAAATGCTTCCATGAGTAGCGGACCTATTGCTCCACCTGCAGCTCCCAGACCTGTCGCTCCAGTCATCGATCTGTTTGGCGACGACCCGACTCCTGCGCGCGCCAGCACTGCCGAACCTTCGATCTCTTCAAGACCTCCTCCACAACAACAAAAGGCCCCCGCCGCACCTCCTAAGCAAAATCGTCCTGGCGACTCTCTACTTGGTCTCGACTTTTTCGGAGCCAGCCAATCTGCACCTCCAGCACGCCCAGCCAGCGCTGCTTCAGGAGCTGCTACCTCTGGAAGCAACCCACGATCAGACCTAAAGCAGTCCATTCTGTCCTTGTACGCATCTGCACCCAAGCCTGCCTCAGTGCAGCAACCTCAGTCTTCCTCGAATGCCTTTGGCGGCTTCGCCTCCCCGCCGATGCAGTCTCCCGCCGCTTCGACATCCTCGTTTGGTGGTATGGCTGATGCCTTTGGCGGTTTGAACTTTGGTGGCTCGCCCGCTCCCCAACAGCAGCAACAGCAACCCAAACCCTCCACCTTCTCAAACCTAACCTCCCCAGCATCACGTCAAAGCTCTCTCAGTGGCGGCAGCTTCTTCGATGCTAAGCCTGCACCGCCACCCAAGCAATCTGCTGCACCTGCTCCCAAGCCGCAGCCAGCACGCATGTCAAGTGGTTTTGGCGACTTTGGTGACTTTACATCCGCACCATCGCCTGCACCAGCACCCATTTCTACAAGGTCACCTGTTCCTGCCAGCTCTGGCATGGGAGACTTGTTCGATATGAGTGCTCCTGCACCCTCAAAGCCAGCAACTTCAACCTCTGCATCCGCCTTCAACCTGTCGAGTCCTGCCCCGCCACCTAAGCCTGCACCCGTGTCCGCCATGGGCAGTCTCGATAATATGGACGCTTGGGGCTCGAACAACGCTTGGAGTACCCCCGAGCCAGCAGCACCTGCACCGCCCACTACTTCTTACAAGGCACCTGCTCCAACCACTACCTCGTACAAGGCACCTGCCATGACTAGTGTGTCGAACGACGACGACTTTGGTGGTTGGGGGAAGCAACGAGGGCNNACTTCTTCTAGCAAGCCCGCCGTCAGCCAGGACGATGACTTTGGTGGCTGGAGCAGTGCACCTGCGCCTGCTGCCCCTACATCCAACAACAAGGGCCCAACCACAGATGATCTTTTTGGAAATGTCTGGGGTTAAAGAAAGCAGCATTAGTAGCATCGGCAGAAAGGGAAAACAGCATTGAAGACCTTGATGGTCAGGATTGAATACAGACGTTCTTCTGCCTAGTATACAAGATGAAAATGTCTCAGAAATTTTGACCCGGATTAGTTGTACACGTCCAACAGATATTGCTGTTGTGATGATTTCGTGAAGTATGATGATGTGGATGTGATAATAGTGTCATGCCCATGATTCCTCTGCATGTTTTGAAAACATCGTCGGGTTGTCTTCGCGCCAGTATTCTGCGGATGGGCCGACCTGTCTCTGGTATTCGGTACAGCCCGTCGTGTATGTAGTATGTAGCCACGATGGGTCGTTCGGCAGCTTCACACCAAGTCCTCCTTCCATATGAAAATGGGTGGGTATATGCTCCGAGTCCAGTGGGCGCGTGACTCTACTTTTTCACATCCAAGAGTACTTGGGCCATTACGGTTGCTTTGCGAGAATCGGATCAACGAGATGGCAGAAGGTTCAAGCAGCCTTGGAGCCTCCAAACACCCAGCCGCCGACCCAGTAGAGGACGAGGACAATGACGATGAGAATTCCCGCGAGCTTGAGAATGGCGACCTTATTTCCTTGTTGTGCCATACGTGTCAACCTTCCAGCACTGCCCTGCAAGCTGTTCGAGAAGGTAGAGAAGGCATTTGTNCTGGAGCCAGGTATCAGTAGGGATGTAGACTCGGACAGTCAGGGGTAAGAGCGGCGTACGGAAGAGTCGATGACGCCCTGGTCGCGGGCATTGTCGTAGATGTCGATGGTGACGCCGCGCAAGGCAGATACCTTTCCGGCGAGGTCGTCCAGTCGCGAGTTATTTTGACTTTTGAGATGTCAGTGGCTGTGCATAGGGAGCAGCAGGGAAGAGAGGTGTGTCTACCGTTCACGCTCGTAGGCTTCGGACATTGTGGCGATATCTCAGAGTGACCTTGCGGATAGTGATGGTCGGAGTGCGACGACTGAGGCGTAGCAGGGTAGGCAGATGCGATGGATCGAGGAACAAAGAATGGATGGCCAAACGGAGGTCGCGGCCCTCGGGAAGTTGTTGCCGGTCTGGGGTCGGCGAGCACGGACAATGACGACGATTCGTTCTTGGTGGGGCTTCCGCCGAGCTATGCCATGACTTGCCCGAGTTCGACAGAGTTGTATGCCTAACACTCATTCTCGTGTCGCTGCGCCCGTCGTCGTTTCTTCCTTGTCCAAATCCCTGGGTTCTGTCCTCGTCGCCTAGTCTTCTCCCATCTCTCGACCTTCAATCTCTCACACGACTACCACCCCAACCGCCCAACATGCCGCTCATCAACAACCCGCTGCCCTCTTCTATGAAGAGTAAGTCGCGCTCGCATACTGCTTTTCTCTGTTCGACTTCTGATCTGCTACAGGCGNAGTGCAAGAAGACAGGAAAGATCCTCGCGTCCTTCATCGACCCAAAACAATCATTCGGCCCCGACAAGATCATCCCACCCCAAATCCTCGCAAATGCCAAAGGTCTCGCCATCATGACCGTCTTCAAGGCCGGCTTCCTTGGTAGCGCTCGTTTCGGCTCTGGTGTCCTCGTAGCCCGCCTGGCAGACGGCACCTGGTAATTCTCTCCCTCCTCGCTCTGTCGTCGGCACTCGCTGACATCAGCTTTAGGTNCCGCTCCGTCCGCCATCGGTACTGTTGGTGGTGGCTTCGGTGGTCAGATTGGTTTCGAACTCACTGACTTCGTCTTCATCCTCAACGACGCTGCTGCTGTCCGCACCTTTGCTCAAGCCGGCAGTATCACCCTGGGAGGCAACGTCTCGATTGCCGCCGGTCCCGTCGGTCGCAATGCCGAGGCCGCTGGTGCTGCGTCGCTCAAGGGTGTCGCCGGTATATTTGCCTACAGTAAAACCAAGGGTTTGTTCGCTGGTGTCTCTCTGGAAGGCAGTGCCATGATTGAGAGAAGAGATGCGAACGAGAAGATGTACAACCGTCGCGTCACTGCCAGAGCCCTGCTCGAGGGTGCCGTTCCCGTTCCGCCTCAAGCCGAGCCTCTGATGCGCGTTCTCAACAGCAGAGTGTTTGCCGGAGTTGCTGCTCAGCAAGGCGACGCTATGTACAACGACATCCCGGTCTATGATGAGTCCCACGACGATGTCATCTGGCAGGGCAAGAGAGGTTCCGCTCATGGCGAGGGTGTCCGTTCAGACCGTACAGGCGCTACTGGCGGCTTTGGTGCCCCTTCGCGTGCCAGTACATGGCAGGACGATGTCTATGACAGACAACCCAGCTTCGGATCGCGCGCCAACCCTAGCGAAACATTCGATCGCCTTGAAGCCTCTCGTCAACGTAGCAACAGCGCATACGCCGATCAGGCCGAATACTCGTACTCTGATCGCAAGCCTTCTAGACCCAGTGCCCCTAAGCCAACCTTCAGCGGTACCAACACCGCAACCCCCAAGCCTGGCCAGGCTATCGCAAAGTTCACCTTCGACCCTGATCAACCTGGCGATTTAGGCTTCAAGAAGGGCGAGATCATTACCATTGTCAAGAAGACCGATAACAGCAATGATTGGTGGACAGGCAGAATTGGCACAAGGGAAGGCATTTTCCCTAGGTAATTTGTCGTCGCTCCGCAAGCTGTTGGACGAAACTAACATTGATGTGCAGCAACTACGTTGAACTTACCTAAACACCGCCTCTACGTCCGACACACGATTCTGTGCAAACCCGCCCTTTCCTTCTAATTATGAACATATGGTTCTCTTTTTTCTTTCTTGTTTCTTGATTTGCATAGCGCCGCGTGCACGGCGTTCGACGGTGGTCTCTCTGGGTCCTGTTTCTTCTGTTATATACCTTGATGTACAGACCGCTTCTTTCTACACACATAGTGAAAAGTTGGTCATTTTCTTCTTCGCAATATGTCGGCTCTCTTTGCCGTCTAATATCCACTTCATCCCCAAGGTCAAACAGATTAACCGCTTTTCCAAGCTGCATGAAAGCCTGGTTCGAGACCGACTGGCTTCAAAACCACAACTCGATGTTTCAATTTGGGTTCTGACATGCCCGTGAGGCGTTCGCACCAACCCCCACGCCAGTATCCGGGGCGTCACGGGCCGATCGCTATTCTGCGGTCCACTCCCTGCGGACCGTTGTCCATCAATCTCTCGTGGATAAAAGCCATGCTCTGTTTCACGGTGTGCAATTTCAGGCATCTATCTCTACAGACTAACAGTAGGGTCGCAAAGAGAAGACACTGGGTCGCCCCTCGGTCACAACATGGCTCACTCGTTGCCTTNNGATGGTTATGATCTCAATCTCCACAATACTCAATCTGTTGAGGTAGTGACATCTCCATCTCACAAAGATGACACATGTGGACAGGCATGGCTTGAACATCNNGAGAAGGAAAGTCAGGATATCGGTCCGGGAACGGAGACGGTGTATTGGCTTCTCGTCGGCCAGCTCNGCAATTCAATAGACCGAAGATGCGACATGTCGAACCCGGAATTGAGCNTTCTGCTGCTCCTGCATGCAGTTATCGAGTCGGTTACTGCAGGTTGCGCCACGAACCCCTTCACGAAGCCTGTTAAATGTCGAAGAGGTGAAAGCGTGGNNGTCGCACGTCAATCGTTTCTGGGCATGTGGGGTCCCGAGAAACTGGGGAGCTCATCTTNNTTGTGACGGCGTTTCGCGGCTGNNCACTGTCCTTCATCGATCCATAACCTCCCAAAGGCACGCAATCCATAAGGAGACAGGGGATATCGGGTCCTTGCTTCTCTGCAGCCCTCACCGCTCCCGGTGCCAACGGTGAGAAGCCACATGACTGTGTTACGACNNACATGGAAGGCCTAGGTAGCAACAATTTTTTCTTTTACCCTGCCATGCATGAACGAGAAGGGATGATGATAAAGGGAGTAGAGCCTACCTGGGGCTCAGAGATCCTTCTGCTTTCCTCTGGTCTCACGCCTCCTTGATCAATCACATTCTCTGCACATACCCGTTCTGCTCCCGTCTGTTCTGATAAGCTGACCTGAGCCACTACTTCTATTCTTGACACATCCCTGATCTTTCACCTTGTTGATATCTTCAGGCAACTTGTCAAAAACTGCGTCATCTCATTCAACCGTATCTCTTGAAGGAAGCACATAGAAGTGATAACCAGTGCCCATAGCGCGCGTGTTTGATCGGCTCATTTCCAAGCTGTTGCAGTACAGCTCTGACTAGGTATATCTTCTCTTGCCCATGGGTGTTTTCCTCATAAGCCCGTCATTAACGGTCAATTGAAGTTCCAAACCCTTCCGCTTCCTGCCGTCGATTGCCCGGCACTCACTTGCACCTTCCACTCGGGTTGAAAAAGAAGACAGCAAACCGCCGAAGTTTACTTTAAGCGTCACTCGTTCCTGCCTCAACTTCCTCACTCATCACTTCCTGCCCTTCACATTGAACGCGACGGCACCCTCCGCCCTCTCAATTCCCGCGTGTATATAACGTGGTCGCCGAGCCAATTCCTTCCTCGCTTCGACCATCCACTCCCAACTTTGACGATCTCATACAAGTTCATCAAAGTCTTTCTACCTTTGATCATCTACTTGATCCTTCTCTCTTATACTTCCTCCTCCATCACAACTTCCAACAATCGGCAAGATGGCTTATATGTCAACTCTGCGCAACTCCGCAATTCGCGCCATGCGTAGAACCACGGTTCAACTCCCTATATCGCCCATCTCGATTCGCGCTTTCGCCTCGACTCGTGCTCTTAGCGATGAGAAGTCCATCAACGTCGTCTCTTACTCCAAGTCTGGCCAGCGCGAGCAGGAGACTCTCTCAGTCCCCGCTGCCAACGAGCCTGTCAGCCCTCCTGGCCAGGACATTGAGGTTGCAGCTCAGCCCCTCAAGCCTGAGCTCCTCCAGGCCCTTCCTCCCACCATGCAAAAGTTCACATTGCTCGGCAAGGTCGCCGTTATTACCGNNGGTATGACCTCTTCACTTCCTCCCTCACTTCACACTTTACTGACTATCACTCACAGTGGCGGCCGCGGCTTGGGATACAACATGGCTCAGGCCCTCTCCGAAGTTGGTGTCAAGGGCATTGCCATCTTCGACGTCCAGCAGGAGCTCGGCGAAAAGTCTGCCCAGCAGCTCTCTGCTCAGACTGGTGTCGATGTTCGCTTCTACAAGGTCGATGTCCGTGACGAGGCCGCTATTCAGCAGGCTGTTCAGGATGTCGCTGCCCACTACGGCCAGATTGATATTCTCATCAACGCCGCTGGCATTGCCGAGTAAGTCTACATCCTTCACACTCTTCTTCACTCATACTGACACGTCCCAGCTNCCAACGTCAAGGCCGAGACCTATGAATCTGAGAAGTTCCGTCGTCTGCTTGACATCAACATCACCGGCACTTTCCTCGTCGCTCAGGCTGTTGGTCAGCAGATGATCAAGCTCAACACCGGCGGCTCCATGATCAATATCGCTTCGATGTCCGGTACCATCGTCAACTACCCTCAGGAGCAGTCCTGCTACAACGCCTCCAAGGCTGCTGTCATCCAGCTCACCAAGTCGCTCGCCGCTGAGTGGGCTCGCTACAACATTCGCGTCAACTCCATCTCTCCTGGCTACATGGACACCGCTCTCAACCGTGTCCCTGCCCTTGACGCCCAGAAGCGTATCTGGATGGACAACACCCCTCAGAAGCGTCTTGGTGCTGTTGACGATCTCAATAACCTCGCCGTCTACCTCGCCTCCCNNCCCGGTTCCAGCTACATGACCGGCAACAACTGTCTTATTGACGGTGGCTACACCCTCTGGTAAACACTCACGCCTCATGTTTCTGACTTCTCAGCGCGGCGTTTGTTCTTTTCACCGGCTAGTTCACGCATTTCCACGGCGTTACATGGCGGGTATATAGGAGGCGTTGATCCAAAGGCTGCGATTTCTTTCGGCGGCATCTGATGGTGGCTTTTACACTCATGCATGGCGGTCATCGGAGAATGATATTTATTACAAAGGGGACTGGTAGAAGGATGTCCTTTTAGCTATCACAGTGCTCTACAACAGGCGCATTTTTGCCTTGCTCAGAAATGATACTACTTTGATGAATCTTCTTCTTGTTTGTGTTCGAATGTGCATCTGTCGTGTCCTTGCTCGATCTGTCCTCCAAATATCGTACCGAATACACGATAACCACAGTATCTGAACTGATTTCTTTCATCTCCACTGGGTACACACCACTATATGATGTCTTTTTAGCAAGTTCCAGGACCATAGAAACAACGAACCGGAATTGATACCATGCCACTGTGCCAGGGTGAGACTCTCAACAACCATTTTCGGCCATATATCCTATGTCACAGGTCCCACCCAGATTATTTACAGCATATGAAGGAGTGATCAGACAGCTTCTATAATCTTGCGCTTTGTCGACAAGTCACCAGCCCTTTCATCGTGGGGATAAGTGGCAATGTTGAATTTTGGGATTTCATCCTGACAATTTTGACATCACGATGGAAACAGCACAATTTGATGCTCGTCTTCCCATCTGTGTTTGTTGTTTAGCCAAGCAAAGTCTCACAGGCTCGTGCGCTCTTTCTTGTCTCACGAACGCTTTCCTTGTCACCCTTCGACCAGCTACATATACAACCGCGGTCATGATCACATATCCTGTCATACGATCTTCATGGCCTTTACCAAAGCTACATATGAAGATATTCCCATCCCACCGTCATGACAGACATCCTCCTCCGAGGACGTAAAAAAAGGGCGAGATGGCCGAGCGGTCTAAGGCGCCAGCTTAAGGTTCTTCCAATACGCTGGTCCGAAAGGGCGTGGGTTCAAATCCCACTCTCGTCAACATATCTTTTACTTTTGTCTTGCCGTCCAGCTGGTGTAAGTATCTAGGGGTGGGGGGAGAGGAGAGGTAGAGAGGAGATGGGAAATGGCAGGACCGCTCAGCCATCTCACCTTTTTCGTACGTCCTTGGAGGAGGATGTCTTGGATGGTGGGAAGTTGGTGTTTTGCTGACTGGGGTCAGCAAAACATCCTGGATGGTGTGGGATCAATAAATGGTTAGAAGAGCATCTAGTAGTCAAGCAAGCATATGGTCAATACTCTATTACGTCGACCGAGAGGACAACTAAGTTTCGAATGTCTTTTTATGAGAGAAAAGGGTCCAGGACAAGCAGATCACAACCATCTGCCAGAAGGAGGAATCTGAGAGCACAAAATAATAGGATCAAAAACACACATGCTCTATGCTATGCTTTTATTGTGATTGTAAAAAGTTCTCTTTCTTCTATTCATTGCTTTTTTGTAGAAAAATCAACTCCAGAGATATAACCCTCTTTGGAAAAAAACAAGAAACCAGAGACACACCATTTCATTTCATCTATGCAAAACAGAACCGTTCGAAAAAAAGTCATGGGGGCGGGTTGTGGAGAGGCTGGTACACTGATCAAAGCAGTGGGCGGAGTGTGCGGAGCGTCTGTGGGAGTGGCAGGTCGGCTCATGGGAGGCGTGAGAGGAGGCGAAATAGGAGGGGTATTAACTCTTCATGCGCTGGCCTCAATGGTACCGCGGACACCGGTCTTGGAACCGACCTCGCGGGCAATGACCTGGACTGAAAGGTCGGCGTTGACGTTGATTTGAACCTCGACCTTGCTGCCCTTCTTGACGTCCTTGACAGCGGCCTCGGCGATAACATCACCGGCCTTCCAGACCTTCTCGCGGGTCTCCTCGGGCTCGTCGTCGCTGTCGTCGTCTGAGTCCTCATCGTCACCGTTGGCCTCCTTGGGAGCGGCCTCCTCCTTGGTAACCTTGATCTCGCTGACACCCTCGCAGAGCTTGACAAGAACGTCACCCTCGGCAGCGTTGAACTGTGCAGTACGGCGGGCGGGGACGGCGGTGTTGGCATCGATCAGAGTAACGAACTCGTCACCAACGAGAACACCGATAGCCTTGGCGAGGTGAGGGGCGACGGTAACGGCGGGGTGGGTGCTCTGCTCAACATCCTCCTTCTCGAACTCGCTGATCAGGCTGGCCTGAATGGCAGCACCACGGACGGTCAGCTCGCTGGGGTTGACAGCGTTGGGGTTGGTTGAGGGAGCGGTGACGGTGGACTCGGCAAAGATGGACTGGAGGTTGCTGGCGATCTTGGGAGTGTGCGAGGTACCACCGGAAAGGAGGATCTCGTTGATATCGAGGTTGTCGAGACCGACCTTCTGGACGGCAGACTCGATCAGGCGGCTGAAAGAGCCAAAGACCTTGCTGGCGAGCAGCTCGTATCTGGTGCGGTTGACGGTTAAGCTGAAGTCAATACCGTCGGAGAGCGACTCAATGCTGAAGGCAGCAGAGGCACCAAGAGACAGAGACTTCTTGACGGCCTCAGCCTCGAGCTTCAGCTTGGCGAGCGAGCGCTCGTTGGTACGGGGGTCGGTCTTGTTCTTCTTCTGGAACTCCTTTGCGGCGTAGTCGATCAGGGCCTGGTCGAGCTGAGCACCACCAAGCTCGTAGTCGTGGGCAGTGGCCAAAACGGTGTACATGCCACCACGCGAGGCGACAACGGCAATGTCGGTACGGGTGCCACCAATGTCGGCAACAACAACGTTCTTGTCCTCGGTCGAGTTCTCGTTGTTCTTGGCATCGTGGGCGAGGAGAGCAGCGACGGGCTCGGTGATGTACTGGAGAACCTCGAGACCGGCCTCGGTGGCGGCCTTGTTCAGGGCGTCCTTCTGAGCATCGGTGAAGTCTGAGGGGATGGTGATGATGGCAGCGTTGACCTTCTTGCCAAGGTAGTCGGTAGCGGAGGAAGCGAGACGGCGGAGGTGACGGGTGGTGATCTCGTGGATTGTGCGGGTGTTTTGCTGGTCGGCCTCGGTGTCCTTGATCTGGAAGGCAATGGTGTTCTCGGCGTCGACGGGGTGGGCAGAGGCGTGGCAGTTGGTAGGGTCTATCGACTTGAAGTCCTTGCCGAGGAAGTCTCTGAAGTATGCGACGGTGTTCTTGGGGTTGCGGACAAGTTGCGACTTGGCCTCGGTACCCTGGAACTCCTCGCCGTCGACGTACGAGAGGACGGTGGGGATCTGGCGGTCACCAAGCTCGTTGGCGATAACCTCAGCCTTGGCCTCGCCTGAGGTGTAGGCGATGGAGCTGTACGAGTTACCGAAGGAGATACCAATGGCAACCTTGGGGGCAGTCTCGCCGTCGGAGCTCATTTTGAATGTGATGTGTGGTTGAAGCGGCTGAAAGGACTGGTTTTCAGATTGTCGCAAACAGGGATAGAAAGGCGACAGGGACAAGGGTGGATTGATTGCTTGAGACTCTGCTGGGACTTTCGCTCCAGACTTTCTTGACCTCGAACAAATTTCCAGCCGAGGATGAGCCGTCACTGCATCGCAAACCAGCCCTTCGTCATCGCCGCAGATTTCAGAAAACCAATTAATTCAATCATGTCGTCGTCGGTAATTGTGCTGCCTGGTCAGGAGCTGTCGCCCGATCAATTACCTTCTCAAAACACAACTCGCACATTGACTCTGGGTCCTGGTCTGCGACACATTCCGCCTGTGACGATTGTCGCAACTCAAGCCGGAGAGCTATGCACCGACTCCAAGAAGAATGCCATCTGGATCGAGAATCTCGGAGGTCGCTACCTTCCTCATGTCGGCGATCTCGTTGTCGCCACTATCCAACGCTCTGCTACCGACATATACCACTGCACCCTGACACCTAATACTCCCACCGTCCTGCTTGGTCAACTTGCTTTCGAAGGCGCTACCAAGAAGACCAGACCTCAACTCAACCCCGGAGCTCTTGTATACGCTCGCGTGTCTAAAGCCGACAAGTGGAGTGACGTCGAGATTGAGTGTGTCAACCCTGCTACCGGAAAGTCTGACGGTCTCGGCCCGCTCAAGGCTGGCATGCTCTTCGATGTCTCGCCTGCATTCGCTCGCCGCCTGATGATGGGCGCTGGAAAGGGCGGTGTGGTGCTGCTGGAAGAGATTGGCGAGAAGGTCAGATTCGAGGTGGCTGTTGGAAGAAACGGAAAGGTCTGGGTCGACAGCTCAACCATCGCAGAGACTGTCGCTATCGGAAGATGCTTGACCGAGATGGACGAGAAGGACCTGGACCTTCAGGCGCAGAAGAAGCTTGTCAACAAGATGGTGAAGACTGTCTGAGCCTCAGTTCTAGATGGAGAAGAACACACAACAAACCACCTGATGCCTTGCCAGCAGTCGCTTCGCATACGTCTCATGTCCTGCTCAGAGTTGATAACTCGAGCAAGCATGACAGAAGCGCACATCGCAAGCCGCATAGGAAGAAGAGCCAGGTTCCCACATCGAAGGGGCTCGAGCTTCTAGGACGTTGACCTAGACCCCATTCATGTCGCACGCCTCTGGAAGAATATCAGATGCCGTCTGGGGAAACTTGTTCAGACCTGCTCAGGTCCGTCTGGCGAGGTAGATAGATACGAGCTCATGCTACGGTTAGGAATCCGGGCAGTGAGTGACTGCAAGTACATGAAATAAACATTTTCATTCTCTATCATCCCTGTTTCAAAGATCAATCTCTTGAATTGCCACGTCCTACTTCATGTGAACATTCTTGCCAAGAATCACAAGCCAAACTCGAAGCCTCAGGCACGTCCAGAAAAAGTCCCACGGCCAACGTCACCGGACCCCGCCATACCGTATGAAAAGTCACTGCGCCAGTCCACGAATTCAAACCTATCAACGTCACCAGTATCTTGCTGGAATAGTCTCAGTAATCATGAGCACTCGCAATAGAACACCGCCGCTCCTAGAACCCTACCTCCGCCTCCCCTCCGAAGGTTCCCAGCTCCTTCTTACAGGCGTACTCGACTCTTCTCCCCAATGGCTTGTTACTCGTCTCCTTCGTAGCGCATTTGCTCCCTCGGAAGAAACAGAATCGCCAGACGAGCAGGATGTCAGTGTGGTACTGGTGTCTTGGTTACGCGACCATGAGTTTTGGAAGAGCGAAGCCAGAAGAGGCGCTGTAAGACACGCATACCCCAAAAGACATTGAGAAGGAGGAACATACTGATACGAAAGGAACAAATAGGGTATCGATCTCGCACGCCTCGCACAACAAGATAAATTCGTCTTTGTGGATGGATTGACGCATCTATTCCCTGTCACGACTTCAAATACCGCTACTGCAACCACATCATCGCCGACAGCTTCCCAGACAGCACAGAGAAGCCTACCCGTCAGAAATGCCCCTGCTTCACCGTTACCGAGCAGGGGAGGGCCACTGCCATCTCGAGGCCCCATACCCTCCCGCGGTCCCCTAGCACCTACTCCGTCGCAACCACAAGCACAAGTCCAACAACAACCACAGCAACAACCCGCCCAACCCTCAAAAACAACCCACCTCACCGACGCCTCAATACTCTCAACCCACAAAACCCTCAGCGACAAACTTTCCTCCATCTCCACCGCACACCCAACCCGCAAAATTCACTTGATACTCGACGCACCAACTCTCCTCCTCTCCACCTCTCCTACCCCTTCAGCCTCGGCATTGTCTTCTCTGCTACTCTCCCTACGCAGTCTAGTATCTACAACAACATTGGTGTTAGAAGCCGACTCTCCTTTCCTGTCCGCTGCCCTCGCAGATACAAATCACAATCCTACACCTTTGGAGGCAGCACATGCGGCTTTTGTGGTTCAGCAAGCGCATATCAGTAAATGGGTCTTGAGTTTGCGGCCATTGGACACTGGAAAAGCTAGAGATGTCAGTGGTGTGATAAGAGTCAGTAGGGGTGGTGCTTGGGATGATGATGTCGAAGAAGATGATGAGAAGGATCAGAGGAAAGAGTTGGAAGCTCTCTACTTTGTGCAAAATGATGGTGGAGTCAGGGTGTTTGAGAGGGGCGAGGCTAGTGTTGGTTGAAGAAGTCATAAAGAAGAAAGATTGTTGTCTCTACTAATCTACAATTGCCTCAATCTCTAGGTTGTCATGGCCATCAGGCGATCGAATGCACTCTCGGTCTCCTCTGCTTCTTGCTCTTCCACTTCTTCCTTTGCGCCCTCCTTTGCTCCTTCGTCCTCTACTCTCTCTTCTTCCTCCTCTACTCTCTCTTCTTCCTTTGCTCCTCCCTCTACTTCTTCCTCAGCAGCTTCCTCAGTGGTTTCTTCCTCCTCAGGCTCCTCGATTTCTCCTTCCAGCTCCAATGTCTGCTCTTCAAATTCCTGGACTGTGATGACATCGAAAGCTGTCTTTCGCACGTGGTCACCCACAGCATCCTCAGGCTTCCACTCGGCAAGAGGCTCAAGCTTGATGCTATGCAGCTCGGCCTTGTAACCGGACTTGACAACCGGATGGCGCCTGATGTCACCATTGGTAGCAAGTGCTGCTCGCAATGCTGAAGGACTGGACTGCCCGGTGGCAATCTTGCCAAGCTCTCTGCTGAACAGCCAGGGATACGTGATGAGAGGAGCATTCTTTGGGTCTTCGTTAAACGACACCAATTTGCTTTCCTTCCACTGCGTCACCTCTTGTTCGGTGACGGTGTACATGGCGGCCACGAAAGGTCCAAGGATGTCCAGCGCCTTTTCAGAAACCATGTAACCAGAATCGGCGAGTCCCAGATACTCTCTGACTTGAGCCTGGTAGTCTGTCTTGATGCTGCTCATCACGTTTCCAAGATCCTCTGCCAATGAGTACCAGTACTGCTCTCTGTTGTGGTGCATGACGAAGGCTGTCCAGACCTCAAATTCGGTCTTGATGTTGTGTTGCACCATGATACGATGCATCTGCTGGTCGTATCCAACCTTGAACTCTCTAGCCTTCTCCAGATGCGAATTGGTCAAGACATATGCATCGAGGATACGCCTATCGAACGGCTTCTCGAGCCGAGGAACGAACGGTTGGGGCTGCACCATATCGAAAAGTACTCCGAGCACCTCTCTGGAGACATACTGTCTCGACGTGACCTTTCCTGGCATCCAATGAGGCCACTTTTTCGGCCAGAGATCTCCATCCACCTTGGCGGGAACACCTGTCTTGTTGAAGTCGACAGCTTCTGAGTGGAGTTGAGCTAGTCTCTTGCATTTCTCGTGTGCAACTCCTTTGTTTGAGCCTTCAAAGTCAGCTATAGCACGGTGACTGTTGGCAATTGCGCCAAGTTTGTCGTTCTTGATGTAGTCGACAAAGAACTTGACGAAATGCTCGTCCTGTACAGGGCCAACACACATGACAGGTGTGGGTAGATCGTAGTTCATGGGCTCGCAGTCCCACTGCTTCATCGGTGGCAGTAAGTCGTCGTCCCACATGACGAGGTAATCGTCACCGTCCAAATCTCCACCGGCGCACATATTGGCAAGCGGTCGTTCTCCTTGTTGCGGCAGGATAACAATGTTCTTGAGATGTTTCAGAGCTTCACACTGCACAGCTCTGACGACACGAATATCGCCAGGATGTAGCGATGGATTACGTGCAAGAAGGCACACGCCTTGGGCAGTCTTCCACTCACCCTCATTCTCTCCGGGCACTTGAATGAAGATCTCAGGGAGCTCGCCTGGATCCATCTTAAGAGTGTTCGTCTCATCGACGCCTCCAAGAACGAAAGCACCCTTTTCGATGAACAGCTTGGCCTTTTCCTTGAGGTGTTTCAAATTCCAGGTACGCCAAAGCTGCAGAAGGATCTGGCACATCGGCTCTTCGGAGTGCATAAAACCATCAAGTATCATGCCTGACATCGTCAAGGTTATCTGATTGAAATCGACGTTCTTTTGCAACATGTTCAGAGCCATAGCCTCATCGCTCATTGCGAGATTGATGTCATGGAGTTCCTTTGTCATTTTGTGAATGAAAACTTGCTTTGGAACCCCACGGGCAGTGAGAACGAGAATGATCTGCTGATTGAGGGTCGAGGCAGAGAACTTCGAAGGTTTAATGATCTCTAGTTTGTCGACACCTGCTGCATCGAACTTGCGCTGGCTAGGTCTGACATGGACCGTCTTACCTTTCAGAGCAGGATCCACCACAAGAATGCCTTTGTAGCCGCGCATGCGGAATTGGAAGGCAGACGGGTAGTCATGAGGATCAGAATTGGCGTACAACTCGTTGGCAACCATTCGAGCAACGAAAGGAGATACTTTGCCGACACCGTCCGTGAAACAGTAGCCGTTCCTCTCAACATCTTTGATCAACGTAGTGCCGATCTCGCCGATACTGGAAGAGGCTCTGGTCGTAGAGAAACATTGACCAATGCGGGCCATGCACTTCGCGACGACATTAATACTGGAGAAGTCTCCTAGAGCCATGCGAATTTGGCGGGCAGTCTTCTCTTCACTGTAGGGTGCAAAGAAGTAGGCACCTCTCTCGCGGAACTGAGAGTTTCCACATGCAAGCCAGTCGTAGTGACGGCCAGCGATGTCGATGCCATGACGAAGGCAGCGCTCAATACGAGCCCACACCTCGTGCTGGTTCTCGTATTGTGCCATAGGCATAATGCGTCCGAATGGGTCCTCGTCTTCGAATTTGACGCGCAAGAAGTTTCCAGCAGCATAGAAGTTCTCCCGGATGACACGATTTGACACTTCTACTGATGGCGTCTTGACGTAGAACGTGGTAGGAGTGATGACGGCACTTCTCATCAATACACAGCCTTTGGGGATACGACGTTTTCGCGGATGGCGAAGTTGATAAGTATCGAAGATCTCCATAGGGTCGAAGAAGGTTTGCTTTGAGTCTGCAACATCTTCGAGAAGGACAAGAGCTGGGGATATGATTGAGGGGTTGCTGGGATCGCGAACAAAATCTCTGTCCAAAGCACTAAGCTCGAAGAGAAACTCTCGGCTCAAGGTGTGTTCATTGATATTGTTATTGGAGATGCAGACCTCGAGCTGATAGCGAATGTCTTGACCAAGGTGCATCATCTCGTCTTGCATCTCATGAAGATCTGATTCATAAGAGGCTTGATGTGGATCGAGTAAGTCCCAAACGACTGGGTCTTCTCGCGGAATAGTGTCGAAATCAGCAGAGCTGCACTTCTGCACAGTCGCGTTGTGGGCTTCCAAAACCTCAACGATTGTGTTGTAAGCATGATCATCCACCTCGGCCGGAAACTTTAGCTTCCATGTCAGCCAGCGACCTGTGTCAACCACCGGGCTGGGAGGCAAGAATGCCACTGGACTGAAATCTCGCTCTTCCGGATTCAGATCGATGTCTGTGACACGACGCCAACCTCTAGGCCAGTCTTGGTAGTTCTGAGGTTCCGGGTCGCCTTCGTGAATCTCATCAACAAGGCCCTTTCCTACACTCTGCCACCACTTTGGAGGAAACTGAGAGGTAATGACGATCTCCTTATGGCCGTCATCGTATCGGATCTGCTTGATCTCAAAGGGTGTGCTGAGGCGAAGTTCAGCGCGGTACCAGGGTGCATCGGTCTCGGTTTTGAGGAAGAAGCGGAAGTCCAGCGAGTGTCTTGCGTCGGAAGAAAGATCAAGCATGAGCACGGCCGGATGATCAACGGTGTTAGAGACTGTATGCATGACCATCATACGGCGCTCATCAGTCATCACCCCAAACTCGATCTGGTCCACTGGAAGTGTGATCTTGTTTGGGATAATGTTCGCCGGGTTTGCTGGTGATTCGATCCTTCCAAAGTTGTATGGATAAGCGCGAAAGATCTTCCATCCTTCCGGCAATCGGGGTTTCGTGGGTTCCAGAAAGAGACCAGGGCGAGCGAACGAGAGAAGAGCTGAGGCTCTCTGTCCGCCACGGCAGTTGATGCGAGACACATGACCGTATGTGAGGAGTATGCAGTGGACACTTTCGGCATTGTTATCAACTGTTGGAATGCCATCTATCTCGATCCAGGTCGGTTCANNCCAATCTTGGGGACGTGGATCTCCTTCTTCTGGTCGTTCTTGGGCATGGCTGCCTGTGGCAAGGAACGCTGACGATGGTTGTACGGCATGTTTCTCTGTAGAAGAGACTGCTGTCGATTGGTGCTAGGCTTGAACTTCTGCTGCGGCGAACGCTGCTGACGATTGGTGACAGAGGAAAGAGGCCGTTGACGAGCAGACTGTACAGACGCAGGCGGACGATGAGGCGTAGGAGCAGGAGCACGAGCAAGGAGTGAGCGATGAGGGCCCTGTTTGCGCAGACGCTCCTTGTCAGATTGATGGTTCTCCATGGTTGTGAGGATGAATAGTAGAGGCCGAGGTTCTGAGTGATACTAATGTGGATTTGGAGCCGTGTGCTGGAACGGAGGAGCGAGGAATGGAGACCAACATCAACCAGTTCTGACGAGTGCTCACCAGTGAGGGAAAGTGCAATGAAGCTCAGCACATCCACCTAAGAAAGGAAGCCGGCAAAGCGCAAACACAGCACAAACGGAGAAGAAGCAGAAGTCGACAACTTCACATAAGTGAAAACAGGTCTGCCTACTTCACCGCATGGTCCACGGCTTAGCATTGCTGCACGCTCAATGTGCCAGAAAAAGCGGTATCTCAAGTGGTGTTTGTAACATCCAGATTGCATCCTAACTTCTGGATGTCTGTTTGCGTTTGCCGCCAGCGAATACCAACCTGCATGCCAGCTGTTATGCAGTCATAATTTTTGCCATCATCACTTGGATAGTCATTGGCATTGATCACCCGAGAGTTCGATGGGAAACTTGTGTTTTGAGGCGCCTGTCTGCACATGTTTGCTGGTGCTTGCAGCTGTGTTTTGGTCAACAGAGCGAGGAAGAAAACAAATGTCCCACCGGTCGATCTCCTTCCTGCATGGGATTATGCATCGCGCCATGTACGCATCCTCGCTTGGCAGCACTCATATCGAAAGAGCACATGTCACTTTTCGAAAGTCTCGTACAATTGAGGAATCGAAGCACAGAGGAATAAAATCCCGCAGGGTTGTCCAGAACTCATGAGCAGTGATCATGCCCTAACTAAACATCTGTGGTACTTGCATCCAAAACATCCTCTCCCTTATCACCCAAACCAACACCTGGCGTGCCTGTCATTATATGGTCTGCAGAAAATGACCAATCTTCTAGCTCCCGTCTCTCGGCAGTGTTGATTCCGAATCCATGGTTCTGGAGATCATGAAATGCGACTTTGCTCGGCGATCTTGCTCGTACAGGCGAACGATTGGTCGGCATATCCTGCAGAGGCTGTCTCTTGATAGCACTCTTTGTTCGCATCATAGCTCTTGCAGACCTCGGCACCATGCTTGTTCTCTTCTCTTGTGTACTCGCTGGCCTCAGTGATGGTCGGGACCTTGCACGCTTTGGAGTAGGTCCATTATCTGCCGAGGCGTCAGACATGAACGTACTATTTGGTTCTTCGTCTTCATGCTGATCGTCAGAATGCTGTGCACCAGCTGCGGGTGTGAAAGGAATTTGTGATGGCAACCCGGTCCGTGGCGTGGACGAGTTGGTAGAGGCAGACCGCACGGGCAGTACTGACGACCTTATCACAGGCTCCTGAGGTGGAGCCATCATGCCAGTAAGTCCCATGGCGTTCATCAGTCGGTTCCTCATTTCCTGCGCCTCAAGAACTTGAGCATCCTTCTTCGTGCAGTCCTTTGTCAAGCGCTCGATACGCTTACGAAGGTCGGCAGTCTTTGCTTGTTTGCTTCGTGTTGTTGCTGGAAGCCATCTTCTGCCTCGGCAAGATCTTGTCGAGCTTCTTCCAATNTGCTCCTCGAGATGGCTCTTGATGCTCATCCATTCTTGCTTTGCTCTTGACATAGCATCCTCAAACGCCGTGGCGGTCTTTCTGGCTTCATCCTCCGAGTTTTGTTTGGTGGCTCGGATTTCGGTGAGAAGATTCTCATGTTGCACCTGACGTCCATTGATGTCTTGTTGGAGCCTGAGAATATCTTGTTCAAGCAGACTGTGACCTTCAAGCAAGGTTGCTCGTTCTTCCTCGATCTGCGAGATGCGCTCTTGGCTCTCCAAAAGCTGTTGCTCAACATGCTCCTTCTCAAGTTGCAACTTCTCGTATTCAGTGTTATTGTGCCTTCTCAAGTCCATCGTGTTGCTCAATTCGGAGCGTAGATGCTCGGTATCTAATCTGGCCTGGTGAAGTTCTTCACGTACTTGCTCGAAAGCCTCCTGCTTGCAGGCAATATTGGTAGCATGCTGTACTTCCAGGTCTTGCCTCTCCTGCTTGAGCTGATCAATATCTCGCTGAGCATTGTGGTTGGCCTCTTGAAGCTCCCGGGTAATTGTGTCAATTCGCTGCATCAGATCTCGTGCTTCCTGAGAAGAAGCTGCAAGATCGTTCTCGTGACGGTCGTTTTCCGCTTCGAGGGCGTTGATGCGTAGGTCTCTATCCATAACTTGACCCTCCAGCTCTCCATAAGCTTTGTTCAGGTCTGCATATCGTTTCTCGAGATCTGTGGACTTTTGACGCTCCAACCTCAACGGCTCTTCAACACTCTCGCATCGCGCTTCCAGGTCGTGACAGATTTTGATGAAAGATGCTACCAGAGACGTTTCTTGATACTTTGCGTGTGTCTGCATCACTGCACCCAAACGCTCCTTCCAATGCAGACTTGCATCCTGAGATTCGGGNGTGGCTTCGATTTCCACAAATGGCGTTGGACGTTGTGGTGCTTTCAGTCTTGTTTGAACACAGATAGGACAGATTGATTTGCTTGACTCAACAATTGCATGATGTCTAAGAATCTCAGGCAACATTCGACGTATCGAGGAAGTCTCCTCTTGTGGAGCAGCAAGAGCCGCACGAAGCAACAGAGAGCAAAGCGAAGACTTCAACTTGTTCCTCAAGGATGTGTAAGAAGCGACGCAGAACCTGTTTGTGCTGTGTCCTGCATCAATTTCAGGTAAGGTCTCCAGGTCAGCGAAGAAGTACTCTAGCTTCTGACGATTGTGACCAGAATGCAGAGTTGCAAGTATACCACGGCGACAAGACTCGTTGTCTTCGACCATATCAGCAATATAACCAAGGAACAATATATAGCTATCGGCCGAGTCGAACAAGACAGTTGGCGGCGAGTCTGTCAACAAACTCATGACTTTGTCTAGAAGTTCTCCCCACCATTCAGGCTTGAACTTTAAGGACAAGCGGCAAAGTGATAGGTGGAGGGAAAGGTCCAGATATTCGTGTTTGAGAAAGGCAGCGCTCAACTCCAGCAGCGATCTCTCATAGAAAAGCGTTGCTTGGGACGGCAGCATGACCTTGTCAGACAGAGAGCTTAGGAAAGTGAGAACCTGGAAACGGAGAGCAGGGAGCATGTCGGGCACAAGGCACTTTTCTTGCAACTTGCGCACGATGACTGCGTTCTTGTGAGACCATTCGATGACTGCTGATTGAGACACTCCAGCTAGGATCTGGTTGACAAGAGTGACACTAGTAAGGCCTTGTCCAATTGGATCCGCTGATTCTGGTCTGCATGCCCAAATGACTCGCAATACCAGCAGTTGCATGGTCTTGTGGGTTTTGTTGCCGTGGAAAAATTGCTTGATGGCGTCAGGTGTCCACTGTGAGTTGGAGGGATCGACAGAGTGGTCAAAGGTAGGCCACATGGCATCATTGCCAATCTCAGTCTGGAACTTCTCGAGAATCATTCTCATGATAGCAAGACAGTACATGCCCAGAGACTGATCCTCAACACCAGAAGAGCTTTTGAGAATCGAGAAGATATACTCCTCCAGGTGAGCCAGAACACCCGGGGAAAGAACTCCGAGGATGGGTTTGCAGGCTCCATAAACCAGTCGATGTATCTGCTGGACAGTCACGGCGTTGGGCTGTGTAGCAGCACGGTCGAACAACTGAAGCAGAAAGTTCTGAGCAGTCGCTGGAAGAGCCACATCGGAAGGTAGAGGGTGAGATAAAAGGGCTACGGCAGCATCCACATACTGTCTTCGAATTAGCCGAGGCAGCAAAAATCGTACTTTATGTTATGTCCTTACCTTTCTGCTTTCAACTCGAGACTCCAAAGCATGGGTTAGAAGACGAGGCAGCAGTGACGGCTCTCTTTTCACAAGCGAATTTCTGACATCGATAGCACAAGACAGGCGCGTGATGATTTCTAAGACATATGGCCATTGTGGTAGAGCATCTATAAGAGCCTGACTCAAGGAAGAGATTCGACAGTGATAACAAGAGGCCCAGAGGCATATGTTTGCCTCGGATGTCTGAGAAACGATATCATGTAGAGACNNTAGAGCGAGGGACGGTCATCAGTATTATGTCGTAGCAAAGATGGTGGCGGCAGTATGACCAACCTTTAGCTGGGTAGGATACGGAGTAAAGACGACTCGATCGACCTCTACGGCGAGGACATGCATATTCTACGGCGTTTGGTGGAGTCGCATACTCGACTAGATGATGCATGCACTCTATTCGAGAAGTAAAAACAAACACGGTGGTGGTTGACGCGCATCAGACGAGACTCGACATTCCACGCTGTCACATGACCAATTTCGGCATTGTGTGAGCTTGACCCGAGCAGATTCCCAGCTCTCTCCCAAGGCTAACAACTCCTTCAACTACCTATCCGATGGCACAATTCACATACAACAGTTGATGGTCTCAACTCGAGATCACCGTATCCGTACTGCAAGAATGGCGTGTCCAGCGCAGCAAAGCATGATGCCGCCGACAGGTAGGACAACCCGCATGAAATGGCGAGAGTGGGGATGATGTGGTGGAGAAGCGGGGCAAGTGATCGATTCAGGGTCGACAAAGTGCCATTGACAAGAGCCGGCCATTGACAACCTAGACAATACAAGACGCTGTCGTCTTCTCTTCTGAAGTCTGGTTTCCTGCTGTCTTTCTCTTGTCCAAACCAATATACAACCATGGCACAGCAAACTGGCCCGTCGGGCGAATACCGCAAGCACCTCCCGGATCTCAATGTGCCGCGCTTCCAAACGATGAAGCAGCAAGATGCACACGAGTATGCTCATGAATTCAAAACCAAGCACAACCCACCATGGCTCCATGCCTTATACATGTACTGGCGTTCGCTGCTCGCCGAGCCATTCAAGGGTGTCACTAGCGATGGTGAGTAATTCTGAGTCTTGAACAACACCTCGGCTGACACATATTCGCAGNGCATTGTTCGCGAAGACCTCTTCAAATACGAAGACGAAGGCGTCGATATTGACAGCATCGTCAACGCCGTCCAATCCCTCCTCTCCCAAGTGACCGACGAGCAAAAACAAGTCCTCAGCTACCACATCGACAGCCCAGAATGGCGAACATGGTCCAACCCCGAATTCCTTCTCGCGCACAAAGGTCTCCGCCTCGACGAACAAACAGAACAGGTCCGAAGCTCTATCCTCGCAGTCCTGAAAGCCACTATGTCACCCGAGGGCTACGAAAAAGCAATCTCAGCCATGCGCATCAATGGCTTCCTGGGCGAACTCGTCCAAGGCACAAAAGTCATGAATGAATTCAGTTACAACTTCGTCCTCTTCGGCGAGCCTTCATCTACAGAACCTTGGGGCTGGTCCTTCTACGGCCATCACCTCTGTCTAAACATCTTCCTTTTCAAGCGTCAAATCGTCATTTCTCCCTGGTTCACAGGCGCCGAGCCCAACGAGATCGACTCTGGCCCCTACAAGGGCACCCGAATCCTGACTCGCGAGGAGGAACTCGGCCTCCAACTCATGCAATCACTCTCCCCAGACCTGCAGCAAAAGACTCAAATCTATAAGTTGATGAAAGACCCCGCAATGCCAGAGGGTCGCTGGAACAGAGACGACCAACGCCATCTTTGCGGCGCATACCGTGATAACCGTATCGTGCCCTACGAAGGCATTACCCTCAGAGACATGACCTCCGACCAACAAACGCTCGTCTCAAACATCATCGAAGAATACTTCCTCTACCTGCCCACCTCCTCCCGAGCAAAGAAACTCGCACACGCCATGTCCTTTGCAGACGAAACTTACTTCAGCTGGATTGGTGGCTTTGGCGCTGAAGACCCGTTCTACTATCGCATTCAATCGCCAGTGGTGATTATAGAATTCGATCACCATTCAGGAGTGTTCTTGAATAATGAGCAGCCGGCTAAGTTCCATATCCATACGCTTTTGCGGACGCCTAATGCCGGTGATTATGGTGTTGCGTTGAGAAAGTGTATTCCGGCTAAAGAGCAGTTCTTCACTTGGGAGCCCGAGGATGCGAGTAAGGGACCTGGTAACCATGCCAGTCGTTTGGATTAGATGTACACGTGTGTAGACATTGAATAGATTGAGAATATTGGACAATGTAGAGATACACTCAGACATCTGTTTAGCCTTTTGTTAGCACATAGCACGCTCCTTGGTCAATCTATAGACCGCAGAATCGAACATTTCTTCTCCAGTGCCCAGCCCTAGCCAGCAACACCAATGAAGAAAAAGATTTGGGAGAGAAATAGGCAAGGTAGGGCGGAAGAGAGAGGTGGATAGGTGAAAAAGAGAAGAAGGAGCGAGAGGGCGAAGGGGTTCTTATAGCAGAGCACGACGCAGCTTTCCCGCTTAGTAAAGAAACATGCTCAAATTGTTGCCTCGACACAAAGACTCCCCGGCAAGACACGTGGGCAAGAACAGATGATTGGCAAAGCACAAACGTGAAGCAGACACTCGAAATGGAATATCGTATGTGTGAATAAGGGTGCATACTGGCTAAGAGGATATAAAGGGACGTTGGGTATCAAAAGTGGGAAGAAGACGCAAAATCAGAGCAAAGTAAAACGGCAACCAAAGCGAAGAAAACAAATCGTGAAAATCGTCATGAAACTTTCCTCCCAAAACTCTTGCATCATGTCGCCCAAGGAAAATCTTCTTCCATTACCTTCGTGCAAGTCAGATAACCCAGCCCAGCTGGCGGCGCTGTAGTACCACTTCTCCCTGATGTTGACGGGGCAGCCAGACTGCCCAAGTCAAGCTCAAGAAAATTGCGAGTCAGAGGTTTGACAGCATCTCTAGCAAGATTCTTGAGCTCGTCGACTCTTCTCTCGAAGCGCTTGAGATTGTCGCGAGAGTATATTTCTGGTGTGAGCTTTAGGAAGCGTTTGCACTCGTCATGATTTAGGTAGGCGTCCTTGTTTGTGCTGCCCATTAGTCGGTATATGCGACCGAAACCCTGGGCTGGCAAGGGCGATTGTTGAGATGCTGAAGGTCTTGATGGGACTAGGGCGCCTGAACTGCTCTCTCGGCCTGACCGCCCAGACACAGATGCCGAGGCAGAAGCGGCATCTGAAGATGAAGGCCGCGAGGAGTTCTTGAGGATTGACACAGGAGCTGGTGTGGTGTTCTCAGCCAGCCACTGGCGGAAGAGACTCATGGCCATCCAGTCGAGGTAGCCATTCGAAGGATTGACGCGCTCGCCTCGACTGGTGGTCAGAGTCAATCTGAATAGGCGAACCTCAATGCGCAACTTCATGTCTTCCAGCTCTTGAACTTTGTCCTCGATGATATCGAGAACGAGAGGATCAACATGATTGACAAGCTGGGGTTGTGCTTGTGGCCACTGGCCTACAATATGGATCAAAGCTTCTGTGTAGATGACTCTAGATCGTGCCAGGCAAGCTAGTTTGAGATATGATGGAGGATAACGAGCGATCTGCTTGAACAGTCGTCCTTGGAAGCCTAATAGATGGTGATCGACGCGAGAGCCTACGATGTCGAGGGCATCGTACATCTGGGCTAGCTGTAATAAGGTCTTAGACTCGGTGTATGCATCAGCAATATTCACATTGCTGAGTGAGGGGGGGTAGTTGTAGAAGATGCGGAAAAGGTTATCGTAATCTCGCAGGATTTCATCGTCCGGGCCTAGAGATGCAGCGGGTTGAGGGTTCAAGGACAAAGCAGACAGATTTGACATGGAACGNAAAGAAGGCAGAGGACGAGGCAGGCGGCTTGTTACGCGAAACTGGCGGCGGACTCTGACCTGGGGGCGTTGTACTAGTCGTGGTATGTCGTTGTCTCTTGTGTGGTGCCAATCGAGGACGTAATTCCAGCGACGCGGGTCAATCGAGTCCAGACTGCTCCTGCTGGAGTTTGTTTCGCCGATGCGTGAAAGTGAGGCTGGGTTGGGAGCAGGTAGAGCATTGTGTATGGGTGGACGCTTGGTGTCGATGGCGAAGAAGGACGAGCATTGGCTGAGGATGATGCTGTGCAAGAGGTAGCGCTGCTCTTTGCGAGCACTCGCCGAGGAAATGATGATGTCGACATCTCCAGTCTGGGCAAAGACGGGGAACTCGTTCAGCGGCGACGCTGGCGAAGTTGTGTGCTGAGATCGCGATGGACGGTGGCGCCTTGTTGTCGAGGCTCTGCTTGTGGCCGAGGGAGGGCGTCGCGGAGTGTGTAGCACCTGCTGAGGTGGCTCAATGTGCGACACCATGGCGGGAGAGTGTTTGTTTGTCAAGCGTCATGGAAAGCGGGTATATAGCAGATTCCACTTATCCAAGCTGTCTCTGACTATTGCGACAGGATCTAGTCGAGTATTCACAGCCGGGGCGCAGTCCAGCCATTCGACTAATCACATGCCCCAGCCATGTCTGTGTAGCACCAAAGACCGAACCAACCTTGTATTGTCTTAAGCGTACCTACCTGACTTGAATTAAGAAACATGTCTTCTCGCAGGATTTCATGTCAGGAGAGGGAGGAGTAAAGACAGAGGGAAAGTGGCATGACGCGTTGGTCTTTCTTTTGACGTGAAACGGGCGCGGCGTCAGTTTTGTCAGAGCTGCCTCTCGCAAAGCTTCAATCAATGAATCTTTCACGATTGTCAACATCAAGTCGCAGCCGTGCTGTCGGCAGACTCGTCCATGTCTCGAATCGCTCCTATACCCGCCCCTCGATAGCGCCCAAGCCGACCGTCGACATTAGACACATCCGCAATGCGCCTGGCCTCTACGAGCAAAACTGCATAGCCCGCAACTACAAGCAGCAGTCANAAAACTCATGGCGCATCCTTGAGCTGCACGACAAGCTGCAACTGCAGCAGCGACACTCGAGAAACTTACGCGAACGCAACAATGCCTTGAAACGCCAACTGGCAAACCCGGCCACAAGGCAGGACCCCGATCTGCTGGAACAAGCAAAGCAGCTGAAGACTGAGCTCGCTGAGATCGATGCCCAAGACAAAGCGATGAATGATGAGATGGAAGAGCTGGCACTTGCACTACCCAACCTGAGCAGTCTAGACACTCCCGAAGGCGACGTACCAGCCGTCAAGGAGTACATCAATGAGCACCCCGATCGCAATCCTTCACCCTCGGATCGTGTCTGGCGCAATCACGTCCACGTTGGCTCAGAGCTCGATATGCTGGACTTCACTGCTTCGGCCACCACTTCAGGCTGGGGCTGGTACTTTCTCAAGAACGAAGCTGCTCTGCTCGAACAAGCTCTCATTCAGTACGCTCTCACCATCGCAATGAAGCGCGGTTGGAAAGTCGTCTCACCTCCTTCGATCGTCTACTCGCACATTGCCCATGCTTGCGGTTTCCAACCTCGTGACCAAAACGACGAACAACAAATCTACGCTATCACCCAGCCAGAGAAAGACAAGAACAAGCCTACGCTATGCCTAGCAGGAACCGCCGAGATCCCCTTCGCGGGCATGAAAGCGAACACTGTCATCGAAGAGGCAGACCTCCCGCTGAAGATCATCGGTGCTTCTCGCTGCTACAGAGCTGAAGCTGGTGCTAGAGGCATTGATACGAAAGGTCTATACCGCGTTCACGAATTCACAAAGGTCGAAATGTTCGCCTGGACAATGCCTGACAACGTAGGTGACGACCACTTCTCCGAGCCCACTCCTTCACCTTCAGCTGCTTTGTTCGACGAGATGGTCGCCATCCAAAAAGAGATCCTACAGAATCTAGGTCTACATTGTCGTGTGCTGGAAATGCCCACCACCGAACTAGGCGCTTCAGCAACCCGCAAGTTAGATATTGAAGCCTTCTTCCCCTCGCGCAGAGAAAAGGACGAGGGTTGGGGCGAAGTCACATCCGCATCCATCTGCACAGACTACCAGACCAGACGTCTAGCCACCCGCGTCAAGACTGAAAAGTTCGGACGAAAGCATGAGTGGCCGCACACCGTCAACGGCACTGCCCTCGCGGTACCCAGAGTTCTGGCCGCTATCATGGAAGCTGGATGGCAGGAAAGCAGCAAGAGTATGCTCATCCCCGAGGTATTGAGACCGTTCATGGGTGGACTGGAGAGAATCGAGAGGAGTAATCGCATCAGCATTCAGTAGAAGGGCTACTTCTTTTCTTGACCTCAATTTTACTATATTACATCTTTCAGGGCTTCTACACTTGCCTTTCGATCGTCAGACGGCAGTAGATATGCCGTAACCTTGATCAGTGCCCTTTCTGTACTCTTCTCCTGGCACTACAGAGATCTCGGAGCATAAGGTATGATGAACCTTGTCTGGCCCACTCAATCGTAATAGTACCATAATAGTACAGCCAGTCACATCAGTGTGACAAAGACGAAGCGTAGACCGAGTACTGTAGTTTGTAGTGCGTGTAGTCAAAAGCATAATCCACATGCAGTGACCTCGACGGCATCACGGCCCGCAATCCCGACGCAGGACATACCACGACATTACTGATCCATGAAAGACAACGCCGACAAACAAGTGGAGCAAACCCCCAAACACGACATTGGACTTGCAAGGATCGAAAACTCTCGACAACAATACTGACCCAAGAGCAACACAAAAGGTTGACCGGAAGGAGTATGCCGCTGAGATGTGCGAGCAAAAGGTTTGTGTTACCAGCAGTGTGGTTCGTCGCACATCCGTTTCGGAAGAAAATCGATTTGGTGCGATCCCGAATATCTGGCAAAAGGTTTGAGCAGCTGCACAAATGTGGCGCGGAAAAGAAAGGGTTCGAATATCCGATACCGCACATGATCAACCAGATAATCACAGCGCTGAGAAGTGAGTAGGCGCTGGAAGCAAATGCACATGTTAAAAAAAAGTAAGACGAGAGCAAGAAAGAGGGTACCTGAGGATGAATGCATTCAACTACGGCTATACGCATCCGTATCTGAGCGGTTAGGCACCACGGCATGCCTACAAAACATGCGATCCAGCTGATCGCTACTCTAAGACAAACAAAACTTAGGGTGGAGGGAATAACAATGAGCACTCTCTTTCCAGAAGGCCGGGTCGCGGACTCATGCATACTCCTCTTCGTTGCAGTAAGCCAACATGCGCTGGGTCGGCGGCCCGGTGATAGACATGGCCAATATCAGCGACACCAGCGATCCGGATGGACACGCGGACAACTGCCCGATGTCCTGGACTGGTAGGGAATTTTGGGAAACAATATCGAGTAAAACAAAGTCATACTTTGTTGTCCACGTCAGGTCCCGTAACATTGTCTTGTCGTGCGTCCGGATGTCTGTCTTGGGTAATCTGTTGATCTGCTGATGATGTTGTAGCTGATGATGCATGTCCTAAAAATGCATCATCCAACAATGCCTTACTCTCTTGGTCAATAGTTCGGTCTTTGCAAGGCGACATAGTCCTGACTGACCGGTATCTCAGACCGCTCCTTCTACACCGACTACAGCCAAGGCATACAAGCCTCGTGTTGCAACTCATCCAGTCTTCCATCGTCACGCTGCTGCATCATGCTGAAGTCTCGCAACGTCTCAGCACCGACGCTACGTTTGTTTTGAATGGCTTTGAGGCGAATCTCGTTGACGCGAGTGTCCGCCGCGGCCATCCGGTCCACAATGCTCTCCTGTGATCCGCGCTGCTGAAGGGTTTGCTCTTGCTGTAGTACTCCTGATCCGGCACGGCTACTTGCACCGGATGCGCTTGCGACNCCTGACGTGGTCCGGCTGTTGCGTCGCATGTGCCGCCAGATCCGCCGAGCTTCATCTTGTATCACGAGACTGTCCGGCCTCTGTCCGTGTTCAAAGTGGTGTTCATCGGCAGGCATGCCCATGTTTGTATTACCTTCCTCGGGTGTTGGCGTAGAGGGGGCGGTATTGTAAACCTGCAGAGCTTCGGCGTCGGCAAGAGGCAACGTGGTTCGGCGTGTGCTTTTCGGATCTCGATGCTGTGTGGCTGTCCTAGACGACTGTACTACACTCTTAGATTTTTCGGTCAACACTCCTTGTTGGAACTCGAGTTCTTCGCGCAAGCGACGCAAAACTGGTGGCCCGTCGTTGCCGGACCAGAATTTGCCAAACTTCCTGTGCAAGATCCTGATCGCGACATCCGGGGGATAGTTTCTTGCAGCAAACTTGGCCTTCTCTATCTCAATCTCCACGTCATCCCTGTCTTCCTCTTGATGGTCCATGCTCCATTGGCTGTTCCTGTTCGTGCGGATCAACTCACATGCCTGCTCAGTCCGTAGTTCTGTATCCCGAGGAAGGAGAGAATGTCTGTACCGCACATCCGCCTTGAACAACTCACTCCCGACTATTCCGAGTGTCTCGTGAAGCTCACTTAAGAGGCCTTCTAGCGAGGCTGGATCTGCACTTCGTTGAGCCTCGAGCGAAGGTACGCGCACCTTCGCGAATAGAGTGGTACATTGACCTGGATGTAGTGTTGCCTTCCGGGGGNNAGGTGTGAGGAGTTTTTCCACGCGACATGGCTCGGTTGAGTTGATAGACACTCTGACGTGTGAAAGTTCTTGGGCGTGAGATTCTTCACGCGCCGACTGGACAAGAGCTTCTAGGACAGTCTGTTGAGCTTCTTCCCACTCGAAACGCCATCCGCCTGTCCGGACTTGGTCGCGAGGAGATGGTGGTTCGTAGGTATAGCCGACTTGAACTTGGTGGATTGGCCACGACACCAACTCGCGAAGGAGTGATGCACATCTGTGCGGGACTGGAGACAATACAAGCGCATGTGTGACTGTAACGATTGAGTCCTCTACTACCTCGACCACAGACGCTACAGCTTCCTGCATCATGCCAGACACCATTGCGGCCGAGGGCTGTGACATTGCCGTGCCAGAGTCTAGCTTTGCCACTTCGATCAAGAGGGATGATGCATCCGGCCTCTGCAGACGATGAAGCTGACAGCCTGACCTGATATCCGAGCATTGCGATTCGTGGGAGCAGGACGTGCAGAACACTGCCAGACGATCTCGCTGGTCTCGTAGCAAACTGCAAATGTGCCGGGTAAACTCGGATATGCTTTGAAGGGCCAATGGGGAAGCGAATGGNTCTACCCCGCGTTAGTGCCTGACAGTGAGTGAAGATGTGGAGAGCACAAACGAGTTGTCAATGATAACAATAATATTGAGAGGCTTTTGAGTTTTGCCGGAATAATCAGGACATGCCGAGGATCTCATATCGTTTGTACCACTTGTAGATGGTGGATCGCTTGAAACGCTTGCTTCAGCCTTGATCATCGCCCATACCGTCGCCTCGTCGGCTAGGTCTAGAGTTGCCCATGCAGGCGTGACACGAAGCTTGATGTGAAGCATTGATAAGAATTTGCGTGTGCTGTCGAAGTGGAGTGCAGATGATTGAGTGACTCTTTCTGGGCGAGGTGTCTTTTCTGGAGATGGCGAAGGACTTGGCTCTGCCTCTTGTGATGGACTTGGATAACTGCCGTCACTTCCAAGGAGAATGCTTTTGGTCTTGAGGTTAGGCGGAGGCAAGGTAGTGAGTGTCGGGCCAAAGTCTCCTTTAGGTGAGTCCACTGAGACAAGACTCTGGACCGAGTCAAAGGCCACAATATGTGATGCAACTGTATGATCATCTTTCATGTTTTGAGAATTCTCGTCGGCCATAGTCTGTGCAAACCTCTCATGCTCTGAAGCAGTCCGACTGACGGCAACGTCGTTATTATTTCTCAGTGGCACTTTGGAAGAACTTTTGGATCGACTGAGAAGACCCTCCTTGACTTTTGAGACTACTCTCTTACGCACAGACAACTTGCGAGACAGTGAGGGAGCAGATTTTGACTCATTCTTGTCGGACTGAGATGATGTCCGCTTGGTTGGAGATCGTTCGATGACTGTTGTAAGATGGGCGCTGTTAGACTCCCAACTGAAGCGGTTGCTTCTCGATGAAGGTCTGATAGCCTCATCGTGTACGGTGTTCTGAATCTCTCGAAGTATCAGGGCACTAGAATGCTTGCTATGGGCAGAATCAGGCACAGAGTATTCGCCCGTAGAGGCGGCATCGTTGATGAATCCAGTTCGGAGATTTTCACGTGTCTTACGAACCTTCAGAGCCGAGCTTGACGTTTTGTTCGACAAACGTGCTTCAGGAGAGCCGATGATATACCCGGTCTGACCAGAAATACTCGTAGGCGATATATTGGCATGTGACGATTGAGTAATGATTGGAGAAAAGCTGCTCGCAGAAGCTGGAGCCGAGACAAATAGGTGGGCCTGGGGTGGTTGCCATCCATGCAGACCCAAAGCGCCTGGTGCGTGACCATATGCCGTGCTTGATGAGGTTTTACTTCTGCTGTTTTGTGCTGCTCGCAGAGTCTTCGGGTTGGTGTTCTGCGAGCATCATCAGAATGATTTGGTGACACAACCATTGGAGAATCTGAACCTGCCTCCTTATTGGGCATGGCTCATGACTAGAGGGATGCACTCAGCTATCCAATTGGAGCAATGAGAATGTAACAAAGGCTGACAAGTCGACGATAGTCCAGAGTTGGGATGGTTCAGGGATACAAGATCGTTGCAGAACTCCTGACGTGTCATGTGAGAGCCCAGTCAAAGGCAAGTGCGACTGCCATGTGGAACCCGCATTTTGCTCCTCACATAACAAAGCAGCCCGCGTCCTGTCGCTTATTCTCCAAACCAGAACTGATTGATCACGGCCGATAATTCAGAAAGCACAATATCGCAGCGGACAGGAGGATTGGGAACCAAACATTTTCTGAGGTTACCACTTCTACGAGGCTGATCAAGCAGCCAGACTGTCACTGGCTTCATTGTCTTTGCTCCAAGGAACATCAGTCGCGTCTATATCGATATTCAGGAAGTTTATCNNTGAGACACAGACATTAGCTAGCTGTACTTCAGAGCATTCGACAAGGGCATAGCCTACTAGATCGTCATTGGAGCCCGGTCCACCGAATAGGGTGTGCTGTGATACACTCGCTTGAACACCTTTCTTGACTCTCTCTTCCCAGACACCCTCCCAGTTCCATTGGCCGGGTCTTCGAGCACCACCTGGCTGTTGACGTAAGGTGGGGGATGCGGGGCTCTTTCCATCCTCTGGTGTCGCAGAGGGNGGTGTAGCTCCAATGACTCGCGCTCTATGAGATTGCCATGCATGCCATGCACCTGGGTTACCTGCCGCTTCGAGCGGCACTTTGTCGAGCACCTCAGCTGTGTCGAAGGTACTGCGCATGTAGAACAAGATCTGCACAATGGCGAGAGGACCGTACGACGACTGCGAGCGCTCTGACGTCGATGCTATCTCTTCGCTTGAGCCAACCTGAGACGTAGGCTTCGGCTTGTTGCGTCCAAACCACTGAGGAAAGCCGTGCCGCAAGCTGAAGCCACCGGGAGGGAGACGCTCGTCATCGGTGGCATGAACGGTATCAGCGCCTGTGTCGCTCGTGGTGTAGGTGTATGTTGTCAGAGGGGTAACCAAGGGGTGGAAAATGTCGGTCGAGAAGGTGATGGTGGGAAGCTTGTCGGCGGCAAGGAGCAGGGTGAACTTGAGGATTGCGGGTGTATAGGGGCCNTAGAGCGTTTGAGAAGTCATCCAAGCATTCGTCACGGCGACCCTACCTTTGCGGACGAACAGCACACCCTGCCAGACGTGTGGATCGCGCGGCGTGGGCGTGAGGTAGATGCCTTTGGGACAGGCCTGTTTCACACTCGCGCTACACAGAGACTCATGAGCTTCTCGCTGTACACGCGTGTAGGATCGGACAGGCAAGCATACAAGNTCCAGACGCCGTTGTTGTGCCTCGAAGGCCTGTGGCCCTGCGCGAGTGTTGGACTGCGCCAGAGACATTGAACAATAGGTGGTTGTGGGGATGAGAATGAGGGTTGCTGTCTAGACGTCGCCCTTTGCATCGGCCTCCCTCCACAGACGGCGCTTGTTTCCTGCTGGTGACAGGCGCTAACGCGAAACATCCGCTTACACACGACAAGCTCACAAGACAGTGCAGCTCGATAGATCTGTTTCTGCGTGCTTTTCCCCTTCCACATTTACGCACGTAGAACGACACACGTCTCTCAGAACTCACCGTTCCAGTCCGAGCACAAACCATGTTGCAGTGATGGATCTCTGACCTGTCAATTGGGTTCAAGCCGGCGTCTACCGCGCGCGTCTCACAACGCTCCTGCTTTTCCTCGTGAAGCAACGACTTCGACTTTGTTTCTTCGCTTCATGCATGAGCAAGAGCACCGTAATGACCCCTGTTGACCGCAGTCTGATAGGTCACGAGGTCTGATTTGAACAGGCGAGTACCTTAAGCTTGCAATCCAGCTTCTGGCAGCATCTGGATCTTCCCTCTGGCCTGTGATTGCATGGTGCTGCGGCCCGTTCGCCCGTCGAGACAACTCTTGTACATGCGTCGGCGTCGAGACAGCAATGGCCACGATAACTCCTCGTATGCACAATGCCATCTTATGTAGGCTGGCAAGCGGCTGTTATTCAACCAGTAGTGGATAGTCGCATGATTGCTTTGTTTTGTTTGGGAAAACAGCGACTCGTCGACATACACGACATGCTGCAAAAACCCGCTCGCATGCCGCCGCGCCGGCTTGCTGCAGCCCACCCGACCTCCAGGAAGATTGATGCGACAGGGGGCTTCGATGTCTGTTCTCCGAGTAACCTGTACCATGACGTGGTGTCTCCATTTCCCAAGATTCCCCCAAAAGTCAAAATGTCAAAGTCGAAGACGGCGCATCGTAGAGGCGGAAACTAGAGAGCGTCTGGGAACGTGTCGGCGGGCCAAACCTGGCTGGGAGCCTACCGCAGCGTGTCCCTGAACTAGCGTGGGACCTGTCTGAAGTTGATCGAAGAAGGCCCTTGGAAGCTTCTGTCTCTCTACGACTAGCGTCGCGGCCGAGCCATCCCGGAACCCGCTCGCCTGGTTTGCTCCCCTGCCATCAATAGATGAATCAGCTTTAGCAAATATCCCAGATTCACAAAATCTCCCGGCATCTAATGCGTTACATGGACCCTTCTTCTTGCCATCTACAAGATACCATTCCGGTACACCACCAACGACGACCCTCTGCTGCAGCCGGCAGGAGATCTCACCTTTCGGCTACTGACTGCCGCCAGTCGGGCGATATGTTGACAGCTCTCGGCAGTGGTTGGTCGCGCAAACAAGGCGAGTGACCTCTCGAACGCTGTTACACACTGCCTGAGGTGTGTCGGAGTGTGTTGTCCTCCTCACCGCCAGTCAAATGGGTCGCTGACTCTGTAGTCAGGCTACGTGCAGAGCACATCATCTCTTGATGCGCAAATCAATATACTAAAGATATCGGCGACAGTGCCAATATATCGCCCAGTTTCCAGCAAGATAGGTCGAAATCTGGGAGATCATTGAGATATAGGGCTGTAGATTAGGCTCAATAGACCATCGTCGCTAAGCTCTGGGGCCGAATTCCCCGAACCAATGGCGTCCCGCTAACCACGGCCTCGGGCGTGGAGTACAGGTTGGTTTCTGCTCCGCGCTGGTTCCACACAAGGTTTCATGACCAACAGGGGAAGCATGGAACCTTTCGTGCTTCCGCGATCCGCGAAATGTTCGCCATCTTGTCCACGCACACAGGCCAATTCCTTAGGAATGCACTTCACCGACTGCAACGGCGACCCGCTCTTGCTAGACCTGCCTGTCAGCGGCAAAGTGACGATGGATAATGTTAATAATCTTTTCGCCCTGTCTTCTTCCTCTTGTTCCATCAAACGCGCCACCTGACTTGTCCCTCTTCACCGTCTCTTGAGTGGTACCACCATTCGTGCTGCACGCATCCGCCGGTCTTTGCTTCTGAGTCCCATTACGTTCGCAGCATCTACCCGGATCCGCGGTTCTTGCGTTCCACCACCCGAACAAGACATTTTCATCATTGCATTGTCAGCCGCTCCAAGACAGTTTACCGGGATTCGATTTGTTCATAAAGGGCTTGCCCTTGCCAGGACTTGAAACAGTTGTGCTCTCTTGTTCCCCTTAGCTCGTACAAAGGAATTGGAATCCCTCACCGTCTGTCCTGTCCCACACCTATCCGCATCATGTCGCCCTCACATGCACAACATCGTCGAGTGCAACAGCAATCGAGTGCCTTTCCTACTCGACAATTGTTTGTGCTAGGTATGCCTCGACGTCTACTCTGTTTTATATATCCAGATGGCTAACAAAAATTGAAGNCGTTGTGCCGTATATGCGAGCCAATTGCATTCATGTCAATCTTTCCCTATGTCTATTACATGATCTCTTCTTTCCACATCACCAATGACGAGAAGCAAATTGCTCTATATGCTGGCATGGTCACATCTGCGTTTGCCTTTGCCGAGTTCTCGACAGGAGTCATGTGGGGTAGATTGAGCGACAAGGTTGGACGCAAACCAATTCTCCTTATGGGATTGGCAGGAACCGGCATCAGTATGATTGTCTTTGGGTTCTCTCCCAACCTGACCACGGCTCTTATTGCTCGTGCTTTGGGAGGTCTTCTCAATGGGTAAGTCGAGCAACGATTGATCTTACCCTCATTCTGACAAGCACTAGAANACATTGGTGTCTTGCAAACAACCGTCGCGGAGGTAGTCACTGTCGAAGCACATCAAGGTCAGCAAAGCTCCTCGTGTCTCTCTGCAACCAAATACTGACAAGATATAGCACGTGCATATTCGATCATGCCCTTCGTCTGGTGCCTTGGGTAGGCCTGCCACTCATGCAATTAGCGCCATTTTACTTACAGTCTCAGATCAATCGTCGGCTCTGGTCTAGGAGGAACTCTCGCGGACCCTGTGCGCAACTACCCTGGTTACTTCGAGCACGGTTCGTTGTTCGACAAGTTCCCATACCTGCTTCCGAACTTGGTCTGCGCAGGAGTTGTCATCTTCGGCATGATGGTCGGCATTCTTTTCCTCGAAGAGACTCACGAGGATCTCAAAGACAGAAGAGATTATGGTCTCGACGTTGGTGACTGGATACTAGACTTTTTCCGGCCGAGTCAGCTCGACGAAAAGGCTGGTGAGACGTTGGCTCTGTTCGAGGACACTGCTGCTGGCTATTCCTCCAGCCAATCATCTCCAGCTGTGAATCCAATCCTCGTTGGAGAGCTGCCGAACGAAGCCCAGCCCATATCGTCGCAAATACCAGGATCCCGTCGCCGTGATGCAGCTGTCTCGAAAGCCTTCACAAGGCAGGTCTGTCTCAACATCGTTGGATATGGTATCCTTGCCNTAGTAAGTTTCACCTGAGGGAACCTCGAGGAGCAGTCATATTGACGAATTGCCAGTCACACAATCTCTGCCGAACAGCTTCTTCCTGTGCTTTTCAGTTTGCCCGAATCTCACCAGGCTCCTCACTTACCATTCCAATTTTCTGGTGGCTTTTCCTTGCCGACAAAGGTCATCGGTTTCATTTTGTCCGCTCAAGGCTTCATCCAGATGTTCGCTACCCTGTTCGTTTTTCCATTCGTCAACCGCAAGATTGGGAGTTTGGCTACATTCCGACTCGTCATTCTCTCGTATCCGATTCTCTACCTGATGATTCCTTACCTCACGCTTGTTCCGACCGCTCTTCGTATGCCCTGTATTTATTTTGTACTCGTCTGGAAGGTCACAGCACAAGCTCTGTCGTATCCGTCTCTTGCCATTATGTTGGCCAACGCAGCTCCATCAAAGAAGGTTCTCGGTACTCTGAACGGTGTGGCAGCCTCATCAGCAAGCTTGTGCAGAGCATTTGGCCCCACATTATCAGGCTTGGTCCAATCGTTAGGCCTTTCCGTTGGCGTGCTTGGTCTCCNNCCCTGGTGGGCAAACAGCTTCGTTGCAGTCATTGGCGCCGTTCTCAGCTTACGCATGGTCGAAGAGAAACGCCGATACTCAAAAGCCGAGGAGGCAAGTCTGGACTCGGAAGACCTCCCATTCCTGGACTCAGACGTACTAGAGAGCTCTGACGAGGAATCCTGCCATTGATCATCTGGAGCAGCTTCATCTCGATAGATTCACCGAAATACCTTCGTACGACTCACGCAATTTTCTCATTTCGAGTGTCACTCAGATTCCCTCGCTTACGGAGTTGCCATTCTTTTTATAATCGTTCCGATTCGATTCAAAAGTTCATCTAGATGAAGGCAGTTTTACGGCAGGCCCCGTATTTATTCAAGCGATCCGAGATCAGCTTTAGACCAGTTTTCGTTGCTATTTAGGGAAGGTCTTTTGGGCGTTTTTCTGTGCTTGCTATGATCAGCACCAGGTGTCTGGTTCAAGGGATAGGGAATTAGGCAGTCGGTTTTATATACCCGTTCTTGCTTCACTCGGGAAAAACTTTGCTATGGAAGGGAATGGCGTTCTTGCTCTGTATGAGATGCGATCTGGCTTGTCAAGATATTACGTTCGCTGTAACAATGATACGACAAGTAGTTTAGCTGCGTTGATGCTTTCTGATAGATAAGGCTGGATATGTCAACTACTGTCTTTGCCAAATGATCCTCCTATCTGTGATCCTATTTTCACTTGATTGAACTACAGTATCGAAACCTTGCAAGGTCGTAAATCAGCCATTGGAGGTTTGAAGACAAGCATAGTACTCATCCGATACCATCAGATTACCATCGAGACGATTGAAGATAGGCCAACCCCGCAATACCTCGGGCAATCATGATCGATCTTCCAACCTTGTGACTTCGACTGCTTCAACTTATATACATACTCAAACTCTACATCTAATCTCGACAATGTCCAGCAAAACAGCAATCTTAACCAACAAGGCACCAAAGCCTCTTCCGGGCATCTACAGTCAAGCCATTGTCGCCAATGGTTTTGTCTACTGCTCAGGAGCTATTGCTGGAGACACAACAGGCAAGATAATCGATGGAGATATCCAAGCCCACACTGTGAATCACTGATCCATTCCCTTCAACATCATGAACAAGACCATTGACACCTTGCACAGCNATCAATGCATCAAGAACCTCACCGCCGTGCTTGAGGAAGCGGGAACGACCATTGACAAAGTCATCAAGGTAAACGTGTTCTTGGCCAGTATGGATGACTTTGCAAAGATGAATGAGGTGTACAAGACTTATTGGGGCGATGTGAAGCCTAGCAGGACGTGAGTCACACAAGAGTTATGTTTTCTGGTTTCAACTTTCGACATGCTAATATGCGTGTATAGATGTGTCGCTGTCAAGACTTTACCTTTGGGTACAGATGTCGAGATCGAGTGTGTTGCAGTCCTGTAAATTGATATCGATGGGTTTTAGATGGACATCTTGTATGAAAGATTTGGGCGACTGTGTCTGTATCTGGTCAGGGTAGCACTCTCGGCAAGTTCTTAAAGACTAATCTGTCTTATGTTTGGCCTCCAAACATACTTGGTTGCTTCTGTAATATCGTACTGCCATAAAATAATCTCCCTTCAAGATGACAGAGTAGTTCGGTGGTCATGTCTAACATATTGCGCTTTCCAGCGTCATTCCGGGTGTAGTAGCCCAGTTCGATCGTGAAGTCATCCAGAGTCACCATGCAATATTGCTAGAGCCTACGGGATACTGACATAGCATGTAACCTTTGGATTAACGGTCTGGCTGTCGCCAAGTCAGATTACTATACCTCGCACATTGAGCCAATATTACTTGTATGTCGACCAGAAGTTGACAGTAGGTGGTGTGAATATTTGTCCTTATTTTCTTTGCAGGAAAAATAGGTCCGAAGTTAGCCGCTAACACACCAATATGGTTAGCGGCCCAACCGTGTTCCGACATCCTTCTCCACGCATGCAAAAACCCAATGACCCAGGGCTTATCAGTGCATATGATCAGATATCGGGCATAAGTGAACAGGTCAAAACACGCGACGAGTCATTACCACCGAAACGACTCGAGACCACTGCATCACAAAACCTGGAAAAAGAGGTGCTACTAAACGCGGAACTTCTCACCCGTGTATGCACCCCTCTGTGCAACAAGACAAGGCAGAGACAGACCCCGGTGGCCTCCGCGTAGCCGCTTCGCGCTTGCTTTCGTGAGCGATGCCGACCGCGACATGAACAATCCTACCGAGTCATCCAACAAGAAGAAGCGTGCCAATCCGCAGACCTCTGACGCTGCTGATGAGGCCGTCGAAGGTGGTTCTGGCGACGGTACTGCCGCCGGTGCTGCTTCCAATGGCGCGTCTTCGGCTTCGTCATCAAACTTCCGTAATGTCAGCGCGTGCAATCGATGTCGTTTGAGGAAGAACCGCTGTGATCAGAAGTTGCCGGCTTGTACGAGTTGCGAGAAGGCCAATGTCAAGTATGTACACTGTTCAATCATGAAACGAATGCCTCGACTTACCCATGTCAGATGCGTCGGCTTCGATCCCGTCAGCAAACGGGAAATACCAAGGAGGTAAGAAGTCACGGTCTGGAGAGTTTATAACTTTCACTGACACAACNGTAGCTATGTATACTATCTGGAGAGTCGAGTGCAGCATCTGGAATCGTTGCTTCAAACCAACAATATTCCTTACGCGCCTACGGATGACTTTAGCATGAGCGTGGTGACACCCACCTCTCCCGCCATGCCATCCACAAGCGAGACGGCGGTTGTGGGCGTGCAAAAGTTTACTGACAATAGTTCTGGTCCTGCTTCTGTTGTATCGAATGAGCAGACCGAGCAGAAGCACCTCTCCAATCTCGTCCACAACATTGGGAACGTCTCAGTATTGGGAGCTTCAGATTCCAGGTACCTTGGCTCCACTTCCGGTATTTCCTTTGCCAGAGTCGTCTTTGCCGCAGTCAAGAGCTCGGTATCAGGATCGACGTCCGAACGTGGCGGGGTTCGTCCTTCGAAGCCACTCACGAGTGCAGCTACAGGAGGGACTACCATGAGAGACTCGTTCTTTGGACTTCAGACAAAGCCTGCCATCAAACCAGCAACTTTCCCTGACAAGGATATTGGACGGCGATTGATGGAGCTATATTTCGAACACTCCAACCCTCAAATACCCATCCTCCATCGTGGAGAGTTCATGGCATTATTCGATAAAGTTTACGCCACCGAGGAGAAGAAGAGAACACCACGGGAGCTATATATGCTCAACATCGTCTTTGCCACGGGTGCCGGAGTTATTCTGGAGGCCTCTGACAAGAACAACGATGGAGAAAATGCAGCCGATGACAAGGCTGGACAGAGCCGCAAGAGGCAAAAGCTCTCTCGCGAGCAATCCAGGCCGGAAGAGTATCACGCTTCGGCTATAGTGCACCTGGAGTCATTCCTCGGATCTTCGTCTTCTGCGACAGAGGGCATCGGTGGCGGACTTGAAGAGCTACAAGCTGTCCTTCTTCTGGCAGGATTTGCGCTCCTTCGTCCTGTTGCACCAGGTCTTTGGTATATCGTAGGTGTAGCCGTTCGCCTTGCTGTGGACCTCGGCCTTCACAATGAGGACCCGGAAGCTTCGACAGAAGTTAGCACGGCGCAGGGGCAGCCAGATATGACCAGTGCTGCGAGAGAAGAGTACGGACGCCGTCAGTACGTTCGAGACTTCCGAAGAAGACTGTGGTGGTGTGTTTACTCTTTCGACCGCTTGGTTTCGACGTGCGTTGGAAGACCGTTTGGCATCACAGACCAGGTGATCACGACCGAGTTTCCGACGTTGCTTGATGACAAGTACATCACACCAACCGGCTTCCTTAGTCCGCCACAAAACGAGTATGGCAGCATACCGAGCTACAAGCATGTCTCATATCACTACTTCCGGCTTCGCTTGCTGCAGTCAGAGGTATTGCAAGTTTTGCAGCATCGCCAAACTCAGCAATTCAGAGAAAGAGGTACGGTGAATGGAGCCAACCGGTGGATGCACACAGATCTTCCTTCGCCGTTCTTGTCGAGATACTCAAGCTTTAGAGAGTGGCGAGGTGACATCGATCGAAGATTGTACGAATGGATCGAGTCTTCACCCACACAGACGATGACTGGAGTCGCATTCTCGCCATTGTTTNTGGAGCTCAACTACTGGCTTACAGTAACCATGCTATACCGCCAGTCTCTGTCCGTGCCTCCATCACTTGCTGGTGAGCTGGATGCTTCTACAGGTGATGATGTTACCAGTCCAGGCCACGTTGACTACGAAGAAGAAGACGAGGAAATGGTGTTCTTGAAAGTGGCTGAAGCCGGTCAAAAGACTCTAAAGATCTACCGTCAACTACATCGTGTGAGATTGGTCAACCACACTTTCCTGGCTACACACCACCTGTTCATGTCTGGTATATCTTTCTTGTATGCTATCTGGCACTCGACAGTGGTGAGATCCAAGCTCACACTAGACGATGTCGATTTTACCATCCTGGCAGCGACATCTGTGCTCGGGGATATGATCGAAAAGTGTCCTCCTGCTGAGGCGTGTCGGGATGCGTTTGACCGCATGAGCAAAGCAACCATCGCGATGGTGGAGCAGACGACAGGATTCGGATCGCAAGCGTTACGATATATTGCACAAGCGCAANAAGTACAACAGCATGCAGATGTGTCCGCCGCAGGGGAGCACCGCGTCAGGAAGGCCAATCACAGCTCAGCCATGGCGGCTCCCAACCAAGGCAGGACCCACCAGCAACAGCAACAAGAGCAGCTGCAACAAGCCAGACGACCTATGCCACGATTTGACATGAATCTACGAGATCTGTTCACGGATGATGAGTCGACCAATCGACTATCAGCACAAAGAAGAGGGCCTTTCCCAATGGCCAGGCCATCAAACCCTGGGGTGAAGCGTGAAGGAGGGCCAGGTTTCCCTGGTACACCTACTGGACCCGCGTACCCGCAGAACCAAATATCTCCTCGTGTATATGCGCCCAGCCCGCCGATCGATCCATCACTACAGTCGACGCCACCACCGATAGCAAGACAATCACCCAGCCAGCATCATTACTACCCTCGAGGAGGACAAGGCTATATGGCACCCGGACCTCAAGGAGTGCCAGGTCATCTCGAAGGGTTCGAGTTTCTGCAAGACTTCCAGCTCCCAGACCAAGGTGGACCTCTTGGTCAAGCAGGACAAGCGCCTGGTAATTATGGAGAGTTCGATATGGGCTTCGGTGCAGGCGGACTTGCTTTTGATGGCGGCGGCCAGCCGTGGGATGAACATGGAGGCTTTGACTTGTTTGATGGATTCTTCTTTGGAGGAACGAATGGAGGGGGTCAGAGATAGTAAAAGTAATGGGCATGGTGGGACGTATACCCCGAACATCTCATGGTCGCAATCTATTGTTCTGTATTGCATCAATGTTCTTTCCATTCGGGTGAATTGTGAGAGCGGAAAGGGCAATCGTAAGCGCGAAAGTGGTCCGTGCAAGATGCGGGAGCTTCGATTTCTCTGATGTGACGTTAGAGCGAAATATTATTTCAGATTCACATAAACCAATCATGCCGATGAAAAAGGGTAGAGGCGTACGTCTTCCAAGGGACAGCAGCATTTGCGGCGACTGACAGAATGATAGAATTTCCGCAACAAGGGCAAGGGCCGTGGAGGCGGCGGCAACAACTGGTCGACGGAGCGCAAGTCGTACGCCGAAGTGCCCAAGGTCAACGAGCAGTTCGAGAGACTGTACAATGACATGAACATTGTGCCCGAAGGCGAGGAGCGCGAACAGTTCTGGGCTGCCCTCCGTCGCGAGCTGCCCAACTCGTTCCGCTTCTGCGGCAGCAAAGGGTATACCCGACATGCATCAAAAGTGCTGCCAAACAGCAGCTGACTCTTCGCAGACNACGCGCTCGCCGTACAAAAGAACCTGGACGAACATTTTATCCCTCAGATCAAGTCGATGAAGTTCGACGACCAGAATGTCGAGCCTCCGATGCCCATCAAGTGGTACCCTAACCAGCTGGCCTACTACATGACCACCCCCAAGAACGTCATCCGCAAGTTCCCTCCCTTCGCCGCTTTCCAGAAGTTCCTCGTCTCCGAGACGGCCGTCGGCAACATCAGTCGTCAGGAAGCTGTGTCTATGATTCCCCCGCTTCTCCTCGACGTCCAGTCGCACCACACCGTTCTCGATCTGTGCGCCGCACCTGGAAGCAAGAGTGCTCAGTTGGTTGAGATGCTGCACGCTGGAGAAGAGTCGCGTATTCGCAAGGCTACAAAGCAATACCAGGACGAGAAGGCCGATCCCACAGCAGTTGCCGACGAGACCGTCGAGGGCAACGACTGGAGCGACGACGGTAGAGCCACTGGACTCTTGGTCGCAAACGACGTCAACTACCAGCGCGCCCAGATGTTGGTCCACCAGGTCAAGCGCTTGAACAGTCCCAACTTGATTGTCACCAACCATGACGCTACCATGTTCNCTTCGATCGAGCTTCCTTCGGACCCCGTTCCTGAGGGCCAAAAGAAGCAGGGCAAGTGGCTCAAGTTTGACAGAATCCTTGCCGATGTCCCTTGCTCTGGTGACGGTACCTGCAGAAAGAACCCCAACATCTGGAAGGACTGGATTCCTGGAAACGGTCTTGGTCTCTACATCACTCAGGTCCGCATTCTTGTTCGTGCTATCCAGATGCTCAAGGTCGGTGGTCGCGTCGTCTACTCGACTTGCTCCATGAATCCTGTCGAGAATGAGGCCGTCATTTCCAGCGCCATCGAGCGCTGCGGTGGTATCGAGAAGATCAACATTGTCGATGTCCGCGACCAGCTTCCTGAGCTGAAGCGCTACCCTGGACTTAAGCAGTGGAAGATTATGGACAAGGAGGGCCGTCTCTGGAACTCATGGGAGGACGTCGAGGACGCAAAGTCAAAGAAGTTCGAGGCTTCGCTTGAGCGTGTCGTTCCTGGCATGTTCGCTACCGCTGGCCACAACCTTCCTCTTGACCGCTGTGTTCGCGTCTACCCTCACCAGCAGGATACTGGTGGCTTCTTCATCACCGTTCTTGAGAAGAAGTCGGAGATCAGAGCCAAGCCCGAGTCCGAGACCAAGTCTGCCAACACCGCTCCCTCGGTCGTCTCTATCGCCAAGGAGATCGCGTCCAAGCCCGAGTCAGAGGGTATTATCCCTAAGCTCGAGACCGTGGAGGAATACGCTCCGCACGACCCCAACCACACTGTTGAGACTGGTACTGCTTCTGCTGCTCAGCGCCAGAACAAGGAGGCCATCACTGATCTCGATACCGCATCTAACAAGCGCGGCCTTGATGATGTCGGTGACTCTACCGCTCAGGACATCAAGAGAGTAAAGACCGAGAAGGACGAGGGTGTCGGTGCTGGTGCCGTCGGCGAGGTTGGCCAGATGGAACACTGGCCCATGCCTCCTTCCGCTCCTCTCAGACAAGACGAAGTCACCCCTGACGAGCCCGCTGCCATCGCCGCAGCCTCTGCACCCCGTGGCCGTCGCAACAACCAACCCCACGAAGAAGCCTTTAAGTACCTCTCGCCTTCGCACGAAGAACTCGACGGCATCTTCGACTTCTACCAGCTGTCCTCTCGCTTCCCCCGCGACCGCTTCATGGTGCGCAACGCCCTCGGCAACCCCGTCAAGGCGATCTACTACACCACCGCTCTGGCCAAGGACATTCTGACCAAGAACGAAGGCCGCGGTATGAAGTTCGTGCACTCCGGTGTCAAAATGTTCGTCAAGCAAGACGCCCAAGGCCAAGACATCTGCCGCTGGCGCCTCCAAAGCGAAGGCCTCCCCATCGTCGAAGGCTGGGCCGGCGAAGACAGAATCATCCGCTGCTACAAGCAACAAACCCTGCGCAAACTCCTGATCGAAATGTTCCCTCGCGTCAACCACGAGCACTGGAAGGAGCTAGGCGAGATTGGCGAAAAGGCTAGGGATATCGGCATGGGATGCTGTATTTTGCGCGTTGAGCCCTCGGATCATGAAGATGGGTTTCAAGAGAGATTGACGCTACCGCTGTGGCGCAGTATCTCGAGCTTGAATTTGATGTTGCCGAAGGAGGAGCGTCGTGCTATGTTGCTCAGACTTTTCAAGGATGAGTCGCCGCTTATTGATCACAGTCAACAGCCTAACCGCAAGAACGCTGATGCTGCGGCTTCTGCTACAGCGGCACCGGAGACTGTTGTTGACAGTGATGGTGGTGTAGCGCTCAACGACACAGATGCTGATATGGAGGATGCAGACGCCACTGCTCCTGTCGGCGAGTCTGGGGTCGCCACGGAGGAAGGCGGTATGGCTACTGAAGATGCACTCAGGGCGCAACAGCAGACCATTGCCGACGAAAATCAAGCCGTAGCCGCAGCACCGGAACGCGAGGGCGAGACTGACGAAGCCAACACTACTGTTTAGAGATTAGGGAGGGTGTCATCTATAGTTATGGAATAAGACCTCTGGCTCTGGAGAATTGAGACCAGAAGGCAGGGAAAGTGAAATCTGCTTTTATGTTCTGAAAATGCTTCTGCTCAGTGAAGTGCGCAGCACGTTGATACGAACGAAAAAGCACTGTTGCGTTGCTTCGCACACCTCTGTCTACATTATCCTACATAATGAAAGAACAAAGCCATGCCAGGGGCGTACAATAGAGGCTGACCCAATCTTGCTGCTATCAGAACGGCAAAAAAATCATGCATTCCTTCACCATGATATGCATCATCACGACGATGTGAAAGCAGCAAGAGATTCCAGACGGTCATGGACGTGATTGCTTTACTTGCTCGCACGTGTGTAATCAACACAAACACCACTAGACAGGGGCTTGAAAGGTCAATGTCGATGGGAGCCATTTCGGTTACAGTTACCGATTGTTGTAGAAAGGAACAAGATGGAAACTCAGAAATGCTTCTTCATAAAGGCTCCGTTGTACTACTGTCTTGCACCATTTTCTTATTGGCGAGAACGGAGTGTGTAAATAGATGAAACAAACATTGTGAAAGGTTCCTAAACTACAGAAAACAAAGAGGGGGTATAGAGTTCCAAGATATCCAACAACCGAATACAAACAGCCAAAACGTACATCCAGGTAAACAGAATTAAGAAAATGTAAAAAGATGTAAGATCTTCCAAATGAACGCCCGATATATCGTAGTTCTATCGTGATAGATCTCTTCATGAAACGACGAATCTACTTCAACAAGCCGCCTACATCTTGCAAGTCTAGATCATCGCTTGCGGGCAACTGCCGAGCAATCGTAGGCGCTGCTATTGTGGGCGCTTGAGAATCCGGGGTTATGCTTGATGCAGGTGCTCGCGTGGTAGGCGATATTGGTTCCTGCTGCGTGGGCCTGCTTTGGGTGGGCAGACTACCTCCAAGCAGACCGCCAATGTCTTGCAGACTCAGAGTGTTACTATCCTCACGCTGTCTTTGTGATCGCGAACCTGGTCTTGGAGTCGTGGTGCCATCTCTGCTTTGTGCCGGACGCGATCGCGATCGCTCTGAATTTCCAGAAGCTCGTTGTGATCGGCTTCTTGTCAAGGATAGCCTTCCACCAAGATCCGAAAGTATGTCGTGAGTTGGTCTAGAATCTAGTGGTGTGCGAGGGCCCTGAATCGCAAAGTCCTGAGTCGTAGTGCCGGAAGAGCCGTTTCGGGGTTCGCTACCGCCGAGCAGACCACCCACATCGAAGAACGAAACGCTTTGGCCTGTAGCAGTCGAGGGNGCGGTGTCCGAGGGTTTACGTAGAGCATCAGCACTGTCGTGTGGGCTGGGCGGACCGTCACTGATGTCGGCAGGCGACATGAGCAGATCATGGTGACGAGGTGCTTTTAGATTTGACGAGATGCGGGCAACTGGCGCGGGTCTGGGTAGAGGAGACTTGGGCTCACAGAGCTCTTCGGGCATGCGAACACCCATCTGTCTGAACAGAGCTTCCTCGCTGTCGCGATGGATAGACTCGATGGTGGCACGACGGGTGTCGGCGCGAGAGATGGTGTCCAAAGTGGCGTCGGGTCTGTATTTGTTCCTCTTGACTCCTCGATCTTTGACAAAAGTGCCCAGAATGATGGCGTTGGAGACGGCGGCAGAAGCAAGGATCTCGACGGATGCCCAAACAGTGCGGTATTGTTGGCGTCCATGATGTTTGATGACATTAGGCATGCGCAAGCCTGTGATGACTATAAGGGCGACAGAGAAACTGAAGAGGCAGACGAGCGAGAGTTTGCGCTTCAGAGGGATCTGCGAGCGTAGGACGATAGGGATGGGGAAGCCAACCAGAAGAATGTCGGTAATGATGTCGGCAGTACCCATGGTAATGAGCTGTGCGTAGCCCTGTCTGCATTGAGGGCCAGGGTCTGGCACGACCTGCCAGTAATGATTGAAGGGTTGGCATTCGGAAAGAGTGGCTATTACTACGGCGAAAAAGGTTGCGACCAGGAAGACGCGTATACAATGCAGAACAATCTCGTAGCTGCGTCTCCAAATGGCACTCGTGATGCGCTTCAGAAACTCGGAGACGGTGAATTTGCTGATCCAGATGAAAAGAGCGTAGTTGATGCGAGACGCGAGGACCAGTTTGGAGCCTATCTGACGGAGGTATATCTCGTAAGGGGTAAGGTGAGCAGACTGGACATTGTTGGTGCCGTACATGAGGATGACATGGACCAGACCCATGCGCGCGAGCAGCGGGATCAGACTCAGGGCCATGACCTTGTCCTCTTGGAACAGACGTCCACTTCGAATCTTCCTCCCAGCCAGGCGTGTGAGGATGATGACAGCAGCAAAGGCAGTACACCACCAGCTGAACAGGAGCGTCGGCCAGTTTCCACGTCGCGTGCGAGGCTCAGGAGGAGCATTGTTCCATAATCCCATGCTCTTTTCTGAAAGAGCCCACCGCCTCCGCAGAGGGGTGAGCGTTCAACGTCGTCCTGTGATGGTCCGAAGGAAAGATGGGCCAGTCGCGACTGCACGAATGAAGCCTTGTCGTCGTACGTGAATTCCTAGTCGTGACGCTTGGACCGTCGCTTCCTCGTTGCCGGGTCTCAACAGACAAGGCCCTCGTGCGCCTTTGATTGTCGATACAATAGTGCGCCGGTCGCGTGCCGTCGGGTAGTATGTGTAGTGATGGAGAAAAAGCCGTCCGTCTGCTTCTCGAGAGTCAGAGACGGCGCAAAGGATGCTGCCGAGCGATAGCAAGACATTCGGTCAGTCCCTTGTCCATAACGCCACTGATCCAGACTCCAAGATAAGCACCCAAGAACGTTGCGAACTCCCTGCCAAATTCTACCCCATGTCATCAATATATCGACTCGGACCAACGACGTTTTAACGTCTTTCCCCATCCCTCTGCCAGCTGTCTGTCGCACTGCTGCTCACTTGAATCTAATCCGTAGCGGTGTCTGCTTCCATCACAAATCTCCAACGAGGGACGACATCTGAGCGACAGCCGCCACGGTGGGGTACTGCAGATCTTATGCATCCGAACCACATACAGACACAGTTAACCCTGAGCTGTTCTTACGCCAATCGCAAGTTGAGACCGTGAATTACTGAAGGCCACCTCCAAGTGTCCCGGTCATTAAATTGCCCCTCAAGAGAATATCCAGACAGAATACTTGCCTTGGAGAAAACTACAGTAGCCCTCGGCCTATCGAAAGGAACCCGGCTCTCAAGCTGCCACGTTCGGCATCATCCGTAGACCCTCATCAACCTGAACGTCTCCCCATCTTGTCCATTTGCATCTTCTCGGATACACCAACACACTTCATCATCCTCTTCTGGCTCTGGTTGTCACTCTGACCGATCTTCATGAAGCTAGTACGATACAATATGTAGGTTGATTGTCATCTGTATTCGCACGAGGTCTTTCCGTCCTCATGACCACAAGACAAAGATCGAAGCGACCAATAACCCCGCTTCGCATCCTGAAACGCTGTTCGCTGCTAGATCTGCCACCCTATATATGAGAAGCCCTCGGTTCTATACATAGGCGGCTTTCACTGAGCCCTACTGTGTAAGCGATGTACTTAGTGCTGTGAGGCAATATAGAGCTCGCTCTGGTCGGCATTCCAGAGATTTGCTCAAGGTTGATCAGAAGCTATATTGGTCTGACCAGCAGTCAACAGACTTCTTTTGCGTATTCTCTCGTTTTTCCCCTTCTTTGTTGACTTTTATTCTACATGTGCTGATTTACAATGCAATCGTTCCTATTTGCCTTCACCCTTTTGGGGCTTATTCCAGGTCTCTTTGCTCTCCCCACCAACGGCGGTCCTCACATCGAACATCCTCTCGAGAAACGCGGTGCTCGCACTACCGCTCCAACAGGATGTCTCTCGGTTGGGTCTGGATCCACGTACTCGACCATCGCTTCTGCCATCAAGGCTCTCGGCAGCTCAAAAAATGATGCATGTATCTACATCAAGAGCGGAACTTACAAAGAGCAATTGACTATCGACTACGCTGGAGCTCTGACTCTGTACGGCGAAACCGCCGATACTTCAAGCTACAAGTCCAACAAGGTTCTGATCACCCATGGAATTAGCTCTCCAGCTGCTGGTAGTCTCGATGCAAGCTCGACTATCAACATTAAAGTAGCAAAGTTCACGATGTACAACATCAATGTCGAAAACAGCTTTGGGACAGGTGCTCAGGCTGTTGCAGTAACTGCGAACGCTGATAAGCTTGGCTTTTATGGCTGCTCTTTCCTTGGTTATCAGGATACTCTTTACGTCAAGGCTGGCACTCAGTACTATTCCAACTGCTTGGTCAAGGGTGCTGTTGACTACATATTCGGTGACGCTTCTGCCTGGTTCGACTCCTGCACCATCATGAGCAATGGTCCTGGTGCCATCACTGCTTCGTCCCGCACAACTAGCGACGAGTCTACCTGGTATGTCTTCAACAACGTCAATGTCGTGTCCGACGGCACAGATCTTGTCGGAAAAGTATTCCTTGGACGCCCTTGGAGAGTCAACGCGAGGGTCATGTTTCAGAAATCACAACTATCGAACATCATTAACGCAGCTGGATGGACCGAAATGGCCGATGGTGCTACACCCAAATACTACGAATACAAAAATACGGGTGACGGTTCCAACACTTCTAAGCGTAAGTGGACGATCAATGCCACTGGTGCAATCAGCATCAACACTGTTTTGGGAGACAGCTATGCTTCTTGGGTCGATCAGACCGGTACTGGTTCGACCTCAGCGGTTTCGTCTGTTGCCGGCTCCAAGGCAAAGAATGTCACTACTACAAAGTTAGCCGCAGCCAAAGGTCCTGTCTGCACGCCGGTTACAGGAGGCTCTGCCAGCAAAGACGACTCTCCTGCCATTTACGCTGCTATTCAAAAGTGCGGAAACGGTGGCACCATTGTTATACCTGCTGGCAAGACATACTATCTGAACACTGTTCTTGAGTTTGACGGCTGCAAGTCTTGTGTATTTCAACTTGACGGTACCCTGAAGGCTTCGGACGACCTTACTTACTGGGAAGGTAAAACTGCTATCCTCCATCTTAAAGATGTACCGGCTCTTACATTTACCGGCGCTGGTGTCATCGATGGCAATGGACAAAAAGCTTGGGATCGCTTTGCAACTGACAGCTCATACAAACGACCTACCCTCTTCTACATCGATGGAGGGCACGATATCAACATGCATGGTTGGAAGATGATCAACCCACCCAATGTCTTCCACTCTGTCAAGGGTAATGCTCTCAACATTGCTTACTCCAACCTCAACATGTCTGCCGTCTCAACTTCTAAGAACCTTCCCAAGAATACTGATGGTAAATAATCAGAATTTGCATGTCAGTTATCTCAGACTCAACTAACAAAACCTTAGNGCTTTGACATCGGCGCCTCAACCTTTGTCACTCTCAGCGATATCACTGTCCTCAATAACGATGATTGCGTCGCTTTCAAGCCGGGCGCCAACCACACCACTGTTACCGGCATCACTTGCACTGGATCTCACGGTCTGTCCGTCGGCTCGCTCGGCAAATCGAGTGCTGACACAGTCGCAAACATCTATGTCTCAGACGCCACCATGGTCTCTTCGACCAAGGCTGTCGGCATCAAAACATATCCCATGGGCAATGGTCATGGTATCTCGACAGTCACCAATGTCACATACAGCAACATCAAGGTCCAGAACTCTGACTACGCTATCCAGATCCAGAGCTGCTATGGTGAAGATGAGAGTTACTGCACGACCAATGGTAACAATGCTATCTTGAAGGGGATTGTATTTGAGAATTTCTCGGGTACTACCAGCAAGAAGTACACACCTGCGACCAGTAATCTGAACTGTGGTGCCAACGGGGCTTGTGATGTGAAAGTCAAGAATTATACTGTCAAGGCTGGGTCCGGGGCTGGCGAGGTGCTCTGTGCCAACACACCAGGTTCCTTGGGCGTCACTTGCACGAAGGGCGCATCTGGCTGAACGAAACCTTGGAGTGAAGCAATAGTGCTGGTATTGACTGCTGTCTAACTTACTGCATACTCGGTGAAGAATCGTTGTTGATGTGTCTTCACGCCGGCGTCTCCGTGTGCTGAGCTTCTTAATGAATACCGGTAGAAATGCATGATATCACTGAAGACTGGTGCACTTCCAGTGAGAATTCCCGTCTCGTGGGCTCTCTTCGGACACATCTCTACTTTGAACTTAGATTGTGCGTTTTGATAGCTGATGATATTGGTTGATCTTGTCGTCCGCTTTTCCTTTCTCTTCGCCATCTCAATCGATTCCATTCTTCTGCGCGACGCGCTTGTCACCTCAATTTTTTCCACTTTCACTTCAAGTATCTCGTCGCTGCTGCCGCATGTATCCTATTTAACTATCTCTACACAAGACACGCTCTCAACATTGTGTCCAAACCCAACAACACGAACCATGTCGAGCCTTCCACCGTCGCCAACCTCATCGAAAAGTCCGAGAGAGAGAGCCCCGCGGTATGTTCTCATATTTGACATGCACGAGCTGTCGCTGATCTGTGCAGCCAAAACAGAGCACTCGGCACGTTCTTCAATGACAAGACATTCTCAGACATCTGCGTCAAGTTTGGTGACCAGGAGATCTTTGCCCACAGACTCATCCTCGCGAAAAGCTCTGTCTGGTTTGTGACAGCACTACTTGGCGAGTTCAAGGCAAGTCAACATGTCCGACAAGCCGAGTGTTATTGCTAACTGGTTAGGAATCCAAGCAGAGTGTTANTCGATCTTGGAAACAATGACGACCCGGCTGTCGTATCCGCTATGCTGAGATTCTTCTATGACGGCACTTATCACCCGAGTGAATTCGATGACACCTCCGCTGATCAGCACCTGATCATGCATCGACTCGCAGATTTCTACGACGCTTCTGCTCTGCGTAAGGCGGCCTCTCACCACTTGATCAATTTTATCGACACATGCTTCATGAGCTGGAAAAACGACTCCCAGAGCGGCTCTCTAGATCACGTCATTCGTTCAATCCAGCAGATCCTTGGACCCAGCTCAGATGAATTTGCCGACAACAGTATCCAAGAAGACGTCTTCAAGTTCATCATCATCATAAACGCAGGCCACTTGTACAAGAATGAGCTCTCCCAGGAGCTTTTGGTGGACGGATCGCTGCTCAATGAGTCCTTGAGCCGCAGATTCGCTCAGAAGACCGGTGAAGTTATCATGTGCTTGAGTTAGTCAAACTGTAGGTCAGACGTAAGTATTGCTCAGACCATACGCTCCTTTTAGGTCAATTGTTAGTCGACGTGCAGAGTAAATTTACTGACTACACCATCACAGGCTTGGGGTCCTATTCCATACCCGCCTTGTAATTGGAGTTGGAGTTGGGAGCCTGAAATCATTTGGTAAAGGCCCTAGTGCCATATTCAAGCATGTCTGCAGAAATCAGAAATTACCCACTTGTACAATAATCGGGGAGGAACGATGGAGAGCTTTCCTGCTCGAACAAAGAGCAGACACGATTTCGATGGCAGGCACGAGATTTGAGGCTTAGCTTATCCTTCTAAAAGGCACCTTCTGCTTTTGCTCTCAAAACAATGCATCACTTACAAAATATTCTCAAGCTCCGCCACATTCTTTCCTCTCGAAACTTACACATCACACCTCGTCCATTGAATGTTATGGTCACTCCTGTTAACTACGCTCATCTGCGACACTTTCTTTCTTGGTTGCTACATGTTCCGCACGACTTTCATTCTTGACTGAGGTTGGTGAATTGCAGCTCCGTATGTGCTGAAGTCTGTGGACTATTCTTCTCAATCTCCTCACAAGAAATCATAGTGGTCAACAAGGAAGAAATAGTACACAGTACTCTTTCAAGCAGAGAGTCATCCGGTGAGAGTCGTTACTTGGCTCGATCTTTGAAACATCCCTCCCCAGATCCGAAGCTAAGTGTGCGTTCTCGCAGCCATAAAAGTGAAAGCGAGAGTGTGGTTTTTCTGTGCAGAGAGACACTGGCTCGTGTCAAATTGAGGTGAAGGACTTCTTGCGACGTCAACTCGACAGCTTGACCGTCACTCCGTGAGAAGCTAGTATATTTACCTTCCAACCTCTGTCGCCAACTCTACTTCTCATACATCAACTCCAAAGAATCTCACAGCACTCTATCCAGGTATGGCTGACAACACGACTTCTAAACCTGGCGGCAACAAAAGGTCAGTTACCGTTCTTCGAAAGAACAAGAAGATTTATCATCTAACTTCTGTATAGAAAGCGCGACTTCTTCAATGACGAAGAGCTCTCAGACATCATCATCAAGTTCAACGATAAGCAAGTCTTCGCCCATAAGGTCACTCTTGCGAGCAGCTCGACCTGGTTCGAGAAAGCGTTCCTAAGCGGGTTCAGTGTATCATGTTTCTGCTCAATCTCACTTCCAGGTCACTTTCGCTGACTTCAATCAGGAGGCGAATCAGAAACTCATTGAGCTCCATGACAATGTTCGCTCAGATACCATCATGGCTATGCTCAAACTTCTCTATGGTTCGGAGTATGAGACTCAAGCCATACCATGCAACTTGTCTGATTCTGCTGGATTGAGCGTGAACAACCACTGATCCAATCTTCGTCACAACAATGCGCCACAGAGTCGTCAGCATCGAGCCGCATGATACTAGATAGAAGTTCTTAGGTTGGAGATACTCTGCTCAAGGGATTGTTTGTTAAGAATGGCTTTCGAAATTTCGTACGTCGAAATCGAAGAGTTGTGATTGCTCTGCAAGAGCCACCGTCAGTGAGCTGCGAACGAGGACAAACGATGCGCTCGTAGCTTCAGTGAGAGAAGGTGGATGTTGACAAAGCACTTGTACACAAGGGAGCAAAACAAGTACGTAAAGTATACAGCAGCAGACTTGTCTCGATCGCGTCTCGTCTCATAGCTTGCTAAACCACAGACAATCGTATCCGAAGGTAGCGCCCGACGTGAGAGCCATCATCCTCCCTCTTGAAAAGTCCAGTAGCAAGCATCCGAATAACCTTGAGCAGATCTTTCAACATTGACAAGAGAGTTCCACGCAGCCATCGCATCAGCGAACAAGTCCTCCTTCTCAGAAACTGTGAAATCGCCTTTAGGGTCCGTCTCGTAGAGTGCGCGATCGCATTCAATGCGCAAGACCTGGCGTAGCACTTCCAGTAACACTTTGCGCCAGGAAGGGTCATGACCGCCGCTGAGACGTGCCACAGCATACTCAAAGTAGGCAGGAGCAACATTGGCCAATTCCCAGTCAATGAGGCCTGTTACTTGGAGTGTAGAAGGGTCGATCAGGATGTTCCGGTCTGACAAGTCCCCATGCGTTAGGACGGGCAACTCCGAAAGACTCGTCTTCCCTGCGAATGTCTCTTGTTGGACCTGGTCCAGCTCTTGTATACGAGCTTCGTCTATCCCACTTTCCCCTGCAAAATTGTGGAGCGCACGCGCACGAGATGCATTCCATTCTTGGTAAGTATGACAGAAAGGGTGAGTATCATGTGGGCCAAACTCAGACGGGGTAACATAAGGTTGCCCGTTCGGGCGGCCGTAATAGTTCAGCTCTTCACGTGGTTCTCGCATTCGAACAAGCAAGTCAACAAGGCTTCTCGTGACTTTAGCCTGGTCTGTGAGGTCGAGCGTTGGCCAGAGCTCGACAAGAGGGATACCTGGTTGACGTTCGAGGAGCATGCCTTGCTCATAAGGTGGATTGGCAATGCGAACTAGCCCGGACACATTGGGCACGAATTTGCCAAGGATTTTGTGAGCAAGAGCGGTCATCACTGCCTCGCCATCGTCCGTACCAAGTTTGAGAATAGTAGAGGGTGCATAGATGTAGAAACGACGGCCAAAATCGGGTATGGTGGTGCCTGTCAACTGAGGTAGATCTGGTAGAGACGGCCACGTGATAATTTGACACGTTTCAGCATTGCTCGTCGTATCTGCCCCGCCTTGAGGGCTCGCCGCAGGTAACATAGATCTGGTTGTGTCTTCTTCCCCGGGCAGGCTGTTCGAGTGTTGTGGTGGTTTCAGTTTGTAGGACTTACTTGGGGAAGCTCGTAAGGTCGTCGTGTGTCAAAATCTTGCCTGGCTTCGGTCGATCAATTTGCACTAGAAACACCGGAAAAGGCTGCGATCCAGCCTTTGGAAGACCACTCAATCGGCTCTCCAGGCTCGCAGATACTGCAGACCGGAAAGCCTGTTCGATGAATAAAACACTGTAACCTTCGGGGCCAGGAGTTTCGTGCCCACTCAAAATCTTGGTCGCCCGATTACTGACTTCCACCAAATATCCGTCGATGTCGTGGCCCGCAGGGTATATCGAGACCGTAGCTATCTGTTCGCGAGACCGTTCTGTAGTTCCACGGTAGATGAACGCCGGTGGTGTACGTTCAACTTGCTCCACGTCACCAGTTTCGGGCACGATGTGCAGCAAGCTGGTCGAACTCGGGCGCTTTAGAACGAGGACTACTGATGGATGGGTTCTGCGGCGGGTGCCTGCTAGTATTTCTTTCAGACGGGCAAGCATCTCATGAAATAGTTGTGGAATGTCAAGGAGTGAAGACAGAGAGGAGTAGTTACTCGAGTAGAGGGAGATAAGCAAGGGAACGCTACGCAGTCACGTCACAACAAACACAGGTCTTGGGCTCTGATTCGTTCGCTTGCCGCCTACGTAAGGTGCATGAATCACGCTGTGGCCTGACTCGTGACAAGAGAGTGCAATCTCATGAATTCACGTACACGACAATAGATACTCCAAGTCCGTTCGGATACATGTACCAACAGCAGCGAAGCCGCCCTCTTCTCATCTACAATCCGAACTCTCGTGGTCTCGCCCCACAACGAGTCAAGATTTGCAGCTACACAAGTGGTTTGAAACCCTTTTCCGGCAGGGTTGCAAATTGTTGACGGGTAATATAGCCGTTGTTAACGAGTCGCTGAAGGATCTCTGTGCAGAAACGTTGGCAGTTGTTCACAACCAAGTCAAAAGCACGGTTCTGTGCTGCAGCTTTGCACAACGAGTTCAGAGTCTCTTCATCCAGCTGAAGCTCGTTCGCGACAATGATTGACCGCTTCAATGACTTTGTGTGCTGAGGTGTAATATCGCGTCTCATTTCGTAGTTCTACAATAGTCTTTCGGTCAGCACTTGGTACGTAAACAACATCACCATTAGGAGGTCAGTTCGTACGGTTTGCCTTGTCCTGAGCGATTCTTTACTGGCGTGAAAGAAGGTACCTGTACTGCGACCATGGTCTGGAACAAGGTATCTAGATAACGCAAGGATGTATCAGCGATCCGAGAGGAAGACACTCTGCGGAGAAGCACCTACAACGCCCAATGCTGGGTATCCTCGGGAAAAAGCCTTGATTGTTGGAAGCAAAGAAGCATAAGAGTGGTGGTACTCGACATGGTGGTCTCCAATTAATTGTTGAGTTATAAGAAAACGAGATGTATAATAGCTAGCCTTGCTGTACACGGGTCTTCTTGAATCATCTCCCAACTTTTACAGTTACATCTACCATTGGTCGAGAAAGCGCTCTGCCTTGACTAAAGCTGCGGGCCAGGCTCAGATGTGTCCATAAACAGGGTATTTTCACGGCCCGTGAATACCGGTGATCCTCACGCATAGTCAAAATCATGAGGCCCTTCCAATCACAATTCTTACCGGAGACTCTACAAAGTACCAAGGATGTTGCTCTATCTATCGGCTGCATTACTACCCTGTACGCGCGCGACAAGAACGAGGCTTAGTCCTCCAGCCGGCGCTTACCTTACTTGTCACGTAGTCAATAGAAGTATCAGCATATACTAGCTATCCACAACAATCAGGAGCCTATGGGTTCATAATAGACGCCCAAACTAATTATAAGTTTTAAGCTTGAGGGCCGCGCTGGTCGCGTGTCTGGTCTCTTTGGCTCGATGTCAGCCTTCGTGCTTCGGTGCTACTTAATCAACACTCCCTCATCATCATCACAACTCGAGTAGCTTAAGTTACAGGACTGATCGAGAAATGATACTCATTACAGTATATCGAGTCGTGCGTAGAGTAGGTGGAACGTCGCTGTAGATGCATGAATTTACGTGCCGCCAAACCCCACTGCATCACACATTTTGAAGTCGCGCTGAGTCTCTCGGTCGCCTTGCCTCTTTTCTATCCCACTGATCTTGATCACAATCACCTAAGTATTCTCATTCAGCCCTCAGAAATGACTTCTACAAACATCTGTCGCACTTCAGCACGCTCTACAAGAAGCGCCACTCGATCACAAAATGTGCTCAGACCACACACATCAAATTCATACATTTATACCGGTTTCAATATTCCTGGATCACGCCGCACTTTTTCAACAAGCTGGAGGAAAAAATTCGAAGAGTTGAAGAAGGGGAGTCGATCCCGCTAGTCTTCCTTCCTGGGTGATGAAGCTAGAGGATAAACGCATGCAGATAAAGGAGAAACGCGAAGAAGCAGTAAGGCGAGCAGAACAAGAAGAGCGAGGAGAAGAACCGACACTTGAAGACAAACTTGACGCCGAACTAAGAACGGTACAAAGAAAGTACCCCGAGTGCGTCGACGCAACAAACTCGGTCTGGGTCTGAAAACAGGCTGAGAGAGAAAGGGATCAAGAAGCACAGTCCAATATGGACCAGTGGTCAAAGGAGAGGCATAAAGAGTGCTACGAGTTGCAACTAAAGTCGGTGGAAATTGAGGCTCTGTGGCCGAGTCTTAACCAGGACTTGAAAGAGGAGTTTGCGTTTCGGAAGAGTGAACGTCAGAGGTATAAGAAAATGCTGTGGCTACTTGAACATGGTGACGGATGGTTGGCGAGAGCGTGGTTCGAGCGAAAAGAGGAAGCCGCAGAAAACAAGTCTGATTCCAAACTCCCGATGATATCTCTCATTGTTCTATCTATCGTGCCACTCGCCCACGAGTGGAATATTTACAAGGCGCAGAAAGCTATGGAAGAGAGTCGGCTTGAAGGGGAAGGACCCGCGGTCCACAATGATGCACCGGAAACTGCTACTCATCGATAGACAACCTCACCGCATTGCTGCTACTTGGATTCTCGCATCAACAATGTCAGTGGCAGTGTTTTGGGGCTTGGCCGGATATGCAGAGATGGTTACACAAACCCAAGCCAGGCGGCGCAGACATCTGCAGATCCGTCGTACCGCAACGTGATACCCAGCCGAGCTGCATGAAAACAAGATAAATCCTTGTCACTGTCAACAGCAGTGATTTCTTCTTCCACTCCACTCACGAAGGAAGCTCTACCTGTTTCAACCACCAGAAATCATTGCTCAGAAGATGTCGTTCATCAGACAAAATCCCTTTGGCTCGGCCCGACCACTACTCTCCGTTCGACCAACAAGTTTGTGCCATTGGGCCAGTGGGATTCACAACTATACAAGAGCGACCTTGTTGTCCAATTATCCTGAGCTCAGCGATGGTGCGGCCAGGAAGCGTATCTTGGAGCAATACACCAATCAATGTGCGAGTCTGGGCGTAAAGCAGGTTACCGAGCTTCGGAAGATTCGCCTTCCACAAATATATCTCAAGCAATTCGTCCGTGTGAGATCCAGTGCTATAGCAGCTAGCTTCTTGGAGAACGGGCCATCGGAAAAGCTGGCCAGACCGTACAGAGAGTGCGAGCAATGGTTGGAGAACAACGCGTCAAAAGTCGAAGAACTGTACGAAGCCGAGAGGAATGCTACACTGAGAAGATTTCCCAAGCTCGCGATAGCAGCTATGAGAGAAAATATCCTGAAGCAGTACAACATGAAGTGTGAAAGAATCCTCGTTTCAAGGAGCAAAGAAAAGACAGTCGAGCAACCGAGAGAATTCGTAGCAGGTACTACACATGAAGAGAAGCATCATTTTTGCGAATTGNCGTTACAGTATGTCGCAATACATCTGATCGACACTCCAATCACCTCAAGGGACGCGCTCGAAAACTGGAAGGCGGAGTTCAAACGCTGTCAAGATACCGTCACCAAGGCCACAGAATTCACAATCGAAGAGGAAAGCGCAGAGGCTTTGGCAACTTACCCCGACCTCGAGGATCCTGATGTCTGTCGCAGAGTCATAGACGAACACAATGAGCGTGCCGCGGAGTTGAGAGAAGCAGACGAGCAGGGAATCAAGATACTCTCGGATCAGATCCCAGCGAAAGAGGTGGAGAAATTCTTAATCTTGAGACTCGAATCACACGCTATACAGGCTTTGTCACCTGGTAGTGAGTCGATAGAACGCAGGAAGAAGCGATACCAAGTGCGCAAAGAAACCCTGGCCAATTTGGACATCGTCTGGGCCCAGGAGAAACGCGGCAGCAGATGGATAGTCATTCCAAACCCACTCACGGTCCTGGAGTGGATTGGGGTTGGAACATGATTATAGGTTCAATCATCAGATCGATTCTATCGATCATTGATGAGATATCAATTGAAGACAGGAGCGCTGACTGATGGTAATTGACTGACTTAAGGTTCAACTGCGGTCTCCCGAGTCCCGCCTGAATGGTCCCCATGTTCTCTAGGTACTTGTCCATCATTCAAATTGTCACCGTTTGTTAGCTGTTTTAGAACGCAAATAAACACGGTCGGCTCATGTAATGATGGAGAACATGAAGCTAAGCTGCGATCAATACAGGGAGAGTGTTCTAACTATCATCACGTCTGCAACCACATGATCCTCTCTCCGAGTCTGGACAAGACAGTGATGGAAACTGTCTACTACTCATCACCTTCCAGGCCAACGGCCTGATAGCTCAGTTTCCACAGTTTCTCCTCTGCTTCCTCATCATACGCATGAGGAGCGTATCCAGGACCAACCAACACCTCGTCTTCGGCAGCGGGGCCTGATTCGCCGATATCTGCAAGGTACACACCACCATGGTCATTGAAGCGAGGAGACAGGGCTGCCCAAACAGTCGTCGCTGCACCCTGCTCAGCAGACCTCGCGACATGCGCGATTGAGGCGAACATCCGTTTGTCTTCATCAGAAAGGTCTCGGGCAAGCTCGGTAGTGATGATCAGTCCAGGGTGAACCGACAGTCCACGTAGAATTTGAGCACCGTAGTGACGATCTATCGAGTTTGCCATATACATGTTGGCCGTCTTGCTCTGGGCGTATGCCAACAAAGGTCTGTAGCCCTGCTTGGCCAAGTCGAGGTCATCAAAGAAGATACCACTAGCCTTATGAGCAGCGCTGGAAAGAGTGATCACACGACTAGGAGATCCGGCAGTACCGCTAGTGAGCAACACAGGCTTGAGAAGCTGGAAGAGCAAGAAATGGCCGAAGTGGTTGGTGCCCAGTTGCATTTCGAATCCATCGGCTGTGCGACCTTCGGGGACACCCATGATGCCAGCGTTGGTGACAAGGATGTCAAGGCGCTGTTGTTGATCAAGGAACTGCTTAGCAGCTTGTCTGACGCTATCAAGACTTGAAAGTTCCATTCCAATCAAGGTTGGGTGCTGTCCCTGAGGGTAGCTGGCCATGAGCTCCTTGACGATTGCCTCGACCTTTGCTTTGTTGCGGAAGGTGAGGTAGAGTTTGGCTCCAGTTGCGTGCAGAGCTCGAGCTGTCTCGAGTCCCAGTCCGGCGGAGGTACCTGTAATGAGAATAACTTTCTCCTGTAGTTTGTCCTCAAGTTCGAGATCTCGAACGATCTGGAACGCAGTGGGTTTGACATCGCCAGCAGATGTGTGATCAAGGTACCTATCTGCATAGGGCTGGAACGGGTGGGAAGGAGCAGGCATGATGATGGTTGAAGATGTAGTGTTCAGTAGACCAACAGGATGGCGTCGTCTATTGCCGTCTTTGTGTGCAGGTTCCTTGCTATTTATCGGTTGACGTATCTGGAGCTTCCTCCATCTGAAAGACGGTATGGGTCTGGTCTCTATCCCCGGTTAGTAATCAGACACGTCTACCTTTGCGGATGAGTCAACATGGCCGTCTGGATTTCATCATGATGAGTGATAGAACTTTGCGCTCCATGAGGCAGCAGATATAAGAACGTATAGGTCGGAGTACGCGCCGGTGACTGCGATCCGAGTCGGTCATGCGTTCGTCCGCATCTCCACACAAGAATGCCCGTTGCTGCTCGCGACAGCGGTCGTTGAGAAGAGAAGGGGAAGCTGACAGCAGGGTTGCCCTTCACCGGAGCAATCTGCCGGGCGCCAAGAGTGGAGTATTTTGCGTGATCGAGCCAATTTCTTTGCCATTGACCCATTAGGAAAGTCGCTTCTGCGTCCTTTCTTGTTTCCACTGTCTTTCTTTCTTTTGTATCTTTATTTCTCGATTCTGCTTGTATATACTTTGTTTCCAGGAATCACCGCGACAACGATTGAAGACTTCGCACAATTTTCGCCTTCTCGCGGAGGTTTGCTCGATTTTGGCCCAGAGGTTGCCGTGATAGCGAGTACATGAAATGGTGGCCGGAAAGATTAGAAGGGTGGCTGTGATTGGCGCTGGTCCATCTGGGGCAATCACGGTAGATGCACTGGCTCGGGAGGAGGCGTTTGATCAAATCCGTGTTTTTGACAGACAGGAAGGCCCAGGAGGATGTTGGTGAGTGCTATCTTCTTCTGATCATCAGCCGAAACATGTATCAAGACGAAGACGAAGACGAAGACGAAGAGTTTAGCGAACGATTTCCAACGAACCGAGTACATCTGACGAGATGGACAGGTACGGAGATAAGCTACCACCAGTTCCCTTGTCCAATTTCACAGCATTGGCTTCAAGGACTGCAGATCAGCCAGTAGATTTGCCAGCACAGGTTCCAGGTCATACTCAGAGGAACGATCAGCCACGATGGACAGACTCATCGATATACCCCTATCTTGAGACGAACGTAGATGTGGTAACCATGGAGTACACCCAAGAGCCTATCGTTGGAGAGCTGTCTGCACGAACGATCGAGCTGCATGGTGAGAAATCTCCATTCCGGCATTGGACTGTCATGAGAGATTATGTGACAAGTCTGTTCAATCGCAATGGCTACGAAGATCTAGTATGCTACAACACTCATGTCGAAAGAGTGGAAAAAGTCGGGGACGAGTGGAAAATCACATTGAGAAAAGAGGAAGATGAAAAGGATTACTGGTGGGTCGAGTGGTTTGATGCTGTCATTGTCGCAAGCGGACACTTCAACGTGCCTTATGTCCCAGCTGTACAGGGCCTAGAGGAGCTCGAGAAACAACACCCTGGCAGTGTTTTGCACAGCAAGATGTATCGCGGCCGAGATGCATACAGAGGCAAACGCGTTGTCGTGGTTGGTGGCTCAGTGTCTGCAGCCGACATCTCAACGGACCTCGTTGGTGTGGTGGACTCCAAAGTCTATGCAGTGGTCAACGGCCATACCATCAACGTGTACTTTGGAGATGGAGCATTCAACAACCCAGGAGTCGCCAGGAAGCCAACGATTTCGCACATCGATACCACAGCAGGTCAACGCACAGTACACTTCATTGACGGCACCTCGGTACAGAATGTTGATCACATTATCTTCGGCACCGGATACTCTTGGAGTCTCCCTTTTCTGCCGGACGTGAAAATCAGAAATAACAGAGTACCGGGACTGTACCAGAATGTCGTCTATCAGCAGGATCCGACGCTGCTATTTGTTGGAGCAGTCAGTACTCACTCAAACAAGATGATATGGTCAACACTAACACAATGCTTAGNNGTCGGAGCTGGATTGACGTTTAAAATCTTTGAGTGGCAGGCTGTACTCGCCGCGAGATTGCTAGCTGGACGTGCTGAATTGCCGCCTCTTGAAGAACAACAGCGATGGGAGGCAGAACGCGTCAGGAAGAAGGGAGATGGTCCTGCGTTCAACGTCATCCATCCTGACTTCGAGGAGTATTTTGAGACAGTCAGGACTCTCGCGGGTCCAAGCATAGATGGTAAAGGACGACCTCTACCACCTTACGAGCCAGAATGGTTCGATGCCTTCATGAACGGCCATGAACTGCGAAAGCAGATGTGGGCCAGAAAGAATGCTGCCGCTGCTTCGGAGAATACCAAAGCAAGGATCTAATCAGGTCAATGTAACGGTCTTTTCTTTTTCAATATCTTCACTGTGAGCTGTCTTGGGGTCGTCGCAGGATCTGAAGAATGTGGAAGATATGATATTCCTGTCGTCAAGCAGGATACTTTAGAGAGCTTTCATGACGATCTCATACATTCTATCTTGGCTGAGGCAGTCGCAAATCATTCGTCATTGCCTCCCCATGTACAAAAGTCTGTAACCTTGCCTACTCCCACCGCAACAAAAAGGCACTTCTGGATTCAGAAAGAGTCAGTGTTTTCCAACATCGAAAGTATAGCCACAGAAAGCTAATGAAGTTCTGTCTCTCAGTGGGTGCTGCTCCGCTTTCTAAGACTATTGTATTCTTCTATAGCTATACGCGTTATATGCTTTAGTACATGGAGAGATGGTATGCAACCTGCAATAAGGTTTAGTACAAACGGTGTGCATCATCTACAATAGAACAGGGTAGCCTGATTTAACGTTTTAGCCCTAAAGCAACCCTCGGCGCAACAAGAGACCGACGCACTTCACCTTCTTCTGCTGACGAAGCAGACACGACCTCATCAATACTCTTGCAGTTCCAGATCTGAATTGCAGCGACATAACCCAAGTATTCCGGAACCAGTGTCGACAACATGGATGGACCAGACACTGCGACGAACAGCCAGAAATCACGCGAGCTCAGACGCAAACAACAACTTCGGGAAGCTCAGCGGCGCTTAAGACAGCGCAAAGTTGAAGCGCTTCAAGATGCGACCAGCGAGGTCGAAGCCCTTCGTAAACAGCTTGCGGAGGCAACAGAAACCATCGCACGCTTGAGCGCTCAGCACAGTACTCCAACGATCAATGAGATAGCCACTCTCAACACGATAAGATCTCACCAGCCCGGAAGAGGCCATCAAGGCGGGGTCGAAAATGGACACAGCATGAATTCCCAAGCCGACTTCGAAGAATCCACGATCGAACACAACGTCCTCGGAGGATCATGGTCTCCCGTGTCTCCTTCGACGCTAGAGAGCTTCTTCCCTAGATCATCGAACGATCTGCTAGCCTTAGACATACCTGATGTCTTCCACTTCCCGCAACCCAGCAGCACGTCGGAACGCTCTCTTCCCATGAATCTCATACCTAAGTCTTCTGAACATGAATCGAGACCAATCTGGCCGCTTGGTTATACTGCTGTCCTTGACGACTATGTCCCATACATGCCGTTATCAGCCCACTCAGACTCACCCTCAAGCCCTTCTGTCCAGACAGTTGGACAATCAAGTCCACCACCATACTCTCCTTTCCGCGAATCGACCTTTGCAAAGAGATTGTGGCGACGATGCGCTGAGATGGCGCTGCGCATGCTAACTGATACCAGAAAGAATCAACCTTCTATAGAGCGGGCCTTCGGTGCTTACTTTGACCGTTTCTCTCCCGAGGTTGTTCGCAGATCGTTGAGCACAGCCTTGGGAAGGGATGATTTCGGCGAACTGGAATACCACACCTACCCTGATTTCCAATTCAGCTCACATAGCCGAGTGGTGCAAAACGCATCAACCGAAAAGCTCATGAGTCCTGAACACATTGATCTTGCAGACGATCCGTACATGACGCCTCGTGACATTGAAAAGTATTTTGTCTGGAACGGTCAGCTGAGGCAGTCATTGGACCCGAAGGGTAATTTCGTGACTTCACCCTGTCACTTTGACTTCCAAGGCAAGCGCTGGATCCTGGAAGAAAACAGACTCATCCACAGTAAGCTCATCGAACATGAATTCAAGCATAAGGTCACTGACGACTAGCCAGCACTCATGCACTTCTCCGTCTGCCTTGGTCAAGGTCCTGCACTCCTAGCCTCGCACGTCATTGCTGCTACCTTCCAGAGCATGCAAAGGGTTACGATCTGAGCTTAGTCCTCTTATACGAGCTACTGGTTATCAACCATTCCTCCATCAGTAATGTGCTAAGATCTCGATTCCAAATCACACATGGCATTGTCCTTGGGATATGCAAAAACGATTATCATTGCTACCGACTGGATCGACCTACGTATCTGAATACCCTAAGGAAGCCATATCACCTCAGCCTTACTTCGAACTCTTCTCCTGGAAGCTCAGCTGCTGCTCCACCATTTCTCGGATTGTCTGCTGCCACGGAAGCCATTCCATACCAAGGTACTTTTCTGGGTTGACAGTTTCTGCTCGCGTCTTTGGCCCTTCATAATTCGGCTCGAGTTTGCCCAACTCAGGATACTCTTGCTTCATGAACTCTGCAATCTCATCCCACGAAACTTCGGGGCCAGAAGTAATGAATTCCGTGCCCGAAGGAGCAGAACAGTCGATTGCTCTGACATGAGCAGCAGCGACATCCTTGATGTCGACCCAGAGAGAAGGGAAAGCCGGATTTCCGTATTGAATCGTCATCCATAGCATGTTGTTGACCAGATCAACCTGCTCAGCTGAGCTTTGAATTCTGCTCTCACCTATCACAAGCGTTGGGTGGGTTGTGAGCAGCTTGTAAGAAGGCTTTTCCTTTTCGCGGAAGTCGCGAGTAGCTTGGTGGGCCAGAACTTTGGAGATGCGGTACATCAGAGTCTGGCCTTCTTGACTATCTGGCTCTGGCACTTGCATGTCGATGTCGACTGAGAACACTTCTCCAGTATCCTCTTGTATTTGTTAGCGAAGTACCAGTGGCAGCCACGGGTTGACTTTACCTCTGATACTTCCATCAAACGCCATTTGAGTTTCTATTGGCATCAGAGCGATACCGGACGAGGTGACAACGGTAGTCTTGATCTTTGGGAACTTGAGTGATGCAAACAAGATTGCTTGGGTGCCATCCAACGCAGGCTTGATGTAATCCTCTTTCAAGTCTGGGAGTGCTCTTCTTCCAGGAACAGGAGATGCAAGATGGATAACATAATCGACATCTTCCAAAGCGGTCTCGAATGATTCACGCTTGCTGACGTCCGGGATGACCACAGTCTCGATTTCGGATGCATACTTGGGGTAGCGTTCCTTCAACGTGGTTGCCTGTTCGGCCTTTCTGATGCTGAGACGAAGGCGGTAGCCTGCTTCAAGGGCTTGTTGTATGACTTCAGCACCGATAAAGCCGGTGCCACCGGTGATGAAAACAAGAGGCTTGGACATGGTGTATCTTTTGTAACCAATTCTTTTAAGATGGAAAGTCACGATGTTGACAATTCAAACTGGAGACTGCAACTGGATGCTTTTATCTCACCTTGAGCACTTTCAGGCGTCCAATCTGTCAGACAGAACTCCGGAATGTGCTTTGTAAGGCAGGATTCTCGTTGCGTTGGCTGTATTGGATCCTCCTGCGGCCAGGTAGCATTAGGCTAATGGTTGTCAGCAATACAGCAGTCGACCTCATCTGAGGTGGACGGGACTCGGAGGAGGAGGGAGAGATACCCCGCCTCCGAGGCATGAGTAATGCAGACCGGCACGGAACGGGCTCCGTTGAAAGCTTGGCGGACTGTTGACTCAACGTGCCACCGTGATCTGTCAACATTGCCCGTGTCGAACACAAGATGCCTTGAACAACACATGTGCGATTGGCAGTCTGCGAAACCATCGCGGCATCCGTGTTACCCCTTTCGAACGATAGACGATGCGTTGATGCTGGAATATCTAAGCGATGGCACACTACGACAGCACTAATCGCTATAGCGGTATCCACCCTGGAACAGACCATCAGTAATCGCCAGAGCTGGAACACGGTTTGAGTTCACTAATCATTCGACTCGTGATGATGGTTCACTAATCGTGCAAAACAACGTGTTTTATAAGGACAACATTTCCAGCCACCCTCAGCTAGATCTAAATCCTATCGATCTACTCTACATTGGTCTCTACATCTTGTACATATTCTGTCGACAAGGGATCGATACACTGAACAACACTCCGAACACTCAAACTCCACTAATCAGTCTTGTGATCAACATGCCTCTCTGGCAAATCTACCACCCACCCGGCGTCTTCGAAGACGCAGACAGCAAAGCCGCCCTCGCCGCCGACATCACAAAAATCTACACCTCAGTCGGTCTACCCGCCTTTTACGTAGTCGTCCACTTCAACACCATGCAACCCACCAACGTCTACGTAGGCGGCGAGTCCAAAGCCAACACCTCCAAACCCTTTATCCGCATAGTGATCAAGCACATTGCCATCCGCCTCAACAACGACACCGAGACATACAGAAAAACAGCTGGCATGATTGATGCGGCATTAAAGCCGCATGTCTATGACAAAGATATGATGTGCGAGTATCATGTTGAAGAGACGGAGAGGAGGTTGTGGAAGTTTGATGGGATGATTCCGCCTGAGCATATGAGTGAGGCGCATATGGTGTGGGTTAAGGAGAATAAGCCTGTGGAGTATGAGGGTGCTTATTGGTCGCCTGAGAAGGAGCATTATTGAGTTGACTCGGGTGGAGTCGTCATACAGAATCGTGCACCAGAATATCCGCGGTGTGTGTAATGGTAATGCTTGCACATGTATCATGGTTTGTCGTATAAAAGGCAGATCTTCCAGTCCCCGATACCCTGCGAAATATCATTGTTGGATGGGAATTGGTACCCTCTGTATAGGTCTATAACTTTTGCTGAGCCAGACATGTTCGACAACAGAGATCAATGTTATGGCCTTGGCAAGATAAATTCTTACATGCAACTACACTCGCTACCATACGCGCAGCCGGGACAACACCAGATGGATTGGCGGTTGGGCGACTGTTTGGCATGATGTCTGATCATGCGAACAAGAATGGACAAGAAGGATTCGATTTTGGTGGTGGTAAGGTTACAAAACTTGGCCTATATCAAAACAGTCCTTTTCTGGAAGCAAGATGGGCTGAGTAGCGTAGAGGAAGGAGAGAAAGAGCAATCTACTCATCGTAGAATATGACACTACTTATGTTCTGTGTCTATGTAGAAGAGTGCCTACCAACGACACCAGAAGCTGTATGTATGTCGCCAACTCGGTCTTGAATACGCGATTCCAACAAGCAGCTCGATGAGGGCACCGCGTAGTGACCAGGTCTAGTCGAGTCCGTGGCCTTGTGAGTACTTTTAATCGTCTCGATCATAGCGTATATCTACTCGAGGCAATAGATATCTGGGAGCCGTGAGGATGGCATGAACAGTGGAAGCATGTCCTCGGCGAGCCGTCCCTGATGCATAGTCATGTTCAATCGCTGATCTTGTACTGGATTGGCTTAAATGAACCGCCATTCGACTGCAGGGCGGAACATGCGGTCAAAGCGACAATCAAATCCATCTCTGCAACGAACTCGATACTGTCTCCGGCTTTGGTGATTGGAGGCAAGACCTTGAGCTCACCCGAATCTGAGTCAACAGTGACGTTCATGAAGCAGTTGAAAGCGCAGGGTATGCGGTCGGATGAGATGCCATATGGCTCAATGGCGCCAGCAATGTTGCCAAAACATCCTTGGTGTGGATCCTTGTCGCCATAAATGATGCGGAAAGTGTCTTTTGAGCATGGCGTCAATAGGAAATCGTGCTTGCCGGGTGTGTTGTCTGCGACGATTTTGAGCATGACATTGCTGCGGTTTGAGTATAGAGGGTCGCCGGTAGTAAGGTAGATGCGACTTGCGTAGTCGAGGGTTCTGCCGTTGCTGATGACTTCTTCGGGATCGTGACGGTTGAAGGCGACCAGGTCAGAGACTTGTACACCTTTGGGGTCAATTACGGTCAAGCGCTGTCCCTTGTTCAAGGTAAAGGCGGTGCCGGTACGGGGAGTGATCTCGATCGTGTCGGCCATGTTAATGTCTTGTTGGATATGTGCTGTGAAACAGAGGGTGTTGCTGTGCGATCGGGGATTTGGACTTGTTAAATAGAGCAGTCTCGTTCCAAGAATGGAGATACAGCTTTGTCTATGTTATTTCGTCTTGATGAGGTCATGAAGTCATTGGTATGTCTCTGATGGAGATGTGGCAGCGGATGCGGGCCGATACGGAGAGGTCGAGGGCCGCATGTGCCGATGTCGCAGAAGCTGTGGGCGCCCCGCCGTCGTGTGGGAAAGTGTACAGAGGAAAGTTGGACTGGACATTTAGACTCATACAACAACATACATATCACACAAGATGCCTTCATATAACATTGTCGTCTTCGCCGGTGAGTGATACACGTTCGGAAGGGAGGAATTGGACAAGGCTGACTCGTGACAGGTGACCACTGCGGTCCCGAGGTACGACCACGCTTATAACATCACCGCCGACGACAGTCTACTCACACAGTTGCTCGCAGGTCACAGCTGAGGCCATCAAGATCCTCAAGGTCATTGAGAAGGAGTCCAAGGACATTACCTTCAACTTCAACGAGCAACCGCTGGGTGGTGTACGTCTCGTCTGTATCTCGAAGGCCGACGACAACAGCTAATCCTCCGCAGNNGCCTCGATTGACGCACACGGTGTCCCTCTTACCGACGAGGCTCTCAGCGCCGCAAAGTCTGCCGATGCCGTCCTTCTTGGTGCTATCGGTGGTCCCGTACGTTCTCCACCAAACCTTTCCCGCCAGCCACACCGTCTGACAAGAAAACATAGANAATGGGGAACTGGAGCAGTCCGTCCCGAGCAGGGTCTTCTCAAGCTGCGCAAGGAGATGGGCACATTCGGCAACCTCAGACCCTGCTTCTTCGCCTCCGACTCGCTCATCGAGGGCTCGCCGCTCAAAGCTGAAGTCTGCCGTGGTGTCAACTTCAACATTGTTCGCGAGTTGACCGGTGGTATCTACTTCGGTGACCGTACCGAGGATGATGGCTCAGGTTACGCCATGGACACCGAACCCTACTCGCGCCCCGAGATTGAGCGCATCACCCGCCTCGCTGCCAACCTCGCTCTCGCCGAGAACNCCCCAGTTCCCGTCTGGAGTTTGGACAAGGCCAATGTGCTTGCCACCAGCAGACTGTGGAGAAAGGTCGTCACCGAGGTCATGGAGAAGGAGTTCCCGCAATTGCAGATTGGTCACCAGCTCATCGACAGCGCTGCCATGATCATGGTCAAGAACNCCCGTGCTCTCAACGGTGTCATTGTCACCAGCAACTTGTTCGGCGACATCATCTCGGATGAGGCTTCGGTCATTCCCGGCAGTTTGGGTCTGTTGCCCAGCGCTTCGCTCAGTGGTGTCCCCGATGGCAAGAGCAAGTGCAATGGTATCTACGAGCCCATCCACGGTATGTTTTCTCGAATCTCTCTTCTCGCACACTCCCACTGATTCTCTTTACAGNGTTCCGCACCCGACATTTCCGGCCAGGGCATCGTCAACCCCGTTGCCATGCTCCTCTCAGTCGGCATGATGCTCAAGTACTCGCTCCAAGAGCCCGAACTCGCCAAGTCTGTCGACGAGGCCGTCAAGATCGTCATCGAGCAAGGCATCAAGACCGGCGACATTGGCGGCAAGGCAAAGACCGCAGAAGTCGGTGACGCCGTTGCCAGCGAGTTGACCAAGATCCTCAAGAAGTAAAAATGGAAAACACACGAAAAGCAGAAAAGCTATACGCCCCAGGACATGAAATGTACAAAAAGCAAGGAATAGATACGACACAGCAGCGAATGACATTTATTATCATCTTCTACTTCTCTGCAGGATACACTATGATTCTGTCCAAGTCTGCGCCTTTGACATCGATTCCGTTGTCCAATCCTCCCACCGTGATACTGTTACTTCCTTTGCTCAACCATACTTTCAATGGCGTAGACAAGATAACACCCTTATGCGTATCCCTCTGATATAGCGTTTGCATACCCGTGACATTTCCATTCACCACCACCGAAGAAATGCGACGCAAAGCCCAAGGTGTCTTGATCCTGTCTGGAGATCCACCTGGTTGGTCGCCATAGCCCATGTCATCAGTATTCTGGTAGTAGAACGAGATCCAGTGGTAGTTGTTATCGCCTTGGATGCCAGATAACGTGAGTGTGGAGGTGTTGCCGGATATTCCGGTTACGATGGTGTTGTCGCTTGCAAAGTTCTGTGATGAGAAGGCAGGGTTAGTGGCTGGGAGAACAGGAGATGGAAGGGATAAACGCACGGCTTCTTGTTTAAAAGCATCGCCTGTGATTATACCGTCTTTGGCGTAGTAGGTTTTTCCCTTTATGGCTTTGTATTCACCCGTCTTGNNCTATTCCGCTGTCAGCATCATTTCCCTCCAGGGCAAGATATGAAGAACTCACACATCCAAATCATAAACATCATACCACTCCAGCTCCAACGTCTTCTTCTTGTCATCAATCCCCACAGGCAACCAGATATATCTACTCTCCCACAAACTGTTAGAGTCCCACTGATCTCCCATATACAGCCATGTCGTTTTCTTAGTCCCGTTGATCCTCAACGCAAACCCAGACTGAGAATTATAGGTTCTGGTGTAAGCGGGAGCAACAAAAAATGGCTGACTCCACGGTCCTTCGAGGCCATCTGCTCGAAAAGCAACTACATTGTTAGGTCGATAGCCAGTTTTATGGCTCATCAATGCGTAGTACGAAGATTCGGTTTGAATGATTGACGGAGCTTCTAGATCGTATTTATCGAAGCGGTGGACGATAGATGCAAGTTCAGTATTGGTGGCATCGTAGGCAGCAAGATAGACATCGCGAGCTTCTTTTCTGTCGCCATTGCTGTACATGGCGTAGGATTTTTGGGTCTTGTGATCGGTGAAGGTGCCGAAATCTTGGGACCAGTTTCCGAAAGGGGCGGTGGCGTTGAGGNNGAAGGTGAAGGGGCCGGTTATATTGGGGGAGGTTGCTAGGCCTTGGAGGAGCCAGCCGTAGGTGCTGTTGTCGGCGTGCCAGTGCATNCTGGATTTCTGGTTAGAGATGTGTGTGGACTGAGACAGGAGGAGATGTGGTTGGTATACATGGTATTGATCATCGACGGCATTGTACAACACTTTTGGTCGCTGGATAATCTTATCGGGAGCAATATAGGGATGACCCTCAATCGGCTCTACTCGTTATCAGTATCTCACTCTTTCATCAACAGATTCTCCTAACGAGGACTTACTCAGAGCCAGACCATGAGAAGTCCAAGTAGCGAGATTATCGCTACTGTAGACACTGACACCTCCACCCTCGGTTTGTCCCTCGATCTTGTACTCGCCAAACAAATAGAACTTGCCATCTTTACCCACAGTCACACCACCGGCATGTGCGTTGACGAGATTGCCATCGGTATCTGTCCATCTGCCGCCAGGAACGATATACTTGGCCTGAGCCGCTGCGGCAAGCAACAAGTACGAGAGTGACTTCTTTCCAAACATGATGCAAGAACGTGAAATGAGCAAAGGCTGATTCAGACATCTTGCAGGTCATGATATACAAGTGGCCAAGAAGTCCGGTATCTTTTGTCCCGAGTGTAATACGAAGATAGTGCATAAAGGCCATGAGGCTATACCAAGGTTTGCGGGGTATCTGTATTGGTGGTTGTTCCTTCTCATGATAATTTATCCGTTGGTGATGGTGCCAAGGGAGATGTGCATGGTTCCAAGACATGGGGTAGGTTCATAAGCGATCCTCTCACTAAGAGAAGGAAGGTGCTACACAAAGTCAGTTGCTTTGACCCGAGCACCGAGCACTGAGCACCTGGATCGGATTGAGCTGTATACATGAGAAACCATGCCGTAAATAAGTACTAGACGCTAGATAGAGCAGAGATATCGTTGGAGTCATAACCGAAAGATCCGAGAACATCAACAATCATACGAAAGATGACACATGTTGCCTCCAAAGAACTTAATAGACGTAGTAAGTCTGAGCAAGAGGCAGCTCACTTGACGGTTCAGCCTCACAAATCATGCCATCTGCCTCAACAGTCTGTGTTACATCATATAGTCAGTACAACGCCCTTGCAAAGTTCGTATCAGTGGGAAACGAGGACAAACTCACATAACTCTCAGCATCAACTTTCATCTTAGGCTTGACGTCGTTGAACTTCATGTCAGATTTGCCGATATTTCTGCAATTCTTGACAGCTTCGACACGCTTCCTCAAGCCACACTTGTTACGTACACCCTTGGCTTGGGCTGCTTTGCTAACGAAAGCGATGCTGTTGTGAGGCACCGAGGCGCCAAACATTGGTCTCATCATCATGGGCTCTACCGTGGGGATACTAGCATTGGCATCGCCCATCAGACTGTACGCCACCATACCACCCTTGATGACCTGAGTGGGCTTGGTGCCAAACTTGGAGGGATGCCAGAGGACGAGATCGGCTAGCTTGCCGACTTCGATGGAGCCGATGATGTGGGACATTCCTTGTGCGATGGCAGGGTTGATGGTGTATTTAGAGACGTAGCGTTTGACTCGGAAGTTATCTGCGCCGGTGCCTTCATCCTCGGCCAGGAATCCTCTTTGCTGCTTGTTCTTGTGGGCAGTGTTCCAGGTGCGGAGGATGACTTCTCCACAGCGTCCCATGGCCTGTGAATCTGAACTCATCATACTGATGGCGCCCAGATCGTGCAACACATCTTCCGCCGCGATCGTTTCTGCTCGGATGCGACTCTCGGCGAAGGCCACATCCTCGGGAATGTTACGTGATAAATGGTGACACACCATAAGCATGTCGAGGTGCTCGTCGAGTGTGTTGTTGGTGTAGGGTCTGGTCGGATTAGTACTGGATGGAAGCACATTCTCGTGCTCGACGACCGAGATGATGTCTGGTGCGTGACCACCACCAGCTCCCTCAGTATGATAACTGTGAATGGTGCGACCCTTGAAGGCTGCAACGGTGGTCTCGACGAAGCCGGATTCGTTCAGGGTGTCGGTATGGATAAGAGTCTGTATGTCATGTTCATCGCATACACTGAGACAAGTGTCGATAGCCCTAGGTGTGGATCCCCAATCCTCGTGCAATTTGAGACCGCACACACCAGCCTCGGCCTGCTCGCGTAGAGGACCAGGCTCACTATCATTACCCTTGCCAGTGATACCAACATTGAGCGGTATAACGTCAGTAGCTTGGAGCATACTCTCGATCAACCACGCGCTTGGTGTACAAGTTGTGGCGTTAGTGCCAGTGCTGNNGTACCATGTTAGCAGTTTGTCGCATAACCGTAGCGTCAAAAGCCCTTACCTTGGTCCAGTACCACCTCCCAAAAGGGTGGTGACTCCTGAGGCAAGCGATTCAGGGGCTTGCTGAGGGCAAATGAAATGGATGTGACTGTCAAAGCCACCATAAGTGACAATATCCTTTTCAGCAGCAATGACATCGGTGTTGGAACCGATGACCATGTTAGGATCGACACCGTCCATAATGTCGGGATTGCCAGCTTTACCAATGCCCACGATGATGCCATTCTTGACACCAATATCAGCTTTGTAGATACCAGTGTAGTCAACAATCAGAGCGTTGGTCAAGACCAGATCCAAGCAGTCGATATCTGAGCGTCCAGAAGCTTGACCCATGCCATCACGTATACTCTTGCCACCGCCAAAGGTGCACTCATCACCGTATATGGTGAAGTCTTTCTCGACCTTAATCCAAAGATCAGTAGCACCCAGGCGCACGAGATCACCAGTAGTAGGACCAAACATGGAAATGTAAGCTTCACGCTCCAGGGTAAACATGTCAAGGTGAGTAGAATCGCCGGCAGGCTCGGGAGTGTGATGGAAACCGCCCTTCTGCAGTTTCTCAACAAGAGATTCGGCAATCCTAGCATCATGAAGAGAACCAGTAGCAAGACCATTACCACCTTTGATGACCTGATTACCACCAATCTGGACAAGATTGACAGTCTTGGTGTCGCCGGGTTCGAAACGGACGGAAGTTCCAGCAGCAATATCCAATCTGTAGCCAAGGGCTCTGACACGATCGAAGTCGAGTAGAGGATTGGTTTCGACAAAATGGTAGTGTGACCCAACCNNTAAGCGCGTCAAAATCGCCATCCCCTTTCTCTTACAGTCGCAACAACGTACCTGGATCGGACGGTCTCCCTTGCTGACAACCTTCAATTGTATCCTCTTTCTGTCTTTGTTCAGGACAATCTTGCCGTTCTTCAGGGGTACGACTGCGCCGGGTTGTTTCTCAGGGGCGTACTCTGAGGGGTCGGCATGAGGGAAGATGTCTTTGTCCGGTACAGGCAAGAAGCTGCCGTATAGGGCCTTCTCAAGGTTGCCGTCCTCCGAGCTGATGGGGTGGTGGACGGTGACCAGGTAGGTGCCAGAGCGAAAGGTTCCCTCGACTTGGAGCTCGACCAGAGAGTTGACTACGGGCGGGAGGACATGACGGCGACCGAGGATGGTCTTGCCCAAGGACATGAGATCTGCCACCGAGTGGTTGCCATCGCGGATAAGNCTATCGGAACGCGTTACTTGGGCTGAAGCCTGGTCGGAAGGAGAGACGATTAAACCAACTTCTTGGAGGACACTTGCAATCAGAGCNCTGATCACCTTGTTAGCGACCATCTTTCTTACAACTCGCTATGTGCATACCGTCGCTTCGGTCTGGTTCAGCTTGACACCGCGTGCCAATCTACGCTGCGCAAGCTGGCCAACTTGCGAAATGACCAGCTTGTCGAGCTACAAGCACTCATCATGTCAGTTGAAGAAAGCACAGTACATGCATAGAGTTCATAAAGCTGCGTACCTCTTTCGGAGTCAAATGCATTTCGTATGACTACCAGAATGCCTCACGAGTCGAAGCATCCGCATGTCTTGACACATCGAAACCCCCACCTTGGCCTTGGCATTTATGCCTCCAATCAGCCCCCACGTTCTCCTTCGACTCTTGCTATTCATTATCAGCTTATCGATATAGCCAGTGAGCTACGTTCTTCACGGCCTAGTCGACAGACTATACAGATTGCGCAATGTCTTAGATATCGTTTAGATGGACGCATTGAGCACTCTCATTTACTTGTAATCGATACGCTTGATGCGCTGTGGGGAAATGATGGAGAGACCAAGTCAGATGTATCTTTTCCTTATTGTCCATATTGTTCCTTCGCTTCATGCTTGGACATACGTCCCATGTCATGAGCGGACATTCCAGATGATGCATCTTACCATGGCGTTTGAACCTGGAATGGCCCAGGGATACTCGACATGGATACGATTATGTGTAAAGCCAGGGTCATCCATGCCACCAGCATTTTTGATCATATATCATGACCTACTATAGCAACCAGTCGAGAGGCGCAGGTGCTGCCCTTGTTTGCAGGGAGATCCACTGCATGAGTCAAAGCTAACTGACGATGTCTTCACATACCTCCTTATGAAAGGTCGAGCACTCTACAATCGATGCCTCGAACATTGAAACTTCCCCTGTCGTCCAATGGCCCAGCGTCAAAGACACCTTCTAGAAAGGCGGGTCGTCATTCCATCGGCGCCTGAACCACGAAGGCAAGAAGTCCACAAAACACGGGACGCCTTGTCAAAAGTCTGCCCTCGTCTGCCGCTGCCGGTCATGGTTCTGGCATGTGCTTTGACAACATTCAAGGCGTCCCTTCGAAAATCCACAATTTCCCATCAAAAGCGCGTTTGCCGGGAGGAGACATCAATGGGCCCTCGCTTGGTGGATTGCTATCCTGCTGCCAGAATATTCGATGTTCAGACCATCCACCATCATCAGGTCTTCGTTGATCGACTCTGCAGTCAAACATTGCGAATCTGCCTTAGCAATGGACCATCATCCCGAGACAGGTTGATCTCAATCTTGTTACCCGGAATAGCCTGGTTTTTGACGGAGCGGCTCCCTGCAGGTTTCTTTTCAATATTGTGCTTGGCCGACTGCCTCGTTTAGGAGTGCCATCCCACGTGCAACCAGAGACTCCTCTACCCATGGAACATTGTATAGAAGGACTTTGCGAATGACGGCAGGTTCAGGTACATGAAACATTTGTGTCAGGGCACTTTACCACACAACGCTCGACAGACCTGTAAACAGATTCTAGCGAGGTTGGTGGTCGACGACCATGGATGGCTGTGAACCAGGCGGAGACATGATCCCGAAGCACGAGCCTTAGCGATAAAGTATGTTTCTCAGCTGAGTCCGAAGGACGCTTCGGAGAAGACGGATTGCAAAAGCTGCTTGATTGAGCGCTGCAACAAACTCACCAGCTGACTTGTCGAGTGACTGCATGGTATCGGGAGCTCTGGAAGCAGTACTGTCTGGAAGGTACTTTGTGTGTGTACAAATCTCAGGAGCTACAAACGTTCTCGCATGTGATTTTGGCACATGTTCGTTTCAGGGCCTCGACGCCGAGAATAGAGTTCAACCGACCAGCCGCCCTCGCATGCCGCTTCCGCCGCCATGCAGGTGATGGTTAAAGCCCATGTGGATCTTGTCAAAGTCCCGTTTGTTGCCATCATAGTTTGGGTTGCTCATCGCCGCTGCAAAACACACAGTCCGCAACCAGCACCTGTCAGTTCGTCATTTTAACATGCTTTCGTCAAAGTTGACGAGTGCGGATATTGGCAAACACGACGAAGTACCCGAAAGCTGGCGACGACTTTCAATCAATCTGAAGGGATCAAGGCAACAAAGTGACGTCGATCGTCAGCACGATCTTAAAGCGATGGCAGCGAAGTGGGCCTGACGGACGGCAGTCCCAGCCACTTGGGCGAGCTTGCAATAGACCATGCAAGCACCGTCGGAGTAAGAGAAAGCAATCGAGTAGGTTGGCAAAAGAAACAAGGGCAGAGTGAGAAAGAAAGGCGAGCGAGATTGGTAGGACGACTTCTGAAACGATGCAGAAAGCTGTCGTTGGACGCCTGGTAACGGCGGGAGCGAGGGGTAGACGAGGACAGCCAAACAGATGGGTACCGAGACAGAAACAGAGAAAGCGAAACGGGCTGGATAGAAGGGATGGACTCTGATCGTAGAGCAAAAGGGTGTGTAGTTAGATGGTATGGATGGGTGTTTAGGCAGCGGTCAAAGACAATGTCTCGGTGAGTCGGAGGAAGGTATCTATTGGTATTTGGATTGGACGATCTCTGTAGAGGCGCGCTATGGGTTGTTAAATTTGGGACTTGGCTGACCAGAGCCGAGATGCAGGCGAGTTAGGGGAGTTGCTAACAAACACATGGTCGATGTTGCGCAGCGCAAGTCAGGTATCGGCCCTCATGTGCAGAAGGTAGAGTATAGACTGTATGAGGATATTCACAATGTTGTTGTAAGATGGTGGGTTTCCCCAAAAAGCACCACCAGGACACGGCTCCGGCTATGAGCTGGATGACAAGCTATACAATTGCAGCCCGATGTTTAGCGACGTCGATGTTGCAGACATGGTGTCGGATAGCATTCTTTGTGCGATGGATAGACACACGCGATGTTAAAGGGGCTTGCGGGAAGAAGGACAAACAAAGAACGGCTCACAATTTTGAGTTTACATTATCAGAACATCACAACGGCTTTTGGTCGAGAAGTGAGACGTCCTCTGTGCTCGCCTGTCGCTACTCGTGGTGGTGCTGCTGCTTCACTGTTCGTCTCGTCGTCGTCGTGCTGGATCTTTTTGGCCGCATCCAAGACTTGGTAGGATCGAATCATCGCGCTGGGTGCCCGAGGCTTTGTATTGACGCTCAGACCTTTGTTCGCGCTTTCCGCTTTCTCTTGGTGAAATTAGCTGCTAGCGGATCGAAGCTGCGTTTCATCACAGTCCAGTTCGGGGCCTCTAAGAGCGATTCCTGTACCTGGTTTTGAGAGTCGTGTTAGCTCACTGCCCACGCGCTTTTCCTATCATCACACGCATCCATCCTTGAACTTGTCCGTCCAGGTCGCAACACCCGTCCTCGGTCGACCGCGCCGACTCCTGTCAAGAGCCCTTCGACAGCGCTCCACCTTAACTTCTGTGTGCTCAAGAGTCGTCGTCGCCTATCCTCAACCATAGAATGTCGTCGGCCGCCATTCATGCCGTCGCGCCACAGCATTTTCAGTCTTCGCCGAGTGCCTCACCCGCGTCTGCGCGCAGACCGCAGAGCCAAAGACCGTCCACAGCCAGCGGTCCCTCACACTTCGACAGCCCCTCTGCCTTAGCCGCCCGTCAGGTATCTTCGTCCTCCAACAACGCATCGCCAACCACCGCCAACCACCGCAAGATCTCTACCGCCTATGACTCGATGGAACCGGCCATGCCTCAACAAGAATATACATCTACTCACCCGCACCTCAACGCAGACAGCCCATCGCAAGCCCGCCGGAAAGAGATGGACCAGCCCTCGTCGCCGAGACACATGATCCCCGACACTCTACCTCGTGAAGACAGTGCAATCCTGAGCAGGCTGGTAATCGACGATCCGCAAGCCGACGCTGCTCGCGAAAGAGCCCGCGTCGCCGAAGCACAGCCCATCTCCGCCAACCACCATGACTCCTCCATGTCGGCTATGGAGGCCCCCGAAGAGGCTGCACCCCGCCGTCGCCAGGAACACCTCAAGTCAAGTCACCCTAGAAAGGAGACCAAGTTCGGAGAGTACATCCTAGGACAGACACTGGGCGAGGGAGAGTTTGGAAAGGTCAAGATGGGATGGAAGAAAGAGNGGGGTGTGCAGGTCGCCATCAAGCTGATTCGCCGCGAGACCCTGGGCAACAATCCCAACCGCCTACCCAAGATCTACCGCGAGATCTCGATTTTGCGCGGACTGCAGCATCCCAACATTGTGCGGCTGCACGAGATGGTTGAGACGGAAAGGCATATTGGTATCATCCTCGAGTACGCATCGGGCGGAGAACTGTTCGACTACATCCTCAACCACCGCTATCTTAAGGACAATGCGGCCCGTCGGTTGTTTGCACAGCTCGTGTCTGGTGTTGGCTACTTGCACAAGAAGGGTATTGTCCATCGTGACTTGAAGCTTGAGAACCTGCTGCTGGACCGCAACCGTAACATCATCATCACCGATTTTGGATTCGCCAACACATTCAATCCGGACGATGAACTCGGCGAGGAGGTTGAGAATCACCTGAACAACAAGGATTTTGTCTCCAAGATGGGTTTGGAACACGTGCAATCGACCGGTCACCGTCGTGGTGATCTTATGCAAACGAGCTGTGGTAGCCCGTGCTATGCTGCGCCAGAACTGGTTGTTAGTGACTCACTCTACACTGGCCGCAAGGTCGACGTGTGGAGTTGCGGTGTCATCTTGGTACGTCAAGGTCAATCTACGCCAGCCAAACAGCGGTCAGCTAACTTTTGCTAGTATGCCATGCTTGCAGGATACCTGCCATTCGACGACGACCCGGCCAACCCCGAAGGTGATAACATTAACCTGTTGTACAAGTACATTGTGTCGACGCCCTTGACATTCCCCGAGTATGTCACGCCTCACGCTCGGGATCTCCTGCGTCGTATTCTGGTTCCCGACCCGAGGAAGCGTGCCGATTTGTTCGAGGTTGCTCGTCACAGCTGGCTGAGCGAGTATGCCCATGTTGTCGGTTTCATCACAAGCACCACGACCACCTCTGCCGACATTGTTGATTCTGCCATTCCTATTGGTCAGTCGACTTCTTGCGAGGGCCATGCACGCCGTGCAGTGACTGACCCAAAAACAGAAGATCAATACGATGTCCCACAACTCGCCCGCAGTGCATCCGTGAGAGAGCCATCCAAACCCAGCCAGATTCCCGTTGTTGGTGGTCTTAGTAACAAGAACGCCCCTATTACCGAGACCGAA